GTTTCAGGTTCTCGGTTCTCGGTTTCCAATTCTCGGCTCTCGGTTTCCGATTCTCGGTTTCCGGTTTCCGATTCTCGGTTTCCGATTCTCCGTTTCAGGTTCTCGGTTCTCGGTTTCCAATTCTCGGTTCTCGGTTTGCGATTCTCGGTTCTCGGTTTCCGATTCTCGGTTTCCGATTCTCGGTTCTCGGTTTCCGATTCTCGGTTTCCGATTCTCGGTTCTCGGTTTCCGATTCTCGGTTTCCGATTCTCGGTTTGCGATTCTCGGTTTTTTACGCCCTGGCCAAAGCTTAACTTGATAAAATCAATTTTTATGCTTGTACTTTTCGATGCGTGCTGACGGGATCTAACCGTAAAGCCGCAACTTAAAGATAAAGCCCAATCCTGTCCATTGAAGTGTTTGGTAAGTCTTACCAAATACCTCGCGCAAAACTCGCTCGAGAAACAACTCCGCCGTGCCACGTCTTGACGTCTATCTATCCATAGCTACTTATTTTGGTAAGAGGCCGCCCCGCTGTAGCCATTGATTTGGCCTCATCAAAAAAGCGGCTCTGCACTTACTGATATAGTTAAAAGGATAGAGCTACAAGGTCAAGTTGAAGTTGTAAAAGTAAAGATAAAAAGTAAAGGAACTCGTTTCGCGAGCGTGCTTGCCAAAGAAGAATACTGACGTCACAGAAATTTGAAAATCGCATGGTCGGGAGAAGCGTGGTTCGCGAATGCTAGTACTTCTTGATCCTACCCTCGAAGTAAAGCGTTCCGACGCTCGCATTGAAACCCCTGGTCAGCGGATCTTGGTGTATTTTTCAGTAGAGAGCATTGTCTTGCCTGATTTCCTCTGAATAAAAACCCATGATCGACGTTGGCCGCACGGTTTTTTAAATATCATCTCTCCACGACGGCACACCCACACATACTTACTACAAGATCAAGTTTTAGAAGGTCCGTTTTGATAACAACACTTTTCCGGATCTGTTTCCTTCCTCGTTTGGATTTTCACGTCTTACGCTCGACGCGATCAAGTTTTGTGATCCGAAGTTCTGCGTTTTGTTTTGAATCCGTCTTCATGCAAGCCTGTAAAAGTGCAATTATTCTTTGTTGGGGTGTGTTTCGTCAATTCAGTATGGTAATGCTTTTCGTATGTTAATTGAAAGGAAAATGAAATGATTCAGGTTGATGAGGTCTCGTCCTTTTGCTTTTAGTAGAAGGTAACGTAGAGCAAAAGCGGACAGAATGAGGACACCAATGTCGGCTGTTGGGCGAACAGCAAGTTTTTATGGTCTGATGGAGACAGTTCTCTATCGATGTTTCCCCGCCTCGCGTGCCCTGCGACACTTGGTGGTGTTGTTCGCTTCGATTGGCTCTTTGGCGGTTGTGGTCATAGGAGCAGGCACGGCACTGACCGCGCAACCTGATCATCTTCAGGCGCAGCTTTCTGGAACGTTTTCACAGACTTTAGAGCGGCTGGATGTCTCGCTTTTTTTCAACCCAGGAAGAAGTAGAACCGGCGGAGCTGCAAAGGGCAAAAACTACGTCAAGAGCAAAGATGAAAGAGGAGTCGCTTCTTCAAGCAACGGCTCAGCAGCTGAAGGTTCGACAGTAGTCCCCTCATTCTGCGGAAGCAACGAGGTCGCGGGGAAAATAGAAGAGTTCCTAGTGATCAGCTCAGTCGGAATCGGGTTTCCGAGGTGCGGAAAAGTTTTGGAATTTACAGAGGATGTCGCTTTGCAGGGCTACAGTTACGATGGTGCTGCAACGTTTCTGTACAGAAGCAAGAAGACTGCTGCCACTGCGTCCAAGTCTCACTCCAACTCCAAGAATGTACCAACGGTAGAACAACTTGCTCCTGAGACAGGCGAACCACCGATAGGCATTCGATTGAAGTTGCAGAAAAGACATCTTCACTACTGGGCGCAGGTGTTTGAAGGGTTCAAATTGCAGCCGCAGAATACAGAGGATGAAGACGACAAGGTGGAGTTACCCACGGGACGGTTTGTGAAAAAAGTTCGATTTTTGCAGGCGTCATCAACAGTTCCTTCGCCTTCGGGCGACGGGGGCGGGGGCCCGGCGACAAGGCTGGCGGAACAAGGTAGTTTTTCATTGCAGACGAGATTCGACCACTTTCAGTTCCACGAACGGGAGCAAAGCCACGGTACAGCTGCGGTGAAGAAGATCATGGAGGACTTTTTCTACCGAGAACAAACACAGCAATTCAGTTGCTCTCAATATCTACATCACCACGCAGGATGGCTGAAGGTCGTGAATGGCTCTGAAAAAGATAATTTCTCGGCTATCGTAGTTGCGCCGAGACATTCTTGGTGCCCAAAGTGCTTACACAAAGACAAAGCATTCCGCAGTGTGGCGAAGCTGTGGAATCAGAAGAAGGAACATCAGCTGCATCCAGGAATGTTGCTGCGCGGCGAAGAAGCAGCAGCAGGGGTAGGAGTTTCGAGAGTTCATTTCGTGGCACTAGATACGCAGGCGCATAAGCGATTTTTCCGACAGTATGATGCAGAACACAGAGGCTTTTCTGGAACAACAGTCCAGAAGAAGAAGGCTTCTACTTCCGATGACGACTGTCCACTCTTCGTTTGTCGTGCGGACGAGCCGCTCATGTATGAGACCCGGATCCCCCACGCCTACAAAATGTCGGACATGGACCTCATGGCGGGGGCCATGTCGGCAGGAGTGAGTATGAACAACCAACTCGCGGACGATAAACTCGAGCCGGATCTGGATCGCTTCCAAGAGGAATTGGGTTCCTTGACAAGTGCCTCTGTGGCGGATGAACTCTTCCAGGTTGTGTGGAGAGACCAGCAAAAATTTTTTGAAGATGGGAAAGGACTGAGAGCAGCGCTGGCACTGGCTCGGTCCTCCGACAGGGCAAGTCACGACATCCGCGCGAGCACTCTTGCTCGTGGTGGCGCGCCAGGGCACGTACCAGAGGCCTTTGTGGTTCTGTCGGTTTCCGAAGAGGACTTTAGTTCTATTCACACTGCTGGTCGTCCGTCTTCCGGCCGCTTATTATCATCTTCATCTTCATCTTCATCTCCAACAGTCGACGACCTCCTGCCTGATCCAAAAACGGCGATCTCCGCTGCGACTTTGCGCCACGACTTTTTGCAAAGGATCGCGGAAAAAAAGTTGACACAAAACAACGCGGTCGCGGATGCTTTTGTCCACCACGCAAGGTCGTTTCGGCGAACGGGAAAAGGCTTTGCGAAGTTCGTGGTTTGTGTTGCCTGTGCATTGAACGTCGGCCGTGAGGAGCCACCGTCTCCTGGTCTTGCGCCACCACTGCTGGTCTGGTATTTGGGTGAAAACCGCACCGATTCCTACTCGTTTTACGACAGAACTGAAAACTCAAGTTCACCTCCTTCATCGCCAGCTGCTTTTTTGCAAAAAACCACAGCACCCTTGCTCCGGAAGTACTCGTTTGGGATCAAGCGCGAGCTGGAGACGCAGTTTCGTCCACAACCACAACTACTGCAAGAGAAGAACACAACTGCTACAAGAACTACGCAGCAAAATAAATGGTACGCGGTTGTCTACTGGAACACCACGGCACTATTCGCAGCAGACGCGTCTCCGCAAGTAGAAAGTGTTAGCGTGACTGATGGCGGCGGGTTCTCCACAGCCTCTGCTGATTTCTTGCCTGTTGATACAACAAGGACAAACCACACCCAAACTCAGAACAGATTTTTCGCGGAAGCCGTGCGTCAGTTTCGCAACAATGTGCTCAATCTCGCAGTAGACCTCCGGCGCAAGGGATTGGCGTCTGAAGAAGCAGAGGAAATCACTTTCCTCCAATTTGAGCCCACTTGGAGCTACTATTTGAAGGACTTCGGGTTTCACAGAAAGCAGTATCCGCAAATCGCGTTCGGATTGCGGTCGTCACTGGATGTTGGGAAGGGGAGGAGCTTCGTCTTTGAAGGATCAAACAGCAAAATAAAGGCCGACAACAGCAATACACGACGAGGCCAAAAGATGAAACAACTACCTTGCGCAATGAAAACAGCAAAAGCTGCTCTGACAAGTGAGAAAGAGCTTCGTTCGTTCGAAAAGTGCTTTTCGAAGAAGAAGCTGGAAAAATTTGTGACCCAAGTGTTCTCCGGGAAGGTCAGAGAAGCGCATGCCAGTGGTCCGGAAAAAGAAGATGGGGATCGAGTGTTGGAAGATCACCAGCCTGCAAGCGATGCAGCAACAGCATCGAGGAGTCCTCCTGCTGGAGCTGCACCAGAGGGGCAGAAGAAGGAATTAGCGTCACATGTCGCAGAGCAGACGAGCAGCGAAAATAAGCCACAGACCACCTCCTCTCCGACAAGCACCACCGTTGGCGACTCCCCCACTGGCGCATTTCCTCGAACCCCTGTGAACGATTTGACCTGGAAATCTCTTTCGACCCAACTGTTCAACAGCAAGGAGGCTGATCTGTCAGCGGCAACAGTCATCATCGAGCTCTACCATCGGGATCGGGATAGAAAGTTTGAGAGGGAGGCGATTTACCACACGGCCGCGCTGGTCTTCGAGGAGTTGGAGAGGTTGGAGATAGGGAGCAAACCAACCGGGGCGACGTCGCAGATACTTGACGGCAGTGCGGTCGTACTCGGGAAGAAAAAGTCGAGTCTTCGTTTCTTCCGCTACGACATCAGCGAAAATTACGTCAGTCCGGAGATTTTCGGCGAGAAATACCATAAGCTATTCGGGGAAACAAGTATCGGGAGGAAAACGGAAGCGACGGAGCAAGGGGCTGTGTTTTTGTTCCACGGAATTGAAAATACACCTGCAAGAACTGCTGGCGATAGAAATACACTGACCACCGCCTCCAAAATAAATTCGCTGGCTTCACTTCGTCGCGGCCCCCCTGCTGTTTTTCCGCTTTCGTTTTCGGGGAAGGAGCCCAGAGCGCTGTTGGAAGGGTTGGTCAAGTGGATCCACAAGAAAACGACAACGTCCTCGTACCCAGCAACGGCATCAAGGGCTGCTTCAGCGAAAAATCAGCTTCGAGACGCGTTAGACCTCGTAAAGGATTTCGAACCTGAAATCCTTGCTCGGGCAAAAACGGCGGATGACAACGAAAGACGGCAAAAGAAAGAAAAACAAGCGGCGATTGATAAGATGATGAAAACGCTGAAGCAAGAAAAGGGCTTGTACGACATCCGAGACAGTGCCTTCATGTCAGCGGCGAGCGGAAATGCAAATGGTGCAGGAAGTGCTACTGGAGGAAGCGGAGGAGAACCAACTGAAACCAAAGCGCCCCCGCTGAAACAGTTCCGCGACCGTGGGGGAGTGAAGGACGATAAAAAAGGAAAAAAGATGAAACCGAAAAAAGCGAGGAAACAAGGACCGACAAAACGCTCAAAGGAGCTGAGAGCCCGAGCTGCAGCTGCGGAACGGCGTGCAGAAGAAGCGATAGAGAAGCAGAAGAAGGGGAGGGAAGAAAAGCTGCAAAGACGCAAGGAGGTTGTAGCTTCGCCTTCGGCGGCTGCTCGTCATACTGTTCCATCTGCACCGAAGATCATGAAGAAAGATCATGTCGCTCCAGAAGAGATGATCCACACAGTTTCCTGGGGGCAGACGAAAGACACGTTGCACCTCACCCTGCACTTCTCTTCCAATTTCAAGTCCTGTGTGACAGAGCACCTTCTTAAACAGGGCGAGAAGAATAAGAACACGAACCCGCGCAAGTTTTTCGACGCTGTCACCGTGAAGATTGCGGAAGAGCAAGATGCTGTTGTAATAGAAGCGGAGTTAGACGACGACGAGGACGAGCAGGCAAGCGCAGCATCAGTTTCATCCCGGACCACGACTTTGTCTTGCGCTGGCAACAACATGACGCCTGTGGCCTTCCGCACGACGACCCGTCTCAACCTCCGAGAATTTGTCCGGAAAGAGACCCTCGAGCTTGCGTTTCAGGGCCAACAGACGAGAGACGCAACAGCTTCCACGTCAGTGACTGCACCAACCGCCACCGTCGAAGCGCAAGCGATTCTGACAGTGCGAAAGAAGATTCCGCACCGGTGGGACCGTTTGTTGGACACTTGCAGTGCGAAAAAGGGCAAGGCGTTTTTCGAAACAGCATGCAAGACTACAAGCTCCTTCCAGCGCCAGCACTCAGAAAAAAACTATAGGAGCAGTTCAACATCAATGCCTTTCCGGTTGAAAAAGGATTGGGTAAAGGAGGACCCGAATTTGGAGGAGGAGGAAGATGTGGAGCTCCCCAAATGCAAAGATTTGAAACCAATCACCGGGTCGCAGCTGGAGCTAATTTTCGAAAGAGGAAGCGCTGATCATGTTGCGAGGTCACAAATTTCAATTGCTGTTGCATGTCTTTTCGTAGGCGCATGGTTCTATGGTGAATGAGACGCTACGCCGCACGTCATCTGGTGCAGCAATTTGTGACTGTGACACATTCATATTGCGAAAATTCAATTTGAAATAGAAACTCTTCTACAGGCCCTCAATCGCGTCGACGACAGCATTGCAGCCAAGCTCAAACGAGACAAGTTCCGAAAAATCCAGCGCCGTCTTCCCCCGCATGCTCGTTCTGTTAGTCCGTCACCCCTGGTGCCGTGCCTGTGAGGAAAAGGACCGGGAAATCGTGAACTTCGTGAAATGGAAATCCAGCGAACTGCCGGCCAATTTGGTGAAGTTCGCGGTCCTTGACGCCAGGGAGTACAAAAATGTGGCAAGTCGCTTTTTGCAGGACCATTCTGCTGCGTCCGCGGATGAAAATTTCAGCGGCGGAAATCTTCCCGTTCTTTCTGCCTGCGACGCCACCTGCCCTCTGCACGTCTTCAAGCGTGAGGAGGGGCTGGATAAGTTTTACGTCCTACCGGCGAAGAAGTGGCACGAGGAGTACTTGCTGGATATGTACCAGTATGCGGTGCCGCTCGTGACTCTGTTCAACCAGGAACTAAAGCAAGACGCTGAAGAAAATTATGAGATCTAAGGTTTTCGTAAGGAAATAGTTGATCGTCAATTGTGGGAGTTGTCTATAGTCGGTTTCGTATCCGGGGCTGTGAGCATCCGGTCACCACACTCACACTCTGTTGAAAAGCGACTTTCACGTTCGCCCTTCGGCTTTTGCCTTCGGCATTGTGGCAGCTCCTTTTCGCGTGTTTGGTCAGCAAACACTGCTCCGACTCGCCTCTCGTCGTCCCGGTTTCTTCACTTGTATGCTTGTTGATTGCGATGTCGTTGGGCGTTAGCATGTCCGCTGCGCACACACGACAGGGCAGTCGCTGGTGACAGTGCCAGCACCTCTCGCTCAGTTGTTGGACAGAGTACCTCATTGGTGGTAGCAGCACGTATGCATGTGAAGTCGTGTCCCGAACACACTTGGCGTAAGGCTGCCGCATGTATGTGTTCTATGGCTCTTGGCTAAGACATGGCATGCTGCGTGTTGATCTTGTCATCACACATGTTCACAAGGTTAGACATTCGTACTGCTTACCGGGATCATACGATGTCTGTTGCAAGAGCGAAAAAAGATCTTTTAGAGCTCTTACAGTTTTGCCGTGCGTCAGAGACAACAGTAATACGAGTCTGGTCGTCCAACAAGATGGTCGTCTCTCTGTCCGCAGCGGATCTTCCGCAGTTGCAACGCATTATGTCTGCTTGCTCTAACGACGTCTCGCTACACACCCCTGTGTGGTGTGCGCTGGTGTACGGCAGCCGCGCCCTGGAGTCGGTGGCCAACATTGTGGAATCGCACGCTTTGCGCATGCAAGCAGCAGGTCCGAAGGTGGTCAACGAAGCGAATAATGACCCGATGACCACGGTTGCCGCCGTGGAGGCCATGCGCCGCACAATTACTGAGTCTCACGACCTGACGGTGAGCACTTTGATGGTATGTTTTTTTCCTTTTGCGATACGCATGACTGCATGACGCTCGATGATGCTGCATGATACAACCCATCAAATTGTCTCAGGAATCGGCGCAGACGGTGCTGCCGGGGACGAAACCCTGCGCCAAATTCAAGCAAATGCTCTGGGAAATTCCAGTGGTGATCCCGCCGCAGTTCGCGGCCGCCAAGGCCTGGAGTCCCAAATTCAAGGAATGGGTCCACGGCACAGCCCCGATCCAGCAGACTGGTTTGGTGCGCCTGTTGATGGACCGCAACGTGGCGAAAATGTTCGAAGACGCGAGTGCTAGTGTTAGCACTACGAGTACTTCCGCAAGCTAAATTTCCCACAGATTCGTGTCGTTACAAGACGTATTTGTCTTTATGAATTAGACGAACCAGTCTAACTCTCAGGACAATTCCGAACACGAGTTCAACTATTTTGAAACTCTGAACGCGAATTACTGGCACTACCATCTTGACCTTTCAACGTAATGGTGTTCGAGCTTTTCGTTTCTTTTGGTCGTGTTGTAGCTCACGCCGTTTCGCATAGATTACTCTTGAGCCGCCGTGCAAGCCACAGCGAAATCATGTCAAGATGCGTAATTTGTTACGACGACAGCGTGGTAGACGCTGGCAGGGAGCTATGGTGCACAGAAGTCGCCTGTGCGAACAAGCACTGCATCTGCTCCACCTGCTACTCCAGCAAAGGAGGTGTCATCCTGATCGCCGAATTCGGAGCCTGGGGCCAGTCCACAAAGTGCGGCAAGTGCAAAGCATGTGACAGATCCAAGACAGTTGCGAACTCAGCAAAGGTAAAAGATAGAATCGACCAGCGAGCAGGAACTGCAGCCGTTACGGAGCAAGTCATCGCAGCTTTCCCTTGGTGCGCCCAATTCGCCGCTACGTCGGTAGAGAGAAAGGCGAAGTACTACGACATTCTGAAAAGGCCGCCGATACGCCGCTCCCAAAAGATTGAGAAAGATCAAGGAAAGTACATGATGAAGCTGCTCGGTCAGTGCCTGGCCAACACCAACCAAGCGGCTCAGGTACGCTTTTTTGCTTTGTAGCGCAACGGACTTTGATTGCCTAGTAAATACAGCATGACAAATTCTTCATTGTTATCACCACAGGACTTCATCGACAGCACAAACATGCAAGAGATTCCGAAGTGTTCGTGGAAGACGATGATTCTCCCGCCGGAGGGATCGCTGTTGGAACTCAAGCAATACTTGCAAACCTTGACTGACTTGTTTCCGTCCGAGGATTGGATCACTCTGGCCCGATATTTCTTGTGGCCCGTGACCTACTACGAAAAAAAGTCGGCCGCCCTGACCAAAAACTCCGTGGCCAAGAAGAGTTTGTCTTTGAATTACAATTATCAACTGTGCAGACATTTTCCTTTTCATGTTGCTCTCGTCTTGACACGTGATACGCAAGCAGATATCCATGCAGATCACCACATAACTCTCATGCGATTGTTTGCTAGGTAATCACAAAAATTACAAAAGCCAGGTATTTTCTCATCAAAGATTTTGCGGCCGCCCTCAAAAAGAAGTATCAGCCGGCCGATGGCTCGCAAATTTGCCGCCTAAAAGGCTGCCGATTTTTTTCTAATATTGTGGGCCCCACATTGTTCCGGCATGGCGCCCCCCTTGCTTCTTTTCGTCGTGGCCCCGCGAGTCTGGGGCCCCGAGGGTTCTGGAGGTAGTCCGGGCACGGGTTTTGTCGTCGGTAGTTTTTGCAGGTTTTGGAAGCTGGGGCGCTGGGGATTTGCGTTTTTAGCATTGTTTGGCGAAGATTGCCCGCCCCGGGGTCTCCAGGGCCCGGGGCGCATCCGGCCCGGGGTTGCCAAGGTTTGCGCCCCTGCGATGTTTGCGCCCCAGAAGGAAGGCAGCGCGATTGTTTTCCATTTGTCTCGGGCCGCACATCAATGGCCCCGGCCCGCCCGGCCGGGGTTCACGAGGGGCGCAGAAGTGGGGCGGGGGGGGGTCTAATTTGGGCTCTAATTTCGCGTCTAATTTGTTTCTAATTCCAGCATAGGGAATGTGGGGGGATTTGCAATGAAAAAAATTAGCCGTGATTTAGCCAGGAAATTAGGCGCGAAGTTAGTCGCTTGCCTTAGCATCGATTTAGGCAAGGAATTAGCCGGAGGCAAGAGGCGCCCCGCCCGGCCTGTTTCCGGCTAGGCGGTTGGTGTTGATCATTTTGCCGGGCGGCTTCCCGGCTTTTTGTGTGGGCGAATTGCCGCCACCCCTAATCTTGCATCTCGCGCCTGACCCCCCCTCGGGGCCGCCTCCCTTCTGGGCCATTTTCTCTCTGGATGGGAAGAGCCCAGCGGCGTTCGGTATTTGGCCGCGAAGTTCTTGGCCCCGTTCGTTTTTGTTGTCCCGCCCAACGTGATTTCTGCCCGGTGGCCTTCGGGCTGGGTGTTGTCTTTGGCGGCATTGCCGCCACTTTCTTTTTTTTGTTTTCCTTCGTAACATTAGAAAAAAGATAGCAAGTTTTAAGCCTTGGAGAATGCCCGGGGTCGGCTGCCTGACAAGTACGTCGCGTCCGCGGTCGACGAGGCATTTTACAACCTCGAGTACGCCTGTGCAATGACGCAGGCGGCTTGCGATAATTTGTGCAAGCCCAGTATTATGCAGCGCATGACGCAGATAGGCGGAAGCTTCATGTCGATGATCGCGGGAGGCGGCGGCAGGAACGCCTTCCCTGAGCTGGGACAGAACCCCACAGACAGCAACGCGATCCAGCAAAAGAGTCAGCAGCTGTACAACGAGATCAGCCGCATCATGACCGAGGCACCGCGCACCACCGCAGGAGCATACGCTGCGATGGAAACGGCGAAAGCCAAGAGCGACGCGATTCTGTCGCAGTGGATGCAGAAGACCCAGAGCTGTGTCAACTGCCTCATGGGCGGCAAGGGTCCAGGAAGCCACCATGTGGGAAAAAAGATGGGTTTGAAGGCCTGCTCAGACTCGAACAACACGCGCTACATCAAGTGCCCACGCCCGCAGTGCAACGGAGAAGCCCACTGGAACAAGAGCTGCCCGGTCGTCCTTGCAGGAAAGAACGGGGGTGGCAGCCAGCAGTTCGGTGGGAGCCAGCAGTTTGGTGGTAACCAAAATTTTCAAAAAGGTCTTGGTAGTAATTTGCTCCGTCCGTTCAATGGAAATGGAGGTCAACCGTTTGCGAAAAGAACCAAAAACAACAATGGTGGAAAAGGGCGCAACATTTCTAACGTCACTACTTATGCCAACCCCTTCAACTGACGAAGTAACCTGTTTCAATTTCTTTATCGATAAAAGAATACATGAGTCAAGGCAGATACAAGCGCCCCCTTTTCCATGGCGTCAATGTAGCTCGACGCCGACGGTGGCATGTTCTTTGAAGTTGTGTCACGCAGGAGAGATCATGGCAAGAGATTAGTGAGTCCTCACCTTTTCTTTTATTTTCTTTCTTTCGTCTGTTGCCCGGTTCTTCCTGTTGTTGCGTCCGGAGTGCATTTTGGCACACACAGATCTTCCAGCAACCTCTATGACAGCCTTAGTAGGTAGTCACTTCACGATGAGCAAATTAATTGCAAGTGATGCGATAAAAGACGCTCTTGGCCAAGAGGTCAGGCAGCGCGAGTTACACAAAATTGCTGAGCAAGCGGCGGTAGCAGCATCGCTGAAAGAATTAGCGAACGCTGAAAGGAAATCAAGCAAAAAGCCGATCGTCGCGCCACCACAAGCCGCACCTATCGCCCCCGCATCATCGAAGCGGAAAGCACCTGAGTACTACAGCGCTCTGATGGACGCGGTGGAGACAGAGTTAGTGTGTGTGGAGGACTGGCACGAGGAGGCTCTAGAGGATTTCAGCGCAATCGTGCCGTCGTCGGGATTCGTGACTGCCGCCTCCTCACCAGCGGCGGAGCATAAATTCGCGACAACGCTATTCGGAGTTACGGGAATACGCGAGCACATGGAATTACGGAAAGAGGCGCTGAAGAAACCGCTGGGCACACTAATGTGCATGAACGCCTGGGCAGATGTATCGCAGTGTAACTCCAGCGCATGCAATTCGTCGCAAGGAGCAGCAGCTGGCTCTGTGACGTCGTCGAGTTCAACTTCATCGAGTGCAACGTCGTCAAGCGACGCCACGTCCGACTCCATCGCAATCATATCGAAACCGGGAAACATAGTGCTCACGACTCCCACGCCGTCGATAGCGAGTGTTTTACATTTTTACCAGCAAGCAAAAGGAAAAGCCGCAAAGAATTACACGCCAGTTTCGGAAGAAGGTCTCAAGATCGATTTTACAATAAAGGCCGCAAGCAGCGAGATGTTCGGTGCCTTCCCGCTTTCGGACCAAGCAGCCCAGTTATTAGAATCGGCGACCGCGGACCACGCCAACTCCTCGATAACAGAGGGTACGTCGAGAAGCTACACATCGATCTTGTCGAAGGTGATCCCAGCCGTCGCGCGGGAATTAGGTTTCATTCTGTGGCCGATAACCACGGATGCCGAGGCAGCGCTGCTGTTCGTGACGTTCGCACATGTTCACTCGGTCCACAGCGCCTACAAGAATGAAGATTCGAATCGAATACGGTGGGGCGCTTTTTTACAATTGAGCGCGGCGATAAACGCCTTCAATTCCTCGAGAATCGAGTTAAGCGGCTACACCACGAAGAACAGAGGAGCTTTCTTCCAGAAGCTATGGAAAGGGTGCGTTTTATTTGTTTCTTGTCGCCAAAAGTTTGATGATGGTTTCTCTGAGCACAAATTGTTGGAACTTCGTCACGAGTCATCACATATTTCCACAACACAGGTTCAAAAAAGAAGCACACCACGGAGCCCCACTGGATGCGAAGTGGTGTCCGACGTCCACCGAGATGCTCGACGCCTACACGACCGAATGGGAGCATTGGCAGCGACACCACAAGCACATGGTAGACAGCGAAGGAGATTTCCAGAAGAAAGTCTTGAGAAACATGTCGCGCAACGATATAGATCTAGTTTTACGACTTCAAAAATTAGCGATAGTTGTCGTAGCTTTCTTCTGTGTTAGACGGAGCGACGAGGTCAGACTGCTGCGGTTGCGTGATGTAACAATCACCGCGTCACCAGGGTCGGGGCCGCAGTGCGCAGTTTTCGTTTCTCAAGCAAAGAGCGACCAGCTCTCATTCGGCTCCCTCAGAAGCCTGGGTGCCAACGCATTTCACAAGAATGATAGCTGATTACCAGCGATTTGCCCGCGCCTTCTTTGACATAGTACTAGGACGAAAAATGGCCCCCGCCGACGCCTTTTTCTTCGTCATAGGGAATGCGAACATTAAAACCAGGGGTGCGTTCAAATCTAGCAAAGATGGTATTAGGAAAGACATCAAAGCCTTTTTCAGCTACGCCTTGCCAGGCACGGTCCCTGAAAAACCAATCTCGCTGCGCAAAGGGGGAGCAAAGCATTATATCGAGCACGATGTCTCGCGACGTTTCGCTTATTATCAAGGCGGATGGAGGAACAGCTACTGTCTTGATGTGCACTACGCACCTATCTCGAGTATGGAACTAAGACAGATGGCAAACAGACACTCGTCCAAAAGCTTAGAAACCTATGCGAATATCGCAAGCCTGCGGGCACTTGACCGCGCCCACGCGATATATCTACACGATGATGACGCGATCAAATTTTCGCGCGAGGTCGAGAAGGTGGCATGGGACAGAACCTCTTTAGAATCCTTCCAGGAGGAATGCCCCAGGCTTTTCTCTCACGCCGCGTGCAGCTCTTGCGATGCGGCAGTGTACGGAAAAATTTTAGATTTTTTATCAAAATGCGACGAAGATTCATAAGCGAAAATCTCACACCAAACATGTAAATCTCAGCCACGCAGGCTTCTCGCACTACGTGATATGTTGTCCTTGTTTGCAGCTACTGGCACAGAGCGTCAGCAGATCTGAGCGCAGGCGCGACGTAGAGAGAAACGCAAGTGGTAGCACACGGTGCAAACCAGATCCAAAAACTCACTACCGCAAGCAAGCATTAGCCTAGCGTTAGCAGCTCAGCCTTAGTTTACAGTAGAAATAATGGAACGACCGCTAGGGCATTTGTCAGGATGGCGCTTCTGGTTCTTTGTGACCAAGGTGACCATGCAGAAATGCTGGTTGCTCTTACAGCGTCTCAGCACCATACCGCAGTTAATGGCACGCGCAGTCTACGATGACGATAGAATGCTCGTGGACCATTTCTTCCGCAATTTCCGGTCCGCACAGCACTGGACTTTCCTGGCCAAGTTCTATACGGCAACCATACTGCGCGTGATGGTATTTCTAGTTCGATTACATAATTTACATGCATCTTTGGGCGCAGCGAAAGCCTTTTCATTAACAAATTCTCATGATCAAAATTAACAAGGTTCCGTATATTCTGATCGAAATCGGCATCATCGACGGGCAATCGCTGATGTGCGCATGCATTTCTTATGCAGTAGTCCAGCGGGCGGAATCTTGTCGGTATTTGTTGTTATTACCAAACTTCAGGGACAATTAATAGCAATCCACATATCCTTCTAGTACCGAGCGCAAAAAATGGACCTAGGAAATCTCGACTATTGCGAAAAACTGCCGTTGCTTCGGCAGGCAAAGTCGATGCGATCCATGATCGATGATTTGAGTACGAAGGAGCAGAACAATTCCACCTTTTCGCAAGTTGTCGCTTCTTATCGCTGGTGCATGCGCAAAACCCTCCCCAAAAATTGTGACGCCAATGAGTTACGCAACACCTGCGCCGTGCTGTTGGACACGCTGGAGGCAATTTGTGCCAAACAGAAGTGTCAAGCGAAATTAGCGGAGGGGATGGCGTCTGCGATTGATTCGCTGTACAGCCACCTGTCGGAGATCTGGAATTATCCGGCCCAGGACGAGGCGATGATGGGCCGCAAATGGGCGTCTGTGCTCCTCGCGCGCCAGTTCGCCCACACCGCAGTGCAGATCTATCGCACCTACCACAAGCAGTCCTCCGCCGACATCGCGAACTTCTACAACCACGAGAAAAAGAAGTACAAAGAAGCCCGCTTGAAGCAGTTCAACTTGCGAAAGGAAGGAAAGGCTCTGCATGATGAGAAGAAGGAGGAATCCAAGAAAGAAGACTTGCAGAAGCCGTCTGAGGATGATAGCTCATACCCGTCTTCGGATTCTGACTAAACAATTTTAAAAAATTTCTTCTTCAGTTGTCTCGGACGGATTGTCGGGTCGCAGATCGCAGTGCGCAACTTCGTTCAGACCAGCGGGCGACTAATCGCACGCGCCTTGGCTCGATGCCTGGAACTGCACCCGGAGCCGTATAGTTTTACCTTTCTTTCCCTTTCGCGCAATGGCGCATGTTTTTTGTTTGCATCATGATGATATTGGCATGACGAAAATACTTTATACCACTTAGAACCAAATCACAATCACTCGATCAGGTTAGATGACGACCTGCCACCGAGCAGACACACATCCTCATCGGAAGACGAGCGAGTGGATTCGTCATCGGGTGATGATTCTGATGCGGAGGTCGTGAACCCGCAAGAAGCCATTGATGCAGTCCACCAGCACCAAGACTGATGTGTGTCAGTCTCATCGTGGATTTCAAAAAAATTTGTTCATCTTGTAGAAACATTTGACTCAACAAGAACGGAAAATAGATAGACAAAAACACAGACGACAGAGGACCACGGCAGCAGGATTGTTCTTCTTTCGTTTTGATCACAATCTGTGCAAGAGCATCGGTTTTCAGTACTTTGCTGCGTCCTTTCCAATCGTCAGTGTCATTTTGATTGTCGTCGTCCGATCCCGCTACCGTCTATTCCAATAAGCTTCCCGCACAGTTTCACAGATGTCATATACACATGTTTGGTTTGTAAGTGGGCGCAGGTGGCCTCACGAGCGAATATGTTACTTTCAGAAACTAGAGAGAATCGAGCGCAACTTCATGTGCAACCTGAGGGGTTGCTCAGACGAGATTTTATGTGAAATACAATCAAACTGGCTACAAAAAAATGCGCACCTCCTCTCCACGTCCTCCGCGGACGCACATGAAGGCCTAGCGGCAGCATGCGCAGACGCGAAATGTCATTTATCTAGGTTTCGGATTTTTGATCTGATTGAAAATGAGCGAAAAATGAGATAAAGAAATGCGCTCGTCACCTCTCGTTATGTTTTGCGGGGTGCAAATAGGCCGCTCAGCAGCATTGCTGCGCGCACAAGATGCGCAGGACAAGAGAGCAACAAAAAGACACAAGACGCAGCACGCCTCCTTCTGCGGAGCCCAAATAGGAAAGCCACCAAAAGTAGCGGAGCCGGCACAAGAAATTCATCACTGGATAGCGCAAGAAAATGCGGCATCAATCATGAAAGATAAGCCGAGGCCATGCAAGAAGGATTCGCAGAAAGAATGCGACGCGTGCTGGGACGACCCCTCGCTGATCTTTCCGCAGGAAACAGTGGTGACATGGGGCAGCCACTTACCGCAGCCGGGAAAAGCGCCACGAAGCCATCAGTGCGACATCGACACCGTAGACCTGTCACGTCTGTTTACATGCGGGAATGAGTTCGGTGACCCTTTCAATTTCGCGCCGTGCTCCCCCTTCAAAAAAGAAGACTACGAGAAGGCGGGCGCACCTCTGACACGAGCAGCAGGCAGGAAACTGCTGCAAGACCAAGAGGGCCCGAGCGACAGGTGGCGCAAGGCCGAGGATGGCCAGGCGTTCGCGGGTCTAACGATAAACCCAGAAGAATGTGTACGGTTTGGACTACAGCCAGAAGTTTTGCTGAAAGCCTGCACGGGGATAAAGTTCCAACAAATCGCAGAGCACCTAGACCCGGTAGTATGCGAGAACTACCCGGCGGCCAAGCAGAGCCCGGAGGTCTACAGTAACGAGCTCAAGCGCTTCTTCGAGTGCAAAAAGATCATCCTGTACGATGTGAAATCAGAAAAGAACGACAAAGGCGAAAGTGTGGAAGTGTGCGACTACCCCAGCGACTTGACGCGCGTGCCAGGAAATCTGCTGTTCCAACGCGACGACAAGATCAGGGTAGTCAGCGACTACAGCAGCGAGTGGGCCCTGATAAGCCAGTCCATTTTTTCCACCGAAGTAAACTACAAGACCTACTGGGATATGTTTCTGCTGCTGAAGCCGAACTCCGTCGGGAGTGGTATCGACTTCATGGACTCCTTCGGCCACTGGTTGGCGCACGCACGTTTTCGCCGCATGCTTGGAATAAGTCTCGAAGGGACAGTACAAAAAGGAGGACATTTGTGCTGTCCTTTTGGCATCGGACCAGCACCGGGCGAAAGCGATTTCTTCGTGAAAGCATTTCTTGCTGCAGTGAAGAGAAACGGAGTATCGTCGCCAGCACTCGACTACGTAGACGACGTGAGATTTATAACCAGCCCGGTTGACGGCAAACCACACTTCGATAAAGCCAAGCTCGACCTCGGCCGAGCAGTGTACATACTTACCCGCATGGGCATCAAGATTCACCACAAGGAGTCGAAGCTAATACAGCCGTCGACAATTTTCCCCTGGCTGGGAAACGTTTTCAACACAGACCCGAGGTCGTGCAACATCATGCTCGAGCCCAAAAGGCGCAAGGAATACCTGCAAGCAGTGCGAGACTTCAAGCAGGCAGGCAGTAACAAAGAAGCGAAAGCCAGAGACGTAGCCAGCATCAAAGGAAAATTAGGTTCCTGCGCGCTCATCCACCCACGCGGGCCACTGGACGAGCTGAGCAAGTTGCTGGTAGCTTCAACAGCACCGAAGCAGTGGGCGAAGCTGAGCAGGCAGCTCAATCCGCCAGTTGAAATCTCGGACGCCGCTTTCGAAGACTTGGATTTGTGGGAAGACCTGCTGTCGACCGACCACACAAGACAAATGCTCTTCAACGGCGAGCAGACCTTTATTTGGTCTCGTGAAGTCTTGGCCTTCGGAAAAGCCTTTTTCGCGTCGTTGGGGCCAGAGCTGTTTATCGGTGTTTACATGGACGCAGCAAAAGGCGACATCGAAAACTGCGAAGACCGAAGAAACAGAGGCTGGGGCGGCACCGTAGCGGACCACTATTTTCGCGGACTCTTCGATCGACGAAAAAGTGCCAGATACCGCCAGCATCAACGAGCTAGAGGCCTTGACAGTTCAGCACGTGCTAGACGCGGCCAGAGAGAAGTTAGGAGACGCATATTTTCACCAGAAAATAATCCTGATCAAAACCGACAATCCAACGGCAAAAAGAACCACGAACAAGGGCTCCGCGGCAACACCGATTCTCAAGAACGTGACGAAAAGCTTGACATCCTTCGCTTCCAGCACAGGCACAGAAATAGTCGCAGCCAAGATCGCGGGCGAAGTGAACATCATCGCCGACGCCCTGTCACGCCACGAAGAGCATTTATTTGTCAGTCAGAGAGCCCCCGGGCCGCGGGAGGCACTAAATCCCAGCTAATTTTTGCGGGATTTCCCCGAAGCCCATAGGTTGGGCGGTGGTTTTCTTCCCCGGGCGTTGAAGGCCCCCGGGCCCGCTGGGTTCCTCCCTTTTCCGCAGCTCCCGGGGACCCGGGTTTTTCGCAAAGCCCCCGCTGACCCGGCGTGCTTTTTTCAATGAAAAGGCATGGCGGGAATTAAAATTTAAAAATTCGGGCCGTTTGCAGGGGATTCGGAATTTCGAACGCCGCGGGGGCTTCTTTGGTATTTTCGTCCCCGGGTGGCCCCGAAGGTGGTGGGTAGCGCTCGCGGTCTGGCTTTCCTGGGGGCCCTCGGGCTTTCGGATTGGGCTGTGAAGACCCCAGCCGTGTGGCCAATGTTGAAATCCCTCCGCCCTATCATTGCTTCACTTTTTCGCAAAGCCATTGTCGTTTGGCTTTTCGAAAGCACCGCCAGGGTTCCCAGTTTTCTCGTGTTCTATTTTGGACTTCTAAATGTGCTCGCTGTTTTGTTTTCTATTTTTCTGCGGGATTCGCGTGTTCGGCAGCTGTCTTTTCATCTTCTATTTTTCGCGACACTGGAGATTTCCAAAGGAAATCCTCCAAAGCGCGAATTTAGAAGTTGAAAAACAGCCGCTCGAGCATGCGAATCCCGCAAAAAATAGAAAGCAAAATAGAAGCACGATTTAGAAACCAAAATAGAATACGATTTAGAGCCCCGATTTAGAACATGGAAATAGAATACGATTTAGAGCACGAAAATAGAATACGACTTAGAAGCAAAAATAGAACCCAAAAATAGAAACAAAAATAGAACCAAAATTAGCCGGGGAATTAGCAGCGAAAATAGCCGCCCGCGGGGGCTGTTTCGTGTGGGTGTAACTGGGTGGGGTTTCCGATGGTTGATGTTGTTTTTCGGGCGGCTTTGGGATTTGGGATTTTGGCTTGTGGGAATTCGTCCTGTGTGAGATTGCCGCCCCTGCCATACTCCATGTGCAGAAGGTGGCCTGCTTCCCATTGGGTGCTTTTTGTTTTCCTGAAGTTCCTTGCCTGATTGCTTTGGGATCTTATGTGGCGCAACTTGGGCGCTCGGTTTTCCGGGTTTGGGTCTTCACCCATTGTCCCGGGTCTCGGGGTTTGAAAAAATCCCGCAGAAATTAGCTGGAAATTAGCGGCCGCCACCGCCCCGGGGTTTCTGGCTGATATTTGCGTTTAAAGATCCTTTTCCGGATAAAACTTTGCGCAAGCGCTCGTGGAGCATTGTGATGCGCGAGATACCGGGTTTGAATGTCGACTGTTTTGCAGATCACCACAACTGGCGTTTCCCGGAATACTACACTGCGCACAATCATCCGCTCGATAGCTTCGACGTGTTTTATAACAAACGTTCGTGGTGGTTCCCACCAATACGCCTTGCAATAGTAGCAGCGCGCTTCCTCGCCAACTTCCAAAAGATTCCAGTAGCTCAAAGACCACGCTTTGCGCTGATGCTGCCGATGATCAGCCCCATGTTCTACGACCTAGCGTCCAACTTCGTGCAGTTCTGCACGTACAAAAAGGGTTCCAAGGTGTTTTGCGCAGCGCAGTGCCCACTCGTGTACGGAGCACACGAAGACTGGATGTTGTTGTTGTCTGTGCATCTACACGACTGGGGAAGAGACAGAGAAAAGACAGAAATAGGCGCGCAAGTTACAAAAATTTTACGCAGGCCTTACTTTCGTCAATTTCCCGAGCTCGCTAGGAGCAAGTTAAGAATTATGGATATTTGCTATGCGCGCGAGCGGTTTATAGTCCACAACACATGCTGCGTCCCGTGCAAGCCCAGCGGTTTGGCGGCACAGCTGTTTGCAAAATATCCGAAGGCAAACCGCTACGGGGAGCCGTTTTCTGCGAAACCACTAGGAGGATATGAAGTGATAGGAAAAATTGTCAATATTTACGCTATGGTCTGGCCAGGAAAACCCGTCCTCAACAGAGTCCCACGACCATCAGACGTAGTACCGGTAGAAGCATTTACAGCAGACGACTCAGCAGAAGCTCGTCTTTTTCGTTTCAAAAACGCGTTGCGCGACTTTATTTTGTCAATCATAGACGAGACAGAATCAGTAGCAATCCCGCTCAGAATTGGACAAGGCTCATGCGCAGGAGGACAAAAAGAATACTGCGCAGTGATCGCCAAAGCCATCGACGTCGCATTTCGAAACAATGTAGACGCCAGCATTTATGAGAAGCCGCGCGCTCTATAATTTCAAATCCACACACCTTGCCCTGGGATACTCTGGAATTAGCGCCCAAACTACACGTTTGTAGCATGTGCTCTGTTCTAGTCCTAGCTGGAAAACGCAGATCACTTCAAGATCAAGACCTCGTGGGTCATTCGGTCTAGATCGCGTGTGTGTGTGTCGGGTACTGAGCTTGTGCGGTCGCTCAGCAAAATAATTACGAAACCTTTGCTCTACGACAACAATTATGAGATCTAAGGTTTTCGTAAGGAAATAGTTGATCGTCAATTGTGGGAGTTGTCTATAGTCGGTTTCGTATCCGGGGCTGTGAGCATCCGGTCACCACACTCACATTCTGTTGAAAACCCACCCACCCGCACCAAACTGTGTCGGCTCTGGGCAGTGTTCTATGAAACAATTCGGTCGTTTCGTTCATCACGAAAAGACTATAGATAGCTCCCACGATTTTTGTATAAATCGTTCAAGCCACTACCCGTTCACACCAGAGCATATCCATGCGCGCCCAAACTACACGTTTGTAGCATGTGCTCTGTTCTAGTCCTATCTGGAAAACACAGATCACTTCAAGATCAAGACCTCGTGGGTCACTCGGTCTAGATCGCGTGTGTGTGTGTCGGGTACTGAGCTTGTGCGGTCGCTCAGCAAAATAATTACGAAACCTTTGCTCTACGACAACAACTTTAATCGGGAAAAGGCGTTCCACCAGTGGCGAACCGCTTTTCACACTGGCATTGTGGCGTACTTCCCGCCCGGGGTGGTGGATCTGGATGAGAAGGATATCCAAGCAAATACAACCGACGTGAAAGCTCATGATATTGCAGCGCAGAATGGCACGGTGATTGAAGGGGGAAAGAACACCATCAATACAACAAGCAGCGCAACAAGAACGTCACCGCTGTGGGAGAAAAGCGCCAACACGATTTGGTTAGATTTCCTAACTACCGCTCGCGCGCTCCGCGGAAAAGCACTGTTCAGTGCGACGAACGACTTGCGGATGGTGCACAATGCCGCTGAAGGCAATGAAATGAATGCTGTTGCTGACGGAACGGCAACGGCATCAAGTCCTCGTGATTCAGTTTCATCATCGCACGATGAAACAAGTCGCCAAGTCCAAATCTACGTTTTCAAGTCGGCCGAGAACCGTGCGGTAAAGTACCCGACTCCGGAACAACTAACCGCAGAGAAGCTGACCGAGTTCAGCAAAAGACTCGCAGTTCCGCTCGTCTCCAACTTTGATTTTCACTCCAGGCAACAGTTAGCAGAGTTGAAAATGCCCATTGGGCTCCTCTGGGTGCAGAATCAGGACGAAAACATTGATACAGCTCTTGCCAAACAGGAACTGGAGCGGAAAGGAGGGTCAGCAAAGAAAGTCAATGACAACTACACCGGAGCTGCATCGTCCGGCAGCGTTTCGGAAGATGACAGTGGCGAAGAGATGAACTACCGCAGCGAGGAAGAGGATGTAGATGAAACTACCACCGCCGTTGAGATCGTCGAGAAACTGGCGCGGAAATTCGAGGGCAAGATGGCATTCGCGAAGTTAAATGTGACGACCGAGGGCATTTACATGCGGGAATTCGGGTTTCACCCGGCGAGATCCCTTCCAGCGTTCGGAATTGTCAACACCGTCGACGCGCTGACAGGCGGTGCTCCAGGAGGAATGCAAGGAATGCCGGGGTTGGAAGGTACAGCCTGATTGCTCGTGTAGTGGTCCGGCGGTTGTACTTACCTCCGCTTTTCCTTTTTTCGTCTCTTTGACAGCTTGCACTACAAAACTTAATTTTTTGTCTAAGAAGCAAGCTTGCACTACACTGTCTCTTTGACAGTGAGATCAAGATGTTTTACTATTCATAAGGAGGGAACGAAGGGGACCTACAGGCACGAATCTTGTTCGAAATCTACATCTCACAAGGCACGAAGTCCTCGCTCGCTTTGGACGGCGGAGCCCGCTACGCGTTTGCAGAACGGGTGACACAGGGTTCGGAACAGAAGTTGGCCCAGTTCGTCGACACCTACTTGCACGACCAGCAGAAGCTCTCAAAGGCTTTTCGCACGAACGAGCTGTCGGCGAAGTACGAATGGCTGGCGAATCGGGGACAGGTCCAGGAAACGGTGTGGAGCCGACTGTGGGAAGATTTGGGATGGTGGAGCGAAACCAAAAAAGACTCTCATGTCCTCTTCGAGCTCTACGCGCCGAACCGTCCGCAACACTCTACCCACATGCTGCTGGTGAATTTGCTTGCTGTCGCGCTGAAGAAGGTGCAAGGGTTCAAAATTGTGCGAATGGACACGGAAAACAATCACGTGCCAGAGGAATTCAAGAAGCCTTCTTTCGCATCAAGTTCATCTAGCAAGAATAAGCATCTGAGGTCTGAGAAACAGCACAACTCAGCGCCCGGAGCAAACATTTTCGACACCGCGAGCGGACAGGCTCCTGCAGCAACGGAATACTTCTTCCTCGATACGAAGGCAAGGAAGGTTACACGCTTCAAGAGTTTCCAAAGCGCGAAATTGCTCGATTTGCCGGTGAAGTTATTGCAGTTCGTGAAAACGCAGCTGGAGAAGGGAGTAGAAGGCTTGGAAAGAACTGCACATGTGCAACAGGATGAAACTGCAGAGACGGAAGATGAAAAAGAGACGAGCAAGATCGCTGAAATAAACGAAGAACCGTCAAAATTTGCGAGTGGAAATGCTGCTCATGTTGCTCGTGCGCAAGTAGAGGAACTTTCCACCGCAGATTACGAGGAACGTGAGGAGGCGGACGAGCACCGCGAGGTGGACGAGCCACGGTTACTGACATCAAACCCCATGATGATCGGGTCTACTTCAGGGGCTGTAGCTATGCTATCTCCTTCCTCTCTTTTTTCTGAACACGGCCACTTCAAACCCGAGCCCCTCCCGGTCGTCTTCAGTGCCGCAAAAGAGTTTGTGAAACGGGAAGTCCGCGAGAAGGTGCGGAAAATGAAGCGGATCGAGCGGGAGCGAGAGAAGAAACACCACGAAGCCTGGGCGCAGTACGAAATCGAGGAGTTTTTACGGTACGAGAGGAAAGGATACGACTTACACGGAGCCGCTGGGATGGCCGGGTCGTTGGGGAATCTAGCTGCAGGAATGGGTGGGGGGAAAAATGGAGGTGGTGGTGGCGGGGGCGGCGGGAGAAAATCTAAAGATTGAAATGGAAGCTACTTATCTTGTTCTAAAGTTCATCAAGCTTGTTGTAGTAAATTGCCAGTGTGAACGAGGAGGAGGTATTGGGCTCTCAGGAAGTAAAAATCACCATCACATCTAATGAGTTTCTTTATCCAGATGACCAGAATGGCAATGGTTCCGTACAAAATCTAGCGAACAAACAACTCATCTGCAAGTTGAAAGAGAAACGTGTGTGTCTATAAACGAATGTCGCCGGAATCGGAATCGGAAAGTCAAAGTTGTTAGTTGTAGAAAACATGCGTACTGATACTGAAGGCATCAAGGCATGGCCCAAAATTAGCAGCGTTCGCATGTCCTATCAGCTGTACTAAAATCGAAAATGCATCGGCTGCAGCTCTTCATGATGTGGTCGATGTCGTGACGGCACGAAAGGCAAAGGTCGGTTGTTACTGCTCGCTCCTACGTATCGGTTTCTAGTCCTTGAATGAACACCATAGAAGGTGTGTTGCTTCGGTGACGGTTTCCGACGCCAATAAAGGTGGCAAAGATACTTCTCATTGTGCCACGAAAGGAGTTTGACGATCTACGGCTCAAAGAACTATTCATGACTCGGCCTGTTGTCCACATTGAGATCTGAAATTATTGAATTTAGAAGTCTAATTTCTAGATGACGCACAACTAATCGCCATGAACAACCGGATATCTTTTATGTATTTTTGTTGCCTACGGTGCGATGTTGCAAGAATGACTCTCACGTCGTTTTTTTTTTGAATCAGGCTACAGCAATACGCACACACGAAGATGTTACGCGATTTTTATCATGGGCTGGACAGTTGCAGTTTCAGTTGCAATAGCCGTGCTTTACTACTTTCGTTAGCATGCAGCACGAATACATTACTAAATTAGACTCAAAGTTAGCTTTTGAATTTGAACGAATGTACATCGACGTAGCGGCGGAGAAATATTGACCTCGGCGTTCGCAACATCGTTTTCCGTCATTAGCTCACGACGTTTAACGTCTCCTAAGAACTTGAACATGGGAATGGGATTCTTCTTGAGCACGAGTCTTATTACAACCACAAGGACCTTCGCCTGACCTGAAGCCAAAGTGGCTCGCTGCAAATACGCACGTAAAATTGCGCGGGCCTGAGTTGCTTTTTCACGGTGGTCGATTTCATCTTGTCCTGCCTCGAAAACAAATCAGCCCAGTAGAAGACAGCATCGATCATGCGTGCCCGTCGCAATTCCCAATTTTCCGAGGACTCGGAGGACCTCCACGTGGGCCCCGGCCACGTCAATCGCGAACTCCGCGATGTGACGAGCCAGAGCTTTCCGGCGCCGAGGATAGGCAAAACGTCGAACAACCGATTTGAATTCGACAGCGAGGAGGAGCTGCATTTCGACCTGGCGGATGTCGACGCGGACGAGCAGCGGCGGCGGAAAAACCGCGAAGACGCGAGCTTCGTGCAGTGGTGCTTCATATTCTCCTGCTGTCTGGTCTTTGCCGGGTTTGTGTTTTTCTTGCTGTCCCTCCGCGCGAACTCTTTGAACAGCCAGAAATTCACCAGCCCGAGGCCGCCGCACCGAAGAGACGAACTGCTTCCGGCGCGAGAAAGGGCAGCAGCGGCGCAAAAGAAAATTTCGCCGAAAAGAACAGTGGGAGAGGATCATGGTGCGGACAGTACAACAGCTGCTGGTGCTGCCACTCACACTAGCCACAGGAGTAGAGCAGCAAGCCCGAAAAAACCAAACCCGAACGCGAAGGGGATTCCCCTTTCTGATAAGCTCAAGGAGGAGTCTTTGGAGCGCGAAAGACTAGCAAAAAAAGAGCAGCACCAAACAGAAGAAGGGGCCCATCCCCCCACGCAGCACCACAGCCACGGGCCGGACCAGCCCCACCCCATGTCGCCGGCCCACACGGTAAATCTGATGATGGAGAAGCGCTACGAAAAGCTGGTGAACGCCATCGCGGACCGGCAAAGGGAACTGGCCAAACAGCCGAATCCACCGGACGAAAACGACCCGAGTTTCCACCTCATTCCCGTGCTGAAACACCAGCCGCGGCTGCGCGACGGTAACCTGGACCATAGAAACGCGCCGCAGCCGGCGCTGACCTCGCCGAGGCAGCGCGTGGACTTTGGGTGGCGGTTCGAGAATCCGTATCCCGACCTACGGAACGTCGCGCCCGAAGCGTTCATGGAGCAGGTGAAAAGCTCGGTCAAGGGAAGATTTGCGAGCGCAGAGGACCACGTGCTGGACCTGTGTCGAGGCAGAAAAGCCCGGTTGCCGGATGGCGAGGAATACGTCATGTACACGTTGAACACGGCGCAGATGTGGAGACAAGCCTGCTTCAATGCGTTTTACACGGTAATAGAACTGGAGAAATCTTGTTTTTTTCTAACCAGCCACCTGAATGTTTATTTTGCAGTGACTGACGCATGGTTGTATCTGCCCTTGTTGACGTGAACCCACCAACCGCGTTTGGTCTAGGAACGAAGCTACGAGTATGACAAGTGCAAATCATTCCTTTACATAAACATAAACGAACTAAACTCACCGCACAGGTTTTCACGAAAGAGTACCAGGAGCAGCAGCAAAATCCGCAACAGAAAGTCCTCCGCTTCGGGGACTTTATCAAAAGAAAAAAGTTCGTCACGATCACTCATGAGCATTTTTGCAATACAAAAAATGCCTGTCATGCGTAAAAATGCATCACAGCCAAACTTCATAGGAGATTTCCCTTTGTGTTTCTGCAATACAAGCAAAAGTTGTGATGCTAAAAAAATTTGTAATGCTAAATCTCCAAGTTAATGACTGTGACAAACTTTTTTCTTTCTATAGACTTTCAATCACTTCACTTTTTCTTTCCCGACGGCAACTACGCGCCGCAGCCGCACGAGGGGTACCACGTGCCGCAGGGCTTCCCGGTTCCGCGACAGAGCAGCATCAGGGCCAATTCCGTGGACCAGAACGAGATTCTCCGCGGCATCAACGACATGCTGGACGACGCGGGGGACGAGAATTTGGTCTTTCTCACCATGCACGTGAACCGAAACTTGAAGGAATACCCTGGGTACGAAGTGCAAACCATTGCGTTCTACGCCATGGTCGGCAGAAGAGACATCCGACCGGTGGAGGAGCAGAGCCGCTGGTGGGGCGCGAGCAGTGACGAGGAGGATGAGGAGGAAAGGTATTGAGAATATAAGTATAGTACTTAGTTGCTTCAATGAGGTTTCAGTCATGCCGTTCACGTTCTGCATTTGAAAGGAAGTTGAAGTTCTGCTAGGCATTATGGTACGAATTCAATTTTTTGATTTTATCCAAGAACTCTAGTAAGGCAAGTCATCGCTCGAGGTTTGATGTCATGATGGTTCAGCGCAACATGAAAAAATATTTTATCCTCTGCCGCGAATGCATTTCCTTTTCCTTTTCCACAACAGCGCCGCAGACCAGCAACACGCGGCTCAGCACAAAAAGCACCACCACTACAAGCCGAAAGTGGGCGGTGGCGTTTGGAAGGTGCAGGTGGCGAAGGACGAGCGGGGGCACGACGTGTGCCCCGGCTCCATGGTCCAGCTTTTTGACACGCTGAACGAGATGCGGTTCAGCATTTGGCCGGATTTTGACATCACACTCATCCTGGACGCCTCCTGGTCGTACGCGACCGGGGATACCCAGAACGCGGAGTTCACAAATGAGAACAAGCAGGCCTGGCTGAAGAGCAGCGAGAAGATGCGGAGGTTTATGCTGAAGCTGATGGACCCGAACTTGAGCGACAACCAGAAGCTGCAGATCCGGGCGCAGATCCTGGAGGGCGTGAAGACCCCGGGCAGGAATTGCTACCTGGCCCCATTACTGGCGAATCGGTACACAGATTTGACTCGGATGTCGGCCGTAACGGACAACTCGGTGGCGATATGGGACAAGCACACCTACCCAAACATGAACGTTCCTGGGTTGTTCCCCGGAATCAACTACTACATCTTCTACATGCCGGAAATCAAGGCGGGCGAAAGGGGCGAGAGGTTCGAGTACGAGGGGGGATTTGGCGTGCACGGCAGCCAGGGGCAACAGCATCAGAATTTTGTTGGCCCGCCGCACCCCGGCGGCCACGACATTCAGCAGCAACTTCCGTATGAAGATCTTGACGAAGACAGCAGGTACTTTCACGTGGACCAAGAGGGCCAGCAGCAGTTTTACCACGATCAACAACTACGTGGAACAAACAGTAGAGTACAGAATCATGCCTCACAGGAGGATGAAAACTGGCACCATTACGACAACCACCAACGGCTCCAACAAGAACATCACTCACCAGGGCACCACCACCAGAATCACTATCACGCCGACGGGAATCGAAATCATGATGGAAGTAGAACGGATCAACATCTGCAAAGTCACGCGGGAAATCATGACCGGCAGCACCACCACCCGTACTCGCCGGAAGAAGCGGAGGAGTTTGGTGTTCCCGAGCATAATGGACATGAGGAGTTCTACCACGACAATGGGCAATTTTACGACGAACACGACTACGACGAGCAGGAGGAAGCAAGAAGGGAGGAAGAGGAGAACCAAGCATCTCGTCGACAACATCTTCAAAATAGACCTGCGCACGTGGATCATACACAGAGAGCGAACTACAAGAGGAGGAATGGTGGCGACCTGGGTTGAGGAGACGTGCGCGTTTCTTCGATCTATGTATACTTCTTCACGCTGCATTTATTCACGAGCACAAGTTGACAACTACATCTCGACCTTTTCAATATTTCCCATACGAATTTCATGCGACAGCACTTCTAGTTCTAACTCAACACCACGCTCGTTGGCGTTTTCGTTCGGCCCCGAACGACGAGGTTATTCCCCAAAATGAAAATATTAGGAGAGTTGTTCACTCACAAACTTTCAATCATCGTAAAGGAAAGCGCATACAAGCACAGATGATTCGACGACAACTCATCTTTACACGATGGCACTTTTCTATATACACGACTCAATGTACTGGCTTGAACCACATGCCGCACATACTTAGCTGCAAAATGTACCAGGTTGAGCCGTTTAGAGCGACCCATAGCGAAAAATTTTTGCGAGGCGGCTTTTACATCAATTCATTGAGTAAGAAGTTTTCGAACAGATGCGCGGCAGATCTCCCGCGGCCTGTGCTGAGCCTTCGATATGGACGATTGTTCATGAATGCTCCGCCTCTGCCACCGGGTGGCCTTCTGTCACAGGTGACCCGTGATGTAGATGCAAGGCCTTCTGATGTTCTTCTTCTTCATTGTTGGCATGGTAGGTCGTGAGCAAGGTGAGTGTGTTCATTGTCCCGACATAAATACAAATTGGGGTGTTGAGAGTATTTCCTGCAAATGGAAGAATTTCCTGGCCGATATCTTCGTCTCACATCTTCTTCAATGCATATCTGGCGCTGAATCAAGTCGTGTAAGTAAGTCTCAAAAAACACGAACATCACCGGCATAGGAATTGTAGTGACGAGCGCAAAGGCAAAGGGTTACCAATTCATATCGTAACTATTCTGTTGTCCTTTACCTCTACATATTACAAATTCGACATGTAGCAACAGGCAACCGTGGTTCATCAAAAACAGAGAGAGACCATACCAGGACGAACGCAATGTCCGACCGAGACGAGGAGAGCAAGCGAAAGGAAATGGTTGTGTATCGTGACGAGTGACAAAGACAAACAAGAGAACTACCCTTCAAAATCATTCCCCCGCCACGATGGTCGAGCTCCACGTCCTGGACCTCGCCGGCACGCCCCTCCGCCTGTCCGGCGACTTCCGGACCGGCGCGGAGGTGCGACAGGCGGTCGCCGAGGCGAAGCGCATCCCGGTGTCGCTGTGCTTGCTTTACTGGGACCCTTTTCCCAGTTCGTCCCCCGCCAGAGACGGGTGCAGCGCGCTGGGGGGATCCACGAGCTCCTCTGGCTCGGAATCGGAGTTCATGCTGGAGAGGTACGATCCGAATAAAGCTGCTGCAGCTGGGCAACAGATTTCGTACGGCAACGGCGGCGGAGGTCCTCCAGGAGGGTGCGTGAACAGCAGCGCTGGAGGGCCAGGCACGACGACGAACTCTACAAGCGGCGATAAAGTGCAGAACAATCCTGTCGTGGCAGGAGGACCAACGTCAGGAACAACCACTACAGGTCCTCTTCTTGAGGACACTCTCCGTGGAGGCAGTGTCGACGAGATGCTTACGCCCACTGCATCAACGACGACTCAAAATCAGCCCCATGGTGTGCTCACCGGAAACTCGCTCGCAACCTCCAGTTCCTCTACCACCTCGATGTCCGAGCAGCAACGGTTACGAGCTGGCAGCCACCACACGACCGCGACAACGCACAGTCACAAGAGCGACCCGGGGGGCGTTGCGAGCGTCGTGTTTCTGCTTGACAGCGACATCGTGTCGCTACCGTCAACCTCGGCCGCCGCGTCCGGGAACAACGGGAATGGGACACTTTTGGAGAGCGAAAACGAGAAGGCCTCTGCGTCGCCACCAACACTGCGGCTCATTGTCACCACCGCGGACTTTTCCGAGTATGTAATGCTTGTATGTTCCACCTTGTAGTTTGGTTTGTGCTGATGTCAGAGTTGTGTCAGTGTCAAACGTATATATCAACACAACTGAACTTCTCCGCGTCTCACGTGTCGAGGCCTTGCTCATACGCATGATAGCCAAATCGTTCTGGAGGATGCTCCGTTGTATGTAGTTCTTGCCAAAAATCACATCAAAATGAACACCCAGTTTCCCTCGGCAACCCCAGGAGCCTGAATGGCGTGCGTTATCCGAGAGTGGGATTGCCCGGTGTCGGGACTACGTTTTCCAGGAGGAGTACCGGAAGGTATCGGACCTAACGCTGCCCCAGCTGCTGCGATACTTAGCGAATCGGACCGGTTTCGACAATTTGCTGGAAGCCTACGTGGAAGATGAGCAGCGAACCCCGACAAGCGCTTGGCTGGACGTGCAGGTACAACTATTTTCGGCATGTCTTTGTCGTTCAGCAGCAGATGAACTACGCATTTCAGAAAATCATGTGAGTTAACCGCAGCAGGAACAAAAAACGGCAACAGTATGCATAAGTACTTGTACTAGTAGTTGCACCTCTTGCAACATCACACTCAAGGGCCTTCTGTACAGCAGCCCCCCGGGCGGCGGCGGGTCCTCCCCAGATTTGCTGAAGCTGGCCGAAAAAGCGGAGCGGGCCTCGTCGAAGAGCAGCAGCCCACCCGACCAGCCTGATCCTGCGGCAGACACAAGAACCCAGAATCAACAAGGCCAACCTACTAGCGCGATGAAGAACGCGAACACATACAGCCCGAAGAACCCGCCGGCCATCCCAAAACAGCAGCGGAAGTGGCCCGCGCTGTTTTTTCTCTTGAGGAAGGCGGAATTTTCCCCGCGGATCCGCACGAAACTCCTCCACCGGTCGGATTGCCAGCTGCTGCTGAACTTCGTGCACCCGGAAACGTGTGAAACCTGCTTGATCCTCGGCGGCTTGTTCTCCGGGAAGCAGTTCCTCCTCGACATGCTCGCGAAAATTCAGGTGACGACTTCCTGCGTGAACGCGGTGTCGAACCTCTGCTCCGAATCGGAAAAGACCTGCGCGACCTGCTTGGCGAACTTTTTCCAAGTGGGGTGTTTTGAGGGCTTCGAGGAGATTCTGAAAAGGGACGACTTGGAGCTGGAGATGCTGGCCATCACCTACAACTACCTAAAGGAAATCGGCCGCAAGTACGCGGAAACGCAGCGTAACACGGGACGGAAACCGTCGAAGAAATTGGACGCTTTAGGGGTGTACCTGCGAAAAGTGAAAGAGCGGCTAGGAGGAATGGACTACGTGTTCAGCGATTGACGAAAAACAAAACCACCGTTTTTAGAGGTCCTCCGTTCTGCCAATGCAGAAGCTAGTACACCGCGAATGAGCTTAAGTCGATGCTATTGGGCATGGCCTTCAGTTTCATGCGGTCTTGTGCAGGATAGCGAATGACGAGAATGACCCATCATTAACATTACTCTACGCAACAAAAATCTTCCGCGGCTTTGGCTTCCTCTTCTTGCTTTATGATTGCTTCGACAGTAGAAGACAACATTTTCAACACGACTGCAAAGTCTTGCACTTGTTTTTACACAGATGAATCGAAATGCACATGTACCTGTAGGAAACTGTAACTGATAACTCTCCTTGTGCTAGTTATACCCATGGCTATAACCTCTATCATACACCTCAGTTCTAGAGGACCTCCACACACAAATAAAATGCAACTCGCTGAAGCACGCTCCCAAAAGAATATCGATGACGTTTTCGCGGAGTAGCTACAGGAGTTGTTCGTACCTACTAGAATTTTTTAGGACTGCTGGACGTATTACCAATGTAACAAAGAAAGCACTTGACTGCTCCTGTTACTGTCTTGGTCTCCGAACTGTACGACCAACATCTTTTAGTGTCAGCCTTAGACCACCGACCTTGCCCGCTCTGTCTTCTTACTTTCCCTTTAGGACTTTTTGACCATGGGCACCTTCGCTCTGAATTAGAGTTGATAAGGCCCCACTGCTGTATTGAAGGCGACATGTCGCTACTGGTACTGGTGTAACCTTTGTCAACATCTTCGCCGGTTGTGTCGTATTACTACCTAGTGATCATGATGAAGAACTTGATCTTATGTGTAATGCTAATAATGCCCTCTTTACATGTTGCATGGCTTTCCCCGCCATCCTTGCGATTGACCATCATCTACCCTGGCGTGACACGGTCCGCACCTCGCAGTCAACGACTATGATCTTCCCACCACCTGTGGTCGGAATACTTTTTTACGAAATCCTTGCCATTTCTCACCTGATGGTCTGATGATGAGTATGTGTACTCCACAACTACTTCTACTTCAACTTTACTTTCTCGCGATCGCGTTCGGATTTCAATTTTTCGTTTTTGAAGCAAACTGCAGACAGTCAAAGTCTAAAATAAACCGAGGACAAACCACCCAGTGCTACGACGGCGTCGTGCTAGATGAAAGACCAAGCGTACAAACGGATTTAATTCGTGGCTTTGCTTTCGTCTGTGTCTGTCAAACAAAAAGTAGTCGCCGTCACTTTGCATAGTAAAAGCAAGGCAGGTGCTGGTGCACATTGATTTTGAAGGGCTTTTTTTTTCTTTCATCCAGCACCTTCCTTGTTGCGTTATCACACAGTCGAGTCGTCTGGCTCGTAGTGGCAACGAGGGCAGGTGGGCGCAATTTTTTCCTGGAGTGCTGGAAGTCGAGCGATGTACTTATCACTCGGAGCGGATTTTTTCGTTTCTTTCCATTGTGTCTGAGTGAAGAATCTGCATATGTGCACCGTGGTAGTTGACACAGCAAGGCGGGTTTCGATATTAATTGTGATTGAGGGCACTGCGTGGTTTTACATTCTCGTTCTTGTGCTCGCGGTTTATTATTATTTCGAGGAAAGCACCACATTTTGTTCGAGAGGAGCACAAAAAAACTACACGAACAGAGAGACAGAGAGACCACACGACAAAATGAAAATAAGTGACTTCTATGCACGGTGGCGAGAAGAACAAGAATCACGCACCAAAAAAAAGGGCGCTGTCATATAATTCAAGTTAGTTCTTCAAGGTTCGTGCAGACGCGCAACCGAAGATGGTCTTTCCTGTCACAACGTCGTCGGGCACCGCTAAGGGTGCGCCAGCCTTCCAATCCGTGCTTCCAGGATCAAATGACAGCAGTTCTTCGAAGAGCCATGGCACATCAAATTCCCGGATCCAGCGAATACTTGACGCTGCAAAGCGCCCGAAAAGCCGGGATGGTGGAGGAGGAGCTGGAACCGCGAAGAGGGCGGTCGTGAGTGGGGAACAAGGGGTCGTCAAGTATGGAACTGTGGACAAAATTACATCTAGCGAGATTTTAACAACGAAGCTGAAGGAAAAGCAGGCAGGTGCTTCTAGTTTTCCCTACCCAGCGCCGCCCCCTCCTTCTTCTGTGGGGAGCAGCTACAAGACCGGTGGAGCGATGAAGCCGTCCTCTGCAGCCAAGCCATCAGCTGGAGCTGCTGGCTCCTCTTCCGCAACAACTCCCTCAACGAAGAAAACGACCCGTCCGGGAAGCCGGGATCAGAAATCCAGCGGTTCTCTGCGACATTTTATGTCTGTTTTGTCGTCCGGGTCCGGGATGCTAGGAAGTGCCGCCGCGGCAGGAGGGGGCTCTGCGGGCAGTAGAAATGCTTCTTCCAGCACCACCCCCGGTCAGAAAAGTAAAGCCGGAGCAGTGGTGGAGGCGAGCAAGGTGGACAACAAAGAGCAAGGCCGAGAAAGAGCATCTTCGTCTGGCGTAGTCGGAGGTGGAACTACCAAGAAGATTGCGCAGCTCGAGCCGCTACTGGTCATACCGAACATTTCTTCTGCTGCGGCTGGTGCGAAGAAGGGCCAGGGGTCTTCATCTTCTTCGTCGAAGGCTGGAAAAAATAGGACTAGCACACCGAGCGAAATAAATGTGAAGAACCCCAGTCCTGCGGCACTATTGAATCTGCTGAAATCTGCTTCCGGCAGCTCCAGCACGCCAGTGCCGGCGCCGATAGCAGGAACAAATCCAACAGCAGCCACAACTAGGAATAAAGGAAGTGCTACTGCTGCATCGCCGGGACCCCTGCTGCATAAAAAAACTGAAGACGCTCCTCCACCTCTCTTTCCACCCGCAAAGGGAAGCAGCACTGGCAGCGGCGCTTTAGAAAACAAGACGCATGAGCAATCTGCGAAAAGCAGCAAAGAAAGCAGCGTTCAACCCCCTGCGACGCGGCTGCCGAGGCGGCCGCGGTCGAGCAACCAGAAGAGGCGAGCGGCGTCGTCGAAAGACACGTCGTGCTCAAGTTCGTCGTGGAAGGAAGACGAGCTCCACGCGCCTTCTGTGCAGGAGGGGGAGGGTGCGGTGGAAGTAGAGGAGGAGGTAGGGAAAGTGGAAGAGGAAAGTACACAGTTGATGTGTATAGGTGGTAAACCGGCGACCACTACATTACCGCCTGCTGTAACTCCTGCCTCCACCGCAGCCACGACCGGCGCCAAGAAAATCGACGATGCGGATGAAACCACGAAGGACACGTCTGCAACAAGTTCTCCCGGAGCAGCTGCTGCGCCGTCAGTAACCACCGCTGCAACAGGCTTCGCGTTTGCGGATCGCGTGCTCGCCGCGTATTCCACGGCAAGGCCGAGTAGCGCAGGAAGGGGGAATGGGAGCCGGGGAAGGAGCAGGAAGCCAACTGAGGAACAAATTAAGGAACAGGCAGCGTCGATGGCCTCATCCTCTGCCAGCACTGGGGAAGTCGAAGTAGAAACAGAGATCAAAGGACAGGGGCAGGTGGAGCAGTCTTCCAAAATCAAGTCCCTGATTCCATCCCTTGACTTCAAGAAGGTAGCCGCCGTCGCGCCACCGGTTCCCGAGATTGTGATGCGGACGACGGAGGAAAGACAAAAATCAAAAACGCAGCATCAAGTTACTGCTGGTGCTGAACCCGCCACTTCATCACCGACCGAAGCCGACGTCGAGCCTGACGTTGCTGTAAAGACCATGTCATCGATGATGAGTCAGGAGGATAAAAAACAAAAAACCACCTCAGTCGCGACGACGCCGCACGCAGTGGCAACTGCGAGTGCTAGTACGGAAGAAGAGAAGGTGGTTGGCCTTGGCGCGAGCACGCACGTTGAAGAAGCAAAGAAGCCAAAAGATGTAGTGAAGAAGGCTGATGGAGGAACTTCAAAACCTTCAAAGCCGGTCCGCGAAGCCTTCATCGACCATTTCCCACCACCGCCTGCGGATCTTCATGCGGAATTGATGGGCAGCAGCAGTGACTCATCGCCTCTGGGAAAAACATCCAGAGCTGCGGAAGATGGTCCAGCTGGAGTGGTCACTGGTGCTGGAGTCTCATCTTCAAGCGAAGCCGACAAGAAAGCGGATGAACTGAAGATCGAGACCGTCACGACCGAGGACCTGCAGGACCGAAAAATAGATCTAGTTCTCGGAACTGTTCAAGATGTTCTTGTGACTGAGAATACTGGATCTGCAAGGAGCATAGGGAGCAAGGTACAACGACGGGATCTAGCGAGGACACCATCTTCAACTTCGACACCGCCGAAGGGAGCTGCTGGTGCATCATCGGCGTCGAGGGCAAAGGGAGCTCAGGAACATCAAGAACATGATCAACAACAAGTCGACAAAGATGATTACAACTCTCATAATTCTGCTTCCGCCGGTTCAAAAATAAGTTCGTCCCGAGTCAACAGTCTCCCCGGGTCGGAGCAGTACGACTCGATGCTGGACTCGATGCAGTTGTGCGAGATTGTGGATCCGAAAACCGGAATGCCAAAAATCGTCTCGAAACAGGAGGCAGCGAAAATCTACGCGACTTTGAACAACAACGCGTCCTCCGGCGCTGGGGTCCGAGGTGGAGCGGGCTCATCCGTCATGCGAACACGCGCGGGCACCGGAGGAGCAGGTGGGAGTGCTGCTGGAGGTACGACTTTTTACACTGTCGTGCAATCGACAACGCGAGTTCTACTTTCATCTCTGAATAAACGTGAAAGTGCTTCTACATAGATCCAATCATCTAAACTTGATCCATACAACAGCTCGCGCCATCGCCCTGACCGCTGCGAAGCAACGCGAACTCGCCTCGCGGCAGCGCGAAGCGACGGAGCGGCTCGCGCTGCCGATAGCGCACCAGACCAAGCGACTCCAGCTCGGGACCACCACGGATTCGCGCCCCGGAACACCCGCCTGGGTGAGTAATCTCGTGAAGACCTCGCGAACCCGCGAGGAGGCCGCGCGCCGGGGCGTGGCACCCTCGCCGCCGAACGGTCGGCGGAAGAAATGGGACGAAAGCAGCCGGGTGGGCGGAAACAAAAAGAGAAAATACCCGCCCGGAACGCCTGGCGGAAGGTGCAGGTCGAGCGGACGGAGTGGCTACGGTTTTTCAAACGCGGAAAGGAGCCGGACGCCGACGTATTCAGGGTCGAGGATTGTCAATTCCGCTGGTGCTGCGATGAATAGCCGGGGTTTCACGTTTTACTCCGTTGATGCCAGCCCGAAAAGTCAACATTTTGGTGGCGAATACTACAACCAAATCGCTTCAGGTAACAAACTCCGACTGTGTTGTTTTTGTCGTGCGATTTCTTGCCACGTTATTGCGTACATTTTCAGGTTTTCATAATTTCCTTTTGTAGACTGCATGAATGATTTCGAGTCATCTTTATTTCTATCGTCATTACGTTTACCTTGTTTACCTTTACGTACAAACTAAACCCAGACAACGCCTACTGGGTGCCTACCGCGGAAGAGAAGCGGCGGCAGGTCGCCTGGGAGAGGCACCACGCAGCGGAAGAGTCTGCGCGCAAGCGTGAAGAGGAGAGGAACGAGAAAATTGCTGAGTTGCTCAAGAACCTCGCGATTCACGGGGAAAGCGTGCGGCCAAAGCTTCCGCTCGAAAACGACATCAAAGTGGATGACGTTGGGGCGGAGGATGAGCTGGATGAGGTAAAAATCAAAGTGCTCATAGTACAATGATCATGTTCATCATAATTGTTTTCTGGCAACATAGGCATGACCTCTAGATCAGCTGCATCATCTGTGTGATGCTCGACTGTGCCTCTGCTCTTGAAATGACACATACGTCTCATTCAGGCCGAGCAAGAGCGCATCCGGAGCAAAGTCCCCGCGCCGGCCCCACTTGACGTCGAAGTGACACCCGACGACGAAGGAGACAATGGCACCACGGTGAAACCCCAAGCGACTACAGAGACGGCGGAAGTTGGTGCGAAAGCGGAGTCAACCACAGAAAGCACTGCCACTGCGCATCAGCCACAGGAAGCCAAAATGAACCCAGAAGATGCGATTACCCCGAAGCCCATGGGCCTGCAGGAGAAACAAGTCATCCGGAACCGCTTGCAGGAGGAGCTCCGAGCGTTGGAAGCGGGCGCGAGGGGGGATCAGCAGGACGAGAAGATGAAAGTAGGAAAAAATAACGCCGGCAAGAAAGAGATGAAATCAATGTCTTCATCGAAGGAGGGAAAAAAATCATCTTCCTCGTGTGATGAAGTTGAAGAGTCCGGAGATCATTCCGGGGTGAACACCTACTCGTCTGAGTTCCTGTCAGAAGACAAGACAGAACAGGAGGGGCCTTCAGATAGAGATACAAAACTTAAGCAACAAAATCAAAGTGTTGCTCCTGCTGCTGACGCAGGTACTCTTGACAAGGAGAAAAAGACGAAAAAGGAGGTTGTAAAGGCGCAAGATAAAAAGCCGTCGTCCAGCAGTAGTTCGTGCTCGCCCGGATACACGACGCCGGAGGAAGATGAGGATGAAGCTTCGTCAGATTCGTCGCAGAGTTCTTCGTCGTCACCAATAAACCCGGACGAAGATGAAGGACCGGCGGACGAGAAGAGAACGTCGAAAACGAAAAACACCAAGCTTGGGTCGCCAAGCATTCTCCCGGAGAACGTGCATCGACACCAAATCGCGGCGGTCGAAGATCTGGTGGCCCAAGCACGACTGCGGGCAAAGCAAAAAGCGGAGCAGCAATCATCGACAGACACGTTGAGCAGAGCAGGTTGGGAGATTTTTTGGATTCTTGTTTCTGTGTCACGTGGTGCAACATGAACATGATCGTGTTGAGAATTTTTTTAATATCAGCTTTTGCGTGCTCCTACTCCTTCAATCTCTGGTCCTGATAGATCGCATTCATAATTGACGTTTTATTTTCCAGGTCCTGAAGACAAGGACGATGACGACGAGCAGCATGAGAGCAGTGCCACGACGAAGGGGGAGAACGACGACGAGACCGAGGAGAAACCGCACGAGATTCCCCTGTACTGTAGATTTCTGCAGCCAACTGACCCGATCTACATGCAGTCGAAGGCGTTCGATCCCAATTCGGTATTTTTGCTTGGGTCTTGTCTCCATCTGTGTTCTTGTCGATTATGTTCAGTCTTCTCGACTACTACAAGCAGCCAGTTCTTTCTGATGTTGTCCCTGTCATGCATCATTGCGAAATCTTATCGTTGTATGTATTCTTTGACTTGCCAGTACCAGTACTTACGCATGTACACTACATGTTCTGCAACTGCAACTCGGGATGTTGAACGCTACGCCCCTTGTAAAAAAACCGAACCCGCACCAGGTCCCCGCCACGTCGCTGATGAAGCTGCTGAATCAGTCTGGCACCTGGTACCACGAGGATCCCTTCGACCAACCGCCGAAGGATACCCGTTGTCTGTGCCGGGATTTGAACGAATCATTTATCTGGGTGGAAGACGACCTTCCGGATTCAGATGACGGTGCGGAGCACGGCGAATACCCCGAGGGCTTGCCGCCGGGTATGAGTCCCGAAGAGTACGAGGAGATGATGCGCATGCTATCAAATGTATAAATGTCTGGGTCTGGAAGAATGGAAGGCTTGTCATGCTTGTCTGGCATGACCCATGATGCTTGTAATGCATGACCCAGCATGACAGATTTTTGGAAAGCTTCCTGATGCCATTTCCGCATGACAAATTCCCTCCTCGCGTAGCACAAATGTGGCTCCTCTTGCTGGTCATGCAATACAGATTTTTTTAGAGTCCAAAGTTAGCATCACAAGTTCCAACTTTCCAGACCCAGACATTTTTACATTTGATACATGCAGTACTACCACGAAATGGAGCAGCGCGGGATGGTATCAAATGTAAAAATGTCTGGGTCTGGAAGATTCCGGAATTTGTGATGCATCTTTCGTATGATCCACGACGCATGTAATGCATGATCTAGCATACAGATTTTTAGAGGGCTTGCTGATGCCTATTCCGCATGAGAAATGCCCTCTCCGCGTAACACAAACTGGAGGCCTGTTGCTGGTCACGCAATACAGATTTTTTTGGAATCCAAAGACAGCATGACAAGTTGCAATCTTCCAGCCCCAGACATTTTTGCAATCCATAGATGGGGGTCGGCGGGCCGCCCAGGCGCGCGGTGAGTTTCTAACGGTTTGAAAGTCAACATCATTTGCGATTCAAAACTAAAGATATGAGTATGACACGTCTTCGCAGGAGGTCAGACTCAGATACAACAGAAATAGGAATTTATAGACTTTTTTGTTTGATGTGGTCCCTGTGGCGAAGGGTGATAAAGACGGTAGCATTGATTTCTATCGAAAAAATTGGTGACTAACTACAAAAATACTTACAAGTAATCTATCCGTTTATTTAAGTCCGTTTCGAGTAAGCTTGCTTGCTTATGCTTTTCGTTTTCGAAATAGTTATGGAGAGGATGAAGATCTTGCAGTGGCGGGGAAAAGGCATAACTGGGAAAGCGATACTGAATCCTGAGAATAAGTGATGAGCGAGCAACATGTTGTGCTGTCAGAAGTTCTTGCAAACTCTACGTTGACACGACCACTTGTAGCTGAGCTTTTTCTCTTGGCTCTTCCCGCAGTAGATTCTCTAGCAGTAAAGAGTAACGGCCACTTTTGCTGGTCCATAGTTTTTTAGTAGGCGATGTAAAAGAAGTTTACACTGGAGAGAAGTCTTGAATATTGTCCTTGAGTCTAGATCTACTACTTCTTTATCTTTTTCGCAGCGATCGTCATTTATTTTGCGTTTCGCTTTTGTTCGTTTTCAGTTCTTAGGCGTTATTTCTTCGCATTGCTGTCTACCCGTTACCTGGCTTGAACAAGGAATTTAACCAGATGTATTTTCGCTGCTATCGCGACTTTGAGCTGCGCGTTTGTTGATATGATGTGCTTTCTTGTGGTATTTCTACGTGGTGTTGCTGTTGTATGTTGTTCTCAAGTATATGTGGACTTCCTGCACTGTTGTAGGGGCAATCGAGCTATTTCTGAAAATAGTTTTCTGGTCAATCAAAAAAGAAAGCTAGCAAAGAGTGCGTTGAATTTGTATGCTGCAAAGGAGCATTCTTGTGGACGACGCGAGGATGAGATTCACGGCAGTGTTGCCGTCGTGAGGAGGCACATGAGCAGACCACTTCCAAAAGGTTGGCACGGGGACCGAGGTCGTGCCAGCCACCTCAAAGTCAGAAGTGCCACGCCAGGGGACAGTTTCGTCGCTGTTCTTCAACATGTTCGAGATTTTTAGAAAGCCCATGAGCGTGGAGGATGCTTGTTCTTTCCTAATCGTAATCCATGATGAGGCTCATCAAGTGCGCAAGATCATGTGTCGTGTGTAACCTGACATGCTATTCGTCATCTCGCCCAGGTGCAAGTCGTGGTTCTTGTCGTAGATGAAGTTGTGCAGCTCTAGCAAAAGATGCAGCGTCGCGCAGGATCAAGATCGCAGACACACAGTGTTAACGTGGGCAGACAATGATCAAATTCAAAACAAATAGCAGATCAAAGCCATTCATTCCTCGTACACGGCAACAGCTTTGCGAATAATCTCGTGGGAGTCGAGGGCAGTGGCACCAAACACAGATCGCTCCCTCTGACGTTTCGTTGCTCGAATCGTTTTCGTAATTTCCATTTATACCATTTCGTTCTTGATAGAAGCGCGCGGGTCGATCAGGAAGAGCAGAGCAACTGCTTGCAACTCGCGAGAACAGACCGAGGCTAATCTTTGTGCTTTTTCTAACGCTTGTTCCTTCGGAGGAACTACTGCGTACTATTCGGAGCACGAGCACCTCGACGTTGAACTAGAAATTGTGCTCGAAATATCTTTTCGATTCGGGTCGACGTACTTAGCCACATCAAGCATCGGGATCTTCATACTTGTGTCATTTCTTTCACCAAACAAGAGAACTACACCTGTTCTCGTGCAGCATCGGAGTAGAAGCTGTTGGATCCAACGATTTTAAAAGTAGCGCTGAGGTCCGTGGTTTTTCCGACTAGTCAAGAAGAGGACTGTTTGTCACTTTCTTTCGTTTTATTCGTTGATCCATAGATGTTTCACAACGACAGCGACACAGAAAGTTGTATTCTGAATCTGGTGAAGAGTACTCAGGATATTCGATATTAGATTGTAGTTGTAGCTAATCGCACCAGGAGGTGGATTTTTAGATCAAGTTCTGGTAGAAGTGAACGCCCCCTGTGAGCATTGTTCTTGTTGATAAAGCTCTACAAAGCAGACGGTCTTCACCCTCAACAGACAATTAAGACACAGAAGTACAACCTCACCTACCGACAACCCAACTATGGACAACTTTCTTTGTATCTTGCTCCTCTGGGCGGTCGCACTGTACATCCTGTTAATTCCGATCGTTCGGTCCGTGACGAAGTACCGGTTTTCTTCCTACGAGGCCCCGGTCACGCCCACGGTTGGCGGGCAGTACAGCTTCAACCAAGTGGACAACTTCGACCTGGCGCAACGCCGGAAACAGGTGGTGCTCCGCGCCTACAGCGACTTGGCCGTCGCCTTTCTCCTCCTGATCGCAACCCAATGGCTCGCCCAGCCCGTGCGGTCCTCCGCTTTTCAGCGGCACGTGAGCCCGGCGGAGGAGAGCCACGCGAAGGAAATTTCGACACTGGTGATGATTCCCACAGTTTTGACCTACAGTGTCCTGGCCAGTCTGCTGCAGAACCAGAAAAAGCTGATCTTCTACGTGTGCGTGTTCTACGGGGTGGTCTTCGTTTTGTTCGCGACCTACTTGGTCTACCTAGACCTGCACGAGGACGGGCAGGCGCTGCTGCACGACCACACGCACTCGAATTCCCTGCAAAAGGAGCTGCACGGGAGTAGCAACAGTCTGCGGAGCATCCACGGGGCAGAGTCGGTCCAGAGCCACCACTTTTTCCTGTTCTCCGGCAACTGGAAGAGGTTTTGGATGTACGTTTTGTACGCCGTGATCGACACGAAAGCGGGCCTGGCGCTCTCCATGGTCTGGTCGTGCGCCCACTTGCTGTTCAAAGAGCAGCAAACGAATGCGACCACGGGCACCTCCTCCTCCTTCTGCTCCACGTTTATGAAGGCGTCGATTGTTTACCCGTACCTGAATTTCTGGTGCCAGATCGGCGGGACGCTGGGCGCCTTGGGCGGGGTCCTGACCAAAACGCTGCAGATTCCCATCGCGGGCACGGAGAAAATCATCACTGGGTCCTCGGTTCTGTACTTTTTTCTCGGGTTCGGCACTCTATTAGTGCCCTACTTCGCGATCCCGGCGTTCAAGGCGCTGGAGCGGGTGCAGCGGGAGGAGAGCGGGCTGACTAGGTTGTCCTCTTCCTCCAGCGATTTTGGGCAGCCGGACGATTTTAGGGAAGACAAGGACCAACAGAGAGGGTTTGGTGCTGGAGGAGCATCGTCTTTATCGCCTATGGACCCGAAGAAAGTTTATCCAAGTGGAAGGGCTCCGAAGATTGAGTATAGTTCACCCTACAACACCGGAGAGCAAAACTCTGAGCAGGATTTGCACCTCCGAGCAAACCGGACTAAGGAGAGCAATTACGCAATGAACTCTTCGCCAAAAGAACAGGAGCTGCATCACTACGGCTCTGGATCTGCTCCATCTTCGGGAATAGCAGGAGATCCCGGTGAAGACCAGGGGGAGCACGAGGGACTGCTTAGCGGATACAACACTAGGGGATCTCCGTATCAGTACCAGAATTCTAGTGCGCGGACCATTAACCAGAATCGGATAGATCTGGAGGCCGGGATGGTGTCAAGTAGTACCTCGCTCAATAACCAGCATCAAACGTCGCAATCCCGATCCAGACCCCATTCCCCCGACACCCTGCTTCCCCCGGCGACAATTTCTCCTGCGGACGGTTCTTCATCTCTCAACGCAGCATCGTCACCCAAGAGGACTTTCCGCCAAGCGTGCTACGAGACATGGAAGCAGTCTACGGAGGGCCTGCACGTGCTCCTGACCAACCGCTACGTCTTCCTCATCTGGATTTGTTCCAGTGGGCACTTGGCGATCCGCACGCTGTTGGAATTGCAGGGATCTGTCCTGGTTTCCTACGTCCACCAATACCCCGCAGATGACGGGTTGTCCCTCAAAGGCCCAAATCCGAAGAAGGTCGGCGACAATCGGACGAAATTGATTTCCGCGATGCTGTTACTCAACGGGGTTCTGTCCGCGGCGGTGTCCTTTTGCGGCACTTCGGCTTTGGTGAAGGAGTACGGCATCGCGAAAATTCTTCGGGTCAACCCGATCTGCTGCTTCGCCATGCTGGGTGTGTTCTGCTCCTTCGCCATGCTCAGCGAGCGACAGGGCTTCGTGACCGTCAACGAGACTTTGCGGCTGACCCGACCGCAGGTGGAGTGGAACGACAATGTGGTGTTGACGAGGTTTCACGACCATACACGACATGAAGATAGCCAAAATGATCACTGGCACGACGACGAAGAAGACGAAGCCTCCCAGCACGACGCTTTCCAGGAAGCCCGCGCTCTCGCCGTGGACCCGCCGGCCTCCCAGGTGCACGAACTGACTGCCGACGGGATTATCCATTTGCAGGGATGCGGCAGCTCGTCAGTCTCGGATCTGCAGAGATTAATACAACTCGCGGCGCAGAAAGCGCAGCGGGAGGATGCGGAGAGAAGATGGGGAGGACGACCTACAGGAGACTCCACGTCTTCAACGAAAGAGATCATGAACAGCAGATATCTTCATCGCAACAAGCGCTTTCTTGCTGCGTTTAGTTGGCGGGACCCGGCAACAAACGACCTGACGAACTTCTTCCAGTTGAAGCAGTGTCACAGCGCAGACTACGTAGAGAGCGAGCTGGCGAAAAGGGAGATCATGGACCCGCGCGGTGGCGGTCTGGTAGCGGCGGCGAAATTGTCGTCTTCTTCCCCCCTGTTAGCCGAGGAACTCGGGGAAGAGGAGCTCTCCGCCCTGGATCAAGAGCAACAGCGGCTGCAAGCGGCACCGGTGACGCAAGACCTGTCTTCGTGTCGCAAGCTTTGCGCGGACCGGTTTCCGCTCTGCAACCACGTGTCGTTGAATATGGCGCTCTCAAACGTTACATTCTCAACTGTTACGTGATTTGTCATAAAAATTTACAATCAGAGTCGACACGATCAAGGTGCTTCGCATGGCAAATTCTTGAAATGCCAAACAGGCTGACAATCTGCGCCAACTCTGTCATGCAAGGCGCGCAAAGTCACCTCGTTCACTTTTTCCATTCTTGCATCACAAATTTATGTGGAAAGGTGCCCTATGGGTTGCGTTTGTGGTTTCGGTTGGTTTAGCATCACAAATTTATGTAACACTTGAGAATGTAACAGTTGAAAACGCCATATTGAATCGCGAGACGAGGTTGTGCCGCTTTTTCCACGTGAATGATGACGAGGAGGAAACAATAACAAGTAGTGCCATAGGACAGTATCATCAGGCGTCACCAGCAAGCACCACTCCAGCCTTTGGGGACACTGATTCCGCCACAGCAACTGCTGCTCTCCTGCGGAGTCACCAGCGTTGCCAGGCGGTGAAAAATCGACACATGGAAACGACGGGGCAGTCCTCTGTAAACGACGAGAAGCACCAATTTTACGAGATGCGGCCGAAATGTGGGTTCCGTGACATGGTCCGGGACGCGGAGCTCGGCGGTGCCGCCGGGGTAATATTAGTGAACCCTGGGACAAGAAGACGAGTGGAAAAGATCGCGACTGGTGCTGGGACATCGAGAACAAATTCTGCTGTTCTTGACGGTCAAAGTCCAGAAACAGGTTCGGAAATCGACGCACCCTCGATTCTGACGCTGTTCGTTTCCGAAGGGGAGTACGAGCAGCACTTCAAACAGCACGAAGTTCTTTCGTCAGGGACCACTAGCGGTAGTGGGAGCTCAGTAGGATTGTCAAGAGGTCTAGCTTCAACATCGTCCGGCACTGGCAGCAACATGCTGCAGCCAAACACCGGGCCGCGCGCAGATCTGTTAACCACGGATTACCAGCAATTGCAGAGCTACAACTCACCTGGATCGTATCATGGTTCTGGTTCTGGTGCTTTCAATACCCCTAAAAGCGCAAGGGCCTACCGAGATCGTGGCACGGGCCCAATGACAGCGTTTATGGAGATAGGGCATGAGGAGCAGCAAGGAAATCATAACTACCTGCACAGGTGGTCAGCATCTTCCGAGAATGGCGGGGAAACGGATCTGGCTTCCGCAGCGCGCGATTTTCAAGAGGCACCACCACGGATTGTAGCAAATCTCGCGGAATCACAAGCACCGCCCTCGTCCTTCATGTCCTTGATGACAGCGCTGCAGACAACCACCGGACTAGATTTTTCCAAAACTACTGGCAGCCTTGAACAGGACCACGAGCTCAATGAAATCTCCGACCCCCCACGAATCCGCATCACGCGCACCCCCGGCCGACACTACTTGACCAACGCCCTCTCCACCCATTTCGGCCTGAACTCTTCCCCCTGGCTATCGTACTACGCGCTCTTCGTGATTTGCTCGCTGTGCTCCATTGTAATGAACGTGTTTGTTTTCGCGATCAACAATCCGATGGTAGAGGTCTTGTACCTGCAAACCTCCAAGGTCGCAAAGGTGAAGGCGAAATCCTGGATCAGCGCGTTCGGCTCGAACCTGATTCGCGCCCTGGGAAACCGGGTCAACACGGTCTGCAACTCGCCGATATTTGACCCCTTCTCCTCGGTTTTCTTCTCGTCGATCTGGTTCCTCGGCTGGTTCGCCGCCTGCACGGAGTGCGGACATCTACACAATCACCAGCAGGTGCTGGGTGGTAGCGCTGGAATTGGGACGAAAATGACGGGGGGCGGGGGAGGTGGGGCTGGTGGTGGTAGGTTTGATGACGTGCTGACTGCTGCCGCTGGATCTTCTCCCGCGACGGTCGAGAAAACAACTACCAAGGGAGGTTCTTTTGAACCACAAACATTTGCGCAAAGTGGAAAGCGATTTGGCAGTCCGAATACGAACTTTGAGCAAAACCAGCTCTACCGACGAGAACAGAGCTTGCAGTCCATGACTCGTGGAGGTGTGACGATAGAGCAACATCAGGAGACAAAGATCGTCACCGGAAAAAGCCACGACCATTTTGCAGTTAGATAGCGCCTGGATGCAGCCAGCTGTCGTGTGGCGATATATGATAGACCTCTGGACACGAACAAGACCCAGTTCCGTTTGCTGATGCTCTTTTCGTCGTCTAATTGTGCTGCATTCACAGCACAGGAAGATAAATATCACATCTATTCTGCTCGAACTCGATTCCACGAGGATTTCCACTCCTTTGTGTGTACCTTGTACTTCTCAACCGCATACAATATGTATCAACAATTTCAATCGCTCCTAGATTTCAACCTACTTAGGTGCAGGTACGACCTCTTATGGACCTGAATCTGCCACTCTCTATGATGATGTACTTGTATCTATGTGCAGCGAGTCCGGCTTTTTACTCTTATGCAGTGCTTCGCGTTCGCCTTCGCTCACACTGGACTGTCCCACTCGACGCAGCCGTAGTACCCTGAGATCGCTATACCTGATGTACTTGCCCCTTGAATGAAATGACTTTGAACGCTATACCGTTTTATTACATCTGAAATCTGAAATTGTTATATGTATGATCACCATCACCGAGACCGATGAACAAGCAAAAGAGCCGACGAGCAACTGTTTGCGAATCGATCCTTTCTGCCCTCCACTACCAGCAGGAGGCACTCACTTTGGAGGTTGCGGGATACCGTATTTGTTTTTGTTCTTCTTCCCGCACCATTTTTTGAGATAGAACGAAGTTGCATGCCCTTCGAGGATTTTTGTAAAGAAGATCAAGGTTGACGTTGAGACAGGAGAGAATTCATCTTGTCGGAATCTCCTTCCACCTTCGCTTCTGTGTTTACTTATGTGTTCTTGTCATGCTTCTCTCGGGCGGAAGTTGAAGTTCGTCGCACCAAGTAGAGCACAAAGCCATGAAATGGCGGTAGTTGTAGTAGTTTGAAAATTCATCTTCGGTCTTCTCGGGAAAGAAACTCAGATTCGGTGCTCAAGGAATTATCCGTCTTCCCCACGCGGCGGCAGCCCGCCGCACCGCTTTGACTGCCCAAGATGGCCACCCCGCCGAGTCGTCGTTCCGTGCTCTTCACGGCCGGCGCAGTACTTTCCGCGTATCATCTGCAGAGTAATGGAGTTGTGTCCGCGTTCGAGCAAGGCGCCGTTGAGGACCCGGTTTCCGTTTTGAACAGTCTAGATCGCCAGATCTTCCCCCCAACCGACCAAGAAGACCAGTCAGCGCCGCTGTCGGAAGATGCTGGTGCTGACGGTGACAGCTCGCAACGAGTTTCTGAAGAACCTGTGTTGGCTTTAACCGGGACGGCCAACGCCAAGAGCGGGAGCAGCCACAACCAGGTGATCGCGTTTCTGGAAGAGAAAAAGAACGGGTTCCGTCTGCAGTGCCCCCCGGGCCAGCCCTGCAACTGCAACTGTCACTGCAACAAGGCCGCGTCCGCGCCCCCCGCGGCCGGGGCGGCGGCTGCTGCGGCCGCTGCGCCTCCGGCCCCACCACCGCCACCGCCGGTTGTGGTATAAAATATGACGAGATGTTTTTTTGAATTTGATTGGATTTATACAACAGCACGGTCACGGAAGATGCTGCTGACGTATACCACTTTCAATTCCGAAGTGCGCCGTCTTTCGCCAACCGCTACTGCCCACAAACAGATGACTCGAAAAAACCCTAACCCAGGTCGCCCCTCCACCGCCGCCGCCCCCACCGCCACCGGCGGCCCCGGCTGCGGCGCCTCCACCACCACCCCCGCCACTGCCAGCCCTGCCGCCCATGCCGGAAGTTTCCGCGGACGATTTGCCCAAGCTGGCGCCGTATCAAATGTAGAAATGTCTGGGTCTGGAAGAATGCAACTTGTCATGCTAAATCTGAAGCATGCAAAAATCTGTGTTGCATGACTGTAGGGTGAACTATGTATGTAGCGCTTAGGGCCCTTCCGTACGGCCAATTTGTATGTCCCGCAACGGGGTTCGCCAATGTCGGTCATTTGTATGCGAGGCGATGGGTTACCCGGTCGGCAGAGCCGATCCACACGAACGAACGATGACTACCAAAAGTCGTCCAGTTTTGACCAAGTCGGGAGGGAGTTTCTCATGCAGGATAGGCATGAGAAAGATCGCACAGAATCTGTCATTCTAGGTCCTGCATTCCAGACCTCATGGGTCATGGAAAAGCTGCATGACAGATCGCGCATTCTTCCAGACCCAGACATTTTTACATTTGATACGCCGTTGCCGATCCAGTTTTCTGGCTCCGTGCCAATGTACGGATCGGGGAGTGGCTTCGGGTCCGTGGGCTCGGCGGTCGGATCCGTGCCTGGTGCGTTCTTGCAAGGACAACAGCAGCAGGTGCAGCAACGGGGCGGGCAAATGAAAATGGGAACGAGCAATGGAAATGTTTCGCCGATGATGCTGCAGCAGAGCCAGCAGTACAACATGATGAACATGAACCCAGCGTTGGTACAGCAGCTCTACGCACAACAGCAAAGAAGCGCGGCCCAGCAAATGCAAACGCAGGTGAGTATGGATGTTTGACATATTTTTCACTTCACCTTAGAGCTTGAAGTTGAACGCATCGTGGTCTACTTCGTTGAAGAAGCTGCACCTCGCATGGTCATAGTCGAGCTGCACTTCCACTTTCTCCTGTCAGAGGCTGCTCTGATATAGTTGTTCTTTGAAACTCTGTGTTACAACTAACTTTTTATTTCATCGATCAGTTCCTGAAGCAGCCGCTGAACCTGATGAGCTTCCAATCCGGTGTCTCTCCGGTTATCACACAGCAGCAATTGATGCAGCAGGACGCGCTGCTGCAGCAGGAACGGCAGCGGATCATGAACGCGCAGGAGCAACTCTACAACGCCTACAACTACGGGAACAGTGTGGCCGCGGGAAACCAACAGCAGCAACTGCAGCCGATGGTGTCGAACCAGCAACCTTTTCTGAGCAGTGCGAGGAGCGCGGGTGGTAGTGCCAGTGGTGGTCCGACGTCTGGAGCAATGTTGTTGCAGCGGGGAATGACCAACAACGCACAGCAGTCCGCGAACAAGAACGTGGCCTCTTCGCCGTTGTCATTCTTGCAGCAGCGATCCCAAGAGCGGTTCTGCTACTGCCCCTGCATGTTTGGGGCGTGATGGAGGAGAACTAGGAGAAGAAAATTTGGCTAAACTTCTCCCATGGACCGAAGAAGCTATGTGATGCCTGAAGATCAAGATTGTCTTTTTGATACTTTTTTCCAAGATTACGATTCTGAAACAACCATTTGAGCAGTGATTGGTGCCTCCACGGTGTGCCTCAACTACAGCGACCACTTGTTGTCGACTGTGAGGCAGTGCTTGTCTAAAGCGACGAGGTCGAGAACGTTCGGAGAACATCACTACGTCAAATATTCTCGTTGTTCGAGGTCGAGGAAACACTTCGTCGCCGACTTTCGCGAATCAAAATCACGTAGCGTTCGTTTTGATCTGTCGTTCTTGTGTGTTTCGCCTTCGATTATGTATATGTTGAGTGATTGACATTGACTGTCCAGCATCGTACTTGACAGCAAGCAACGAAGCTGCAGAAACTTGGCGCATGTCATGGCTTCGTCCTATCTATGTATGTTGGATTCGCTTAGTATCTGTGATACTGACTTTCGAAGAAAGTAAAAAGATCCATGCAGTTTGTTTTTGCTGAAGCTGCTGATGCTGGCACAACCACAAGAAATTGCGATTGAAAATTGAATAGACAAGATGCCTGAGACCGCGCCCTCGGCGCAGGATAAGAAGCGTCCTCGCGCCGCCGAGGATGCAGATCCGACTGCAGATAAAAAGCTCAGCAGCTCGAATGCTGCAAAAAAACCAAAGCTGACCGCCGCCGCGTTGAGCGCCCATGACAAAGCGAACAAGAAAGAGAGTGCCGCGAAAGGCAATGAAAAACCCGGCTCTGCTTCACCCGGGGGGACGGAGGAGCTCGACGAGTGTCGGCGGACAGAACGGCTGGAAGACAGCAGCTCGAAAGAAGCGCTGAATTTGCGAATCTTGAGTGACGGAAATGAGGACGAGGAGGAGGAGGATGAAAAATCCGAAAAGGGGGCGGGAGGGGACGAAGGCAAAGCAGACGCTGCTGCTGGATCTGCTGCTGTTCCGCCAGACGAGCAAGACGATCCTCAGGCCGCGGCTCCAGTCGATATGGAGGTGGAGGTAGATGACAAGGTAGGAGATGACGTCCCCGAACCACCGCCGGCAGCACCTCCTGTGCTTGTGAAAGGCAAAGAGGACGAGGCTGAGAACAAGAAGCCAGCAGCAAAGGCTGCACCGCCAAAGGGGAAGGAGCCATACGTGCGTAAGCAGCAGCTTGAGCAAGGCAAATCTGCATCGTCTTCGTCTCTTAGCAACGCAAATTCGAAGTTGGACAAGAGCGCAAATAACACGTCGCTTGACTTGTTGAACAGTTCAGGGAACTCGAGCGCCAGCATCGAAGCAGAAGATTGGAAGTGGAATGGAGGTACATGCAAAATTTGTTCGTTGTACTGCTGCTGATGAATTGTTGATCTTGATGCAGACTGCTTTTGTGTTACATGACGATCAAATGGAAAAGCAGCACTCATGTCAACGACAACTCTTTCCCCTTTTCATTTCAGGTATCGACCCCAAATGGGAGAAATCCTCCTGCGGCAACTTCTACGCATTAGATAACAACAAATTTAAACTTCCCGCGACCATTTACGACAAGCTTTACCCCTACCAGCGGCACGCGGTCGGCTGGATGTGGAACCTTTACAAGGCGAAAAAGGGCGGAATTTTCGCCGACGAGATGGGTCTGGGCAAAACCGTGATGGTGTGCGCTTTCCTGGCCGGGCTGTCGGCCAGCAATCTCGGACGGCACTTTCTCATCGTCTTGCCGAACACACTGTTCATTTCCTGGACGGAGGAATTACGGAAATGGGTTTGCGAAGTGGTGTCGACGTCGAAAAGCAGTTCCTCTTCCTCTTCCAGCAGCAATCCAAACCCGCTACAAGACCAGCCCGACCCGAACGAGCTGCCGGGTGTGAATTTCGGGCCCCAGTTTTTCGTCCGCTACCTGTGCGGATCCAACAGCAAAAAGGAGCGGCAGGAGTCGATCCGGAAAATCGCGCGGTGTGGGGGCGCGCTGCTGACCAGCTACGGGATAATCAAAACGTCGTTGGAGCATATTTCCTGCGTCGGGCCGCCGACGGAAATCCAGACGAACAAGCGAAAAGGGAAAAACGCGAAGAAGAAGAACAAAGCGGTGTCCGACGACGACTTTGATGATGAGCAGGAGGAGGAGAAGCAGTTTGCGCTACTGCAAGACCGGAAAGCCTGGGACTGCGTGATCTGCGACGAGGCGCACCAGCTGAAGGAACGCAGCAGCCAGGGGGCGAAGTCGCTACGCCAGGTGTCCGCGCACAGCAAGTTTTTGCTGACGGGCACGCCGTACCAAAACAACTTGGGGGAAATCTGGTCGCTCGCGGACCTCGCGATGCCGGGCGTGCTCGGGAATTTCGCGACCTTCACGCAGAACTTCTCGGACCCGATTGTGGCGGGGTCGAAACGAAACGCCAGCTCTTTCGCGGTTCTCAAGAAGGATAAGTTGTCGCGAGAGTTGAAAAACATTCTCAGTCGCCACTTCCTCCGCCGCGACAAGGCCGGGGTCTTGAAGCAAATCAACACCGTTGGACTAGTGCAGCAGAACAGTTCTGGTGGTGGTTCTAGCTCATCCTCGTCTTCGTCTACGGCAAATAATAAAAGCGCCGGAATAAGTTCAACAGAACCGAGAAAAATGGAACTGCCGCCGAAAAAAGACGTCCTGCTGTTCTGTGAATTGTCGACGAAGCAGAAGCAGATGTACAGCGAGTTTTTGAATTCCGACATTGTCCGCGAGGCGAAGCTATGAATTGCAAAAGTATCGCACTCGTAGTAGTGCAACACAAATTAGCTCAGCATGACAAAGGGAATCTGCCATGCTAATTTAGCTTGAAAATAATGAGATTTGTCTTGCATGACTGCGATTAGTACGAGGACGATACTTTTGCACTGGATAGAAGCGCGCGAAGAAGTCCGGCATTGAGTCGTTCAAAGCGATTTCGTTGTTGAAGAAACTCTGCGACCACCCGTTGATGTGCCTCCCGTTTGAACCCTTTCACCTCCAAATGCTGCAGAAGTGGGGAATGATCGCCGCGGGTAACGAGGGGCCGGAAGAAGAGGAGGCCAATTTGGACGAGAACAAGGGCTACGACTGGTCGAAGCTGGTGGACATGATCCCGGACCAGCCGGTGCAGGCGGTGGACTTGTCGTGCAAACTCTCCTTGTTGAACGAGTTGGTGCCGAAACTGGTGTTCAACAAGCAAAACCCGCACCGCGTGCTGATCTTCAGCTACAGCACGCGGATGCTGGATTTGATCCAGTCTTCGGTTTTACGACCCAACGGGGTGAAGTTCCTGCGCATCGACGGTGCGGTCGAATTACCGGAGCGGGAAAAAAAGATCCAAAAGTTCGAGAATGACACGAACGGCAAATTCCACTGCATGTGTCTCAGCACGAAGGTGGGGGGCGTGGGGTTGACGCTAGTGTCTGCGGACCGGGTGATCCTGGTGGAACCCGGGTGGTCGCCGGCGATCGATCAACAGGTAAATCGATATAGGGCGCCTTTGGTCATGCACCTGCGCCGTACTATATTCAGTTTCAGTTTCAGATTCACACTTTGTAGGGGCAGTAGTAGCATTAGCCAAATAGTATCATGATTGATGATGTGGATGTCCGTTGGCTCGCAAGTAGAAGTTACCAGGAAGTAAGGAAAAACAAAACACGCACTACCACTCATTTCCCAACAGGCGATGGACCGCGCGCACCGGCTTGGGCAGACGAAGGAGGTGGTCGTTTACCGTGTCATTTCGCACAGCACTATCGAGGACAAAATGTTTCGGGTGCAGGTGTTCAAGCAGGGTCTTTGCAAAACGGCGCTGGGCCGAGAGAACCAGCAGCGGTACTTCAACACCGACGAATTGAAAACGCTCTTCACGCCGATAGAGGACGGAGATAAAAAAGTTGTTGCTGTGAAGAAAAACAACCAATCCGGTGGCAGTTCTTCCTCCTCCTCATCCTCCTCTTCCGCGGTGAAGAACAAAAATCAAGCCGACGAGGAGAACATGCAGCTTGTCGCCGCCGATCCCTCGGACCAGCCGCAGCACAGCACGCTGCAACTTCTCGATTTCGAGCAGGATAGCGAGAAGGTACTGCAAACGTTAGTGGCGGACGTAGGGGAGGTTTCGGAGGAGAACTCCTTCTGGAAACGGGCGGGGTTGAAGGGGTTCGCGGATTACGCGGAGCTGTTTCAGAAAGAGGACGACACGGTGAAAAAGGACGCCGTTGCGGAGGAGGAAATTCTGGAAGAGGTCGAGGAAGCCGTGGTATTGCTGAAGTCCGAGACCTACGACCACCAAATCTCCGACTCGCCGAAACAACTGAGCAAGAAGAGAAACAACGGCGGTGCTGGTGGGAAGAACAAAAATGAGCTGGATTTGGAATTAAATGTGCTGATGGATTTGGACGAAGAGGAGGAAGTCGGCGAACCGGAGTTTTTGAAAAAAGAAGAGGATGGTGTTGAAGAAAACAAGGAAATGCCCGATGCAGGACCTGTGCAAGAAAATGAACGGGCAAAAGGAGAAAAGAGCAAGAATGAAACCAAAGAGGGTCATCTTCTTGAGGAACAGCCAGAGAACCCTGCTCTGGCTGAAGAACAGGAAGAAGATGAAGAGGATTTCGAGGAGCCTGAAGAGCAATCTTCGCCGGCCGCGGCTGAAGACGACGAAGCTGTAGGGAATAACAAGAAGGTGCAAGAAATAAACCGCGGACCAAAACAGGATGTTGTCATGCAGGACGCGGCTGAAGACAACTCGGCCCCGATTGAGGAGGCGGACGACCAAATGCTCACTTCGTAGGCGCTCGGAAGTACTAGCTGCGGAACGAAGTAGAAAAGTTCCGCAAATAACTAGTCAAACGAGAAGAGACAGTACCACCAGGGTAACAAGCTCACATCATCTCTGCGCAACAGAGAACCGAACGGAACGGCCTACGTTGAAGTTGATGAATACTTTTGTACGACGTGAAGATGAACTAAATCGCGAGTTGACTCATCCCAATAAATTGAAAGTCTAGCCCCCGGGAAACCTAGTTGGCACTGAAATACGAGCGCAAGATGAGTTGAAGTTGTCGTGTGAATCTGTAATTTGTACCCTCGAGAATGAAGAAACACAACTGCTGTGCGGACCTGTAACACTGCCTACGAAATAAGTAAAATGTTTCGAAGGCCTTCTCCCAGCCTTGTTCCTTCGTCCTATGAGGCCTGAGGAATACGACCCGGTCGAATCCGCAGTCGCTCAGGAGACTGGCATTGTGGCCACGACGGACGCCAGGCAGAAGTGAAACAGCGACGGTGTTTGAAGATGGTGCCCGGGTAGCGCATCAGCAATTGTTTGTGCCAGGCACTGGCTTTTGACGCCGTCTCTTGGCAACTTGAAACAGACCCAAATTTTAAACTCACGCTTCCGAACGTGTCTGAAGATCAACGAGCACACTTGACTTCTACCTTGCGATCAGATCATTGGTATGACTCTGTCTGAGCTAGCAAAGAAACGGCACAGTGCAGAAAGAAAAGCTTATGAAGAGAATGGTGCAGGAGCTCCCTGCTAGATGATGATAATGGAAGATCTACTTGAATGAGATGTGTTGTAGCTAGTTTAATAATCCCACCTCATGCTGTTGCTGTCCCTGTCTTCGTTGATGTTGTAGATCTTCGCTCTTTTTGTGTTGGATCCGACCTCACCCAAATTCACAGATTTGTCCGGCAGACAAAGCTTCTCAGACTCGGTTTTTTTGAATACTTCTGAACGGAACTCTGTTATTGTGAACGCACTTACTAACCTCTCTTAGGTGCCTGCCAACGCAGAAGTCTTGTTGATCTTCATCGTCAACGCGAGAATCAAATACTGAAAATTGGTATCAAAGCAATCGAAAGCGCGATAAATATCAATGCAAGATAGGACCACACGATTGGGATTGCAGCTGCAAGAATACCGAAGATCAGTAGAAAGCAGCAAGGAAGAACACTATGATGGCGCCGTCGACTGCGACGCCAGACACCGTGCGCATGTCCGCGTCAATTACCTTCCCCTGCTCCGAGGGCCGCGCAGTAGAGGAGGACCCGGTGGTGGAAAAGATCAAGGCGAAATGGAACTGCCCCCGCCTCAGCGACCGGGTAAAGTTCCGGCTGGATTGGGGCATGACGGGCGACGAGCAAGACAAAATTTTGTTCACGCACAAGGAGCTTCTGCACCTTGGCTTGCTGTGGTCCGACCTGGATCGCGATATTTTGCTCTATGAGGCAACGGATCCGGCTGAGGAGGAGGAAAAAAAGAAGAAGAAGAAGAAGCAAAACTACAAGCTGGATAGGCAGAAGATGCAAAATGATAAGAACCTCGCGAACGACGGTACGGGTACTTCTAAACGTGAAAATGCAAATGACAGCATTACGTTAGAGATGAACGAGACTACGTCCGACTCCGACGAGGAGGTGGAGGAAAGCGATCCACTGACGCGATTGATTGTGACGTACGAGGATTTTTCGGGCGCTTTTCTCGCGAAGTGCTGGAAGAAACGGTTTGGCGACGCCGTTCCATACCGGAATGAGCTCCCGGACATGACATTTTTGTCGATTATGGCTTTCCGGCCGACAGCAGAAGATTACACGACCAACAACAAAACGAAAAGTTTAACCTCCCATGCCTCAGAGGATACTTGTTGGCTGCGTCTCAGTGACGAATTGAACGGGAAGATTTTGGAAACAGACGACGACATTACGAACCGAATCATGCAAATCTTGGACGACTTTTTCCAAACGGAAAACGCGGATAAACTGTTCCAAGAAACGAAAACCCCTGGCGTACCGACAGGAGGTGTCCGAGAACCAGAACAAGGACCACATCCACCACATGGAGACAGCAAGAACGGTTCGTCCGTGAAGAACGGGAGTCAAAATCCACTTGATATCATTGAAGTGGAGACGCACCTGCGGTTGATTTTGACGTTGCCGGACTTTGCCATCGGCGACATGCTGCTGCGGCGGCCCATGCACAGTTGCGAAACGGAGTCGGACCTGCGGAAAATGTTCGGTTTGTTCGAGTGCGTTTTGGAAAATTTCCCGCAGCAGGCAGAAACCGAGAAAGACCACCCCCTCGTGGCTGAGGTTCTGTTTCGCTTCGCCCAGAGAGACTGGAAAGTCGCCGCGGAAGTGGACAAACGGACGAAGTGGATGATAAAAACAGGAGCGGAAAGGCCGGCCGAGCAGCTCCCGCTTGCTGCGTATCCCGATTTTGTGGAAAAAGGGTTGATGCAGCTTCTCCGTCATGGATTTTCCGCAGCTTCTGTTCGGACACCGGCTGGTGCGTACCATGAGCTGGTCGGCCCCGCGCCGTTTGGGTTCCCTCCGGCCAGGGCGGTCAAAAGTGCGGAGCTGTTTTCTGCCCTTCTTGGCATGAAGGATCTGCACGCATTGGCGGTGGAAAAAAATCGAGAAGTAAAGGCGGACGGTGACGTGGATAACTTCACCTCCTTCGATTTGAAAGCCGCCGCGGATGTTTTTCTGGAACGACCCGACTTGGCGGAAGCGGCGCGCATCTACCTCTGTCCCGTGGAAATGCGGAAAGAGCCCAAGAGCTTCTACAAACTGAAAACCTGGTCAGAGGAAAGGGAGCGATTTGAGAAGTTGTATCGCGCACCCAATCACAAAAAGTGGGCAGAAATAATGCGTCTGGCGCCACCAAGACCAACATCTACATCTACTCTTCCTTCAGCTGGACGAACTGGAGCTGGTGCTACAACCACGGGGCCGCCAGTACAGCCCCACATGTGTGAATTCTCGCCGCTGCCTAACGGTGGAAAATGACAGCACTTTGCTACAGATATAATATTGATAGTCTGTTTCCTGTTTTTCTTGTAAAGTTAGTTTCCTGCCTGCTCGGCCTTATTCTCAACAAGAACAAAAACAATCTTCATACAAGAATATGCAAGAACGAAGCCGGGTCCTCATTACGGAGATACAGATAGTGCTCTAACGACCGACAGCTACAAAAATCATGCTTGTGCCACTTCTGCAGGACAAAATCAAAGCTCAACAGAAAAATAGCGGATCGTCCAGGAAATCGTTGAGCTTAAAAAATGCGTTGAACTTGAAGCAAGATCCTCAGTCTTTCGCCGATCGCGTTGAAATTTGAACAAAACTAAACGTGGTCTTGCAAAATAATGTGGATGATAGAAAATTGAAAAGAAGAACAAGACGAAGAACCACGATGCTCATTGCGTGTTGCTGCTTCATCAATCAAACAAATTTGTCCTCACAAAATTCAACAGCACGAAGCGGCATCCGAATTGCTACGCTTTTTCTCGCTATCAACTTTAGATGCGATTTGGAAGAAAAATTGCATCTCGGAACGAGGAATAGATCCCTAAAAAGAATAAAAAGTCGCGACCCCGCACTCTTTTATCCCTCCTTTTTCACGAGCTTGTTGTTACCGCCATTTGTTTCACTCAGATTCATGTGTTATCGTGTGCGATGAAGCGAAGCGGAAGCACAAGCAGCATAATTTGTCCAGCCCATGTAGTATGGAAAATTAACGATAGCGAAATAACAAGATCGACCTATATTTTTCTACCCCAAAAATAAAATTCCCCCATTTATTCAAGGTTCGTCTTACCACCTAGTAAACGCCGTATTTATGTTTTCTAGAGCTCGACGAGTCACCCTCACCTCCACGTGTACTCAACAGGTTAGTTCTTGAAAAAGAAAAGTCTTTATTCAACATCAAGGAGCGCCGTTGAAGCTATCAATTGAAGTTGTCGAGGATTATTACACACCTCCCACCTCTCTCCCCACCGAGGATCGAGACTAACAACATCAACATGACTTCGCAACCGCCAGCACCTGGTTCGCATCACACTAAGATGCCGCCACCCCAGCACCTCCCGCCGCCGCCGAGCCACGATCCGCGGGGAGCGCCGCCCCCGACAGGAACTCCTGGTTACCACCCGCAGCCACGGGGAGCAGGTACTAGTGCAACGACCGGTGTTCATCTTGCGGGTGTCCTCCCGGGAAATCCGCCACCGCCCGCACCTAGTCCACCTGGTGGACTACAACCGCAGTCAATGATGCCATATAATCCAGGGCAACTACATCAAGGCACTATGAAAAATGGTCCACCAGCACCTCCCGGAATGATGCCAACATCTCAACATCCTGCCACTATGCAGCCGTCTTCCACCAGAGGGCTGCCGCCGGGAGGAGGTTCGGTTTCGCCCCCGCCGCCGCCGGCGATGCTGGTCCCTTCACAACAAGCAGGCGCAGTCCCGCGGCCAAACATCCGACCGCCGCCCGGAATGGCACCGGCAGGCAATGGCGCGACGACCAATGGAGGTGGAGCTGGGAACGGGAATGGTCATCCATTGAACCAACAACAGCAACAGCGTGGTGGTGCTCCTCAGGGTACTACCAGCCCGACTGGACCACCGCCACCACCGCCCCCACCGGGGATGGAGATGGTTGGTCCTCCAGGCATGGCCAAGGGAGCTGGAAAGATGGGTCAACACCAGCAGCACCCCGCGCCGGCTCCGCCACCGGGGATTGTCGCAGGAGCAGGGGTTGGCAGCTCCACCAAGCAAACAACACCGCACATGAAGACCTCCAATGTAGTAGGCCCGCCGCCGGGCATGGCTGCCGTGGCTCCGCAACAACCGCCAGCTGGGATGGCGGGGCAACAACCTTCGCCCGGAGTCGTGTCAGGGGGAAACATGGCCGCGCAGCGCGGGTCTCCACCTCCGATGCAGGGAGCAGGGCCGCATCCGCAGGCTGCTTACATCGCCGTGCCGACCGGGTACGGAGCGCCGCCTGCAGGAGCAGGCAAGGGACAGCCGCTGTACCATGAACAGGTATTGGATGTTGATAATTTTTCGGTGGTGCGGCTTCAATTTGTGTGATGGTATGTGATGTGTGGTCTGGTTGAATCTTCATCGCGAGTATGGTATAAAACGGCACGGCACGACGACAGGTGAAGTAGAATATGAAAGGTTAGTGTGCATTTATTGATCTTGCAGCAAGTACTCTGCAGCCCAGATTGATAAAGCAAAAGCACATATACACAACATCACTTCGTCATATTAATTCCAGAGATGACATCTTCCGAATTCAAATCATCTGCAAATCAATGCACCCTGCACATCAACACCAACAGGCCCGGTACAACAACGTCGCCCAGCCTCCGCACCCAACGGACCCTCGTTACGGTCTGGGTCCACCGCAGCAGCCGATGCACCCTGCCGGCGCGATGCCAACCTCGCCGCGTCCCGCGCCGCCAGCCGGCGCTGCCCCCGCACCGCAGGAACTACAACCACGCCAACGCATGTCGCACCAGCAGGCTGCAGAACACCAAGCCGCCGCACAGCAGCAGGCACAGAATCTTCAAGTACAGCAGCAGCATGCCGCCAACTATAACAACAACCAAACGGCGATAATTCCTCCGCCGAGGAGGAGCAAGCAAGCCCGGGCGTCCACCAGCACCCTGGATGAGTACCAAGCGCGGTGGGTGAAGCATATGGAGGTGAACAAGAAGATGCGGCAGAGGTTCCACAACGCGATTATGGCGTTCTCAAACGTTACGTCCTCAACTGTTACATAATTTGTCATGCAAAACTCGCAGCAGCATCTACACCATTAAGGAGCTGCTTCGCATGACAAATTGTCGAATGGCTAGACAGCATCTAAATCTGTACCAGACCTGTATTGCAAGAGGCGCAAACTTCCGCCTTTCACTCTTGCTGTTTTTGCATGACAAATCCATGTAACAATAGAGAATGTAACATTTGAGAACGCCATAGCGATGAAGGCGAAGTTTCCGGAGTACACCCGGGCCATGACGGAGTTGCAGAAGAACGACATGCAGGACGTGTACCTGATGGTGGGCATGCGCCACTGCTTGGTCATGATGCGGCACTACATCGGGGAACCCAGCGAGGAGCAGAAACTGGGCTACGGCACCGAGCAGCGCGTGGAAATGACGAAGCAGGAGCGCCACGACGAACGGCAGCGGCGCAAGGCGGAAAGGGACAAGCTGCGCGAAGAACAAGGAGCCACGCTGGGAGCCGCACGTAAGATGTTGAGACAGGATTTTTACGTTTTATTTCGCATGATGTTCTTGATGGATTCTGTTTTTTCTTGAAAATTCGACTTCGAGTAGAGGTTTAGATTTCATCTGCTGTCATTACACTTCTTGACTTGCACTTCTTCTTCGCGCATTTAAGTTCTTGAAAAGCAAATTGAACTTCATACTAAACCGCAGGTGCCACTTTCACCAGCACCGGGACGGCCGGAGACAATCCGCCGGCCGACCCGTGGTTTTTGCGCCAAGGGGGCCCTAGTGGAAGCGCAGACCCCGCGAAGGAAACTAATGCTGCTTCGAGCAAAGTGGCCAACTGGCGCGACGCGCAAGCGGAGCCGACGTCGAGCTATTTCGCAGCGCGGACCACCGCGAAGGACCCTGAACGCGGTGGCCTGCCGCGTGCCGGGTCAAAGGCGCCGAGTAGCTCTGCGTCGCAGTACGATGTCGTGAATAAGGAAATGTGGCGGACAGTGTCGACGCTTGAGCAGTCGTCCCCTGACAGCACTACTGCCGCGGCCGGTAATGGGATGAACAGCAACAGTGCCGGTAAGGATCATCAAAACAAGGACACTGACAACCCAACTGACGACTTCGTCCCGTTGTCCCGGCAACGGCAGGAGCAGGAGCGGTTGGCGCGCCAGGAGTCCACGGGTGGAGCGGGCGGGCTGCTGTCCCGCACCCATAGCAAGCCGCTGATGAAGACCGCAGACAAGGGAGAAGATGGCGAAGACGCCAAAACTCCGAACTCCTGGTACAAGCAGAAATTCAGTTCGTCGTCGAAACTCGGAGACCACGACGAGCCCGGCTCCAGCTCCAGCTACCCTCCCCGCGCCGCGACTGAGGATAACAGTACTAAGGAAAAGGATAATTACAAGAACTGGCGCGACGTCAGCAAGGAGCACGATTACAACGAGCCCGGCTCCGGGTACCAGAGACGCTGGCACTACACGCAAAGTGGTCAAGATGGTGCGAAAGGGACCACGTCGACGTCGAACAAAGAGTCAGGCAGCCGATACGACCGGTTCAACAGTAGCAACGCCTCCACTAAAGAGGATTACTTCGGAGGCAGCCGGGACGAGGACTACCACAACTCCTGGGACAGCAACCATCGCGACTGGGACCGGGGCTGGAAGAGCAAAAACAAGCGGGATCATAAGTACGGTTGGGAGAACGACTTTTTCGACGACTACAATAATTCCGACAAGGAAGACGATCCCTACAGTAACTGGAAGCCGGACGCGCTGGACAATTCCAACTCCTACGATACGGCACTCACCAACTGGAAAAACGAACAATCTTCCGGTAGTTACTTGAACAACGATTCCTCCAATTCAGGAACAGCTACCACGTCGGACTCCTGGAATAACCAGCAAGCGACCGGCGCAGGAGCTGTGACCGCGACGAGTACAACTTCTCGCCGCCAGCAGAAGGAGAAGGAGCGGGAGGAGGATGAGCGACGGGAGGTGGAAGCGGCGAAGCGACTGGCGCAGGAGTTGGAGCAGACGAAGCAGAAACTGGAACAGGAGCGGCTGAAGCGGTTGGAGCTGGAAGAGAAGAAGAAGCAGGAATCGGCGCTGGAAGAGGTGAAACAGCGGAAAATCCGGGAGCAAATTCGAGAGGAAACGGAACGGCTGGAAAAGAAAAAGAAGCAAATCGAGACGGAGTCCAAAGCCATGGAAGTACAGAGACAGAAGGAAGCGGCGGAGTTTAGAAGGTAGTACCGTTTTGATGTTGTCTTCAAGAGCTTTTTAGGTCGTTGTTCACTTGCTTCTACAGAGGGACCACATGGTTTTTTGATGCAACACAAGATTTCGTGCCATGTGCGCTCCTGTGCAACGTTACTAGCGTGTCAGCACTTATAGTTGTTCTGGTGTGCTCGGCGCTTTTTCTGTTTGTAGTTACGCTCTCGCGAGTTGTTGTTTTTTTCTCCATGCCACAATCACAATGTTCGATCATGAACCAAAAATAAAGAATCCTCCTCGCAGATTGATGAATCACAATGATGAAAAATCGTATATGACCCACGACCTCGCAGGTTGCAACTGAAGCAGCGCGAAGAGTCTCAGCGGAAGGCCCGGGAGGACCGGGAACGGGAGGAGCGCGAGCTACAGCAGAAGCGACTGGAGCTAGAACAGTGGGAAACCAAGTTGAAGCAGCAGGAGGAGCAGGCAAGGCGAGCTGAGCGAGAACAGCAGGAGCATCTGCAGCGGCAACACAGTAGTACTGCTGCACCATCTCACAAACAGCTGAAAGTTCCGCTCCCGCCGCCGCCGATACTGCCGTCCTCCCCACCTCATGCCGATTTGGAGATGGCTTCGCCGCCGTCCGGGGGAGGCTACTCGAGTTATCAAAGTTCGCTCGCGGGCTCACCAGGAGCTTCGATTGATGTGGAACAGGGTCAGCAACAGCATGCTAGGGCCAGCACGCCAGGTCAGCATCATCCACCCGGAACGAAAGGACAATCCTCCTCGCAGATGGCGGGAAAAAATAACGCGATGTTAAACAAGGCTGTTGTGACCGCCCCGCCAATGATCTCGCCACCGACAATCGCCCCGCCGAGCATTCCAACGCCACAGATCCCGACGCCGCAGAAACATTCTACTTTGGCGGGAGCGCAAAAGGACCAAACTTCTGACAAGAAGGCACCATCTTCTCGCAGTTCTCCCGTCGGGCCTGCTTCAAATAAGATGAGCGACTCCGTTGCCTCCACTCCCGCTGCAGCGAAGACCTACGGTGACGAGGACGACGCTGATTACAATAAGAACAGTGGCTCGTGGAAGGATTACGGGAACAACAACAAGTGGGAAGATGATGTGGACCGACGGAACTACAAAAACTCGTGGGAAAATAACTACAAGAACGACTATGGATCTTCTGGCTGGAAAGACTACGATAAGAATGAGGACAGTGGGTACAACAACAGTAGATACAAGCATTACGACGACGATGAAGTAGCCAAGAATTATGCTTGGAACAAGAAGAAGTACGAAACAAACTACGACAAATACGACGATTTTGACATCAATGAAGTGGAAAGCGACGAAGAGAGAAATGAAAAGCCAGTCCAGAAGAATTATGATTACCGCGCCGGCAAAACCAAACACCAAGAAGAACCGCCGAAGCCCGAACCTGTGCTCGATTACACCAAGCCTGTGGAGCATTTCACCGGTCCGAAGGCGAAGAAGAAGGTGAACAACCACTTCGGCGCTCTGATGGCGAGTCAGGATGATAGCATCAGCGACGACGAGGAGGGTGGATCTCTGAACAAGTCGACGAGTAGCAAGGTTTCCGTCCCGCCACCGACCGCACCGCCGCCCCCAGAATCTTCAAATCTGATGTTGAATCTCACCAATGTAGCAGTTGCTGCTGAGCCAGGTCAAGCACAGCCGCGGTTTGCGAAGGTCCGGAACCTGAACGCGCTGGGGGATCAGGACCATGGGGACGAAAGTCCGGATGCGAAGGACTTGCAGGCCCAGCGGATGCAGCAAAACGTGTCCGCCGCGGCGTTAGCCGCCCGGGAGGCCGAGAAGAAGAAGCAGAAGAAGCTGGCGAAAAAAGAGCTGAAAGACCCTCTGGCGAAGCCGACGGCGTTGAAAAAAGGCACCGCTGGATTAGACAACGCGCCGGCGAACTTTGGCGCCACCGGAGCGGACAGAAGGCGGTACGCCCACATTGTGGAAAGCGCCAAATACGTGCCGCCTGGTACAACAGTCAGACTCATGCTTCCTTTTCTTTTACATTTACGGCGGTAGAAGTCGCGGAGAGTGTTAGTTTCATCGTTGGAGAAATTTTAATTTTTCTTGTTCATGATATGAGTAGATTGGCGCCTCCCCTTTTGGCCTTATAGGCACATGCAAAGTCCGATAAGCACCCGCCTTTCTTTGTAGAAGTGGACTGTTTCAACTCTAAATTGAATTATTTCGTAGTACTGCAATTCCAGCAATTTTGTCTTTTTCTTTCCAGGTGCTGAGGAGTACTACGAACAATACGAGGAGGACGCGCGGCTTCCGCCGTCTTCTCACCCGCCACCGCCGCCGGCGACCGTTGCTGGAGAGAGCAAGCCGGCGAATTTTTCATCCACCCTGAGCAACAAAGCAAAGCCAGCCCCTGTCGTCACCGCAAAGTCGTCGAAGGTAGAAGAAGTGTTTTTTCTATGAGCGGGAAATAACAACTTGCGTTGGTTTGATACCATAAAAATCCACCTGTTCTCTTGTGTTTCGCCACCTGTTCGATTTGTTGATTGAACGAATTTTTATACATAGTACAAAACGCACCGCGACTTTGTCCGAACATCAAGCATGCGACGTTGACAGCACGATCCACCACCTCCTGATATTCGCTACATAACACCAAACAGGTCGCCAACCCTGCCGTGTCCGCCTCGAAGACCGGCACCGCGTCCGCTTGGGGCAGCAGCCAGCAAAACCAAGCTAGGGCATCAACCGTCGGAGGCTCGGGCTCTGCCTGGGATAGCAGCATCGGAAACAACCGCGGTCGCGCCGGCTCTACAGGAGACCTTTCGTTTGATGCGCAATTGGAGCTGGCAATGCAGCTCTCTCTGCAGGAACAGAAGCAAAGCACAACATCAACTTCTATGTCGCGCGGGTCGCCGGCGAAAGCGGTTCCCCCGCCCGCCATGCCGCCGGTCATGGGCGCTGCAGCTGGTAATATTAATGCCTTCCCGGCGGTGCCCTCCAAAGCCGGAGTTCCGCCGCCCGCCAAGCCGGTTCCGTCCACGAAGGCCGGAGGAGGTGCTTCTAGTGCCGGTCAGTCTACGTCAGCGGGTAGTAAAAGGAAAGCGAATGGAGCCAATGGAACAACGACGAGTGGTCCACCACCACCTCGTGCAGCTGTCAATCCTTCCTCCAAGGAACCTCCGCCGCCGCCTGCTGCCGCTCCGGCACACCAGCAGGAGCCTTCTCCAAATGCGGCAGAACAAGACGCGGAACAGCTCTTGAAGGAGTTCCTGAGAAACGACCCCTGGTATGCGGATATGGAGAAAAACCGGAAGAAATTAGACAAGAAGCTCCGGGAGATCACCAAATTAGAGGAACAAGACCTCGCGGGCGCGCACCTGCAGACGAACCAGATGCAAAAAATCATGGAGAAGCCAGAAATTGAGCAGCAGTTGAAGAAGTGCGAGGACGAACTGCTTTCGATGGAGGCGGACATGCGGGAACAGCAGAACATCGCAAAACACTCGGAGGAGCGGGCGGAAAACCGAAACGTGCTGACCACAGCCGACAAGTCGGAAATGACCGCCAGGCAGAAAGCCCGGGCAAGGCTGAAGGCGAATCGGAAGTGATTGGATTCATCACATTCTGGTCGTGATAAATGATTTCTTGTCGTGGGCCGCCAAAGAGTTTTTGCGTAATTATACTGTAGAATAATTTAGTACAACATCTTCGACAGCGCAAGACCAAGACAAGATCTAGCTGCACCAGCCTTGCGAAGAACACTCGAAAACATCAGCAGGTTCTTTCGAGTTTGTATAAAATCGATATAATTTCATATCAATAAATCGATGTCACTACATCAATCAGAATCGCTGTCGCCGACATTATTTGGGCGGAAACTTACCTACGGAGAACGTTGCCGCTGCACGCGCAGAGATACTTTGGATGACCGGAAACACGAGGCCGCTACTTCTCTTATCCCAAAGAAAAAAGCCGACAGGTCAGAAAAAAAGTAATTAAATAATAACTGTCATTGTCAACAATAAAAGCAAAACAAAACAACAAAAAAAATTGCCGCCATACCATGCGGATTAGCTTCAGGACAGATCAGCAATCCGCGCGAATCACGGTGGGACTGTTATTGTCAACAATAAAAGCAAAACAAAACAACAAGAATAAACTGCCGCCATACCATTCGGATTAGCTTCAGGACAGATCAGCAACCCGCGCGAATCAGGGCGGGACGGCGATCGCCTGCTTTTTTTATTTTTGCGACGAATTTCGCCCATTCGCGCCATACCGTGCGGGCTGGGTTTCGTAGGGGGTTGCCGGGCTGGGTTTCGTAGGGGGTTGCCGGTTTCGCCAATCCGCACGGCACGGCGCCCGCAGTCGGTTTTGCGGCTTTTGCGGATTTCCTATGTTCGCGCCATAGCGTGCGGGCTGGCTTTCTGGCGAAGCTGCCGGCTTCGCGAATCCGCACGGCACGGCGGTCGCGGTTAGTTTTTTAAATTTTGGCGAGTTTTTTTGTTTCGCGCCATACCGTGCGGGCTGGGCTTCGTACGGGGTTGCCGGTTTCGCCAATCCGCACGGCACGGCGTCCGCCGTCGGTTTTGCGACTTTTTGCAAATTTTTGCTGTTCGCGCCATAGCGTGCGGGCTGGCTTTCTGGCGAAGCTGCCGGCTTCGCAAATCCGCATGGCGCGGCGGCCGCGGTTAGTTTTGTGAATTTTGGCGATTTTTTTTCTTTCGCGCCCTACCGCGCGGGCTGGGCTTCGTAAGAGGTTGCCGGCTTCGCCAATCCGCACGGCACGGCGCCCGCAGTCGGTTTTGGGACTTTTGGCGAATTTCCTTTGTTCGCGCCATACCGTGCGGGCTGGCTTTCTGGCGAAGCTGCCGGCTTCGCGAATCCGCACGGCACGGCGGCCGCAATTAATTTTGTAAATTTTGTCGGGTTTTTTCCTTTCGCGCCATACCGTGCGGGCTGGCCTTCGGGCGAAGTTGCCGGCTTCGCGCATCCGCATGGAACGGCGGCCGCAATTAGTTTTGCGAATTTTGGCGAGTTTTTTGCCTTCACGCCATACCGTGCGGGCTGGCGGTCGCAAGAGGGTGCCGGCGTCGCGAATCCGCACGGCACGGCGATCGCAATTATCGCTCCAAAATAGGAAGGCAGGAGCTTGGAAACCGTCGAAGATTTTGCCAGCTTTGCGAATGTTCCCGAATGTCCGGAGTCGCCGGATTCAGAGGCGGCGAGGCGTCAAACCCTCGCCAAGCTTTTCAACTTTTGGGAATGCCAAAAATGCGACCCCCTCCTCTATCTGCGGAAGCTGGCATACTTCAAGCAAATTGCTCCCGCTTCTGGTAATTTTTGCCGAGTTCGTCCGCGGATACTTTCGAATATTCGGAATCGCTTCAAAATAGGCAGGCAGGAGTTTGGAAACTGTCGAAGGTTTTGCCAGCTTTTCGAATATTCCCGAATATTCGGAATCGCCGGAATCAGAGGCGGCGAGACTTCAAATCCTTGCCAAGTTTTTCAACAATTGGGAATGCCAAAAATGCGACCCCCGCCTCTATCTGCGGAAACTGACATACTCAAAATAAATTACTTCCTCTTCTGGAAATTTTTGCCGAGTTCGTCCGCGGATACTTTCGAATATTCGGAATCGCTTCAAAATAGGCAGGCAGGAGTTTGGAAACTGTCGAAGGTTTTGCCAGCTTTTCGAATATTCCCGAATATTCGGAATCGCCGGAATCAGAGGCGGCGAGACTTCAAATCCTTGCCAAGTTTTTCAACAATTGGGAATGCCAAAAATGCGACCCCCGCCTCTATCTGCGGAAACTGACATACTCAAAATAAATTACTTCCTCTTCTGGAAATTTTTGCCGAGTTCGTCCGCGGATACTTTCGAATATTCGGAATCGCTTCAAAATAGGCAGGCAGGAGTTTGGAAACTGTCGAAGGTTTTGCCAGCTTTTCGAATATTCCCGAATATTCGGAATCGCCGGAATCAGAGGCGGCGAGACTTCAAATCCTTGCCAAGTTTTTCAACAATTGGGAACGCCAAAAATGCGACCCCCGCCTCTATCTGCGGAAACTGACATACTCAAAATAAATTACTTCCTCTTCTGGAAATTTTTGCCGAGTTCGTCCGCGGATACTTTCGAATATTCGGAATCGCTTCAAAATAGGCAGGCAGGAGTTTGGAAACTGTCGAAGGTTTTGCCAGCTTTTCGAATATTCCCGAATATTCGGAATCGCCGGAATCAGAGGCGGCGAGACTTCAAATCCTTGCCAAGTTTTTCAACAATTGGGAATGCCAAAAATGCGACCCCCGCCTCTATCTGCGGAAACTGACATACTCAAAATAAATTACTTCCTCTTCTGGAAATTTTTGCCGAGTTCGTCCGCGGATACTTTCGAATATTCGGAATCGCTTCAAAATAGGCAGGCAGGAGTTTGGAAACTGTCGAAGGTTTTGCCAGCTTTTCGAATATTCCCGAATATTCGGAATCGCCGGAATCAGAGGCGGCGAGACTTCAAATCCTTGCCAAGTTTTTCAACAATTGGGAACGCCAAAAATGCGACCCCCGCCTCTATCTGCGGAAACTGACATACTCAAAATAAATTACTTCCTCTTCTGGAAATTTTTGCCGAGTTCGTCCGCGGATACTTTCGAATATTCGGAATCGCTTCAAAATAGGCAGGCAGGAGTTTGGAAACTGTCGAAGGTTTTGCCAGCTTTTCGAATATTCCCGAATATTCGGAATCGCCGGAATCAGAGGCGGCGAGACTTCAAATCCTTGCCAAGTTTTTCAACAATTGGGAACGCCAAAAATGCGACCCCCGCCTCTATCTGCGGAAACTGACATACTCAAAATAAATTACTTCCTCTTCTGGAAATTTTTGCCGAGTTCGTCCGCGGATACTTTCGAATATTCGGAATCGCTTCAAAATAGGCAGGCAGGAGTTTGGAAACTGTCGAAGGTTTTGCCAGCTTTTCGAATATTCCCGAATATTCGGAATCGCCGGAATCAGAGGCGGCGAGACTTCAAATCCTTGCCAAGTTTTTCAACAATTGGGAACGCCAAAAATGCGACCCCCGCCTCTATCTGCGGAAACTGACATACTCAAAATAAATTACTTCCTCTTCTGGAAATTTTTGCCGAGTTCGTCCGCGGATACTTTCGAATATTCGGAATCGCTTCAAAATAGGCAGGCAGGAGTTTGGAAACTGTCGAAGGTTTTGCCAGCTTTTCGAATATTCCCGAATATTCGGAATCGCCGGAATCAGAGGCGGCGAGACTTCAAATCCTTGCCAAGTTTTTCAACAATTGGGAACGCCAAAAATGCGACCCCCGCCTCTATCTGCGGAAACTGACATACTCAAAATAAATTACTTCCTCTTCTGGAAATTTTTGCCGAGTTCGTCCGCGGATACTTTCGAATATTCGGAATCGCTTCAAAATAGGCAGGCAGGAGTTTGGAAACTGTCGAAGGTTTTGCCAGCTTTTCGAATATTCCCGAATATTCGGAATCGCCGGAATCAGAGGCGGCGAGACTTCAAATCCTTGCCAAGTTTTTCAACAATTGGGAGCGCCAAAAATGCGACCCCCGCCTCTATCTGCGGAAACTGACATACTCAAAGTAAATTACTTCCTCTTCTGGAAATTTTTGCCGAGTTCGTCCGCGGATGCTTTCGAATATTCGGAATCGCTTCAAAATAGGCAGGCAGGAGTTTGGAAACTGTCGAAGGTTTTGCCAGCTTTTCGAATATTCCCGAATATTCGGAATCGCCGGAATCAGAGGCGGCGAGACTTCAAATCCTTGCCAAGTTTTTCAACAATTGGGAGCGCCAAAAATGCGACCCCCGCCTCTATCTGCGGAAACTGACATACTCAAAGTAAATTACTTCCTCTTCTGGAAATTTTTGCCGAGTTCGTCCGCGGATGCTTTCGAATATTCGGAATCGCTTCAAAATAGGCAGGCAGGAGTTTGGAAACTGTCGAAGGTTTTGCCAGCTTTTCGAATGTTCTCGAATATTCGGAATCGCCGGAATCAGAGGCGGCGAGGCTTCAAATCCTTGCCAAGTTTTTCAACAATTGGGAGTGCCAAAAATGCGACCCCCGCCTCTATCTGCGGAAACTGACATACTTAAAATAAATTACTTCCTCTTCTGGAAATTTTTGCCGAGTTCGTCCGCGGATACTTTCGAGTATTCGGAATCGCATCAAAATAGGCAGGCAGGAGTTTGGGAAGTGCCGAAGGTTTTGCCAGCTTTTCGAATATTCCGAATATTCTCGAATATTCGGAATCGCCGGAATCAGAGGCGGCGAGAATAGAAATCCTTGCCAGGTTTTTCAACGCTTGGGAATGCCAAAAGTGCGGCCCCCATCTCTATCTGCGGAAGCTGACATACTTAAAATTAATATATTGCTTCGCCCTCTGGAAGTTTTGCCGAGTTCGTCCGCGGATACTTCCGAATATTCGGAATCGCCCGAATCAGAGGCGGCGAGGCTTCAAATCCTTGCCAAGTTTTTCAACGCTTGGGAATGCCAGAGATGGTATGGCGCGAAAAAAAAAACCCGCCAAAATTTACAAAACTAATTTCGGCCGCCGTGCCGCGCGGATTCGCGAAGCCGGCAGCTTCACCAGAAAGCCAGCCCACACGCTATGGCGCGAACAAAGAAAATCCGCCAAAAGTCGCAAAACCGACTGCGGGCGCCGTGCCGTGCGGATTGACGAAGCCGGCAACCTCTTACGAAGCCCATGGCGCGAAAGGAAAAAACCCGCCAAAATTTACAAAACTAATTGCGGCCGCCGCGCCGTGCGGATTTGCGAAGCCGGCAGCTTCGCCAGAAAGCCAGCCCGCGCGGTATGGCGCGAGCAAAGGAAATTCGCCAAAAGTCGCAAAACCGACTGCGGGCGCCGTGCCGTGCGGATTGGCGAGGCCGGCAACCTCTTACGAACCTGCACGGTAAAGCGCAAATGGGAAAACTCGCGGAAATTTACAAAAATAATTGCGGCCGCCGTGCCGTGCGGATTCGCGAAGCCGGCAGCGTCGCCAGAAAGCCAGCCCGCACGGTATGGCGCGAACATAGAAAATTCGCCAAAAGTCGCGAAACCACTTGCGGGCGCCTTGCCATGCGGTTTGGCGAATTCGGCAAACTCTTACGAAGCCCAGCCCGCACGGTATGACGCGGAACAAAAAAGCTCGCCAAAATTTGCAAAACTAATTGCGACAGCCGTGCCGTGCGGATTCGCGAAGCCGGCAGCTTCACCAGAAAGCCAGCCCGCACGCCATGGCGCGAACGTAAAAAATTTGCAAAAAATGGCGAGACCGACTGCGGGCGCCGTGCCGTGCGGATTGGCGAAACCGGCAACCCCTTACGAACCCCAGCCCGCACGGCATGGCGCGAATAAGCGAAATTCGCCACAGAAATGATTTAGGCGGGCGATCACCGTCCCACCGTGATTCGCGCGGATTGCTGATCTATCCTGAAGCTAATCCGCATGGTATGGCGGCAATTTTTTTTGTGGTTTTTTTTTGCTTTTATTGTTGACAATAACAGTTATTATTTAATTATTTTTTTTCTGACCTGTCGGCTTTTTTCTTTGGGATATCTCTTAGTTTGTACAAGAGCCACAACGTCGAAAGTCGACTTCGCCATGAGCGTCGTCACTTAAACACATCGACATCCACATGCATTCCTATTCGTAGTCCCTGCTGCTTGCGGCACAAACGTAATATTCTTTCACCGCAGGATGAGGGGAAGACGAAACATTACCAATCGGTTTTCATTTTCAAAAAACGAGGACCTGCTCGAGAGGAACTCCTTGCTGGTACTCTTTATTGAGTAGCGCACCGAGTTTGTTTCGTATACTACAATCTTTCACACGGTACAATCCAATATGCATTTTTCAAATCTTCAATTAAAGTTTGCAAGCTGGCGAGTTGTAGACAGCATATTTACTGTTAGCAACATTATAGCAATGTACAACAACTTGGACGGTACCAGAGTTGATGGTGGAGACGTAAAAACGGACGAGACAGCCCCGAACACATGAAATGTGTGGTTTTGGCGAGACCGAGAGCTTGATGTTGAGGCAGTAGTAGAGCAAATTTTGACCATTACTCAGCGTCAGCGTACATCACGACTACAAAGTACAACAGCAAGTACACTACGTTTTCTTTTGTTGCATGTTTTGCATGTGCAGCTTTCGCCATTGTGGCTTTCGAAGATCATGAGCTTGCTGCAGGACGACACGATGAAGATTTTGCCGTGTGCTTGATTCCACACAGTTAGCTAAATGACATAACCCAGAGCTGCAGGCATTTTGCTATTGGATTTGAGCAGGAGCACCCGCATTGTTTTCGAACAATTTTCACGTATTCGAAATGAGATTGACCTCGAGGATTGATGGCCTACGCCTATCGTAAAGGGAAACAATACGTAAGTTGTACTAGATTTCATGGTTGTATATCACACGCATATGAATATCATCACGAAGCATTCAAGAAAAAAGGCAAGCATGGGAAGCGAAAGGCAGAAGCCGCAAGAAATTGTTCGTTGTATCAGTGGCGGCAAGAAAACGAATCTGTCACTGAAGACACCGCCAGCGCCGCTATTTTGCTTTGCTAGTTTCGAAAATTGAGGATCTCTTCGTGGTTTTTCTCTATGGCGCTAATGCGAAGGCGAAGCGGCAAAAATCTTCAAAGGGGGTGTATGACCATTGCAAAACGATCATCATTTTTACTGCAGGCTTTGATGGTGCTCCTGTCTTTTATTCACTCGTTTTGGGTTTAGAATGAGATGGAGATGGACGTTTTAATGCAGTGGCATCAAATTCAAAAAGCGTGTGCTGTCCTTCTTCTTGTCTACGTAGTGGTAGTTCAACGAGAGCAAGTTCCATTTCGTCCCCTCCACTTCGTGCCTGCGTACTAGGTAGTTGTGAATTACCATTTTTGGAAGCGAGTTGTGTGCTAGCAGTAGCACCGCCATATTAATCGACCATCTCCACCACGACCAAAAGGATGTCCGGTGCAGGTCTGAATTTCCACAATGGAACCTCTCTCTCGTCCAGCTCGCACCTAGACATCGCGAGACGGTCGCTGGAAGAATTCGAGCGCGCCAATTTGATTTCTCTGGCGGGCCAGGAACTTTTAGACCACTTGCGGTCGCAAACCAAGCACGCGAAACAGGTGCCGAAGCACCTCCGGCAGATGTACTTCCCCTCCTACGAGGTGTTCACGGAAAGATCCAGCATTACGGAGTTCTCCAAAAACCGGGTGCTGCGGTTGAAACAGGTGAAAGCGGACGTCACCGAGGAGGACCTGTATTGCGGGATCTGCAAGGTTCTGGTGGCGGAGATTCGGGACCAGCAGAAGAAGTTCGACCTGCAGCAGCAGTGCCCCTACATGGCGGAGAGACTGACTAACATGGGCGGGGGGAAAAAGAAGAAAAAGAATCACGCGTTCTCCTCCTCCGGCTCGGAGGATAACGAATCGGGCGGTGAAGGAGGGTATGCATTGCAAAAATAGCATCGTACCAATCGCAATTTTTTCCAATAGGAAAAACAAAGGCGACATTATTTGGAACGCTTAGTAGCTGATTACAAAACGGATTCATCGTGATGCAGAAGTATTTCAGTTAGAAGTTTTACGAACTTTTACTTTAGTACGACTGCTATTTTGCAGTGGATCAGAGAAGAAATCTAACCGAAGAAGAGAGGGAGGCGCGGAATGAGAGGAAAAAGGCGGATAACTGGTTTCAGGTACTAGGACTGGAACCGAAACGTTGCAGGTTGCATCTATGAGTATGTTGACAAGCGACAGCTCACTTTTCGACTGTATCTTCGTTTCGAAATAAAAATCCAGGTTCGCGTCGGTAAGATGACCAAGGAAGAGTGCCAGTTTGCCGTGGAGGGAGGTAACAGCAACAAGCCCCAGTTGAAGGAAGTTGTCACCGTGCACATCTCTATCCGGGAGGAGAAAATCGACGAGCTGCTTCCCCTTCTGAACCACGGCTTCGAGCGTTGGGACCGGTCTTACGACAAGATTCTCTCCCCCGCGAAATCCTGGAAGCTAAAAGCCGACTGGGGCAGCTACATCGTCGTGGACGAGATGCACGCGGCGAAATTGGCCTCCGCCGCGGAAACGCTGAAGCAGTTCCAGGCGAAAAAAGCGACGAAGCGGTTACTGGCCGGGCTGGCAGACTCTCCGGGGGACGCGACCACCGCAGTACCGACCCCGGAAGACCACAATTTGCGCACCAGCAACACGAGCAGTGGGGGTCTATTGAGAGGAAACATTCCCCCCTCATTTTGAAAAGGTGTGTTTCCAAAAATTTGTGTTGCGGATTTGAGGTCACAGATCACGTCTGTCTTGCAAGAAGACAATGGCAGAAGCTTCCGGACCATTATGGAAGCGATTTGTCATGATGTTGGGCCTAAAGGGGGGCCGTTTGCCATGCTGAACTACTAGACCCATAGCCATACGCCGCTACCTAGCCTGGGGATCTGGCCGCAGTGCCTCTCTGCAATACAAAGCTGATTTGTGGTCACAAATTAGCATCACAGGCTCACAAATCAGATATCAGGTGGATCACAGGCTCACAAATCAGCATCACAAATTTCCGTTTTGATATGGGGAGGGGGGATTTTTCATTTTGATAGGGTCCGACGAGTGACCACGACCGTAGAGGCGGTCGCAGAAGGCGCACGAGCGACGAACTGATCGACAACGAAGAAGGGCGGAGGGACAGCATCGGCGCCTTAACTGCGCACAGCAACGAGCACAGCCTGGCCGGGCGAGGCAGTCGTAGTGCATCAATGAATATCGGAGTCCACGGAGGTATGATGGGTAACGCGATATTAAACGTCGAAGGGCAACACAGACACCAAAATCCGAGCTCAGCATCGAATTCGCCCGATCTGGAAGATGAGGACAACGGGAGCTTCCACAGCTCACTCGACGATGATGGCCAGGAAGGCGCGGGGTGTAGTGATGAAAACGACGAGAACTCTGACCAAGATTCAAACGCAGAGCGCGGCTCGGACAGTGAATCGGAATCGTCTTCCGATGTTGACTCGTCTTCGGACGAAGAAGAGTGATGAAAAGATTGACTGGGACCTGCTCCGAACATGGAACCTCGAAAAAAAATCGGAGCGCCAGAGGACATTGCATCCCGAATAACCAGTATCTATACCTTTAGGAGGACTGATCCGTGCGACTTAGCAACGGCGTCCTCAAAATGGACAAGATACTTACTACAAGAACCGGAAATGCGATGAAGGTCACATTCTTGATCTACCACTTTTAGTCATGGCGTCATAATTTTGCAACATCAAGACTACACATAGCAGGATGATGATGGAAGTGCTGTTGTAAAAATTTGTGTTTCATAGCACGTGCACGTCAGGTTACAGCAAGCACACCTTTCGATAGAAGGAGAAAGCAAATACAGACTGAATGGACGGGTGCCGTGACACAGACTGCAAAATGAAAAATCAATACATCGGCGGTTTCCACGTTCGTTCTGCCCTAGGCTAGCTGCTTTCTCAAATCGATTCTGGTATTCGATTGCCTTACGGCTAGGTTTTGCAGCACAGCTCCACTCTGTACAACTCTTGGAGGCTCACCTTTGTTACCCTGGATGAAATGTCGGGTTACAACTTCTTGACCGAGTGAACACGACATGAAGAAAAGCATTACTGAGGAAAAAACATCAAATCGTCAAGTCGTGCCTGCCGCTCTGTCCTTGTATTCTTGAAACTTGCCACAAATGCCCTCGGTCAAATGTCGGTCAACATCATGATCATGCTGTGGTTTTTTCGAATCAAAGTCAGTGCCTTTCATCTCCTACTGCTTCAGGGCCTCGGTACACGCTGATGTGCTCCTGAGAATGATGAAGTAGAAATACGTGAAAGTTTAGTCAACAAGTATACAAAGTCACACAACGCAGAACGATCTCGATCAGATGGCGGATGTGATTGCGAAAGCAGGTTGGTGATTATAATTCTCAATGGACTTAAGCCCTCACGATCCTGCTCAGGCCGCACGCAATATATGTACATTCTCATACAACTACCCATGATAAGATACATAGATGATCTACCCTCTGATTCTCGAAATGATTATTCATAGTCCTCCCATGAGAACGCGTAGGCGTACCCATAGATACCACGCAAAGTGGATGCAGTAGTTGTAGCATCATTCACCATCACCCTCGCATTGTCCATAAAGAAAAGCTATTGATTGTAATTCACTAAAGAAGTTCGTTGGAGATGTTGGTGTGCAAGTACCATTGTCATGGTGCTGTGACGAGGGAATTACTCTTCGGATCTCGGGGCGGACATGTCAAAGTAGCTCGTCGCGCACGAATTGCTTTGGTGATGATGTCGCCAAGCAGTACCAATGGACACCAAGACCAACTACAGTCGTCTCACTAGGGTGTTGTAGCTCGCCCCAGCGACAGCACGGACCTAGTACGTCTGTATGATTTGAAAAAATAATCCATGAACACAAGATGCCTTCCCAACCCGATCCTCAGATGAGTAAACAAGCGAAGTCCGCCTCTCCCTGGTGGATTCAGGGCGGCAAAGGCGGCGTGCTGGACATTCAAATGGAGAAACGGGCTCGGGGGAACAAGGTGACAATTTTGAAGAATTGCTACGGGGACGTGAAACAGCTCTCGTTGCTGCTCCGCCACCAGTTTCCCCCTTTGACCGACAATCCTGACGTGTTGATCTGCGACTCCGATGGTGCACCAACGGGGAGTCCGGATAAGGACTCGCCCCACTCGCTGGTTCTACCCGGCGACTGCCGCGTTTCCCTGGAGCACTGGCTGTTTGAAAACTACGACTCATCCAAGGTGTTGGAAGAGAAAACGGCGCTGCGCGGCATACGCAAAATGAGCAACTTGGCGGCGCAGGCGTTGGCAGGAATGACGGGAAAGAACGAACAGCAGGGTGGAACAAATAGTGCAGGAGCTAGTAAATCGCAAGCCGGCGGCTCCTCCTCTTCTACCTCGGGAACGACCGCGAATACTAACCAAATGAAGACTACCGTCGGTGCCGACGGGGTTCCTTTGTTAGTCCAGACTACCACAGCGCCGGGCACAAATAGGGACTTTCTCGACGCGCTGAAGGGGATCCGGAAGCAGGTTCCCTACGACCACCCCATGGAGACCGCGCCCTGCTGGGTCTGGCACGGGTGGTGGCCTTACTGCACCGGGAACTGTCAGCAGACGGAAGACAAGGACCTGTTTTTTTGCTTGGAAGCGGACCCGGGGTACAATGGGAAGGGCGGTGAAGATGTGGAGCTGCGAGGACCACCTGGTGCTAGAAGTAGAAGTACTGGAGGACAAGAGGATGCGGTCGGCGTGGAAATAGATTCAGCGAGGAGTCGTGGTACAAGCACGTCCGGTACAGTTTCGCCAGCAGGACGACAAATCACGACGGCGCGTCGCTTCGACACGGCAGAAGCGGGCGCTATTTTCCGCGAGCTTGGCTTGGTGTCCGAGCTGAATCAGAAGGCGATTGAGGAATACCGGGAAGAGATGAAAGCCTTCCGCGCAGGAAAAAGGGGCGGGAATACAAGCAACAAAGCAGCGAGTAGCGCGTCGCCACGAGGTGGCCACGGCCAGCAGCTGCCACCGCAAAGCGAGGCCGAGAAGAGAGATCGGGAAAGAAGAGAGCAGTATTTGCAAAAACTGCTCCTTGATAGGCAAAAGCGCTTACAGAAAGTAGAGGAAAAACACGTGTGCGACATTTGCGGCCACGTGTTCGGGTTACGGAAGACTCTCCGGGTGCACCGGGCGCGAGCGCACGAATGGGCGCCGGAGCTGGTGGATGAGAAATCGAAAAGAGCGAAAAGGAACGGGGCACAAGCGGCAGCTCCATTGGTTCCCCAGCATCGACTGCTCCAGCAGGGATTAGCGAAAGGCTTTCAACCCTTGCAGGTTCCATCACTGTCGCCTAATGGTGGATTTTCGACCAATAATAAGGGCGGAGATACCAGTAGTGCAAACTCAACTTCCAGCACACTGATGAACTGGGCTAACGGCTTGAGTTTTGGCGGAGGTTTTGGTGCAGCATCCTCGTCCTCTAGCGCCAGCGCCACCCCCGCGGGTGGAGCAGCAACTGGAACGACGATGCTTGGAGGCGGGGTTCCCATGTCAGACGTGCGATCGCGAAAATTGCAGCAGCAGGCCATGCTCAACGAGCCACAGGCGATCGACGTGGACGACTGGCCGACCAGTGAAGATGATGCAGGAGGAACGGGGAATAACAAAGCAGCACGGCCGGGACCACACACGATTGGGCTTCACCACATAATTCAGAAAAAAACGAAAGCTACGAAGGCGAGCCGGGCAAAGCAAAAGGTCCTTGCGACAAAAAGCGTCCGTGCCGATAAAACGCTGTTTAGGCCAGAAGATCGTGGTCGCACGGGTGCTGGTAAGAGAGGCGCTTTCGTCTCTGATCCTCAAACTACAGAGAATAAATTCAATGCTTCAATACACAGCAGCGCAGCAGTCTTCCGTATTCAACTCGACGGCATTGAGGACCTCTACGTGGATCACACTGGAAACCCACTGCCGCAGGATTCTGTCGCGGTGCAAGAGGCTCTTCACGAAGTGGCGCTGAGTAGGAAGCAAATACCGATTTTTGGGTCGACGGGGGTGCATTGTCCGAATGAGAAGACGAACCTTGTCGAGGAGGACTACGAGCAGCTGCCGGAGCACTCAACGACAGAAAGCGACACGGACGGTTCCGACGCGGAATTTCGCAAGGTTTTAGAACTTTCGATGAAAGAAGACGCGGAGCGGCGGAGGATGGAGGAGCAACGGCGGGAAGAGGAGGATCTGCAGCTTGCGATCGCTTTGTCAAAAAACGTCAATCATGGTGAAATTACGGAAGTAGAAACTAGTAACACGCAAGGTCCTAGCGGTGTCAAGAGCAAGTCGGCACCTCTTGCATCCGGGAGCTCAAGAGCCAGGACGGACCATGACAGGCACAAAAGCGCTGGCGGTGGTCTTCACGAACCTCAGAGCGACCTTGCACTAGATCCAGAGGAAGAGATCCCTTTGGAGGTCATCCTGGCCTCTCTGGAGGACGAAGCCGCAGCGAAGAGAAATCAGGACCAGTTTCTCAATTTGGCCGAAATGCTGCACGGAGCGTCCGACGAAACGGTGGACCTCGTGATAAGATTGCTAGAAGAGGAGGAGGACGGGGAGGACAGCGACGGGTGAAGATTTCTGTCGACCTCCGGTAGTAGAAGCCGCGGGCCCGCCTCAATAGTAGGCAATCCACATGATTCTCTGTGAAAAATGCACCATTATGAAGGTGAGGACCTCCTGAAATGAACGACTTTTATTAACTTTGACGCGAATGTCGTGCGGGTGCGACTTAACTTCCACGAGCACTTACACGATGAAGTCATGCGACGCGACGGTTGCGTCGTTGCCTTCGTTCCACAGCTCAGGTGTTCAAACCAGAGTTGGCTGTGATTGTAGTTTATCCATGCTCCTGTGTAGTCCCATGAAATTGAAGATTTCACCGCCCGTGATGTTGTTTCATCTTCAGGCGCAGTTCTTCTTTTCTTCGGCACTGGATAAAGCAGCAGGACGACGTAGTCGTGCAAACACTGGCGGTGCCACACCTGTGTAGTCTCCGCTGGAGGTTTTCTTCTTCTTGTGACATACGCCTAGCCTTCCCCCTGAGCAGCCCGAGCGACAGTAACATTCGAGCTGCACCCTCGTCTTTGAGCTTATCCCCTGTGCGAGTAAGGTAAAAATGGCTTCAGCGGCGGTAATTCTCCCCCCGTCCGACGAGGAGGACCGCCTGGGGCACGTGCCCAACCCGAATTCCGTTGCGATTGCGGGTTGGGCGGAAGACAAGGGCATGCGACAAGAGATGGAGGACGGATTTGTGTTTGTCGACGATTTTATGCAAGACAAATGGGGCTTCTTCGCGATCTACGACGGACACGGGGGCCAGGACGCGATGCAATACTGCGTGGACTACCTGCACCAAAATCTCTTCCTCGAGTTGAACAAATTGGAATTTTGCAGTTCTGCGGCATCACAAGGCTTTGATGCAGCTGGCTTGATACTCAGCAACAATTCCGCCGAGGAAGCGGCCGGCCACGCCGGCGGCTCATCTTCCTCCGCGTGTTCCGGCAGCAACAGCTCGTGCGAGGAGAAAGACGATTTATTTTGCGACCCAAATAGCCGAGGGTTTTTGTGTTGCAGCCAGCGGGAGGTGGCGAACGCGTTGATCTTCGCGTTTAAGACGACAGACATCAACCTGATCGAGCTGGGCGTGCAAGCGGGCGCCACGGCTTGTGCCTGTTTGCTACTGGACCAAATTGTCCCAGATGAAGAGGATATTGGCAACGGAAATATGAATCGAACAACTGCACAGGCGATACGAGAAGCGAGATTGAGTCAGAAGCCAACGCGACACTTGTACACAGCGCACTTAGGGGATGCAAGGGCCGTGTTGTGCCGAGCGGGCTTGGCGGCAAGGCTGACGAACATGTCGGATCATAAGGTAGTACAATTTTATGCATACAGCTGTGAGTTTGCTTGAGCTTGTTTATGTTTTGTCTTTGTGCATGAATAAGAATATGAACTTGCCCAGTTCATCGGTTACATGTCGTATCGTGATGTGTTAGATTAGAAGTTGTGTGCACTTTTACTTTTTCTTCTTCAATTGAAACTATCAGGCCAGCGACGAGGGCGAACGCGAGCGCGTGCACAAAAACGGTGGCACCATCATTTTCGACCGGGTGAACGGCATGCTAGCGATCGCGCGAGCGTTTGGTGATTACCAGTTGAAAACGCCTTCGTTGCCCAGAGACGTGGTCAGCAACGAACCCGACGTCACCGCCACGGAACTGACAGAGGAAGACATGTTTGTCATACTCGCTTGCGACGGACTCTGGGACGTTTGCACGTAATTCCTTGTGATGTAATCGATATCGCAATAGTTCGTGTTGCAGCATGCATTGCATGCTACTTTTCTCATCTTGTGAATACACTGTACCATTGAGCAGGCCCCCTAGTTGATGTTGGGAAGTTGTAGGAGAAGCATGTTGACACAAAAAAATAAAACTCGAATTCCAGCGACCAAGAGGCAGTTAATACCGTTCTGGAAACGCTGACCGAGCTGCATTTTCTCGGCGTCACAAGTAATCACCCAAGGAAAGCCGAAATTTGCAGCCGAGTCCTGGTCGAAGCAGCGTTGGCGAGGAACAGCACGGACAATATCACCGTACAGGTGGTGTTTTTCTGATAGACTAAGTACGAGTTTGTACCTCGCTGCTGGCGGGTTCTTGTGTGTTTGTGGCAATAGGGATCCCGCCCACTCGTACGTAAAAATCGCTGTAGCCGCGTTGAAGCCGGTGCCGGCTTCGCAAAGAAATGTTGCATGGTCACTTTGTAGATGAACATAATTGGCGCACACTTGCTGTCGTGATAATCATACATAATCCTGTAAAGTGCGATGCCGTCAAATAAGAAGGCGGACTAATGTTCAACTACGTGTACGTCAGGGTTAGCAAATAAAAATTTTCAAGAGTTGTGAGTGGAAACGCGTGTTTTGATGAGGATACATGCAAGAGAGGTGAAGATCGAGATCGTTTTTACTTCTTGGAGAGGCACGTGATCATACAAAGATCTGACTTATCTGCTTTTGACAACTGAGTTCGCAGGTCCTCACCCCCGCACTGCTACCTGTGCGATTGTGCATGTGTACTTCATGCTATTTTCATTTGTCCCGTAGCCTTGAGCTACTTACTTATTCAAGTTTTCGGCAAACAGGACATGAAAGGTTTGTTACATCTACACTCATTTCACCCGTACTTTGACCACTTTTTCGCATCCTCGCGATGAACACCCCGACTTTTACTACTACTCTGCACCAAAACATGGAGCTGACCACCGAAACCGGTGCTTTGATTGCTTTCGTTTGCATTGCCATAACTTGGCTGGTTTTTCCCTTTCTGCAGGAGCAGAAAAGCCAGGAGGTGCGAGAAGTCGGCCACCGAACCGCGTTGCACGATTTGAGACATGGTACTTCTGCAAATCCAGCCGCAAATAACCGCTCACCTTTGGACCGAGGGAAGCAAGACCCGGTGGATCATGCAGATCATGGCGAAGAAGTTGTCGGCGGCAGCGTGTTTAAGCAGAATCAGGACGGTGTGAGGGGAAATTCGGGATCTTCTACACAGTCGACGCTTAGTACCTCGTCCTCGGCGTCCACGCGAAGAAAGAAGCCGTCCAGTAGTCGCAACAGGACGGCGAGTCACGGCACCGATCATTATAGCCATCTCGACCAGCACGAAGAAGATCCCTTCCTCAACCTCGGCCCGTATTTCCAATCCCTTGACTACTTTGGCTGGTGCTGCGTTTTGTCCTTCCTCGACGCCAAGTCGCTGTGCAACCTGGAGCTGACTGCGAAGGCGGTGAAAAACCTGCCTGGGCTATTTCACGAGGCGGTGTTTGAAACGGCCTGGCGGGTCTGCTACATTCAACCGTACCAAAGCCGCAACATCACGCTTGCAGCCCTGCCTAAAAGCGTGCGGGACGTGGCGCAGAATGGACTATACACGAACGGACAGGATGTAATACTTGCTGAAGAAGCGGAGTCCAGTATTGTACCCGTACCCGCACGACAGAGTGGACCACTACTAAAGCAGGGATCTGAGGATACCTACTATATTGTTGAGCAACAGGAGGATGTCGAGCCCGCCGCGGTGAAGCTGTCTCCTTTAGGGCAGCTTCCGGACGAGGCCACTTCCGCAGACGATGACTTTGTCGGAACTTCCTCGGAGCCAGCTATTGCTAAAAGAAACACCGGACGTCGAGATGAATCAATACCCCCTGGTGCTCCGAACATGATACATGTAGTAGAGCAGCAAGACCTTCGAGCCCGGCGTTCCCGGCAGTTGGTTTTCAAAAAATCCTTCGAGCGGCGGACCACCTGGAAGAAGCGCGCCTGCCAGCGGGTGGCGGCGCTGGAGCATACCAAGTTCGATATCCATGCCCGCTTGGCCCACTTCCACGATTGGGTGACGAAAATTGACATTCCGAAGGTCACCGATATTCCAGTACAGCAACTTCTACAGCAGCACAAAGTTGTTCCCTACCTCTCGGATGCCACCAACCTGTCCTTCCACATTGCGGCGCGAATTCGCGAAATCCAGTCCGTCGAACGGCTGCAGACGCTGATGCGCAAAGGGTCGCAGAGCTTCGGCGTTGACTACCAGGTGCCGGTGCAAGACAACGAGGGTTTTCTGATCGGCATGACGTTAGTGCTAGTCTCCGCCGCGGTCGTGTTTGGATTGTCCGGAAACAGCCAGCCGTTTGTGGTCTGCGGGAGGCGCACGAAGCGTATGACTGTGGCGGAGATCCACGACGCGCAAGTGCAAAGGAACAATCAGCAGTTCTTCGCCAGAAACAACAACCCGAATCTGAATCAGGAAGACGAGGTGTTTGGCCACACGACCTTCCAGGCCTGGCACATCCCCATCGTGCCGGCGAACTGGCACGTGCTAGTGGAGCAGGTGCTGAAGTGCACGGACGCCGTCGAAAGCCAGTCGTTATCCCAACTACTTTTCTCGCCCGGGTTGCTCTATCATGTGGAACACGGGCTGCGTGCGGGCGGCGAGCTGCAGCCGAATGGTGTTGGTGCTCCACGACCCGGGTTGATGAATCCAGAGGAGGGTCGGGACAGGGTTGACAAATATTGGGTCCGCGAGTGCTTCCCGCAGCGGCTCAACAGCTGCCTGCAAGCGACAGGGTTGAAGTTTGACGATATTGTTCGTGGTAGTTCTATGGCGGAACAAACGGCCGGGGGCGTGGTGGGGGATGCGTCGGCGGGGTTGGTGAGTGAAGAACTTGGTCACAGCCACCAGTTGAAAGACGGAACAAAAGCACTTGGGAATAAAGAAAATCAATCGGTCTGTGACAAGACACTTGCATTGAAATTCTTCATGCACTTTGTACACCATGACCTAGAGGAACACAATCTAGGACAGAAAATAACATTTGAACGCTGAAGATGTTGCCACTCACGAGTGGACGCGAGACCTGGTCGTTGCCCCGCCGCACTGTAGGTGGTTGACGAGAGGGACTGTAACAATTACGTATCGAAGCAAAAGCAGAGTACCAGAGTGCGTTCTTAAATGCCTATACGCGTAATATGGGGAACGAATTCTGTGACCCCGCCTAGCGCGCTTCGGTTTATCTCTATCTGGTAACCTCAACAGCCAGAGCGTGTGCGCGAGTCGGTACTACTGGGTTCGCTTGTCTGCTGCAGCTGGCAGATACTTTTTCGCATCTTGTTTACCTTGTTTTCGGTCTTGATTTATCTTCAACTATTGTGCGGTCGCTTGCATTTTGCATGCTTTTCCTTCTGCCAGGCGGTCTGACATTACGAGAGAGCGTTCTACTTCTGTTAGGCATGCGATTCTTCTCTGTTCGTACATTGTATGGTTCAGATGCAGAACACGAATTTCTTTGTAGAAGAAGTCCCGTCCGTCGGTTCCTTGTGAGTGCGGTGCCCCTTATTTTCGGTGCGTGACTTTTCAAATCCAAAATTCTTTTACGTACTCGGTTCGTCTACCTTGCCACTTCGCAGCCGAGAAGTAGTGTGAGAAGCCTTAGCTTCGTCCTCGTGTGCGGTTTTTCTGTTGTGAGGTGCACTGATAAGTCTCATCTGTTTCTTTCGGTCTGAGTGTTTTGGTTCCAACCTCGGTTTTTTGCCTGCTTGTTTATCTTTCTCGGTCATCAAAATGTATGTGTCCTGATTGTCGTTGCTGCTCTTGTTTCTTGTGAATATGCATCTGCGCCGTCTGCTGCGTGCTGTGAAGGTAGTGTTGTTGATAGTAGCTTGATATCGCTCCTTCCTGAGGACAACGCCACAGCAGCTCACCCTATTCCACATGTTCATGACTACATCAACATATTAAAAACTGTCAAAATTGTTTTTATATCATCAAAACTTTCGTCTGCAGTACGATTCTTGAAACCTCTCCCTCACCTCTGTTTCTAACCCCCTTGTTGAACTTGAAGTGAGTCCTTTTTGTTTTTTACGATTAAATTAAGCGACGAGGCGAATTCATAAGCCAGGATGATCGGTTTTTGCTATACAGTTATCCAATTAGCGAGAAATTGCTCGTGCACAAATTTTGATTCGAAAACCAAAGGAGTCAACGCGAGATCCGACTCAAAAGGACCACCTCACGAAGACACGACTACGCGCACACGCGAACTGCCCACGAAGAGAGCCTGAAACATCATGATGCAGGATCAACGGAATTTGTCACAACCAAGAAGTCGATCACGAGCAGGAGCTCGAAACCGAACGAAGGACCAGCATGTTCCACCACTTAGCGGAGATGTACCACGTCAAGAGCATCACACGGCGGGACGACCACCACGAGAGAACCATCCACTGGACGATCCCAAGACGCGGTTCGAAATGGCTCGCTCCACACTTAATCCTTCCCCATCGACGTCCATGAAATTTCGCGGTCGCGCTCCCAGCCGGTCCCCGGGCGGCCTGATTGCAACCGGGGCGCGTTGCGGCGTGTACTTGCTGTCAGGTAGCGCTGTTCTCGTGAAAGCGCAGGGCGCGATCGATTCCGACGCAGCGCTGAGAGGAGGTGGCGAGACTGCGGATGATAGGACTGGCGGTCGCGATGTTCGCTCCTGGAGAAGTGACGAGATCGGCACGACGAGCACAACGAGGGCGGCTATGCCCACTTCATCTTTCACCGAAGATGGCGCAGCTCTCTCCCAAAATGAACAGCTTGGAGGTGGATTGGACCGTCGTCGTGGGCAGGTTACTCGGCGGAAAAAGAAAAACCTTCGGGGCGCTGCTAAGCGAGTCGAGGAACACGACGAAAAATCAAACACCGCGGCGACGGTTCCTGCCGGATTGCTGCAGATTGGCACGAAGAAGGGGGCGGCTGTGAGAGAAAGTCAAATTTCGGACCAGTCGAGTGCACAAAATGATTTGGTGGAGGAAGCGGAAGGGGTGCCGGCGGATGGTGGCACGGCCGCAAACTCTGACGCATCTTCGAGCTCTTTCGCAGTGCGTCATATGGTACCTGCTCCTCGTCCTGAATCTCTTCCCCCTGTACTAGTACCAGCACGGCATGATCTCCAGCATATGGTACCTGCCCGTCAGGCATCAGAACCAGCACTAGTACCGTATTTTCGACCTCCAAGCCAACCCTTCAATTATTTGCAGAGTTCCAACAGTGGGTTAGTCGCCGCAGGACCACCAGCTCTACCACAACCAGCTCGTCCAGCTCCAGACCGTGTAATGCTTCCTGCTCCATTTCTACTTCCTACCGACGCAGCCCCGGGCGCTGCACTTGGTGCACCTCCTGCTGCGGTCGTGGTTCCACAACAGCCGCAGCAGGTTGTACAACTACAACCACTTCCTGCGGGCGCTCTTCTCGCACCTAATGGATTCGCGCCAGCGATTGCAGCAGCACCTCCGTTTACTTTCACCGTCGATCCCGTAGACCAGTTGAAGCGGCTGATACAGGAACACTTTGAAAAGGAGATTATGCGGAAGTGGACACAGAACATCGAGAAGGAGGAACAGCAGAGGGTGCAGGAAGGAACGGACGACGAGCACGAAGATTTTACGGAGAGGCGGAGGTTCTACGAGAATAAAGTGAAACCCCATCTGTTGACTGATTTTTTTAGAAACAGTATCGTGCTTGCACAGGAAGAGCGCGATATTACCAACGGCAGGCCGTTGTATGTGACCGAGATCGGGTACGACGCCACTAAAGATGACCAGCAACAGCAACCACGGGAACGTTTTACAATAGTGAAGGAATTGGGGCAAGGAGGTTATGGGGCTGTGTACGCCGTTCTGGGAACAAAGGCCACGGTAAGACATGACGGGACACAGACTACAGAAGCTCTGAAAGACATGGGCATTGAAAGCGGCGCCAAGGAAATCGTAAATCATCTTGTGGCAGATTTTCTCACATCTGGCGTTTCAGAAGAAAATCAAGAAAGGGATTGTCTGCCAAAGCTCTGGAAAGTTCTCTGCTACAGCAACAAGCCAGGCAGAATCGCCTTTATGCATTACAATTATGTCTGCGTCTGGGATGATGCAAGTTGGTGATGCAGTCTTTCTGGTGTCGTCCTCGCACAACATCAATAAAAATCTGTCCTGCACAACAAGCAGCACGATTTGCTGTCTCAATGTCACGCTAAAAGTTGTGATGTGAAGCATCATGATAGGCAACATTAAGGAGCCTCTTCAAAACCTGATATTTTGCATTGGCATGCATGGCAGACCATTTGCGTGATCAACAAAATGCATGGAGGATGACGGTAATTTTCGTACTGAGATTACACGTTGTATTTACTCCGAAAAATGCATGAATATGAAAAACACGCCCACTCGTCCAGACCCAGACATGTTGCTGGGTTATAGTCTTGGTGATGGAGCAATTTGCCGGAACAGTTGATGGCTTACTGACACAGGCTCTAGGCCAGCCGAAATGGGATGACTCTGTTGTGACAAAAATGAGCAACCGTCTCGGAAATGGGGGAGGACTCCCGATGAAGGGGTTGGCTCACATCGCGAGGTGCTTTGCGCAGTGGCACAAGCACGATTTTTTTCATGGAGACTTCCACGCTGATAATGTTGGGATGAAGCACAATGGGCAACTCATCATGCTGGACTTCGGCTACGCCCAGTAAACCACGTCAAACTTCTCGCAGAGTCTGGCATTCAATTTCTTTGTTTTGTGCCTCAGTTGCGTGATCTACTCGTACTCGCCCACCTAGATTTTATTCTGAGCCCGCACACACCTATTGATTCTGTACTTTAAGTTCAAGTTTAACATTTTTCCTCATCTTTCCACGTCTTCACAACTTAGCATCCGGAGTAGGATGATCTGGAAGGGTTCATCTTTATTTATGTGTGTCCAAAGCGTGGCGGGCGCGGAAATTGAAGCAGAGAATCCTTGCTCCGGACTCGATGCCGCAAAAAAGGCAAAACAGAAACTAGCTGGGTAATAGAGTAAAACTAAAAGCTGCAACTGGGTCACTTGCTACTTTCCGGCTCTGCGTGCAGGACGACGAATTTTGCTGCCACAGATTCCTTTCGGGTATTGCAGACTTTCCGGACTATACGCAGATGTTTGCTATGCACATGAAGACTCTGGAGGTAGCCGTGCTGCCGCAGTTCCCACGCACTTCCAAGTCTTCTTCATGGATATAATCGTGATTTTTTTCTTTTTGAAGCATGATCAGGTTTCCAGTGACCACCATTCTTGCATTTGAGTCACGCTCTCTTTGTATTATTTTTGATGACATTTTTGTCGAGCTCGAGATGAACAAGAAGAAGTAGGACGATGATACTCAGTGACCGACACGGATGATATTGATGGTGGCGTGCGGTAGTTGTTCCGGGGCTGTGGCTTCGCGACTTAATTTTTCGTGGGCAGATTCTACGTAAGGCCATTCAATGACCACATCATGGCGGGCTGGGCTTGGCCTCCCGAAGAAGCAAGTATTTTCGAAAATAACGGTAATCCGGCGGATGCTTACGAATCGCCGCGCAGGTGGAGTAAGCAGTTTGCAGGAAGGGTAATGGAGCGGGATGCCTTTGGCTTTGCGCTAATTGCGTACGGCTCGTATACATTTCGTCGTCCGGGTCCTCAAGGTGGTGGAAATGGTGCGCTCATCAATCCCGTTAAATTACCGCTAATACAATCCTGGCACACAAGCTTCCATGCTGGTCCGGGTGTTGCTCCTGCACAGATCCCCCCCCAGTCTCCATCATTTTCCTTTGACATGAGGCTGTTACCGACCAGATAGGAAATTGAAACGCTTTGGTCGGCGGGTGTCCTGTGGATCTACTCGTGCTGCAATCATGTTCATGATATTTTTTTGGAACCCAAATATATTTATTTGGACTGCAAGGAGAAGCCTACTAGTACGGAGAGATTTAAGTAAATGTTATGTACTTATACATCCACATACTATTACTAGTTTGCGCTTTGCGCTCCCGTCCCCGTGCGTGTTGCCGCCCTTCTGAGGTTCTCGCTAGATGCATACGGACGAGGGATAGTCATTGTGACTACACTTAGCTTGCACAAAAGGGGCCTAAAAAGGTACATACGAATGCCCGGCAGCACGAGCATGACCCAGTGTAGTCGAGACGCCTATTATGATTTTTTCTCACGCATATTGAAAGCCAGCATGCGGTCCGCAGCTCCACAGCGCGAGCGCTTATCGATAAAATACTCAGAGAAGAGAGCACGGAGGAATGGACAAAGTCTTGGAGTCTTGGCGCCAATCACGCAGATGCAGAAGATTTTCAGTATCGGATGAGAGTTCACATAATGAGAAACAGGGGTAGCTTTCCCGATTTTTTTTTGTTTTTAGACGAAAGGTAGAGGTAAAGTACACAAGGAGGAAAGCTGAAGCAGGTGTATCACCAGAGGTCTTGAAGAAGATGAAGATGCTCTTCTGCAATTTGCATTCTCATTCTCGCAAAGTAAAAGCCTTTCATGCTCGTCATGGTCCCATATAATGGGATGAGATGATGCAAAACAGGCGAAGTAGGCATCATGATGCTAGGAATGTTCATGATGATTCATGTGGAATATGAGTGCTTGAGGCCGCACTTTGCGAAAGGAGACGTGCTCCTTTCGGGGGTGCGGCCGCGGCTCACGAATTTCATGTGACAATTACTGCAACCACTCTTTTCCTTCCGCACGTTTCTCCGGGAGGATGAAAGGCAACCCCACAGCATTTTGCACTCCCATACGCCAAAGAGTCCGTGGTTTGACAAGAGCAGACTCTGTATCTGTGAAAGGGTTGCGACATCGCTGGGTGGCGACCGGTTGGCGGCGACCGTGGTCACGCGGCACCTCCTGGATGCTTTGGGTGACGAGCAGAACCGGCCACAGCTGCCCGATCTGGCAGGGGCGCTTGGGGCCGCAGCCGCCATCGAGAATCGTCCCGGAGTATCGTTGGCGCAACCCGCCTGTCTCTGAGTCTGATACTTGCGCGTAAAACTAAAAAGAAAAACAGTTCCGCAGCATGTTAACATAAGGCATGTTAAAAAAGCTCCGATTCTTGAATTAGCAGGATTAGGATTAGCGCAGAAAGATCAACATAGGCTTTACCTACTTATGATGGAAGTAAACGCACCACACCGCAACATGATCACATGTCGTATGCAACCGTGTTAAGCACGACATGTGACCTCTTGCGCTGTTGCGAAACGGGTCACCCCTTGCAGCACAAGTAAAGGATCCAAATCGCAAAGAAGAGGTGTAAGCCCTGTGTTGCTGGGGTTGAAGAGAAAGAGACAGGAGGTTTGCTTTTTGATAATGAGGGGCAAATGGAGAGCCGGAGCCCTGCGAGTGCCGCTTCCAACGGTTTCTTGACGAGGATGACGAACAGAACCAGAAGCGCGAGGCCTGGTTGAAAAAACTTCTGGTACTTTAGTATCTTTACAGCTACAGGGACTTTTTTCTACAGAAAAGTAAAAGATACACAATTGTGGAGTCGCTTCTCATCTAGCATCTACTCCGTCAGCTGCAACGACTATGACTTGATATCTATATACCACCTGAATGTCTATCGTGGTTCGGCTGCTGGTTTCAAAAATGAACCACTGCAAAAGCATTAACATTGTATGGCGTTTTTGTTTCGTCTAGCTCAGCGGCCGTTGAATGCGAGGCGAAGCTTGCTGCGCAGAATCCATCTTCATTTTGCATATGTGGGCTTTTCTGAGTCAGCATTGCGAAGATTGGTGTGACTCTCATCATGTATTCGTTCGCAATATTTGAAAAGAACTGCCTGGACAGAGACGCATGGATGGATCTCCTTCAAGCTCTGTTTGTTGATCTACTAGACATAAGGAATCGGAATCTCTATGTTCACTATCACGAATACAGAAACGCGAACTCGATCGGGGCGGCTTGACCGATGCGCAGCAGAACATGCTTGAGGCAATGTTAGACCGTGTTGAACTCGACGACGGGAACGAGGAGTCCGACCAGCTGCAGTTCGATCCGCACGACCAGGACGACTCGATGGGACCAGTATCGGGAACAAAACCACAGCTAGATGGCAGAGAAGGCCCGAAGATGGCGCCAATGCCACTACAACCACCATCGAATCAGGCTACGCTACCTGGCGGGGGCGACCCAATGTTGGCGTCCACGACGCTACCGCAAGCGCCTCCGGCTCCGCTAGATGGCGGGGGCGACCAGATGTTTCCGTCAACGACGTTACCGCAAGCGCCTCCGGCTCCGCTAGATGGCGGGGGCGACCAGATGTTTCCGTCAACGACGTTACCGCAAGCGCCTCCGGCTCCGCTAGATGGCGGGGGCGACCAGATGTTTCCGTCAACGACGTTACCGCAAGCGCCTCCGGCTCCGCTAGATGGCGGGGGCGACCAGATGTTTCCGTCAACGACGCTTCCAGAAGCGCCTCCGGCTCCGCCACTTCGTGTGGGCGACCCGATGGGGTCAATGCCGCCACAAGCATCGCCGGGCCAGGCTGAACAAGATAAACGCCCGCTGCCGCCTCCACCGCCTTCGTCCTCTAGTGGGGTCGGCACGGCGACAGGGTCAGTGCTGCGACCATCAGCACCTCTGCCAAAGGATAGCGGAGGCGGCCCGATGCCGATGACGTCAATCTCCAGCGCGCCGCTACCAGTACCACCACCGCCGCCGGCTCCTCCACAGTCTGTTAGAAACGACATGGAAAACCCAATGGAGTCAATTCCACCGCAGCAACCACCTCCGCCGCCGCGAAGTATGAGTGGTGGAGGCGGGGGCCAACAACCAGCGCCAGATATTGGCGCAAACTCCCTTGAGCCGGCGGCCTTGAAAGACCCGTCGCTCTCACCACAACGCCCAAACAAGCCAAGTGGAGGCGGAGGGAGCAGCTCGATAGAACCACAAGCGCCGGTACCGCCACCGCCTCAAGCTCCTCCTGCTCCGTCCGTGACGCCACTGCCGGACCGGGGGCAACCTAGCGGGACCGGCTCGCCAGGGGCCCAGCCGTCGTTGATAAAGCCGCCGCTTCCACGACGTCGACCACCGGACGAGATGAAAGGTACAGAGGGCGGCGGCTCGTCCAGTATGCGGCCGCCCGCAACAAAGCCGTCACTTGCACCGCAGCCCCCGTTGGAGAAACTTCTCGCTATCGGGGAGCGCTCCTCCAGTACGGGGCCGCCCCCTGGCAAGGCGCCTGTTCCACGACAGGGCCAGGTAGAGCGTGTCGCGGACGGTGGGCCGCCCGGGCCACGACGTGGTGGGGTTGGTTCTACCGAAGATGCCAGTCCGGCAAGGCAGAGGGCAAGTTCACAACCGTCGCAGCCTAGTAGCCGCAACGGCCCGGCGACCAGTGCGCAGCAAAGCCTGGCTGAACCAAAAACAGTGTCGCGAGACACGCTCACGCGACAGCGTAGCGAGGACAGATCGAGGACCGATGCCCCGACAAGATTGCCCTCATCAAGTTCACCACCGCCGCGACATGATGGCGGACACGCCTCGGGCAGTGCGCTACGCTCATTACCACCTCGCGGACGTGGCGCCGGCGGCCTGACCGGTGCGTCGCTGCGCGCAGGGCAACGTGAACCACCACCGCGTGGAGAGCGTGGATTTGACGCCAGCGACACGATCGATGCGCCGCCGCGCTCGCGGCCAAGTTCGGTAAAACCAACACATCAAGATGAGGTTGGGCATGGCCATGGCAGTGGCGACCCTGCCGGTGCGCAGAAAGGCTTGATGGGGTCGCCGTCCCAAAAACCGCAACTACGTAGCGGGGGCGGCTTGATCGGTCCAAAGCCAAATATGATGGAGACGCCTCTTTCACGACCATCGGCCCAGCAAAAAAGTGTGGACGGCCCTCCAACCATTGCGAAGCCACGCTCGATGGGATCAGTGTCGCCGAACGCACCGTCGATACGTGACAGGGCTCGATCGACCGGCGCCCCAGCAAGCCGGAGGACAACTTCACAATCTTCACAACGATCGCAAGCTAATAGTAGCCGGAACGGCCCAGGAACGCGGGTGCAGCAAGACATGGCGGGGCCGAAACACTTGTTGCCACGAGAGACGCCGCAACTTGACAGAGTCGGATCGACCGGCGTACCGGCAAGGTCGCCGCCAAGTTCACAACCACCGCAATTTGGACAGCGTGGGCGTAGTCCTCCTCCTCCCGCCCGCCCGAACGGAGCGGCGTCGCGCTCGGAGCAGAGCACATCACAACCACGTGAGCGTGGCTATGGCGATTCACCAAAAACAATACGGTCGGACTCGACACCACCACCGGACTGGCTTGGCCGTCGGGGTGGCGGCCCGTCCGCTGCGCGTGGCGGATTGGTGGGATCAAAAATGACGCAGGTTGGAAAGCCGCCACAAGAAGAACGTATCCGGGATGGATCATCGCCCCCTCCGCGCCCGGCCTTGCGGATGTCGTCTCCATCACAACTGAACGAGCGTGGCCAGGTCGGCTCCCCCAGTGCTCGGCCGCGCTCCATGGCAGCGTCGCCGTCACGGCTGGCGCAGCAACAGAATGTTGGCGCCGGCCCGGCCGCTGCGCGGCAAGACCGGCCGAGGCCAAACGCGGCACGACCACCGTCGTTGCCGAGCCCGGCCAGTGTGCCGAAAGCCTTCTTGGCGGCGCCCGTGCCGCAAAAGCTGCCGCCCGGGAGCAGGGGTGGCTCGGAAATCGGCGCGAAGCAAGAACCGACGAGGCCAGCGTTGCCAAAACCGGCTTCACGTACTAGCAGCAGGACCAGGGGCGGCTCGATCGGTGCGAAGGAAGGCTTGAACATGGGATCAAGACCAGCGTCACGGGAACCGCCACCACCTTCGAACCGGGGCGATGCGCAGCGACCAGGCTTCATTGGCGCGTCAACTATTTCGCGAGCACCGTCGCAACCGGCCGGGCCGACAGGAGCGCCGGACCGATTGAGGACACGTTCACAACCACCGCACCGGAGCGGGGCCGGCTCCGTGGCCGGCGACGCGCCGAGACGCCTCGGGGCGAGTTCCCAAGCACCGCCCCGTAGCGGGGCCGGTTCCGGCGCTGGGATCGGCGTGCCGCCGCGCTCACGCGCGAGTTCGCAAGAATCACGGAACCCTAGCGGGGCCGGCCCGACCGTAGCTGATGCGCAGCCGCGCTCAAGTGCAGCAAGTTCAGAAGCAACACGCCGTAGCACCAGTTCGAACGGCCCAATCCGTGCAGCGCCGGGCCCGGCGGGCCCCCCACCGTCTAGACGGGGCGGCCCAAAAATGGGTGCACCGCCTCGCCCCGGGCCGCAGCGTTATGGAAATGGGAGCGGCCAGACAGATGCAGTGCCGGGCGCTGGGCCGCCCTCTCGACCGGCGACTGGTGCCGCGCCGCGCCCGGGGCCGCGGCGTAACGGCGACGGGGGCGGGGGCGGCTCAACCGGTGTGGCGCCGCAGTTGGGGAAGCCGTCATCTAGACCCGGCGGACCGGCGGCTGGTGCATCGCCTCGCCCCGTGTCGCAGCTTAACGGCAACGGCGGGGGCGACCAACGAGCCGTTGTAACGGCACGTTCGGGGTCCTCACCTAGAAGACGTACAGCTACAGCAAAATCTCCAGCCCAATCCTTCACTGCCTTAAAAGCGACCCCAACAAAGCAGAATCCCAAACGGGCTGGCCGTGGCAGCTCGGCCCAGGCGGCTCGGCCGGGGCAGCGCAACCGGCTTCAGCGGTCGGCGCCTGGTGCGCAGCGCAGTGCAAGTCTAAGTTCTCGAGGGCGGCCACAAGAAGTAAGACCACATCCACGACTCCAACAACCCGCGTCCTTTGCTGAGCGCGAGGTCGACGATGCCGTCTCCCGGGCCCGACATATTGATGATCACCCCGATAGTGACACTTCCACAGCAGCTGCTAGTACAACTGATGACGCTCCTTCTTCTGCAGAGCAAGAGAACCGTTCTGGACTGGAGGGAGCGCAAGCAAAACACAATCTTGTGGACCGACTGATGGGTGCGCATGCGCAAGTTGCACAACATGACCGCGATGAAGCTACTACTACTAGTCTGCGAGAGCAGCACCGCACCAGCCCCAGCGCACCACAGGACGACTTGCGAAAGCGAGGATCAGGCGGATGGAAAAGCCGAGGCAGCAGAGGGCTTCTTGCAGTCTAATGGCTGCGCCCAAGTTTTTGTTCTGTAAGGAATCATGTTTATGCCATGGCCTCTGTTGCTTCTTTGGAATGCAGCTGTCTATTTTGATATTTTCTGTGAACAAGAGGCGTAGGCGGCCTCAGAAAGTTCGCAATTTTGTTCTATTTTCTTTCTTGCTATTCCAAGTATTGATTTGATTTTTACGAATACAAACAGCGCGTGATGCAGTACAGACTGATTTTTACCAGGCACATAATTCGTGTATTTTATTTGTTTGAAGATTGTTTTGCATAGTCGAATCGTGCACTACTTTATTTTGTTCGCCAAAGAAAGGAAAATATGAATCATGTACAAAAAAGATGCTTTTCGTTGTCACATACACATACATCATACTTTCTCTCTTCGTAATTTTTCCAGAGCATTGAACGACATTGACGCGAGGATTCAATCGATAACAAGGTGCTCTAAATCTAATGTCAGGGATGCGTTTAGTTTGAGTTTCGTTTCTGATTCTGCCATTTCGTTTCTTGCAACGGGTTCATTCCCGCACTCTCACATGGATGCATCAGTGTGAATCTACTAAACTTGTCCTCGTGGAGCGCCAATGTCATGTGGAGTGTTCGAGCGAAAAACCAAACAGAAAAAGAAAAACCCAAATAAAGAGAAAGACCGCGCCCGGCTCGAAACCGAAAGAAGGACTAGCAAGCCTCTCGCTCGAAGGATCAAAATCCATTGACGTTGAAAGTATTCCAATACAATGCACCACGAGCGAGTGCTTTTTCGACTAGCTACGTACAGTTGTGCAATTCGTGTGAAAACAAAAAGGAGGAGTCAAGGGAACCGCTCGTCACCCGAACAAGAATGTTTCCTGTGATGTAGAAGTCGTACAAAATAAGAAGCTTGCACGTACAGCAATCACCTGGGTGGCAGGTGGTACAGGTTTGCGTTTCGGTCGTTGTACGGGACCATGTCCGCGTTGAAAGAGCTCTACCACGATGTCTCGTAGATGAAACCCTCGTTGTACCACGTCCACCGTTTTACTCCCCGTATCGATCCGTGCCCGATTATCGTTTTCGTACAAATTGTTGTGCAGCACTTCAGCTGTTGTACAACTCGTGGCCTCGTCCTGTCGATGTTGTGCTAGCCCCAGTTTTCTAACCCACCAAGAAGTCAACAACCACGTCAACAACGTCCATCAACAATAACACTGCTCCTTATCGACTACATCAACAAATTCTAACTCTCCAGCATCAAAAACCCTCTGTCGAGATTCTATCATTGATAGACTCGCTTCAAACTTACCTTTTCCAACTCCGTCTTTGCTTTTTAGCAACAGAAACAACCTTTTTTTTCCATCGCAGAAAATAAATCGAAAAACTCACCAAAAAATCTAGGCTTTTTAAGGAACAAACCAAACAACGAGTAGTTGAAGAGTTGTGAAATAACGGAACAACACAAGAGAGAATCAATTGTAAGAAGCTTTTGCTAACTCAAGGAAGTAGAAACCGAACTCGCACAAAACCAAACCCGAAAAGATGAACCACTACGGACACTCTGCCAGCATGTACGGCTCCGCCGACTCCCAGCACCACTACCCGGCCAGCCACCAGATGGACCACTCCCACCTGGCCAACTTCGCGGCCGCCGCGGGCTCCGCCCCGCCGGGGTTTGCCGCTCCCGCCGTGCACGACCCCTACGCGATGGCCGCTGCGCAGCACTACGCCCAGGCTCAGATGTACAACCGCGCGTTGGCCGCTCAGCAGATGTACGGTCGCCACTCCTACCCCGGTGCCGCCGCCGCGGCTGGACACCCGCACATGCCGCTGGACCCGGCTCTGGAATCCCTGTTCGGCCTGAACGCCGGTGCAGCCGCCGCGTTCCCCGCTGGCATGCCCGCTGCCTACAACTACCCGGGTGCCGCCGCCGTGGCCCACGCCGCCGCCGGAGCTGCTGCCGCGACTTCCTCCTCCGACCCCGCCTCGCCGCCGGCCGTCCCGGCCTACGGAGCCGCCGCGAGTGCTGCCGCCGCCCGCGCGATGGAGCTCCCGCGCCGGGAACGCTTCTTCGTGCGCCGCAACGGAGGCACCACTGAGGAGGAAGTCATCACCTCGCAGAAGTTCTTGGCCACCTTCCGCGTCGGCATCCCGCACGCCCACGAGTTCGGCGCCGCCAAGCGCATCATCGGGCCGGCCGGACGCAACATGAAACTCATCGCCAGCATGATCATGGGCGGCAAGGTGCGCCTGCGTGGCGAAGGATTCCAGGTACTAAAAAGAACAGACGTAGATCAATTGAAATTCTTGCCGTGATGCTGCGCGATTAGTAAAGTGGTAGGTCATTAATGTGACAATTGAAAATGGAGGAAGAACTGGCTCGGTGCCTCTACCTGTACGTCAAAAAGTAGAATTTATTACTTGCGTTGTCGCATCACGACATGATTTTTCCAACGTGATTCGATGTCGAAAGTTGTGATTTTCATTTTTGCTACTGAAAACAGGACAAGGACCAGAACCACCCGCTGCAGCTGAACATCTCGTGCCCGACCAAGGAGGGATACGTGATCGCCAAGACTCTGGTTTCCAAGCTGTTGAAGCAGCTGCTGGTCGACTTCCACGAGTTCACGCAGGGAAAAGTGGTGGCCCAGATGCGCGGCAACGATCACCCGATGAACCCGGAGATCCCGCCGGGCTGGGACCGGGAGTTCATGCGCGGCTACTACTCCAACTTGGTTGACCAGGTACAATGCCATAACTACAATTCCTTGTTCTATGAGTGACAGTTGACCACATCTCGTTCAGTATCAGTGTTAAAAACATACGGTGAAAAATACGTGGTCTATTCCTCTTGACCTTCAAGCATTTTTTTTCGACTATTGGGACTCGTGGTAAAAAATCAAAATGCCAATGTTAATGAGTGCTACCTTCTTCTATCACAGGTTATCTTCGTGACCACGATTCCGCGGTCCGGGTCGGCTTCCAACCAATCTTCCAAGAAGACCAGTTCCTCCAAGGTTTCCAAGAACGGTACGTCCTCGCAATCGGAAAAGGGCGCGTCCGACTCCACCCCCTCCACGGCTGCCGAGGCGACCCCGGCCGGGGCCAGCAACAAGCCGAAGGTGGACTACCAGAAGATCTCCATGGTTTCTTCCGATTCGATATCCACAGAAAAAAACCCATCCCCATCCATTTTTTGCATGACAAACACATGACTTGCTACGTGTTTTGCATGACAAATTAGATGTGGATGGGTTTTTTTCTGTGCATATTCCACCCGCGCGGAAATTTCCACCTCCGCCGACGAGGAAGCGGAAACCTCCTCCACCAACACGCCCGCCGAAAAGAAGCCCTTCGCCGTCGACACCAGCTCCGGCTTCGACGACGCTGCCGCCAAAATCGAGGAGGCCGTCGCCGGACTCGTGTGCCAGTAAGGTACTTGGTAAGAGAAAGGGAGGATCATGTTGTGCTTTTGATCAAAAATCTTGAGATTCAAAAGTAAGACAACATCAAAAGAGGTGGTCTAAAATTTGTATGAAGAAGATTTTTTCAAACAACAATTTTTTGGTGGACAGGAGTGCCGTGGTGGCTGCTTAAGCGGATATCATCACGCACTGCAAATTTTGTATTTCGTTTTGATTCGTAAGAAAGTTAAGTTATGCTTATGTCAGAATGGTCCGAGACGAGTTTCGAGTTCTTATTTTGAAAGTTTGGTTTTCTTGTTGCGAGTGTTTCAGTTTCTACGTATTTACAACTTCCTTTAGCAATCAGCATTCTAAATTTCTTCGACCTAAAAATCGCGGTAATCCGATACCGAGAATCGTAGATGTTGTCCGGATAAGAATATTCTAGACAGACAAAATGGTGTGTGGGAACTGTGCGCGGAAAATACAACTAGAACTACTATTTTTAATAGTACTCCGCTAGCTATTCTGCACACGAAGCGCCTCCAAAAGGAAACTCTAGGTATCGGGCTACGTAGTGTGGGAAAGATTGAATATCGTTGCTTGGTTGAGACTCTCGTGGGATGTCCTACAGGCGGTGGAATACATGGCTATTCCCGACATACCCCCACAGATCTCACGGTCATCGATTTTTCTTCTATAGCATTATGGGTAGCTCGAAGTAGAGAAAGGGTCTAGAAAGATGGTAGAAAGACACGCCGTATTTTCACACCAGTAGAAAGATAAGTCCCCTCGTCTACCGATTCGGCATTTTTGAGAATACAGCTACGATTACAACCTTTACAAAGTCAAAGAAACATTAATTAAGAACATCTACCCCCAATCTGAAAATCAAAATATGCAAATGCATATTAGCATGTCAGTGCCACCATCGGTTGTCCGTGGATTCGAAGGTGTTTGTGCCGTCACAACGACTGGCGCACGCATCGTCGATTTTGCAGCATGAGCAAGCGCATGACATGGATTCTCACATAGCAAAAAAATTATCCCCAAAGTAAACATCCTTTACTTTCAAAATCTGTCGTGCCTGCCCCAATTTCGTCCCCGTAGCTCTGTAGACAGATTCAGAAATTTTGGGTTCTCTGCTGCAGGTTCCTCATCTTCGCCAGGTCTCAGGTTTTTGCGAATTCATTTTTTTCGTATAGAACTTGCGCTTGGAGGTTATCTTGTGGTTACCGCATAGTAGAGACGCAAAAAATCAACGCGGACCCCTTTCACTATACCAAACCTTGGAGTCAAGCAAGAAGGTTTTTGTACTAGTCAAATAAGTTGGTCGTAGAGCACATAACTTTACAACTTCTACAAGCTATTCTGGAAAAGGAAGAAGCCACGCATTGCTCCACCGGCGGCGCGCTCTTTCCAAAACAACGCAAAAAACCAATCGAGAACTAGCTTTTTACGGTTGTAAATCAACTCTGTCCAGACTGACTCTGACGAACGTGCAATTACCTTGTTTTGCTTTTTTGACTTTTATGGAAACCAAAAAAAAGTCCCATAGAATACGCCGTGGTGTCAGTTGTGATGAAAAAAATTTCAAAAAACACAAAAAAACTATGAACGTTTTATTCAGTACAAGAAATTATATGTATACCATTCGTTGTGAGGAGATGAAAGTTTCTATCAGCACTACAAACAAGAGACTACGTGTGGCGATTATTACTGTAAAAAACCTTTGAGGACCAAACCTATTCGAAGAATCAGAGAATTATGAGGCGGAAAAAACTACACATCAAACAATTTACAACAACACTTATCGGGGGAAAAGCAACACCTGTTGGACTGTGAATATATCGGAGTAGACCTACAACACAAATATCAGCAAAATTTACAGTTTCATCGAGCTGCTCTGGAGCACAAAGTCAAAGCATCAAGTTCTATTAGTAAAAAGAGCACAGTCTTCACTGGCTCTACGTGTATGATTATGATGAGTAAAAGCGCAGGCATTTCTCGCATATCCTATGAAGAACAAGTTGCGAAGATTGCTAGAATCGCGATTATTCAGGGCAGACCTCCGCATAAGGCAAACAACATAAGAGCATCGGCAGCACATTTCACTGTGCGGGCAGAAGCTCATGCAAAGCTAAAAGTAAAGCATTTATTCAGAAAAGAGGAGCAGAATGAAGTAGAATGCAGACTAGAATAGACATCATTCTTGGGAAACAGGGAACATTACGAAGGTTGCGCGACGCATAGTGGTCAGTTTATTCACTTTGCGTCGTGTCTCCCAAATCGAAATTTCTTTTGTGGAAATAAGTTATGGAAATCAGGCGAAATGTAGACGAGGATTGAAAGAGGAGGTAAAGAGCCTAATTTTAGGCCAAGAAACTACTTTACGAAACGTCGAACCGTCGATTCCAATGTCGAGCCGAAGAAAGTAGTCCTGCATAAAACGAATTTCAAAATGAAACCACTATCATATGGAAAGCGTGATATTACAGCAGAAGAAGTCTTCATCGCACTACTATAACCTGTGGACGAGGAGCGAGTCAACAACGCAACTACCAACATGGAGCAAAAAATGTGATTTCACGACTAACCGAGCACTACTATGAAATAAACTCTTAACTATTTTTTGACACTTTTTACACAACTTTAACAGCTTTTATCAATTTCTTTTCGCAGAATAACGTATTTAGCTCTCCGGAAATTTCTACTCTGTGAGCATTTGATGCCACACCAAAACTATCTTTTATCGTATTTTCTATTTCACACAACGGCCACGAATTATCTGTTGCTTCTCGGACTTGAGAAAATAACCTGCAGCATCCAGAGGAAGGGACATTTGATTATTGCGTATTGGGACAAAAAACACTAAAAAAAGAAGCCGCGCTCATTTGCGCGTCGTACTGCTCCAGCTCGAATGCGAACTGCGGCCTGAGCATGAAGCATCTCGCCTCCGAATTGTTCATCAACACCACTCTCGTCGTCACTTGTTATCCCGTCGCCCTCGTGTACTTCACAGAACGATGCTGTCCTCCAGTATCGATGAAGAAACCTTTCGCATCTTCGTCTTTCTGACTGAGATTTCGTAATTGTCGTTTTGATGTCTCTGGAGAGAGAGGGAAAGACGTGTTAGAGTCATACTCGTTTCCGTCAGCAAAGAAGATGCTATAGCTTACTTTTTGGCTTCGTGATACGGCAGGAGAGAAACTTCCGAGTGGTTGTTTTTGTTGCGCATCTCGTGCACCAGCTGGTTCTTTGATTAAGGCGTTGAGGAGCAGGATTGCGAGCGTTGTCGGGACCTCATCAGGGTGAACTACAGGGGCAGTGGAAAAGCAAAATCAATTGAAATGGAAATCAAATCAAAACAAAAAATAGTTTTGTCGACGAAGTGTCTTCTAGATTTGGTAGATCAAGATCTACGAAACTTCTAGTACTCTCTGCAATTATTTTACAAATTTTGATTTTCAAGGCCAAAGTCGCCAACTACCTGTTTCTCGTGCTAAAAATCAATGAACTCAAATTTTTGTTGAACTAGAACTTGCACTTGCTGTTGCTCCTGCGGACAAAGTTTTCTTGCGTATCAAGAAGAGGAGGTTTTGGTTTATTTTACAGTATACATTTTCCGCCTTACCTTCTTCGACCGCTGGCTACAAACAAGCTCCTCTGCCGCACACATTTTCCGATTTTTACCAGTTGATCTTGCATCGTCATCTGCTTGGACACGGCCGTAACGACAAGCAGTGACTACAGGATCCAGCACTACTTTCATCTTCAGCACCTCTGGACGGTTCCTGTCCTGTCCGCAGCCGCGAGGGCATCAAGACAAGTTGCGCAGTACTGCGGCTCCAGCACGGCAAGTAGAATCCGCCAGCACCATGCCAGCGGCATCCTCGTCTTCTTCCTCCGCGCTGGTGCCACCAGCAGGAGCAGGTGGGTTTGTGCCCAGATCAGTGAAAGTCAAAAGAATTGCCGCGGAGGACGATCATGAAAGTTACCTCAAAGTCGGGGACGAGATACGCTGCAAAAACCACAACGGGAAAATTTCCAAGGCCGTGGTGATCTCCGTGAACCCTCTGACAGTCGAAGTGAAAACGAACGAATCTTCGTACAATATCCTGAGTAAAAACGTACCCACACCAGAGTCAGGATGGGGAATCTGCTAGACAAATCAGCCAGCTTTGGTTGTTTGGCATGAGAACTTTGTCCGCGTAGTGTAGTGCTGTTTGAGCTAGTTTAGCAGCATTACAGATCTAGTATCTCGTGCTGATTGGAGCATGACAAATTTCAAAACCGCACTAGAAAATGCTTCTCATGGGGCTCCGCATGAGAAACATTTGAAGCATGCAGAGTTGCATGACAACTATGGTGTGGGTACGTTTTTACTCAGGATATACAAGAAAATGTTGTTGGACGAAGATGAGGACGAGGAAGGGGATATCCTGAGCAAAAATGTCCCCACCCCATAGTCAAGTTGGTAAATCTGCAACACAAATCCACAAGTTTTGGGAGTTGTGCATGACAAGCTTCCATCTGCAGTGTAGTGGTGGTTAGCAAGGGAAGCCGCATGACAAAGCAACTTTCTCATCCTGTCTACAGCATGACATATGCCAAAACACGACTGGAAATGCAAATGCCTCTCATGGAGATGCGCATTACAAATGTTCCGGTCATTGTTTGCGCATTTGCTTTTGCATGACAACTCCTGGGTGTAGGGGACGTTTTTACTCAGGATAGGGAAATTTTTGAAGATGGACTTACTGGACGACGTGGGAAAAGATTCCAACTCCGACAACGACCTCCCGGGGGACGAAGGATTTTTGGAAGCGTACGGGAAACGGAAACAGAACAACATCTTCCAACCAATCCGCGGCTCGAAGATCCTCCGCGACGTCAGTAAGCAAATGACCAAGGAGAAGTTTTTAAAGCACGCGGCGCCACTTCAGATATCAATAAACGGGGAGGATTTTCTTGCGGACGCCAGGGAATTTAATTCCCACGAAGAAGGGAGGACGGTCGGAAATGCGGGGTGGCACGGAGACATTCCGAACAACGAGTGTAGGAAATGAGGAAAGCGGGACGACGATCGTTGGGGCAGGGTGTGGGTAAGTCAAAAGGCCTATAACGAGCACGCATTTTTGCACGGTGTCCAAAACTGCATCTAATGTAATGAGCAAACATGCAAAGTGCATTCCACAGCTTATGCCTGCTAGGCGCAAGCTCCTCAAAATAAATGCTACGCCCTGCCTCCATGTCGTCCGCCCTTGCGCCCGTTTTCCCATCGATAACACTCGAAGTGGAAGTCGCAGGCGTGAAGATGAATGCGGCAGTAAATGTCAACATCGTGGTGTACAAGTCGTACGAGTGGAAGATCACCCAGGTAATTACTTGACTGGCCCAGCTGGAGCGGGGCTCTAATATTACTTGATTAGTCTGCAACTGCACCTTGTCACTCTCGCTTCCATTTCTATGCCGCCAATAATTTCGCCTCTTTGAGTGTGTCATCAAGCTGGGAGCTGCAGCCTCGATTGTTAGGTGAGGGGACGCAATTGCACCTATGCGTAGTTAGTAGTAGATGAAAATTAAAACGAACTCATACTGCAAATCCACCACAGGAATCCTGGGTCGAGTTGTTTTTGCGATCCATCCCGCGATTGAAATTCGAAAGCGGAAGCCAGGAGGGGAAGGGGCTCGTGTGGTTGGAGCCCGACTACTCGATTGTCGCCGAGGACCACAAGAAATTGGTGGAGTTGATGCGGATTCACAACGGCGGGAAAAAGTTCTGGACGGCGACGATGGTGGCAAACTTTCTCCAGGACGACGCGGTGGCAAGGATCGCGAAAGCAAACGGGAAACCCATGCCGGTACATAAAAGCTTTTTTAGTGCAAGCAAGCACTTTGTGTTTGTCACTTCCTTTTTTGTCTTTTTGATCTTCGCATGGAATCATGCTTCCTCGGATTATTGCCGAGATTTATGAATTAGTAAGAGTGGTGAGCACAAACAGGATCATCACAACACCCATGTTATACAACTACAGCAACGGTCCCACGTCACGTCGCTGATGACGAAATGCGGAGGGGAGAAAGATGCAAAAGGCAATTGGAAGGGCGTGCGCAACACTATGCAAAGAAAAGGATAATAGACTGCCCACGCGTGGTGCGTGCGTGGCCGAGCAGCACTGTTTTCTTGTAATTGTTGAAGCGAGTAGTTGGCGCCGCTGGCACATTCTTGTGCTTGTTCTGCAGACAATATCTTGTTCTCCTGTGTTCTTGTAAATCAATCTCAATTATGTACGCTCGGGGCGCTCCCCGGAGGTGTAGGAAATTCATCTCCTCCAGACGAAGTCCACTCACAACCACATCACGCGTGGGCAGTTATTTTTCGCATCCATACCCGATAATGCTCCGGGAAGTTCCGGGATGCAGAAGTCCTTGTGCGAGATGCTGCTCCAGCCGCGTTTGACCGAAGCCGAGCTGCGCCGTCGCAACGAATACTGGGAATCCCTGAAGAAGGAGTTGGACGACGAGGGGCACGAGCGATTCGGGGGCAAGTCCGTCAAGAAGACGAAGAAGTTTTACTGGTGCGCGAAAAAGCAGGAGCTGGTGGATGATCCGGAAGAGGCTGAGGAAGAAGAAGAGGAAGAGGAGGAGGTATGCTTATTGACTACGGTTTATTTTCTTCACTCAGGATTTTTCATCGGCATAACCGCCGTTAAAGTGTATGAATGTCTGTAGTGTAAGAAAGTACTTCAAATTATGCTTTTGCGTGAGCAAGTGCAAGTGCGGACTTTCGTGCTGCGTTGCAAATCTTCGATCGAAAATTACGACTAGGACGACGAGAAGTTGATGCTGGAGGACGAAGAAGACTCCCTGGCGGGGTTATCCCCGGGGGCGCGGTTTGATCGTCTGCAGATGCGTTCTTTGAAAGACGAGGGCTTGGACGACAAGGACGCGGCGGGAGTATTGAAGGAGTTGGAGAAGGTCAAAGCCATCCCGTCGAAGAAGGTGGAGGACAAGAAGAACAGCAAGCGACCGGCGGGGAGTAGTACGGAGGAAGAAGGAGAGGAGGAGGAAGATGCGACGGCGGCAAGCAAACCGAAAAAAATTATCAAGAACAACAGCAAAAAGGCCGCGGGCGACAGCATACCCGAACAAAAGGTGGGCGAAAGCGATGCAGCCTACTTTGAGCGGCTGCAGAAAGCGATGATGTGACTGCGAGGTGAACAACTGGAAAGGTGTGTTGTTGGATCTACGTTGTTTCTTCTGAATTTATACAATTCGTCCCTCTTATCGATGCCCGTGTTTTACCCAAGGATAAAAAATCGAAAAGTCTTGTAATCAAATATCAAGAACAAAAGCCATTATTTCTCCCTTGGGAACAGCCTGATGCTTTTGCTTCTGCTTCACGCGGATGAACAACCAAAGTTTAGAAAAACACTGAGAACTACTGCTATTTTGATTGTCGCCAAATGGGGATGGAATCGAGGCAAAGAGCGGCACAAGCCCCCTAAACCAAACTCCCAACAGCCACATGCTGGTGAAAAGATCTCGTCACTCCAGATCTGTCCCGTTTTCATCTGAACTAAAAATTTTACGATATTCGACCAACTTGTTACACTATACAATACGACGCACGGTTATGGTAGCAAAACTTCGTGGAAGTGTCAAACTAGAACTGAACTACTCAAGAAAGATGAGAACTTTCAATGCGAACAATTACGATTTAGATTTACTCTTGTTTCGGTCTCTAACCACAGAACTTACGTTTCAACTTCAAGTAAATTTCGTTTCCAATCAAATACAGCAGTTGCAGCTTCGAAAGGTGATGAACTTTAAAGTTAATGATTTATGTTGTGATCATGACAACCTGGAACTAGATTCGTTCCCAATTATCCCAGGCCAAAATCAAAAAGCAGTGCTGTCGACGACATGACTGACTTGTTGGTGATGTCCTCTCTCTGCTTCAAAAACCAATATTCCGATCTAGACGTGGCCGCGAGCTAAAAGAACAAGTCTGAGTCGCAAGACGCGCGAAGTAGAAAAAGCAACACATGCTTTTACAACGTGGCGCTGTCGAGCGTGGCTCTCTTGCAGTTCTCGCACTTGATGCATTTTCTACGAAGTGGAGTAAACAGCTTCATCGGGTTTCGTTTTTTTATCGCTCCTTTGTTTACTCGCCTAGGTCTTTTTCTTTCCGTGCACAAGGATCGCCTGCATTTATCGCCAGTATTTCCACCACCACCTTCGTTGTTTTTGTCCTCGAGTAGAATCATTCGAAATCGAAGCTAATCCTGATCGGCACGCTCTTTTTTCTTGGTCGCTATCGTCGTGTTTCGTCATCGAATTCAAGTGGTCATTCTGAGAAAGACCACGCTCGCTCAGAAGAATTTTCTTGATAAAAACTGATCCTGCGAAAATTGATTCTTTGCAGGCACGCATGATATGTATGTACTCTGAAAAAAGAAACCAGCATCAAAAAACAGCGGGACTGGGCACCCATTCTATCGCATGCGTTTGTAAAGCGTCCCATTCTTGGTGCGGTGGAAAATACAAACTCCGTCTCGCACAACCGGCCAACGCCAAACTAACATGTCGTCAAGCCCTCGCGGCCCTGCGCAGCCGGTGTTTAGCCGCCGTGGGGCGAGTCACCAGGTCAGCGATCCGGGTTTGCTACGAAGGGGGTTGAAAAACGTGATACAGGTCCAGCCGGAGCAATCACCAAAGTTTGGAAGCAGTGGTGCGGAGCAACAGGTCTCATCTGCTCTTTGATGGTTGTTCTGTATAATTTATCCGACGACCACTGTGCGTGCGCAGCACTCTTTAGAATTTCAAGTATGCAAGTACAAGTTAGCTGCGCATAGATCAATTTACCATTGACACCATCACCAGCAGGCAGGGGCACGCATCATAAAAAAATCAAATCAAAAACTACAGGATTCAGCAGGAGAACAGCTCGACCCACAGGTCAATGGCGACCCGGACGCCACCAATCCTGACGTCAACGAAGAAGACGTCCTCACACTAGACCCCGAATTGGCGAAAAAGCAGATCAAAGCGGGTTTCTCCCAACCTCCCCCGGACACGAGTTCCGTGCCACCACCGACCTCTACCGGCGCAACCCCGAGCGCGTCTTCCACCGCGGGCAAGAAAAAATCACAACCAAAGGACCCAAATGCAAGTTTCGAGCCGTCGGACAGTTTTTTGCAAGACCAGCAAGAGGAGGAAAACCGGGACAGCTATTTGGACCGAGAATTCCTGGAATCGGCCATAAGCACCTACAATAGGCTAGCCGAGCACGCACGGAACAAGCAGCACTACAAGCTCGGGATATCGCACTTGAGGCGGGCATTGTCGCTGGAGAAATCTGGAGTAGTACCGCCAGACGACTGGCCGTTGAAGGTGCTACTGGCGAAGACACAGGTAGGGAGATGGGGAGTTGATGATGTGTTTCTGTTTCACGACGAAGGTACTGAATGCATGAAATGTAGTCACAGGTAGTGAGTACGAAGTTTCTCAAGCATGAAACATGTGCCAGATCACGAAGCTTGATGTTTCAGAACGAAAAATAGAAAATACGATCACCATGATGTGCAAAAGAAACCCATGTACACGTTCAGGTAAATGTCGCCACCCTACAGTACCTTCTGAATCAGCCCCATGAGAGCTTGCTGGAAGCAGCCTTAGCACGGGACCGCAGTCTAGAATGTTTGAATTACTTGGACAGCGAAGTTTACAGTGCGAGGAAAGGCCAAGAGGTATAAAGAAATTGGTTTCTATTTCTCTTGGCTTTGCAACTGCCACTTCCTTCGGAGAGGCGCACTGGAGCTGCAGCCCTGGTTTTGGTTCATGTCCAAAATGATTTTTGGAAGTAGATGTTGTTTAAATGGTGCAAAACGAATTGGAATTCCACAGGACCCCGACCTCCTTTTTCTCCTAGAAGAAAGCGCGGTGACGTTTTGCCTCGCTCTCCACAGCGCAGCCCTGGCGATGAAGCAGCTCCCGGGCGCAGACACCGCGGGAATAACGGAAGTCGACCGGCTCGCGTGGAAGATCGGCACCAAGTACCTCGACCGCGGACATCCGTGCCTGAGCTTCATGCGCAAAGCATTCGAGACGCGAAACACGCTGCCGCCAGAGGAGACCGCGGCGTTTGTTTCGCCACAAGGGAGTAACAAAGACGGCGCGGGACCAGGGGATGGTGGAGATGAAAGTCAGAAGGACATTACGCAAGATAAGCAGGCAGCCCAGCAAGACAAGGAAAAAGTAGACCCAGACGCAGCGGCCAAACAGGACCAAGCGGACGAGAATCAGCAGGAGCAGAAAAGAAAAATGCTGATCAGCGAGCTGGAGGATTTGCAGCAGTATTTACGCGACACGGTGCTGTCGGACGAGAAGGAACTGAACAGCATCTGGGACGACATCCAGGTAGTAAAGCAGAAGGCCGTGAACTTCGAACTCAACCTCCCCGAAATCGCGACGCTCGAAGCGGAGGTGCTCCGCAGTAAGCGCCGCATGGCGCTCAGCACCGGGTCGGGCAGCATGCTGGGGCACATCGGAAAGTCCGCCTCCTCAGCGGACCTGCAGAAGGGCAGTTCTTCGAGTTCCTTGGAAGCGAATAAAGGCGCATCCTCAGGCGGCGAGGGCGGTGCGGGGCCGGCGGTTGGAAAGAAAACAGCGGGGCAGAAAAAAAAAAGATCAAAGTCAGCAGACAGAAGTAGTGGGGGTGGCAGACTAGGCGCGTATTGTTTTTGTGTAATTGATTTGGAATAAACACAAAACTGCACGATCGTTTGGTGCATTGTGAACTGAGTCTGTTGCAGAACATCGTGCTGCAGCTCTTTATCGTGATGATGCAGTCCTCGAATTTTTTGGTTCCTCCACATTCATTAAAGAATAAAACTGAAACAGCACCACCCGCATGGATCTTCCTGAAATGCGTCGTCAGCGCGAGAACCTGAAGCACGAGAAGACAATATCGCGCCTTATCACCCGCACGGCGGACGAGCAGTATCTCTACGAGGTCCGCATGAGTTACTCCAAGGCAAAAGCGACGCCCAGCAAATCCCGCCCCCAATTGGCCGCCAGTGCACCCGGTGGGGCTGGGCCGCACGGGGGTAAGGGGGGAGCTCAGGACGCGGCGGGGAAGAAATACGATCTGAAGAAAGACGTGATAAGTCTGACCGGGATTCTAAAGCACGAACACGAGACCCTGCTGACCTGGCATCCGCAAGGGAAGGAGATCGCTGCTAGGTATAGTAGTGCTTCGGCATTTTTTTCTCAAGTGTCGTTCTGCTGGATTGTGCTTGTGGTTTGCGTGTGAAGTGGACGAGCAGCTGTTTTCTAATGTGGAACGAGATAGAGCTCCTAAATTTTATCGAAAAAGAAAATGTGTCAAATGTCTCTCTGATCGCGACCACTACAGTCTCGATCCGAGTTACGCGGAGCGCCAAACACTGAACCGGGCATATGCGGATTATGCAAAGAAAAAAGTGTTGCAGTTACACGCATAGGTCGTTATGCAGGCCATGCATAAGCAAGACAGAAAATAGCCTTGGTCATGCCAAAAATGCTTGTCACCCTCAATTCATACATACGTGTTTTCCCTTACATTCTCTACAGCATTTCCATTTTGAATTTTCGCTGGCATGCAGGGAAAATCTGTGTTGCTGAAGTTGCAACTACAAATGTGCAACTGTAACACTGTTTCATCGGGATACCGATAGCCTGGGTTCCCTTGCGCACAAGGGACGCACGGAGGCCATCGTGCGTGTGTCCAAGATGAAGGGTAAGGCCCACGTGCTCGCCAAACATGTAGCCGGAAGTCCGCTCCGGCGTAGAAGCGGGGCCAGTAACGCGTCCTCACCGGGCGGGGGGAAGTGATGGAATTATGGTGGCTAGTGCGAGCAATGTTCTTGTTCGAACGTAGGAGCAAAGCAAAATGCAAACGACGATGTGGTCAGGGTTACGACCTCGTCTGAAAAATAAATGAAAATTAACCTCGAATTCGAAAATGTAAAATCTATACCTCATCCGTCATACCTTTACCTTTTCAAAACAACGTAGAGAGCCTCTGAATTCTTCAGCCAAGGCAACGTTTTCACCTTATTTCATTTCAAGACAAAAGCAAAAACAGACCAGACAACAGCAAGCAGACGTGTCTTATGTCTGGAAATCATTGACAAATCTTCCTTTTTGAAACATCCTTATAAGCAAAAGCACAAACAAGCACAAGCTCATGTAGCTGTGGATAGAAGCAAATAAGATTGAATTAGCACCAGCACTAATTGAAATTTCCTGTACACACCAGTCTCAACTTGCGAACACTTTTTGTACAATCATCCTACTTTTCCTTCGGTATTTCATCTGCATCGCGAATTGCTGTTGCCAGTGCAACATCCAACAAGGACAGAGGTCATGCAACAACCTGCAAGGAGAAGGACACCAGAATCGTAAGCAGAAGTACCTGACGAGAACGGAAGAGAAGTTTGGAAAGAAAGCACATCGCAATTATACGGGCGAGGCTGTCGGAAGACCGTGCCACCGCTACAACTACTTCCACGCACCTAAGAGTCCTCCGCGTTTCTTTCTACTCGGATATTGTCACAGACGCAACTTGCAGATGAAGTCTGTAGATGTAGTGCTGCGCCAGATGAAGTTGATAGAAACAGCACCACGTCTAATATAATTTTGAGCGCTAGACCTAGAGCACTTGAGTGAAAAAAAGGAGGGACACGGAGAGATGCGTACTATGGTTGCCGCTGATTTGCAGAGACGGCGTACTATTAAAGACAAAGACGAGGATTCACTTCGGAGGTCGACGGCGAGGTCAACAAGAGCAAGAGGCACAACTACTCCTGCTGTAGTAGGCATGATTCTCTACTGCAAGCGCGAAAGCAAAACAGCCATAATTCGAGAAAATCAAGATAAGTTGAAGTTCAAACTATAGGACAACATCATTTAAAAATCAAAATGACGGACCCCGAGCACATCTCTCCCAATGTGCTGAAAAACTACGATGTGCTTGGGAAAGTGTCCCGCGGCAATTACGGGCTCGTGTGGCGGGCGAAAGCGTTTGCGACGGGGGAAAAAAAGTACGCGATTAAGCGGGTCATTAATGCTTTCAAGAACGCCGTGGACGCGCAGAGGACGTATCGGGAGATCACACTGCTGTTGGAGCTGAACGGCCACGCGAACATCGTGGAGATTTTTGATGTCGTCAAGGTACAGAATGAATGTTAGTACAGTTTTATTGTCACTTTATGCGGCAGTCCAGTATGCCATGATGCAGGATTTTTGAAGAAGTTTTTTCCGCACATCAGCGCGATTATGATTACCAACTACACATACTACAGGATTACTACGACTTGGACATCTACGTTGTCCTCGAATACATGCCCGCGACGCTGGCAAACATTCTGAAAAACACGCGACTGTCCGACGTCCAGCTTTCCTTCATGATCTACCAAACCCTGCGCGCGTTGCTCTACATCCACACGGGGGGCATCGTCCATCGCGATTTGAAGCCCCAGAACATTCTGATTAACGCGGACTGTCGCTTGAAAATCTGCGATTTTGGGTTAGCGCGAACGCTGTACGAGTCCCCGGAAGACGAGGTCACGCTGCGGCGCCAGCGGCAGGCCGCGGCGCTGAAGTCCACGCATGCGCGCCTGTCCGACGATGACAACGAAAACCAGAAGGAGCGGATGGAGCCGCAGTACCAGATTGAGGAAGAGGGGTTTTTGTCCAACTACATCGCGAGCCGGTGGTACCGGGCGCCGGAGGTGATGCTCGGGTCAACCACGTACGACTTCTCCTTCGACATGTGGGCGGCGGGGTGCGTGTTCGCGGAAATGTATCTGCCGAATCCGTTGTTCAAAGGTATTAACAGCTGATTCTCAGCCTGTTATGCGAAAATGTAAATGTTGTGACTAAGTTATGCGAGTTGATGAGAAATGATCTTAATCTATGACATTCTTCACACCCGCAGGTACCTGCATGTTCACGCAGTTGGAGGCGATTTACCTGCATCTGGGAAAACCCGACCGGTTTGACATTATGACGATGGACGCGCCGTACGCCGAGCAGATGTTCGAAGCGACCTTGGTGAACAAGAAGGAGCCCCTGTCCTCGCTGTTCCTACCCCGCCAAGTCCCGGTTTCCAACGTGCCCAACTGCCCCACGGTGACGGAGAACCCAACCGTGGCGGAGAATCCGGAGGAGTTGTTGGATTTTCTGGAACTGCTCCTCCTTTGGTCCCCCCCGAAGCGTTATCAAATGCAAATATGTCTGGGTCTGGAAGATTCCGAGTTTTCTCATGCAGTTTCTCCAAGCTCCACTAAGTCTGGAATGCAGGACCTAGCATCACAGGATCTGCAGCCCCTCTGTGATGCCTGTTCTGCATGAGAAATGCCCCCTCAGCATGGCCAGAAGTGGGCACCTTTTGCAAGTCACGCAACACAGATTTTTGTATGATGCGCAACATGCATCACAAGTCCCAACCTTCCAGACCCAGACATTTTTACAATCCATAAGCGTATGACGGCGGAGGAGGCCATACGACACCCTTTCGTCTCCGCCTACCACAATCCGGATGACGAGCCGCGGTTCCGGGAGCCCCTGGAGCTGCTATCCACTGCAAATATGTAGTCTGGGTTTGGAACCTTGTGACGCTAAAATGTGACTGGTGGGCGCACTACAATACGCAGCCAATCATGACAAATTTTTGAGCTGCTATTCTGTTTCGGTTTCGGCATGGCAAACTGCGTGTTTGCACGACAGGCAAGAGGCCCTTGTCCTGCTTATGCATCACAGATTTGCGAGTCATTCCAGACAAGCATGACAAAGTTGCATCCACCGTATCCAGACCCAGACATATTTGCAATGCATAGCTGCCCCTCGCGGACGACTGTCTCTTCACGGTGAATGATTACCGAGACCGGATTTACGCGGACGTGCTGCAGATTCCGCGGGCGGTGACCCGGGTTGCGGATAAGGAGGTGGAGTTGCACCAACAACGGGTGGCGGACAAGTTGTTGCAGGAGGAAGAGGAGGCGGATGAGGATTAGACACGGAGCATCAACATCTTGTGCTGCTGCCAAGTTGTGTTGACTATCTCGATTTATTTCCGTCTCGACGTTGAGAGCAGAAATAAGCCGGAGCACTATTCCTGCTAGACGAAGCTGGTCCTGGTGTTGCTGCGCAATGGTGGTCGTGAGGCAGCAGGTGGTCGCGAAGCCGGCGGTGAGGGATTGATATTAACCAAAACGAACGGCAACCGAACCGAGAACGAATCCGGAGCGAGAGCACGCTTGCGGCGCAGCCTGGACCGATCCCAGCAACCACGACGACAAGACCCCGGGTGAGATCCGATTGTATCGGGTCGGCAGTTGCACCAGCGGAGGAGGAAGAGCAGAGCTAGTGGATCGTGTTGTGTGTTTACAACCGGAACAACTTCTCCAACTCACGTGCGAGACAGAGCAGGGCAACATAATTTCCTGGAAAGGTGCTGAAATTCCATGAATTCCGCCCGAAAATCGTAATCAATCCTGGATGAACTCAAACAGCGAAAATTGCAGGTCTGCAAGACCACGTGCTGGCTGTGTGCGTGTCAGAGGCTGGCCGTCGCAGCTCGGAATCAGAAAAAAGGAAATGCATCGAAGGCAGTGCCGGTTGGGTTTGGAAAGCCTTCGCGCTTCACCTGTCGAATGTTGCAGTCGTGGCCTGCTCGAAGATACTAAGTTACTTTCTTAGTGTCTTCGAGGGTATTAGACCAATATAGTAGAAGATGCACTGATTGTTAGTATCAGTCTGGTGTTCATCGTGATGATGATCCTCCCCAAAGATGCTGAAGCTCGTGGTGATCTTGAAAGCCGATGCAGAGGCAGAGCCGTAGCGGCAGAGTTAGCTGGACAGCCCCGGGTCCTCGGCGATTTCCTGCAGAGCTGATGACTACACAGATGATAGATGAGGAAGACGAGCGGCTAGCACTTACAAACAAGTTCTTCTCGTAGCATGGAGGAAATGAAAGATGTACTATCTATCAAGACAAAGCTTGTTACCTAGCTTGTTATTGTTTTAGAAAATGAAAATCGAGACTACAGTAGTTGATTAGTAAGTACCTTGGAACGAAGTGTTAAGCTAAACCTTAATCCAAGAAGTTTGAAAAAAAAAATCATGCCGCGGTTAATGGAGGATTTGATCCGCAAGCGCGCGGAGCACAACGACGGTATTCTCCCGGATCTGGAAGAAATCGCGCTGCACCAGGAGGAAATCGAGAAAATTGAGTCCTTGGAACAATGCTGCCGGCACTTGAAGATTTTGCTGTTACAGCACAACGCGATCTCGAAGATGGAGAACTTGGGCAAGCTGAAGGAGCTGGAATACCTGAATTTGTCGCTGAACAATGTCTCCAAGATCGAAAACATCGAGGGCTGCGAGTCGCTGAAAAAGTTGGACATGACCTTGAATTTCGTCGATTTCGACGAGCTACAGGAGTCGCTGGAGTGTATGGAGGGCTTGGAATTCTTGGAAGACCTGTACCTGTTGGGTAACCCGTGCACCGATTTCCCGGGGTATCGGAGCTACGTGGCGGCCAAACTGCCGCAACTGCAGCAGCTGGATGGTATAAGTGGTTTTAGTATAATCGCACAGTAATTCGTTGCTACAAGTACAACATGATATTGCATCGCAACAACATTTTCCTCTGGTGCATGAATGCATGACAAACCTAATGCAACCGCGATTGCGCCGCGATCGAAGCCATCGTTATTCAGGTAAGCCTATCGCCCCGCAGGACAAGATCCAGGCCGCGCAAGAGCTGCCAGTGTGGGAACAGCTGGTGCTGAAAAAAGCCGCAGATGTTGCGGAGGACAAACGGCAGAAGAAAGAATCCGGCTACGTCCCACCGGAAACGGCCCATGCACCGGAGACCAGGTTGCAGATGGCTCGGGATCTGGCGGCCCAGAAGGCAGAGAAGGAGAAAAACGAGAAGCGCCGAACCGGGACGGAAAAAAAGGAGGCGAGAGAGATACCGGGCGCGTACACGGCCAGAGGGGACATCAGGCAGTGCAACGAAGGTACAGCATTTTTTGAAATCAGCATTGAGACCAGCAAGATTAACATGCTGCCAAACTACGCAAGTAAGTGCCTACACCTCGACGTCGAGGTCGACTCGCGTCTACAGCATGACAAGCTGCGCAGCGGTCCAAAAAGTATAACACGGATCTTTTCTATCGCATCCTTCCACATCCACACTACAGGCAAATACCGATTTCGGATGGACGAGGAAAAAACCGAAGTGGTGTTTGAGCTGGAGACGCCAAAGCATCTCGAAACCGGTCTGATAGACGTGGACGTGAACCCATGGTACAAAGAAGAAGTAATGTTGAGTCGTTATCGTTTCGCAATTTGGATGACAAGTTATGTGGATTTTGGGTGTTTTTGGCAACTTGGTCCGCAAGATCAAGATGAGCATTAGCAGAAATCTCGACCAAACACTAAAAAAGGTACATCCGCGTGATTTGCAAGGAAAAACTGACTCAGTTGAAGCTCCCCGAGGAGGTCAACGTCTCTGAAACGACCGTGCAGCGGAGTAAGACGACCGGATTTCTGAAGATTAAAATGCCCAAGGCAAATTCCCAACTCTCCAAAGCGGGCGAGGAAGGAACAAGCGGATGGGGAACTTCGTCTTCCTCATCAAGCAAGAACAAGTCAACCGAGCCGGAGCTGCAGCCGTTGCAGCCAGAGGGTAACGAGGAAGAGAATGCGCCAGGTGCGAAAGGCGCGAGTACCGCTGCGGGCACCGGGTTGTCGAGTGACGAAAACTCGAAGCGACGCGTCGACACAACGTCTTTGGTGGACAAACCGAAGGGCGGTGAGCAGGGTGAGAAGAAGAAAAAGAAGGCCTACAATTTCAACCTGTTTGAACTACACAGGGATCCGATTCAGAGAAGCGACCACGATAGGACGAAAGGGGGAGGTAGTACGACCACGGGAAAGAAGTCGTCCGCGGAGGTGAGTGATGTAGCGCTGGTGGAGGAGGTGAGATGATAATACGACTTTCGGTCAGATGGGCGAAAATCAAAGTGACATCGACAATTCGTCAGTGACTCTTTGATACTCACACAAGAAAATAAGTAACAGACGAAATCGTAATCGACACAACAAATTGCGAAGCCTGCAATGCCAAAACCTGTGTTCATCTAGCTTTGGAGAGATAGCGACGGAATCATGAAAAATGAAGAAGAAATTGCGCGAAGATGAACATTACAGAGCTATGGTGCGGAAATCTTTCGCAAGCGAACGCAATGCATTTCTTTGCAGCCCCCTCCTGCAGATGCGTTCTGTGAAGTCGTTTTATCCACCCCGGAATGCCGCGCCAGTCGAACTCGTGCGCCCTTATTCCGTTTGTCTTGTAGCTCTTTCGGTTTCGCTCTTGTTTCCTTCGTGCGCGAAGCGAGGGGCAGCGGCTCCCTAGGATCGCTAATCCGTCGAGCGGATTACTCTATACGATTATCGTTTACTTGATGTTGATGATCTTTGCATTGCGTTCAGGATAGCCCGACGTGACATCGAAAAGTATTTATCGGGACCCAGGAAAGCGAAAGGTTCAGGCTGTGTTTGTGTACTCTAGCTGCTTTTATTTTTACTTTCTGTGTTTTTCCTCTACTTGTACTTTTTGTTTTTCGCACTCATTACCACCTCGTCGCGACATTCATTGAGCTTGTTCTCGACTCCTCACATGCTAGTGCCTTGTAGTCCCCACCGTTGTTTTTTGTTTATTAACTTCCCATCTTACGTTGAATATTTCACCTGCACCTTTTCCCGGTGCTCTGTGGTCGTCCCAAGGAGGCCGCGCATTGCCAAAAGACAAACGCTTCGGAGCAGTAGCTGCAAAAAAAATGTCCATCCTCAAACACATCGACATTCTAAAGCAGGAGTGGCGCATCGTGCTTGCCTCCAGCTCGCCGCGACGCAAGGAAATCTTGGGCGAGCTGCAGCTCCCCTTCGAAGTGATCACTTCCGCGGTTGAGAACAACATGTCCGAGGAGGAGCGAAAAACCCTCCGCAACCTCGGTGCGGAGAAATACACGGTGGAGCTGGCAAGGCGGAAGTGCCTTGCCGTCACGGGGAAGGTTCTCACAACGCCCTTGAGGAGTGAGGACGACAGGAGAAAGCACGTGCTCGTGATCGCTTCAGACACCTGCATCGAACAGGATATAATAGAAGAGGACACAGGCGATGGTTCCTGTGTACCCGAAGATTATGATGAAGCTGCACTTCCACATGACAAGGGAAAAGCAAAACAACGAAAAGCAGGACAAGATGAAGATGGTGCAGATGTTCTTGAACCTCCAGTCGACCCCGATGCGCACGACAGCACAAGGACAACTGAAAGACAAACAGACCAGAAAACGTCGAAAGCTGTAGAAGACGCAGCTGCTCCTGGAGCTGGAGCAACAGGGAACACATTAAAAATTCCGCCAAGCCTATCTCAGAACAGGACACCAACAAGAATCCTGGACAAGCCAGCAAATCCCGACGACGCGGTTCGAACTTTGAAGACATTACGTGGAAAATCCCATCGGGTCGTCACGGGGGTGGCGCTGTGCTGGATTTTCGCGAATAACCCCCACAACCCGGATTCGAAGGACGTCACTGTGCGAGACCTCTTTGCGGAGACTACGATTGTGAAATTCAGAAACCTCAGTGATCTTGCAATAGAGCGGTACGTTGCCACCGGGGAACCCTTGGACAAAGCCGGGTCGTATGGTATTCAGGGACTTGGTGGCTTGCTCGTGGAAGGCATACAAGGTTGCCATCGGAACGTGATTGGCTTCCCACTGAGTGCAATTTCGGAAAAAATTGCGGGGAGATTGGATGAATATACGGAGGGGAGGCTCAAAATGCAGTTCAACGTGGACGTGAGACAGCCTGCTGGAGCTTCTTCGTTCTCCGACGCCGCCGCAGCCTACTAGTTCTTCGACAATCAACTAAAACTATGCTTATCTTCCCCGATGTGTGATCATGCAAGCGACGTCAGCCTGGTTCAATGTTTGATATATGATTTTGATCGCTGCCTACACCCAGTGTAAGTGAAGCAAGCGCGAGCAATAAAACGTCACCGAGGAGGGGGTGAAATGTTGCCACCGATACGGCGGTAGATAACATGATGAAACCCCGTAGCTGCAGCTGCGTGTTCTGTGCTCGTCCTCAGAGTGCTACGTTTGGACCGAGAGAAATACGAGAGAGTTTTCAGCTTCAGGAGTGCTAGCGCGAGACCTGCAGCAAGTTTTGTTGAGCGGAGTAGAGATCATGATTCAGCATGAACAACCAACAATTAGCTTTTGCGCAAGCAGGAAAAAATGTAGTTTGTATGGCTCCGTTTCGCAACGCGACCTCAGGCTGCGACCGATCCAAGAACCGGTCTCTCAGATTCCTTTTTTTGTGTCTCTTTCATCTTTGCGCTGTCGTGAAAGTGCGAATCTGTTCTCCTTCTTGCTACAGGACTTCCTTGTTTTACATTCCAATACTCCCATGCACAACGTCTCTCTGTATGTAAAAAAGCAAACAATTGTTGCCTGTGCACCACATTCATGGAGTTTTTTGCCTGCATCGGTCGTTCCTAGAACTAGATGTGTCAGAGTGCTGCTGTCGAGTCCACCATCAATCATTTTTGTCGCCTCCATCATCAAGAAAACATGCACCTCCCCTGGATTACCACTTGTTAGCTCGTTTGTTTTGCACATCGTCGTGGTCCAACAGAGTTCCCACAATGTTTCTTGCTTTCCTTGAAAACCCACCTGGAGAAGTCGACGCAGAGGCAGCTACTGAAGCGGAAAGCGAAAGAGGACCAAATCGAAACCACTGCTGGGACACTTGTTACAACTACTGTCGCGGACCGCAGAGGGGAGACCACGGGAGGACAAAAATTTGTAAGGAAGGGAGTACTTGTACTAGAGAACCGCGGCACCAGGGCAGCAGGAGCAACATCGGCAGCACTTCTGTTGCATCTTCTCGAAACCACTGCGTCGTGAAAGATCACGGACGAGCATCGTATCCTTGCAACTTCCTCCGCGAAGAGCATCATGGGAGCTGCGTGCTCGACCGCCAACTTCAAGGCGCTCGCGTTTTCCAGCTTTTTCGTCGTCGTCTGGCAGCTGAGTCTTTCTTCCATTTTCGTGCAGATCCGGAAAATCGCGAGTCTGCCGGTGGAATGGACGCAGCCGTATATGTTTACGGAGTGGTCGCACTTACCACACCGGAATTACTACAACAGCAACTACGCGGCGGCAGTGGTCTATTCAGACGGAAAAGAAGAAAAGGGACAAAATCTTCATCAAATGTCCACATCAGGCACCAGCGGAAGCGGAGGCACCTCTACCAGAATAGATGGAAAAGTAAAAGAACAAAGCCAATCCAGCAAAACTTCTTCGGTCGAGAACAAGTGGCAGCAGCGGTTGCGGGGCCGTTGGGTGCGACCCTCGCTGTTAGACGTGTTCCTTTTTCACGACCCAGAGAGCTACAACCGTCCGTACTTGATGCGGTTACAGGAAGGCCACACGATGCACAGCTGGAGAGATTTGAAGACGCAGGAGGATCAGGAGAAAGAAGAAAAAGCGGCTTTGATAGCGGCCGCCGGTGCTGGTACAACCAAGATGAAGAGCTCGCCCGCAGCGCATAACAACGACGCTATGACGACAGAAAGTCAAAGTGAAAGTCACAGCTTAATGTCTCGTCCTCCGCCGTCCAATCCGAATGAGTCCGCGATCGCGTTCCTATTTCTCCTGATGCGGGAAGTGGACACGGCGAAGATGTGGGATTTTTTCTTCGACAAAAAGTTCAGCCAAATGTTCACCATCTACGTCCACCAAGCCGCCGAAAAGTCCGGCTCGGTGCTGGGCTGGGAGCAGGTGTGGGAGGAAAACAGCAATGAGCCGGTGTTGAAACTGCCGCCCGTTGGGATGCGTAGGGTCGAAAACCGACCTAGGCCGGTGGTGAATTCGACATCGAAAGGAGGACCACATCTTCAAAGGTCTTCCTCGCGCACCTCGGCCCGTCTTTTCGCGAAGCACGTTTCCTACACTGTCATCGAGCGCCAGTATTCCAATTGGTGTGCTTTACTCGCCGCACAGGTCGGGCTTTTTCACCGGGCGCTGTTCGAAACGAAAAACAAATTTTTCGTGCTTTTATCGCAGAACCACTCCCCTCTGGTGCCCTTTCCCCAGTTTTTCCAGAACTTATTCTTCTCCACATCCTCTTCCGCTGGTGCTGCTTTCACCTCGACATCGGCAGGAGTTGCTTTATCTTCAACACACTCTCCGATGAACAAAAACAAGCCCTCCGCGCACGATGAAAAAGACCACCAATCGCGGTTTTGTTTCGCGGGCACCGCCTCCTACGACACCCCGTCTGGCTGCAGCTACGCGGCCTGGGCGCCGTGGGGCGGCCGGTATTTGCTGAAGCACCACCAGTGGATCATTCTGAACCGGCGCCACACGGAGCAGCTAGCGACTTCCGCCTTCACGAGAGAGCTCTTCAAAAGTTACAGACGCTTGTACACCTTCGCGCCCCTCTGTTCCGACGAGGTGGTGCCGGCGCTGGCGCTTTTGACGAAAGTTCCGAAGTTCGCGACTTCGGAGCAAACCTTCGCGGCCAACAACATCAAGCAGGAATGCACGACATTCGCGTATTGGAAGGGGTGTCTGTACCAGGAGACGAGGGTCTTGAAGGACTTTGTCATCGGCGAGGAAGTCGTGGTCACAGACGACAGCAGCAGCGCCGATGGTCGCGGCCCAGGTGGACACCAGCACCAGACCGTGTTGGTGGAATCCTTGCTAGACGAGAGGGAACAGGCGACCGAAAAGCAGATGCTTCGTGATCAGCAGAACATCAAGGAAGTGGGGAAAGTAGTGAAAACGCAGCTGAAACAGGGACAGAAGCTACTCACCGCATACCGATCCGAGTCGTCGAAAATCGCGACGCAGATTGATTCGAAACTGAAGGAGTTCGACTCTGCGGCGGATAAAGTTTTGATGAAGGGAATCGAAAAAGTCTCGGAAGGCGGGAAAAAATTGCTGGATGCGGCGACAAGGAGAAGGGTGGGAGAAAGTAGTGAAATTATGGGAGATGATGATAAAGGAATGCACCAGATCATGTTGAGCAGAAACCTTGCTGATACGGAGAACAAAGAGCCAGTACCCAGCGCGCCCTCCACAACATCATTCCCTGCTGCGGCTCCCAGTGTAGTAACAACAAGTAGTGTATCAACTACTTTATCTCCAGCACCACCAGCGACAACGCAATTGATCAACAGCAACGGCAAAGTCGGTTTGAAAACAAGGAAAATCCACGTGAACGACGGCATGGTGCATTTTGACGAGAAAAAGAACATCCTCTACTGCAACATCTCTCACCCGTTTTTCGAACTTTTACAGCAGAAGGATTTTCATCTAGACCCGAGGTGGATTCATCTAGTCGAGGAGGATAGTACTTCTTCGTCGCAACTGTTTGACCGTGCTGGAGGCAACAACAGCATGACGGCTGGAGCAAAACCTGGTAACAGCACGACGGTGACTAGTCCGTTCTTTTCCGACTTCACGACCGGGTTTTCTTCCTGGAACGAGACTCTGGCGTATTACAGTACCTGGTGGCTGAACACATTCAAAAACATCTCGCTGTTCAACGCTCTCGCGCTGACAAACACCACCACTGCAATAAATACAACATCAAGTAGGTCGTCTGCATCCTCGACAGTGCAACACCCGAAGCAGCACCCCTTTGAGCTCATGTCGGACTACGGAACGCACATCCACTCGTTGTTCACGAATTCTCTGAAAAAGCCATCCCTTCTCCTCTCCAGCGGGGCCTCCGACGCGATGAAAACGGACGATGCGATGAAAAAGGACACACACCCCGGGACTTTGTTGATCAAGAACCGGGGCGCGTTTGCGGAAAGGCTAGTCCGGTCCGGATATCTACTCGCTCGGAAAATGGGGCCGTTTCCGTTGATTTCGTTTTGGACGCGAGAGGAGCAGGAGTCCGTAAACTTTGAAAATTTCTACGACAAAGTGCAACTGAAACAGTCAGGCGGGAAAAATGGTGTTCAGCAGAACAGAGAGGTGAAGACGAATACGAAACGCTTGAGCACTGCGAAGATTCGAAGGAGGAAACTTTTGCGTCGCCGGGCGGTAAGTCGTACGAGAATTTCTGGCTCGAACGTCGACGAGCAGATGAAAAGCACATCTGAAAATGAAAATGCTCTTCTTGCTCGTACTGCTGCATCACCAGCAAAAAATCATGGAAAACGAATCCTAGCCGCCTCGCCTCCAAGTACTCCCGACGAAGCAGAGTACTTCTTGCCCCGGCTTCCGAAAGTGCCACCATGGATGAACAGGAGGATCGCGATCGTGTTTGGCTACCCGCGCGTGGACGACCTCTTCGAGGACGGGAATTTCATGTAAGGGACGTGTTTCGTGTTGGTTTTGATGCGCCATGGTATGCTGTTCATTTAAAAGCCCTGCTGCTTGTGTGTGTTGCAAGTGCATTAGCCCAGCTTTTCAGCATAGTAACAATTACCAAACATATACGACAGTTACCACACCTCCAAGCTCTGGCTCCTGGTTTGGGACTGGATCGAGCCCTTTTACGCGACCTGCTTGCTCTGGAGCTTCACCGGTTTTCTCTTCTACAAGGTCGTGATCAAACAGAAGTATTGGCGGTTACTTTTCCTGTCCCTCGTGCTGTTCTACGGCGAGCTCTGCCGGGTGTTGCACTCGTTGCTAAAGCTGGAGGGACGGGACTGGTTCTTGACCCGACTGGAAATGGACGACTTGTAGGAGCAAGTAGAGAAGTGGCGAACGGCAGGACGACCTGAACTGAACCACACGCACACGCGTAGTACCTGCTGTAGACTAAAACCCAAAGCGTCCGCTCTCTTCTCAAATAATTAGCATATTTTCTCGCCGTTTGCGCCACAAGCGGCAAGGGGCACGCTCAAGTGTGTGTACAAAAATGCCTCCGCCGGGACCGGAACGAAGAGTTTTTGAAGAATGAACCGCATAGGAAAGATCGCCATGTCTGTATACTTGTAGTGCAAAACGTCCTGATCGTCATCTGTATTGCCGCATATTCCATGACCAAACAACATCAATGAACTCACTGACGATGTACCAGAGTCGAGCCGCCCAGTAACCCTTCAAAAGAACACTTACACTTCCTGAATAAAAGATGGATCTGCTGTGCGTTCGACCTTTCGTGAGTCAGAGTGAGTGATCATTTGAGTTGTTATTGTTTCCTCGAGCGGATGCGTAGTGAGCATGAGCTGTGAAGACACCAGTGCGCGTGATGATCTTTTTCGGCTTAAGAATCGTGTCGCTATCGGCATTGTGTCGTAGAACCTGGTCGGCAAGATGCAATTCGTGGCGCACTTGCTGCTTTTAATTTCGTTCTTAGACCGATCGCACCATAGAGATAGACACATGAACTTCCGGAAGAAAAAGAATCAAGAAACAAGTGAAAAAGGAAAGCGGCGTTGTAAAAGTAGAAGCCTATCAAATTCAAGATTATGAAAAAGCAAATATGACTGCTAGCAGCATCTCTTCCAAGTTCATCATGCGGATGAGCTTCGTGATGTTTTACCGGTTTCTCTTCGACGAGAGTATCGGAGTCCTCACCCTGTTCCACCTACTTTTCTTTCTCACCCTGAATCCGCAGCCCATGTTGACCAACGGCCTGCAAATCCTGGAGCAGCAACCCTTACCTGGCCAGCCACACACCAAAACTACCAGTGGGGCATCCGCTGTGGAACAAGAGCTACTGTCTTCGTCACGACCGCATGAATCTTCACACGGTTCTTTGCGCACGGTTCCGAACGGGGCTGCGTCAATGACAATGTCCAGGAGAAATGGCAACCTGCGGGGCAGCAAAACGCACTACGTCGCGAGCCACGACGGCCATTGCGCAGACGGAGAGTATTTTGACCGAAACTCTCCAACCGGGTGTGTGCGAGCGCATGAGGCGGGGGGTTCTTCTGCCAATGCAGATGCCGACAGCATGGTGAGCAATTACGTCGATGACATTGCAACTGCAGCGGCAGAGTCGTTTCTCGAGCTTCCCAGGGCAGCAACGAGTAAATATGCTTTGATCTTGACGTTGAGCTGATCATTCTTGTGCCTTCTTAGTATCGGTTCTATTTCTTCGCTAATGCTAGCTAGCTTGTTGTCGTATGCTAGCTTTTAGATGACCACACATTATTTTTCGAGATCGACGCATGAAGATGTTTTTCTTTGCACACTTAACAGCTCTCGACGACGATTCTGTTTCCGAGCTATCTGCATCCTCTTCGCCGCCGACGACTGCGGAAGACTTCAAAAAGGACAAGGACCTTTTTTCAAGGTCCGGGGGCTCGGGAAAAAAGCCGAAGAAGTTCGTGGACATTGTGAAGAACCTCGCACAGAAGGCCAGTAGCAAGAAGGAGAAGAAAGAGAAACATCACAAGCACGATGAAGATCAAGATGTTGAGCGAGGGGATGTTGAAAACCAGTCCAAAGCAAAGAAGACTGCAAAGGCTAAGGGGAAAGCTAAATCAAAATCACGCGCGCTTGACCCCACGCAGGACACGGAGGTGCGCGTGCGGGTGAAATCCAAGCCCGCCGGAGAGATCTTCTTCAAGTTCGGCAAACCGCCACCCACCCCGGGCCGCGGCGTCACGTACGCCGCGCACCGGGCGCCGCCCATGACAGCGGACGGCCAGCCGGGACCTGTGACCGACGTGCGGATGCAGGCCTTCAAAGTCGGCGACACCAAGCCGGATCCGCCACGCCCGAAAGCGATTCTGTTCGGACCCTTGCCAGGCAGTTCTCCATCTTCGCTGTCGAGTCGAGGACCGGTAACAAGTACTGGCGGTGCAATGCCAATGCCAATGTCTACAGCAGGAGGTGGAAATGCTGCCCCACCGGTTGTTCAGCAGCAGCAGGAAGACCACGGTGGTGCTGCAGCACCCCCAGTCGAGGAAGAACAGCCAGGAGCACACGAGCCAGAGGTTCCAGCAGCGGCGCGATCATTAGCTTCCGGGGCGGAGCCGCTACCGCCCGCAGCTGCTCCGCCACCTCCGTCGCAAGCTCCTTCGATCTCTTTGCCACCACCACCGGCTGGCTACTACGGAAGTGGTGCGCCCTCCTCAGCTGCAGAAACTAGTGGCGTTGGGAAAGATAGTACGTTGTTAAAGACCAAGAGTGCCGCGGCTACAACTACTGAAAACCTGCATGAAGATCAAGATGCGGCTACTAACACTGGTAGTAGCGGAAGAAGTACTGCGTCGGTAGCAACAGAAACAAAGGAGAGCCATCGCCATCAAGATCAACCTGACAACACGATGTTGAAACAGGCGGACACAACTTCTGAACATCAAAATGTAGTAGCGAATCCGCACGAGTCGCTGTTGCAGCTTTCGGTTCCGCCACTGGAAGTGGTCTACGAAAGAGTGAAGAAGATGAACAACCGAGGAGGTGCAGGAGTGTCACTCTCACTCGCTGCAGCTGCAGAGAAAGATAGCCGTGAATCAGAGCAGCATGCAGCACAGGGTCCTCGTCGAGACCAGGATCAGGAACGCCAACAAGAAGGACAAACTGAAACAAGTGGAACACGAGAAGAAGCACCTTCAACTTCATCAAGGAGCCCATCGAGCTCTAGCAGTTCAACAGTACTAGAGATGAACAACGTGGCGAATAAAAAGACATCAACTGATGTCCTCTCCACATTGCACCCCGGCAGAGGGTCGTCATCATCCGTTCTGGAGATCCTGGCACAGAAACGGGCTGCGAAAGAACGTAACGGTAATGCAGCATCAAGAACTGCTGACCATTTCGACTTCACGAAAGACCTCGAGCCGACCTCTCCCGCGCCCGGGCAGCATGAAAGGAAGCTGCAGGAGAATGGCGCAGCAAGCAGAAAAGTAGAGAGTGACTCGACGACGTCGACCCGTGATGGAAGCAAGGAGCATGGCTCTACGTCTAACAACAACAAGGCGTTGTCCGCAGCTGCAACCACAAGTGTTCTGAACGACGTCAAAAATTCCTTTCTCGAGTTGCAACGCCCGGCGCATTCTCACAAGGCGCACCGGCATCGCCACGTCGATGACAACTACTACAGCGATGAGCGAAGCGGGAGTTCTTACAGCGACGATTACAGCTACGACCACCACGACCGTCACAGACGCGGTGGCGGAGTGCCCCACCACTACTCCTCAACTTCTTCATCTTCGCACCGCGGTGGTCACAGTCACGGACGCGGACGCGGCCGGTCCTCCAGGAGAAGCAGAAACAGGCCTGGTAGAAGAGGCAGTTCATCTGGCCGCTCAAGCACGGGAGCGTTTTCTGACAACGCCTTTTCCTCTTCCTTCCTGCAGGATTATGGGAATCCCAAGCCGATTGAAAAGGAAGGGGCGGACATGATGAATTCCGGGCAGGGAAAATCAGCAGGGGAAACAACAAATCCATCTTCTTTCCTCGCCGACAGCAGTGCGCCACCGTCGTCTTTAGCGTCCTCTACTTCCCCCACCAGCATTTCCTCTACTTTGCAAACCAGTGAAAGTGAAGTGCAAAATCAGAAGCAGCAGGCGGGAGAAACACATCAAACAGGGAAGCAAGAAACGACGTCAGAGCACGAGGTGGCGCGACGACTAGAAACAGAGGAGGCCAAAGAACAGGAGAAAACGGGTCGGGAGCAGCAGCAACTTTCAAACAGCAAACTTCACCCTCCGCAGGCACGTGAAGACATGGGCACCCACGCTCGTGCGACGAACGGCTTTCTCATGATGGAGCGGCAGGCAAGAAATTTTGCGTCCAAAGATCCGACGTGCAAGCAGGACTGGTGGGTGGATCCCGAGACTGGGGACAAATGGCCTCTGCACAAAGGTAGTACTACGGGAGATCGTGTTTTTCCGTTGCGTGCTTCTTGTCATCCCCATGCATCGCGAACGTGATGATGATGATGATGATGATGATGATGATGATAAACGTGACTGCGGTCGCTCCTTGCATAATATGAATATCATGATGCGCATGTGCGTTGACGTTGGTTTATAAGTAAACAAATGTGATGCGGAAGAACTTGAACTGCACAAACACAATCAAAATGAAAAAACACCTCCAGTGAACAAGCACGAGCCGCCGGAGGTGGACCGCGCTCGAAAGGAGTGGGAGGACCGATGCGACCCGATTTTGGAAGAGGAAAAGGAACGGGATGACTTCGAGGCGACACGGCAGAAGAAATTGCGGGAAGATTACATGGAAAAAAACGCCGGCTTCCACAAATACATCGGTGGCGTCGCGCCCTGCGAAGCGGCCATGATTGCCATTGCCGGGTTTGCCCTGTGCCTGTTCTGCTGCATGTGCTGTCTGTCGAAAGACAAGCACGTCATGTCCGACCTTGAGCGGAACCGCTACAAGATGCTATGCTGGTGGACCAGGTTTAAAATATTCTCGAGCGGAGAGGAAGCCAGATCTTCTGATGCAGAAGTATCGTATCTCTATCTGTATGATATGTTTAGGTCCTGGCTGGTGGTGATGCATATCAGAAAAAAAACTTGTCCACTTCCATAAACACGGAACGCGGAGCAGCTGGCGATCGACGATTTGATTGACATGCCGTGAAGAAAAACAAGGGGGAAGATAGTGTTGTGGGAATGAATTATGTCACATCAAAGTACTTGCGTTACAAATGAAAATTATCAGTTCTGCAGTGTGAGTATTGTTGTACAATAGAAGAAATTACTTAAACTGTATGCGTATTGCGCTTCTACGACATTTTCTGTTTTCAGTTTCACCTAGCGCAAAAGATTTACGATTGCTGTATCAGCATTTTCAGATTTGTTGTTGACTTTGTTCCTCGAATCCAAAATTAAAACACTAAGTACTCCTGTAGTACGTGACTAAGAATGTAAAAAAACACAACCATCTATATCTAATATCAGTATGATTTTCTATCTTCTTGTACAAACTACTTACAATTGTGGTGATTGAGATTCGTTGCGATCATACGAAACTAAAGTTTGATCGAAAGAAGCAGGCGCGTGGGGTGGAGTTTTTCTTCCAATTCCAAGAAACCGCAACAGAATGACGAAATGGTGGATGTCAAAACTACAAAAATGGAAAGCCGCCGACGCACCAAACCGAAATTATGTACAATACTTGCGAACAAGATGTCGAAAAGAAGTTCTTCAGACTGCGGGCGGGACTTTGCTTGTAGACTCGAAGCCGAACAAATTTTCAGTGCCACCTTGTCGTACGGCAGCGACTATCGTGTTCCTGGACCAGCCTGCGTTGGGAAAAAAAAAGGTACCGGAAAAGGAAAACGACAGATGCAGTTGTACCTCATACAAGTTGATGAAGAGATGCATGATATCCCTATCCATATGCTACTACACGACGGCGAGCGGCATTAAATAGGAATAGCGCATTTGTTTCATACTGCTGAAGACTGCGAAGACTGCTTCGGAGTGGGAGTCGGAGTCGATTCAAATTGGACAATGAGGCTTATTCTGGCAGCTGCTGTAGTTGTCTCTTTACGAAGATGGTTCTCTACTTGATGATTTCATCGCCAGCAGTTGCGTAATTGGAAGCGAAAATCACGGAAGCGGTGCGCGCGCCGGATCTTTGTATCGATCAAGCGATCAGGCGCGCTTTGCCGGTCCAGCAGCTTTTCTCTAGAAGCACAAGGAAGCTGCAGGCCTCTCTTTCGAAGCCACAGGAGAAGGGGAGGACCGGGTTCTGCGGCAAGAAAAGCGACAAAGCTTCCACAAGCGTCAACATGGCAACATCTTCCTCCTCCTCCTCCTCTTCCAAACCACCTCCCTGGGACCTCCCAAGAGCCGCAACTCCCAACTGGACCCCGGTTTTTGGGCCGCCAAGGAGCGGTAACGGCGTCGCGCTCGAGAAAAAATCCTCACGAACCTGGCTGAAGGAGTTGGAAGGGGAGCTGAGTCCGCCGAAAGCGGTCAAGATCATACCGCCGAGACATGTGTTGCGGGAGCAGCAACAGTATCCGATCGACTTTGCGGTTACTTACGTGAACTATCTATGTGTTGCGTAGAGAAGTAGGTTAAAATGCATGAATACAAAGCGCGAACTTTATGATGTTTAAAAGCCAGTCCTCTTGCTTATCACAGGCGCCTCGAGACCCTGAACGGGCGGCGTTTTTTCGCTTTAGATGAGGAGATTGGCGTGAAGCTTTGCGATGTCACGTCCGCGAACCCAGAGATTCAAGCAGCCAGGGACTACGCACAGGTGCCAAAGGGGAACACGACAACCGAGATCGGGGTTTTGCTGATCGACTGTGAGCAGCTTTTGCAGGAGATAGGGCCATCAAAAAACCTGACCAACGCGATCAAGTACACGCGAAACAGCCAGAAACTTGCGACCATGTCCTTCACGCCGTTACCAGAAAGTACTTAAGACTGCGCTCTAAGTATTTTTTGTATAAAAGTAAGTGTTACTGATGTTGGTGCTTCATGATGATGTCGTGCTAATCCTAATTGTGACCTTGAATACTGGCTGCACTACGATTTTGAATTGGATTTTCATGTCGGCAAGAACAGCTACAGCAACACACATACCTCTCAGATGGCGCCCCAGTGATCCTTCAAGAGCAGGAAGTCGCGCCACCTCCGGCCTTGGTTCATGATCCAGATGTACACCTGTCCCGTACCGCCGGCAGCGACATAATCGGCGACGGCACCTCCTACTCGCCAAGAACAAATAAGGCATCCGCAGCAAATCAGCAACCACCGTCGCCTGCGAAGTCCTTCGGAAGAGAGTCCGCCGGAAGCAGCGCCGGTGGACCAGCAGGGAAAACCCGTGGGTCGCACCTTCGCGCCGAGCACCTCTACTCGGCCATGAGTGTGGACCCAGCGAAGGTTGGCGCGAACATTCTGATGCGAGATCCGGCGTACAGGAATCAGAATGCGAGCTCGAAGTCTTTGTGGAACCAGAAGCGAAACCAAAATAAAAAATCCTTGCGACAGGGGATGGCAAGGGTTGACGCTTTGCGGGATGGCGCCGACAGTAGCTGGGGAAAGAACGCGCTGGCGCATTTGAAAAAGGACGGGGATTTCCCGAGTTCTTCCGTGGTTCCGCCGGCTTTGGTGCAGACGAAAGGCGCGAGTGGTGATGAAGGAGCTGCTGCAATAAAACCAAATGAACAGAACAACGAAAGTCCGCACTTGTTTTTCCCCGAAGGGGACGAGGACGGTGAAGGTACAGGCGAAAACGCAGAAACCGTTGCTGGTGAAAATGAACCGGCCGCGGTGCCGGACGCAGCCGAAGTGGGAACTGAGCCTCCAGTTGCGGAGGACCAAGCTGACGTGCCAACAGAACCTTCAGGAGCTGCTGGCGATGAAAACGACAATCAGCAAGCCGACGCTGAAGCCGCTCGGAGCGACGGGGAGCGAAGCAAATCTTCAGGAGGAACTGCGAAAGATAAACACCAAATAAACTCTGGAAACGAGGAAGCAACTACTGGCACTTCATCCCCAAAAAAGCAAGTCACGATCAACATGGCCGCAAACACGGTCTCAGACGAGGAAAATAAGAACTTACAAGGGACGGCGAAAACGATAAAGGGTCTTACCCCAGTTTCTGGAGCCGCTGCGGGTGATTCCGGGTCTGCTGGTCCTCCACCGGCAACTACAATCCCAGACTACACAGATCAAGGTCAGCTGCTCGTCGAGCAAGACGAATTTACTCCAGGCGGCTCGCCCATTGGCAAAAGAACCACGACGACCGGGACTTTCCGCTTCTACGCTTTGCTGCTTGCTACGAGAACCGTTGACAACGACCAGCAGAAAGCTTACGCGCAGCCCTTCGGCGCGGCGGACCCGGTTTACGTCGTGAAGTTATCCCTCGACATCTGGGACGAGGTTTTGCAGAACGTTCCGAAGCAAATCTGGCCTCTAGAGTCGGTACCTTTTACCCTTGTTCCCCCTCCGCAGATCACGGCATCAGCAGGAGCAGCAGCGGCTTCGCAACATCAGCGCGGCCAGTCGTTTATTGATGTTGTGCAACAATTTTCATCGACCCGTTCTCGCCTCAGCGCGGCGGAAAAGGTGCACCATGTGTTGAAATATTTGAAACGGGACGTGGAGCTCGCGGCTTGGAAAACACCGGAAGTCGATAACTTCATTCACGGACCGACCATGTCGCAAGACTACTTGCAGGGGGTCATGCCGAAAGCGACCGCGGCTTCGTTTCACACGGCATCTTCTTCTTCCTCTTCTACTTCAGCCCTCCCCACAGTTTCGAAAAACTCGATTTGCCTCACGAAGCCCGGCGACTATTTTCTCAATGCGGTTTTCCCAGAAAACCATGCTCTCTACCTCGTCGGGAAGTCCTTCGACATTGAGTGCGTCGACGTGAACCAGCACAACGTGGAGATCGAAAAAACGCGGATCCAACTGTCCAAACACTGCGCCTTGGCGGAGGCCAGGTACCCGTTTTACGTCATTCCCTGGGAAGAATGTAGAAGCTGGGTGAAGTTGAAATCCCACGAGAACTGCCTCGACGACGGGTCTATCATCCTCTTCGAAGACATTTCGACCATAAACCCGGAGACCGGCATGGACAAGGAGCTCGTCATCGTCTACATCTCCCACGAGTACGCACGGGAGCAGCACCCGGACAACGAGCGCGGCGAGAAAATCAAAGCCATGCAGAAATACGGGCGGTCGTTAGTGAGTCAGTACGGCGGCGAAGAGGTGGTCAGCTTATTTTTCTATTTAGACTACTGCTGCACCGAGGCGCACCGGCACTACGATCACAAGGACAAGGAGTCGCTCGAGCCGGGGTACTTGTGGAACTGCAACCACTTTTTGGCACTGGTGCCCAGCTTGATGAACCAGGAGAAACAGGTATACTATACTAGGGAATATCACAAGAACTACTTAGGGTTAGGTTCGTTGCTGCTCTTTTCTGCAATGCTGGCTCTTGCAGATTGTGATTGAGTGGAGTTTGGTGCCGCTTGTACTTCTCACAAAGATCATTCGATTCGAACTAATTTGCCACTTTGATGTAGTTGTAGCTTTATCATTAACTCATACTCATCACACTACACCCACAGATCCAAGGCATGCAATCTTACGCGGTGGACAAGAAATGCCAGGCCGAACTTTTTTCCGTCTTTCTCTCCGGCCTTCGCCACGTCTATTGGACCGATGGCGACGTTGGCGGTCGGCTCGATCTTCCCCCCGTCTACCCAGCTTGCTGGTGCACCCATCTAGCCGCGAAACTCGCCCTCTACGCGAATTTGTGGAGCGAGGACTTATCCTTGCACCAGGATCAACTCTTCGCGGACGTTCGCCGGGCGATTGACCGGAAAGGGGCGGAGTTCCGGAAAGCGATTGACGATGCAAGAGGGGGGAGAGGAGGTTCTACTTTACCCGCCTCGAGGAGCAGAAGTGGCACGCCAGCGGGCGGAAGGAGAGGGAGCACTAGTCGTGGAGCAGGTGCGGCCACCTTCTCAGCCAGTCGATCGCGACGAAATAGCAACACAAGACCAGGGTCTTCCGCCAGCAGATCCTCGTTACAAGAGAGGAGAGAGGCTTTGCAGCCCTTTGGGAACAAGAACGCGGCTGATGAGTTCCGGACAAATTTGGCGCAGAAGTGCCTTGTCTTACCCGACACGTCGAAGGGACGGGGGAGCGCGTCTCCGATTGAGGCGCTGTATGGAAGCGCGGGGGGTAAGAACAAAAGCGGAGCTACTACTCGGCCACGAAAACCGTCTTTCAAAACGGGCGCATCGTCCTCCAATGCGGACAACGAAGCAGAAGTGTCAAAGCCGGTTTCCGAACCTCGGCCGGGATTTTTTGAGGAGCTAGCGCATCTGGCGGACATGCCGAACTTCTTCCGATGGAAAAAGTCTGTGGCGTTGGGGTGGGTGGTGCCGGGAGCCTTGACGATTGACAAGGAAGTGGTGGCACAGGAGGAGAAGGAAGCGATGATGCCGGTACAACATGTATGATGGTCGGAAATGAACAACAGGCAGAAGGATCTTGTATGATGGATATCGATATCGATCATGTACTTGTGAAGAAGAACAAAGAAGCAAACTGCTATTTTGATCTTGTTACCATAGGTTTTGTGCTTCTTGGTCTCATCTACTGTTGGATCATTATCGAAAGCAAAAGCAAAACGTATAAACAAGGAATATGTCCGACGAGTCTTTTTGTTGGCGTGTACCAGCTCAATAGTTGGGCTGCGTACAGTAGGAGAGGGAGCCACCAGCAGAGTTCTTTTAGCCGGGCCAGGTGGCCAGCGTTGGTTTATGAGAGGCAGCAGCGATAGCGACAGGGACAGCGACAGGAGAGACTCTTCACAGTTGCGTAGCGAGTGGATTATGTGTCGGTTCCCTTGACATCTGGCGGGCTAGAGAAAGAGACTGCAGGTATAGCAGAGCGTCAACGTGAGTGCTGCAGCTGCTTCCGAGTGAAAATTGCGGATGACGTGTGTCGTCTAGTGCTAGTGGCGTAGGTGGAGAAGGTACAAGGTAGCCCTTTTCTATTGCTAGAAGAGGTTCAGCGCGTCTGTTGTGAGACATCTGCGTGGCCCGCTTTTCCAGTCTGAACAAGAGGGGCCGCCTCGGCAAGGCATTTTGACCATTTCAGCCTCCTGTGTTGAGCAGCGGCTCCAGCATGTTTCAGGATAAAGAGCAAGCGCCGGAGCGAGGTGAAAAAGCCGAGAAAATACACCGGAAAACGTGGCGGAGCTGCAAGGCATTGGGTCGTCTCTGTCTATCGTTTTCAATGTTGGTGATGCAGCGTGACCATGGCCAGCTGCGTCTTCCTGGTCGTACTAAGACGACGGCCGATGGGTTTGACGTTCTGCCGGTCCACCGTGACCGCGTGACTAGAGGGCAGGGGTGCGAGCCCTCAGCGGCACCTCCGGGATCACTCTATCCGCAAAGTAAGCAGTGCCCGCCTGCTCCGCCGCAAGCCGGCCGCACTAAAGTCGAGCGCTCAGCGACGAATACAGAAGTGCCGCGGCCATCCGGTCGGAGCCAGTCCATCCTGCGCCCGGGAGGAACGAAGCTGCTAGCTTCGCCATGTCGGAAGCCGGCGGGCCAGAAACCTGCGCCCGCCGGCTGGCCGCGGGCGGCCGGTCGGCCGCTTGCTTTTTTTGCTGGCTTGATTGAAGCGGGGGGCAGTCTGTGGCGGTCCGTCGCCCTGTTTGCTTCTTCAGCTGGGATTGGGAAGGCGCCGCTGCGTCCCATCCCCTGCGGCGATTGCGCTTTCTATATGAGCTCCCGCCGGCCAATTCCGCGCCAACCACTTGGCGCCCGGCAAAGAAACATTCGTGGGCCGCCTGTGGTCATGACTCCAGAGAGTCAGGCTGGTCTGCCCGGCTGGCATGCGTTAAGTAGTCGCGTTCTGTGCAAAGTGCTTAGCTTCCAGGCAGCTTCTCACCCCCACACAATCTCCCAACGAGCTCACTGCTGCCTGTTCCTTGTGTTCTCTTACATGGGCTGGAGCACGTAGTTGCTGCAGGCGTATTTTTCAGTCTCAGTCTCGTGTTTCCCGAGTATGTTCGAACTCGCAGATGGCCATGTCCTCCTCGCGGGAGTCGCCGTTTCCCTGCTTACATTATGAATATGGTCTGACGTCCAATCAGAATCAAACTCGTCGCTCACACTTCTCGTGCCGTGTTCCTGATAATCAAAGTAAGTGCACTGCATTATGAGGAAAAATGAAACCTAAACAAAGTTTATGCGTATAACATAACAGCATCCATGTCTTTCGTGTCGTTCGAGCTTCTTCGTCCTCGTGGATTCGTTTGTCTCAATAGTCGTCTTTCGTATTCGTTGGCCATTTTCTCCGCTCGTTCTGGATCGTTGACGTTCTCTCCGCGTCAAAAGTTGTACATCTACATTTACTTTTGCGTAATGTCACGAGATCACATGTTGAACAGGCAGCGATATTTACTTCCCGCTACATCGGCACCGAGCTTGCTCGCATTTCCATGTAATTTTTTTTTGGTCTTGTGTTGATGTTGAATTTACCTAGTACTAACTTGTCATACATGTAACCGCCCTTATTCTATTTCTTCAGGAAAACATGACCGGATCCCCGCCACCACCATCTTCAAGCGCCAAAGTAGAGAAATCTGCACATGCGGCCGAATTGGCACGACTGCGGCGTCTTCGACTCCGTGCCGCGGCGAGAATCTTGGCGCTGAGTGGCGATAGCAGCACGCACGGAGAGACCGCGCGAAGCGTCGCCGGGCCCATACACAAGAAAGAGGACCAGGATTTGGCAGGAGACCACGAGGGCTACAGCCACGACCACGACCTCTCGGGAATAAAACAGGTAGGCGACCACAACAAACTCCATCCTCACGATCACCACTCCGTAGGCGCTGGTGGGCACAACCATCCTCACCATCATGCCCCGGGCGGGCACCAGCACCACCATCACCACGAACCCGAAGATGGAGTGCAGCATTTGCGGAAGAAAAACGCGCACCACGACGATATGATCCATGGGGACGAACACCACACAGTTCTTAAGGACGGTAGTTTTTGGGGCCGGGTGCGGCCGAAGGTGAAGACCTTTGTCGCGATGAAGTCGCAAATGAAGACTGTTTCGGCCTGGAGCCGGAAAGTCAAGCTGCTGAAGGAGGTTTTGCACGCCGCGAAGCCGGGCTTTCGCATCCGGCGCGACCGCGAGCTCGACCGGCAGATCGAGATGCAATTTAGCGGCGGCTCGCAGGACGACAACGTTGGGGACGGCGTGGCGTCGCGCCTGAAACGCTCGGCCTTCTCCACGCGCACGCGCTCGTCTTTCGCAAATCTGAACGACTTGACCGAGGCGCTCTCGTACGACCACTTTGCGGACACCTACACCGCCGACAACGCGGACGAAACCGAGGTGATGGCGCCGGTTGTGACCCCTGGCGGCGCGGCCAGCAAGAGCCCCTCGGATGATTCTCTGTCGAGGATGCGAGACGATGGGGACGGGCCAGTTGCGTCGCCGCTGCAGTGGGCCCAGGGTGTGCGGCCCCCCGGCGGCCTCCGGTCCCGCCAGGGCCGGTTCGCGCGGTGGTCCCAGCTGCGCGCCAACCACCTTTTGCGGAGGCACGCGGAGGTGCAGCATGTGCACAACACTACCAACGAGGTGGCGCTGACGGAAGACACCCTGGAGGAGGTTTTCGACCGCGAAAAGTTGCGGGACCTAAGCAAAACGTGCAAGACCGCGCGACACGCGTCTGCCGCCGCCGACAAGGCCCGCGTGGACGCCTACAACAGAGCCTATCGCGCGAAAATCATCGCGGAGCGCAAGCGGGAACGCATCGCGGCCATGGCCGCGCGGGCCGGGGTCACCGAGGAGGCGGACGCGAAAGGGGACGACAAAGACACGGACGGGGAGTCGTCCGAGGGCGATCCCGACGACAATTTTCGGGAGCTCACCAAGCTCGAGAACATGATCAGCAACTGCAAACGCGCGAAGGATAGCAACGCAAAGTTTGACGAGCTGCGGAAGGTGTTCCCGCGCGACGTGCAGCAATACCTGCGGCCGGAGGTGTTCTGGATGGACGACGAGTGGCTACGTAACCCCTCGATTTCGCGGTTCGGCTTCCTGGACGACGAAGCGAAGCGCAAAATTGCTATGGACCGCATTCTGTCGTCCGTCACGGTGCGCAAGGACGCCGGGCCCGTCTCGTTTAAGAAAAGCGCCAAGAAGGTGATGGCCATGAAAATGGCGGGCGCGGGGATCATCGGAAAATCGTCGCACAAAAAGGTCAAGCGATCGGTCAGTACCATGTTTGACAACCGGAGGCAACAACTACCTGGGATTCCCGGTGCCGCGTCGCCGGTGCGCGGTAATAGTCCTGTTGGCTCGCCGAGAAGTCGTCTTGCAAGTCCAGCAGCTGCGTCTGCCTTTTCGTCACCTCGTGGCCGCGGTGGAGGAGTGCCTGGAACTGGTGCTGTTGGGTCCAAAGTGTCGTCTCCGCGAACAGCGTACAAGCAGCCGGTTTACATGCTTCGAGCGTTCACTCCCGTCGCGAGTCGTGCAAATAGTCCAAACGACTCTGGAGGTGGAGGTGCGCCGCAAAAAGTGTGAAGTGCATGAAAATCTTGAGTTGAAGTCACACTGAATTTGGAATACGAGCCTGAAGCGGAGAGAGCCGCTTAGGCATACAACTGTGCTGCTTTTTGCTACTAGGTCGTTCGCGTATCATCTACTGGGTCAATGTTTTCGGGAACAAATGCTACGGATTTCATTTTCAAATTCGCACTAAATGTATGACATTCACGTTCATCTTGTACAATACGCTTTGGATTTTGAGTATCGTGCTCTTTGAGAAAAAATGTACAAAGGTTTCATCTCGATTGCGGCTACACGACTGGGAATATGTCATTTTTGGCTCTGGCAAGCTAATGCAATTCATCCGAAATATGTGTCACTCCGTCCTCCTCGTGAAGATGCTTGTTCGTGGTCGGTTTTACCCTGATGTGGATTGTTCGTCGTACTTAGTTGTATTCATTGTGAATCTTTCGTTCCCAGTGGTCGTGCGTATACACATGTGATATTTTCGTCCTTCGCTGCTCATTCGTTCTTGTTTCGTTCGTCGCCGTTCGCTCGTCCATGATGGATATCATATTCACTTTTTGGTTTTTTGCTTACAATCTGTCTAGATACAGATAGTAGGTAGACGTACATCTACATTTAGATTTTTATTTTCCTGTTATCCGGGAGATCTATCACAGTCACAGCAGATGGTCAAGGTTTCGAGACATGTGTCCGCGGTAATAATATGTCGGGTGTCATCTTCAAATTATCATTACGTCTTCGATTTCATTTCGTCTCTGTCTTCAGAATCCAGGAAGTTCGCGACAAAGAATGTCGTCTGATCAATGTTCCCCTGCTATTTACATCTTCGAAATGTCGACTGCATTGATTGTCTTTTCGATGTTTCTGCATATGATTGCTTTCTAAAAATGACTTGTTCTGGGCCTCTTTAATTCAAGCAAAATCAGAATCACACACCGACGTGCAAAATCAAAAATCATGCCACTCTGGCCCGAGTCATCCCCGTGTTGTGACAACCGTCCATCTTCTCTCGACGAGAATGAGGTTCGGGTCTTCCGTACCTACCGCTCCTTGGACGGGCTCGAGACGGAATTCGGGCTCTCCATTCTCAGTGTGAAAGCAGCAGGAGCATCTGCTTTGTCCTCGCCACGGACTCCGACAAATTTGGACCGCACAGTTCGACTCGCCCCTTCGTCCAGTGCCGTCTTTCTGCCGCCGGCGATGCAGAGCACGATCACGGTTCCTCTTGGGAAACTACAACCGCAGCCGACGATAATGACGCCACGGAACCCAAGAAGTAGTGCCACTGCGGCAGCGTTCGGTGCTGCAGGAAGTCCGCTCAACATACCGCAAACTCCACGTGCGTATTCCATGCCGCCTGTGCAACAGACCAGAACCGTTATCACGCCAAGAATGCAGCAGCAGCAGCAGTTTCAGCAAGGTGGAGAGATTATGATCCCTGCACCGAGTACTAGAAGCAGAACCTCTTCTCCTCCACCACGGGGGTCGTCTGCTGCTGAGGCCGTGCCGGGCGTCGATATGGAGGATGAGGAGGACGCTGGTAGTACCATCAGAAGAAGCGGAGGTGGAGCACCAGCGGCTGCCGCAGCGAGAAAGAGCCGGTCGTCCAGAAGTAGACGTGGCAGGACGGAGATCCTGTTGGATGATGAGCTCGAAAATATGACGGGATTAGAACTACCCACGACAGGCAATAGATTCACCACTGCCTTATCGTCTTCACGCGCGGCTGGTACAACCTCGTCTGTTATAGCTCCGGCGCCTGTACCTTTTTTGTCTTCAGCACAACTAGCAGCAGCAGCGCCAGAGAAGGTAAGGAGTGCAAGTGTAACCGCTCCTCCAGTAATATCAATGCTTGGAAGATTTTCGTCGCCACCGCCTACGAAATGGATGGTGCAGAGTCCAAGAGTCAGTTTTCCAGTTGCTGGACCTGGAGGTGGCACTACGCCGATAATCACGCCCAGAACGCCTCGAGAACAAAGTCTCGACCTCAACAGGCTCAGCCTCCCGCAACAAATCGTGCCGCCGGTGGCACAACCGACGCCGCAGACGCCGATAAGAACATCTCCTCCCTCGCCCCCGGCACCCCGCAGCACCTCACCATCCCTTCTCGCTCCTCCGCCCCTGCAAATGCCGACGGTGCAAATGCTCTGGAACACCAGCAACAGTTTAAATCAGCTCCCCCTGGGCGGCACCAGTTTGTTGCAGCCTTACACGCCTCGTTGGGCCCCGACGATGACAACGACTGTGCGGTCGTTGGTCAATCGTAAAAATTATACACCGAGGCCGAGGGACGTCGATAGTGGCACAAGCATAAATGCCGCGAGCGCGACTGCGCAAGAGCAATGTCCTCTCCCCTCGAACGGCGAGGATTTCTGGGCTTGGCAGCCGTACTACCAGCTGCAGCCGAGTCCGTCGAAGCTATCTAGTTTGTGTTGCACGCCCCGGACGAGTGTGAATTCACCGGTTTTGTCCCGAACGCCCTCTCCGCCGGTTCTGAAAACGGTGGTAGGCCTGAACGGATTCCCGGTGAAGCCCCTAGTACAGCAGCAGCAGCGACCGGAGCAGCTCCAGAACCAAAGCGCAGCGACGTCTTACCGGGTCGATTTGTCGCCGAGAGACTTTGTCATTGACAAGTACCGAGATCCGCCCGGTGCGCGAGCTCGGCTGGCCCGGGCGGGGATGAGTAAAGAGCAAGATATGGTCGACGAAGAGATTGCGCTTTCGAGGAGTTCGGACTTGATGAAGGACCCTGCTTCGTCCTCTGGTAACAAGAAGTTGTTGAACGGTGAAGAAAGACAGATGCTGTTTGTGCCGGGGAAACGGAAGGACGTGAATAGGAACATCGCGGAAGATGTCATGAACGGCAAGACCGCATTAGCTACTTCGTCCAAAAGTCGAGGTCCTCGAACAGCAGGGTCCGCAAGCGGTGCTAGTCGCGCCGGTTCGACCACGAGAGAACGAAACAGCTCGTCGTCAGCTGCGGAAAAGATGAAAGCTGCCGTGGCGAAGCGGAAAACCGCTGAAGAACGACGTTCGGAAGAAACGAATACAGGACCTGTCTCAACGAAGGAGCGAAAAGGAAAAGTCACGACCTCATCTACAAATAAAAGTAAAACCAAAAGCGGGTCTGCCTCTTCGGAAGCTGCAAAGGCCGCCAAGATGCGAGCGATTGCAAGGACCGTGGCGCTTATGCAGCCCGGTGCGGTTCCCGTTCAACAGAATAAGAAGACCGCAACACCAACACCGGGCGCAAGTACGCCGATTTCTATAGAGGAGAAAAATAGCACACCCGGAGGGCCTGCGACCCCGAGAACAACAAATTGGCCTGCGAGAAGAGCTGCATCTCCGACACTTTCCAGCGCTTTGAAGGCGAAGGCAAGAACGAGCGCGGGGAGAGGTGAAGAAGCTCCTACAACAACTGCTGCGCAGCACTCGAGACTTCGCTCCGCCGCCGCGACGGTTGTCTACAAAGCCAGAGGTGTTGCCGCGATTACGACTGCAACGCCCAGAAATACTGCCGGAGCAGTCGGATCACGGACGCCTCCTGCTCCTGAAGCGATTTACTCCAGCAGAGATCAGAGTTTGAACAGAAACAGTGCGGGAACTCCATCAACATCAATTGGCCCCCCACCCAGAGGTAGGCCCGGCACAGGTTCAACCGGAACCCCTCCGGCAGCTCCTGCCGAGCAGAAACCGAAACCACCATCTGTCGCACCCCAGTTTTCGAAGAAAGCGGAGCGATCCGCGTTGGCGTTTGCGAAGAAAATGATGACACCGGTAATGGCGTCGAGGACCAAAGCGTCGAGTATTTCCTCGAAATCTGCAACGAGATCAGCAGCGGTGCACCAGGTAGTGAAAAACAATAACAAGCAAGTTCTTGCTCCTCCTGCTGCTGCTGTCCCACATGTAGTTCTCGTCCCTGCTCCGATCGTTGTGCAAACCATGGAAATGGACGGTGACATGAAGAGCAACATGACCATCAGCGAGGAAGTGCAACTGTTGCTCGACGAAAATCCAAATAACAATTCGGAAACACGAATTCGCTCACAGAGTCCACCGACGGCGGCGACGATGACCCAAAGTCAAAGACGGCAGTCGAGTTCAGGGTCTGCGGTTGTACCTCCTGTTCTTGAAGGCGTGACGCCGATGATTCCTCCCCAGGAAGACGTTCCGTTCATGACGAATGCGAGCAGCCAAAGAATCGAGATAGCAAACCGGTTTTCCATGGCCGGGCCTGCGCCTTTGCCTCCTCCACCGCAAAGAGATGAAATTCAGGCGTCTGTTGTAGAAGTACAAGCGGACGAGGAGCACTTCTCTGCTGCTCCAGCGCCTCCTCCAGCAATCGTTCTTGTGCCACCGATTCGGAACTTGCAGGAGAAACGAGACGAGATGCATCAGGTAACAAAGAGGAACTCGAATGATCCGGGTTCACAACTATCTCCGAACACGGCGACACACGACTTACTGTCACGGATTTCCAATGCAAATTCATCCCTGTTGCAGAAAATGCAGGACCAGGAGGAGCAGTACGCTGCTCAGGCTACCGACGAGAACACCTACACCAGTGCCACCGGTAATTTCAAATTCTACGAACGGGCGGCACCCACTTGTTCCTCCTCAAGTAGCGCGGTGGAGAACAACTCTTCGGCCTCTTCTTCAGAAGAAAAGGATCATGCGCTCCTGCATGTAGTTGAAGACAGAGGTGACTCGAGGTCGACAGTCCAGGACAGCATACGGCCAACGCGAGCAGAGTTGTCATCTTCCCTTCACAGAACTGCGCCGAGCGACGTGGATCTGGTCTTACCTTTCTCCAAAACACAGTTGAAAATGTCTGCAACGCCGGTGCAGTGGCCGCTGCGAGATACTCTTTCCGACACCTGCCAGCACGACGTTGGAGACGTCCGCGGAAGGCCGAGAAACATGAGCTACAGCCACAATGAAAAGTTTTTAAGTTTGAGTAACAGCAACTTTGCAAGTGCAGCAAGCAGTAGGTTTTCTAGCAAAAATATACCGATACATGATCCACAAAAGAACGTCTTCAACGGAGGTGGAAAAAGCAACTTAGATTCGATTCCCGAGATCCCCTACATTCCAGTGTCTTTACCATCCACTATCAGCGTGATTCCTCAAAATGTGAACCCCGTCGTTGTAGCTACCCCCCGAAAGAAGTTTTCGTTTTTGTCTCGATGACAAAAGAAATGCGAATCAATAGGGGCTTAAATTGCCAGAGTAGATAGTTGGATTGCTTACATGTTTCGTTTGATTGCACGACAGTCGTATCATGTAACTACGCGCACTCCCCTCGAGAGGACAGGCGACACCGACATCTTTGTCGATGAAAGTGAAAAGAGATGCAGATGATGCTTGTCCCTGCTGTTCTTCCAGAATCAATCGTTCAAGCCAGAACGCCACCGCTGTCCTCGCGCAGCTTGTATGCCAAACAAAGTCATCTTCTCTCGCATGTCGAAAAAATCGAAGAAGTGATTTCGAAGTCGAATCGTCGACGTCGTGATCGTTGGTTGTCGCAAGATCGTTATCCTCCTCGTCCTTGTCAAATAGATTTTATGTGGTCGGGTAGTTTCCTCGTATTTCTTCTTACCCACTTCTGCTATTTCATTTTGGAAAAAATCTCGAGCTGGAGCTGTTGCTTTTTGCCAAGAATTTGAAAGTATCTATATGCAAAGAAAAACAAACCATGTCGCTGCAGAGCTTGCTATCTCTATCTGAATCTGCGCTCCACGACTTCCAGGCTTCTTCGTACCCGTGCGGCCACAGAGTGCTACCGGCGAGGCACTCTTTGTTCCTATCGGCTGGTGATGTTGCACCTGAGTCAAACGTTGAGTGCCCGAACTCCCAATCATTGCGGACGCTGTGTGCGAGCAGTGGAAGTAGCCATGTTCAGCCACCCCGGTCGTGGTCCAGGCAGCGCGTACGTGGTATGGCATCAGCTGTGAGAAGCAGCTTTGCGTCTTCCGACGACATGTTCCCCGGGCCGACACCCAACAACCACGGAGGCGGCGATCCCCCCGACGACAGTCTGTGCCGCGATTGTCGGAAGCCCCAGCCCGTCGCGTCACAACCCTGCAAGACCGCCGGCGATCGCAAGGCAAAGCTGAATGAAGCGAAAAGTCGGGAGGAAGCCAAACGGTGGGACCAGCAGGTTGACCTGTTCAAGTCTTCGCTCGGCGTTGGATTCATGGCGGCCATCATCTACCGCGTCCGCAAGTACCTGTTGGCGCCGAAGCTGCGGAATCGCCATGGCGAAGAAGTCGATTCGGACGAGGGTGGGGAAACCCTTGTTTAAGGGACCGACCTTCCTGGAAGTAGTTATTAAAAAGATATGATTGACATTCTTCTAACTTTCACTTTCAGTGTCTTCCCTTCCCTCCGTACGTGGTACTTGCTGGGTTGATTGTGGACAGTGCACTTGTTATTAGCGCCGCGAGGGCGGTGAGTCCCTCGGCCTCGGACACTCGATCCGCCTAGTACTAGCTGCTTAATACCGTTGCCGGTCGCTCAGTTCCATGACGGCTTTTCATGGAGTGCTCGAGGAGGAATCGCGGCGTGATATCAAGGAAGTGCTCGAGAAGGAATCGTGACGGAGCACCTGCGTGTCTCCTGTGATAATCACCAAGAACGAAATTGGAATTGATATGATGTTGATGTACACGGGTTTGAAGATCTTTCGAAGGCGTGCCCGGGGTTCATGAGGAAAAAAGAGAGTTCGTTATGTCCCCGCAGCTTCGTGATCGTGTCATTCGATTTTGATGAGTACTAGTTGTGAGCGTAACATCGTGTAACAACATGAAAGGAGAATCTGTTCGGGTGTTGCATTTCGTTGATAGAAAACGCACACGCGACCTAGCAACGCGAAAGTGATGTTTTTTGGGCCCGGAGCGTCTAACGTGTATCTTTTGCAGCCTTCACGCAAAGTTGCATCTTTTTTATCACTATCATAAAATCGATCCGAAAAGCCTATGACACCAAGCAGTTTCGCTTCAAGCTTTCTCTTCGTGGACTCACCTACCTCAACGATAACTACTCCGTCGGTATTGCTGCGCTCTACGGCAAATGCGGACGATGATTTTGCTGAGAAGTATCGATCAACACGACTACTGTTCCCTGGGAACATGTCGGCAAAACGAAGACGAAGGCGACCCACGGAATCTCCGCGTCATGGTAAAAGTAGCAACAAAGCCAGCACTAGCGCACGAGCCTCGGCGTTTTTGTGCAGCGGAGAAGAAGATCAATCTCGAATTATATCGACTACAAGAACAGCAACAGCACGGAAGCTGTTATCCTCGTCGACCCGTCCTTCAAACACTTCCTTCATCACCGTGAATTGCAACGGGTTCCGCAATCACACTCCTCTTGCGCAAGCCCTGTACAATTCCCAACCGCATTGCCGCATCGGCGACGTGCCGCCGACTTCACAGCAGATCGTCTTGGTTGCGAAAGACGTGGACAACCTGGAGGATAACGGGGATGGGTTGGGCCCGCAACCGAAAACGCATTTGTTAGTGTCCCACGTCCCACCGTTCGATCTGACCGACCCGGTGGGGACGGTGTCCGTGCCGAAGGCCCACGACACGGAGGTTTCTTCCTCCGACATGAAGGCGCAACTCATGGCGACGTATTGTGAGGAAAAATCCCCCCTCCCCATACCAAACCGGGACACTTCTGAAAATTTGTGATGCAGATTTGAAACCACAAATCGTCGCTGTATTGCATGAAGGCAAGTCTACAGGCTCCGCCACATTCTACAGGCGGTTTGTCATGCTGTTGCTCCTACAGCGTAGAGGTCTGCCATGCTAAGCGCCTAGGCCAAAACTTGTCTACTCAGGCCTGATACGGGCCTGCAGTCCTCGCCGGCAAGACAAATCTGATTTGTGGCCTCAAATACAGCATCACAAATTTCGTTTTCGATATGGGGAGGGGGGATTTTTCCTTTCGATACGACGATGAAATTCACCAGCAACATGATGAAGAACCTGGTCAACATCATGCCGGGAGACCCGAGCGAGAAGGAACTGCTTTGGAACGAGACGAAGCACATGAACAACCAGATGAAGCGGAAAACCCACATGGACTACTTGACTTCCATCCCCTGGCGGTCGGTCCAGCCGAGTCGCGAGGAATTGCTGGCGGGAGTTCGGGGGATCGAAGACGAGTACCCGCACCGGCTGGTGTTTTCCGCCTACGCGCTGGACCGGTCGTTCCACGACGAGATCAAGGCGAGATTGGTGAAAAATTGGACGTGGACATCGTTGCACAACTTGATCCGCAAACACGTCTTGGAACGCGCGGACACCACGGCGATCGTCTTGCGGCAGAGGCCGGCGGACATTGACGCGAAAGTGTACGACTACCGCAACCCGGATTCCAGTGCGGTGCTGATGCAAAGCTACAAAGACGCGTTCAGCTACAGCAAGAAGATCGGATGAAAACTTGCAGTGGAACTGCGGGTGATTATGTGCATATTAGCTCGTCTTCCACCGTAAGATGATAGACACAAAATCAAACAAAAAATCATCAGCACTTCGTTCCCTTTGCGATGAAGCTGGGTTTTTGTTTTCAAAATGAACAGAAGCGAAATAAACGAAAACGCTTCGCTCATGCAATTTCCGACTGAGAGTTGCATGTGTACGTTTCTTGTTGATTGGAGAAAGTGTTCCAGAAAGAAAGGATGCGTACACGTATGTGGCACCCATTTAATAGTGATTTTCACTTGTTTGAGGGCGGAGTGTTTACGGAGTGAAACTGAAGAACGAAGATGAGCATGAGGGCACCTTGCATGGTGCGACAGAAGGCATGGACAGGTGAGTAGGCTTCTTGTCTGAGGCTGTTGTATGTTACGCGAGATATGATCCTAGAGTTTGCGGTCCTTCAAAACTTGATGTCAGGGCTCTATTGTCTCTCTAACGATCACTTTTTCCGTCCCGATGAAAATCAAACGATCAAATTTGAAATTGTATCTGACCTGCGGAACTCTCGCTAGAGTGTCGCAGTTATCATGAAATGGCTTCGCACGTTGAAACTGGTGAGGCTGGCACCGTATTTTCTGCTGGGCGCGTTCGCCATGTTTCTGCTTTGGTGGGCCTGCAAGCGGCGCAGCCAGGTTGTCCCAGTGCGAGACGAGGCATCGGACGGCGAGGGTCGCCCAGATCGCACGGAGAGACGACTTGGTCGGCACCATCACGGCGTTGCCGCTCTGTAAGCGTCGCAGCTTGAAGCGGTCGGGGGCGATCCCTTTGCGTTGTTCTTTGTCGGTGGTCTCGCAGTGTGCTCTTGAGGTGGAGAAGAACCACGCGGGGCGGGGTATGGGCGGGCTCCACGCGCCGCAGCTAAGTAGGCCAAGCCAGCCGGAGCATCGCCCGCAGGTAGGAGGGCGGGCCGGTGTTTGCCGACCAGCCTGCCTCTCTTCAAAACGGGAGAAGGTGGAGTTCCGGGGTTTCAGGGTGGCGAAGGAGTGGCTGAGAGATCTCTTGGCTGTCTGCGAGATTGTGAAGAAGCAAGCGCGATACAGGTGGAGCGTTGGAGAGTTAAACAAAGCGTCCGCGGGATGCCGACGACAAAGAAAAAGCGACGGCCCGCGCGCGTGCCGCCCGGCCGCGATCGGGGCCGCCGGCGCCTGCCTCGGTGCGTCTTAGCTTCCCAGCTGTGCCGCGGCGCGCCGCGCTGGTCGTCGTGCCCCGCGGCTTTTCCGAGCTGCCCCGCGGAGCGCCCAGGCGGGCGGGTGGGGGCGTTCGTCGCCGTTGGTTTGTTTCGTGGGTGTTGGCTGATTGTGGGCTCGTTAGCTCGGGCTCCCCGGCTCGCTATTCGCGTTCTGTGTGTTGGGATATTCTTTCCCCTGCAGCGTCGGTGGCCCGGCGTGGTGGCTGCAGACCATTCAATCGGCGCGGGCCCGCCTATATCGATGTATTGCCGGCAGGCTGCCCGCCGACGACGACGCCGGATGTGTTGAGCCTGAGCCCGTTTTGATCAGCTTGGACGAGTATTGCTGTAGAGGAAGTCCTCGGCTAGCGACAGCAGTCGTGATGGTCTTCGACCCCAGAGCAGCAGGCCCAGTTGTTATGATGTCCTGGACTTGGTGCCCGCGCGTCAAGAAAGATCATGAGATGATGTGTGTCCGCCTGAGCGAGAGCGAGAGACGGTTCGAGTGCGCAAGGAATCTGTGGAGCAGTGACAGAACCAAAGGGCAAGAGCTCCAACATTGATGCACACAGAGGACACAGTTGGGCATTTTATTTGCAGCGAAGATAGTCCGACGCACTTCAAGTGAAAGTTGTTTTCTCGTGCGATTACAACATTCGTCCTACTTCAACTCAAGCTGTAGTACAAAAACGCGTCGGTCGTGACCACATAACTTGCGTATTCACATCACGACGAGAAATTTTCTGCGGTGACAAAGAACCCTCAAACGAAGATGGGCCTCCTTCCCAAGGCCGCCGTGACGAGCGGCTTCTACTTGTACTTCCCACTGATCGACATTGCGCAGACGATGATTTTCGTTTTCATGTCGCTCTTCACGCCAGCGGACATGCTTGCCATGATCTTCCCCGATGCTAGCCTGACGGACGAAACCTCGCTCGCATTCGTCCAGCTGATGGGGTTCATGATCTTAACCCTCTGCGTTGCCGAGGCGATGATGCTCCTTCTCGGCCACAAGGCGATCGTGTTCTGGATGCGGTTCCAGCTGATTTTCATGGTTGGCTTCGCGTTTATGTGGTACAAACTGTCCCCGAAATACTTCTTTTCGCCCTTGAACCTGTACCAGACGCCGCCGTTTTTGTTCATGTACTTCTGGGCCGGGTTTGTGCACTACAAGCGGAACGGAATCCCGCTCAGCGACGGGGACGCGGGCTACACGGCGTCGGGAACGGAAGGAGTCGGGTTGATGGCGTATTGAGCCTCGACGCGCTGCTGGTCGAGCGCTTCTGTATTGATGGCAACGCTGAACGAGGACGACGAGAGCTATTGTCGGATGGATGGTAGTTGAGCATTTTTTGCAGGTCCAGTTTCCTGGTTTATTTCGAATGATTACTTTTCGATTACAAGAAGAAGAAACTGAACCTCGACTTTGCGATAGTTATTTGCAGAATTTGAACTGCTGTTGCACTACCACTGCGTGATTCGTTCAAGCAGCATACGCATGAAAAACTTTTTCTGATGGTCGCATGTTTTTCTTTTTGCGGACAACAGTGTACGTCTTCCAAAAATTTGTTTTTGCCGATGAAGCTCGTTGACAGAGCTCGGTCGTGTACCAAAATACACTCACACTCGTCGCATTTTCTGTGACGCTGCCGCTGGTGCAGCATCTTGCACACCGACTTCTTCGAAAGGAGAATTGGGTCGTAAGTCATGATTTTCCTGTGGCCGCCGGATTGATGTTCCTCTTACTCTTGAATGGCCGCGATATCAGAATCTTGAGAGAAACTTACATGCAATTCGTCTTTCGAACTGGTCGCTATTCGAAATCGTGAGCGCTGATAGCGTTTTTCGCGTTTTGGCGACATGCTTTCGTACGATGTCAAACAATGATCGTGCAATATAAATAAATCACCTCCACCAGCACCAACTTCTGTATATATTTGGTTCCCGCCTTCAGGCTTACACCATCGTAGTTACTGAGTATTCCTCACGAAAAATAACTGAATTTCGGAGAGAATGATGGATTTTTTCCGGCGTAAAGCCGGTGGCTCCTCCCGGTCTCAAAGCCCCGCTCCGCGGCCCGGCCAACAACCGCCCATTAACTACGGACCACCGAATGCGACGAGCTATTCCTCTAGTCAGCCGCCCCCGCCGGGAAGTTACTCCTCTTCGCAGCCACCACCCGGCGCTTACGGTGGGCCGCCCCAGCCTGGCGGTGCTCCACCTCCGATGGGAGGCCCACCTCCTGGAGGCCCACACGGTCCGCCTCCGGGTGGACCGATGGGCAGCGGCATGATGAACAATTCTGCTCCTCCACCTGCAACCTCCTCGTGGGGGTCCTTACCACCCGCGCACCAAGGGCCACCCGGTGGTGGACTACCACCTGGTCAGCAGGAGCAAGGAATGATGTCACAATCAGCTCCGCCAATGAACCAGAACGACTACTACTCCGCAGGAGGTTACCAACAGGAACCGATGCATCAGCAGCCAAGTAGACCTCCCCCGACACAACACGGAGGACCGGGCGGGACGCATCTCGGTAGTATGAGTAACAACAACAATTCTGTGAACAATGTGGGCAGCTCGCTGCCGCCGAACGCCGCCCCGATGGCGAGCTTCGCGAATTTCGCACCGGGGGACTTTGAGGTAGACGTCGAGCAGCAGCAACATCCACAAGCAGCGAGAGGCGTTCCGGTTCCCGCAAGACAGGACCAGAGCATGACAGGCGGGAACGGAGGCACTGGTGGGCCACCAGTGCCGGGTGGGGCGTTTTACGACGATAGGCCGTCCTCTCAGCTCGGTGGTGTTGACCAAAACAGGTCTCGACCGAGTGGCCCTCCACCCCGTCGGGACAATGACGTTTTGTCGTCAAACACGAATGAAGAAGGAGGAATGGTATAATTATTTTTTTGGTTTTGGCACTGTATGACATTGACACCACAAAGACTTTGATAAATTGTCGCTCATGGTCTATCTGTACAAAATCTTCCTGAAGAACATTTATGAATTGCCGAAATATTTTATTAAAATCAGGTCCCCACCGAAACCGAAGTTGACCGCATCATCTCTATGCTTCCAGAGTCCGAACTGGACGGTGTCACACTGCTTTCTTCCATCGAGCAGGCAGTCCTGAACTCCCTCGAGCAGGGCAACTACGACCGAGTTGAGAAACTTTCCGCAATGTCCCACCGACTCTCCAATGCCATGAAGGAAGCGGCGAGCGGAAACCCGGTGTCGCAGCAAAACCGCACCGCCGCAAACGCAGCGGGGTTCAGTTTGCACGAAAACTCGGCGTCGCAGGACCAGATGGACAACGTGAGTTTTGGGTTTCCGGACCTAGGAGGCGATATGAGCCGTGGTGGCAGTGGACCCGGCCCGGCATCTTCCTCCTCGCGTGGCGGGAGTAAGTCGAAAGATAACGCGAATCTTCAAAATGCAGGACCAGGAGACGATCGCAACATGGATTTCGGCGACGAGCTCGGCAACATCGGTTTTCCCGATGTGGTTTCTGATCAGCCACCATCCGACCGCGAGAGAAGGAACAAGGATAGAACCTCCTCGAGTGTTAAACCGGGGAAATCACCGAAAAAGAAAAAGAAGAAAAAAGCGAGTTTCGAAGATCAGGACAATAACGTGGGTGATACAACTTTTGAGCAAAGCCAAAACCCAACCGTGACCGGGTTTCCAACTGCTTTTGAAGATGTGCAAGGTCCTGGGATGACTAAATCGGGACCAAGTAAATCCTCCAAATCTACTACTTCCCAACAAGAGGCTGTTGCTCAGAAGTCGAGCAGCAAAGAGTTCCCCACGACTTTCTTTGACATGACCAGCGATGCCGGGACTATCGAGCCACTGAATCTCAACAACACGGATGAAGAGCGCGCGGACGCGAGCGGCTCGAAGGACGGGGGGAGCGGGGATAAGACCTTGCAGCCCATTGACGAAGAAGAAGCGGTCGTTTTTGAGTTTCCGACCCAGCACCACAGGAACAATCATCCGACTGATGGCCGCCCCTCTTCGAAGGAACAGGGGCCCAATATCGGAGATCTGATCGACCAGATGATGGACGGCATCCTCACACGGGACAGCACAGCGACCACTGCATCAACAAGAACAGCAGGCGGTCCTCAGGACAAGACCTCCGAGGGGGGGCGAAGCACTACCGCAACGATAGCGCCATTGAACGCGGAAGCAGCTGCAATATCCGATCCGACAGGAGCCACTCTCGCAGTTCCACAGACTCCTTCTTTTGGTCTACCGCTGCAGGCAGGAACCGCACTCAGTGATGTTGCCCAAGCAACTGTGCCTGCGACACCTAGCGCGGCCGGTGTAGTTCCGACATCTGGCGGTCTTCTCGGCGGTACTGCAGGAACAATACAACCGCCCTTGCACGCGCAGGAGCAACCACTGTCGCAGTTCCACCTACAGCAGATACAGATGCAGCAAGCGGCCCAGCAGCAGCAACAGCAGCTTTACCCGCCCCCTGCTGCATCTGGCTCCGGTAGTCCAGCACCTTCTGTCATGCAACTCCCGCCCGCGTTGCTTCAACACCAAAGCCAAGATCTCCTCGCCCAACCTCCAGAGCCCTCCACCCCCTCGGTCAATTCCTTCGATCTCCGGTGGCACCCGGACGCGCTGCTCCATTGGGAACGGAAGGAAAAGCAGTACAAGCAGAAAATTGAGGAGCAAGCCAAACAGATCACCAACGAGCAGCACAACGTGAAGGCGATTTTGTCGCAGTTGCAATTTTCCTCGTCCCAAATGACGAAAACAAAAGAGAAGTACGAACAGACGATCAAGCTCTGGCAGCAGCAATTCTACGACTTGGCCGAAAAGTTCGCAGAGTTGCAGCAGAACCACGCGACCTTGCAGAAGGAATTTAAAGAAAACGAGGAAAAAGCGACCGTTCGGGAGAAGACCCTGTCGGATACGAGGGAGCGGTTGTTTTCTGAAAAGGCGAAAGTGGCAAACATGATGGACGAAGTGGAAGAAAAGCGGTTGCTCTACGACACATTGCAGAGGTATCCACAGAAAAAAACCCATCCACATCCAATTTGTCATGCAAAAAACGTATCAAGTCATGTGTTTGTCATGCAAAAAATGAATGTGGATGGGTGTTTTTTCCTGCATAAGAGGAGGCTGTTGGATTCGAAAAAATCCCACAAGTCTGCGGAACAGGAACTGAGAGAACTGCACCATATTCTGGACACGACGAAAACAGCCGTCGTTGGGGGGAAGGTATTTTGAAATTTGTACTTCATCTTCGCACTCAATATTTTGTATCGGTTCAACATCGCTTTTGGTTTTATTGACGTGAGTGACCTAGTAACCGAATGAAGCGCTCGCCCTGTTCATTTCAAAAAACTCTATGTATAAATATGTACGAAGCGACTACTTAAAATAAGGTCACCGTCGAGCGCGGCACTTCTTCCTCTTCCACCTACCGCGACGTGTGCTCGCCTGTCATGGCGGATCGTGACGATGAGCTGGCGGCCGCGGAGAAGGGGCCGGCAAACGCAAACAAAACTGTGAAAGCTTTGATATGGCGTTCTCAACTGTTACATTCTCAAGTGTTACATGGATTTGTCATGCAAGAATGGGAGAAGTGAAAGGGGGGAGGTTGCATCTGTAGCATTACAAATTCCGAACAGATTTGGGCGCTGTTTAGCCATTCGCACATTTGTCATGCGAAGCAGCTTGATCGTGTGGATCTTGATGATCATTTTGCATGACAAATCATGTAACAGTTGAGAATGTAACGTTTGAGAACGCCATACTTGAAGCGGTTACCACTGCCGGAGAAATTCTGTCCTGTGATTCTGGATGCGAAGGGGATGGACGCTGGTGGTACTTGGTTCTTTGGTGATGTCAATGGGATGTTGCTGTGTGTATTATGGTATGCGCTTTTGTTTTCTCGGGCTGGTAAAAATATTGTCAAGTTCATTGTTTATGGCTCACTAGTACCTCGGCGTCCCGTAATATCCTCCCATTGCCTTTGCCATAGCCATGGTCGGACGATGAATGCTCCGAAAAAAAACAGGTATTTCAGTCCCGCCCCACGACCCAGCTGCACCACAACACTCTTCCTCGTCTACCGCAGCGTCATCCGAAGCACCACAAGTCGTGGTCTCCCCAGAGCTAACCGCGACCCTGACGGAGCACTACAGGAATTTGGCAGTCCACGGCACCGGGCCGGTTTTTGAAGATCCAAACATTCTCGTTTCCGTCGCGAGTATCGAGCCGGATAACATCATATCAACGGGAAACAATTTTCCGTTCCCGTACACGTACGGTGCAAATGCTGTTATTTCTGCATGACAAACTTTTCCTTGAATTCTCTTCCGCATGACAAGTCGCTTCTTCTAAGTTCTTGGTGAAATTTTTGATGCATTCTGCACATGTGCGGGAAATTTGTATTGCATACATCACCTTCCACGTGCTGAACAAGGGCAACATGCCGGCGGATGTGCTGGATTTCGAGCTCGCGCTAGTCGGGAGTAGTGGAAACAGGGTTTTGCTGGCGCAGAAAGAGGCCGAGGAGAAGAGCGCGAGCAGACAATACGGGTCCTTGTCCCCTTCCAAGCGTTCCCGGTCGCCGGCGAGAATTACAAATAGTTCGAATCGGCCAGGGGATCAAATGGATAATTCCTACGAGGATTTGTCTGGATTCTTGAAGCACAGCAAGCCGGTGAAAGGCGTTTTGATGACCGCGAAGACGGAGCCCAAGGAGATACAAGCAGCCAGCACATCAAAATCCCCGTCTTCGAGTCGGAATCTCGATACAACAAAACCCTTCTGGTCCGGCAGACAGTCCCAGTCGGTTCCGAAAACGGTGCAACGAACCGGGCTCGGGCAGCTACCAGGCGAGCGGCACCGGGCGACAGCGTTGCGCTTGCCCAGCATTTGGCCGAAAAACGCGCAAACCTGCGAAGTGCGGTTGATGAACTATAATCAGCAAGGAATAGACGTGTCAGAAGGCGGGAATTCACATGCAGCAGGACAAGCAACGGAGCAGGCCGGGGGTAAAAACAGCAGCTCCTCCTCGTCCAGCACTTCCCACCCGACAACTTCAGCAGCCAACAACAACACCCTGAACCTCCTCGATTCGATGCTGTACGAGGACGCGCCAATTCTAGAACTCTGGTACAGTTCCGGTTCCTCGGAAAACCTGACAAACTACTTCGCGATCCGTTTCCCCCTCCACGCCATTGTCCGGAAGTGCAATCTATGCATTGCAAAAGTACTATCGCACTAGAGTGGAAATGGAATGATAAATTTGCGCAAGTAGAAGAAATAAAGTCGAATTTGTCACGCTGATTAAACTGGATAAAAGATTATATTGTCATGCATGGCTGCATAATTGCTCCTTCTGCAAGTGCGATAGTACTTTTGCAGATGATACAATCTGCGACCGTTGTCTCTGATAAACCACGCCGCCTTCTTCGAGCGTTGGATGCAGAAGGAATTCCTGGAGAACGAAGTTTGTTTCGTCTCCAGGGCGAGGAAGGTGTTCTCGAAAGACAAAAATGGAATGCTGCATTTTCTTAAATGCTGTCAATTGGGGGACAGGTTACGGGCGTTGCCGCACTTGCAGTCGGACGGGGAAGTGGTTGCGACGAACAAGCCAACCTCGAGCGAAAGTAGCAGAAGTCAGTTGCCACGAGCTACTGCTGCCTCCTACAAGCTTCTCCTAGCCGCCGTCGTCCGACGGGCGACCGTCTCTCCGGAGGTTTTAGTGCAGGCAGAGATCGTGGACCAGAATGTGTTTGTCACGGTTCGGTCCACGCAAATTGCGGTGTCACGAGCAATGAGCGCAGCTTTGGTGGACGTTTTAGCGGATGAAGGTTCAGTCAACGCCGGCGTTGCGGTCGCGGGGCAGGAAATGGTAATCGCGACCGAGAAGCAAAATGCCGCTGCAGCAACGTCTAGTTCTCCGAATCGCAGAAGTAAAGCAAACCAGCACAACATCCAACAAGGCCCCATTCCGGGCCGGCAGCCACCGCCTTCCGCGACCGAGATCAAGGAGAAGGAAGAAGCGGAGCAACTTCTGAAGAAGAAAGAGACTTATCTGTTTGACGCAGAGAAGTTGGAAGACGCTTTTGCACTCGAACCCACACCCACACTGGAGAAGTTGACGAAGGTCAGCGAGGCGAATCATGGGCAGGAACCGCTGCCGGCTTTCTACAACGAAAATGGCGAGTTGGAAAATAACGGGAAAAGCTTAGAGGAAATCCGGTCGAAGTTCACGCGGACCCGGTGCGAAACGCTTTTGGAGCAGATTAAGAGGCGGCAGCGGAGCTACGTGATCGACAAACTCACAGGGACCGGGGGGATGCAGTTTTGAGCGAGCTGCACTAGGGCCGGGCTTTGCCCGTCTGTTTTTTCTGGCACCCAGGGGCCAGCACATCAACACACTCGCAGCACGGACCCTACTTACTCGAGTTGCCTCGTCTGGGAGAGTCCTCGGGCTCCGTTAAATTTAGGATTGACAGAGCTTTCATGTTTACACTAAAGACTACTTCTTACTTCCACACTGCGCACAGAAAACCATTCGAGCAAGGTTGCGCTCATCGAGAGACAAAAGTATGTTGGAGCCTGAGCCAAGCCTTTCTACGCATTACAGGCATGCTGAAGATGAAATTCAGTCGTGAGGATGTTAGATGTCGGATCAGAAAGTTGCTTGATTGCGGTGCAGCCTGTTAAGCTTAGCGAGCTGCATACTTTTTACGTCCGAAACAAAGGTCGAGCACTTTGTTCCGCTTCGAACATAGATCGGCGATCAAGGACCGATCACGATCTTCATTACCATGTGGCTTTTGAGTATGCAGACAATCAGGATGAGATTCTTGATTCGACGAACAATTCATTGGCTTGCCCACTCTCGAATATGCGATTGGTATGCTGTGCCTGTGGCTTCTCTTTCCAAGAAGGTTTCTTTAAGAAATGACTTTAACACGTGATTATAAAGCTTCTTGACGCGACTACGGCACTAATGCCAGCAGCTTTTGCTTTGTCGGAGTTTGTTCGTTAGATTTACTTGTTATTAAAGTTCAGACACTAAGACTAAATCTAGAACTACGGAAGGCCCCGCTAACTCGTCTGTGGAGGATGAGGTTACGTATGGCTGCGGACGACGGAACCCGCTGTGTCCGAAGTGAGCTCGTGTGGCTCCGAGTATGGTTCTTCTCGTCGTGCTCCCTGCTGCAGCTTCTAGCAAATTTCGGCGTTTTTAGCCACGCCATCCCTTTCCGCGATTTCTACTGGATCGAAAGTCACGACGCCGCTACGGGGTATCTGTACGCAAAGACATCGTCTTCAAGCATGGCCACAACGACGCTCTACTCGAACCAGAACAACATGCTGGGGACGTCGTCGTCGACGAGAGAAAACCCGATCAACAACTGGGTGATAACCCAGACCGGTCCGCTCTCTCACCAGCTCGACTGCGGCGCCCGTGGCTTCGACCTGCGACCAATGTGCTTCTTCCATGAAGACGAACAGTTCGAACCAACAACGGACCACGCAGGCGGAGACAAGTCGGAAAACATGGACGGCGCTCCTGCTCTTGACAAGAAGCTTGCTGGTGTGCGGCAAACCGATCCCGAGATTTACTTCCACCACGGGTTGATTCCTGTGAAAGTGGTAAAATTTGAGGACGTCCTGAACGAAGTTTCTGCCTGGGTGAAAAACGACACAGAAACGACGGGCAATCAAGACCCGGTCATTCTCGACATGTCCCATTTCGTCAGCCGTACTGCCTCGACGAGGAGCGACGTGCAGGCCAGCTCAGTCGCTGGAGCTGATCACCTCGCGATGATTGCCGCCGGGAAACAAGAGGATGCAGGACGGGACACGTTGCGCCGTCAGAAAATAATCCCGGGAACGAAACGCGAACACGATCAGCGCTGCTACGAGGCGGTAAAGGCGCGGGCTGTTGAACTTGGATACCCTTGGTTTGATTCATGTAATTCCAGCATGGTAAACGTAAACGCGAACTGGCCTGGCCGGCCCGACGCAAAGCCAAAGCAATCCCGCTCAGGAAATGGTGGAGGTGTGAAGAGTCTCGCAGACACAGACGTGACAGATGTTGTCAAGACGTATGGGAGAATCCTGCTACTTCACGGAGCGGCGTGCGTAGATGGGAATTACGACCCTGGGGTGAAGTGTGAAGATTGGAATTTGCAGGACGTACATGCTGAAAATCAGCTAGACAGCACAAGAGAAAAACTGGATGACGCGCAGCGAAAAACGTTCTCGCTGGGATACGATTGCCATACTGACAAGTCGGTGCCTGAGAGCAGGGTGCGAGTGGACAAAAAACATAGTTCTATCGCAAGAAGAGCCCCCACCGGCCGGGCGTGGGACACGTTCTTTTCTTACTGGGATAAAACTGAAAAGAACGTCGATCATAAAGGTCGTTATTCAAGCGACACAGGTGGAGCAGCACGACACCCTCCTGCAAGGTCTGGGTTTCGCATGCTGCAAGCGCATTGGCAATACGATGCGTCGAGTATCTCCTTTGCTGAGGCAAGATTTGGCTTGGATGCCTCCGTCTTGTTTGACAATGAAAAGTCAGGCATGAACTTTATCGCTGCAGACAGAGTACAGAAGAACGCCGGGGCGAGGAATAAAGCTTGGAATATCGTCGAGGTAAATGATATGGAAGCGTCAGGTTTGAAATCGTCAAAGTTGAAATACGGTAGGGAAAACTGTCCCCACTACCCCGGTTTTCCCCAAAGACAATTTTTTTTTTTCGATCCAATTGTAAGCAGGGCGGGCCCTTCGCAAGCGACCTGCGCCGCGAATGGCCAGACCGAAGCCCGCTCCCCCAGGTGTGTTGCTGGACTCAAAGACACTGCACGCCTTGCCCGGCTTTTTGGGGCGCAAGCAGCTCGGGGCCCGCGAGGCAGCGCCCTGGGCAAGGCGCCCATGCCAGACCCGCCCCCCGGCCACCTAAGGCTGAACGCAATGCCCCTTGCCGCGGACCTGTCTTCTCCGCTTGAGGCTGGCCGGCACCGTTTCCCTGAGTGCATGTTCGGACACGCTGGCGAGAAAAAAAACGTATGCTGGGGATTTCGGCCCTAAGCAGCTATCTACGCACTTTCGGCCTCCAAAACGAGCACCAGAAACCTCCCGAAAAGGTACGCATGCACGACCCCCAGGGAAACGGTGAGGCCGGAGCCTCAGAAGTTGGGCGCGGCCAGTGTGGCGGGGCCGCGTTGCAGTAGCCCACGCGCGGATGGGGCCGAAGTAGCTACACACATCCACAAAGCTTGCTGCCCCGTCAGCTCATGCGCCGACTTTTGCGCGCCGCTATCCCGCTTGCTCCATTGCATACGTAACAACCTCAGAAAGTATCCGTGAAGAAGATCCACTAGCGGACACTATCCGGGCGGGCTGTGCGGCCGGTGGCCGTGTTGTTGCGTCAGTTCATAAAAAAATTTTTGATTTGGGGAAAACCGGGGTAGTGGGGACAGTTTTCTCTAACGTATGAAATAATTTGTAATGCATAAAATGCATGACCCGAGGCGCGTGTGTTGCAGAGCAGGCAAGTGAGGCCGATTGTAAGCCTGTTTGGGGTTACAGCTCGAGCTGCTAAAGTAGCATGAGAAAATCGCTCTTCTTTGCCTAAACAGCACGACAAACTGGATTTAAGGGCCGCCAAGATTTGTCATGCGCCACTCGGAAACTGGGCTTCAGTTGGCATCCATTTTATGCATCACAAATTATTTCAACTTTGAGGATTTCAATCCTGACGTTTCCATAAATGACGTTTGCCTGGATAAAGGACAACTTGCAAAGGTTGTGAGGACGTTGAATCAGGACGCTGAGGATCGTGAAAGAACGAACGAGAGCTCGTCAATCGACATGGAAGAAGTTCACATGTAGAAGTAAGCGAACTGTTACAGCTCCTGATTCGCATGTTCTCACCAGGCACACACTTGTGCAGTGGCGTGATTTTATTTGAATTGTGCCGCAATTATAACACTAAAGTGTCAAGCTTGACATTTGTGTCAATTAGGTCATTGACGATGAGCGCACGCATTACAATTTCAGTCAGTGTTCTTGTTCTCTATCTCTACCAAAGGACGTGGCCGAGCCGTTCGGTAAAGTAGGAGGTGGGCACCGAAAGATTGGGCTCCCGTTGAGCAACAACCAGGCAGCACTCGGTATTATTCTATTTTCCTTCTAGTTCATGCTCATGGACGAATCGTCAACATGCTGGAAATTATAAATATGATTATGATCATATCAAATGGAAATGACTGTGGATCCCTATCTAGGTCGGTGGGAGATCAGATGTGGCAAATGAATATCCAGACGGAACAAGAATCGGTAAGGACAACTGATCGACTGCGCAGAAATTTACGATTATGCTCGAGAATGATCCACAGTACCAGCGTTAGAGATCAAACCCCATCTTCATAATTCCACCGCGACATCAGCACCGTTGATTTTTACAGTTGGAAGATTTATTCGTATACTATTTGCCATTGAGGACCACTTTCACGACGAACGCAGCATTCAGTCGCTTCGTTCCTTCAATCCCTTGTAGTTCCTGTGCTCATCGACTTACTTCCACACCGACTTGATTTATTGTCACGACTTTGAGGTGGCTTGCGCGCGGTTATTTTCACGTAAGTACACGCAACGTTAGCGCATTTCTCTTTCTGTATTAAGTATTCTGCTTAAGCTTATTTCTCTCGTCTACTCGACTCGTAATTTTTCCTTGCTGTTCACTTCTAGCTTGTCGAAAAATCCCTTTAAGTAGGTTCATTTCCAAAATGCAACGTCGCTCTTGTTCGCTCGGGCCGTTCGGCTCAAAAACTGCAGTCCGTTTGGTGTCTTTAAGCCAGATTTTCTCTTTGGTCTGCCAACTTGTCGATGCCAGTGCGGCGGGGGCTACGGCAACACAGCCACAAAGCTGCATTGGACGTTTCTGCAGCAAACTTGCGGGTCGTAACAGCCGGAACCGAGGTTCGGGTGCAGTCCCACTTCTGGCTCCTGCAACTTCTGTCGACCCGAGTTCTCCTCCACGCTCAAGTTCGTCTGAACGTGAATTCAGTGCAGACTCTGCTCCTCGGAGCGCGGCAGTATATACGATGCAGCCTCAGCGGCTGCGTCAGGAGCGGTGTGATCCGTCGAAATTTCGTTTTACAGCTTTGCCTGAGGAGTTGCAATTGAAAAGTCTTGAGTGCCTCCAGGATGGAATCACGGATGAAGATCCCGTGCGCAGCTTCCGGCACAACCCGGCATCTGTAACTTTCCGCAAGAACCCCGGGCTGAAGGCGTTACGCAACCTCCTGCAGGATGTGGAAGGGCCCGCAAGAAATTGGTGGTCCAATTGTCCGCCAGGAGGACAAGCTTCGGAGCCGTTTCCTGAAACGCTTGTAGCACAGAGTGAGCTGTTGCAAGCTCGTGTCCGAAACATCAGTGCAGTACAGCAGGCGGTGCGAGCGCGAGCCGAAGGACGAGATGGAGGTTACCCTGTCGGAAAATGGTTCCAGGACCAGTTGGAGCGTATTGCGGGCTTAGAACGAGGCAGTTTGTTTTCGGACGTGGCGCCTGCGCGCAAAGGCCTCCTCGAGTCTATTCTTGTCGCTGTGGAAACGAAACTTGGCTCCGCGGTCCGCAAGGCTGAACAGATCCGAAACGGGTTTGATGACGGTGAGGCGGAGGCCGGACATGCAGAGCAAATATTTGAGTATGAAGATAATGACGGGCAAGGCAAATATGAGATATCGATCAGAAACGCCATGCACCTGCCAAATCGTGGGCGCGGCTTTGTTGTTAGCCTGGAAATTCTGTCGAACGAGTTTAGTGATGACGTCATGCGAATTATCCTCCAGAAAAGCGTGCCCCACGCCCCAAAGCCAAGATGGAACATCAATCTGCTACATACGCAAATGGAGAAGGTTTTGCTGTTGCGCATTACAACATTGGGCCTCCTCCAGCGTAGTGGTGATTGGCTACTGAAGTCGCGTCGCAAGACCTTGATCATCTGACCCTAATTAACAAAGCCTGACAAATCCCCAGATGCTGGCATTAGAGACTGTCGTTATGGCGGGGTTCTTGCGCATGAGAAACATTGTGCGTCGTGGCATGCAGTAGATGTGCTTGACAAATGTTGGGTGGGGACGTTTTTACACAGGATGCAAATGCTCAGCCACTGGTGGTACGACCGCACTAGTGATGATTGGGGACGAAATCTTCATTGGGTTCCCCTTCGCCTAGCTGAAAACGAAGCGCAGACGCTCCGATTCCCCGTGGTCAGCCCGCTCGTTATTAGACGCCCACATGTGCCACGGCCGGGAAACCCAAACGGGGACCTGTATTTTGGAGTGAAATTCGATCAAGGCGACGAAACCGGGAACGGCCGCTGGGGAGTCAGTATTTTCTTCGTCCCCGACCGCACGCGCGACGAAAACTCCTAAGGAGAAAGCGGAGGCGCGCAATAAAACTCCATGCTACGTCCTCGAATTGGTGTCGAAGATGCTTTCGAGCCTTTTTTTTTGTATGAAAAATTGTAGTGATCTACTCAGGCTACAGTGACCTACTCAGACTTCCTTTTTTGATTTTACATTGCAATATAAGAAATTGCAGAAGTAGATCTGGCTTGATTTCCTTGATCAAGCTGTTGAAACACGGGGCGGGATGAAAATAAAAGTACTATATTTCTGCTCTGCTTTCGAAGGAGCATTCTGCTAGGGCGCGTCAAACCCTTAACTCTAGAGCCGGCCCCTAGATGAATCAGTATTTACCGAATTGAAGAAAGGACTAACCCGTGTTCGTCGTCCATGATAAGGAAGTTTTCAAGAACGCTGCCTGGATTTCTTGTAATTACGCCTCCGCTAGGAAGTACTACGCAAGAGCAGTCCTATGTAAGTTTTTACCCCAGTGCCGCGGATATCCACTATTTTAATTTCTAGAGTAGCTTTCGAATTCGGAGTTGCAGACGAGATTAACGGCATCTTGTTCCACTAGTAGGGAAAGGGAACGAGAGTGGACGAGGAAGTGCCCTTGGTTTTTCTGAAGCAGAAGCACGACTTATTGGTGGAAAACTAGACATTCACTTGTAGAAAGGTAGACAGTTCCCTGACAGTATCTCGCTCACCTAGCACATTTTTTTGACTTTCTTGAAGCAGCCAGGCAATCTACTGCCAGTCCCATCATGGACTGTCCGCGCCTTCCATTTTTATGGAGTGCTTGAAGTACTTCGACCATGAGCTGACAAACCTCAATAACTACCCTGCGTGGACATGCATCATTATATTGGACCCACGAAATTTTATGAGTACACGTCTGACGCCCACACCGTGGCGCAGGAGTGCCGCGATAGCGCCGGCGGTCGCCACCGTATCAGGAGGCGGGCCACACGCACGCACCGGCGACGGCTGAAATAAAAAATTGGGTTCTTTTACTTGAACAACCAATCGGTACATATTTGTCCTACTGGTTCTACTTGCGTGGTCGTGGAATTTGGCGCGGAAATCATATGTAGTGTAGGCGGTCTTGTTCTTCGGCATTGCAACTGCAAGAGCGCACCAGGTCCATCACGTTCTTTCTCTTTGGTGCGCGCAATGCATGGTCGTCGCGCCGATCGGTACTTAACTTCCACTTTTGCCCGACGAACCTGAACGAGGTATGAGCTGCTGATTATGACCGTTCTCGTCTCGGTGGATCCCGAACCCACTTTGTGCGAGGGTCGATCATCGAAGATATTAAATTTGGATCGATCAGCTGGCAGTCTTGATGCTTGCTGCGAGCATCAGAGTTCATGGCTCATGAGTTAAAAGGAAGTCGCAGTGCAGCTAGCTTTTGATGTTCTTTCTTTTTCGTCGCATGAGATGCCTCCGTGTTTTTTTCCCCGGAAAGTAGAACAAATGGAAATTATTAATGGGCCACGAGGGTTGAACGATAGCGAACGACTTGCTTGGCCATGGCCAGTTTATGAGGTTTTTTGGAACTCATTAAAATGTAGAGGAAGGAGGACTTTTTTTGGACTCAACAGCAAAGATTCTTTTCGTTTTCTACTTTCATGCTTAAAACTACTCTACTAAAAGATAAGACTCTCTGTTTTTGCGACCGGAAGATCAACAACAAGACAACGCACCAGCAGAAAGCAGAAGCTCCGCTGCAGCGTATTGTCAGCAAACGGGATGGACACCAACAACACCACCTACCAAGAATTATTGATGGCACCCTCGTTGACAGATGAGCCCCACGAGGGACCACGGTGACCCCTCTTCAGCGTGAAAGCAAACCCCTCCTAAGGAGACAGAGAAGAGTGGCCGCCTCCCTTGCGCGGCGACGCGGATCCTGCTCTTGACCTTGCGGCTCTACAACGTCAACTGCGTCGCTCTGCCGCACGACGAACCGCGCACACAGTCAAGAAGCAACAACCTCCAAAATCGGCCACCAAAAGGATGTCCGAAGACGGTTATGTCTCTTGTAACGATCGGAATTCGAGTCGCAGTTCGGGTTGTAAGAATGAAACTACGACCCCGAGCACCAATTCCGACGACGGGCACTTGTTTGAGTGCTCGCCCTGTGAGCCCGACCCAAACGCGAGCAACAGTAGCACTGATGAGGAAGGAGAGCAGCTGCAACAGGGTATTATTCTTAGGAGAACCTCAAGTCAATACTAGCCTTATCCCGCTTCCCGTGTCCAGTAACCTGCAGACTTAATAGTATTCCGCTAGATGAATAGTAGCACTCAGCGTGTCTCTGTGGAGAATCGTTGTCGGCGCTTCAGCACAGGCAGGCCCATCTGCCGGCGATTTTCAAAGCGTCAGAACGGCTTCGGCACGATCCGGCACCGGCCGGCGCGGTGGGCAGGTTGGCCTTTGCCGTCATCTTGCATGCTGGCACCGGCGTGGCCGCGATCTGGCGGCGGGGGGCGGGCATGGTCGGGCACCGGCTTGGCCAGGGCCCGACACCGGCGTGGCCAGGGTCCGGCACCGGCTTGGGCATGATCGGCCACCGGCACGGTCATGCCCATGACCTGGCACCGGCGTGGCCACGACCTGGCACCGCCTTGGCCATGATTTGGCTGGCACCGGCTTGGCCGCGGCCTGGCACTTGCAGGCATGGCCATGATTCCGCACCGGTTTGGCTATGCTCTGGCACAGGCAGGCAGGCTTGGCCGTGATTCATCTGGCAACGGCTTGGCCACGGCCTGGCACCGGCTTGGCCATGTTCTGGCACCGGCTTGGCCATGATTTGGCGCCGGCGTCGGCTTGGGCACGACCCGGAGCCGGCAGGCTTGGCCTTGCCATGACCTGGAGCCGGCTCGGCCATGGCCTGAGCGGGCGCCGGCCTTGCCGTGATCTGGCACCGACCGGCCTGGCCACGACCTGGCACCGGCTTGGCAGTGGTGTGGCACCGGCCTGGCCATGTCCTGACATGGGCCTGGCCATGATCTGGCACCGGCTTGGCCATGAGCTTCCTGGCGCCGGCTTGGCCGTGATCCATCTGGCACCGGCTCGGCCATGATCTGGCGCCGGCCTTGCCGCGACCTGGCACCGGACGGCTTGGCCATGATCTGGCGCCGGGTTGGCCATGATGTGGCACGGGGCGGGCGGGGCCACGACCTGGAACCGGCTTGGCCATGATCTGGCACCGGCTTGGCCCTGATCTCATCAGGCGCCGGCCTGGCCATGATCTCTCTGGCGCCGGCCTGGCCACGACCTGGCACCGGCTTGGCCACGATCTGGCACCGGCTTGGCCATGATCTGGCACCGGCTTGGCCATGACCTGGCACCGGTTGGCTGGCAGGCTTGGCCATGATCTGGCATGCGGGCGCTGGCAGGTTTGGCCATGATCTGGCACCGGCTGGCTCGACAGGCTTTGGTCATGATCTGGCACCGGCTTGGCCACGGCCTGGCACCGAGTTGGCAGGCTTTGGCCATGATCTGGCACCGGCTTGGCCACGACCTGGCACCGGCGGGCTTGGCCACGATCTGGCGCCGGCTGGGCCATGAAGATCTGGAACCGGGCGGCCTGGCCATGATCTGGAAGCGGCTTGGCCATGATCTGGCGCCGGCTTTGCCATGATCTGTCATGCGGAAACACCCCGGGCGGATTTTTGTTCTAAAATGTGGCTAATTTTTCCGGGATTTCAAAAATTCCGGGCGCCCTTTCCGGCAGGCCCCACCGGCAACAGCCCGAGGCCCACAAAATTGCCCCGCTCGCCCTCTCATGCGCCTCGGCTGTGTTGCCGCTGTTCGGCTTTTGGGCCTCTAGGTTGGTCGTGGACGTGGTGTCCAGAGGTTTTCCAAGTTTTAAAATTTAAAAATTCGGGCTGTTTTTCACGGAAAAGTGGTCCACACAATTTTCCAAAGCTTTTCGGGGTTTGTTGGAGAATCAGTGTGGTGGATGTTTGGGTTGTGTATGGGGCACAGTATCGGGGGCTGGAGGTCAAGGTGTGCCGTTTTCGAATGTGAAGCGGCGCGCGATTTTGTGTGTTGCCACTTCGCATTCCGCTGGCGTTTTGGTTTGTATCTCTCGTGGGATAGAAGATGTTGCTCGCCCCTCGGAACATGATGCTCGACATGCACGTCGAGCATCATCTTCCAAGATCACCCACAACAACGCATGTCGGGTGAGGGAATGTCGGGAAGTCCAATTTTAGAAGATCCGAACAACTTCGGTTTTCGGCTTCTAAAACTGGGCACTTTCGGATTCTAAAGTCCCGGGCGCGCACCTTCTAAAACCACAAAACTCGCAAATCCTGCGGGATTTTGCGCTATCGGTGGTTTTAGAGGATTTTTTAGAGGACGGGCAAGGTCCGGGTTTTTCCGCCTCCGGAAGCGATTTTAGAGGGCATTTTAGAAGAATCCGGGCGAAAAATTAGAAGTGGCTTTTAGAGGTGGTTTTTAGAAACCACTTTTAGGGACCACTTTTAGAGGCGGAAAGTAGAGACGGGTTTTAGAGACGCATTTTAGAGACGGATTTTAGAGGCGCATTTTAGAGGCGCACTTTAGAGGCGCATTTTAGAGAGGGAAATTAGAGGCCAATTTTAGAGGCCGGAATTAGAGGATGGCTGCAGAGGGCATGGCAATGGGTGGCGTTGTGCATGGTCTGCTTGTCCGCGCCTTCAGGTCGTGGCGACTTCCTCTGTGGAGTTTCGTGTCGAGCCGAGGCATTGACCACTCGGTGTCCGGAGTGGGTTGTGGTAGTGCCTTTCCGCGTCTCATCTAGTTCTTCATGAGTATGACTCTTTGGGGATGTCCTGTTCGCAGTCTGGGTTCTTCCTCTTCGCGTCATTTCGTTAGCCCCTCGCCGGACTCTCCTTCCCGCTGTCGCTTTTCGTTTCATCCGCCGATGGGGAATTTGGGTGGGCCTTTTTTTTTGAAAACCGGAAAAATTAGAAGGATATTAGAAAGGAAAACCGCCCGGGCGTTTTCCGCATGAGATCTGGCACCGTCTTGGCAGGCTTTGGCCATGATCTGGAACCGGCTTGGCGCTGATCTGGCACCGGCTTGGCCATGATGCATGTGGCACCCACGCACCGGCTTGGCAGGTTTTGGCCATGATCTGGCACCGGCTTGGCCGCGATCTGGCACCGGCTTGGCTATGATCTGGCACCGGCCCGGCCATGATCTGGCACCGGCTTGGCAGGCTTTGGCCATGTTTTGGCACCGGCTTGGCCGCGACCTGGCACCGGCTTGGCCACGACCTGGCACCGCCTCGGCCATGATTTGGCACCGGCATGGCCATGATCTGGCACCGGCGGGCTTGGCGGGCTTTGGTCATGATCTGGCAACGGCCGGCGGGCTTGGCCACGACCGGGCACCGGCAGGCTTGGCAATGATCTGGCACCGGCTTGGCCATGATCTGGCATCGGCATGGCCACAGTCTGGCACCGGCTTGGCCACGACCTTCCTGGCACCGGGCGGCTTGGCCATGATCCGGAACCGGCCGGCTGGCAGGCTTGGCCGTGATCTGGCACCGGCTTGGCAGCCTCTGGCCATGATCTGGCGCCAGCCTTGGCACGGCCTGCCCTGGCACCGGCTTGGCCATCATCTGGCATCGGCTTGGGCACGACCCGGCACCGGCTGGCAGGCTTGGCCATAATCTGGCACCGGCTTGGCAGGCTTGGCCATGATCTGGCACCGGCTTGGCAGGCTTTGGCCATGATCTGGCACCGGCTTGGCCACGACCTGGCACCGGCTTGGCCATGATCTGGCACCGGCTTGGCTATGACCTGGCACCGGCTCGGCAGGTTTTGGCCATGATCTGGCACCGGCTTGGCCATGATCTGGCACCAGCTTGGCCATGATCTGGCACCGGCTTGGCCACGACCTGGCATCGGCTTGGTCATGATCTGGCAACGGCTTGGCCATGATCTGGCAACGGCTGGCAGGCTTGGCCATGCATGATCTGGCACCGGCTTGGCAGGTTTCCTCTGGCCACGACCTGGCGCCGGCTCGTGTTTCGAGGTTAGTTGCGTTTCGCACGTTGCTGCCCCGCCTCGAGGCTTCGCTGCTTCGGGGCTTCGCTGCTTCGGGGCTTCGTTGCTTCGGGGCTCCGCTGCTTCGAGGCTTCGCTGCTTCGGGGCTTCGCTGCTTCGGGGCCTCGAGGCTTCGCTGCTTCGAGGCTTCGAGGCTCTGCGGCTTCGAGGCTCTGCGGCCTCGAGGCTTCGCTGCTCCGAGGCTTCGCTGCTTCGAGGCTTCGCTGCTCCGAGGCTTCGCTGCTTCGAGGTTTCGCTGCTTCGAGGTTTCGCTGCTTCGAGGCTTTGCTGCTTCGAGGCTTTGCCGCTTCGAGGCTTCGCTGCTTCGGGACTTCGCTGCTTCGGGGCTTCGCTGCTTCGGGGCTTCGAGGCTTCGCTGCTTGTTCGAGGCTTCGTTGCTTGTTCGAGGATTCGCCGCTTGTTCGAGGATTCGCTGCTTGTTCGAGGCTTCGCAGCTTGTTCGAGGCTTCGCTGCTTGTTTGAGGCTTCGCTGCTTGTTCGAGGCTTCGTTGCTTGTTCGAGGCTTCGCTGCTTGTTCGAGGCTTCGCTGCTTCGAGGCTTCGCTGCTTCGAGGCTTCGCTGCTTCGAGGCTTCGCTGCTTCGAGGTTTCGCTGCTTCGAGGCTTCGCTGCTTCGAGGTTTCGCTGCTTCGAGGTTTCGCCGGCCGCTTCGAGGCTTCGCCGGCCGCTTCGAGGCTTCGCCGCTTCGGGGCTTCGCTGCTTCGAGGGTTCGCTGCTTCGAGGGTTCGCTGCTCCGGGGCTTCGCTGCTTTGGGGCTTCGGGGCTTCGAGGCTTCGCCGCTTGTTCGAGGCTTCGCCGCTTGTTCGAGGCTTCGCTGCTTGTTCGAGGATTCGCTGCCTGTTCGAGGATTCGCTGCTTGTTCGAGGCTGCGCTGCTTCGAGGCTGCGCTGCTTCGAGGCTTCGCCGCTTCGAGGCTTCGCTGCTTCGAGGCTTCGCCGCTTCGAGGCTTCGCTGCTTCGAGGCTTGGCTGCTTCGAGGCTTCGCTGCTTCGAGGCTGCGCTGCTTCGAGGCTGCGCTGCTTCGGGGCTGCGCTGCTTCGAGGCTTTGCTGCTTCGCCGCTTCGAGGCTTCGCCGCTTCGCCGCTCCGAAGCTTCGCTGCTTCGAGGTTTCGCTGCTTCGCGGTTTCGCCGCTTCGAGGCTTCGCTGCGTGCTTCGAGGCTTCGCGGCTTCGCTGCTTCCTTCGGCGTTTCGAGGCCTCATCGTTTCGAGGCTTCGCCGCTTAGAAGCTTGGGCACTTTGTCTGCATTTCGTTTTTGTTGTTTTTCGTTTCTATTCTTTGTTTTTGTTTTTTGTTTTCATTCTTTGTTTTCATTCTTTGTTTCCATTCTTTGTTTCCGTTTTTCGTTTCTATTCTTTGTTTTCGTTTTTCGTTTCCATTGTTTGTTTTCATTTTTCGTTTCCATTCTTTGTTTTCGTTTTTCGTTTCCATTCTTTGTTTTCGTTTTTCGTTTCCATTCTTTGTTTCCATTCTTTGTTTTCGTTTTTCGTTTCCATTCTTTGTTTTTGTTTTTCGTTTCTATTGTTTGTTTTTATTGCGGGATACTATTAAATAATGGGTTTTCTGACTTATAACTAGTCATGGTAGAGATTTGTTGTTTTGCATTGTCGTGGGCGGCTCTTTTAATTTTATGCATGAAGTTGAAGCCAGAGACAGATGCTAGATCAAGGACATGTTGATACTACCTTCCAGATGAACATAATTATACCTGCAGGAGGTCCTGCCCCCGTGGTTTCCGACATTTTTGTGAATGCGAAGAGGTACGAAAAGTTTCTGGACAAACTCCCGAAGCCCGAGTGCTTCGGCACAGTGCTGCTGGCGGATCATGTGCAAACCCGTGAGGAAAAGCAACAGTACGCGGATGACTTCACTGCTCGGTACAAGAAAGCGTCCGAGGAGGAGGCGCGGATCGTCGACCACAAAAATGTCAAACCCCAGTCGAATATGCATTGCAAAAGTATCGTGCTAGTATGAATTGCAATACAAGTTGGCTCAGCATTACAACTCAAATTTGTAATGTGGATTGCCCTCAACATCTAGATTTGTAATGCAGTATCGCAATCAGTACGAGCGCGGTACTTTTGCACAGGATATCGGAAATCTACCAGCGCGATGAGCTGGAACTCCGCCGGGTCCAATTGGCGCCCCAGGTTGCCGTGTCACGAGAATGCACAAGCACCTCCTCCCTCTTCATTTCATGAAGGGCATAAGGATAAGAATGTTAAGCAGCAACACAAGTGCTGGCATAAATGCAGCTTTTGCATGACAATAAATTCGTGACCGAATCTAGTGCTGTTTCGGCTTCCGAAGTCTGTCATGCAAGAAGTGCGAAAGAGAAAAAGGCGGTTCTGACCCTAGATCTCCTGCGTCCGAAGCTGCTTGCGGCGACGGTGCAGAGCTTTTTGATGTGGCGCAGTCGGGTAATATGCGTGACAAATGAGGGGGAGAGGGAGTTGTACTAGTTGTGCATTGTCATACGCTTGTAAAGTTTTGGATATCGGCGGCAACCAGGTCGGGAACGTTGTCCATCTTCCCTGCTACGACATTTACCACGACCGCTACTCGGCCCATTACGCCGGGTTGAAGCTGGAGCTCATCAAGGCGGTTGCGGACAGTCGCTGCGTGGCGGTGTCCGGCACGTTCGCGCAGGTCCTGGAGCAGCAGCTGGCTCTGTCGGGGACCCCGCCTCCCACAGCTGCTGGTAGTGGTGATAATAAAAACTACGTGTTCACGTCGGAGATGGGGAGTGCATCGGCAGGAGGCGCTACTTCGAGTTCTTCTTCTTCTACAATCAACAGTTCTACTCCTACAACATCAAGCCGTGTGTTCGCCTGGGAGCCGAATGCGTCCGTTCCCTACGAGTACGCGCGCTACCCGACCATTGTCTTCCAAAACTCCCACAACATCTACCATTGTCCGGACGACACCAAGAAAAGTAAGTGGGCGGCGGGCGATGCAACAGCGGGCAAAGGAACTACCGAGGTGAATCCACGACCGCCGACCACGAGCAATTATTCCAAGCGCCTGGAGAACAGTTGCCTCAAGTTCGCTTTCTCCTTCTGCCCGGACAAGGGGCACTTGGTCCACTGGGGCTGGATCGAGTACAACACGCTGCAGAAGACAGGTTTGAAGGCCAAGGAGGAGTCGAAAAACACAGCGATGTTTCTTGGACACGAAAACCCACAAAAGCAGGAGGCGCAGTTTGGCGTCTTCCAAGGAGAGGTGCAGCTTGCGAACATTGCGCTGCCGGAGGAAGAACAACAGCTGCAGGACCAACAGCGGCTGGAGCCGCGACAGCACCGGCAGTCGAGGGGACGTGTATGGATGGTTACTTCTTAAAGGCATCGCACACGACCTCGTTCGTAGTAGTTGCAAGTATGCATTAATACTAAAGGTTTATTTGCGAAGATGAAAAGTTGGAAATCCGCCTGACAAATGTGCAAAGGTTTTTGATGTGCTGCAGTCGCCGGGTATGCAGGGCAAATTCCGTATATCCCACTGAGTAACTTTGTCATGCAATTTTTAGTGGTGCGTGCGAATGCGATACTTTTGTATATGCATAATGTGGTCACCGAGACGATTACGCGGTCCTGGCTGGCGGCGGCGAGGCCGGAGGTCGTCGTTATCACGAACTGTTGGAGACGATGTTGGGAATATCCTGGGAACAAGTTGTAATATCGTACAACTGGTAGTACTAGTTACAGCTATGCATGACACCAGACCTCCCTCCTAAGCAAAATTAGCATGAGAAATTTTATGTTAGTTACTTATACTACTGGGCGAAATTTTATTTTCGATGCAAAAACTTAGCAGGGAAAGGATCCATGTGCCGGATTGGGAGGTCGGTGCGTGCTTCTTCTGGCAAGGCTCGTCTAGAAGTAATCACTGACTGCGGGACGTCGTTCATGTATGCGCTGCGTCATGGCATACGCAGTGGGTCCGGTGCTCGAGCTACAGTGACCGAGCCGCTGTGGAGTTTAAGTACTCTCCGCGCCGGACCTAAAAAACAAGGCTCATAGCCCCGGCTCGGTTGCTGATCAGATTCGCCCTACACCCATGCAGAAATGCTACAGTGTGTGCGTGTTTGGTCCCCCCTGAACGACGTGTGTGTGAGTGTGGCCCACACCCAAGTCCGAAAAAACCTAGCCTCATAACAGCCGCGCCCCTAAGGTATAGATCAACTGTTCGTCATAGAAGATCGGCGTTCAGCTGCTCTCGGGCTGGAGGAGGGAGTAGCAAGCAGCAGTCCGCTTAAAGGGCACACTGCCAACATCATCATCACGAGAACTAATGCGATACAACTTTTGCACTTTATAGACACCTCCACCTCCAGACTCCGACTCGGACGACTCAGATTATAGTTGGAGCTCCAGTCAGCTATCAAGTGCAAGTATATCTGGATTCTCTGGAGGATGAAACTTATGATGCTGGGCAGCTGCAGATGGTTGAAACATTTCTACTAAATGGCGACAAGCATGATACGTTTTTCGAAAGCCCTGAGAGACGACATTTTCGCATCAATATGCATGACGAAGAAAAAGAAAACTGCGCTTGTGGTGCCGGTCATACAGATTTTCTAGCCGTGTAATATTGCAAGACTACGAGAAGAACCATCGCAAGTTCCATCTGTCCTGAACACCAGACGTCCTCTCTTCGTTCTTCATATCTTGAGTTTGATGATGACCCTATACGGCGTAGGTCAACCGCACCAGCATCGGCCAGCATGTCTCCGGCGCTGATTAACCGCAGCAAAACACGGATCAGGAGCCAGGGAGTTGAAAGCGCCACGTTTCTGAAAACAACTCCGGACAACAATGCGGATGACAAACCTGATGGTTACCAGAAGAACTACACCAACGCCGAGCCGTGTCGTAATCACCTGTACTACCAAGTTAACATGATTCACAACTACTACAAAAAGAACGAGCAGAACAGACCCCAACATCGATTCGAGTACAGGGGCAATTATCCCTATAATCGTTACGACAACCGCGACCGCCCGGTCCCTCCTGCGCCGCGGGAGCAGACCAAAGCGGAGAATGCAGTTCTACCTGGGTGCCAGTTTCTCTTCAAAACAGAGGAGGAGCGGGATTTGTTTGTCAAAGATGCGAAGACTATGCAGAAGATTCTCTGCGACATGTGCACGACGGGGAAATTTAAGCGTGTGGTGTTGGAGGTGATGGGCAACAGTGACGGCTTTCGCGAAAAGGAGCAATTCACTGCGGTGTACGAGAACAAGTTGATGCAGGTCATCCACGCGCATTACGCCGAGCGCGCCCACAACCAGTACAATCGCCAGACAGACCACACAAATTGGAAAAAGATCGCGGAAGAGTTCGTTCTAGTTCTCGACGACGCGGGCGGCTGGGGCATGGAAATTTTGGACGGGAAGACCCGCGGGGAAGCGCCGAACCACCCGGTGAAAGCAATGGACTGCGGGTTTATACATTGCAAATATGTCTGAGTCTGGAAGAGTGCGAATTTGTGATGCGAACTGGTCTACATCATGACAAAATCTGTCATGCGTGGCTAGCGAAAGGCCACAGCTCTTGTTACCGAAAGAGGGGATGTGTCATGCCGATTAGGCATTGGGGTACCTGGTGCTCCAAGTCTGTGATGCTAGAGCTTGCATGCCAGACGATCTAGGTCAGGCAAAAACTACATGACAAACCTTGCATCGTCCTTCCAGACCCAGACATATTTGCATTTGATAGGGTTGGTAATGGAGCAAGTGTTTAAGAGTCGCATGCACCTGGACGAGAGCGAGGGGGGGAGCTTCTCTGACCCGGTGACCTTCCGTTTGATCGGGAAAATTGAGGAGAGAGATAAGGAGCGGGAGGCGGCGCAGGGCGCGGCACAGCAGGCAAAGAACAAGTAAAGCAGGAATGGAATTTCGTAGAAGAGGGCAGGAATCATGTTGCGAGCGGGGGGATTTTGTAAGGGAGCGATCGAACTATAGTTTTTGCTATAATGATCGCTGAACGAAAATCTACTTCACATGGTGCCAGTGGCGATTATCTATCAGGCTTTTTTGATGATGTTCCTCCAAAGAAAGTGGCTCCCTGGTACGCTGTACAACAAGCCGTAGCTTCCACTGAAGACAAAAGATGAAGCGACATTTCGAAAAATTACGTAGTACTTGTTCATATCAAGTCGAGGACAAGTTGTTTCTGTAATACTACTATACGACTTTGATGGAACAAGTCCGATGGAATCGCCTGGGAAGGTCAGGCTCGTTCTTTAAGGTGTTTTTGCCTCATCACTCTTTTACGACGAAACTAAACGGTTGCAGCCGACAACAGTGCCCGTTTTCACGAGGACACACCGGTAGTCAGTCCCAAAATGTGAAGATGTTCGCAGATTAGAGCTGAGTACTACAAAACGTTATCTTATATATGTTCTTAAAGATCAACTGGTGGTGATGGCGCGTTCATAAAGCAGTGCTCTGGATCATGTTGATGCAAATGCAATACAACACGTCCCGCCGCCCAAGTCTCATCATCTGTCGTCAGTCAACGTGGAGATGAACATCTTTGTCCTTCATGACTCTCAACTAAGGTCGTCAGTGTTAGTGTTGGACACAGGTCGTCGTGACAAGCGCTAAATCGCGTCTACTGGAAGAGGCGATGATCATCTCTTAGATAAAATGATGTTCGCTTTGCCACCTGCTTAAATTTTGAACGTACAGAATGGAGAGCGAGAGAACATGCTGGGTGACCGTCGGGCAATGCGGAAATCAAATCGGCAGGGAGTTGGCCAAGCTGCAACTACAGGTAAGCCAATCCAATACCGCAAATGTTGCATGCGCGCCATCCGCTGTCTCCAACCGGGTGGCGGTCGACTCCGAAGCGAAGGTTCTATTGCGAGGAACAGGAGCGACCACGACTACAGGAACAAGCGCAGCGAAACATCCAAGCAGGACTACGGCGTCCAACGTGATTCACGAGCACTCGGGTCGGGGAAGTAACTGGGCGCTGGGCTACACCAGTGGAATGTATGGCGGCTGGAGTTCATCTACTTGTGCTTCTTTTTCTAGCGCCACCACAGCACCACCTTCCACTTCCGCGGTCCCAATCAGAAACAACTTCAAGCAGCTGAGCACCGGTTCGGTGAACTTAGTCGATGCCGACAGTGGCGCAGATCGAGGTGTCGTCGCGGATCGGCAGCGTGGAATAATGAGAAACAAGATCATGAACAGCAGCAGCGCGCACCCACAGCACACCAGCAGACGCCGGGGAGCCAGCAGCCCGACTCCGACAGGAACAAATTTGGGCTTGCTTGATGATTCCAACCAAGTGATAGGTGAATGCGCGGCAACCAAGAACGAGCAACATCAAAGCGCAACTGACCTGACCGAGAGTCTACTGTTCCAAGAGCCTTACCTCGTGCACGGCGTGAAGGCAAAAGTGCGGCAAGTTCTGGAAAAATCGGACAAGCGAATCGAGAACCTAGTCCTCCTTCATTCCGTCGCGGGCGGAACGGGGAGCGGTCTGGGTTCGAGATTGCTGGAGGAGTTCGCAGCAGGAGTAGATCATGGTAGTGTTTTCTCGCAAGCAGCCGATGAGCAAGATTTGAACCTGGTATCCTGCGCAGTCCTTCCGATATGGTCGCAGCATTCCGAAACCTGTCTGCAGGCGTATAATGCGTGTTTCTCCGCGGCTTGGATGCAGGACTTTTGCAACGGAAATTTACTCTTCGAAAACGAGTTTCAGCTGGAGAAGATCCTGCAGCAACAGGGACATCAATTGTCTTCGCAGTTTGGGGGCAAGACGATGACAAATCACTCTTCCACTTCGTGTTCAACCAGCACCAGCGGCGCTTACACGCTCGTTAACCAGCAGTTCGCGGAGACCATCAACAGCCTGAACTTCACCGATTTTCTGACCTACGTGACCCCCATGCCGTCGCACCACTTTGCGCACGCGTTTTCTTACCGATTAGACCCCTTGATTGCGAAAACCAATGCGGAGTTGGAGCATCGGAACTTCTTGAAGAAGCGAGTTCTCCCCCCACCGCTGGAAGTGGCGAGAAAACACTTGCTGCTACAAGTGCACGCGACGGTGTTTAACGAAAGTGTCACGCTCCTCCAGCCGGAGTGGTTTTCGACCACGTGCGACCCGGTGCCCTGGAATCGGAGCTTTGTGCTAGAGCAGAAGCGGAGTGGGGGTCCGGGTTCTGCAGCTGGTACAGCTCCGACGAGAAGTACAACCAGGAGCACCACGAATGCAAATGCAAATTCTACTACACCAGCCGCGACAAGAGGACAGGCAAAGCAGCTGTCCTCAACAACAGCATCCACCTACCCCGATGTGACTCTTGCCTTGAATTGGAGTAGAACTGGGGATCTGTTCCGGCATTTCTTGGACCGTGCGAAGAAGATGTACAGGGGTAGAGCGTTTTTCCACGCGTTTGAGCAGTACGGTTTTGGTCATTGTGAATTCGAAAACATGTTTGAAACGGTGGAAGAACTCGTAGCCAATTACTCACCAGAAAGGCTCTTATATCGACACAGAAAAGCCGCGAGGGCTTTTTTTACACCTGGAGCTCGTCCTGGCTTTTCAACAGGAAGCTCTGGTCAACTGGAGCTATTCTCGGTGGTGTGTTGTTTTTCGTAAATGAATTATGTAGTCGTACGATCACGATTAATACGGGAACCGCACCATGGGTCTTTTTTTTCGCACTGATCTTCCCCTTCTGTTTCTGAGATGTTACTCTTACTCCTGTCTTTAAAAGGCTTCTCGAGGTATTTTTCGTAAGCATTTTTCGGATTGCAGGCGCTGAATGAGCAAGGTAGAGCACCCAGAATAGAGAGTCCTCGTCAAGTATTTTCTCCGCCTGCTCTCGCTTCTCGTCCTCGCACCCAAAATGCGGGGACTACGTCGCTGCCCTAACGTTCTTGCGCTGTCACCTCTCGTCGCGGCTTGCTTCGCTACAACTTCACGACTTTTCTCACTTTTCGCTGTGCCACTGTCTGCCCAATTATCTGGGACACGACCTGTAGGCAGCGTAGTACAACAAGAACCTCCGCCAGCAATGAACACTGCGCAAGAACTGAGCAACGGCCTCGCCAACTGGAAGCCCGGCGCGGGGAGTTGGCAGGAACTGGGTGACCTCTTCACGAACAGCGGCACGGGCATTGGCATTGTTCTCGGCCTGGGCCCAGATGCGAATTTCGCGAGGCAATTTTTGCACATGTGGACCAACGGGGTGTTGTACCTGTGCGACCCGTTTATCCACATCTTCAACGGCTACGACGATCCGGAATATAACGTGGACGACAAGACGCACCAGATCAATTTCGAAAACATCCGCGTGACCCTGATGCAAACCCCTACCATCCAAGGCCGATACTCGATGGTCCGGGAGTTCAGCTTCAGCTTCTACCGCCTTTGGCTGAAGCAAGACCCGCAGTACGACTTCGGGCAAATACCGCCGAGGTTCATTTTCGTGGACAACAATCCGAGCAAAGACGCGGTCTTGCGGGACATGCACGACTGGTGGGAGTTACTTCTACCGGGCGGCGTCATGGCGGGCGCCAGGCCCGAGCATCCGGGAGTGTTTCACGCGGTTGAGAGCTTTGCGAAGTTGCACAATCTGGAACCCTATCAACTGCAAAAGTGTCTGGGTCTGGAAACTTGTAATGCTGCGTTGGGAATAGTAAATGCTCTGCAATGCACAGTTAAGCATGATGAGAAATATCTGCGGTTTTTTGTGTTGCGTTTTTCGCATGACTTGCATGACAGGCAAAAGGGTCTCTTCTTGGACACGCTTCACAAACTTTTTGGTCATGCCAGGCAAGCATGACAAATCTTCCAGACCCAGACATTTTTGCATTTGATAAACCCCTGCTGGTCACGGACGAGCAGACCTCGATCGGGTTCGGCTGGTTTCTATCCACAGAAAAAAACCCATCCACATCCATTTTTTGCATGACAAACACATGACTTGATACGTGTTTTGCATGACAAATTGGATGTGGATGGGTTTTTTTCTGTGGATAGTTTCTCATCAAACCGAACGACGACGCGACAAACGAAGAATACATGCGGAAGGCGGAGGAGATGAAGCGCGTCGCCGACGAAGCGCGAGAAAAGGAGGCAAGGAAAATGCAAGAAATAACCTCGAAAGTTGAGTTGTGAAAGATATAGCTATCAATAACGGAACTATCATGATGAAGATCAATGCAGCACAACTATGATGCAGCAAATCAAGCTATTGATTCAACATCGGTTTTGGCATGTGCATGTTGATGAAGATGGCGCATCCTATACGGCAGGAATAGCTCGTCTTTGGACCTTCAGCGCATGTTGGCAAGTGCAACAAATTTGCACAGCGTGAGATGTAGACTCAAGGAATGAGATTGACCTTTCTGATGTTCTCAGACACCGAGATTCTTGCCCCCGAGGCTTATGTTGAGAGATGAGAAGAAGAAGAAGACTCAAAGAACTGGAGAGATATTTCAATGTCGTAGGACGTACAAGTAGCAGGACAACTATGCAGCTGCAACTCCTCCGGTACCACCTCCTGTATCGGTTCACCAAAGAATTCGGTCAAGAAGCAACTGTATCTTTTTTTTGTTTTCTCTTGCTCAACAGAGGAAAAAACCATGCAGAACGAAGAACAGGTCCACAACGTCATGTCATGGATATGGAAAAAGAAAAAACTACATAAACGCAAGAGGCTCAACATTCTCTACCACGCGTAGAAATGTTGTGGATGTTGAATAGTGCTAGTAACTCTGACTCTCTTTATTCTTGTGGTTTGGACAGTTTTGCCACTTCTTTCTGAATGCATCCGAATCGGACTGCTCATCTTGCGCGATCTTTACACTCTCCATGGGCTTCATCGCCTTTTTTGACGTGCTGATGGAAGAAAGATGACCAGAACGCACAAAAATAAGATTGGTCGATAGCGCCGTTGTACTCGATTTCTCGCCTGGTGTGTGCTCGACGTCCGCCACGAAGCGAAACTTCTTTCCAAGATGCGTCCCCCTCCAGGCGGTGGAGCGATTCATTCGAACAACCCCAACATTTCCACCAAACAGAGGGGGCCAGCACCTCCGGGAGGAGCACCCCCCCTATCGTCAGAGCAGGAGGAAATGAGATATGCGCAGCAGCAGCAGCAGCGAGCTTCACCTTCGAACAACCAGATGGTTCTTTTGTCCAATCCACAGCCAGCCTCCGTTACGTCGTCCACTTCCGGTGGCGGGGCGGGGACAAGTGGTTCCAGGCCTGGTGCAACGAGCTCCAAAGAGTCGTCCAGTGGAGGGAGCAGCAGTGGGCAGGAGAAAGACCCCGTGAGGTTTGGGACGGACGCGACGAAAAGGGAAGATTTCGATCAGGAGTTCGAGCAATATGTGTTATCGGAAGACTATCCAAGAAGAAAAAAATGCTATGAGTAACTTTGTCATGATGCGCAACTACATGCAAGATGATTGTGTACTGTGTCATACTGGTGCTGTGGATTTTAGGGCCCAGTATTCATGTGCCTTTTCGTGTGCTATTTGCGCATGACAGGTTTTTGCTGTCATGCCACACAGATCTGCAATGCTGCTCCGCAAAAAAAGTTACGCGTTGTACTCCTGCACTTTTTTCTGTTGGATAAAGACGCACGGCGCCGGAAAAAGAAGTGGACCTACGCAAAAGCATTTGGGGGCGCCGCGGTGGCCGCGAGTTCAGGGGCGCTATTTGGAATCCCGCTTGCGGCAATGGTACTAAACACGTACAATTTTTTTTTTTCCACGCACGAGATTTTTTTTTCCACGCATGAGAGGTGGAAAGATATCGAGAAGCACGCCCATGCGTCATGCATTATGATGACCTTGACCACACACAGTAAAGAATTATCTTTGACGGAACATGAAAAAACAGGTCCTCATGGGCGCTGCGGGTGCGGGCGCTGGGATGTTCGGAATGCGGCAGATGAATGGGAAGGACGGGAAGCAGCGCGGCCAGAAATCCATAGAGGACGAAGCCGGCCCGGGCGGGCGGTCGCCGGGGCGCAGAAGGTACGCGACGCACAAACGATTTTTGCAAACCGGGCGCCCGCCACCCAGTCTGAAGCGGGTCCGGTTTCTGATCAAGTGGGCGTCGATCAAGATTGACGAACTGGAAGAGGGAGACCACCCGGGCGTGATCCAGTATGAGACTGCACAATTCCCCCTCCCCCTCATTTGTAATGCAAAGTACCAAATCCATATCCACCCTTTGCCTCTTGGCACGTTTTGCATGGCAAGTTCTGGAAGCCCAAATAGCACTACACTCCTGTGCAAATTTATCATGCAAAACCTGCATTCTTGCTGACACTTATAGTGCCGCTCATGCTATACAAATAAGGGGGAGGGGGAGTTGTGCGCTGTCATATCCAGCTGATGGATGACATTATCTCGGAATTCAGCTTGGTGGTGGTATCAAGAAGAAAAATCCCGCCTCCGCATATCAAAACGGAAATCTGTGCTGCAGATTTGTGTCCACAAATCAGCTCTGTCATGCTAGAAGGAAAAAGATGCGGACTGTAGTGCTGGGTGGCGTGCGAAAGCCTTGCATCTTCAGCATGACAGGAGGCAGCTGGAAGTGGGGCGCAGCGTGACAAATTGCCTGCGAACGAGGCCACAACTGCGGGTCTTGGCCTTTTAGCAATACAAGACGACTTGTGTGCTCAAATACAACATCACAAGTTGAAGCTTCGTTTTCGATATGGGGAGGGGGGATGTTTCCTAGCGATAGGTGGAGGCCGCAAAAACCTCACTGAACGCTGAAACGGAACGGCAGAAGCTGCATGCATTCGTGCGCTTTTTGGAGAAGATAAAAACCTACAAAAAGTACGCGCATGCGAATCAGGTATAATATTGCGTATGCTACATAGAATTAGAATGAAGCTTTTCATCTTCTGCAAGATGAAATGAAAATGATGTACTCTTGTTACCTTATCGTTCGTCCGTTGCTGCAGTCTTACTTCCGCAGTCGTTGTCGTTGTGGCATCGCGGCTTTTGCGCATGACACATCAAACCTACACCATTAGGTCTGGCTCAAATCCTGGGAGGAGTCAAACGATGAAGAGCTGAACGAGATTGGTGACGTGAACAGCCGAATGGTGCTTCCCTCCGATGCCTGGCTCCGGCTGCAATTTGTCTTCCCCACCATCATTAACATTGCGAAAATCCTCTCCGCGCACGAGAAGGTGCACAAGACCGCGCACCTGGGCTGCACCCCTATGCATAGCAAAAGTATCGTACTTGTACTACATGCAGTACAGTACGACACATCTGGTGGTCTCGTGGCTATTTCAGCAATACAAATCATATTTTTCCTTGTGGTTCTCGTTCTTGTGGAAAAAAATTTTATTGTATTGCTATTTCATTCATCTACCACTACTAGTACGATGCTTTTGCAATGCATAACCGCGGTCGGGGGGCAAATCGTGAACGCGATCGATCACTTGGCGGATTGGTGCTACTCTGTGCTGTCGATGAGGCGAGTGAAGCGGTTTCTGGCGGAATATGAGGAGATGGCCGCGGCGGCATTAGAGGACAACGCGAAGCAGCAGGCTCTGTTGGACGGTAAGATGCAGGTGGAGGAGGATAGTGATTCGACAGAAAAGAAAAACGCAAAATCTGACGGAACGCTGCTGAAAGCCGCGTCGCCAGCTACCGTCGCAAAGGTCGAGAAGTCGTATAAGGGGATTTCGACGAAAAATGATTTAGGAGGAGGGATTGCAGATGATGATCCGTCTACAGGTTTCAAGCCGGACCCGAGAATAGCAGGGGTGAAAACTACCACACAGACACAAGGAATATACAACTACAGAGAACAGCCACCGCCACCGCCAGGTGCACCAAATAACACTCCAAGTAACCCAGCGACCCCCTCCGCTGCATCATCTTCCCGCAGTAATAAAGCGACTTCAAAAAGCCCGGCGAAAAAAACGAAAGCGAAATCAGGGACGTCTCTCTCCCCCGAAAAACAACAGATGCAGCGTGGGAGTATCCAGGCGAGACAGCATAACAGCTTCCACTCGCTTCCGGACGACGCAGATGGGGATCAGGATGACAATGACGCAGAGGAGGATGATATGAGAGTGCACAATGGTCCATCCCCGCCTCCTCACTTGAAGCGGGGGGGGCATGAGCAGCAACACAAACAACGGCAGAAATGTAGTGACTTTCCCATGACAAAACTGCAACACCAGGGTCTGTTGTACTGCTATTCGAGGTTGTTCTACTAAAGTTTACCATGCAGAGAGAGTCTATATAGTGGCGGCAGAAGCTTATTTTTTGGAAAATTTAAAAAAACATTGGGTGTCATAGATACTGGCTGCGGAGAGCACCACCACCGCCACGTGTGTCGAGCGTGCTCGGCTGCGGCGCCTGTGCAGCCGCGGTTGGAATTGATCGGAGAAAAAGAAGGTCGGGCGCCTGGTTGACATAAATGATAGGGCTGGGGGGCTGAACCTTACGAAGTGCACTGCACTCGCGGGCCCTGGCTCTAGCTCGATGCCCCGCCGAGGCCTGCGCCGATAGTAGTGGGGCCGCCGGCAAGCGGGCCCTGGTGGCATGCTTGCCAGTGGCTTCGCGTGTGTGTTTTGGCAGCGCGCCGGGCAGCAGGATGGGCCGGGGAGATGTGGCGAGGAGAAGCATTTCCGTGCCAGGCTTGTGAAAAGGCCTCGCTTAATGGCCGCGGGAAAATAACAACGCGCCCCGGGCTGCTAGGAGGGTGCGCTTTTTGCCTCCCGCAGCCCTTTCTGAAGCGTCGCCCGGCGGCTCTTGCTGCTTTTCTACCAGCTCTGGTGGCTGGCCCTTGGAGGGGCGATCGCTGGCGCGCCGGGGTTTCAGAGGGGCCGCGAAAGGGTCACCGCACCGGCTGGAGAACATGAAAAAAGCCCCGGAAACGTGCGGCGGCCAAAAACCGCGCCCGTTTTGAAACCTGGGAGCAAGAGCGCCTGCCGCCGGAGTACCACAACCAAACTCCGGGCTGGAGGGGCGGAAACTCTTGGTCGCTGCGGCTGTGTCACTCCCGCCCCGGCCCCTGGAGGGGGCGTGGCAAGCGATTGGCCCGACCGAATGTCCGCCGCCCAGCGCACCCCCAAAGCGCGGGGCCTTTGCCTCTTTTGGAGGGGCATGAAACGGCACAAAGCGGACTGCCCCTCCTGCGTGCGTTATGCCCCGCAAGGGCAGTGGGGGTTCGCAGAGTAAGCCAGGCCAGAAGGGCTTCATTGATCGCCAAAAGCGCCGCCAGCCCCGTCCCTTTCCTTTTTGCCGCGCCATACTCGGATCGGGACAAAGCACGTGGCCGAACACTACCCGCCCGACCAGTCCTACCGACTACGCCCAGTCGGGCACCTTCAACGAGGGCCAAGGACAGGGCGACGCAGATGCGCACCCACGGCCAAGGAAGGGAGCGCGCGACCGCAAAGAAACGGCCGCCCACCCCTTCTGCGTGTTATCTCCGAGGCGCGTCCCTAGCCCGCCCGCCCGCGGAAACCCGGGGAAGCGGCAGGGCCCCGGTCGCACCAAACGGGCGAAAACCCCTCCCCCACCCGAGCATGCGCCGGCGGCGAGAGGAGGGGGAGCAACCTGAGCAGAACTTGTTGGGCCCCCTCTTCCGACAGCCCGGAAGCTGGCCGCCTTAAATGGGCAAGGGTTTCGTGGAACGGCGCGCGCCGAGCACCCCGAACCCGGTTGGCACGCTTGTCGCCTCGACGGAGCTTCGGTTGGGAGGCTCCCCAACGGAAATGTGAGCCGGGCAACCGGAAACACCTGCCGGGGTAGGCTAAAGAGGCACCCCCCCAAAGTGGGCCCGTAGCATGCGGGGTCGCTCTTGCTTAGGGCCACTTTTGGAGACCCTATCCGGGCACCCCCGTCCGCGGGGCCCGGGGGGGCCCCGAAGTGGAAAACCAGTTGCGGCAAGGGCGGTCACGCAGCACGCGCCCCACATGCGCCCCGGAGCGGCCGCGGGGCTGCGCAGCTGCCCGGGAGCTTGGCTCCGATTGCCCCGGCAAGCAAGAGCGCCGGCGGTCCTGGCGCCCCAAGCGCGTTGGCTTCTGGTTTTGGCGCCATGCGCCCCTCGGTCTGGCCGAAGGAAAACAGCGACAACAAGCACGGCCCACAGCATGCCGGTAGTGTTTTCCCCTGGAAATTGGTCCGCGTCCGCCCTGCATTGCCAGCCGGCCGGCTTCGCAATGTTGGCAGGGCGGCGCGCCGAAAGAGTAAGGCGGCCGTGGCGGTCCTGGTGTTTTTGGCATCCTCTAAAAGGGCCCCGGGCGCCGCGCACCTCTGCGCCCTACCTACTGCGCAAGCGCTGTGGATTTCGGCTCGGGCCAGGAAAGCAGTGGGGCGGCGGAGCCAGGCCTAATCCTTTCCGCCGTATATTTTTCAGGAAATCGGCCCAAGGCACGGCGGTCGGCCGAGGGGGCTTTTCAGGTTGTAGCCCGCCCGGGCTGGGGCCACTAGAGCACGGCGCGCCGCGGTCGGGCCCCCCTTACGCGGGCCGTCTGATCAGTTCCCCACCTGCAAAAAGGGGGGCCCGGGTGCCCCGCTGTGTTGCCCAGCGCGGCGGCGCTTGTACTCTGGCCTCCAAACGTGCTGGCAGTGTCGGCGGGCGGTTGTTTTCCGCGAAATTGGTATCCGAAATGCCGCCGGGTAATTCTTGCAAGGAATCCCGCGACTTGGCGGAAGCGCGCTAGGGGGCGGCTTGGGAGGTGTAACCAAACCGCAGGCGCCTTGGCTGGGATGGAGCCACGTCTCCGCCCGCTTTGCAGGAATGGGGCTGCTCGAAAAGAGCGAGTGTCGCGCGGTTGGTGAATTGTGGTCTGCCGAGCAGGGGTCGTGGGCGGCGGCCGAGGGGTGTTGCGGCTCCTCGCCGGGCAATCAGGGATGGGCATTGCGGCCGATGATGCCGCCTGACCGGGGCGCAGGAGCATGGCCCCGGGGCATCTGGTGCGGCGCAAGGCGCTCGCCCATTCCACATCACGCCGTGCCTTTGGGTTGGCCAGATTCGGCCGCGCCTGCCGGGCCTCCGCCTGCCCCGACCAAATTCGGAGCGGCGCAGACCTGGCGGGATTGGCCCGTCTAGGGGTCAACGACGGGCCCGGCTCCCTGCCCACGATGCCCGCTCTAGCGTGCGCGGACGTTAAAGTTGACGTGACCTTTCGCGCCTTCTGCTAGGGGTTCTGCGGTGGTGTGATGTGTTTGACTTTGCGGCAGCACGGCAGAGCAAACTGGGTAAGCGTTGCGCTGGCGTGGGTCTTACGCCGTCCTGAGTCCAGAAGCGTGATGATTCGGCTGGGCTGCGGGGCCCACGATAAAGCCACCCAATATTTTTTTTAATTTTCGCAAAAATAAGCTTCTGCCGCCGCTATAGTCTAAAGCTACTTACGACTTGGAGTTGGATTTGTTTTGTTGCATCACAAAGGGCAGGGGAAGTTGTGCACTCCTGTCATAGATGATTACTTTCCACCGGAGGGCGCCGAGGACGAGTTTAGTGATGGGAGCGATTGTTTCCATGACGCGGAGTCCGATAACGACATCGATCCAGAGATATCCATGCACAGCGACACCAGGTAGTACTTAAAGTTTTTCTTGTATGCAGCATCAAATCGTTGTACTGATGGCATGTGTTTGTTTTTGTGCAGAATGAGACCTCGGTCGCAGATGATTCTAGTAGCTTCGCACGACATAAATTTGTAAGCTCGCCGCGAGCCTACACTGTTGCCAAAAACTTTCAGATCAGAAGTTCCCTCGGTTCACCAGCCCTTTCGCAACAGCTGGCACGCGTTGTCAAATGGCCAAAACCCCTCGCACCACTCCGACTGCTTCCCCTATGTGGAGCCCGACAATCCAGAAAAGAAAAAGAACTGCTGGAGCCGGTCCGTCACGGCGTGGCAGGTCCGCGGGAAAAACTATCTGAAAGACAAGAAAAAAATCGCCTCGCCCCCGCCCTTCGCGGTAGGCCTCGCGGCCGACATCTGTGACTGCCCCACGGCATTAGCGGTGTACGCTAGGCATCCAGAGGGATTTGTTCAGGTATAGATTGATGAAACGACTTTTTCAGAACAAGAATTATGATGGATTTATTCGTAAAAATTTTGCGATCTGGATGAAGATATTGATATGATATGGACCATGAGTAGAACATCTTCACATTGTTCTTCGTGGTACGCCGCGAAATCGGAAAGAATAATCCCAAAATCAACAGCGTTGTCGAAAGGGCGGAGAGGGTCGGTTTCTGTTCGTGCTGAACTTTCGCTTTACCCCGAAGCATATCCTTTGCAAAAGTATCGTACTCGTACAAATGCCCGTCTTGCATGACAGATCTACTTGCATACCTGCATCTGCATGACAAGTTGCGCTTTTTCTTCTGCAGAAATTTGTCATACTCCTTCTACTAGTGCGATAGTTTTGTAATGCATAAAGCACATGGTCCTTGTGTGGGCCCTGGACCACAAGGAGTACCAAGACCCGATGTTCCAGAACTTTCTCTCCCTGCCGCCGGAAGAGAAAAGCAAATATTCTGAGTAAAAACGTCCCCACCCCAGAGTTGTCATGCAAATGTGCATGCCAAAAGCATCTCATGCGGAGCCCCGTGAGAAGCTCTTTCTAGGCGAGTTTTGGAGTTTGTGATGCTACAATCAGCATGATATGCTAGATTTATGATGCCCTGCTGAAATAGCCAAACAGGATTACACTTTGAGGGCAGACTTGTGATGCGAAACAAACAAAACTGGTTGATCTGTCTAGCAGGTTTGCCATCTTGATACCTTTCTGGGGACGTTTTTCCTCGCAATAGCAAACGCTTCAAATTCATCCCGTGCCTCGTCGAAGGCCCGTGGCTGGTCCGCCAGGCGGTGGGGACTAAACCGGCACTGCTGGGCAACAAAATTAAGTCCGATTGGTACCAGGGGGACGACTTTATAGAAATGTCCGTCGACATCTTCTCCTCCTCGTACGCCTCGCAAAAGTATCGCACTTCTAGTGCAAAACTGCATCACAATTTTTTTCAAGAACAAGGATGCAAGTTGTCATGCTATGTCAGGTGCTTAGAAAGAAAAATTAAGTTAGGGTTGTCATGCATGACTGGAATTATTTTTACCTGTGCGATACTTCTTTTGCAGAGGATACCTCGGCAGCCAGGGCGATTTTGGGGGTGACCAGCGGTGCGGCGCGGAAACTGATTCTGGAATTCGGTTTGTTGCTGGAAGGGCAGTCTGTGGACGAACTACCGGAGAGGATGATGACCGGATTTCGCATCATTTTCCCGGACCTAGACAAGGCGAGACTGATGTCTCCGGAGGAGGGCATGCCGCTGCTCAAAGGAGGCGGGGCGGCGCAAGGATAGCCGAGAAGCCTACCTACGCAATCAGACAGACATCACGACGACGTCGTGTTGTGCATTCGCCACAAGTGCTGGTTTGTTTCTGTGAAATCGAGTTCGCCGGTGCAGTTTTCTTCGGTCTTGAAGAGCACTGAACATGTACTATACACCTTTCTCGATATTGAGCAGGACCACTGCTTTAGAGATGAATACAGAAATCATATGATAGCGATGTTGAAATAATAATTCTATATTGATCTCTCAAGAACTCGAACTCGATGCTCAATACAATATAAGCTTAGGCTCACCTCAAGAAACTCTTTCGCAAAAAGTTGACGAGCAATGACTAGAGCTGGAGCTCACGTAATTATTTGAGGCTTTTATTTCAGCAAGAGCTTGTTGCTGGTGTTGTCATAATATTCCACTGCATCTAGCAGTTTCGACATCATATCGCCGACTCACGACTCTTGGATCTGGAACTTTCGCGGTCCCAAATCTTCGCTGCACCTCTATACGCGTTCTGTGGTGGCAACTGGCTGCATCAACTTTATTTCACACTACAGGGCCATGTAAGTCAAGTTTCTGAGCGACGTGATTTTTCGTGTGGCGGTCACTTTCGTATTTCTGTGATCTACAACTCGGCGTCGGTCTATAAAACCATGTTGATATAATTACACGTCGGCATAATTCGTGTTTTCTCCTTATACGGTATGAATTGTGTCTACTTCGATGTTTTTACGAGACTAACTCCATACACATGACATTCTTTCAAACAAGTCATGATGTTGCATGCTACGAAAAATGCGCACACGACGGGTAAATTAATAGCCTTTTAGGGCGGAGGATGGTGAGGACTTGGCTGCAGCCCCCCCCCTCTCGAAGAGGCTACACCGTCGACGCTTTCGTGATTGATGGCAAAAGGCTACAACACGAGCCGTTCGCACACGCCAAGCGCTGCAGCAGGGGTACTTGATTTATAATTCGCCCAGCGTTCTCCTTCCGCTGCGAAGGTGTGCTGGGAGCGCTGGTGGAGGTGTGCAGATTATACGTAAAATCTGCCCGAAGCGCTAAACAAGTTGTCAAGATGACGTCGAACAAGCGCACTCGCAGCCAGGCCACTAGCCACCACGGCGGTTCATCTGGTAGGAACAACAACAATACGTTTTTCCTTCACGACAACCATAGTGGTCCACCAGTTCCGCACCCGGACAACTACAGCCACAATCTCCAGCCATACAAAAAACGAAAGAAGGAGGAATTGAAGGAGATTTTCCGAAGACCTCAATTCGACCCGGAATGGCGACAAAGTTTGGAAAACTTGTTTCAAAATGTATTGGAAGCAAAAAACAACAATGACAATAAACTAACAGTACAACAAGACACAACATCCGCGAACAAAACTTCCAAATCAAAACGAAGGAACAGCAAGGACACAGCAGGGATGATGAACAACGACAATTTTCTTTCCAAGCACGAGAAGGAGCAGAAGTTACTGGATCATTTTAACCAGAAAAACTTTAAGCAGGCGGATGAAACTGCGCTGGAAGCTGCGATCGCGTTTTTGGACATCATGGAGATGCAGAGGAGTGACTTGTTGCAAGAGTTGTTTGAAAACTTGTCCACGAGTTTTCACGAAAAAATGGAGAAGCTGATAGCGGAAGACGACAAATTTCTGAAAAAGCAGTTCTTCCCCGACACCGAACTGAATTTGAGCGCAGCGGCAATAGCGCTGAACAGCAGAAGGACAGGAGAGTTGTCCTCGTTGACTACATCAAGTAGTTCTTCTACACAAGCGGTTCTTGTTTCATCTGAAGGTGGCGAACGGCTGCAGATGATCACGTCGCAACTTCATAGTGCTGAAGGAGGAGTGGGTGATTCCGCTGAAAATCCGGATCTGCAACAAGCCGGTACGAAAACTCCCAGTGCTGGCGGATCGTCGTCCTCGTTTAGGACGACGACCTCGAATCTGAAACCAGCCACAGCGGAGCAGCAGGCTGCCGCGCGAAACCTGCAAGCGGCGATCAAGTTTCACCGACAGAAGAAGTTTTTCGGTTCCGACGTGATAGGTGCGCAGGTGTTGCTGGAAGATTTCGAGGAGCGGAAGAGGCAAGAGAAGCAGAAGAAGCAGGAAATGCGACCACCAGTTTTGAAACCGAGGGACATCTACAAAAACAATCGAGCAGGAGCGGTTTTCCCTACAGGACCACCACCTGCACCGACTTCTACAAGCGCTTTTGACAATACCTTCAACCTGGCAGAAGTGCATGAACCCGCAGGAAGAACAACAAGAAGTTCTGCCAGTGTAGCTGCCAGCTCTGATAGCCTTTTCAATGCGGTGTCCGGCCTACTGCAGGAAGAAGAAGAGCAAGAGTTACAAAATGCCGCCAATATTAATGGTGCGACAACAATCGCGACGACTGACCCCGACCTGCTTCTCTGGCGGACGCAGTCCGCCGCCCAGAAACGGATTCGCTGGGACGAAATTTTGTGCGATTTGGTCCGTTACATCTCCGTCCCGGAGCTGCAACCGCTGCTGAAACTAGTTTTCCCGAAATTTATCCGGGATAGGGGGCGGACCTTTCCGACCATCCCGCAGCTTGTTCATCCGGGCGGGGGCCCATCTTCGGGTGGTGGTGGCAATGAGGAAGCTATGCACCTAGCTGCAGCCGCGGAGGATTATTTTCCTCCGTGTTTGATTGTCGACGAAGAGCAGTTACCAGTGCAGTTTCTCTACGTCTTGTCGTTGATTCCGAAGCCACTATTGGAAACACTCTGTGCAGGAGGTGCAGATGATAAGTCGGACGAGGGTCGTTGTGTCGACTCACTCGATCTCGTCGATGAAGACAATATCGTATCTTCTACCGATCATCTTCATGACCAGGACCAGATATTACTAGCAGGGCCACCACTTTTATTGCCTCCTGTTACTCATCATTCCGAAGCACTTGCACGACTTTTTCCGTCTCCTCCTGTCCTTCCCCTTCCGCTGAAACGGGTCATCTGGATATTGAACATCCGGCTGAAGCTCGTGTCCGATGTTTTCTCCATTTTGTCGGAGGTGATGCAGAAGGAAAGCTATTCGGACATCTTCCGCTTTCTCGACCACGATCAGGATGGTATTTTAACCAGGACGGACATTCAAAACGCTCTGGGAAACGCGAAGACCAAGGACAACAAGCCGCTGTTTCGGGGGCAGATGAAGAAACACGAGCTGAAGGAAATCGAGGACATTTTCGTTTCCGGGAACTGCTCGGTAGTGAAAAGTTTCGGAAGGGAAAGCTTCTTCGCGGATATAGTTGCTGCGGATCATCATCACGGTGGTCCTCGTGGGGCCCCCGGACGAGCAGCGGTGGATGAACGCGAGCTGCAGTCAGCTCGTGGTCTTGCTTTTGGAGGTCAGCACGACCATATTGATTTTCCCACTTCTGCCGGTCCCGACCAGGCGGACTTCAAATACCTCTTTCTCCAGGTGAACGCCTGGCAGGAGTACTGCTTTCACACGAACCAGCAGCTGTTTTTTATCAACTGCATCGAATGTGTCTGGGTCATCTGAAGTAGAGTGCGCTATATTTCTCATGCACGTTTTGCATAACCTTAACCCATGACGTCTGTGATGCATGTTCTAGCAGCGCAGGTTTTTTGAGGGCTGTTCGATGCCTATGCTGCAAGAGAAATGCCCTTTTCGCGCAGCAAAAACTGGACTCCTTTTGCTGCTCATGCAATACAGATCATGCTTTTCGAGTTCAAAGGGAGCGTGACCAGTTGCAGTCGCTCTCCTCCAGACCCAGACGTATTTGCATTGCATATTTCTGGACGACATACAGTCTCTCGTTCGACGCTACGTCCGCGAGAAGCGACAGCGTCACTGCGGCCTGGCGCTGGCCTGGATCAAGACGAAAGACCGAGCGGACTTGCGGAAACAGGACAAGACCTTGCAGAAGATCTTGGAGCTCATCGGCGATAGCAGATTGCTATACGTATGACAATGCGCAACTCGACGTCCCCCTCCCCCTTATTTGTCATGCAAAATATCAAATCAGCCCTACCTTTTTCCTCGCCCAACCCCCGGGGAGGGAATCCTTGGCCTGTGGCGCTGGGTGCGGGTGTCCACTACATGATGACGATGAAGCACTGCTTGCGTGGCAGGTTTCGGATGCGCAAACAGAACTAGAATCGGTCGCAAATTAGTCATACAAAAGCTGCATTTATGCCACCGCGTGTGTTGCTCTTGCTGCTTTTGCCCTTCAAATGAGGTGGAGGGGGCGGGGTTCTTGTGCACTCTCATAATGCGCGACTCTAGTGCAGTACTTGACGAGCGTGCGGACCTTGGAGGAGGAGAACGACGCAACAGGTGCAGGTGCTGCTGACCAAGCTGCAACTGGTCCACTTCTCGATGATGACCAAGAAGGTCGTGTAGGTAGTACCGGAGCTGCTGGTGCCCCTACTGCCAGCCACGCAACAAGAAAGAAGAATGGAGTTCAAGTTCTTGGAGAAGCCATGTATAATAATTCTTCGAGAAGTTCTGGTGCTTCACCACGACACGTCGGCCGCGATTCATCTTCACAAAATCAACTTGAAGATCCCGAAATGTCAGAACCGGGCTTCACCCGCTGGCGACCAAAAACGAGTACGGACTTCGAGCCGTATTTGTCTATGTTGAGGAATGACCTATTGATGAGTTTCGTCGACCGCAAAGTGCTCGAGCCGAGCTTAGAGGGCCGGTGGGTCGTGGAGTTGCTTCCAGCCCGGGAACTAGCGCCGCAGGTGGATTACTACTGGCGGCAGGCAGTGCACACGTCGGCTGCGGGTGCGGGTACAACAACTGGCATAGCTTCAGGCACAACGATATGGGACTGTCAACTGTTACATTTTCGACTCCTGTTACATGAGCTTGTAATTGCACAAGTATGAGCACACTTCTCCTGTATTCGCAATTGTGTGTTTCAACTTTTTATATCTTTTCTTCTCAAAGTCAAAAGTAGTCAAAGGGGGAAGTTGTACCCCTAGCATTACAAGATTCTTGTAACAAGAAACTCCGCACAGATTTACTACGTGCTGTTTAGCCCCCCACCTTCGCAAGTTTGTCATGCGAAGCAGCTTGATCGTGTGGATCGATGACGATGTTGGTAGTTTTGCATGGTAAACCCATGTAACAGCTGAGAGCGTTGTAACGTTTGGGAATCCCATAGACGACAACTCCAGGCGGAACTCTGTCGAAGACGAGCCACCCAATGACACCCTCCTCCAGTGGCGGCCTCGACCGGATTCTGTCCTTTGCCATGGTCTTGACCCGCGACGGGCGAGCGCAGGTTTCTCTGAAGCAACGCGATTTGTTGTTGCTCCTAGGTATCAACATGCAGGACAATTCAACTGCATCGCAAGCGTTGCACTACGAGGACATGCTAGCTGCTGCGGCGGAGAGTAACGAGGAAAGGACGAGGGGCGGGAAAAATTTTGCTGACATCCAGCAAAATATTAACAGCAATTGCTACCATCTCACGTCCACAAATTCTCAGTACAAGCATTTTCAGCCGATCAGCAAGAAGAAACTGCTGCAGGAGTTGGTTCCGTCTTCGAGCCTGAAGGTCCGGTGCCGAAACCCAAATTTGACGACCAACGCTCAGTGGAAGTATTACGTGCTGGACACGGCCGAGAAAATCCGAGAAGTACAAAACAAATTTTCGCAAATCGAGTATCGCCCCGTGATTTACGACTTTTTCCTCGAGCTGGATTACGCAAAGACCTTGCACACTTCGTTGAGTACTACAACTACGGTGAAAAATGGTAAAATTACAACTAGTACACCAATAAATAACATGATGCTGAACAAAGTCTGTCGCAACCTTCACCTCCGCTTTGAGATGCATGAAGACATGAAGCTGATGTACGGCACTTGGCGAATCGCGGAGAGGGACGAAAATCCGCTGCAATTATCAGCCGAGATAAGAGCAACTGCAGCTCAGCAAACTGGCACAGGAACTACAACTACAGCGGGACCGGGCGTGGTCTCTCTTTCCCAACAGCAGCAGGTGGATGTGAAAGAGTTAAAATGGAACAGTTTGTGCTTTGCAAAACGAAAGTTGTTCTCAAACTTTGTGAATGCGAAGACGAACGAAATCTGGGACGAGCAGGCGTGTCTGATTGAAACGTTGGACCGGCGGGTCATCCCCCAGTGCGGACTCTTCGGCATCAACTCGGACACCGATGTCGAGTTGAGCCAACTTTTAGTGAAGCAGTTGAACAGCGGCAGCTACTCGGGTGGAGGAGGTGTTGCGAATGCAAATAGTAGCTCTAATGTAACAACTGCTGGCGCATCATTAAGTGGCTACGAGTCGAAACTACTTCAAACCGCGTTTGTGCTTGCCGATCCAAATTTACACGTGAGTCTCGCGCGGGGCTTGTGCAGCGTGAGGCAATGGAGCATGCTGAATTCTGGCGCTGCTGGTTCGACAACTACCGGCACTTCTTCTACTGCGTCGCAACATCAAGAACTCTTGACCAACAAGAAAAACAATAAATCGCAAGAGCCTGTTGCTGGACTTTCTGTGCTTATCAAATCTCTCGCTGGGGTCGAGGAGCAAAACCAAAAGCCGCGCGGCGGCGAAGACCCGGGGGGTGGACCAAAAGGTGACCAAAAGAGCATCTTCGACCGTAGCAAGACCCCACCACTCGGAAGCAATGTGGGGCTCATGCAAGGCAGAAATGCAGGCAGTGGTCGAACAGAGAAAACGCCACGGCTGCTAAACTCAGAAGATTTAATGTTCGCTTCCAAAAAAGCAGCGGGAGCAAACAAATCGCCCACCAAAATTGCGGCTAAGCAGCATCATGACAAAGAAACCGATCAGAAAGAGAAAGACGACGGCAACAGCCTCCCTGTACCAAAAAACAGTTGCGAGGCCGCGGAATTCCTTTCACTGGCTTTGCTGTGGCTCGCAGCGCACGTCACTCAGCTGTACGAAATCAGAGCGGCAAGAACGATGACGACGACGAGTACAACTACTAATCGCAGTGAAATTGGTGGTAGTAGAGCACAAGATTCATCTCGCAAGCCCAACAATTCCTCGACCAAGAAGGTTCCGCCTTTCGAGCATTTCTTCGAAACCATACTGTTAGTCCCGTCACAGCCGCCGTCCGTAGCAGGCCCCGCTAGAGGAACGGTAGGTGGAGGTCCATCCTCTTCAGCGCGAACAAACAGCACACGGGCCGGTGGCTCTGGATTTCTTCCTCCAAATCCTCGACCATCTTCGCAACAGTCCTCTGCTGGAGGTTCAGAACCGCAGCTGCAGCCAGTGTCTGTTGCGTTGCTGCGATTGCCACGGCACGTGTTCAACCACTCCTGGGAAACGCCACAGAAACTCTTTCAATCCGGCGGCACGAACGCGGAAGCCGAACTGGAAAGCGCTTTTTATAACGAGGAAGACGACCTCCAGCACCTCGTGAACAAGCAAGGATCTTCAAACCACGGAACAAAAATTAAGGACAACAATTCTACTTCTTGTCCTTCCCATTCCGCCAAGCAAACCTTCGCCACCCTGTGTCTCCTCGCATTCACGCTTCGCCACTTATGCACTGCAAAAGTATCGCTATCGTACTCGTAGTCATGATTCCACGACCCTCGTCGCATGACCAATCTACTTTAGTGACTGAATCAACATTACAGATTCCATTTTTGTTTCTGAAAAAAATCGTAAATGCAATTCCTACTAGTACTATTCTATGCTTTTGCAATGCATACCACTGCTGGGGCGCCGATCACCTTTCGTTGCAGCCGACGTTACTGGAACTGAAGCCGGTGATTGAAACTGGGTTGGAGATGAGGAAAATGGCGCCAGAAAATTCTTGCGAAAGCAATGGGGTGGTGAGAAACTTGGACAAAGAGGACTACGAGAATCTGATATTAAACGATGTTGAGCAGCATCATGCGGTTGCGGGGCTTGATCATCACAACGGACGAGGGGACGACACCAGCAAAAACAGTACATCAAGTACAAGACCGTCAAAAATCTCCTGGGCAGTCCAGTTGTGGCTGCAGACCGTTCTGAATGTCTGCGGCTCCGAAGACCGAGCGACGAGGTTCAACGCGGACATGCGAACAACGGTTCTAAATTTTCTCTGCGATACCGTGGTGCGCAAATCGGTGTTCGGGTGCTTCATCACGCTGTCGCTGTTGGCGAAGATGTTTTTTAAACTGTCCAGCAAAACGAACTGGGCGAAGAAGAAAGACGCGGACTACCTGAAGATCCTCGCGAAGACGGGGAGGATACAGGATGAACGCAATGCGGATGGTTTTTTTCACTTTCAAAAATGGTTCGAATCTATTGTCGACGCGTACGACAGTCTGAATTTGCAAAACGTGAGCAGCAACGCAGATTTAAGAGAGGGGGATGACCATTTCATGCACGAAGAGTGGTACTCCTGCGAGTTCCACGAACGGGCACCTCATTGAAATTGATGTTAAACGAGATCCGGCTGGCGCTGGTGGGGCTTCATCTCCGATTTCCAACCGTCCCCAACTGCAACGTCGTACTACTATACATGCAGATATAAGTTGTAGTAGTAGATTGCAATGAATCAGAATCGCATTAGGACTACGACAAGCACATGCGAGAAGAGCTGCCATGACCTCCGCATTGTGAAATGTTTTTCGCTCTTTTACTTTCAAGAAACGCATAAACGTTTCCATCCCCGTTGTTCCTCCAGAAAGTGCAGCTGCAGCTCGTAGAAGAGTATGTATGTCGCTCTTGCTAATGATGATAGCGTGCGTAGTATCACTCGTTCACAGTTGAATTATGCGTGGCGACCACGAGGAGCTCGAGCTAAAAAGAGAGAGAACTTCAGAGAGGGAGAGAGAGCGAAAGCGATTTCCGCTCAAATCTGTGCGGAACAATCTAAAGGAGGTGTTTATCGCGCTCGTTGACCCCTTCTCGTTCGCGGTAAAGGGTCGTGATCTGGTGCTTGTTGTCGATGTCACAAGTTTATATGCTTCGTATAATTTGTTCTGTGGAGACGAAGAGCAGCCGGCTCAGGCTGCGAGTCTATGAGCAGTGATTTTGACGTATCAAGAATATGTAGATACGACAACTGTAGTTGATGCCTCATCAAATTCAATTATCGTTGTCAGTAAGTAGAACTCGCTGCCGTTCAGTATCGATCGCGTCCGTTTCATCTTCTTGTTTCATCAACACACAGAAGAGCTGATAAAAACTATTTTTATGCTGGCGAGGACTCTAGCGTCATGAGTGGCCCTATTTATACTAGTTGGTAGTTCATCCCGGCGCAGCTCATACTATTTTATCAATGCGGTCGGAGGACAACGCCTACACAAATTGCAATTAGTTCCCCGTAAGATTGTAACGTTGGGTCTGACTTAGCTGAGCTCCTGTGCATCACTAATGATAGTAGGTACTATGTACAAAAAATGTTGGAAGATGAACAGCGTGTAATCTTGAAGAGAACTAGAAGAGTGAAGACTGGCAGTCTTTTCCTGTGCTTTTCAAAGGCGCAGGACTAGGCAGAAGTCCATGTTTTAGCAGCGTTGTAGTTCTTGTATCCGCCGATGCCGAAGATGCAGTTCCTTTCAATTTGCCACGTCGCGGAATCTGTCTGAAGGTCGCCAAATTGGGAGATGAAGTGGCATGATTCGCTTTACTTATCTTCCTTCACACTAGAGTTTGATAAACATTTTGCTTTTAGGCAACAACATAACTACAGAAAAAAGTATCCATTGATGCAATTAGCAGGAGTTCTCCTCCGGAGTGGGATAGTCTAGCGTAGCCGTCGAACAAGAAGCAGAAAAACAGTTGTAAAGGAAAAGCCAATTATTTTAGGTCGTTTGTAGTGCGGGCAAGAACTCGCTCAGCGCCGCAAAGAGCTGGTGAAATCATGAGACTACGACACAAAATAAATGCTCAAGTTGACATCAAAATTTCTATGATGCATAGGACCACAAGGAAGTACTACCAGAGAAAAGAAAGCAAAGTGGCAAACAGCTCGACTGAATCGAAGTTGTCCGAGATGAAGTTGTTCGTAGAAAAGAAGTAAACCAAAAACTATGCCGTCCGCGTCGAGCAGTAGCAGCTCCGCGGGGGGAGCTGCGGGGAGCAAAAACGGCAAAAGGGAAAATAAGGGTCCTGGGGCAGCAGGTGCTCCTGGTGCCTCTTCCAGCTCGGCCTCGGCGTCCTCATCAACGGCGAATAACAATAAAAATGCAGCACCAGCAGCGGCAGCCCCTCCCGCGAGCAAGAAGGCCATGCTTCCCCCATCGTTCAAGCCGGTCAAAACGGAGAAGAAGGAGGAGGTGCTTGCGGTCACGAATAAACGTGGGCGGATAATTATGGAAGAAAAAAAACTGTGCAAGTCGAAGTGTAATAATCTGTAAAAATGTAAAGCAGGCAGCACAGTTATTCTATACACTTGTCATGCTTGTGGCCATTCGTCGTGAGGTCTTAACTTATTGCATTATTAATATTTCTAAGAGCGAGGTAACAAATGACCCGTTAACTCGCACCCGCGAGTTAGCCGTCCGCCCGGCCGGCCGGGCGGTTAACTCGCGGTTAGAAATGTAGACAAATCGAAAGGTAGCACAAATTTGAATCGAAGTGCTCGCCAATCCTAATTTGTCTACACTTCTAACCGCGAGTTAACCGTCCGGCCGGCCGGGCGGACGGCTAACTCGCGGGTGCGAGTTAACGGGTCACTTGTTACCTCGCTCTAAATGTGTTCTTTATATCATGTCTTTTTCCCGTACGTAGTAAGTACCAGCTGTGCATGACATGATGCTTTCTGTGTCAACATTCTGAACAGATTTGCAGCCTCCCATGCTACACTGACACAGATTTTTTCTGGGATAACCATCGAAGTGAACGAGAAGCACGAGGGTGAAACCGTTGTGATGTCTGGGAAGCGAAGCGCTGTCGTGACGCAGGATACTCAGCAGGGCGAGCCGTTGACGAAGGGCACGGGGCTGCTGGGCAACTCTTCGCGGCCCGGGGAAGAAACCGACGCGGACGGGAAAAAGAAGCGAAAGCCGAAGGACGCGCTGAAGGCCCTAAGGATGGCCCACGAAAGAAGAAGGAAGAAGTTTATCCTATCCTAATGTGCATCAAAAGTGTAGATCGTGTTCTTACTTGTAATAGTTCTTCCATACATTTTTATAAAGAAGATGCAGATGATGTGGTCTATGCTGCATCTCTCTGATTTCCCACCTAGTGCCTGATTTGGCACGTACAAAGTCCATATGATCGCACACTGCATGCAATCGTTACTATTCTAGTTGCACAGCAATCAGAACGCTTTTGCAATGCATACATCCCGGACAGTGATGACAGCGACATCGACGATGAGAATTATCGCAGGAAAAAGCGCTTCACTTCAAGATTGTGATGCAGAGGATGGAGCAGAGAAAGGAGTGCTTGTCTTCTTGATGATCTTGCTAGAAACCAACGTAACTAAGACATTGCATTTGTTTGATCGTGGAAGCGCGCATGGCACCAGTTTTTCTCTGTCATGCGGGATAGACTTGCCTGCATGGCATGCACATCATCCTGCAAAGTAGGCAACAACAACATCACGTGAAGTAAAAGCTCTCTTTTCGTTCTATAAGAACGCCCCGGTATTTGACGCCGCGCACTCCGCACTGCTCACCCCGGTCAAGGATGTGGCAAAAACGTGGCAAGTCGACATCCAGAAAGAGCTCAGCGGGTACGATTTTATTTTTCTTTGTGGGAGCTGTGCATGAAAATGTTTGAACATGCTTCGGCTTTTCTCTGTTCGGAACATGCAGTCTTGTACGTAGTGGTCGCATCGAGAAAATAGATAAATTCTTCAAAAGGGACACTTTATTCATTGTTTCTTGATAGCCCTAGCTCTTCGGAAAGCGACAGGCGCTTCTACGTCTGCAGGAGCAGCTGCAGCAGATACATATTTTATATTCAAGATAACTACTACTGCAACTGAAACTGATACTGAAGGTACTTTCACCTACTGCGCAAGCTGAAGTTTGGCGGTAAAGAATTCAACATGAATTTTGCAGAAGCCGCTCTTCTTGTGCAAAACTTAAGCAAACAAAGAAAATAAAAGAAATGAAACGCGGCGCGTCGTCAACGTTGCAACGGCTAGTCGCACTGCTTTTGCTTCATATTTTTTTTTTTTTAATGTAGTACTTGGCGTCATGACCGACAGTCAACTCCGACAGCCTCCATAAGAGCTTGAATGAATGTGGAACGCTTGCACCATGATGAAGTTCTTGCGCAGAAGACGCTTGAACAAGAGAGGGCTGCATGCCAAGCCCTTGCGCCATTGTCACGTTGAGTAGACTCACTCTCTATTGAGTTCTTGTGCGTGCCTCTTCTAGGGTTAGGGTATTTATAGTACCACGAAAAGTATGTTGCTTTACCGACGGCGACGATCTCCGCCCAGCGTCAGACGGCGCGCGGCCGGCGCGTATTTTCTGTATTTTCGTTTCATACAAAACCACCTCCCTGTACCTCAAGAAGATGGACCAGCTGCACGTATCCAATGTAAAAACGTCCCCACCCCATAGTCAAGATGGGAAATCGGCTAGACAAGTGCGCAGGTTTTGGCTGTTTTGCATGACAAATCTGGGCTCGGAGTGCAGTGCTGTTTGACGTAGTTCAGCAGCATCACAGATCTCGTATAACATGCCGACTGGCGCATTACAAATTCCAAAACACGACTAGAGAATGCTTCTCATGGGGCTCCGCATGGCAAACATTTTGAGCATGCAGATTTGCATGACAGCTCTGGGATGGGGACGCTTTTGCACAGGATAGCACGAGAAAGTGATGAAGCAACTGGAACTGCTTTGGTCGAAGGGTGACGCGGAAAAGAAAAAGAAGAAATCGCGGTACCGCAAAGCCTAACCAATGCAAAAGACGTGTCGTAGTCGTACTAACTGAAGAATGAATAGCATGCATGATGAGAAATCGTGTTCCTTTTTTTAGCCAGATCAGTATGACAAATTCTTGGTTGAGAAAATTTGTCATGCAATTTGTATGTACTAGTGCCTGCGATATAAGTTTTGCAATGCATAAGGCCCAAGCGCTGAGCGACAGCTTTCAGTGCGAGTTCCTTTGTGACATCACACCCTTATGAGAGTGCACCTTCCCGCCCCTTCGACCCTAGAGAAATGCTCATGCAAAATACAAAATCTATATTCAGTTTGCGCCATTCATTCTCATCTTTCATGACAAGCGCACGGCTCCAGTTGTCCCACTGCGTCTATTTCTATTCGGCGCATGAACTTGTTACGCACGGTCTCCACGTTGCTTGCTGGTGTTTACTGTATTGCTTTTGCTTGATGTCAAGTCTCAGTCATACAACAAATGAGCGGGCGATGGAGTCAGTTGTGCGCTCTCATATCGTTTCGTAAAAACCACGGTGCGGGTAACATACGCATTTGAAAAAAATGATGATTTTATATCGTACAACTGGCACAAGGGATACGTATACGAATGCGAGGAACTTCATTTTCGAACTGGAAAAACAGAAGTATGCTGGTGCTGACGAGGCAGTTTTTTGATTTTGTTTTAAGTAGTAATTTTTGTATAATTTTCATCATGCAGCAGCACCGCAAGCATAATAAGTACGTAGGTGTAGTACTACTACTATTGCCAATGCCATTGCGATATATTAAAAAAAGACTTTTGGAAGTGATACGAACCTGACGGACGAGGAGCTTGAGGCGCAGGCAATAAAAGAAACGGTTCTGCGGCGAGTCCCACTCTGGCTCATGCCCCGCGAGGAGGGGGATCGAAAGCGAAAGGAGTTTAAGGTTAGTGGGGAATTCGAATTATTACGACACAAGCAGATCGTCATCATTCATCAATTATGTTCTACGATGTGAATTATGGCACCGAAAGCAGGAGATGAGCAGATCGAAATCTTCACTTTTTACATGACGGACCTGGGGGCAGAAGCTGTTGCAGAAGGTCACGTGACAGCATTGGATTAACATCATTTTCATGTGTACTTAAGTACTACTTCACGTTCACTTTACAACTTGAACTCTATCAGATTCAAGGGTGCACCGTGCACCGTGGCGGAACGTACCTTCTTCTGGAGCAGGACTTGAGGCATTGTGACCTGGAGGGTGATGACATGGAGATTGACATTTACCCCCAGAATATCCAACAAAAAAACTGTTTCACTGTGATGATCTTGCAAGATCTGCATCACAAGTTTGTAACACATGACACAGAAAATTTTCCATGCGCGCTTTCCCAGGGAAGACACGGTAGAAGAACCAACATGAACATCTTGCAGGTGTAGCAAGACATCAAATCGTTCTGTGCTCCAACATTCTCTGCCTCACAAGTTCACGACAGCGAAACAGCTTTTTCTTGCGATGCAAAACATGCCGCCGCCACCAGACCACCTGCAAAACGTGCGCGACCAGATGGAACTCGAGCAACAGCTGGATGAGAGGTATGAACTTGACTTAGCTCATCTGAATGAGACAGTTCTGCATATTACTGAAATTGTACTCGTCACATTTGGAAGATTTGCGATTTAGTTTTCAACTGGTGAGGACACATCGTCCCCACCACTGAAAATATTCAAACGAAAATTTTTGTCGTCCTTGTGCAACTACGCGACCACCAAAATTTGTAAATTTGTACGTGGTCCAAAACCAAGACACAAACATTTTCGACACAACCAGCGGTGTGGGTTTCGACGACTTTGATGTGAACGTTTCCGGCACACCTCCGATGCAGGAAAACAAGAGCAAAATCGACCCCCTGTCGGGCGCAAAGACGCCGGGCGGGAAGACGCCTGCGAAAACTCCCGGTGCGCAAACACCCGGCGACAAGCTGAACCAATCCGGTTTCGGTGGGACACAGGGTTTCGACGGCGGCGGCGGAGCCGGACCGAGCCAAGGCGGCGCGGCAGGCGGTGGGATAGGAGGAGGGCTACCCGGTGGCGTAGCGCCGGGCATGGCGGGAGGCGCGGGGCAGGGTATTGTTGAGAATAAAATTGGTTCCTGCTGCCCGACGACCATGCGATAGAGTTTCATGCATTGCTGCGTCGCGCTATTCGTTTGCGGTTTTTTACATCGGTGATTTTGTTTTTCTGATTCTATTACGATACGTAAGTACCAAACTATTTCTGCAGCTACGTAGTTATTTGTTGTACTAGTAGTACCACGTAGTACCTTCTTTTGCGCGACTTGATGTCTTCATCACCAGGTGGGTCTGCTGTGTGCTCTTGTTGTCACGAGGAAGTGGAACCCAGGAGGGGTTTGCAACCTCCAGGGGTTCTGCTTGCCTGTGCAAACCGATCACGCGCAGCACTTCTACGAGAAGTAAGTAGATGAAGCTGCAAGAAGCCTTCTTGGCAAAGTAGAGTAAGCAACCCCTATCGTCCCATATCATGATTTTATCGCAGGTGCATTTCCAAGCCAGTCACAGGGCATGAATATGCAGCCGGGGCAGACGCAGCTGCCGCCATTCTTCGTCCCGCCACGAGAGCGCCCGGAGGACATGAGTACGTCGACGTACTGGCACTTCATGGACCCCTATGCGGGGGTTCCGGGGGGCGAGTCCCACACCCAGTACCTCGACGGCTCGAATTCCCACTGGAAAGACCTGCCAACGGATTACATCCTCTGTCCGGACCCGATGCGGGCGCACATATGCATTGCAAAAATATCGTTATCGCACTCGTCTAAATAATTGCAACTACAGCACGTCTCGTGCATGATTTTTACAGGTTAGTTTTCTTGGCTGAATCTGCACTACAAATTTCATTTTTGTTCTGGTGAAAATTTGTAAGGCCATTGATATTTAGTGCGATGAAAATTTGAATTTTGCACTGCATAGCACTTGAAAATTAACAACCGCCTGGAAGAAGCGGATCGGTGGGAAAACATCTTTGACCTGGACGTCCTGATGAATCGCGAAGACCGACCAGCTATGCAGTGCAAATATGCCGCGGTCCGGATTTGCATTTGTCATGCGGGGTTTGAAGGACAGAGACAACATGAATAAGTGGGGGCACTTTGTAATGCTGAACACGAACAAAAAAAATCACGACAAGCAGATGAGGAAGCCGTGTCATGCTTCTATGCCGTGTAAGAGCACGACTTTTCGGCATACTAAAAGGATTATCACCACAACTTTTTCTTTTCTGCAACATCTTTCCAGACCGAGACATATTTGCATTTGATGACGGACGTATTTCTGGAGGAGGAATCGTTGGAGGCCAACGAGCAGAAACCCCCCGAATACAAGCACGAAGACGACCCGGGGGCCATCGTGATTGATTACGACGTATGCATTGATGCAATAAATAGGTCTTGGTCTCCTCGAAAATTGAAGAACATTCTTTCATACTTGTGATGCGAATCTTGAAGTCGTTTGACAACTGGGAAAAATCTGGCTTCCATGGTCATGCACTACTGGTTGTACTTAAGTACCACAGTAGAGTAGTAGTGGGGGTTTTATTGTCTCGAACGACCACAGAAGGGGACGCTTCTCATGCAAACTAGGTATGGAGCTGCCTCCGCAATAATTTGCCACGGAGGAAATAAAATTACAGACCTTCTTACAAATGCAAAGACTTTTATTGCTGGAGGACCACAACAAGTGTAGTTTTTGCTCTCTTCAACATCCAGTCTGAGACCACTCCATGTTTTCATTTCATACAAAGCCCTGGAGAAGGCCCGCGACGAATGCGACTTGAAAGCCGTCGAGATGCTGAATTTGGCCTATGCCACGAACTCGGTGGACATGCTGTTCCAGCAAAACATGAAGGAGAAAGGCGTGATTCCGAAGAAGCGCAACTATTTGAGTCTCTCCCTCGGCTTCTCCGCCGACTGCGCGGACCTTGAGGACATGTTCGTGGAAGAGCAGAAAAACCGGCGGAAACAGATGAAGGAGGTGCAAAAGGAGATGAACATTGGGCCCAGTTTGAACAAGAAAAGCCGACAAATCGTCAACGGCTTGATGATCGACCGGGGGAACGCTCCAGATGACAACTTTTACAAGCCCCTGAACGAGCAGGACTTCCAAGGCATCGGGACGCTCGAGGAAATGATCAAGATGAACGGGGCTGCGACTGCTCAGCAGGGGTCCTCGACGTTTGGGGGCTTCGGCGGAGACGGAACCGTGGGTGGAGGGTTCGGTCCTGGTGGCGGTGGTACAGCCGGCGGGGGTTTCGGGTTTCCCGGGGACGATTCTTTTCTTGGCGGGGGGGACGGCGGAGTAGACATGATGTTCACCCAGGATGGTGGCATGACCCCCGCCCAGCCGTCGCCGTACGTGGATGACATTGTCGGCGAAGACCCGTTTCTCGACGTGGCGCCCGTCCCGGAGTACCTGGAGCATGAGGACATCGTCGCGCTGGAGGAAATACGCATTGCAAAAGGCTCGCGCAAGTAGTGTATAGCTATAGTGGAATTCGGATAATTCCAGGAGAAACGAAACGTCTAGATGTGATGGAAGATGTGCATCGTTGAGTTTTATTTGCAGCGCAATTTATTGTATCATCATTGTTCAATCACTGCCTGAATCACCATGTGAAAGCGGGCAGATTTAGATTTTGCATTTCATTTGGATTTTTTTTTTGCACCATCGCAATTGAGTTCATTGCTGTTATACGACGAGCGCGACACTTTTTCTCAGGACAGGAAATCGGCCTCACCGAAGAGGAAATGTGGAAGAAGGTGAAAGAAGAAGAGCTGGCGATCGTAAAGGAAGAGTTCAAGGACTTCGCCGGTGGAAAATTTGAGGGGCAGAACGTGGAGCTGTTGCTCAAGATGAAGGCCCGACTTGACGAGTTAAAGGAGGAGCGGCTGGAAAAGGAAAGAAAATACCAGAAGGAGCTCGGGGAGTGGATGCGTATTTACTTTCTGATTCGGCCTATAATCTACTTGCAGTACGACCCTTATAATCATGCTCATAATTCTTAAGTATAAGAAGACTATCCTTGTTCCGCTCTGATTGCCTATTTGTTTTTACGTCGCGTACTACAGTCTTGGAAATCCATCCTCGAAGATGCATTCGCCGTTCTGATTTTTGTGGTCTTGCCACTCTTGCCGAAGATGAGACAGAGAAACCAACGAAAAAAAAACTATCAGGTTACGACACGAATAACGTATCAAATGTAAAAATGTCTGGGTCTGGAAGAGGAAGGTTGCCAGGTTTGTCATGCATATTTTACATGACTCAGGATGTCTGTAATGCATGATCTGGCATCACATATTTTTCGAGGCCTTCTTAATGCCTATCCCGCATGACAAATGCCCTCCCCGCGTAGCACAAACTGGGCTCCTATTGCTGGTCATGCAATACAGATTTTTTTACAGTCCAAAGTTAGCATCAGAAGTTCCAACCTTCCAGACCCAGACATTTTTACACTTGATATAACGGTCTCGATTACCATGCCGTCCATTGGAACGGTCTTCCAGAATTGTATGAGCGGGTAGAATATCAAATGCAAAAGTGTCTGGGTCTGGAAGAATGCAGATTTTTGTCATGCTGTTTTTGCATGACGCAAAATGTCTGTCATGGAAGCCCTAGCATGACAGATTTCGAGAAGCTTCCGCATTGCTTAATCCGCATGACAAATCCCCCATTTTAGGGACAGGAAATGGGCACCTTTTGCTGCCTATGCATGAGAGATTTGTCTGTGTTGTGAAATGCGCATCACAAGTTCGCATCCTTCCAGACCCAGACACTTTTACATTTGATATAGAATCGTGGGAAGATGCGGTTTTATATCAAACGGAAAAAAGCTAGCGCATCTTCACGTATATTTTTGCACAAACATTGGGTTGTGTGTGTGTCACAGAAATAAAGTAGACTATTTATTACATAGACCACGCACATATGGTACGAAAGATTTGACATGCTGGCTTTCTTTTACTGGGATATTATACCGATATTAGAGGAGGACAAAAAAAAGCCCGAGTTCAACTTTGGGGACTACACGGCGATTATGCTAGACGAGTTAGAGCGGCGTAAACGACACGCGCCGGAAAAGAAGGACCACCATTTTGACGAAGTACTAGTTTTTGCTGCTTCATCATCCCATCCGATGGAGATCGAAAATTTATTGCACGCGAATGATGTCAAAGTAAATCTATCTTATTCCGATATTATCGTTGGAAATCAGTTTGTAGCCGACATCGCAATTTTTTTTTTATTGCACCAGTAGGCTGATCATCAAATGCACACAGTTCATCCGCGGCCAACCGCAGTGGGAAGTCGGGCGACAACTCCTTACCTCGCTTGTCCTCTTATGCATCGCAAATGTGTCTGTGTCTGAGTGGTCTGGAAACTACCTGTGATGCTGAATCAGTGCGGATGACTGCAATACGTCTGATTGCAACCAGCGAGGATGGCAAGCTTTCGCTACACTTTCTATTACTAAGTAAAAATTGCGTAGTAGTACGCATTACAATTTGCTTTCTCTTATGACCGAGAAAGCTTCGCTCTACTTGCTGGTCTGGCAACACAGATTTTAATTTTACGCGGAGACATCAAGTAAGTAGACACGCATGATCAAAAGCGCAACCTTTCCAAACCAAGACACATTTGCCGAGGATACCCCGCGAATCATGGCAACGTGCAGATCAAGCCGGAGACCGAGGGTGGCGAATTCGTCATGGAATTGATTTCGACCACCACAAACGACGAGGCGATGGCCCACGCGTTTGGCGCAATCACGGAGAAGGAAGCCAAAGCAAAAGCTGCCTCGGCCGCAGCGGCCGCGAAACCAGGGAAAGCGAAGGCGGGAGGAAAAAACAAGAAAGGAGCTGGTGCCGGGAAGAAAAACAAACAAGCCGAAGAAGATTTCTTCGACAATGATATGGAGCCCAACGCGGAGGACTATGAATTGCAAAAGTATGATCGTACCCGTACCAAAAAACCTATGCTTGACAGATCTACGCTCTAACTCTAATAGGACAATCAGCATATACTTCTTGGAAAAAATTGTCATGCGTTTTATACCAGTACGAGGATCGATGCTTTTGCAATGCATAGGGACGACGGCGCGGCGAAAGACACGTCTTCAGCCGAGGAACCTCTTTTACAACAACCGGGGAGCACAACATTGAAGGCAGATGCGAAGATGAAAAGTAGCAGCAGCTCCTCCGCTAACAGTCGAACAAACAACCAAAAAGGCGGCTTCGGTGCGGGAGCTGCATCGAGTAGTAGTAGCAGTAGTGGCAAGAACATGAGTAGCATTTCTACGAAAGCTGCGAAAGGAGTGAAGCAGGCAGGTGAAAGAAACAAGAAGAAAGACCAGGACATTGTGGACAAATTGGACTTGCACGATCCCGATTTCGAGGACGGCTTGCTGAATAAGGACGAAGACGACGACCCTGTCATTGACGAGGAGGACGATCTTTTGGCTGACGACAACGTGAAAAAACCGCCCCCCGCGAAGCGACCGGCGGCCGCGGCGGGAAGCAGCGGCGCACCCGCGGCGAAGATGGCAAAAAAGAAGTAAATGTGGAAAGAAAATCACTGGTGAAGGAGAAAAGGAAAATACTGCTGGATTCTTGCGAAGGGCAGTGGGAAGTGATGGATCTAGGAGCAGCTTGATCTTCAAAAGATAGAAGTGATAAAGAACGTCGAGACTGACGAGATAAATATATCCACCAAAGACGAACTAAATAATCTTCTTTCATTTTACACTTTCTGAGCAGTCGCAGGAGCAGACAAAGCCTTCTGGCTGCGTCAGCATCGAACTTGAAGACGTGATTTTCTTGAAGTACACTTAATCGCCGAAATTTACCTGAGTTTAAACTAATCGCAAAGTTGACGAAAAGTATCCATACGAACTACCGACAGTTTGAAGATAAGATTTAAAAAAGTTTAGTTCCCGATAGGAATTTCAAATCAAGAAGTATCAACCTCATCGAAGAATATACTCTGTGCAAGCAAGCGCCTGCATCGCGCAGTGTGTCGCAGAAGTATCGACAGCTTTAGAAATAAAGTGAGTATCGTCCCGATACAGGTGAGAAGTCGCAATGCTTGACTGAATCTTCCTGCTGAAAGCACTTTTTCTGTTGAACTTACTTTCTCGATCAGATTCCGGATATATAAAGTGAAAGAGCACACCGAAAATTAATTGCCAGCCTTTGAGCAGCTGGAGGAAGCGCAAGCGTCTCAGTCGTGACCGGCGCAGGAGCTGTTAGTCTTCTATCGATCGCATTGCGTCATTGGAGATGCAGTTGCACACCAGCCGCTGTCGAGCGATTTTGCTGCTGTAGCGGACTTTTCGTTTGGTTTCCGGCATATTGAGAGAACTGCGATGGGTTGGAACTACACACCTGCTGAATGACGCTACGTCAAAAAATGCCAATATGGAGATCGTCTGGTTATTGCTTCCGACCTTGGATGAAAATGGATTTGGTTGTTCTTATGACAAACCGACTATGAAAACTCGAGCCCCGGGCTCGGCCTCCACGACCAGAAACAACCGATATTCAAACTTCTCTGGTGGAGGGACGAGAAGCAGTAGCAGCCTGTCGTATAATTCATCCTCGAGGACGCGACGTTTTTCTTTTTTCTTGAGAATACAGACTTCCCAAAATGTGCGCCAAACGGAATTGCTCTTCGCACGCGACATCTGGTCCTCCCTGTGCCACCCTCATGAACAAAAGAGTAAAAATCCTTCCACGAGTTATGTTGCCAACAGCTGGTGTTCCTGCTGCAGCCGTAGCCCTTGCTTCGCTTTTATCTTTCCAGCTTCTCGGAGGTCCTGCAATACTAGCAGTCCAGAACCAGAACTTGCATCATCAAACGGCACCACGTCCATCGCTTGCTAGTGATCAAGACGACCTGGACCTGCTAGCGAGCGAACGCAGCGCCTTCATCGAGGAAAATAACCGGCAACTACAAGGGCGAACCCAAACAAGACGAGAAGCGGAACTACAACTAGCCGCAGGCGCAGCTTCATCAGACAAAAACCCTTCGTCTACTTCCGCCCCGATCGTCCAGCTGTCTTCTTTCGCGGAAAAAGACGCGGCGAAGCAGATCCAGGACCTGAAGCTCAGCGACCAGAAAACGTCCAACTTCGCGCAGCTCGCCTCCCCCTGGGCACTGTGTCGAAAGCGAAACCCGGCGCGGTGCGAGAGCGAAACGGAGGCGGAATCGCCCGGGTTGCAGTGCGACAAGGTGGACTTCTCCAGCTCTCCGCACGCGGCGTTGCTCGGACAGGAGTCGGCGAAGTGCACCCACCACATCACCCAGCCGATCTTCTGTTTTGAGAAAGAAGACGGCAACTGCATCCCGTTGAGTTACTGTGAGAAGGCGCAACCGGGAAGCGGTGCCGTGGAGCCTTGGCACATCTTGTACGGCAGCGCGCTGTTCGAGAAGTTCGACACGAGTGAAAACGAAAAGGATGAAAATCCAACAAAAATAACGGAAACCAAACCGCTGAAGTGCCAGATGAAGTCCTGCGAGAAGATAACCTTCGCTTCTTCCAGCGGCGACGCGAAGGAGGTTCTCGCCCACAAGGTCCGGGTTTGCTCCAACGCGTTTGCAACCACGAATAGCGGATCACTGCAGAAAATCCGGTACCCCTTGGTTTGCGAGTACAGCCAACGGGCCGACGCCTGTAAGATTCGGAACCGGAAGGAAAAACCCTATCCCGAGGCGGTCGGAGCAGACTTACAAGGCGGGGAGGACGACAAGCAGAATGTGAACCCGGACGAGAAGATTGAGAAGGTGTTCGGGGAAATTCAGAAACTGTCCCAGTGGGTGCAGGGCAACGTGCAGGAGGCCTTTAAGGAATTGGAGCAGGCGAAAAAGCAAGTTTCCGAGAAACTGAGGGACCTGGAGAAAGCGGCAGAAAACAGACGGGTCGCGAAGCAGAAACTGGTCGACTACCTAGCCTACAGAAGGTTTCAAGTGCAAACGCGCACACCGGCCCTGGCGGAGGTGTTGCAGCGGTTGAGTAGATCGCAGAGCGACAGGTTGATGGCCAGTGGCGTGGCGGGGGCAGACGTGAAAAAGGAGCGATAGCTCCTGTAAAGTTCTCTATTCTCCGTGGTGTGGCATTTCGTGGTCCTGTTGTAGTAGACTAGAAATAAGTTGATGAAGACGACGTGCTGTGTAGTGTGTCCTCTGGCAGCTACAGCACGATGACGATGTGAGCCAAGCTGCCGCGTTGAATGATTTCCTTTGCGAATCATGATCATGAAAGATGATTCATGCGCGAAACTTTTGCGCAGGCGCCCGCACAATTGACAAGTGTGCTCCTTCGAATGCGAAGCCTGTGAACATCATGCGTAAAAAGATGTGTTCACATGCTCAACAGAGTGAGCACCTCTTCCTCTTCAACCGCGTTTGCCTGTGTGGTTCTACACCAGCGATCTTCGCAATTGGATTGCTCACAAATATTATTGCAGATAGAACTATTCCCTCGCCGCGGCAAAAAAAATTGATCTTTCGTGATTGATGCGGTCGCAGTGTGCTCCAGGTCTAGGACCAATCTTGCAATTACTAGTATTTTTTGACCGTTATTTTTCTTACCAGCTGAGTATCGATTCTGTTGTTCCATTGTTTTCAGCTGCGAGTAGACGTATTTGCAGACCGCGAGGTATTGCACTGACACCGAGCTCTCCATCGTGCTGGTGGCGGTGTTGACGCCAGTCTTTGTGCGGGTTAACACCAGTCAGTCTTACTTCGAAATGGCCGCCGTTTTCAATGGCGCGGTCGGCCGGTTTTGTTTTCTCTATGGGGCGGTGGAGTATGTTGCGGGGGTGCGGGTGCCTGAAGATTGGGTGGGGCGAACTGTCGTGGGCATTCGGAACGAGTACCTGCCGCAAGAGGTCCCGGCTGGAGACCGGGAGCCGATAGATTTTACCGGCGATGCGGCCAGGATGCAGCAGAATTCAGATGCCTTCGGGGGGCAGCATCCCACGTACCGCCGGCAATTACCCGGCGACTTCGTGCCCGCCCCGATGGCTACGGTGGATGGGCAGGTCTACCAGAACATCGTTGAGAATATGCAGAATCTTCGGGACGCCGGCCAGCGCTACCCCGCGAGCCGTGTTGTCCAGTCGAAAAGTGGTGCGAGATTTGGCGCGGGTGGTGCTGCTGGCCGGGGGTCATCCTCTCGGCAACAAGAAGTCCAGCGCTACAGTGCCTGGGGTGCAGCTGGCAATCCTTTTCTCCTCCAGGAACAACATCAACAAGGCAACTTCAACTACTGGCCTCAGCCGCGGCGCACACCGGCGCCCTTGGCTGTGCCAGAACACCATGCCCGGATCGGTGGACAACTCATCCTCCGACCCCCGCCTCCTGCTGCGCACATGATTGCTCCGGATGTGGGGCCCATGGTCGCGGCCTCTCCGGAATCCTCGCCGCCACCCACGGTCCCGCAGGAACAGGTCACGCCCCGGCGCCCACCTGCGCTGTTGCTGCACCATCACCAAATACCCTATCCCTTCCCGGCTGTTGCGCAGATTGAACAGCAACAGACTCCTCTTCGTCCGGTCGTTGATGTCCGGGGAATCCAGCGGCACCTCGGGCGGCAGGCACCAAGGCACGTGCCGCTAGCGGTGCAACAGCCATTCCTCCACCACCCTCCTGCTCCTGTCGCAGATGTAGTTGTGCCGTCGCCAATCTTGAATCGCGATCAGGCGGCAGCACCTCCAGACAACGCTGGCAATGAAGTACCTGCCGCTCCTGAAGACACCAGTGCGCAACAGGAACAGCCTGCAGCTCTGACGGAAGATGAACATCAGCAAGTGATGAACACGCCTCCAGTGCCTTCTGGGCTGAGAGGAACTACAAGTACCGACCCAGCACACGGCAGCAGCGCGGCGGTGCCCAAGCCACCTGCGAACGTTGCCGAGGATCATCGTGTAGTCGTTGGCCGCAACGCGGTAACCAGGGAGCCTGTGTACGGCTGGGGTGCACAAAGTCGAGTAGCTTTGCAGAACGCCTCCGGACGGCAAAGTTCTGGTGAGCAGCAGTTGTCCTCGACCACGACTACGACTTCTCGTGATATCCCTGCACAAGAAGCACAACCACAACGCGCACTGGTAGCGGCACGCCAGCAGTCGCGCTTTCTGGACCACAGAGAGAACAATCATGCGCACGCGGCTGGTGCACAACTCCGTCCTGCAGCAGCTGCACAACCCCGCGTGATCCTCCAGGACTTGCGACCCGTGCTACTGCGACCACCGGCTTCGATGGCACCACAGCCAGCGTTGCCTACTCTGGGGGCCCACCCAGAACTCGTGCCCGAGATTAACTTTCATCGTACGCCAGTGCGAGGCGCAGTAGCTCCCACCGGTGCTTCCCGCAGCCGGTTTCCCGGAGCGAATAATTACCCCGGGGATCATTATGCCGGCGGCGCCTTGTTTCCTCGTGCAGCACCGGCACTACCGGGATTTCCGGGCGGGGCCCACGGACCCGTCAGTAGAGAAGAAGTTGTGGGACACAACCGACAAGTGTACCAGCACCAACACAACGTCGCCCCCTGGTGGTTACCGGCTCCGTATCCCGTCCAGCAACACCAGGGAGTGGGTTTTTCGCCATCTGGGGTAGCGGCACCGATGGCCGCCGCAGCTCCGGCAGGACGGAGACTAGCGCCAGACGGCGCCGAGTGGTTGTTTCCAGTGCAACCCGCTGGCGCGACGGACTTGGTGCCTGCTTTGCCCATTCATTCACACTTTCACCCAGCCCCGCTGTTCCGCCCCCCGCCCAGGATGGACGACTGAAACAAGCAACACTCATTTTTGGAAAATAAAGAGAAAGTTTAGCTGTGTTATAGAAACAAATGAATCTTTTTTTGGATCGCCTTCTACTTCTTCTTCTTTTTGGTTTGCAATGACAGACTGTAGGCGTGCATCAGCCAGAGCTGCGGTTGTTTTGCCGTCCTTTTTACATACAGCAGGTACCTCTAAGCAACAAGATATCTTCTATGACAATACAGGAGGAACGTGTTGTATGAATGTCAGCTAATGCTCAATGGGGGCCGAGATTTTCGTACTTTTTTTGTATTTATCTAATTTATTATACTGTGTGGGTGACGTCGCGTTTGTAGCAGTATGAATCTCGATTGCGAGCATGTTTCAGTACTTACAGACTCTCTCAGAAAATGCATCTTTTTCTTTTGCGAAATGAAAACTTTAACTTTGGCGTTGATACCGTGCTACGGAAATGAATCTGGAAAAAATAGGCTCTACTTGACAAATATATATAAGCCAAGGTCGAGCGCTACTACAAGAGAGCAGCTCCACTTTCTTCGTGGTATTTATATTTTTTTGTCGGCGAGTAGAGTGTGGTTTCTTCATGGGTTTCAATTATCTCGCTCTTTGGCTGGTTGGTCGCGTCTTCGCCTTACCTTTCTCTACAGCTACAGATCGCGAAAGCATGTGTTGTAAAGCAATCATCTAGGTCGTGTAACAGAACTGAACACTACTTTCTAAATTCGGAATCATCATCATCGTCGTCGTCGTCATCGTCGTCGGCTCGTTGTATGGGCAGCGAGATCTTCGTCAGACAAGAAAATCAAAATCAATCGTGTCGGAAATAAGTCGTGCAGCTAAAGGCGGGCCGTCAACACTTGATCGACAAGTGGTCCTCGTGACGCCACGTCGATGAGTAGTGGTCACAACGCTCGCGCCCAAAATTTAAGTATTTGCATTTCGATTTCGCATGATTTGCGGACGCTTAGTAAAAACGCTATTATGTTGACTCTGAGGTCTCTCCGCCAAGCTCGTCGTGTCCACGACAAATAAAACCTTCTATGTTGCTTTGCTGATAGTGTCACAGTTGTAGAGCAAGAGAGCTTTTTCTGGAGTTAAAGTCTGTGTCTGGTTCTGCAACTACCGAGCCCGCGGTTGTATTTTTATTTTCGCACGAATATATATAATTATGGTCGTCCCCGTGAAGATGCAGATCCGGCCCCCGCGAGGTTGCGTTGAGAAGATGCGTAAACTCTTCTGCTTCAGCGCCGTCGTATTTTTCGGCCTGCCACACGTGCAGCACAATGACACGTTGGTGCTGGGTAAGGGCATTGCGCAACAAGTAGATGTGGAAGATTCCGGTTTGTCGCAGGACGATCTGCAGAAGACCGTAGTGGATGCAGATACGAAAACGAAGCCCGTTATTAACGAAGATGAAACTTTTGAAGCTGCAGTTGCAACGAGTAGCCAGGAAAAAACACCCATCCCCATCCAATTTGTCATGCAAAACATGCATAAAATCCACTATTTTCCATGCAAAAAATGGATGGGGATGGGTGTTTTTTCCTGGATAACGAGTCCGAAACTTCTAGTGCCCTCGACGATACTAGTCCAAGATCGGGTCTACGTGCGCGAGAAAACAACTACAAATGGCATCAACAAGGGAGAAAAAATTGAAACCCCGACCAGTTCCGGATCCGACAACAGGGCGATCCGGCTTCCGCCACTCGCAGCACCTGCTTCCGCAGACGGCGCAACAAACTTCCTAGAAGTGGAACACAAGAAACTCGCGGAGAAAACAAGAACCCAGGAGACTGCCAAGTTCGAAAACAGACACGGCCGTCAACATCTTCAGACCGAGCGCGCAGCGGCAGCACGACAGCACCGGCGTAAAATGAGAAGCAAGCTGCAGAAGAAAAAACTTGCTTCCAAGAAGGCTCGGTTACTGAGGCAGAAAGTGCTGCGACAAGCGAAGCGGAACAGGGTGAAAAAGCTGCTGCTGTTAAAGAAGAAACAGACACATGCAAACAAGAAGACCAGTCTCAGTCGAAATCAGATGAGCAAGCAAAAGCATCTTCAGAAAAGGCGCATGGGCGAGATGAGACTCGATTTGGAGCAGGTCGAGGACGATGAAGATGATGATGATGCTGTATCAAGTGCAAAAGTTGTGTCTGTGTCTGGACAATTGCTACACTTGTCATGCATGTCTGACATGACTCAAGAACAAGAATCTGTGATGCATGGGCACGAAGCGGCCCTCTTACCTGTCATGCAAAAACGCAGTTTGCCATGCGCAAAACGCAACACGTAGGCGATTAAAAATTTCTCATGCTTGGCTCCGTATTGCAGTGGAACTCCCATTCACTTTCAGCATTACAAATTCCCAGACCCAGACATATTTGCAATGCATATGCTGGTGACGACGTCGATACCGTCGATAAAGACGTGGAGACGGACGCCGACGATGAGAAGCTGAGTCAGGATGAGCTCGAACAAGCAGACGGAGATGATGTTGACGGCGAAGCTGAAGATGTTGATGATGAAGACACTGCAGTAGATGATGATGTCGCCGCCATTGATGACGACGATGAAAACGACGCTTCTACTACCACACCCTTGGACGAGGACTTGGAGAACGAGGATTTGGACTTGGCGAACGATGATGCCGTGGAGGAGAAAACAAGTGAAGCTGGAACTACATCTGCAAATGCAGATGAGACTCTCGGGGGTGGTGTTGAGCCACCTCCAGAAAAGAAGGACGGAGCGCTCCTGAATAAAGCTGGCGCTGAAAAGATTCCGGATCTGCAAACAGGCAGATCTTCTTCAAGCAGTGGCGCGGCGGGCTCCGCCGGGACAACGGGAGATGCCCCACCAGCGGCGCCGGCTCGTGCTGAGAGTGACAATAAGTCGTCCAAAGATGGGGACGCAGGAGTTCTTGATGAATCATCTTTCCCCGATCATGGTGCTAGTGCGGCAGAAGAATTTTCCGCCGCTTCGAAGTCTACGGATCAGAGCGCGAGCGTGAACAGCCAAAAAAATCCAGGGACTAGTACTACAACCTCAAGCAGCGCGACCGGAACAAGTGGGACGGACGCCAACAATAGCGGCTGCAAGTGTTGTTTCTGCATCTTGATCATCGTCGTCGTCGTTTCCCTTGTCGGGCTTATCCTTGGCGGCAGCTACTTTTACTACAAATCGAATTTTCTCGAAAAACGCTTGTCCTTCGCGTCCCAGTCTTTTCAAGGTGGGGGGTTCGGGGAATCCGACGGCAAGAACGTGGTGACTGGTGCTGGAGATCAGAACCAGCCGGGCGGGGGCAACACAGCCGGCGCGACTTCTGGAACAGCAGCGGACTCGACCCCGTTGCTGCAGCCGCTACCGGCAGGCATGGTGGAGGATGCGGAAAAAATGAAAAGCTTTTCGGATTGGGCGGAAGAAAAGGTCAAGAAAGTGCGGCGATTTTCTGCGGGCTACTTATTCGGCGCGTCGACCGGTAGCGGGGGCCATATTAACTCATCCAAAGGAAGTCGTGGCCACAAGGACAAGAAATCCGAAACGAGTGGAGGTGCTGGTGCACCGCTGTCCGAAGAAAACGCGGAAGCAGGTCGTGGAGCAAACGCGCAGAAAGACGACGCCGCGGATACCACTGGTCCAATAGAGAGGAAGTCGAAGAAAAGCGGAAACCGGATGAATTCCAGCTCAGCCGGTGCAGCTCCTGGACAACAAGGTTCCGCCCCGGGGAGCGCTGACTTTGATTTTACAGGCGGCCATCAGAAACTCGAGGCGCCAGACCTGGGAGGTTTTGACCCGCAGGAGTCCGCTTCCGGCGGCGACGAAAACTTCCTGGCGCCACCGCAAACGGAAGAGATCGCCCGGTCGAAGAAGAAAAAGATTGCGCCTGCAGCTCCACCTGCGGACAAGAGCGCGCCACCTTTCGTGCTTGGCCACATTGGCCTACCTACCGCCGAGGAAGCGACCACCTCCGGCAAAATTCGTCCACCGTCGGAATCGACGACGCGGAAGAGCAAAACCATGACGGAAGCGGTGTTTGGGAAACAGGCAGCCGAGGAACGCGAACGGGCGCTGAACACCAGAACCACGGCACAACCCAGCAAGAAGCTGATGGCGGAAGACGCAATTTTGGTGAGCGTTTATTATTCTTGTTTTTCGATTATAGTAAGCCCTGTAGCTGTATAACCGCTATTATTGAAGTGTATAGTCCTGTTCAAAGAAACTACAACTGATCCAGATGAAGTACAGATTAATGCTCTAGCGTGTTGAGAAAATTCCGCATGATCCGCTTCATTGCAACGAAAAAGAATCGAAGTCGAGCTTTGCGAGGAAAACTGCGAACACCGGCACTTTGAACTTTGTCAAAATTCCATGTCAGGTGAAAGAGGTCACGCAAAAACTCGCTTCGCAAGTCCCGGCGGATCTCGACGACCAGCATTTTTCTATTCCTCCGCCCAGGCCTTCGGCGAATAAGTTGGGGAAGAAAACGGTGTCCGCCCTGGACCCGGCTCCATTCGGCGGCCTGGAAGATGACGACATTGAAATCCTGCCCGAGAGTGCGGGCCCCGCGACCCCGGCCAGCGTTGCCAGTGAAATCGAGGAGCTCGTCTCGGACCACCACAAGCGCACGTCGAACAAGCTAGAGGAGGTACAGTCGCTGGAGATACAACTCGTTTCCGCGAAGAAGGAGCTCGGGATTTTGCTTTCAAGTCCCGTTACTTCGCCCCCGTCGCGGAAGTCGACCGCTGGCGAACAAAAGCTTTCGATCGCGAGTGTCGCGACCTTCGCGGAAGAGACTCCGGTTTTTGAGGACGACTTCAAGAGCGAAGGTGTGTTGAAAGCAGGGTCCACCGGCTACAGTGGCAAAGCCGATGCCGAACAAATTGCGACCTTCGCGGAAGAGACGCCGGAGCACGAGGGTGTGGTCGAAAATTATAAACCGAAGAAGAACAAGACCACGAGGAAGTCGTCCAAGATTGGCGACAACAAAGAGGAGCTGCTTATGGGGAGTATGAAGACAATGGTGGAGCAAGTCCAATCGGAAATCCAAGGTTCTGCTTCGGGCAAGTTGTCGAAGAAGAAGTCGCAGGTCCTGCAAAAGCAAGGGTCACTCCGCCCCTCCGCGGATCACGATTCTCCGATCCACGAGCGCATCGCCGCTTTACAAAGTGGCACTTCTTCGCAGCGACCGTCGCAACAAGGTTCCTCTCGCCCCTCCGCAGACCATGGCTCCCCGATTCACCTGCGCATCGCTGCGTTAAAAATGTCCCCACGTCAGTCGGCGAAGGTGTCACCCGGGCGAGAAATGACGACCGGCGGGGCCACCGGGAACAAGTCTACCTCCCAGCGGGAGACATCTGCATCTCCGCGCAGCCCAACAACATCAACTGCTGCGAAGCGAAAATCGACGGCGCAGCAGGAGCAACAACCACGAACAACCTCCCCCGGAGGAGGTTCAACATCTCGGCCAATGAGTTTTGCGAAGAACCAGCAAGAACAAGCAACTTCGCCAAAAGCGGCCGCGCGGCAGTCTGGAAGACTGACAGCCACAACCTCGCCGAAGATGACTACATCCTCTGGGATCGTGCAAAAAAAGGAAGGAGGAGTCCCTGCCTCCCCTAGGGGTATGAGTTTTGGCGCTGGCGCTTCTCCGAGGAGTGGCGGGGAAGAACACAAGCGACAATTGTCCATGTACTACAACTTCCTGCCGACGACCACCGACGCCGACAAGCTCGCGCTGGCGCGGTTTTCCTCCCGCACGTCGCGGAAGCCGGGGTCTTCGGAACAAAAGCAAGGCACGCCGCAAAATGCTGGCGACGTCGTCCGGGACACGGAGGGCGACCGGCTCACCTTCCAGCCCGATGGAACGTCAAAGATGAGCCAGCGTGGGACCACTCGTGCTGGTCAAGAGCTTCTACAGCAACCCGGTGCAGCAACCTCTAGCGGGGCGGGTGACCGAAAGCATCCCTCGAAGAGTCTCCACAACACTGATTCGATCCAGGACCGGATCGATTCCCTGAAGCGCGCCAACAGCAAGGAGCGTGGCAAGGACGAGATGAGCTCGAGCGTGCGCAAGTTCGGGTCGGCGCTGCCCGGGCTGGCCCGGGCGAACGACGAGGGAGAGCAGGTCGCGACGGTGGATGATATTGAAGAAGGGGCGGAGGAAGACGAGGATCTGCTGGACACGCCCGCGGAAGGTCGCCCAGGAGACTCGTCTGCCACTACATCATGGTCTGATACCAGCGACGCGTAAGGGGGAGGTGAAATGAATTCCCGTAGCATGATTCGAGGAGAACGAGAACAACAAGTTGCGCTTATTTGACGAAGTAGAAACAGAATCACAAACACTCACTTTATAAACTGGTTGCTGACCTGCTCCGCAGGCACAGCCAGTCAACAAAAAGCCAAGAAAACAAAGTTTTTAATATTTCTGCTTATTCGCGAATCGGAATCAACGCACGTCTGTGCTGACTTATCATTTTTACCTGATTACAACAATTTTATATCCTTTCCAAATCGACTTTATTACAACTGTCAAGATGTTTTTCAGAGCCTGTTTTGTCAGCAGAAAAATCCTATGTTGAGGCGACTTTCACCTATGCGATATTTTCATTTCGTGATTACACATCTTTGGTTTGTCTACTAGATTTTTACAATGAAATTCCCTTTAACTTTTCGTTGGTTGATGTGGTCTGCACCATCTTTATCATCAAGCGCAGGTCGTCAGCGTCAATGTGTATAATGATGTACAACTTTTCACCGGAAGTATGGGGTTGCTGGCAATATTCTATGTGAGATAGAATGAGGATAGATTATGTTGAAACAGAAGCGACCCGCACTGTATCTACATGTTTTGGATTCTATTTCTGATATCAAAAATAAAAGCAGAAGTCAGCGCCGTATCAGTGAATGATGCGAGCCGATGCGCTACTTCGTGGTGACGCGGCTATGGTGATGGCAACTTTTATGTTCCTCCAATTCAACTTTTAAAAGGACAAGACCCGCCCGAAAAAACAAGAACCGCTGCGAGATAGGAGTTTTTGTCTGGAGTAAGTTCGAGCAAAATGAATCTGAAGAAGGACGCAAACCGATCGCAGAAGACGGAAAAGCAAGCTAGCTCTTGACGCTGCAACCTTGAAACGCTTCTAGGAATTTGAACAGGTTTTGNATCATGGCTCATGCAAAAGAACGTGCGTGACAAGCCTTAGAATCTTCCAGACATCATCCAGGGATATTTGCAATTGATAGCTGCGTGAAGCACACTATGAATTGCAAAAGTATCGTACTCGTATAAATGCATGACAAATTGTTCCCCCAGCATGAGAATTCAATTAAGATTTGTAATGCGGATTTACCTTGAGAAAAAAATTTGTAATGCAAGACTTGCATTTATACGAATACGATACTTTTGCACAGGATACACACAATGCTGAAGTTTGGGACCGCTTTCCAGCAGTATCAAATGTAAAAATGTCTGGGTCTGGAAGGATGCAGAGATTTGTGATGCAGCTTTGGCATGAACCCTGATGTCTGTGATGCATTCCCTAGCATCACAGATTTTTTGAGGGCTTCTTGATGCCTATACCGCATGAGAAATGCCCTCTCGCCGTCGCAAAAACTGCAACTCTTTTGCTGTTCATGCAATACAGATTTTTGTAGAATCCAAATGCAGCATCACAAGTTGCATCCTTCCAGACCCAGACATTTTTGCAATCCATAAGCAGAGTACTTGGACCAGTTGGAAGCAGAAGCCAACGGCGAGCTCTAGTAGTACGAGAGTGCACAACGAACCACCCCCACCTCCCTCTCATTTGTATTGCATGAACAGCAATACGAGCGTCCGCACATGTGGAGCCTGTGCATCACAGGTTCATGCGCGTAATGTAGTACTGTTTGGGGTTCCAGAATCTGTCATGCAAACTGTACCACAAGGCAGCACTTGGATTTGATGTTTTGCATGACAAATGAGGGGCTGGGGATGAAGAAATACTCGCGATGTTTTTCGCGGTTCTGACCCTAGATCTCCTGCGTCCGAAGCTGCTTGCGGCGACGGTGCAAGGGTTTTTGATGTGGCGCAGTCGGGTATGCATGACAAATGAGGGGCAAAGGGAGTTGTGCACTGTCATACGTAGTACGGCTGGCCCAGCAGTTGGAAGCGCAACCCAACTCTCGCACGTACAGCACAAGTGCTGTCGAGAGTGATAAAAAGTGTGTTTACTAAATATTGGAAAAAGTAGTAAGTTTGAGATGAGAGTGATCAGCTTCTTCGCATAGCACAACTGCAAAAGCCTAGATAAAAGCATTACGCTGATTTTCTGTGAGTGATTTCAAAGTAATAGTAAAAGTTAAAGTTCCATTTTGCCCGGCTCTTTGTATTTATTGTTCCTACATCCACCCGGCACGACCGGAAAAGAAGAGAACCAGCATCGGCGTTGATAACTTCTTTATTCTTATACGTTGCAAACGAACTGCTGTTTTTTGCCTTTGCTGACAGCTTCTTCCAAATGACCTATGAACGAATCCATATGCATGCGATCTTATTCCATTTTTACTCGCTTCATTACCGATTTTTTTCACCATCGGTCCTGCGTGTCGTTCGCGAGGGCCACAATTTTGCCGCATGAAGGATATAACAAGTAACAATCGTGGGAGCTCTTATTTCTCATGATCTAGATCTTCATGCAGAACAACAACAATAACTTCACCGCTTCTTATTTCGGAGTTGTGAGCACAGCATTCTGCTAGCATTTCGAACTGAAGGTGAAGCCAGAACCTACAAACAGCCAGGTGTTGTGTCCTTTGTTCTCTCACTGCATTTTTCAACGTGGGTGGCTCCGCGCAGATGGAAGAGCGTGGTTCGTCTTGCTGAATAAAGGAACTCTCATGTACTATAGCACCTCTCTGTACAACTATGGCAGCTGCGGATCCACCTGGTGACCAAGAAGATCTGATCCTGTTGCAGACAAAATGCAAAAACTGATTCATACCAACATTTCTGCGATCCTTTTGAAAGTCTCAGGAATTTGGTCTTAAGAATTTCTCCCGCTAGTACAACCTCCAGCATGATCCATCAACTTTTTGAACCGAGATCATGACAACTCTGTTTTAACACGTGATTGGTCAAAAGTAGATGATGAAGGCTCTCCAGATTTCTCAAATAGCGCATGCGATGATCCTGCGAAGCGGCAAAAAAAGTATACGATCGATGTCGATAAAAATTTTACTTTCAAATAAAACCAAAGTGATTGATAAAGATTGCAGCAGCCTCGCACTCGTTGCGCTTCGCAAAAAATCGTTCTGGTGCTTGTCCCAACTTTATACTTGAACCATAAGCTCATCGTTAAAAGACTTTCGTCGTCAATATTAAAGACATCCTTTCACCACAAACCCATTGGCAATCGAATTTATTTGTGATAATGGCCCGAATCTTCTCCATCCAGAAATTGGCTGCAGCTGCGGCCGCAGCTAGTACCGTAGCTCCGGCTTTTTTCACCGGAGTCAAAGCAGTGAAGATGAATAACGTTTTCAACGATAAAGTCAAGAGCGCTTCCGTGGTGCAGCGCTCGTTGGGCAAGACCGGCGTGAATGCCGGGCCGATTTCCCACTCCGGAGTGTTAATGAAAACGGAATCTGGAAAAGAATACATCGCGCACCACCCCGGGCTATGCTGTGCAAAAGTATCGTACTAGTATAAATTGCATTAGCATTACAAATTAATATTAAATTTGTAATGCGGATTTGCCTTAAAAGAGAGATTTGTAATGCATAACCGCAATCAGTACGAGTGCGATACTTTTGCAGTTCATACGGGCCGGGCCAGCCTGCGGTGGTGACGGACGCGAAACACATGTCGAACGATTGGAAGGAGAAGGAGAAGTTGAAAGTCGAAGTATCGCATGTAAAAACGTCTCCACGAGGACCCCATAAGTAGTCAAGATGGGAAATCTGCTAGACAAATCAGCCTGCTTTGGATGTTGCGCATGACAAGTTTGGCCTCGACGTAGTGCAGTCCTGTTTATTCGCTTGCTCAGCAGCATCACAGATCTAGCCCATTACTCTGGTTGGAGCACTACAAATAATTCCAAAGCGCGGGGGCTACAAGACGGCTGTCATGGGGATCATCCGCATGAGAAGCATTTTGAGCATGCAGATTTGCATGCCAAGAACTTACTATGGGGTAAGTATACTATGGGCCCCGTTTTTACATAGGATACGAACCCGGAAAGACCGTCGGGTCCGCCTTTAACTCCGCGGGGGGGAGTAAAAGCAACAGCAGCTACTTCAACCCGGCAGCCCCGACCTGCCACGGATTCTCGAACACCGTCGCCTACGCAGTGCAGATATGTCTGGGTCTGGAAGGATGTAACTTGTGATGCACACGTGCATACTACAAAAATCTGTATTGCATAAAGAGGCCCTGTTTTTGCCAAGGCGAGAGGGCATTTCTCATGCTGTATAGGCATCAGGAAGCCCTCGCGCAATCTGTGCTGCTAGGGCATGCATCACAGACGTCAGGAGTCATGCAAAATGCGCATGACAAACCTTGCATCCTTCCAGACCAAGACATATTTGCACTTGATATCGCGGACCATTTAACCACGAATCCGCAATTGCAGCAAAAGGCATTGGATCAGTTCATGCAGGACCCTGATCGGACGAAACCCATGAACGTTTCCAACCGGTCTTTCCAGGGACAAATGTATCAACTGTAAAAATGTCTGGGTCTGGAAGAATCCAACTTGTCATGCTGATTTTGGATTCTAAAAAAATCTGTATTGCATGAGCAGCAAAGAGAGTCCAAGTTTTGCTACACGGAAAGAGCATTTGTCATGCGGCGTAGGCATCAGGAAGGCCTCACAAAATCTGTGATGCTAGGGCATGCATCACAGCCATTAGGAGTCATGCAAAATGTGCATGACAAACCTCGCAATCTTCCAGACCCAGACATTTTTACATTTGATAAAATGCTCCAAGGAGCGATGCGGCATCAGGAAGAGGTGGCCCGGCGGCAAGCGGCAAGGAGTGCCGGCGGGTTGGGGCGGGGGAGCTCATCTTCTTCCTCGTCCAAGCAGGATGGGTGTAAAACGCAGTAAAAAAGTTCTTTCTACGAAGGTGTCGACTGTCGGACGCTGCGGCAGGGCGGGGAAACGAAAATGAGTTCAGGAACAATAAGTATGAAGCCGGGCTTTGTTTTCAGACTCGATCCTCCTATGCTGCTGCAGTTTCGGTGCGTCGAAATCGTCCTCGTCGAGCAAGGTTGCGGGTGCGCCAGCGCTGATATCTCGTGTACAACTACTTCCGCAAGATCTTCGTAGTGCAAGAAGTGGTATTTCTACTTCTACAGCGGCTTCAATCCACCTCATCTCAGGAACAAGTATTTTTCATCGACTAAGATCAAGATGGAAGAAGCGGCACTATCCCAGGAAGGAGCCGCGTAAAAAATGCCGCGGGTCCTCGTCGTGGTGATTCAGAAGAAGACTGAGAGGAAGGAGTTGTTGTATACTGTACAACATAGGCAGCGTTCTGATAGAAGTAGCACGGTGCTGCGTAGAAATTGAAATATGACCTGAGTAGAATAGATATCGAAATCGAAAAGTTATAATGTGCGAAGGGTCGTCAACAAACGGGGTGTAGTAAGTAAGTCCCAGGTAGCTCGTCCTTCTCGGGAGCCTTTTCCCGCCGACGCACCGGAGCTTTCTACATCATGACGTTATTTCGCAGCAGGTTTACGTTTATTTGTAATACGAATTTGAAACTTGAATTGGTACTGTATGAAAATGAAAGTGAATTATTAGAATCGGAAAGATTTTTTTCCGCACCATAGCAAACATTAGGGAAGTAGTGCCGTTTCGTTGCCATGATGCAGGCAGATTTTGGATTTATTGAGTACGCACTCAACTACACAATCGCGGCTCGAGCGTTGACGTTGAGGTCGTGCAAAGATGAGGGCTCTGTTGACCAGGACGAGTACAAGAACCCTTCACAACTACCAACTGGCCGCATTACAAATTCCTTTGGTTCGCATCCGCCCCCGGGCTTGGCGGAATAGAAGAGCAGTAACGCAACATCTGTGTTCATCTCTCGTCTGTCGCGTATCTGCGCTCATCAACATCCTCTTTCCCGTTCCGAGAGAGGCTCAGGCGAAGGCGAAGGCGCTGCGCCTACCCGAGACAAAAAATCTCTACTGTTCACCGGCTCAGGCGAAGGCGCCCACTCTTGTGGTGGTGAGTGAGTCAGCGACTAGATATACCCTCAAACAAGTCTAAACAAGCGACGCGGACAACGGTAAAGCGAGTGGCGTTGCGAATGTAAGAAGCAGATAATGATAATAAAGAAGAAGAAAGTTAAGAAATAGGCAAGAAGAAAAGCTTGATAGCAGCACTGGAGTAGGGTGACATGGAAGCCAGGGCGACTATGTTTCTCTGAAGAAGGTGCGTCAGTATAAGAAAACAAATCTAGAAAAAGCAAACGGAATAACGAAGAAGCAGAGCGAAGACGTGAGGAAGCTGGAAGTGAAAAAAGCAAGAACGCAGTCAGAACAAGAGCAAGAATAGCGGGAAGAATACAGGGCGAATGCGAAAGCTTGGCGCGGTAGAAGAGACGAAATAGCCAGGGCGACTGTAGATTCCGTTTTCAAGTGCCAAACCCGAGCCAGTAAATAAAAGACGACTCAGAAATCAGAATCAGATCGCGACGCTTTGCCAAAATCAAAAGCACAAGATCGAGTAAAAGAAAAAAGGACAAGACCCGCCCGAAAAAACAAGAACCGCTGCGAGATAGGAGTTTTTGTCTGGAGTAAGTTCGAGCAAAATGAATCTGAAGAAGGACGCAAACCGATCGCAGAAGACAGAAAAGCAAGCTAGCTCTTGACGCTGCAACCTTGAAACGCTTCTAGGAATTTGAACAGGTTTTGATGACTAATGGCGCTTAAAAGATATCGCGGTAGGCCATGTCATGGGTTTTTTTAGCAAGATAGCGAACTCCGTACTAGGTTGAAAAAAACCACGTGACTTACGAACCGATAGCATACAGCTCTCGTAATAGTCATATTCCAAAAGATAAAGACAAAACAAGCGCACTGATATCTGAGAAGAAAAGAACAAAAAATGTCAACAAGAAAAGAAACAAAGACGAAGATACAGATGCGAAAAAGTTGGGACCAAAAAATCTCTACTGTTCACCGGCTCAGGCGAAGGCGCCCACTCTTGTGGTGGTGAGTGAGTCAACGACTAGATATACCCTCAAACAAGTCGAGAGAGGAAACTTTTCTATGCTGCGTTAATGTGCAACAGGGGCAAGTACTTATCACACAAGAATGTGAGTTGCACGACCAAGAGACCACGAGTTGTTGTATCTAGGTATGAATACCTATACCCAAGTGGCAAACTACTATGGACGACTCTTGAGGATAGAAGCAAAAACCCTCGCCCCGATGTGCCTAAAATGAATGCCCCGGTCGTGCTGTGGATTTGTAGTTCTTGTTCCAGATGCCTCCATGGAAATAAATCATCACAACTAAGAACAAGGCGGAATTTCGGGTAAGATCATGATTTTCAGTACGTGTCGCAACTTCGCCTTTTTCCGTTTCTTCCTTCTTGCCTCCACCACGGGTTATGCGTTTCATATCATGTTTGAAGTGCGTTCCGTTGTCCTCAACATTTTAAAGAAATGCAAGAAACTGCTATTTAGCAGCTAGCACCAGCAGCCGTGGCGAGTGCAGTTCTTGTCAAGAACTACAGAGTTTTGCTATTTCTTTCGGAGAAGTGCATACCTAGCACTAGCACTAGCAGTAGTACCACCCGCCAGTTACCCCACTACGTTTTTATGTGTAGTTTTACGACGACCTAATTGCAAATACCACTCCGAAGTTGTAGACTTGCTATCAATCAGAACAATCAGAGCAGCAGAAACCAGTATGTCCACGCTCGTCTTTCCATCCGTGTCTGTGCAGCTGTCCCAGGACCACGACTTCATCGAGCCCAAACTGGCAGACCATGCTGGTGCGACGGCTTCTCCGCTACAAGTACTCCGCGAGGAAATCAAAGAACTCGCGACCCCAACATCTGACAACGAAAAGAATCGTCCCTCGCAGGAGCTGCAGCAACCCACCTTGCCGTTCATTCTCGAGGAGGACGAGGATGAGCAGCTGGGACTTCTACAATTACCCGGGCAGCTGCTGGTGCAGCAAGGAGGTGCAACCCGCGCTGCGTTTTTCGATGAAGTGGACGATTTGAACAAGAACGCCAGTGGTATTCCTTTCTTACCCCCGCTCCGGCGCACCCACGGTATCAAGTGTAAAAATGTCTGGGTCTGGAAGAATGCAAGTTTGTCATGCGTGTCTGGCATGACTCGAGAATCTGTGTTGCATAGGCACGAAAAGGCCCTCTTACCTGTCATGCAAAAACGCAATTTGTCATGCGGAATACGTAAGACATGGAAGCCAAAAAATTTGTCATGCATAGCAGCGTATTGCAGTCCGTCTACTATTCACTTTTAGCATCACAAGTTTCCAGACCCAGACATTTTTGCATTTGATACACGGAGCGCCGAAACTGTTTTCCTCCGACGGCACCGTCTCCGAAACGCCTGCGTCTTGTATGAAAAGGAAAAATCCCCCCTCCCCATATCAAAAAGGAAATCTGTGATGCTGGATTTGCGTACACAAATCAGATTTGTACTTGAGGAAGGCATTGCGGCCAGATCCTCAGGCTAGGTAGGGGCGTATGGGTCTAGTTGTTCAGCATTGCAAGCGGCTGACCTTTAGGCCCAGCAGCATGACAAAGGCATCCATAATCTGGTAACCAAATGCGTGCGCGCGCGCGCGCAGAGCGCGCGNTTGTCGCTCCAGCGCCACAAGTCCAAAACTCTCCGGTAAAAACGTCCAGATATAAACAGGTCCAGAGAGCCACTGAGCATGCAGCAGCTGGATCGAATGGGGTGATCGCAGTACAGACTCGGGGACGGGCCTTGAGCGGAGAAAAGAAGACAGCGTGGCACTGAAGTCCTAGGCTGTGTACACCTAGCAGGGCTATTTGTTCACGGGTGGCACTGAAGTCCTAGGTTTTGTACACCTGGCAGGGCTATTTGTCCACCATTTACAACTCTATCTCCAGCTCGGCTAGTCGTCCTCAGAAACATGTCCTATGGTTAGCTTAAAGAGAGAGTAGCTTAGTAGTTAGAAGCTGACTATAGAGGTGTCCTCCTCCTCCTCCTCAACAAGAAAAGAAACAAAGACGAAGATACAGATGCGAAAAAGTTGGGACCAAAAAAATCTCTACTGTTCACCGGCTCAGGCGAAGGCGCCCACTCTTGTAGTGGTGAGTGAGTCAGCGACTAGATATACCCTCAAACAAGACTCCAGCTCTTTCCTTCATTATTCGGTTGTTTCATGTTTAGGTTTTTTTTCCTGAGCGGAAGCGACTTGGCGAAAAAAATAGAGACATGGAGTGCCGTCGTGCTCGAGAGTACATCACGGAGAACCACTGTACGGCTCGCGGCAAGCGCTGAGGGCCGGTAGAGCAATGTCATCGATGGAGGTGGTTCTCTGAGAGACTACAAGCAACCGCCAATCAAAATCATGGGAAACACTCCAGCACCAACCGCAACCCTTTTCGACCAACCCCAGCCTGACGTTTTCCGCTACTGGCACGAGCCGGAGAACATTCAAGAAAACTGCATCTTTTGCCAAATCGCAAACGGCAAAATCAAGCCCGGGCTGAACCGCAGCCAGGAACTGCTCTACCAAGACGACCTTATCGCCGCCTTTTACGACATTGACCCCGCGGCGAGCGAACACATTCTGATCGTACCAAGAATGCATGTGAAGAACTGCTTTGCGGGGAATTACACAAAGGAACTACATGATCGCATGGTGGCGGCCGCACAAAAGATTGTGTCTGAGCCGAGGATACAACAGCCAGACGGCGTGCAGTTGTTTGTCGGAGGTCGGTCTGCTACTGCTGCTGCTGCTACAAGTAGCACAGCGAGCGGGGGAAGTGCGGATGAACAACCACCCCAAGCATCTGTCACGACCTCGGACCAGGCTGCTTTAGAGGAATTGCGTCAGAGAGTTTATTCGAAGGCAGATTTCCGCAACTCCGACAAGATTCGAACGTTTTTCATCCGTCCACCCTGGAATAGTGTCTATCACGTTCACATGCACGTCATGGTACTGCCAATGAAAGAAAATCTACCGTTTTTTCGAAGGCTTGGGTTTCAAAACCCATGGTTTCATATAGCCACTGATGAGCTGGAAAAAGAGAGAAGGTGGCAGTTGTCGTAAAAAAGCGTAAGTGCTGTTTCTGTTTGCCTCTCGCCGGTAGGGCACCTGGCTATGTCGGCGTCCTCAGTCGCCGCAAGGTCGAGGACTGAGCAAGAAAAAAAGATACCGCTTGGTCCATGTAGATGATGTTCTGTCGTTGCGGATGAGTGACATGCATTTCTCGAGAACTGGATCTCTCTTCCGTTTTACTTTTGCTCAAGAACGCGATGGGATGCGTGACGGCTTCGAGAAGATGTTGAAGATCTTTGACAATTTGAATGAATCCCGTTTGTTTTTTACCCACAAGATCCGACCTTCACTGGTACAGGCAGGCCGTATTGCGATAATATGGGCCGCTATTTTCAAAGATCTTAAGTTGCCACGCTTCCCGCTAGAAAGTCATACACAGCCTCAACCCTGCTGTTTCATTACCACTGTCTTCTCCTATCTAAACCGTCGAAACTACCGTACAACCGACCTGCTGCGCGCTCATGTTCAAGTTCACATGTTGTTTTTGATGATTTGACAGAACGAAACCGTATAACCGAACCGCTGCGCGCTCATGTTCACATGTTGCTTTGGATGATTTGACAGAACGTGATATCCTCCCACCTCTTCACGCCGCTCTTTGGCTTGTAGAAGATATGTCGTATGACTTTGTAGTGTTGTCGTGATTCTTAGACACAACCATCTTGAGCCTTCGTTTGCCAAACGTTACTTTCTGAATCGACCTGGGCGTATGTGATAAAAATCTTTCTTGATTGCACTGCTAGTTTATTACATTTATTGCAAAGTGTTTTTTATTTTTTTGCACAAGAGTCAAGATGTTGCCACGCGCTTCTTTTTTCAGCTGTGTTTGGATTATCAGTTCCCTCGCATGCCTCCAATTCATAGCGGCCAGAAGCAGCGACTTCCGCGTTCACAACTTTTTCGAACGAACAGCGGAGGAGTTTCATCGTGCAAACGCAACCCCCGCAGGAGAAGCGACGAGTCAAAGTCACTCAGCGACCTCCTCCCGGGTAACAGCATCATTTCTGCCCAGCGCGCCTCCGTACATTTTTTCATCGCATAGGCCGGACCATCACCACCATGATGGGGTCCGAATTGTGCCCCCTGTCGGTGAGGAGCAGGAGGCTGGTCGCGCGTATAATTTCAATTTCGACCACCACGTCGAGAACAGCGTCGGAGTGGCCGATGCAGCACGAGACGGACATGAAAACTACCAAGAGTCGCAGAACGGTCCTTTGGGTCCTCGTCCTGTGTTACCCTTGTTACTAACACTTCGAAGAAGGCGTGTGGACAGTGCAGCTGGGCGAGCGCCAGGTCCTGAAGAAGATGACTCCTTGCACAACAAGATTCAGCACGGGGGTAGCAACACAGACGAAGATGCAAAAACTATCTCCCCGGCATCCACGACCAGATCTGCGACACCAGAGCAGCATGAGAAACCTGATACAGCTTCGACTGCGCATAGTTCTAGTTCATCGACACCGTTCTTGTCTTCGGTCGTAGCTCCTCCAGTTTCTGCCTTTAGTGCGGGCGCCCGCGAAGACCTGCTAGTACTGGAAAAAAATCGCGATGGTTTTAGAGAAAGTGAACAACTAGAAGGCTTCTCTCCAGCACAACAAAAAGGGCCGACCGACCCACACCTGCGCAGCGAAGAACTTGAGAGCAGCAAGAAAGATCTCGGAGACCTCTTTGCCGCGTGTCTTTCCCCACTAAGCACGGCCGGCGCGGGTACGACCGTTGCGCATTTCCTCGTTCCCCACATGGCGGATTTACCAGGACATGGTCCTCGCGCGTCAAAAGCTTCTGGTGGAAATAACCGTTGGAGTTGTGCGGCGACGCGCGCCCGCGACCAGTACTTCGCGCACTGCCAGTACACAGATACAGGAGAATGGTTGAGAAACGGCACTGCTGAAGAGGTGGCCGCGCTTCCCGGCGCTTCGAGTCGACGTCCGGCGGAGACAGCACACGAAGGAGCCTCAACGTCTTCCCGCCGCGTGGTCGCGTCCTCTTCTTCTGCGCCCGCTGCTATGCGCTTTTTGAAAACCGTGGTGGGCAGCGCCAGCAAAGGCGCGCAGCAAAGTGCACAGGAGGTGGCGGAACTCTTGGACCAACAATTTTTTGTGACAATAAAATCATGGCGGGAAGTGCTGAACTTTCTGTATCGAGAAAATGGCGGCACATGCCAAAAATGCGGTGACAGGCCAGAAGGAGATATTAATTGCGCAGCGGGCGGTCCTCAACAACAACAAGTACAAGGAGGAAGTCGTGACGACTGTGATCTCGAACTTGAGTTCATACCTGACTTGGTCCTGTCCCCTTACCCAAAACTCTACGACGATATCGCGCGGGCGGACTTTGAGCGCATTTTGGAGGACGTCAAGGGCCAAATGCAGTTCAGGGCTAACCTTCTGCGAACGCTACGGGGCATCCAGCATGCTCTGGCAGCAGACCAAGAAAGTAGACATCAAAGGGCACCGGCGCATGAACAACAACAAGGCGCTCCACGGGTAGACCACCCAGGCGAATTTTCAGACAATTTGTCAGGAACAAGCATCGAATGGTCATCACCTCCAGGAGCAGTTGGCGCTGTCGGCGACCGAAATTCATTACAGTCACCTGACAATAGAACACCATCGCAAGAAGAGCACCCAAAAACCGAAGACATTTCTTACGAGCTGCCCGCGTCGCCCAATATGAAAGAAGAGCAGCTAAGAAAAATTCAAGCGGCCTGCGAGGGCCTGCGTCCGAAAATTCCGCCTGCGTTCTTCACAGAAAAACAATTCTTCTGGGATTTCTTGCTGGGGCGCAGAAACTTTTTCCTCGCCTACTTTAATCTTCGAGACGTGGCGGACGCAATTCAAACCACCAGCTTCGCTCCAAAAGTCGCTCCGGTTCTGTTGGAGATGTTCGGCTCGATAGGGAAAGCCACCCTGGGTGGAGGCGAAAGTAGTGGTGTTCCCTCGTCATTAGGCGCCGCCACTCATGCCGATCCATCGCGAGGATCAACCCCAGGCGTCCACCAATCAGGCGGATCAACAGGCTCGACAGAGACTGCATCTACAGCAGCAGCTTCACAACACAGCACTACGACCACTTTCTCATCTACTCGGAGGCGTCAAAGCATGCCCAGTAGCGGTGTTGAAACTTTTTACCAAACTCCATTCACCTCCCATATCAAATGCAAAAATGTCTGGGTCTGGAAGATTCTAAACTTGTGATCCTGTCTCTGGATTAAAAAAAAAACTGTATTGCATGACCAGCAAGAGGACTCCAGTTTGTGCTATACGCGGAGAGGGCATTTCTCATGCGGTAGAGGTATCGCAAAGGCAAAGCGCTCTAAAAATCTGTGATGCTACGGCATGCATCACAGACGTCATGGGTCACAGAAAATATGCATGACAAATCTAGAAATCTTCCAGACCCAGACATTTTTGCATTTGATATCCCAGAGCCAGCAGCAATTTGTCCGAAGGCGACTCACCAACAATGTGTTTCAAGTGTTGGCGAAAAGCGATGGCGCGTATCTGCGGTATTACGACGCTGTCACAGCAACGAAGCGTGTAGCAGCGCATTGTCTACTTCCTCGTTCGGCTTCCAAAGGAGCAAGCAGCTCTGGCTCTACCATTCCGACTGAGTTGCTGTCACTCCCTCACTGGTGTAGTAGTCAAGGCTCGACGAAGGAGGTGGACGAGAACAACGAGAGGCAGCATGTTCTTGAGAAAGAAGTTGTACTAAGCTGCTTTGAAAGATGGCGGGAACTCTTCAGTGCGATGTTGTTGGGTGGAGCAGAGGCAGACCACGAGCAAGAGGAAGATCAGTCACAGCAGCATAATACAAACGCTGGACAGCCACCGCAAGAAGTTCATGGTGCGCAAAGAACAGCACCAACTCAGGCGGAAAGCTTACGCATGCAACGGCTTCTCCCTCGCTTACCAGGTGTTGTTGATGTGGGCTCTTCTGCTGCAGAACTGCCTCAAGCTCGACCCCGGCACCAAACACGACACGACGACCAAGAGCAACAAGATGATGAAGGGGATCACAATGCTTTTCAGAATCAGAACGAAGGGGTCTTTATGTACCGGAATCTGATCCTCAATGACCGCCAGCGGGAGGAGCAGGATGTCCGCGAGCTCCTTGCTGAGCAACTGAGTGCGCAACTGGACGAGTTGCACCTGACAGACGACGAGGAGGAAGATCACGATCCGGCTGATGTTGCCCATCATCTTGATGCGTTCGATGTTTTAACCGACCGAACCCGAAATGAAAATGCAGGTAGATCACGTGGTCATCCTCCACCACAAATTCCGCGCACCACTCGCATGACCTCCACGGCGACCGTGCCGCCGTTTCTCACAACCGAGGGGAACGGCGTCACTCCGATACCTGGAAGCCAGTTCGTTTTTCGAGGCGGCGGTTTAAATATCTCGAATCCCCGGCGCATTCCTCCAAACCAGGCTGACCAACGACCCTTCGCGAGCAGAAGCGCTCGCACTCGCAGTCTGCTTCTCCCCTCGCCTCAGGCGTCGTTCTTCTTGTCCGCGCCGATGGTGTCCTTGGTACTGCGGCGCGTGGTGCTACCGTATTTGGAATTCTTGTCCACTTTCGCGGTCGTGTCTCGGACCGGAAATAACAACTCCACCTCCGCGCAAAAGTTTCTGCGTGTTGCCGAGCCCCTCAATTCCGACGCTTTGACGGAAAAGGTGAGTGCGATCACGTCGTTTCTAACTTCCTGTCTGCAGTATACGGGGGAGTTGTACCAAGAACTTTCCGTCGACGTCATTCGAAGCGAGGAGGAAGCACGGGCGGCAGTGAGGCGACCGTCCGGCATACTAAGGGTGTTCTATTTGAGGAGCTTTCCCTTTTTGAATACGGATCGAGAGTACGTTCGCTTGTTCCGTGAGGTCGCGACAATTGTACGACATGCAGAAATGCCTGAAGAGACCGATCCCGCACCGAAACAGCACGGTGCGCCGGATCAAATGAGAGGGACAACAGCAGCAGCCAGTGCCAGTTCATCAAGTGGCGAGGGCGACTCCTTCCCCGCGTACCACACAGGAGGCACTCAACATAGGGACGACGAAGAGATAAATGCTGAAACGCGTGTGCTGCATGAGCGAGGACGGCCCCAGCAGCACGACCTTGTGCGAAATGAAGAACCTCCATTCTCACTTCCGCTGAGACAACGGTTTGGTGCCGGGCGACCAGAACCATTTTCCGTCGGAAGCCCAGAGCGCAGCTGGAGGAACAGCGATTTTCTACTGGAGCGCCGACGAGTAGTATCGGCGGCGGTTAGTACCGGAACAACGAGAGAAGAACGACCAAGGGCTTCGCCACCTGTTTCTGCATCCCGCCAGAGCGCGAGCGGCCAAGAACCTGGGGCAGGAACAAACATTGCGGGAGGAGGTACTGCTACTGGAAGCGGTACTACTAGACGCGCCGCACGGATGAGTCCAACATGGGAAAGCACCGGCCCTGAAGAGTTTACTTCCCGAACAGGGCGACGATCTTCAGTTTTCCCATCCTTCATCGCTGGCATATCAGGGTCAAGAAATGCAGCAGGAGCTGCTGCACCTTCTACTGCGGGTCCAGCACATCAAGCACTTCAAGCTCCAACTGCATCAAGAACGACGACGGTGGTGCAACGGGATTTTGAGATTCTCTGTGAGGATATCGTCCGGTCCTTTGTTTTCCTCGGACAAAAATTCCCGCACACCCGCGACATCGTCAACCTACGCATGACGGTGTTGCTCCTGCAGATTCAAGCGGCTGCACGGGGGGATGATGGAAATCCAGGGAATGAGATCTGGGGCCGGGAGCCCTTTGCGCTGTTTTGCAACGCGGACCAGGTGTTGCAGGCCACTTTTTTACCGGTGTAAAAAAGAAGGTAGGCGTTCATTCAGCTACTCGTTCATGTGAGAGGCTGCAAATCGGACGATTGAGATTCATTGTGAAACTCTGCTACAACAACGTAACAAAGATGAATGGGCAGAGAAGCAAGTGCAAGGAGGATACCATGCCTCGTATCACCGACATAGACGTCGTCGAGGTCGAGGACAACACAAACATGATCTATCTCTCACGACATAGAAAAATAAACATGACCTCTTGTGATATTTTGTTACGCCAGTCGCAGTTGTTTTTGGGTTTTGTTCTTCGTTTTGAATTTGATGAAGATATCGACAAAACGGCAAAACCTGAAGCTGTCGAAATGCTTGCTCAGTTGTTTTCCTTAGTGGTGATAGACCAGAATAAAAGCGTACAGGAGTGGACTTCTCATCCGCGAAGATTGGCAGGCCTTTATACCTGACCGAATAGCGTAGTTTTTGTTTCTTGCAATACTTTTTCTCCTGGTTTTTTTAATAAGATGACACAGCTAGTTGTTTCCTTCTCCTTGTTCGAGAATTTCTTTTTCGTCTTGAAACTAAATATAGTCTGACTCAACAAGGACCAACAATGACGCACCGCACCCTTCGTACTCGTTTCGTTTCGTTCAGGCCGGCAGGACAGCGTCCGATAATTCCCTCCGCCGCCAGTACTGCATGTCTGTGGACAGATAGCAGTGATTTTCTTGTAACAGGTCGTGCTTCCTCATCAGTTCGTCGTGGTTGCTCCTTGCAGCGGTCGCGACCAAGAGGATTCTCATCGGCAAGAACCCAAGCAGCGCCGCTTGCGGGTTCTTCTATTCACGATTCGGTTGTACCTGCGCAGAAGGAGCAACTTCTGTCGCCTACAGCTACCCTCGAGGACCACGAACAGCCGGCCGGACCGAGGAACCGAACTACTGGCGAGCAAAGTTCTGCTCTAGACACGATTGCCAGCACTGGTGATCAACAAAATGCCCTCGACGAAGATCCGGAGCGTGCGCCAGCTGCTGGTGCGCAGGAAGCACTAGAAGTCGAGCAGGAGGTGGAAGAGACCACAAGGCCGATCAACTTTTACAATCTACCGAAATACGGTATATCCGGACCGAAGTCGGTAATCGAAAACTGGCCATTTCTCGTCCGCAAATCATTGAAGCAGGACCTCCAAAGCGCAACCGACGTTACGTTCGTCTTCGGCCCGCAAGGCAGCGGCGCCCGGTCGGCGATGCGCAACGCGCTCGAGCGGGAGCTGGATTTCGATTTTTACGGATTCTGTAGCGCCGACGAGAATTATGCAACGGCAGAAGAAGGAGAACAACAAGATTGGAGAGCGTACAGCTTTCCTTTACTGGTCGAAACTTTTGTCGAAGAGCTGACAGAGACCATCCCGCCCATCGGCCCTGCGGGCTGGGAGGAACTCAGAGACGGACCGTTTTTTGAAGAGCTACAGAAGCCGAACCCAGTAACAGAAACAGTCCGACACCGACAAGGTCTAGGAAGTCGTGGCTCTACTATTCGCACTGGTACTCGTGCTGCTCCCCAGAGCCTGTCGCTTGACCGTCACTGGCTCACCCTTTGTGCGAAAATCGCCCTGGACGAAGTTTCCCCGGACCAGCACCCAGCCGTTTCTTCGTTGCGTGAAACTAGCGCTCTTACGGACTCAGAGTGGGCGGACTTGCGGCAAAGGCTCGCGAGTGTCCTGAAGAAATCTCCTCCGGCGCACGAAGAGGGCGCAGCTGGGAAGAAGACCATATCAAAAGGCAAGGAGTGCTGGCAAATTTTCTGTGATGCGGTGAGGAGTGTCAGTGTGATGTCTCCATCATCATCCGGCGAAATACCTGCTGTTGACGCGTCCTCAACCGCGTTTGACAAGGTCGAATTTCTTGTCGACCTCTTGACGAAAGATCTTGTTCCAGGGAAAACAAGCAGCAGCGCCAGTAGAAGGTCCGCATCAACAGACCAGAACTCCACGTCACTGCTAGACCAAATCTATCACTTTCTGCTCTTTCTCCGACACACGAGGATGCTGCCTTCGGCTCTGCCACGCACTGCCTCCGGAAGTGGAAGTGCTGCTGCACAGGTCGATAGCAATTCCGAACGGGATCAAGAAAGAGAAAGAGAAGACCACGTGGACGATCTAGGCCAGGAGGCCTATCCCAGTGCCGACGTCCTCGCCTTCGCTAATTGTGGCGCTTTGCTTCGGAACTTCAACAGTCAGGAAGCTAGTTACCAAGGAAGCAGTAGTATCAACTACGGCGCGAAATTTCTCGGCCTGGTCGAAGCCGTTTTCAGCGGCCATCCCGTGCTACTGCACATGAATGGCGACGGCATGGCGTTGCTGGAGCAGAACCCGCAAAACCTCATCACGGTGGGCCTGTTGAGCGAAAAGATGGCGAAGTCCCTGTGCGAACTGGTGCTTGCGAAACATAAAATTTCTTTGGAGTGCAACTTGCTGAAGAATGCAGAGCTGCGGAAACGGTACGAGGTGAAAGCCAACCCACTGGAGAACCACGTGGACGAGTTTTACCTGAGTTACTGGGACTTCAAAACGGTGTACAAGTTCCTGGGCGGCCACGTGCGGCACTTGAAACTCTTCTTGCAGGAATTGATCGCCCTGGCCGCGAAAACGGAAAAGCCAACGACCCACGAGGAGCAGGACAAACTCCGCCACGAGTTTCAGTGCCCGAAGAATCTGACGCACCAGCTCCTGCGGGTGGTGCGCCATGCGGTATTAGCGGGGGACACGTTGCAAACCGAGTACAAAATCCAGTACTTCTTGAACAGCTGCGGACTGTTGATGCAAGAAGGAGACCAAGATGCGCCGGAACACGAGCAAGACCACTTGGAGCGAAAGAACGCGAGTAGTAGTGGCCTGTGCGACGTTCACGTTGAGGAACAGAACGAGTCGGAGTCCAGCAGTGAGCTTTCATCTTCGCTGCAGGTACAACAAACACAAGGCCAGGACCAGAAGAAGTCCACAAGTGCATCAGCAGCACCAACACCAGATTTCGCTGCTTTCCCGCCGGCCAAGAAGATGCGGATCATGGAGACGGTCCGGCTTCTTATCGATTCCGACGCAAACCAGGGGGAAATTCTCGTGAACAACAACTTCGATATCACAAACCCAGTTCTGCTGGCCCTTCTCGACGCGCAGCTGCTAATTCCCGACTGGGATCCCGCGAGGTTGCAATTCCCGAACGAGTACACCAAGCACTGTTTGCGCCTCTGGGTAGACGAGGAATTTTTGAAGTTAGGAAAGTTGGAAAAGCTAAAATACCAAGCAGCGTGCTGGCAGGAACGAGAAGGGATTAAGCAAAGCGTGAAAAGGATTTCTTGCTGATCGAAATAAATGGGTTGTCTCTTTATGACACTGGTGACAGTGTGGTCGACATGGAAAGTGGTAAATTTATTTATCGACGTGTGGACGATGCATCTGATGTGATAGACTCAGACTTCACATCACGACTAAGAAATATTTTGAAGCATAGAAATGCCCTCTGCGTGCTTCTTGCACGATGGGCAAAAAGAACAAGCGGAAGCAGAAACTCAACGAAAAAAAGTAGTGTTGCGCTCCCTGCACTACAGCTACACCAAGGGCCCGACCTATTCAGCAGGTCATCGGATGATCTAGTTTGTTATGTGGCGTGGCCTTCATCTTCAAGATGAAGGAAAGTCGAATCCACATTTTTGATTGATTATCAACAGCATGGCCATTGTACAACTGCTTTAGACAACAAAGGATCAAACTGCAGCAGATACGATCAACAACAGCTCAACCTCGATCAGGATTTTCGCTTAACTATCAAGATCGCTGCAAGACGATTTAGAAGTGACCCATCAGATCGTCGAACTTTTCTAGAGGACGACTATTTTGTGCGCTCATTCATTCTTTGCAAGCAAGTATGCTTCTTTGAGTCACCCGAAACCTCTACGACGTCCACCAATGGAATTGCAAGTAGTGTACTAGCCCTGAATGGTACACATGCGCCCTTTCTACCTATCCTCGATGTTGTAGACCGCATGTGTGTTTTTATCGTTATCCAGGTGATTACGCTAGTATTTCGTTTGCTGCATTGGCCTTCTCTAAAACTTGTCTCCTTCTCCACAATAGCGGCCTTTAGGTTTGCTTCCTTTTACTACGAAGACAGAAAATAATTGTTTTGAAAAGTAATTTCATTCGTATCTATAGGTTTTTTTTACAACGTATCGCTATCTTTATCGAAAAAATTGACTTGTGTCCACTGCTCAAAAATGGAAGGGACCTCAAACCTCGACCTCCAGGAGGTTATGTCCGGATTCGGAATGTCAAAGCCGCGTCCCACTTTACTTTTTGCTTTCCTTGTCGTCGGCGGCTTCATTTGTCAGACGGAAGTCGCGGCGCATCGAGTTGCGACGAGTGCTGCTTCCTCATCGTCTCAGAATGATGGAAGCACTCGACGAAGATTTCTCGCGCCGCAGGATAATGAAGAAGAACTGACCACGAGAGCTGGTGGTGCAGCAGCATCTGCAATGCAAGTGGATGTTGAGGAAGGTGAACATGTCTCGCCTGAGCACGACCAAGAAGGAGTCGGACCAATTTTCGGCCCACGACCCGAGCAGCTTGGAGCGAACTTGTTTGATGGGGCTCGTAGCGGACCCGGACCAGGCACTTCGAGCGCACGACCAGTGCCCGTCCTGCGAGACCACGAAGGCAGAGGCACTTTACTTGCAGATGACATCGAGATCGACGACGCGCATATCATGGCTCCTTTTGCGGACGAGGTAGCGGACGCAGAGCGATTCATCCGGCAATCGGTAGATGGTGGGGCCGGTCGTGATGTAGATGCGGCCCCCGAAGATGATCGGGGTGCAGTTGTGCTTCATGGCGAAGAAGATATAGAAGATGTTGGCGGGGAGCACCAGCAGGCCGCCACGGCGCATGATAGTGATACGGAACAAGCACCCCACCCAGACCAAGATGAGGCAGAGGCAAACGCAGATTCGGACTCAAACGAGACGTCAGAGGACGAAAATGACGCGCTGCGGCCAGAACGCAGGCCTAAGCCCAGCAGCTGTTCCCGTATTACATCTCTCGCTGTGAAGTCCTGCGCTCTCTTCTTCGGCGTGGTTCCTCCTTTCTTCTGCCTTACGACTCTCCGGCCTCATGCGCGGGTGATAGAAGCCCGAACCAAAGCCTGGAACAACTTTGCTGCGACACAAGAAGACAAGTTTGAGACGGACGCATGGTATCGGAACCAACGAGCCACCCGACACCTTGTTGACTTGCCGCCGACGCCTTTCCGGGTGCGAGGCCATGAGCACGATGTATGGGCGTTGATTGCTTGGCACCAGCAAAAAGAGCGCGTTTCCCCTTTGCCGACCCCCCACAACAATGTCGGCGAAATAACCTTTTCCCTTGCCGGCTCTGGGTATATGCACTGCAAAAGTTGTCATGTTATCGTGGTCGCTAGTAAAATTCGCAAGATGAATCAGCTGCACAATAATCTGATATACGAAAATATTTATTTTGAAGATGGAGATGCAGAAAATGAAAAAAAGGCACATTTGAATTTGTCATGCCAGACCCAGCAATTGAAATTTTTCGAATTACTGCGAGACGAGCGATATTACTTTTGCACAGAATGACGTCCGAAAAGTTGCAACTGATGTTGTTTCGTTTTGCGGACACGGTGCTCAAAGACGACGGAATCGCGTCGTTGTACGTGTTGCGAAATACTCAGCTGGAGATGCGGTCGGTGCTGCAGTCCTGCATTGACATTACACATGTGGAGTACAAAAGGCAAAACGCAGCGAATTACCCAGACGAACAAATCTACCAAGACACTTACAATACCGCGCTGGAAAAAATGCAAGCTTGCGGAATTGCGATACTGAATGTCATCGATGCTGTAGGGTTGCGAATGCTCCAGTCAAGAGAGGAAGTAGTCCACGCCGCCGGAGGCGGGGATGGAAAAATTAAAAGCACTAGTGAACGACGACAAGAACTGAAGTCCAAGAAGCAGCTTTTCACTTTGCTAACGCTCAGTCTGGCGCTCTCGGAACTGGACGCGCTGGAATTCCCGGCCTCACCGCCGAAAAATCAATACGTCTTATCTGGAGCGCATGGGCAAACATATGCAAGATGATTTTATTACAACCGCCGCACACGTACAAAACCTCCATGCATACAGAAATTTTCGACCTCGAACTCTGTTTTTGAATAAAATACGGCGTTTCAATCATCGTCTAGGTCTACTTGTTATGCTGAATAGCAAACAAAAATAGTCCTGTTAGGCAGATCGATGAGGTGCCACTTGGAACAAGTCAAGTTGTACGTGTGCGGTGAAAGTTTCACTGTGGATGCAGCGTCCTGGCTGGAAGAAAGCTTTTTCGGTGCTCCAAACCCTGACCGTGTGAAGGAACAAGAGGAGGAACTTGAGCGAAGACGGGACATAGAAGCACTACACGATGTTGAGGAGCAACAAGAAACCGCCACCGCGCAGCAGCATGCTGAACTACCAGGCACCACAGATACTGATATTACAAAAACCAAGCTCACGACGAGTTCGAAGAGGAAGTTCAAGCTGCCGAGCAGGCTAGAGCGATGGACTGGCAGCGACATGCTTGTCTGGCTGTTGAGGAGCAACGACCTCACTATGCTACACCTGTACTCGGCCTTAGAAAATCTGCAGCACAAGTTTGTCGAGTACTTTCGATACGTACGGGACGAGGTAAGTGCCGTTGATCCACCTCGACGGTCGGCATTGTCCGCGGATGGGGCCAGTGGAGGAGATGGAGACCACGACGAATATTGCCGGCAACAAGATCATACCGAGGTAGATGCTGATGGCGTGGTCACCGTCAGAACTGGGGTGCGGAATCCGATAGCGTGTCGCTTTTCCCGCTTCGCTCGGTCGTCCGGGTTGTTCCTGACTACAACTGGGGGTTCTAGTGCAACAGATATGCTGTCGTCGACATGGGGATCCTTTGCTCTTTCATGGAAGAATCTGAATGGCGCCTGGCAGTCAATGAAAGAGGAGGCTCGGAGGGAGTTGCTCCAGCACACCCTTGGAATGGGAAGCCGTGTGGCGTCAGTACGGAATCTTTTGCAAAGACGCATATCGGAAAAGGCGTTCCTGGAAGACGCATCAACTGTCTCCGTCGATGCCTCGTCGGCAACCGCGACCGCGACGTCAGCTGGCGATGGAAGTAGTTCATCTTCCCGCCCCGCGAATGAAGATGTGCTGATCAAACGGCCAGAAGTAGACGAAAACAAACTCACGCAAACCCACTGGACCAGTGGAATGAAGATCTCTCCACGCAATCCTGACGACCTCTTTGCCATGGAGCTGGAAAATGAGGAACAAGATGATGGTCCTGCTCCTCATTACAAGAAGGCTTTCGACCTGCTCCGCTTTACCAAAAACGAGCTGCAGCCCCGCCTTAACCGGTTTTTCCGGTTCAGCAAACATGACCAGGTTGTTAGAAACGGCGAAGCGAAATTGACGCAAGAGCAAAAGGACCACTACTTCCGGAGGATCCGCGCCGCGCTCGGAGGAGACGAGGAAAAGGCCCTGCGCCTATACAAGACAGTGGAAGAGTGGGCCGAGGCGAGAAACCTTTCCGGGAAGGACGAGCTCGCAGCTTTGCGAAAGGAGGGGGTGTATGCAAAAGATCTGCTATTCCTCAACCGTATCCTGCTTGCCAATATCAAATGCAAAAGTGTCTGGGTCTGGAAGAATGCAACTTGTGATGCTGCATTTGCGTGTCTAAAAAGTTTGTGTTGCATGAGCAGCATAAGGAGTCTAATTTTTGCCACGCGGAGAGGGCATTTGTCATGCGGAATAGGCATCAAGAATCCCTCAAAAAAGAAAAACCTGTGATGCTAGGGCATGCATCACAGTCAGACGTCATGGCTCATGCAAACCGTGCATGACAAGTCTCAGAATCTTCCAGACCCAGACATTTTTGCATTTGATAGCCAACCCGGACGAGTGGGAGGCACAGTTCACTTGCGAGGCGACGATGGACCGGTGGTGGGCCGCGGGAGTGGAGAAATCAAAAAGTGCTTCTTCTTCACGAGTAGAAGAGGACAAGGAGGACACGACCGAGGGCGAGCTTCTCGACGTAGTGCACAAATTGGAGCGTCTTTATCTGCTGTCACCTTCCTCATCTGCTGGTACCGACATCACTGGCAGGAGCGCCGTCGGAAGCAGCAGCACTGGTCGTGCCCCCCGCGGCGCGCCGACATCAGCACAAGAGCGACGTAGTGCTGATGTGGCAGCAGATGATTTTGATTCAGAAGCACGTCGGACACAAAAAGAACAAGAAGTGCCTGCTGTTCGTGTTCTTTCATCGTTGCTGGAAGAAGATGTTGAAGATGCTACAGCTCATCGTCCCGAGAGAAAAGCCGCGCTGCTCGTACGGAACTTGCTCCAAAAATCTACTCGGTCTCGTCCGACGGGGGCCGATGCTGAGCGACAAAGGATTCATCTCCCGGGTGGAGGATCGCAGCAAATTATAAGCGATCCGAGTATTGCAACAAGAACAACGCTGACCACACCTTCATCCTCAGCGGGAACTTTTGCTTTGAACAAGAAGAGCACTTCGGACCTCCAGTACGAGGAGATGGTCCGTATTGGAAAGGACTACGTAAACGCAAACCTCAACGGGCATCACAACAGGTGGTCCGAGGCCTTGCGATTCGCCTGGCTAATCCAGCAGGGAGGTGCAGTGATTGACGTTGATCTCCTACGATTTCTGTCCTGGTTGGAGGACCTCATTCGTTTGATAAACAGAGATACAAAACAGAAGGACGGACGAGTAACAGACCGAGAAAAAGTTTTCAAGGTTTTCGAGGAGTTTGAGGAGGAGCAGTGCCAGGCGAACTTGGTGGAGCTAGGAAAAGCATTGGCTTCTCAGGCGGAGAAATTTCTTCAGGATAGTTTACGCATTTTTGCAAAAGTCCCTCGCCCGGATGAACAATTGTGTTTGTTGAGGCACGGAAATACCGAATGTGCATATACTTCTAGCACACACATAATCATGCCCGACTGGTTTTGCAGATAAAATAAAACAAGAAGATGAGATCTGCGTTTGTCAACATTTTGTACCAGCACAAACCCAATGGGTATGATCGGGCGATTGCGATGCTTTTGCACGGGATAGGAGTCAGAAGATACCGACTTGCTGTCGTCTACGTGTGCGGCCGCGGACGCAGAGTTTGGTGACCAGCCAGAGCAGGACCCCAGTGCCGGCGCAGCAGCATCATCAAGCGGGCAAAGATCAACAAGATGCGAAAGGGACGCAGGAACAACTACACTTGAGCAGGACTTGCTGATGATTTCAGAAGAAGGCCAAAATCCGTGGCTTCCATTGTTGGACTTGGCAGCTAGAGCACGTGCCGCTGCCATGCTGGGAAAAACAAAGACGCGCGTCGGCGTCGATCTTCAGCATGAAGACAGAAAAGCACAGGAGAAACAAAAAAAAGGAGACCTACTCCGAAGAGGACGAGATCGAGATGATGGAATATTAAAAGTAGCACGTGCACCAGAACCACTCCAGTCAAACGCAAAGCACGAGTTTCTGAAGCGTTTCGTGGAAAGGTTGAACTCCCTTAACTCCGAGGTGATCTCAGCAATAATTGGAAAAGGACACGAAGAGGTGGTGTTCGGCGCACAGAAGCACACCCACGCCGCGGACCATTTGCTCACGCAAAGCAAAAGCTTTGCCGCGCTCTCAGGCGACGAAGTTTCTACTTCCGGGACCATCACCAGCTCCTGGGCCCACAGTCCCCCGAAGGTCGTCAAAGAGGTAATCTTACCACTACAATTGCGGCTGTGGACCATCCTCAGGGACGCGCTGGACAACTGGGAGAGTGAGTTTCTGCAGGAGGAGTGGAAACAATTCGTAAACCAGGTTGCATACCCATTGGAACAAAAAAATAGTAGTACCGGGCGCGGCTGCGAAGGCTTACTACAATTTTTATGGGATCACATTGGCATGACAAGATGACTCCTTTCCTACCTTATGCAACAACAACATCAAAGGATTGTCCATCTTTTAGCTATGCTGAAATTTGAATTTGTAGTGTTGCAACATGTTGTAGTACCTGTACTGGTTTGTACGGGTAGTGCGCCACCCGGTATTTTTAACACTTGCTTTTTATGTTGCATACTGCTAGACCGCTCTTGGTGTCCTTCGCCGCACAGGACCAGACCGCGAGAAGATTTCGCCTGCTCGAAGACGCGCGGGAGGTTAAGGTGGAGGAGTCTCGACGTTCGTCGAATGGGAATAATGCTAACGCAGCTGCCCACGAGGCCGAGCAACAGGAACAACAATCTGATGAGGATTCTGACAACTACACAAGCCTGCAGCAAGTGACCAACTACAAAACCGCCAGCGTAGCGGACTTCTGGCTGGCACCCTGGGCGACCGGCGCAGACGTTGGCGCTGCGGTTGCGCAAATGCAGTAAGTGAAATAACTGTGGTACTCGGTAACTATGGTATGGTCATCGGTCGTCTGCTCTTCTTAGTTTCCATTTTGTTGTTGAAACCCAATTTGGTGAAAATTACTCATAGCGTAGCCGTCGACTGTTTGAGACAAAGGAAAATGCGGCATTTTCCTTTGTCTCAAAAGAAGGCATTGCCTTCGTTGATTCTATATCTATCCTCACAACGAACACAACCAAACCGCGCGCATTTCCTTCGCCGTCGGTCGTTCGTGTGTGCTAATGCGAGTGCTGTGCAATGTTGCTTTTCATATCTACCAAGTGCTCAAGCTGGCGTTAAGTTGCCAAGGTTGTAGGTACAATCGACGCAAGAATTTTTATTTTTGTTGGAAGAGCTCCATCGATCGCGATCGTGTGGTCGGGGGACTCTTCATGGACGAGGTGTTAGAGTTTCAAGCAGCTACAATCTAATCTCTCAGTCTCACACGACTTTCATGAAGAACTGATCGATGAAAATGCAAACACAAGAAAATCAAAGCTTTTGTCGTAGCCCCGCAAGAGCAAACAGAGCGCATCACAACTGGAGGGGTTGAAACGTTTTGTTGTGCTGAAAGAAAAGAAAAATTTACATTTGCAAGATTTTAAACTTTTTCAGTGGCTCCTAGGGTGGCCAGCTTATCACGTGTAAGATAAATGTTTATGATGATCTGAAAAGCTGCAAAGGGGACTTGCTTCTACAAGTACAGCCCAGCAAAAAAACGAAGCACCAGCGCGATGTAGAGGCTAGAAGATGAAATGCCTTCTCAGGATCACCTTGCGTGAGTTCTCGTCCTCTTGTGCAACAAAACGAAAACACCGAACAACTCGCCCCATTTTGACGCCCCAAAGCTGCAGCTTTCACGCGCTATTGGAGGAGGGGACCACATTTATGATCGCCACAGCGTCGCCGTTCTTGCGATGTACTATTAATTTGAGCGCCAAGTACCTGACGAGCCGTGAATGATTATTTTGATCATCAACAATTATATTCATGAGACGATGTGCAAGGCACGCTTGAGATTGCACTTGCATCACCACAAAACGTCGGAAGGCTCGATGGCAATGTCCCACCCGACGTCGGTCACATGAACGCGCCACGACTATTTCCAAGAGCCACACTACTCGATCTTCTATGCCCAGAGCTGCGCACGAGAGACGAGCACTACGTATCGCCTGACAAGATTGGAAAATTGGAGGCGCAAAGCACATGGTCAAGAAAACCTGGCACCATAGATGTTGTTGTTGAGCGTTTGACACTAATCATGTTTTCACGTTTCATCAAATCGAAATCCTATTGGTTTTCGCCCTAAGTCTTTTCGTTATAATTTCGCACAGCGATTATGTGCCTTACAGAAAGTCGTGTAGCTTCGTGAAAGTATTTTGATTTTTTTTCGTAGAGTTCCGGTACAACTGCCACACTTAGAGATAGAAGTTTTTTGATTGAAAAATAAGTACCTCCCACGACGCATCATCCTCTGTGTAGCCCCTCGAGGCCACGGACCGGAGATGATGCGCCGTCGTGAGGACAGCTGCTGTGGCGCAAGGACCATCTAGGTGAACACTCGCGTCGCAGCCGTCTAAGCGAACGCAGCAAGAACTTGCACTCATTCATCGCGAGGACTACGAGGCCGCACTAGCGTGGCGACTTCTACTTCGTTTTCACACGACAAAAAAATGTCGAGCGCCCACTTCGCGAAGCTACGCAAGCTCGATACCGCGGCCGACGACTTTGTGAAGCGTTATGGTGACGAAGACACCGAGCCGGCGGACGCCGCCCCGTTGCGGAAGTTGCTCGCGGCCTTGGCGGATGTGAAGAGCCTGTCGTGGAAACAGGGCGTGGTGATCGACCATGCTGCCGCAAAGGAGCTGGCCCGGCTCGAGGAAGAAGCCAAGGCAGCGGAGGCGGGGGGAGGGACAGCCACAGCTACCAAAGGCACTAAGATGGGCAAGAAAAAATCCTCGCTCGACAATCTCTCCGAGCCCCCCGCGGCGAAAAAGCGAAAAGTGAAGGAAGAAGTGAAGGAGGAACCCGAGGACGACCACGACAAAGACAACCAGGATGGAGAACAAAATGCTGATAACGCAGCAAGTAATTTCCTGCAGAAATTCGCCGTCGGCAAGGGCCAGCCGACCGAGGTGGAGTCGGAAGAGACGAAAAAGCTAAGGGAGATCAGCAACAAACTTTTGCCGGTGCTGCAGAAGTGCATAAAATGGGGCGCGGACGAAAAGACAGCAAACGCATCCAAGAGCAAAACCATGGAACGCGAAACGGTCGAGTGCTACGGGTACAGCCCAGTTTTAATGGCTAGCGAGGACTAATTCATCATGTTCGCTGACGCAGTCAACATCGCTTTTTTATACAGAACTTTTTTATAACACTTTGGATATGATCGCAGTAGGAGCTTGTTGCACAGCACTACTTTGAAGTTGTTTATGAAACACTGCATCGATAATTCCGACGACGAAATGCACCGTTGTACTACACCTACTTCAAAACAGCGTCGTCCCACTGAAGGCCATGGTCGCTTACCTGGAGCTGCTGACCATCAAGTACATCCCGACAACCCTTCCCGTCGAGGAAATCCACGTGGATTTGATCACTTCGCTCAAGCAGATTTTCCGCGAGCTGGTCCAGTCCTGTTTTGACTACCTGAACAACACACAGGCGAATATCACCTGAAAATTAACCATCCCCATCCAATTTGTCGTGCAAAACACGTAGCAAGTTCTGTGTTTGTCATGCAAAAAGTGGATGGGGATGGTTAATTTTCAGGGAATAGGGAAGTGGGGCATCGAATTCGACCCGATCGTAAAGGAGGAACTGCACAACTTCGGCTGCGAAGTGTTGATCAAACTCCACGAGTACGTGGAGAGGAGGATGAACGCCATCCCCGGCCATTTGTTGGATCAGTTGATCGTGCTTTCCGTGGGCGTTTTCTACTACAACGCGACCACAAACCGGCTCTGCGACGCCGCCGAGAAGTTAGCGATCAGTTTCTACGCGAAACCGGCGACAGCGGAGAACACGTCGAACGTGCGGAAGTCGATTTTCCAGGAGATTTTTGTCAACTTGAACAAAATCCCGCACAAGAAGATGAAAAGGAAGGAATTTTTGTCGCAGTCGGAGAATTTAACCGTTTGGACCAGGTTCTTTCTCCGGTTGCTCCAATCCGGCTGCAACCCCTACGATTTCCAGATGGATTTGGCGTCCACCGATGATATTGACCAGATGGTCAAGACGAACAGCACTATGGTGACGGACGAATATCTGAAGAAAATGTACGAAGAGACGAACGCCCGCGTCGTCACGTTCGCGTGGCAGTTTGTCCGCACGGTGCTGAAGCCGTCCACGAAGTCAAGGGCCTTGCCCGACGAGGCGAAGGAATTGCTGGAGAATAGTTTGACGGAACTGATGTACGCCACGTACGAGCTGCCGCAGTACCCGGTCGCGGTGCTACTGTTGGAAAAATTCACCAGGATTTTCCAAAACTTCGCCGTCTCCTCTGGGGAAAAAGTGGACGCGTCAACGAGGGATGTCAGTTGCAAGATGCTCGCCTTAATCCAGGCCCGGTGGCACAAGGAAGTGCAGCTCGGCGCCGCGGACGACTGGGAGGACCCGTACACCATGAATATGAAGTCCCGGCAGGTGGCGCCCGATCGGGACGAGGCGTTGGACGAGTTGTTCAATGATGATATCGCAGTAGGAGATGACGGGAAGAAAACCGACCCAGAGGACGCAATTATGTTGAATAACGAGCAAGATTTAGCCGCACTAGGTGCGGCGTTGGCGGGGAGTAAATTGCCGGCTGTAGAGCAAGCAGCTCCAGCCGCTGATGCAGCTATGGACATCGACTTTGATAATGGAGCGGCCCCCGCGAATCCGAACGAAGCCGGAGAACAGATAAAAGACGAGCCGAAGCTATGGATGCGTCAGGTTTGAAATCGTCAAAGTTGAAATAGTTTGTCATGCATAAAACGGATACCAGTTTGTTAGACCTACAGTCTGTAGTCGGTGCGTGACAAATTTTCCCGGTCCTGGAAGCGAGTCTGTCATGCGGTTTAGGGCAAAAGGGCTGCCTTCTGTCATGCTAGTTAGCAGTCCAACTTTTGACCCTTACCAGGACTAGAATCTGCCTCCCGTGGGTCCTCTGCAATAGAGTCACGTTTTGTATCGCATTTTATGCATTACAAATTATCACGTTTTGTATCGCATTTTATGCATTGTTGGCGAAGTGAGGACTGTGTGCGAAAGTAAGGAAAAGGCGGCGTAAAGTTGGATGTGCCCGGGGATGATGGTGATGGCTTCGGTCCGCCTGACTCCGCGACCTGGTGGCCGAACCACGTGCGGTTCGGTGCCCTTACAGGTTGTGTAGTGGTTTCGGTCGGTTTAGCATTACAAATTATCTCAACTTTGACGATTTCAAACCTGACGCTTCCATAGAAGCAGTCTTCTGACGAGAACGAGCAGGCGATCAAAGTGGACCAGGATTTACTGAAGGAGGAAAATGAGCAGAACAAAATCAAGGCCAGCTTTCCCGGCAATTCCAGGCCGGACAACTTTTTCGAACTCGAGGAAATGTTGAACAAGAAGGGGGGGACTAATAACCCCGGAGACAAAAACAAGATGAACAAAAAGAAGAAATCATCAGACGAGAAGTCCGAATACGACCATATGAACGAAAGGTGTTGGATGCTGTTTGACGCGTTGTTTAAAGAGAAGCCAGCACTTTATGGAAAATCCGAGGAGCAGATGTTCAAGGACCTGCAAAATGGCGGGGCGAACAGCAGTGAGGAGGAGCGCATTCTGCAGCAACTCGCTTCTGGGAACACGGGCTCCTCCACGCCATTAGGGCTGACGGAGAAGGAATTTGAGTCCAGCTGTTTGTGGCAACACCAGCTTCTGCTGCTCCGGCACTTGGAGACCTGCGCAGGGGGCGGGGAGATGGTGTTCGTGCCACCCAGGGACACCGTGATAGACGAAGAAAAGAGTGCGGAGGAAGAGGAAAATGCTGCGGAGGCGGCAGAAGTAGACGTAGAGCCAGCAGAGGAGGAGCCAGCGACCTCGAGTAAGCAGAAGAAAAAGGGTATGAAGTCCGCGCCTGAGCCGAAGAAAAAGTCGAAGAAAGAGGAGCAAGCGTCCGCGTCGAACAAAAGAGCGAAAGAAGAAGCAGTAGCTTCTCCAAAACAAAAAAAAGCTTCCTCAGCCGACGCGGCGGGTGGCGCACCAGCGGGCAAGGAAACCGCAAAAAAAGAGACGAAAACCACCACGAAAAATTCTTTGGTGAGCTTTCGCGACTGCGTGGTCCCGCCTGATCACACGATTTTTGCGAGAAGTTTTTTGATATGCTACTGGTACCAGAAGGAAGAGGGCAAGAACAGACTTTTGCTGAGGATGTTCACGGACGGTGTGCCACAGCCAGGAAATGCGGACTCCTTCCTGCAGGAGGAAAGGAGAACAATTTCCAGACTAGGGCTGATTGGAGACACAGTACTATTCGAAAAAAATTTACGAGTTTTTTTGTGTAGTGGAGCAGCCTCTTACATGTGTAATTGAGGTTAGGTTTACTGGGTCGGAAAGATATGCACGATTTCTTCACAGTGGAGAATAGAAAAACTAAATGCTCTCTTCAGGTCACCTCCTTGTTCAAAAAAGCGGTCGTGTGCTGGAACCAGCGGCTTTTGATCCAGGAGAAAGCCTTTTCTGCGTTGCTGATCTGCGCGCAGAATAACTCCGCGCAACTCCGCCGAGTGGCGATCAACGGGATGAACTTGATTTTTCAGGAGAACCTCCCGCTCATCACCGACCCACGGGTGGTGCGATGTTTGGACACGAGGCTGCAAGATCTTTCCTCCTGGGTCCGGGGCGCAGTTCTCGACCTAATCGGCAACTTCATCGAGCAAGACCCGGGCGAGAAGGAGGACGAGGACGAACAGAACGCCAACCCAGGACCCGGAATGAGGAATCAAAAAGTCGTCGACTTGGCGAACTCCCACCGCGAGGACGTCCGGAAGGCGCCGGAATACGCGCAGATGCTCGAGACGTACTACAAAGCAGTGCGGGACAGGATTCAGGACACGACGATATCCGTGCGGAAGAAGGCGTGCACCATTCTAGCGGAGTTCATCACCACAAACAGCGAGCACGACGACGTGGCGGATATCTGTGTGCAGTTGCTAAAACGCTCAACGTATGCAATGCAAAAGCATCGTACTTATTCTAGTATAAATTGCATTACAAATTTTTCCAAGAGGAAAAATGCAATTTGTCATGCTGGATAAGGTAGACAGTTACATTTGTCATGCATATACTGCAATTCATACGAGTACGATACTTTTGCATAGGATACAACGGATAGTGACAACATGAAGGGCAAGATCATGGAGGCTTTTAACTCCTTGTGGTTCCACAAGGAAGTCGTGACGGCACAAATGTGCACGCAACTAAGCGGAGTAGTCGGGGAATCGAGAAAGGCGGGGCAAGAGGAGTTCTTCAAGCAGTTGATCGACAACATGGATGTGCACGGGGACTCGAAGAGAAAGATTTTGAACACCTGGGCAACCAAGATTTTCGAGTGCTTCGTCGAGTCCGAAAGCAGTAGTAACGGTGGAAACAGCGAAAATATTAACGTCAAAGAAGACGACGAGGACGACCTCATGGGCGGCGGTACTTCATCTGCCGCACTCGGCAGCACCCAACTCAACGAGAACAACAAGGAGGATGATGCGGCCTGGGGGAGGAAAGTCGCATTGTTGCACACCATGCGGGCGTTTTGCACGATCCAGCCGGAAAGTTACGCGAAACACCTGAAACAGCTGACGCTGTACATCAGGCTGGAAAATAACGCCAGTGCGAAGGACTTGACCATAGCATCGGAAATCTGTTTGCTCATGGCGGATTGTATCAAGAGCTTCTCCAGGCAGAATCGATCCAGTCGGGCGTCATTATCGCTAGACGCCGAGGATTTGACGCTGCATCTGAAAAGCATAATGGTACTGTCTGAGCAGAGTCTGTTTTGTCGTGTAGTTTTGTCTTCATTTAGATTAGTGCAGCCCGAGGAAAAACTATGGTTTTTTTTTGTGGTTGTAGAAGTACAACACTTTCGACAACCAGCAAAAGTCACAACGCTATCCGTATCCAAATCTACCTAATACACACTCTAGGTGGCCCAAGGCTATGTCAACGTGGTGTCCGCGGTGACCTGTCTCTGTGCCGTGGTGGAGCAACTAACAGGGAATTGGAAGCGCGATGTGTACGACGACATACAGCGATACACCGGCGCCCTGTTCGCGTACTTGGATATGGTGAAACAAGCCCAACTGACGAACGGCGAAGTTGCGGTCAAGCACAAGAGCAACATCAAACGCTGCCTCTCCATCGTGTCCACCATGTCCCACTGCGCAAAATTGGACCAGGTGTACAAAAACCCCACGCTGTTTTCCCCCAACAGCGGTTCCCTTGGGAGTGCCGCCGACCAGCAGCCGCCAATAAAGGTAAGTCGAATGCTGCTGCAGAAAGAGGACCGAATCGCAACCACGTTTTTGGATCTCTTACTCCAGTTCTACGCGTTTCAAGACGACGAGTATTCCCCCTTCGTATTGCCGTGTCTAGCCCGGTTCTTGATGACCAACCGGGAATTCGTGCGGCAAAGGTCGGTCCAAGACGTTTTCCGGCACGCGTTGGAGAAGAGGAAAAACGCGTATGAGGATGACAGGATAGAGGTCGGGATTATTTCGAACGAGGATGTAAACAGCGGCGCGGTGTCCAGCTCCGCGACAGAAGAGACGAACAACGTATCTTCAAATTTAGCATCTTCTTCCAACGGGGGAACAAACAATCTCGTTGAACTAAACCAACAAGCGAATAACATCATCGGCGAACAACAAGCGAAAGACGAAGCCGGGTCGTGGTATAAACCAACCGAGGGTGTTTTCGACGAGGAGACTAACTTCCGCAAGCCGGTCATTGTTCAAAAAGGCCTCAAAGCGCTCTGCGACTTGCTCGTGTACTTCGGGGAAGCCGCGGAGAAGGAAACAAATGAGAAGTACACCGACGCGGACAAATCCGACAGGAAAGGAGAGTTGTCCGCGGCGGAGTCCGCGAGTCCGTTAAACACCCATCTCGCCGCGGTGCTAGATCTGCTGTACCAACACCCGGACGTCGACGTCCGGTCGGATGCGATCGGGGTGGTCCGGCAGTTGGCGAACCAGGGGCTGTTGAACCCGATGGCCGTTTTTCCACATATGGGATTCTCAATTGTTACATTCTCAACTGTTGCATGAATTTGTGATTGCAAGAATAGCAACACAACAGGGAAAGGCCGGATCTTGCAACCCTTGCATTACAAATTCGGCACAGATTCCCATGCTGTTTAGCCCTTCCAAGATTTGTCATGCGAGGCAGCTTCACTGTGTGGAGCCTCACCTCCAGGACTTCGGGGACCCCACTTTTCCAAGGTTCTTGGTTGTGGATGGTTCCTCGAGGTCTTTGTGGCGTTTTGGTAGTTTGGGTGCTCGCTTTGCATGACAAATCATGTAACAGTTGAGAGTGTAACATTTGAGAACGCCATACCACAATTGGTCGGCTTGTGCTTCGAGACCGGCGACATTCCGCGACGGGCCACGGACCTGGCGAAGCACATTTTGAACCAAAGAACGACCATGATCACCTCCCGCTTGCCGGAATGCATGGCGTACGGGTTCACGGCGTTGCTGCGGTGCGAAGCGTTGTTCGGGGGCCAGGAATCGATCAACTTTCTCCACTTTAACGCGATCTCGGAGATGTACCACGACGTTAGAAAAACAAAGAAAGTCCGGGAAACCATCCTCCAAACGCTGATCAATCAAGTGCAGAGTGTCGCGAGGGCGGACGACTTCGAGAAGCGGTTCCCACAGTTCGCCAACGAAGAGGATGTCTTGGTCGGAAAATTGACGGACAACATGCCGGAATTCCAGGGCTTACCAGGGAAACACGTCTACAGAATACTGTATTCTTGTTTTGATCACGCAGCCCCCTTTAGGCTCTTGACCTTCAGTGGGGACGAGTTTTGTTCTCTGCGTTATTTGACGTCCGATTTTTCGAGTTCCGCGTTGCACTTGCAGCTTTGCATTATTCGCGAGTTTATTTCAAGACCTCTGTAATCAAGTAAGTACTTAAATGAAAATGTAAAACCAAAAACGCGTTCTCAGGTACATCCAATTCCTCGCTTGCGTTCTGGGCGCTCTCCCTTACCAGTGCGAAGCCGAGCCGCTCTTTATCATACACCACATAACGAGATACACCATGCTTCAGGCCGACTCGCAAGTTTCGCAGTACGAGGGCGATCCGAACAGTGTGGATCCCATGGAAATCTTCTGCGTCACCGTTGGCAGTACGGCGCTGTCGGTTTTGAAAACGAAGCTGAAAGCGGAATACAACCTGTCAGGTACCAGGAGGACAATTTTTACATACAGCTGCTTCTACTACCAAGCAGAGAACATCACAATTTCTGTTGCAAAGGAGCTGGAACGCTATTCAGAATGGTCCCTGTCAACATGCAAAACCTTGCTATAGGAGTAGGAGTACTACGAAGAGGAGTAGGAATAGCTGCATGTAACATTTTTATGCAAGCACCCAATACAAAATAACAGATGAGCAGTGTCGCGACTACGAGCCCAACAACGCCAAAAACGATCGGCAATACAACAAACCGTTTTTCAACGCCGACAAGCAGGAGCGCGAGGGTGCCGACACCAACAACCAGGCAAACGGGGTTGGCAACCAGGCGAAAATTAAATTTCCCCTCGACCTCTGGCGGTCTGTCGCGGAAGAATTTTCCGTAGAGGCGGGCCGAAACATCGAGGTGTTGCGAAACCTGGCGTCGGAAGAGGGCGCTGCGGACGTGAACGTGAACAGAATACAGGGCTTGTTGAACAAAATGCAGGAGGCCGGGGTGAAAAAGAAAGGGAAGGGGCGCGGGAGAAAGGCAAAACTATCAGTCAATGTCAACAACGTCGCGGACGAGCTGGGGCTCGACCTGGGTGACGAGAAAAACGAGCTCAGCGCGTCTAAGTCCAAGAAAAGGAAAGCAAAAGAGGACGACGAAGGGGAATTCCTAGACGACATGGATGACGATAGCAAGGCGGGGAACAAGAAAAATGGCGCGAAAAAGAAAAATGGCAAGAAGAAGTGAGGAGATTGGGCGTGATCTTGTTCTGTAGCGCTCGTCCCAGCGGAGGTGAAGATTTTTCCCCTGTCACTTGTACTAGCCAAAAATTGACACGGTAGAAGCATGCTTGTAGTTCCGCGACGCTGTGGATGTAGTGTATCGTAGAGCTGATATTTTTTTTTTCGATTACCCCCATCAAAAAATGGGACCTACGCATTCCAATTTGATGAAGAAGATTCGAGAGTTTTTATATCGCATTATCACACCAACTTAGTTTCTACGACATCTTCAGTCGCGCAGACGATGGAGATCGTGAGGAAGCACGTATTCCTCCTTCTGGATTTACGAAAAACGAAAACTAACTACGAAAATCGATGGAATAACTCAACTACTATCTAGCCGTGATAAAATATCACGTGCGGCGTAGCGACAGAATGGTTGTATTGTCACCATGAAAGTATGACGAATGAAAGCGACACTGAAATAGAAGCCCTTTTGGCTTGGAAGTAGCTTGATATGAACTCTGAGGGAGAAAACCCAAAAGAAATCGAATCAAGCACTAAAAGAGCGCATTGCAGCTCAAGCCCAAGCATAGGGACACGCCAAAGACTGAATTCGCCCGTGTTCGTCCTCGTGCTACTACAATTTTTGCACATTCTTGAAAGAAAAATCCACACATGTCCTGTGGTCCTGGCTCCTCACAGCTGCGACTACATTTATCTCCTACTTCTTCAGCGCACTATTTATCAGTCTACGTACATCCTCGGTGCAGTTTATGGCGACAGTGTCAAGTCGGTTTGTGAATGATCTTTGTCCTTTTTGGAGCAGTAGAGTGATGTTGAAGAACGAAAGGCAAAAGAAATCATATAGTACTAGAAGCAGCCTGCACCTCCTGTACTCGGTTCATCAGAGTGGAAATCAACAACCCAAGCTCTTGGGGCAACAACAAGAACTAATCGAGTGTTTTTTGGCCCAGGTCACCCATCGTCTTCCTCCACCTCAATACGAGATGATATTATCCAGCTCTTAGCAGTGAATGTATGATATCCAGCACTTCTCCTAGAAATGTACGATAAGAGAGATACAAGTGTACAATAGTCCTCTTCTCTTACTCTTTATCTTTTCTTTAAAAGTTGTGATTTACTACAGTGGTACTTTTTTTGGTTCGCCTTCGCACCAGGATAGCGCAAGGCTCAGTCATCCCACCTTGGTGGTGGTCCACGATATAATTATCCCTGCGATTGAAACAAAAGTAAGCCACTACCCACACAGCAACGAACTCCACCGTACCCGCGCCGACATCGACGAGCAGATTCAATTCATCACCAAAAATCCGCCGCACGACTCTACGACCGCGTTGATGTGCAGATAGCCTCGTAGTTCCCCCTACTTCTTGGCTTTTGTTGAGACAAAACTTCCGGCATTGCCGTGTCGCATCGTTTATCCAGACTTTTCTCTTCCATGCTCCACCAAATTGAACACGACGCGGGAAGATGTTTTTCTCCTCGTGCGGGTGCGAGGCGGCACGACAGTACTGCTACCCCGATAACAGACGAAGAAATCGAGCGATTATCTACACGGGCGGGGGAAGCACAGAGGAAACCGACTACGAGCTCAACGTCAACAGCAGAGGTAGTAGATCGTTATTTTGCTTGCGCTTCCTTTTTCTGTCATGCATGTAGTGCATACCTGCTTTTGCTTTTCGTTTATTTCCTTCGTACCTGTCATGCACGACGACCATCATATTCATAGCAAGTGCAAGTTAGTAGCACGACGAGCAGACGGGAACATCAGAATAACTTCCTCAGGTAACGACTTTGGTGAGCTTGCGTCCTTCGACGACGACCTCGACGATGACCAACCCGGTGGAGAAAAGAAGAGCGTCCCGCCCGACCTCGACCGCTTCATCAGTTTCGGCCCCGACGCGAATATCCTCGCGCCCCATGGACAGGGCAAGGTGGGCCGCCCGAGCGCAGCGGAAAGCAGTCCCGGGGACCGGAAAAGCTATTGTGAGGAAAAATCCCCCCTCCCCATACCAAAAAGGCGCACTACTGAAAATTTGCGATGCTGATTTGTGACCACAAATCGCCCCTTATTGCAAGAGGGCAAAGCCAGAGAATCAGCCGCGTTTCGCAGGCACTTTGTAATGCTGTATCGCTTACAGAGGACGTGCCTGCCTTGCTAGGTGCCTACAACAGCAAAACGCCCCTACTCAGGCGCTGCGTCTGCCTGTAGTCCTCTAATGCTGGACAGATTGGATTTGTGTGCACAAATCCCGCATCACAGATTTCGGCTTTGTTGGATATGGGAAGGGGGGATTTTTCACTTTGGTAAAAGCCGACAACTCGCCAGCACACTCACGATGGTTGCGGAATACGAGGAGGAGCTGTCCGAGCAGGAGAGGGAGCGAAGTAAGAAGAGCACTGAGAAAAGTACGAATGGATCTACTTCTTCGACAGGCGGCGGCGGCGGCGCAACTTCATCCTCAAACGCAACTGCAGCTGGAACATCAAGTTCATCTGGTGCGATGAACAAAAGCACAAGTGAAAACAGCAACACAACCCAAGCGCCGCGCAGCACTCAGTCGCAATCGGATTCGTCGGTCATAGACATAGACGCCAGAATAGCAGTAATAGATTCGGAGAAAGAGAAGCAGAAAGAGAAAAAACCGCCAGACGATACGGATACCAGTACCAAGAACACAACAACTCCAGTGGTGAAGAAAGCAAGTAAGGTAGAGCCGAAAATTTCCGTAGTGCCCGAGTCGCGCTCGAGCCTCGGAGCCGCGACAAGTCGGCACAGCGAAACCATCATACAAAAACTAAATGGAGAGTGGTTGAACACTTCGCAGGAAAATTTTGAGGGTGTAATGGCAGCGTCCGGGGCGCCGTGGATGCTGAGGAAGGTATCTATTCTGGTTTCGATAAAAGTAGTACTTGAGATGAAGGTAGACCCTTCGACATCTGTTGCTACTGCTCCATTAAGATTGATTGCACACGAAACAAATCGAAGGGATGTTGAAACTCGAAATTCATACTCAAATTAATTTTTCAGGCCGCAAAAGTGATGAACTTCGGCGTGAATAAGTCGCGACACCGGTTTCTTTTTGAGGACATCGAAGAGCTGGATTTGAAAACGAACACCACCATCCCGAAGACGAAGGCCACCATAACGCACGTTGGCGGCGTCGCCGGCGGGATGGAATTCCAGTTGCTGATCGACGGTCAGCCGCGGGAGGTGAAGGGGCCGATGGGGAAAGCGGTCACCCGCGCCTATATGACAGACGACGTGTTTGTCATTGAAATTCAACCGGCGAAGGGGAAACGGGACGTGGTCAAAAGGTATAGAATTGGTGTTGGCTCTGTTGTCGAACAACTGAAACATATGACGATGCTAGCCGTAAAGCAAATAGAAATAGCACACTGCGCAGATAATAAGGCAGGCGCAAAGCAATCGGCTGAAACGTCAAAAACAGGCGAATCGTCGACGAGGACACAATGGAAATGCAATGGATTGTCAGGAAAAAGGATCAGCCCGATGTTGTGTGTACTCGGATGTGGAAAAGGCAGCCAACGTCTGTGCCAAACTGAATCGCGACGACACGCCATGTGCTATAAATGCCTTTTCATCGACAACATCGACATCAGGATCATCAGAATAGAAACGAGAAGGATGAATGAAAGATCAAGAACTGAAGCTGCGCCCATTGAAGTTTCTGAAGCAGCAGTGCTTCCGAGTACGAGCACCACCCATCAATATGGAGCGGTGCGTTTAGCAAATCCAAATGGTGTTCCCAACGGATATTCTTCGTCTTGTTGGACTGTGTTTTTTTTTGCTTTGCGTTGCTGTACAAATGAAAAAAAGCAAAAGCTCGATCCGGTAGATGAAAGTCCGGCACTTTGGTGCAATTTTGAGAAGGCGGGCGATGAGAAGCGAAAGCCCGGCGCCGTAAGAAGCCGAAAACCGGCCAGGGCTGAGGACGGCACTCGGGCGATTCGTTGCGATTCCTCACCTGCGCCGCAACGGGACGGCAAGCGGGCCGGGCGGGGGAAGATAACGCGGGCCAAGGAATCCGGAACGCCCAACCCCTACGAGGCGCGGCCAAGGGCAGACGGGCGCGGTTCGCTGGGGGGGGGCGGGTCTGTATTGGCGCCGGGTATGGCGCTTCCCCGTCGAGCGCCCGCCCGCGCGGCGCCCGCTGCGTCTCGGCCCGCGTTTTCGTGCGCCGGCGCCTTCGTGAGCCGGCCCCTTCCGTTTAGATAGGAACGAGGCCCCTGGCCCGCCGGGGTCGGCAGACTCGGAGGGCCGGCCTTGGCCGGGTGGGCGGCCCGAAGGGGGCCGCGAACCGGGCGCCGCACTCGCGGCCAATATATGTTGCGCCGGGCTCCGCAAAGTACAAGCGAAGGCCGCGACGGCTGGCAGGCCGGTGGGGGGGGGGGGGCGGCAGAGGATCCCAGCGCGCACGATTGGCGTTGTTGGCAGTCCACTTCGGAAAGTGGGCAGATGGGCGCGCGGCTCCGCAGCCTGCAGAAGACCGCGCCGCCTCTGGCCGGCGTGCCGGAAAAGCGTGGGGTTGTCTGCCCGCAATCCCGGGCCCCGCAGTCCCGGATCATCTCGCCGACCTTGACGCGCTGACTTCTTGGGACTTGGCATACTCTCCGGGAGGACCTGGCCCCTTGCCGTGCCGTGCCCCGATGAATTGCGAGGCTAGGAGGCCGCCTCCCCCCGGGCAGGCAGTCTATCAATTCCCCGCGCTGAGCCGGCGCGCGCCTTCTTCCATCAGCAGCCGGCTGAGCGCCGCTGCCATCTGTCTCCGTACGCCCTAGGGGGTTCGAAGCAACACGCGCGCGGTGCTGGACACCGCTTGCATTGGGCTACATTTTCTCTGCGGGCGAGGCACTGCTTTCCTCTGCGAAATTTTTAGAGCAAAAGGGGCACGAGGCCGAGGAAGGAGCGGCGAACGAAGCAGGTACGGCAAAGCGCTGCCGTGTGTGTGCCCGGTGGGTGCATGCCGTGCCTGTGGGTCGTCCTCCTGATACATAGAAAGCGCGGCGCCGGCCCCGGTCGGGCCGGGAGCCTGGCGAGTGGCCTCCCAGGAGCGGACCAGACTTCCTCGCGCTCTTCATGTTTTTCGGCGAGCGGTGGCCTGTGGCCCCGCCCCCTTTCTGTGTGCCCCCCCCCCGCGGGGGCCATGCGCCGCGGGCAGCCAGCCAGCCAGCCAGCGCGCCCGCCCCTGCGTGGAGGTGGCGCGCGTTCTTTTTCTTGAGTGTTGGCGAAGCCCAAGGGCTTGCCCTTTTCTTTGTTGTGGGTCGGTGCGTCGGATGGCACCCATGTGACCTTTCTGCGGTGCGCGACCTGGCATATGTTCTTCTGTTGGTCGCCTGCTTGTACTTGTAGCACCGGTTGCCGCCGGCCGCGCCCGGCAGGCTCGCTGTCTCTCTTTGTTGGCTATCAGGCCGCGCCAATAGAGAAAGGCGGGGCGGGGGTGGGCGCCTCGTTTTCTTGGCCTGCCTGGCTTGGCCTACATCATTGTCGTATCGCAGCTACAAGATGAACGACCTCTGTTGGTGTTGCCGACCCCATTTGAATGGCGGAATTGAGTTGGGTCGTGTAGCTGATCAACCAGCGAAATTGTTCGCCACAACTACGACGAATTGCACCCATGGATGCGCTTGCCATTTATGCAGCCTCGCCCATGGTCGTGGGAGCGCAGTGTATGTAATTGCCACCGGTATCGTATGTTTGTAATACGAAACCAAAAGCGACGGACGACTGTCATCAAGGTCAAGCTGAAGCTAGGAGGGACCACAGAGAGAGCAAGGCACGAGCGGCGCAAACCTACTCACATCAGGCAATCTGTGTTTACCGAGTTCTTTTCCATTCTTAAGAGCGGGGTCACAAACTCATTCGTTAACTCCCCACCGGAGTTACGGACCAACCGGCCGGGTGGTCCTTAACTCCGGTGCCCCAAATGTTGCCTTAGAGAGAGGCAACAACGAAATTAATCCTTATCCGCCCCCCCGGCGAATAAGCCGGGGGTGGGCCCCATCTTGTCCGCGCGCCGACGGGCCGCGCTGGTGTAGCCTAGGCAAAGTGACCCGGCGCCCTCATTGCCTGGAGGACCCGGATATGCCCACAGCATGCCGTCGGTCTTTGTGGTGTTGAAAAAGTAACAGGCCCAACATTTGAAAGCGCCACACTGCCGGGGTTGCTTCAGACTAAAGGACGACTGGGCAACATTTGGGGCGCGCTTGGGAAATTCGCCACGCAAGAAACTGCCGCGCAAGTAGCAACGGACACGCAATTGCAAGATCAGAGCCAGAATCTGCCCTGCAGAAACTGCTGCCATATTTAGCGCGAGGGCCAAGGAGCTTCCTCGCTTCGCGCCTTCAGGCTATTGGGTTACTTGCTAGACCATGTCGATGCCGCCTTGCTCTTGGGCAGTGGCCTAGGGTCCGAAGCGAGAGGCGCCGCGGGCTAAGGCTTTGCTTTAGCCTGCGCGCGCGGCTCCCTGAAGGAGGTTCGCCTGTGCAAACCGATGGCCATGGCCGCCCCTGCTTTTGCAATGGGTTCACTCAAAAAGACAGCAGGGCAGCAATGCCCAGGGTTGCGCACCCAGAGTCCTACCCACTCTATTAAATGTGGAGCGCCGTCGTTGGTAAAATTCCCTCCGGTGGTGTGCTCAATGTATATCATCGCACGGCAAACACGGCCACGAGGGGGGGGTAGCCATTTTCTGGGCCCCGGGCCGTGTTGTCCAATGTTTGTGGAAGCGCAAACATTGGGAGCGAGCGCAGCCTCCGCCGCGGCCGTAGTATTTATTTGGGCCGTGTAACTGACAGCCCCGCGCGGTCCACCTTTGTTTTCCGCCTTTTTCATGCCACCGCCGACCGACGTGCTTTAACTCTTCGCACCTTCGGCGCGGCGCAAGTGTTCCTTCGCCCGAAGTGCAGGAAGGCAGGCCATGGGGCCCAGTGAGGTTTTCTCGCCTCACCCGGTGTCGCAGCCTACTTTTGGGAAACCCGCGCGCCCCCGTTTTGTGCGACGGGTTGTGACTCGCAGCCAGCAGTCGTCGCAAACCCCACACGCAGCGGAGCATCGCAGCCACGTAGTACGTAGCAGCGATGAGCGGGCTGTTCCCGGTTTTGGTGTAGCAGCGATGACAGTATCGCAGCCACATGACCGGGCTGTTTCCGGTGCTGGTAGCAGTGATGACCGGGCTGTTCCCGGTTCTGGCGATAGCACTTTATTCCGGATTGTTCCCGGTTCTGGGGCTCACCAGATAGTACGTAAAGCAACATTTTGGGCACCGGAGTTAAGGACCACCCGGCCGGTTGGTCCGTAACTCCGGTGGGGAGTTAACGAATGAGTTTGTGACCCCGCTCTAAGAGGACGAAAAAATATTAGCTCTATCATCTCAAAAAAATGGGCGACATCTCCGTGCACGTGATTTCCAAACTGGGCAAACCCTCTGTCGCCGACGCCACAGTGGAGGTTTTCTACTCGGCCGACAAGTCCACCAAGCTTCTCGGCACCAGCAGCTCTTCCTCCTCGTCGTGGCAACTTCTGTCCACGACCAACCTATCCGAGCACGGGGGGAACGACGAACTCGTGAAGCCGGGGGACTTAAAACAGGGCTTGTACGCGATACAGTTCGACTTCGCAAAACTTGACACCGCAGCCAAGCAACTGTACCGGAAAAACGAGGACGGGTCGTTTGATCCGTTGAACCCCGGCGGCTGGTTTTTGGCGAATTCCTGCGTTTTCGTGTTAGACATAGCGGACGAGAAGTCGTTCAACCACTTGGTGTTGAGCATCGGGGACAAGGAAATCACTGCTAGACCGGGCGTGAGACAGCACTGATTGTAGTCTTTGTTTTGAGGAAAAATGGATCCCGAGTACGGTGGCAAGGAATTCCAAGAACCAACTCTAGACGGAGAATAATAAATAAACATCAGGAGCCGCAAGAAAACACGAGTTGAAGACTCATGCGTCGCGTTGTTTCGCATTGGCATTTGAAACCACTCGTAGTGTTGTTGTTTCTGCTGGACTAGAAGAGTGCGCACTATCTACGATCTAGAAAAATCACACCTTCCCGCATAGATCATCACAAACCAGAACTACATTGCATGAGAGCGAGAGCGGAGGCAAGTACAATCGAGAGGGAGAGCACGGGCCCTCAAAAGGGAGTTGTAGGAGCAAGTGAGTAAACGATGATCAGCTTCCATGACCATCTCCGATGAAGTAGGATCCAGCTTATCTATGGATGATCATGATTCAAGGAAGATCAAAAAAAGAACATCAAGACGAAGGCCATTGGGTGGGCTAAAAATGTGAAGACGGCCGTACTTGCGGTCGTAAGTGTCGTGCCAACATGATGTCGGACGACGACTACTGCTCGGAAGTGCCGCACTTCCGCCGGTACTTGCCGTACCCAAGTCTACTCCTAAACAGCACCGAGGACACTTCCATCAATGAGCTCGAGCGCCAGCTTTTACCAACAGAGGCCGCGAGGAAGGTGTTTCGAAGGCTCCTCCAAGCCCTGTATAAGCCCCAGAAGCTCTCCGCGCTGTTTGCGAAGCGGGCCGAGGACCGACACTTCGTCGACACCATGACGAAGCACTGTTTCGAAAAGAACCAGGCGAACTTGTTGCGAAAAAATAAATCAACCAGGATTTTTTCAGACACCAGAGAAGCGGGAGTTGTAAATGACGACTCTTCTTCATACGGGAGGTTCCACGACTGGGTTGATAAGGAGTACCCCACGGTTTTGGGGAAACAAGATTTGAGCGGAAGGGTGGTCGTTGGGACAACGAGGGAAAGTTCCTCCAGTACGAGCAAAGCAACCACGTCGTCGCCAACAACTCAGATTGCATCCAAAGGCAAAAAAGCCGTCGTAACCTACTTCGCTCCTTCGACCACTGCAAAAATCTCTGCCGACGCGATGAACTGCCTGCAGCTTTCCGCATTGGCCGGCTCGGGTGAACAAATTCCGGAGTCGATCAAAGCCAAGCTGGATTCCAAACAGTACGAGGTAATGTGGGGCGCGGACTGTGAGGATAGTTGCTCCCCCGAGCCAGTGGAATTCGTCAAATCGTGTAAAAACTTTTTAGAAGCGGCGTACGGGGATGGAATTGGATTCGGAACTACAACTACTGGCATGAAGAAAACATCTCAAATTAAACCGGTGCAGCGTCTCCCGGGGCTGGAAGTCCCTTCCGCCGGCCACACAATGACGGAGGACAAGCAAAACCCAGCGCCGCTGCACCTGGTCGCGTTCTGCTACCATTTGGTCTACTTGTACGAAAAAAATGTTTCATCTTCAAGCGGGAAAGGAAACGCGGAAGACGAAGAGGATGTCGTAGAGGCAGCTCCACTAAATTTGCTCTTCTACATTCCCAAAATGGAAACCGCTGCTGAAGCGGAGTACTGGCGGGACCTAGCGGATAGCGCGGAGGAGTTTTTTGCAGCGGAACTGAAGGCGAAGTTCTTTTTCAAAATCCAATACCTTGTCGTTTTCGAGAACCCCCGCGCGTTTTTGCAGATGGAGGACATCAAAGACGTGCTTTGTCGTGCGGATGGGGACCGAAATGTTGACAACCGCAGTGAAAAAAATCCGTCGAACAAGATGAAAACTAAATCGCGTTTCGCTGGCGGGTCACTGGGTTGGCACGACTTCCTCGCGGCGACCGCAAGGCTTTTCAAGAACGACGGGAACTACGAAATACCGAGAAAATCCAGGCAAGATTTGGTGATCACGAGCATGAAGAAGAGTCACGAGAAAGTCGCCCGGGTCTGTGCGGGTAGAAGCGGGATCGACAGCACGGACGATGCGGACGGTGTGTCCTCGAGTGCTGATGGATTTGCACCCACGTTCGCTATCGGCGGCATGTATGGGGTGATACCGCTACACCTTGCCAATAAAGACAACGATATGGATAAAAATTCCCAGCCAGCTGCAGGAATACAGCCGATGAAACCTCCCCCTGCTAGGCAGCTTCCCTCCCTCGACAACTGGATTTACAGCGAACTCGCCGCCTTCACGGGTTTGGTCAAGGATGTCTTCACGCAGCGCGCCCGCGGCCTGCACGGCTTCTGGATTGCGCAGATAGAGTACGTGCTGCCTGCGCTTCAATTGGTCGAGATGTGGGATAACGCTAGTTCTTGCACGGAAAATGAGACAAAGATTGACGATTCCACTGCAGCAACCACAAAAAAGGGGGACATCATCAACCTCACTCAACTGGAAAATGACCTCTCAACCCTGTTCCAACAGCGCGTTAACACCGTCTTCGACCGTCACTGCGATTTGAAGGAAGGTCTCGCGGCTCTGTCGAAGGCGGGGAAGACGCCGACGAACAGTAAGAGAACGACGAACATTCACGCGAGGGAGTCCGTGCAGCCTTGCGTGAAACACGTATTGAAGTTTGTCAAAGAGAGTCTGCTTGTGGTGAATCAGAAAACTGCAGAAATGGCTGACCACGCAAGTGCAGCGGCTCCTGGTGCTCTGCATCTTGATTCAGCGATCAAAACTACTGCCCAACAAGAAGCCGCTCTCATCTCAACAACCTCCTACGACGACCGCGTGGCCCTCGCTGCGCACGTGACGGAGGACAAAAGATCCTTCGACCACGCGCAAGAAATCCGGTACAACGTACGGCAAAGTCTGCTTTACATGATCGCGTGGCTGCAGCGGGACTGCTGCTCCCCGCTGCCGGCGGAACAAATGCTCCCGTCCGCGTCGGTCGGGGACAGCACAAAAGTTCCGGTTTTCGTCCTGGACGACTTGGCAACCTTGGAAAGGAGTCGCTGGCAGCTGTGGCACGATTTGGTCTACGGGGTTTTTGTATGCATTGCAAAAGTATCGTACTAGTATAAATCGCAATACAAATAATTTTTCCAGAAGGAAAAATGGAATTTGTAATGCTGATTTCGCTAAGAAACAAGATTTGTAATGCATGACTGCAATTACTACGAGTGCGATACTTTTGCACAGGATATTTTGGCGAGGACAAGTTCTTGAAGATTGTCATGGAGGAAAGGGGAAAGATTGAAGAAGATGCTGGGGGGAAAGAAAAAACCGATGAAATGACTACGAAGAAGAAAACAACTGGAATATCAACTGCTGTGGCTTGTAAAAATATTGCGGACCTGGCCGTGCGGATTCTGTTGCAACTCGTGCTGGATCGCTCCAACCCCGTGGAATTCGTGACGGAGCTGCTTGTGCCAGCGACTTTGCTGGTAACGGAACTTTATTTTGGAGAGGGATCTACTTCTACTTCATCGTCATCCTCCCTTTCGGCCGACGCGACTGCTTTTTCCGGCACCGTCGACGCGAAGAGCAAGAAAGCGCGTTCTGCTCCATCGTCAAAACGCCAGCTTGCTGATGAAATTGAAAAACGTCAAGAACTAAATCCACTCCTCAGCCTTCTCTACAAACACGAACGACAACTCCGGGCCACGACGAGCAAGAAGCATTTCTGGCTTCCGGACGAAAACAAATTTACGGAATTCTGCACCTATTTTGAAAAAATATGTCCAAAAGATGCGGACCTAGCGATCGCGATGGCGCAGAAGCAAGCGGAAAACGGGGATATCACTTGCGACACTGATTGCCTCACGGCGGTGACGCTCCACTATTCTTTTGGAATAAGCAGCAGTGCAGTTCCTGGAGGAGGTCCAGCATCTGGAGCAGTTTCAGGTAAAAGCTTCGAAAAAATGCAGGAGCCGTTGTACAATTTGCGGAAACTGTTTTTGGAGGAGGATCACAAGGCTGCTGCAATTGAAGCAGGAGAACCGGAAGCAGAAGAAGAGGACTCAGCCGCGATCTGGATCTCCGATACCTACCAGTTCCGTTGGCGCAAGTTGAAGAAGACCGCGGAAAGGATTTTGAAAAGGCACCCGAAAGTCCCCGGGGTGAGCTTTAGCTTGCTCAGGCCGGAAGATCATTATCATGCGACAGGTCCTCGAGGAGCTCCACTACGGTGCAAGATCGCGCAAAATATCACCGCCGGTTTTGCGCACGGCGATTTCGAAACGATTTCGGAGCAAAGAGTTGCAGTGGGCGCGAAAGCAAACGGCGCGTCAAGAACTTCTTCTACTACAGGGACGACGAGTCAGGTGAGCAGTGGCAGAAGGCAACTGAATCTGTGTTACAACGCGAAGGAAAACAAGACTAGCTCTCCTGACTCCGCATCATACAGAAAGAAATCCTTCTCATGTGTCAGATCATCTTCCGCGACCACCAGCGGATCCAACAGTCAGCTTCCACTCTTAGAAGAGGAAGAGGACGAGTTGGAGCACAAACCCAATCTCCTCCGACCCGGTCACAAACTCCAAATCGCTTCCCTATCGAAGACGATTGCAGCGGCAATGGCTTTGGAGCATTTCAAGAAGGAAAAGATCAACGTCTTTACCACGTCCGTGAATGAAGAGTTCAGGAGAATTGCGAGGAAAAGGAAAATGAAGTTGGAAGACACTTTTCAACTGCAAAATGACCCGTCTTTGATGACGAAAACAAGCGAAGTAGAGGGGGAGACAAAAACGGAGGGCTCGTTCGCCGAATCCGTGAAGATCTGCCATTTGATGAACCACTGCGGGTTAGGAATGCACTATATGGCGTTCTCGAGCGTTACATTCTCAACTGTTACATGATTTGTCATGCAAAATGAGCATCAACGTCCACACGGTGAAGCTACTTCGCATGACAAATTTTTGAAGGGCTAAACAGCATGGGAATCTGTGCCAAAATTGTAATGCAAGAGTTGCAAGATCCGCCCTTTCCCTGTTGCCATTCTTGCATGACAAATCCATGTAACAGTTGAGAATGTAACAATTGAGAATCCCATACACTACGTGTTTGGCTTGGAGAAAAGACCGAGGATAAAGTACCTTCTGGACAACCTGGAGAAGCACAAGTACGATCCGGAGGGGTTGATCGTCACTAGGAAACCTGGCTCGAAATTCCAGTACAGCGGCGGAGGGTTTCTGGTCCTGCAATTGTTGCTCGAGTTTTCCTACGACGATAAGCCGATCGGGGAAATATTGAGGACGGAGTTTCTGGCGAAAGCGGGAGGAAATTCTGCTTTGAGGAAGTGGAACGTGTTCTCGACACATGAGGAGCTGTTGGAAGCGAGCACTGGTAGTTTTGGCGTGTTAAATGTTGAAAAACCGAATAAAGCTAGTGCCGGGACGTCTCCACTTATTCCCGCTGGCATTCCCGAAGGGCAACCACCGAAAATCCCCCCCGGAAGCGAATTTGCCAACGGTTACAAGGACGACGGGTCTGTAGTCAGCCGGCTTTTCTTCCCCGAGCTCGCGGCTGGTGGGGAGTGTAGCTGCTTTGAAATGGCGGGATTTCTAGCCGATCTGTGCAATGCGTACAACGCAACATCAGAGACAGAAAACGATGATGTGCATCAAAGAACTGCAGCTGCTGGTGCAGAAGAACGTTCACCTTCGAACCACTACACCTTCCCGATCTCCCACGACACGGCTGTGCAAATGCTGTACACCGACGGCAGGTTGGACAACGGATGTCAAGATTTTATGAAATCGGACCAGGGGCTCGGCACTTTCGTCACCTCGGTCGGACCCAACAAGGTCGCCTGCCACCAGGCGGCGAACGACGGATTTCGGGGCTTGTACTTAGTCTGTCTCAAAGGCCCCGACTGCGGGAAGGGAATTGTTTTGGTTTCCAATGGAGACAACGCCGCGGTCCCGTTTAATTGCGAGCTGGTTGCAGAAGTGTTGAGAATCGAGGGCTGGACCGGGTTGAAGAAGAGGCAAGAGAATGCAAAGCAGAGCACAAGCACTACTATTGCAGCATCTTCTGCCGCAGCTTCTTTCGATGTTGTCAGCCAAAATCTAAAACAAGCGGAAATTGTGAACCAGGGTCTGAAGCAATTGCTATTCGAGAAGCACTTCCAAGAAGACTTGCCAGCGGACAACCCTACCTGGGTGAAAAAACGGAGGAAGAAGGACGTTATTTCTGAAGCGAATGTAATATCCCCGTCAACTGTGAAAATCTTGAAGTGCAGCGACCAGCGGTTTTCGAGGGTGTCGAACTTGTTCAACAGTCAGTTCCTTCCGGTGTTTGAGCTGACCGCCTTCGGCCCCGACGGGAAGATTATGGACAGTTGGGAGACAAAGCGGCATTGCACGATAGAAGAAGGCGACTTTGTCCGCTTTTCGATTTCTGGTAACCCGCAACAGCGGAACAATTGCTTCAACTTGGTCTACATCAGCACTATTTATCACGACGGGAACCACGCGCCGGGGTGTGATTTGCGAATGGTGGATGGAAAAACAGGCGGCGCAATAAAATCTCTCTTCAACGGCAAAATCGAGCTACAGGGCCACTCCGCACATTGGATCTACCTACCAGAAAAGATCGACCCTTGTTCCGCGGACGATGAAGGAAATAGAACCGTTTTCGAGTTCCGCAACATTCCGGACGGTGGGATCTCCCGCCTTGGCTTCTTCAATAAGGATTACTTGTTGAGCCGCATTGCGCAGTTGGCAAAGGAGGCGGAAATTGGAGCGGAGGATCCTGAGCAATGGGCGGATTACATGGGATTTATGAACTGGTATTACGATCTACCGAAGAAGCCAGCGGAGCCTGAAATTTTCCGAGCCCGCTACAAATTCGAAATCGGTAATCAGCAGAAGGAGCACGACGACGCAACTCTTGACAAAGAGAACAGCGAAACTTCTGATGTAAGGGTTTCTGCTGCGGGTAACGTTGCTGCAGATCTTACAGACTCTTTTGCCGAGAATGTCCGCCTAAGCGCTGCGTCAGATGGCGCATCAAAACCATCGCTATCAAAGTTCGAACTCGTCAAGGTCACCAACCAGCACTATGGGAAGGCAGAGAGACTGTTTTCCTCAGACCCGCCTCTAGGTATGCATGACGGGTTTGAGACGAAACGAACCCGTGAAGTGGACGGGTTTCAAGAGGCAGTGTTTCGGGTTCCGGTACTGATAGATAATTTCTAGATGAATCTAGGTACTTCTACTTTCTACAATACATGTTTGCGTTTGTGATTCCTGTATTCTTTGAACATACTGCTTCAGTTTTACCTACGTCAACGAAAAAGAACCAAAACTTTTGTACAAAACAAACACCAGCATTCCCTGCTCCACGGCACGAGAACGAGCAGGCAGAAGCTTTCCGGCGCGGAGTTCGACTTTACCTATTTCGTCAACAACAATCCATCCTATGTCGAACTGCTATTGGGTGATTCGGAAACCGACCTGACCACCCAGCTGGTGCCAAAAACGTTTTCCAAGCCGTACCGGGGAGACAAGATGGTGGTACCGATTACGGTGCAGCACGAGTTTGAAGAGGACAGTAGCGACGAGGAAGAGGAAATATTAGCACAGCAGTTTGTCTTCATTGCAGTGAGGCTGTTCCCCTGTGGAGGGGTGAACAGGTTGAAATTTTTGTACAACGCTGGAGGTTCTTGATCAAGATCGACGTCCTATCGATGATTCTGTGCGATACTACCGTGGACTTTTTCAAGGAAATTTTTGCAAGAGACCTATATCATGTACATCTTTGGACCGCAGATCGGTTTTGCGCATGCAGTTTCAATTTGAGTTTTTCCACGCAAGCAATAGCAAACAATAACAATCCATTTCTTGCTGGTATCTATCTGCTCGGAGGTGCAGGCGCTTCTACAACCAAATACCTTGGCCGGCGTCGCCCTAGTGGTAGTGCTTCGTAGCGGAGGTGATCAGCTCATGCACAGCATTACCATCACCATCACGAACACGAGCGCACCATTGAGACCATTAAGATAAGCGAGAGTCTCAGTGAAGAATGCTTTGGGTTCGGACCACAACCTGGAGCGGCTAGAAGCAGAAAGTGTTGAGAATGAGAGCACCTGCGGCCAGCTAGGAGGGAGAGCGAGCGCGAGTGTCACGGATCTAATTCCGATTGTTTTTCTACGAGGTTCGTATGAGCTTCAAATGCCAACGCGCGAGTAAAGATTCACTTTATTCACCAGGAGAAGATTCAAAGCAAAGCTGCAACCCGTTTCTCCAGCAGCGACCATGCCGGTCCGTTTTTCTCTGAACGGTCTGACGCACGAGGTGCCTGACGAAAATTTCGACATCGAACTGACAGTCCTGCAATACCTCCGAAAGTTCACCACCCTCCACGGCACGAAACTGGCCTGCGGCGAAGGCGGCTGCGGCGCGTGCACCGTGCTACTCTCCGAGCTGCCAGACACGAATAAAGATGGGAAAAGTAAACGTGGTGTGAAGCACAAAGTTGTCAACGCGTGCATTTTTCTTCTCGCGGACGCGCACGGGAAGCATGTGACGACAATCGAGGCCGTGTCGGAGATCACGAGGAACGAGAATGGGAAAGAGCAGCTTCATCCGCTACAACAGTCCTTGGTTGATCACCATGGCTCCCAATGCGGGTACTGCACGCCCGGGTTTGTCGTCAGCATGCTGCCGACGTTTCACGATGGTGTCTCCACAAAGAGCGGGACATCATCAAACCGGCATGTTGAAAACGAAAAAACCATTCACGACACCGATATCGAGGAGGTTTTGGACGGGAATCTCTGCCGCTGCACGGGATACCGGTCGATTTTGCAGTCCTTCAAGACTGCTTTCAAAGATGAATACGGGAAAAACGACAAGTGTACGGGGAAGAAGTTTGGGGAGTTTGTGGACAAAGTCGTTTTTCCACAGTTGAAGAAGCTGCAAACGACGACGGCCGTTTCGACCACGGCACCCGGCGCTAGTCCTGCTGCCGCGTTGAAAACCGTGATAAAGCACGAAGGTGTACAAGGCGCGGTCGTCTATCCCGGTACCTACCACCAACCGACCACAGTGCAGGAAGCGATCCAGATCGCAAAGTCTAGCGGGAATTTCCGCTACCAAGCGGGCGCGACGGAACGGAAGATCGAGCAGTTGAAGATTTCTGGGCGGTTTAAGTACCCGCTGGACCTGATCTCCCTGAACAACATAGAGGAAATTTGTTCGGAGAAACACATGGAACTCGTGGATGTTGATCAGGACCTAGTTCCATCGAAAAACAAAAAATTCGAAGACCTCGTTCCGGAAGTGCAGTTTACCATTCCTGCCAATCTGCCCCTCGCGGACATTGAAAATCGGTTTCGGAAGTTTCTGGACTTTTCGAAACATGCAAAAGACCAGCAGAGCAGCTACATCGCGCAGGTGATACGAGCCTATTTGGAAATGTTCAAATGGTTTGCGGGACACCAGATCCGGAACGTTGCCACTTTTTCCGGAAATTTAATCACCGCAAGTCCGATCGCGGACTTGGCGCCGGTGCACATGGCCGTGGGGTGTAAGGTTGAGGTCGCAACTGATGAGGGGGACGGTGGAGCGGCACCTTCACAGGCGGCTTCTGGTGCTGGTGGAACTACGGCAGCCGCAAAGAAGACAAAGCCGCGTAAGTCCTTCCCGATTGACAACTCGTTTTTCACGGGGTACAGGAAAACGGTTTTATCCGACAGTCCAACCGACATTTTACACTCTTTCCACATCCCTTTGGGGACAAGAGACGGGTCGGACGAGAGAAATGTGCTGAAGAAGGATCATGTCGGGGAACATCAAGGCCGCGAAGTGAGTGTCACATACAAGAAGTTCATCCGGGCCTACAAAGCGTCGAGACGGAAAGAGGACGACTTGAGCATTGTCAACGGTTGCTTCTTCGTCGAAATGGCAGTGGAAAACACGACCATCAGCAGTCAAAAAGAAGAGTTGTACGAAGAAGAAACCACAATCCCCACAGTGCAGTCCTGCCGGTTCGCGTTCGGCGGGTTAGCGCCCTTCACCCGCAGGTGCACACCCTTGGAAAAGTTCTGGGAAGGAAAAAAGTGGACGAGCGAGAATTTCCAGACGTCCATCCCGCTGATCACCGACTTTTTCCAGCTGCCCCCCGACGTCCCAGGCGGCATGCCCATGTTCCGGAAGTTGTTGGCGCGAAGTTTGTTTTTCAAGTTTTTCAAGGAAGTGGAAGAGGAAATCTTCGGGCCGGAATCGCCGGTGAGGTTGTTGAAGACCACAACCGCAGCTACTGTGCAGCGGCCAAAGAGAGCAAAGACGCAAGAAAAATCTTCTTCATCTGTTGATCAGCACAACAAGCTTAAGCTTGCCCTGTCACAGCACTCTCCGAAATCTCTGCTTTCAATGCAAGACGCTCCGATGGCACACCAGCACTTCCCGATCGACAAAATCGGGGATATGAACAAGACCGCGAACACCCGTCACCTTGCGGCGCATCTGCACGTCAGCGGAAAGGCGGCCTACAGCTACGACCAAGTTCTCCCGGCGACAGCCTGTAACGCGGGTGGTGCGGGGAGCGGTGATACAGATTATGCTGGACGATCTGGAAAAAACAGACATTATCCGAAAACCAACCCGACCGACACGATGTTCGTTGATTTCGTTCTCTCCAACAAACCGCACGCCAAAATCAAGTCCTTCGATTTCTCTGAAGCGGAAAAAGTAACCGGCTACATCGGCAATCTGACTCTCGAAGATCTCAACTTCTGCAAGACGGTCGGACCGATCATGCACGACGACGAGATTTTTCCAGCGGACAACGTCGTCAACCACTTGGGCCAAGTGGTCTGCTGCGTAGTCGCGGATTCTCGGGAGGCGGCGAGAGAGTGCGCGATGGTGACGAGCATTGTGTGGGACGAAGAAACCAAATTCGATTTCACCATCTCCATTGAAGAAGCGATTGCGAAAAAAAGCTTCCACCATGTGCTTTTTGTGCCGGAGGAGAAGAAACACAAACCGCACCAGGTGTGGACGCAGCGGGAACCAATAGGGACGAAGTCGTTTGAAGAAGTTGAGCGGTTTTTTAAAAGAGGAGGGGATGTGTTACAGACACGGAAGCAAGGTGAAGGCGAAGCACTTCCCCCGCCCGTTGTGGACGATAATGATACCCCGACTGGGAGTAAAGATCCCCGTTTGTCTGACGGCGAAGAGGAGGAACCTGAAGCAAAACAAAAACCACCACAAGCCACGAAATTTCACTCCAGGTTGAAGGCCACTTCCAATTTTTTCCACACGGGAAAACTCCAACCCCGCGTCGCCCCCCAATCCGGCAAAGACACCCCGCTCGCCTTCACCCGGAGATTACAAACCAGTCTCCCCCCGCCAGCGACGTTCATCCCCCCGCTGCGACTCCTTTCGGAGCAAATGGACAAAGAGAAGGCGGCGAAAAAGGCGGTGGACGACGCGATCGCGAAACAGAAGGAAAAACCGCAAGTGGATGTTCTTGAACCAAAAGCACATAATTCAGATTTCGAAGAAATCCAGTCTGAGATTTACATGGGCGGGCAGGAGCATTTTTACTTCGAAACGCACTCGACCGCGGTGGAAATGTTGTCAAACAACGAGGAAGTCATAGTCTACAGCTCAACGCAGAACGTCGCGGAATCGCAGGCGTTCATATCCGAGGTGTGCGGCATCCCGAATCACAAAGTCCACGTAAAGGTGACGCGACTAGGTGGCGGCTTCGGCGGAAAGGAGACGAGAAGTTGTCTCCTCGGGGTCTACCCGGTGTTAGCGTGTCAGAAATACGGGAGAAATCAGCCTGGCGGGGTTGGAGCGAACAAGTGCAAGTTTCTACTCGAAAGAGACACGGACTTCAAATGGAGCGGGCAGAGACACAGCTTTGTCGCGCAGTACCGAATGTTGTTGAACAAAAAGGAGAAAAAGATCCAGGCGATTGACTGCAAGTTGTTCGCGAACGCGGGGTGCTCGTACGACTTGTCTAATCCGGTGTTGAACCGCGCGATGCTGCATGTGGAGAACTGCTTGAACATCGAGAATTTGCGCGTGCAGGGCTTTCTGTGCAAAACCAACATCCCGTCGAATACCGCGTTTCGGGGATTCGGCGGCCCGCAGGGGTTGTTCGTCGCGGAAACGATGTACCAGAAGGCGGCGGACTATCTGGGAGTGAGTAGGGAAGACTTGTACGAAAAACAGATGTACAGATCTTTAGTAGCATTAAGGTCGCCGAAAGGGAGTCAGAGGAAGGAGCTGGCGCTTTGTTCAGGTGGTTCAGGAGCATCTCCAGAAAAGGCCGCTGCAACATCACCAACAAAAGGGGGTACGGGAAGGGCGCACCAAAATGATCGCAAGTCCGAGTTCACCCAAGCCGCTGCTGCGAGCAAGGGAAGTCTGGAGGACACGCCGGCTTTGGCAACAGGCTCGAACCATTCGTCTCCGAGTAGCAAAAGGATAGTCCTTCCACCGCAGCAGCAGGTAGTACAGACCCCGCTTTTCAACCTCCAACCCGCGGGACCACATCAACTCGGCTTGCAGCAAACGTCGGGCGACTTGCTGAAACAAAAGCCGAAATTGAAGCTGCTGAGTAGCACCGGATTATTACAGTTGAAGACGGCCGCGATTCAACTACCAAAGCCCATCGATTTGAAAAGAAAGCAGGAAAAAAACAAAAACCTCCATACAACTACACAGGGAAACGGCTTTTGGCGGCCGACAGTCAACGAAAACGCAGCGGAAGAGGACAAAGAAGATCTGACCTTCTACAACCATCCCATCGGTACCCATGTGCCGATTCGGGAAATGGTGAAACAGATCACTGAAAAGTCGCAGTTCAAAAGCCGGCAAAAAGAAATCGAGGACTTCAACAAGAAGAACAAGTTCGTGAAACGCGGAATCGCTTTGATCCCTACGAAATACGGGATTTCCTTCACGGCGAAGCACTTAAACCAGTCCGCCGCACAGGTGAACCTGTACAAAGACGGCACTATTCTCCTCCACCACGGCGGACACGAGATGGGCCAGGGGGTGCATACGAAAGTCGCTTCTATCGCTGCGCTGATGTTCGGGGTGCCGATAAAGTTAGTGCACGTCATGGAGACCGACACCAGTAACATTCCGAACACCAGCCCGACGGCGGCGAGCACGGGGTCGGACTTGAACGGGTTTGCGTGTCAGATGGCGTGTGCGGAACTGCTAGAGAGGTTGGAAAAGATTTTGAAAAAGCACGGGCTGAAAGTCGTTGCGGATAATGAGGAAATGTTAATGAACGTGAACAAATCGTACAGTAGAAGAAGAACCAGCACGGCCGGGGAGGAGATCGTAGACCGGATCCCGACGAAAAGCACGGTGAAAGGAGGGAAAGAAGTAGATGAGGGAGTGGACGAAGAGAGCTCTGCTGACGATGGCGCTGATGTTATTTCCACCGGCGGCGGACAGGGACACAATCCCAGCAAAATCCCGTTCAGGAGGATCGATTGGACTTTGTTTGAGCAATCTTTGTCACCTAAAGCAACTGCTGCAACCGAGACAAATCGCGACGAACTCCTATTGCTGGAGAAGCAGAAGCTGCTCTCCAAAATCGCTACCGAGGCCTGGTTCAACCGGATCAACCTGTGCGGCCGCGGGTTTTATGCGACGCCGATTTCCGGTGTGGACTGGGGAAAGTTATCGAATGAAAAAATGTCTGGGTCTCGAAGAATGCGCGATTTGTCATGCAGCTTTTCCATGACGCATGAGGTCTGGAATGCAGGACCTAGCATGACAGATTCTGTGCGATCTCTCTCATGCCTATCCTGCGTGAGAAACTCCCTCCCGACTTGGTCAAAACTGGAGGACTTTTGGCAATCATGCAACGCAGATAATTTATTTTGCATGCTTCAGATTTAGCATGACAAGCTGCATTCTTCCAGACCCAGACACTTTTACATTTGATAAAAGTCGGGGAAGAATGAATTCACGGGGGAGCCGTTCTACTACTACTCCTGGGGCGTTGGGGTGAGCGAAGTGGAGGTAGACACGTTGACCGGCGATTTTCAGACGCTGAGAACGGATTTGATCCACGATGTGGGGCGATCCTTAACGCCGTTGATCGACATCGGGCAAATCGAGGGCGCGTTTACGCAGGGTTTGGGATTGTTCACGAGTGAAGAAGTGATCTACTTGCAGAACAAGGACAGAAATTCCGCGAGCCACTTCTCCGTCGGCCCCGGGTTCTACAAAATCCCTGCGGTGGGGAACTGCCCGAGGCGGTTTGAAACACATTTGCTAGAAAATTCCCGCGGCCCGAGCGTGCTGGGGAGTAAGGCGATCGGCGAGCCGCCGTTGTTTCTCGCGTGTTCGGTCTTCTTCGCGATAAGGGAGGCGTGCCTAGCTTTGGTTTCGGACAAGAAAATCAGGAACAAAATCGCGAAGGACATCCGGTTCGACTCCCCGTTAACGGCGGAAAGAATACGGGTGAAATGCGCCCAGATTCTGTTTTTGGCAGGAGAGCAAGGGAAGAAAAATTCTGCCGCAGTAGAAAAGGAAGTTGGCGAAGAAAGAGCTGAGGTTGCAGTTGCTGCAGGAGAGCGGGAACGGAATGAGGACTTCCCTGTGGTTGACCCGGAACTCGCTGCCCTCCATCAGGATCTCTTTGAGGATTTCTCCGAGCCCTGTGTTGCCACCGCGTTTGAAAAAGTTCAACACTGGCATGCCAGGGTTTAGGGCTTGGCAACGAGAGTACAGTCCGGAACTCGGAAGTACAGTACTTTCATGGTGCAGCAGCTGGTAACGCGGACGCTGGTGCTGGTCAGTCTCGTGTTGGGGTCTCTTCTGTGTAGTGAGCACGACACTGAGATGCTATTTCAAGTTCCTAGAAACTTTTCAAAAGACCACAACATCCCGGCTGAACTCCGCATCGCCATCTACAGTATGTATGAGTCTGCTTCTCCACATCTGTCTCCTGTCTCTGCAATACCAGGAATTAATAGCACTTGATGTGTTGGCCTTATCCTTGTACTTTTGCAAAGACAGCAGGGGCACGAGCAGCTGCACAGCGATTATGTCGGTTTTTGCAAGTGCTTTTCCAAGAAACTGCGGTTGCGACTGTTACGATAGAGGCATCGCAAATCTGTCTGTCTTCTCTTCTGTCGAAGAAGAAATTTCGGTCGACCTCCAAAAGTGGTCTCTAAGTACATGATTCGCATCTGATTTATTTCCTGCTTCTTGCTGCAAGGATCTTTGTTACTCTGTCGGCTTAGTTGCAACCCAGATCACCTTTTGCACTTCCACCTGTGCAGGGTCATCATCGGATACCAGGAAAATTTTTCAAAAAGAATTTCCTCCTACACCTACAACTTTCCGTGTACTAAGAAACAAAGTTGCTCCACCTCGGCGACCCTGAAAAACTAAATCACTCACGACGTCACACCAGAAGCAATCTCGACCAAGGGCAAGGTCGTGTCATCTCTTGCTCGCGCTATTCCAGCAAGATGAGCGCCACGATCGTCGCGCACAGCCACGGCAAGGCTTCGGTGAAGCTCCTGCGCCTCGCCCGGTCCGGCGAGGATGGGACCGGGCGGCACGAGATGAAAAAGTTCAACGTGCAGATCAAGCTCCACGGGACGGAGAAGCCGAAAAAAGCCTTCACGAGCCCCGACAACTCCGGTTGTGTTGCGACGGATTCCATGAAAAACACGATTTACGTATTGGCGCAAAAAAACCCGCTCTGTTCCAAGGAAAAGTTCTCGATCATCGTGGCGAGCCATTTCATCGGGTTGTACCCCCATTTAGTGGACAAAGCGGAGTGCTTGGTCGAAGAGGAAGTCTGGGAGAGGGTAAGTGTGGATGACCAACCACACAACCACTGTTGGCGCTTGCGATCCGGGACGAATGACGTCCGCTGGTCGAAGTGTATCGCCGGCGGCGAGGCGTTTCAGAAGTACATCGCGAAAACATATGGGACGAGAGGGAGTACAACTTCTGAATGGAGATTTGTTTTCAAAAGTTTTGATGATGTCTGATTCTGCCCACTGTTCTGGTCGTGTTGAGCCAATCTGATACACTTCGCAAATGAAGATTGATTGGTCTGCGTGCACTACTGCAGCAATTACAATTTGATTTCGATCACACACGACACTCTCAGGCTGTCTCCTCACTAGCGGTGTGAAAGCGATGACACTTCTAAAATCCACCCAGTCCGCTTGGGAAAAATTCGTCCGTGACGGCTACACCTTGTTACCTGACACGACCAACCGAATTCTCGCCTCCGCCATCGATGTCGAGTGGGCTTTTCGGGAGACGCCAAAGATGCCGGTCACCGCCAACGCGGCGGCAGCCGCTGCTGGTAGGCTTTTTTGTGATTCGGACACATCATCATGATGCGCAAGTGAGTTTCGTCAACGCATGTGACGCGGTAAAAGAGTCGACGAGGTTGAGCTTGTTAGTGTTAAAAGCCACAGTGCTGACATATGGAGAAATACATTTTCTATCAAAAAATCACACAGACTCGCCCAACTTCCCCGACTACGACGCTTTCTCAGAAAAAGTTGAAAAAATCCTGATCGACACACTTTGCGGCCCGCCAAACAAAGGCGTCTACAGTACCTCTGTCCAAGCAACCGTCCACGACATGGCACAGGCCGTGATGTCCAAACACGGGGACTTCATCGAAAAAATCAGCCTCTTCGGCCCGAACCTGCACCACATCCCGTTTGATTTCTCGAGACTCAACAAAGTCTTGCCGCAAGAAACTTTACCGGAAAAACCGGAAGTTTTCATCGCAACGTCCGAACCCCGGGGGATCATCGAGGTCACCTGCAGCATTCCAGCCGGGGACAAGCAGATCGGCCACGTGTTTGACCCACTACCGCGCTCCCCGAAGGCATCAGGAGCTGCATCAAGCGGAACTGCACCAGGAACAGAAGACCAAACCGCGACTGGAGATGCTGGTGCACCACCCCCGCCCCCTTTAACCGACATCGAGCTGACCGAGCAGAAAACGGGCGGCCGGAACATGAACTTCTTGCAATTTTTGAAGATCACAACCAGACAGCAGTTTCTGGCGAAATTTGACGGCATTTACGAGAAATCGCCGTGGATTTTGGAGTCCGCCTGGCCCGTGTATGCCTGCGCGATGGATTTTCAGAACGCGTTTGACTTCTTCAAGCACATAAAATCCGTAGTTCAATTTGCAAACGAGGAGAAGAAGTACGCCTTGCTGCGCGCGCACCCGGATCTCGCCGGCAAGTTGGCCATCGCGACCTTCAAAGTCGTGGGAGACCCAACTCCAGGAGAGCAGGCGGCTGGTTCGCCGACGAGTGAAGGCGCTGCACCTCCAGTAGAGAAACTCACTACGGAGAGCCAGAAGGAGCAGAAATCCGCGGGGCTTGACCAGTGCAGTGAGGAGGAATTCAACAAATTTCAGGCCTTGAACGACAAATACAAGGAGAAATTCGCCTTCCCGTTCATTCTCGCGGTGTCGGGGAGGAGTCGGGCAGAAATTTTGGAAATTTTTGAAAAGCGGATGGAGAACACGGTGGAAGCAGAGTTCGCCGAAGCGATTTCGCAGGTACATAGGATCGCCGAAATCCGCGTGAAGAAATTGCTTGAGTGTTGAGTGGTAGAAGTGGGACCGTGTCATACTTAAGTAGCTTTGAGCTACGTGCTGTAGCCACAGCGGGATTTGTGTTTCTGAGGAAGATTGCTATTGCACTAGCACGACGCCAGGAAAATCAAAAATGAATACGATCGCTTCCGCGCCGGTGATTTTCGTTTCACGATCACACAACAAGAACGAGACTAACAATAACAAACCTACTAGACTAACAAGACAGCCGCGTCTCCAAGTGCCCCACTTGGGCATACTCATAAGACAGCGTCTTCAAGCAAGAGACAAGGCGCACGTAAAGGATTGCGCCAGAAATATCTATTTTGAAACTACTGAAGATACGTACAAGGTCTACACGACAGCTCTGAGCACACAAGTACGGCGCTCGCAGTATTTGCAGATGTCGTACGGAGTGTCACATGTCAAGAAGAAAGAACGACGAGCAGCGACGTGCTAGTACTCGCGATTGGCTATTCGTTCGCGCAGGATGATGAAAGTCGTCAACTCGTGTGTTCAAAGTTCTCATTTGTGATGTGCCTGATACTTTTATACCGCCGCGTTTGCGTCGTGACCGTGTGAATTTTTTAGGTCGCCGGCAGTGTGCTCACGCCGCTTCCAGTCGGAGAGTCAAAACCCGCCGCGGGAGCAAGTCCGCGCCCAGCGGGCGCGCGTGTTCATTGGGAGGCCGGCGGCCTGGCGCTCGCAGAAGAAAAACGGAAGGCGCCGGCCTCTGGCCAACACGTTAAAAATCCACGCGGGCCGCTGGAGGAAGGCCCTGCGCTACAGGCGCCCGCCGCAGCGCCTTGCTAGACGAAGGCAAGGCGAGACATTGGCGGGGTCCTGGCCTGCCCTGTGGCGCGCCTGTCCGTAATTCACGCCCCGGCGCCGCCGGGCCGCCTCGACCGCCGGCGGAGGTAGAGCGGGCCAACGCCTTCCATCGCAGCCGGCCGGCGGCAATGCCAGGGCCCCGGCCCCGATTGATCGGCGGCGCCCTTCGGCCTCGGCAGCGGTGGCCCCCCCGCGGGCGGGCGTTGAGCCCCGTCTTTTCCGCATGATTTCCCCCCTTGTTTTTTAATCGGGGAGGGGGCCTGCAGAATGGCACAGCTAGCAAGCCGGGCCGCCGGTGGAGAAACATCATCGAGAGCCAGCCGGCGGATCAAACTGATGGCGCCGGTTCTAGCAGTGACATCGCCGCCCGCCAGGCTCCCGCCACTCTGGAGGCCGCCGGCGCCCCCGCGGTATCTATCTATTTGAGCAGTCGCTTGGCGCGGGAAAAACCCGGGAAGCGCTTCAGGCCGTGGGCCCCTCTTGCAGCCGCGCCGCGCTGGCCCCCCCTCGCTCCTGCCGGGCCAGCCTGTTGGGGCGCGCTTGGGGCCGTTGCGGCCGCAGTTTGACAGGCCCGCCGTGCCGCCCCATGCCGAGCGGTGTCTGGCGCCGCGCCAGCCGGTGCGTGACGCCCGCACGCCGCGCGCGCGATGCCATCGCCAAGCGCCTCCGTCCTCGCCCGCGCCTGATCGGACTACGGCGGTGGGAAGCGACCCGCCAGACGAGGCGGCCGGACGAAGATGCGAAGAGCGGGCCCAAATGTGGCGCCGCGCCCTTCCTTCCAATTTCTGCGCCCGCGCCCCCATGCCACGCCGGGGGCGCGCAGGAAGGTAGGCCGCTGCCCCCTTGCGGCCGACGCACCCACTGGCGCCCGGGTTTGTTTCCGGGGGAGAGTGCTCGCTGGTAGGCTTTTTTTTTTTGGGCCCCCCCCCCCTGGAGTTGGGCGCATTATGTTGCGCCAGTTTCTTCTTGGTGTTAGTTACCCTTATCGGCGCGGCCGTGCAGGCAGCACAGCAGGGCCCTGTCTGGCTAGTGGCAGCGCTAGCGCCAATCTGCCGCCCTTGGTTGGCCGTCTACACTCTGTCCGGTCCTCCGGCGCCCGGCAGATGTGTCGCAAGTTGTCTTCGGGCCGCCGTGGCCGCGCGTTGTTTGTTTGTAGTCTTTGTTGGGTTGTCGTTGCCGCGCCCGCCGGTTTGATTGTTCGTCGCCACCCACCCAGCAGCGTGGGCACTCTCTCAGTCATGGTTGTGAGTAGTATTCAGCGATTGTGGTGCTCGGATCAGTGCGACAAGGCCCACGACTCGCGTAGTGGAAAATCCTGCCTGCCGTGGCCTGGTTGCCGGTGGTCGTCCTCGCACGCATGATTGGGCCGTCGGCCGGGCGCAGCCACGGCTCACTCTAACGGTAGTTGTTCTCATACCCGAGTGAATACAGCAGGGGAGCTTTTCTCATTTCAAGATGACGAGTGCGAGTGGCCAGTCGAAGTTTGATAAGTGGACATCGAAGAGAGGAACTGCAACGTCGCAACCGCCGTGAGTCGGTGGTAGCGCTCATCTTAATTTCTATCTTCATCAATTTTCTAGCTGTATTTCGTTCATCTTCATTATCATGTAGAAGTCACACCTACACGCAGTTTCGGTTTCTCCGTTCTTCTGAAAGCCGGACTTGTTTGCGACAAAGCACGATGAACCAAGCTCCGCTCGCCCCTCTTTCTCTGGACGCCATCGCGGCGGCGTCCAGCCAGATTGACTCGGACAAGGACCTGGAAATCGTGGAAGCCGTGATTCGCAACGACTACTTGGAGGTAAAAACCATCCTCGCCAAGAAATGCGAGGACCGCCTCCGCCTCCCGAACCAGGTGGATTTCCAGGGCACGCCGTGTCTGATGCTGACGTCCGACGCCGATATCATCAAGCTCCTCCTGGAGGCCGAGGCCAACCCGAACGCCACGGACTTCCACGAGGTCACCCCGTTGCACAAGCAGGCGCTGCGCCCGGGCGCGAAGAGTTTGGACATCGCGAAGATGCTTCTGAAGTTCAACGCCAACATCCACTCGGTGGACGGGAACAACGACACACCACTGATCTTCGCGGTGGAGTCCGGGCAGTTCAAAATGACCAGATTTTTGCTCAACAACGGCGCCAACGTCTTCCACGAAAATGCGCAGAAACAGACCGCATTGCACTCCGCCGTCGGGAAGGGTAACAAAACGCTGTGCGGGTTGCTGCTTGCGACGGCGGGAATCAGCGCTGTTTCTAGGACGAGTGCGGAAGGAGGTAATATACAGGAAGACAAACATGGAATTGGACAGGAGACCGCGGTGCCTACTGGTAACAAGCCAGAGCCCGACTCCCCGACCGGAATGCTCGACGTTTCTTCAGACGAAGAAGAGGATCCGCTAGAGAACGAGGGTGGACACGGCTACGTACCGGCGGCTTCCTCCGCTGAAGAAGAAGCGTCATCTTCCCCAACGTCCACGGAAAACACAACCACGACAAGGAGTACAACGATGAACAAAGTTCCTCCACCCAGGCTGCAAGACGCAGACTCCGCTTCCCAGTGGCGAGAAAAGCTGGGGGAGCACGCGTTTGCGAAGCAACAGTTTAGCATCGCGAAGCAGTTGTTAGATAGTGAGAAATTCGAGGCACTCTGGAGCGATTTGAAGGAGAACAGACGGAAAATTCAGCAAGTAAAAGACGCGGTATTGGAGTGTTGCGAAACGGGCGATCTGAACGAATTGAAATCGTTGGTCTTTGGCGAAACAGGTCAAAAGTCCTCATCTTCCTCTTCCGCAGTAGATCCTTTGACAATCCAGCAACTCCTCGGCACGGCAACCGACGATGGGGACGTGCCGTTGGTGTCTGCCATGGAGAACAGCCAAGACCACATCGTTTTCTTCCTCTTGAACGAACTGCAAGCGGCGGTTCAGAAAACTGGTGACAAGGAATTTCTGCGAACGGCGGTGAATGCAGTGGAAGTCTCAACCGCAGAGTCCTGTTTGATGAAAGCAGCGAGATATGGAAACGCGGAGGTCCTGAAGAAACTTCTGCTTCTCGGGGCGGATGCCAGTGCAAAAAACGAGATGAATCAAACGGCTCTGATGTTGGCGCAAACATGGGGACCGTTTGAGGAAATTGAGAAGATGCTAGAGGAGAGGACGCCGCTGTAAAATACATGCTCGTGTTGGATATACAAAATATACAGCGAACTGTGGACAAGCAAAGGCACACACAGACAAGAAATATGCTGCTATCGCAGTCGATTGTTTGAAAATCTTTTCTGGCGCCCCCGCCCTGGCAGTTTTTTTACTGCTCGTGGTTGACCGTCTTACTTTTACAAAGCAATTTTTGCCATGGTCGCAGCAAGCGCTTCCAAGACCCACGCTGGACGTGATGTGCCTTGCGTCATGTGAGTGTTCAACAACAAGGACGACAGGAACACGACTAGTTCACATAGATTGCCAGAACTTCTTGCAGCGTGCCGCCTTCCTGTGGTAGCTTTATCAGAATGGTACAAGATGACAGACCGATATCGTCTACTCCTTCGTGCTGGTGCTCTAGGTTATTTCATGTCCGGTGTGCTCGAAGGATTTGAGTTTGTGGAAGATCAAGTATAGATAGACTTCAGCCAGTAGTTGCTGATGCTCGGGCAGATAAGATCACGAGGATCTTCTACTTTTGCAAGTAAAGGATTTCTATTTCCTCGGTCTTTCCGAAATGAAGGACCTGCATGCAGACCAAGCTAAAACAAGACGTAGGAGCTTCAAAATGTAGCATTTAGACGTGCTTTCACGTATCGTGATCTAGAAGTGTTCTGAGAAGTCCTCGCGAGCCCATTATGTTGTGAAGTATGAGAAGCGCCTTGCCGTCTTGATAATGACGCTGCAATGTCCACCACCGTCCAGCGGCGCCCGGACCCAGCAGACGCAAAAACTATCCACCTTTCCTGTGCACCGCGCCGTCGCAAGAAGGTAGAAAGCTGCCCAAGCCCTCGTTTGCAGGTACTAGGAAGATATAATCCGGTAATTGACCTCGTCGCTTCTTCCCTCGCTCTAGCTTCTAGTACCGGACCAAAAACGGCTACAAAATTCCGTCCGTAACGGAGCTTCCGCCGAAGGATCCGACGGCGACCGGATCTTCTATGGAGTGCAAGAGTATCGTGCCTGTTCCAGCAACAAAATGTAGTAACACGACAATCTTACAGAAGTTCAATACCGAATTTCTCATGCTGATTTTGGAGAGGGAAAGATATTGTCATGCGATATAGATATTGCAGTTTCGACGACGACATTCGCGAACTACACGATACAACTTCATTTACCTTGTATACCTTCGGCGTCGGGTTCGACGAACATGAGCGGCGGGGATGACACCTACGCGCCCGGCACGCTCATCTGGATCCGGTCCGATGAGGAGGTGTGGCAGGCGGCGGAGGTCCTCTCCGCCGGCAAGGGCGAGATCGTCGTCAAGCTCGACAGCAGCAACGAGCAGGTCGTCGTGAACCCCCAGAAGGACCCGATCTACCTGCGATCACGGGATTTGTACACGGCGGAGGGGTTGGTCGCGCTGGATGATCTGACGCAATTAACGCATCTCCACGAGCCGGCAGTTCTCCACTCGCTTCAAATGCGGTTCGACATCGACAAGATCTACACCTTCACCGGGCCGATCTTGATCGCCGTGAATCCGTTTAAGACGATAGCCGATTTGTACTCGTTGAAAAGCTTAAAGTCCTACATCCAGAACGCCGCAACATCTGGGCAAGTGCCGGAGAAGGACCAACAGCAGAACAAACCGCACGTCTACGCCACGGCGGCGGCCTCGTTCAAGGGGTTGTGTGAGGGAAACAAGTCGCAAACGATCTTGATCTCCGGGGAGTCCGGGGCGGGGAAGACGGAAACGACAAAGTTCGTTATGAAGTTCCTGGCTTTGGCTGGCGCCGGGGAAAGCGGGGTCAGCGACGTGGAGAGGCAGGTTTTGGAGTCAAATCCCCTGCTGGAGGCGTTCGGAAATGCGAGGACGTTGAGGTAAAAAGTACAAACCGTAAGGCTTTCCGTTTGATGTGCTGCACGATCTCAGATCATGCATAGGGGCTCCGTACACGTTTTACTTGCATTTTTCCTGCACAAAATCCTCAATCTCATACAGAAACGACAACTCTTCTCGTTTTGGGAAATTCATCGAGTTGCAGTTCAAGCCCGAGCAGAGCGCCAACAAGAACTACCGACTCTGCGGCGCACGGATCCACACTTATCTTTTGGAGAAGGTCCGCGTTACGGAGCAGCAGGAAGGCGAAAGAGATTTCCATTTGTTCTACCAGGCCTGCGCCGCCGCCGCCGCGAGTGTGAGCGGCAGTGGCTCACCGGGCGCGGGAGAGTTGGTTTACAAGGTACAGAACCTGGTGTCCTCGATGAGGGTGTGGCGTTTCTTATGCTCAATAAAACAGCGCATGAAGACGTAGATGAATGTGTTGTTTCGTTTCTTGCTATACGTAAAAACAAAATTGACAGTTTCCCCAACTCCGAAACGACGCCCGCCCAGCAACGCTGGACTTAACCGGTTTCGCCGAGTTTTCCCACTTTCGCTACCTGACAAGGTCGAGCTGCTGGCAGTTGAAGGATGTGTCGGACGTACTGCAATTCGAGCACACAATAAACGCCATGCTAACAATAGGGATAACAGAAGCACAGGTATTAGTTCTTCTCCTTGTCATCTTGATCTTCTGAGGCGTGGTCAGGACGAAGTGTGCAATTTGTATTGCGAAAACGGAATTTTTTAAGTGAGAATCTGTAAAGTAGATTGCCATGCAAAATATCCAAAAGGATTCGTCCAGGTCAACGCCATTTTCGGGTGCGTCTGTGCCGTTCTGCACCTCGGTTCCTGTACTTTCGAACAAGACCCAAAAGACAGCGACGCATCGGTCTTGGCGGAGAAGACCAAGGACCGCATGGCCCACGCTGCGAGGTGTCTCGGCGTCTCTCCCGAGAAGTTCGCGCACGCCTGCAGTCACAAAACGATCAAAACCGCCACGGAGGGATCGGTCATTGCCGATCTGAACAAAAATCAAGCAGAAGCCTGTCGCGATTCCGCCGCGCGGTACCTCTACGGCCGGGTTTTCTTAGACGTGGTCCAGAGAACGAACGAATCCATTGGGTACCGAACGGACGTCGAGCTGTTTTGCGGCGTGTTGGACATTTTCGGCTTCGAGTGCTTCAAGGTGAACAGCTTCGAACAGATCTGCATCAACTACACAAATGAAAGACTGCAGCAGTTTTTCAACGAGTTTGTTTTCAAACTGGAAGAGTCTCTGTACAACCGGGAAGGGATTCCGTGGGACCCATTAGATTTCCCCGATAATCAAGACTCGGTCGATTTGTTGGAAATCAAACCCTCCGGGATTTTTGCGATGTTGGATGAGGAGTGCATGGTGCCGAACGGCTCCGACCAGGGGTTCGTGAACAAACTGGTCAAGCAGCACAGCGCCCACAGGAGATTCGACGTGATCAAAACGCGGCCAAACTGGTTCGTCGTCAAGCACTTCGCCGGGCCGGTCGGATACGAGTCGGCGAATTTCTTGGATAAGAACAAAGATCAGCTCTCGATGGATGTGGTGGATTTGATGAAAAGCAGCGAAAACGAGTACGTGCGGAATTTGTTTTTGACCGACAAGAAATTCCAGGAGCAGCACAACGCGGGCGAAAGGAGAATGAGCAAGAAGCGGATTGTGACGATATCGAGTGAGTTCCGGGACCAGTTGCAACATTTGATGACAACGGTGAAGTCAACCGAACCACACTTCATCCGGTGTATCAAGCCGAATCCGGACAATCTGTGTGACGTGTACGATAGGCCAGGCGTCACGGAGCAGCTGCGGTAAGATCGTGCGGCCTTTGCTTTAGATGCAAGAGTATCCAAACAGATGATTGATACTCGATGATCAAATTGCTTGTTCTGATGTTCATGGTTTTATGCCACTACTATCAGGTACGGTGGTGTCTTGCAAGTGGTCCAGGTTTCCCGCGCGGGATACCCGGTTCGCGTCAAGCCAGAGGACGCTTGGCTCGACTACCGAATTCTCCTTCCCACCCATCTCCGAAAGGATTACGAGGAGATGGCCGACCTTTCCGCTTCCGACAGGGTGAAGAAGATGCTCACCTACCTCGTGCGAGAACTGAACATCGTCATCGCTAACTCGGTCGGTCCGGTGTGGGCGGTCGGCAAAACTTTGGTGTTTTTCAAGCAGCACACGTACGAGCGAATTTCGCAGCGGAGGCTGATCATCCGCGGGGCGGCGGCGGTCAAAATCCAGGCAAAATACAAGGCGGTGAAGGCCGCCCGGGAATTCGAGTTGTTGCAGTACTGCTGCAGCCATTTGCAGGCGTTGCTCCGGGCGAAGGAAGCAAGGGATTTGCTGGACGCGAAGCGACAGGAATTCGCAGTGGTGCAGATACAGAAGGTCGCAAGAGTGCAGTTGGCGAAGAAAGAGTACTATTGCTGCATGTGTTGTCGTGCATCGTCTTTGAAAGACTCTGATGTGATTTTGGATTTGTAATTTGGTAGATTATCGTGCCTGTGCTGCGCCTTGGTTCAGCTGACGCACCATGACACCAATAGCAACCTGAGCGATCAAGATCGTCCCCATCAACTACAACACCTGTACTAGGTACCGCAAAATCCGCAAGGCGATCATTCTGATGCAGGCCGCGTGGCGGGGGAAGAAGGGACGCTCTTTCGCCAAGGAATTCAAAAAGTTCAAAGCGATCACGAAAATCCAGGCCACCTACCGGTCCGTGCTCGAACGCCGGATTTTTGTCGCTATGCGGCTGGGTATCAACCAGCTGCAGACCAGGTGGCGCATGAAGCAGGCCAAGGTGCAACTGAAGAAATTGAAACAGGAGGCGAAGGAGGTGGGCAACCTGCTCGCGAAGCACCAGAAACAGCAGGAATTAGTCAAGGAACAGTCGCGGAAACTGCAAGAAACGGAATCTCTCGGATTGCAGTTGAAGGCGGAGAACAAAGATCTCTCCAACCACGTCAGCAAACTGGAGCAGGAGCTGAAGAAGCAGGAGGAAAAAATGCAAGAATTGCAGCAGGATGAGGAGGTCCGCAGGAAAAAGGAGGAGGAGGAGGGGTCACTGGCGAAGATAAAAACGGAGGAATTGGAAAAGTTGGAATCCGAGTCGGATTCGCTGAAACAAGAGAATTCAAAATTGAAGGAGGAAATCGCGACTCTGAAGCAAGAAGTGGAGAAGTTGCGGGAACAGGTGGAGCAATCAAACACGAGGTATACGCAGCTGCTGAAGAACACGGCGATGCAGTCCATGGGCCAGGGCGTGGCGGAAGCAGGGGGGCCGAGAGGGAACCGGGGCCACAAATCGGTGGATATTCAATTAGTGGGGATGCAGGGTGTGGGGAAGACGTGTCTGTTGGAGAGGCTGATCCAGGAGTCCGACCCGGCACAAATACCGAAATTCCAGCAAGACAGAGCAAACTTCATGGGAAGATATCAGGTAAAAACATTTTTCCAGCTTTATGTTACCACCGCTACAATTTGGTTGGTTTTTGTCATGAATCAAAAGTGACGTGAGTGCAAAGAGCTCGTTTGATCTGCAGGCGTCTTTTTGTGATGCGCTTGCGCGTCCAACATGTCCGCATTAGTACCATCACAACATTTCCAGGTTCGTGTCGGTGGCGAGGAGAGTCGCGCCTTGAACATTTTGGATTGCAGTGGCAACCCGCGCGCCGCCCAGCACATCAAGGAATACTTCGCCCGGTCCCTCTGGGTCATCGTCATCTACGATCTTTGTTCCACGGAATCCTTCAACCTGGCGAAGGACCTCATGCGCGCCGCGACGCAACAAGGCGCCGGCTGCGTGTTTTTCGGCAACAAGTGGCGTTTGGAAAACGAAAAGACCGCGGATAACAAACCACTGCAATCGTATCAGAGGAAAAAGTGTTAACGTTAACGGAATTTGTGATGCAGTCATGCATCACAAAACGGGCCCAAGTTTGTCATGCATAGCATGCATACTAGCCAAAATTTGTCACGCATATATGCAATATATGAAAAACGTTAACGTTAACACTTTTTTGGTTGATAAATCGGTCGTCGATGTGATGGTCGCGAAAGACGCGGCCGCCAGCTGCGGGGCTTTGGCGGTAGAGTCGAGCGACATCAGGGAAGCAGTGCGGATGATTCTCCGGGACATCGAATCCGAGCACCAAGCGAACACAGCGGGGGAAAAGCGCGGCGCAAACGCCATGAGCCAAGTGTTCGACCGAGTCTCGAACATGTTCGGTGCCGGGCCGAAACGGGGAAGCATGCAGGACAATGCGCAACTGAAATTGTCGCAGGTTTCAAAATCTATACGTGACTTACCCTGTTTGTGTTTTCAGAATGATGATACATTTTCACGAGCAGAGGAGCACAGCGTTTTCTTATGCGGGGCAATGCTATCAAAAGAGAAAGCTTTTTCAAAAATTTGCTCAGATCGGCGTGCTGAAACCGTCCCTGAAGGGCACAAAACTGATGAAGCAAAACCGAAGAGAGGGCGACGTGGCAACGGAATTGAGACCAGTGCAAGAGCTGCAGGACTCAGAATCAGCGGTAAGGTTGTTGTCATGTCATTTCAGTATCGTACCATGGGACTGTGATGAAACAGTACTCATCTTCAGAGCAAACGTTCTTGACGTTGTCCGCCGCATTGCAACACGAGAATAGCGAAACTAAAAACATCAAAAGAAAACTGAAACTCTCTCAGGTCACCTGCATCGTGTTCGGCCAGGAGCGATTACACCGGTCCTACATCCTGCTTGCCGCCGCGTCAAAGGATGGTACGGTTGTCATTTACCGATGCTACCGCACGGAAATGGAGCTGTCAATCCTAGACATGGCCGAGTTCCCAGCAGGGCAGGAAGACGAACGACACGAGGGTGCGGACCATTCCAATATCGCGGTACACAGCAGACTCGTGGGGCACAGCAGGGCGATTACATCGGTACAAAACTGCTGCTCCAACTACACCTGTGACCGAGCTGTGTGTGCCGCCGGTGTCTCAGCCTCATTGTGGTGCGTTGTTCTCATGCACCGGAGATGGAACTGCAAGTGGGGTAGTTCCAAAGACTTTCCAAAACTATTCACATCTAAATTTTGAAATTCAATTCACTCTTCACAGATTTTCTTCAACCTCTTGGAGGACCAATTGGTCACCACGTCCATCGACAAGTCCGTCCGATTTTGGTCGGTGGAAACCGGTGAGATGTTGAAAGTCTTCACAGACTCGTCTCCCGTCCCCGTCGCAACATTTCTTCCCTTCAACCCCCAAGTCTTCGTCGCAGCCAACAGCAACGCCGTCTTGCGGCTGGTGAACGTGCAAAACGGAATGGTCATGCAAAAGCTCAAAGTGGAAACGGAAGTGCGAGCGCTCAAATTCGACGACAGCGGGCTGTTTTTGATTGCGTATCCTATTGTTACATGTTTTAGTTTTACTTTGCCCGTGCGTAAAATCCGTAACCGTATATGCATTTCTTTCCCAAATGCAAGGAAGTGAAGTTACTTACGTGCCATCTCTTATGCTGAAAGATGCCGAGAGAATGAAAAGCCATTGAGTTTGAGTTGACTTCGAAAATAAACAGCGGCACCAAAAACGGATCGATCCACGTGCTAGAAGCCTCGGATTCCTCAACCCTCAAATTCCGGTTCAAAGTCCAGCTCGCTCGTGGTGGTGTGACCTGCATCACCTTCGTGCCGGCCGCTCACGGCAACCCGCCCTGCCTCCTCGTGAACACGTCCGATAGTTCCGTTACCATCATAGACTGCACCTACGGACCTCCCGCCGGCGTGCTCACGAACCTAACCGTGAGGCATCGGGTGAAAGTGGCACACTCGCTACTGCCCTTGAAGTGCTGCTACAGCCCGAGCGGGACAGGGTACTTTAGAGACTTTCTTCTTTCTTGCACCCGGTTCAATAGGAGTGTTTGTTTCTTTATCAGCTTTGTCCATCCAGCGTTCTTCCATGCGGCGGGCTCCTTCCCTGTTCGAAGTCGGGCTGTAAGGAGAAAAACCAAACAAAAAATCTAAAAACCAGTTACCTCGTGTCCGGAAGCGAAGACAAGGAGGTCTATATCTACTCGCTCGGCCGCGGCAACAACTACAAGATGCAGTACTTGAAGCACCACTTAGTTCCCGTCGTCGCTGTCGCAACCAACTACCAGGACACCCTCCTCGCGTCTGCGGACTCGCTCGGCCGCATCGTGCTCTGGCGCCGGATGGACTTTAGCCACCTGGGGGGCGGTGCCGCCGGGGCTGGGGGACAGGCGATGTAGTACGCTGCTACGCTGAGACAATCCTACTCCTAGATGTGGAAGCAGCTGCGACGGGTAGCAGAATTACAGTAGTGCGACCACAGTTCGCCGATCGTGCTGTGCGAGCTACTCGTACGGGTTTGAAAACAGAGGAAACGTTGACGTCAGACATTCATTGCCTATCCTCACGAGATTTTTTTAAACAAAAACTAATTCGAAAATTTCAAAGACAATTTGCATCAACGTCCAGAAGGTATACTATATCATCTTTTTTGTTGTTCGCAGCAGGGGAAGTACTCAAGTTGTGGATATGGCCGGCATTTCCCTGCTGTGGCCGTAGAGAGGTATAGTTTCTGCTTCGTTCGCTTTACGATTACGTTTATTTTCACTTTCAAATTCATACTCAATTGCAGTGCCACACGGATGAAACCGGCTATTAGATTGGTTTTACTAGTAGCCTCAGTCGATTCACCGTTGTAGCGGTCGGGTTTCTTGGTGGTCGGCGCTACAACAGGAACGATGTGCTTCGTATCCCGGCATACGGCTGCGTCAAAATCAATGATGGCATTCTCTGCAGCATCATGGACGCACTACTTTTGCGCTTTTATAGTTGGAAATTCTGTATCTGTATCATGTACTAAAGACGAGACATTTTTACACATGTACAAAAAGAACAGGCTTGGTGAATCAAAGTCATTCACGCGCACCGCACCGTTGACTGTAGCCGTCTTTCGTTCATTTTGCAGGCTTGGCTGGTAGGTTCGGGTTGCTGAAGGTCCTCCTTCTTACTTTCAGAAACTACTATTCCGAGTCGGGTCACCAACATGTTTTAAAACCGTATCACTGCTACACGTCAACGAAGGTTATTCCGACTCACCCAGAAATTAATTGAATGTGCTTTTCGACATTGCTGACTTCTTTAGTTTCAAGCCGAATGAACGCGAATACGTCCGTGGTAAGTAGCATTAGCAACAACGCGTCTCCGCCAATTCAGTCACTTTGCTCAACCCCAGCTACCTGCGCCGGTTCAGGATGCAGGTGGCGAAGATGAGATCTTGCACAAAGCTCGTACGTTGGCAAGGGAGTAGCTCGGGACATCATTAATGAAAAATGTGTTCCCATTCACTACGTTCAGCATTTCTCATTCCCATTGTACTAGCAGCAACAAAAGACGGTGTTGAATGAAAAGAAAATCTGGAATTATTCACAGCCTTATTTACCAACACGCGATAACTGTTTCATTTTCTCTTGTTTCCAACTAGCACATGTAGTTTATGCACGGCGCAAGAGGGCAGGGTCGAGTTGCAACTTCCATTTACATTTTGACAATTTTGCACGAAATTAATCATGCTGCGCCTGCGTATTGGCAAATCAAAATCTGAAACGCGGACAAGCACAAGATAGTACTGCTTACTCTGCGCCTCTTGTCATCTTCATCTACTGCTCTCTCGAAAAACCTAAACCATTTTTCTTTGTCCATCTTCGCGTCGGTCGTTTGGTTTGCACGATTTTTTCTTGCGACTACAACTTTTTCTTTCCCGGCGTCGTTGTGTACTTGGAGGCTCTCTACTTCGTTGTAGTTCTGTCAGAGAACAAGGTCGTGTTTCTGGTGCACCGCAATTAACGATTTAACTACAACGACCGATCGCGGCGACGTTAGCAACGAAGACCGACGGGGCTTAACACCAACATGCCTTCTTCCACGGGACCGCCAGGAGCGCCAACGACGCTGCTGCAGACCGGGGGCGGGAGTGGCTCCGGGAGCGGGGCGAGTAGAAGTGGTCTACATCACGACTATGATCCAATGCACCTGCAGATGATATCGATAGATCGACGCGAGTGTTTGGAGTTGGACCTAGAACGACTCCGGGAAGTATGAAAAGAACTGCAGTAGGGTTTTCTTTTGTAGAAAGCGGTCGAGTCAATTTTGTCATGCGTGGTGGTACTGGTGTGGTATGGTAACTGTAAGCCAAGGCCAAGGAGAGCGACAGGGACAGTAAAGAGTAGTAGAACTCGCATGACAATTCATGACAATCTCCTTCCAGTTCCATGATCATTGATGCAAGAAAATTCTGAAGCTTTTCTTTCCACGAAGGCAAGCTGATCGCATCCACCAAGCTGTCTTGAGGCGTGCTTGTAAGTTTCTGATCCCATGTTAAAATCCTTTACTTTGTTTTGCCACGAATTTTGCGGATCCTGCAATAAAAATGTCTTTTGTGATGCGAGTAACTGCATGATAACCTACTTCTCAGGTGCTCCGTCGAATGCCACCAACTCGACCAGTTCGAACACGCCGAACAGCACTTCGAACTCAAAACTTATCCAACAGGGTACACGTGTTGGTGCTTCCCCGCTCTTCCAGGTGGAGTTTGTCATGCTTGTTGCAACATTGTACTCCACCACATCTTCAAGGGTCCTGCGTAGTTGCAGCGGAGATTTGAAAGGTTGCTGAAGATCGTCGACGGTTGTGGCTCCTGTACGAGTGTAATGATGCTTTCCTTGCATGAGCGGGGTAAGAAACCCAAACGAGAACTTCGCGGTTGAGTTCTCATCCGGCCGGCCGGCCGGATGAGAACTCAACCACATCTGTGGCGGATTGAAATCTGCCGGCCGGTCGTCCGGGTCCTCTTCTTCCCTCCTGGTCGACGGCCTCACTCTTCTTCTTGTCACCCCACAGCTGCGCTGTTTCACTACGCAGAAAGCCCGAGCTTTGTCATGCAAAAACTGCGGCAAGTGCCTAAACCCAAGAAGCAGAAGCTGCGTTGTTTGCTACTTCTCCTGCGAGTCGCCGGAAAAGCAAAAGGCGAACAGCCTGGGGACCCAGAGGATGGGGGCACAGCCCAAAGCGGGCGCGCAGCGCTGAGTGACTGACCATGCCGGCTGCGGCCGGGCGCCGACGAACCCCACAAGGAAGCAACGCAACAGCGTACAACTTGCGCGCGCGGGCGGTCCTGATGTGCCGCCTTCGTGTGTAGGAAAAGATAAAGACTGCTAGGGCGCCAGTAGCCCGCCGGAGGTACACAGTCACAGGGGGGCGGCCCAGGCCATTTGCATTGTCCCTGCTACCGGTTGGGGGTAGCTTTGGAGCCCGACGCGCCGCAGGATTCGGGCGCCGGCAGAAAGGGCAGCGCGCGCGGCGCGTCGGAGATTGGTTGCCCGGCGCGCCGAGCGAGGCCCCGCCTCCCATCGCGCAAGTCGGTGGACGCGCGAAGCGCGTCCGACCCGGGTCCGGCGCATCTACCAACTGCTGCGCCGAAGGAAGCATTAGCCAGCGGAGAGGCGCGCGGACGCGCTTTCTGGGCCGGCGATTGCAGCGCACAACTACAACGGGCGCGCATTGCGCGCCCCGCGAAATGTTGCCTATTGCGTGTGCGAGCCCCGCGAATGTTTTTGCATTCAATTCTTTCGAATTCCACCCAGAAGCCAAAAGGCATAGCGCAGTCCAAGTATGAAAGCGCGTCCGCGGCGGGCGCGCACAATGTGCCACCTTTAAAATTTTTCAACTTCTGCCCCGCTGCATAGCGTACCTTCCCTGTATTCGCAGCGGGCGCGCGCAGCGTGCCCAAAGAATTTTTGTGTTGCACACGGCCCCCGGCGAAAGGGGAGTGAGGAGGGCGTCGGTCTCCAGCAGGCCGCTCCCCCCCCCCCCTTCGCCCGAGCGAAAGGCGGGCCAATTTTTGCCAGAAGATGACCAGGACGACCGGCCGGTCGATTTCCGCCGCCGATGTGGTTGAGTTCTCATCCGGCCGGCCGGCCGGATGAGAACTCAACCGCGAAGTTCTCGTTTGGGTTTGTTACCCCGCTCCATGAAAAACTGGATTTTTGACATTGGGAATGCACCATCAAAATCCCCCATGCATACCTTAGCAGTTAAACACCGTTCTGATACATTACGAACGCGTCCGAGCCAGTTTGGAAGAGGAAATCGCAAACCTGGAGCGGCAGCTGGAACAGGAATATGCACAGGGTGGATCATCCGGTCAACATAGCCAATATGCGGCTTATAGTCAGCAACATCATCACGGAAGCAAGGATCTGTACCCGAACACTAATGCTACAGCTCACCAACAGAAATTTCCAACAGGCTCATCGTCCAAGACCAACTCTTCTACGACTGCGCCGCCCACTTCGCAGAATCCAGTTCACCACAGCCACGATGTTGTGATGGAACAAGCTGCGCATCAACCGGTCAGCACGTCGAGCAACTACTTGGCCCAGCCTTCCACTCTGCTCACGTCGATGGCAACCGGGAGTGGTGCAGCGACGGTGGGTAAGTCTTCGTCTTCTGGAGGTACTTCCTCTAGTAGTCTTGGCAACGTGGCGGGTGCATCATCGACGACAGGTGCCGGGGGGAGCAAGTTTTCCATGCATGGGACGTCAAGTAATTCATCTTCTTCAACGCTTGGAAGCCGCCGGATTGGAGCTGGAAACAGTGGCCACGGCTCCTACGCGAACTCGCATCTTTTACAGCCGTCGTCGACCTCGTTACATCACACCAGTTCCCATAGCTCCAATAATTCCGGGACGGCATCGAGGGTATTCATAATTAATAAGACGCTAATAAACTAACATGTTGCAGTTGGTTGATCAGAAGATATTTGTCTTTCCGTTTATTAGCAATCTTCGTCTTTTTTCAGGCTGTGCAAAGGAGCGCCTATCGATAACGATATGAAGCTGATCTGAAAACAACTCTATCAGGAACAAAGCAGCGGGCTGTCCCATCCAAACACTTCTACGACGTTGCACCGTCTTGGTTCGGAGCGCCGCACCGGTTACAGTCCCCACAAGCACTACAGTAACTACTCCACTGGAAGCAGAAACACGCCGGCGCATAACTCGCCGCTGCGCCACGGGTACTCCACGTCGACGTCCGGTTCAAACTACAAATCTTCGTCTACGTCTCGGGGACATCAGTACTTCTACAGGAGGTTTTTTCATGCCTGATAATTCATTTCAAATTTATAGTACTCGTAGCTTTTCGCAAGAGAGCATGATCAGAAATGAGTTACATGCACTAGTAAAACTGCTACAGGTATAGCAAGTCCTCGAATTCCGGAACTGCTTCTTCGGGGCTGCATACCACGTCGAGCTTACGCGTTGAAAATCTTCATAACTCCTCACACAACAGCTGATGCTCGCATAATTTTCATCTCATGCATGCCATGATCCAACAAGTCCAACACCAACTGGCTCTCTTTTTGCGGTGCTAAATGCTGCACCTCTTAACAAATAAGCGAAAGCTGATCTACTGTCTGCTGAGGAGCCTCTAAGATTTTCCTCTTGATCCACCACGAATTCCACCAGTCCCCACTTCGAGAGCGGGGGCACGGGCGTGCTGAAGACGCGAAGCAGTAACAGCACCACCTCCAGCAGCGCAGCCTCGACCAGCGGTGGCGGTGCAAGCGGGGGCAGGTACGGCGCGACAACTTCCAATTTCTCTTCTAGTTCGAGCCACACAGGAGCTGGGGCTTACACGTCCTCGACCGGTGCAACTGGCACGACAAATCCCCGGGCGGGGGTCGTGCCGAACCTGCGCCAGCATCAGTCGTCAACACGTAGCATGTCGCCACTGCTGCACGATAAGATCGCGCACCAGCATGGGATCAGCGTGTCCAGCAGTATCAACTTCGGGTCGAGCAGCCGGATTTTGGGCGGATCTTCAGCAGGGTCGGGAAGTAGTGGAATAGGAAGCAGCTCTTCGGGCAGCGGCTCTTCGTTGGCGGGCGAGGCGAAGTACAACTTGGACTGATATCTTGTTTTGTCACAATGCCGACTGAAGATCTACTTTGGTACAGCACATGCCCTCCCTCGTCAATACAGAATGATGACTCTGCCGGTAATTCTAATTGCAGTCTTTTTCCCTGCCCATTCTTGATCCCAAACTCCAGATCGCGTCGCCTTCCCGGACTGACGCCACGCACGGACCAGCCGGGCTCCTACTCGGCTTTTCAGCACCAGTCTGGGAGCCACGGTCTCTGGGAAAGCAGTCACCGGGCCACTGGGTACAACAGCAACCACTACTATGAAAGGGAAAGAAGAAGAAGCAGACACTCCAGTCGAAGTCCCTATCGTGGTCGCGGCCACGGGCGGTGGCATGATCGTGGTGATCATGGCCGCGCGTCTCTCAATGCGTCACGCGATTTGCGATGGCGCGGCCCCGTCCGTGGCACCTTCCCTCGGATGGATACTAGCGATCGTCGTGTCAGAGAAAGGTCGAGGGAGCGCGTTTGTCATAGAGTACGCAAGGGAAAAAATGGTCACGATCTTTACATGTGAGAAAAATGGTGCGCTGCACAACGGTGAAGGTGAGCACGATGCATTTTGTGCTGCATGGCAAATGTAGTGGGGGCCAGTATCCTACTATTGATATTTTGTTGTAATACATCAAGATCAAGCAGCGAATTTTCTCCGTGCAGAAGAGACGTCGACTTTTTTCATTTGCATAGCAGAACCATCGCCCCCTACATCGACATCACCCATACTCGTCGAGCTCGAGCAAGTATCCCATTGTGTTGAAAAGTCTGCCGAGGTCGGGTGCGTTCTTTTGCCATGATCTTGGTGTAGCATTTGCATAGACAATGACACCGTCGAGACGCAAGAACACTGGTGCAGCTTTCGTAACCCTAAGCGCTGATGCACTAAACTTTCTCTTTTGCACCACAGAGAAGGTGAAGGACGCTTCTAATCGGTGAATTTTTCACGCAATACCACTTGCAACAACTCACGCCACTACCGTACGAGGGAGCGACCAGGACAGCGCTACTAGTAAACAAAGCAAAACACGAACCCAATTTCTCCTCCCTGAGTTTTAAGAACGACGAATATCGAATAAATGCTCGTAGACATCATACCCAAAGCGGAGCCGTGAAGATCCGTAGCACGTGATCATCGAAGGAGGAGCGAATTATCGTTGGAGTGACCCGATGGAGTCTACTGAGCAGAGGAGAAGGAGGAGGCAAGCAACAAGAAGCACGAAAACTGCAAAAAATCTATTTTATGATTGAAAGAATGAAGACTAAATGTAAACTTCGACCACGAGAAAATCCAAACCTATTATTACGTTACAGTTAAAGACCTCTCAAACTCAATTTTCTAGAACTACTAAGTCTAATGTTGTGATGTTGTCTCCGCAGTGGCAGAGGAGACCAGAGAACAGGACTACAAGGACACCAAACAGCACATTGCGATTAATGAATTCAAATACTAAATCTAATGAGAGTTGTAGCAACGGGTAGGGGTACATCCGATCAGGCTAACACAAGAAAATGCACATGTTCCAAGAAGACCAAATTTTTGTTTCGTAGTTTTCTCTTTCTAAGAGCGGGGTAACAAACCCAAACGAGAACTTCGCGGTTGAGTTCTCATCCGGCCGGCCGGCCGGATGTAAACTCAACCACATCTGTGGCGGATTGAAATCGGCCGGCCGGTCGTCCGGGTCCTCTTCTTCCCTCCTGGTCGACGGCCTCACTCTTCTTCTTGTCACCCCCCAGCTGCGCAGTTTCACTACGCAGAAAGCCCGAGCTTTGTCATGCAAAAGCTGCGGCAAGTGCCTGAACCCAAGAAGCAGAAGCTGCGTTGTTTGCTACTTCTCCTGCGAGTCGCCGGAAAAGGCGAAGAGCCTGGGGACCCAGAGGATGGGGGCACAGCCCAAAGCGGGCGCGCAGCGCTGAGTGACCATGCCGGCTGCGGCCGGGCGCCGACGAACCCCACAAGGAAGCAACGCAACAGCGTACAACTTGCGCGCGCGGGCCGTCCTGATGTGCCACCTTCGCGTGTAGGAAAAGATAAAGATTGCTAGGGCGCCAGTAGCCCGGCGGAGGTACACAGGGGGGCGGCCCAGGCCATTTGCATTGTCCCTGCTACCGGGTGGGGGTAGCTTTGGAGCCCGACGGACGCGCCGCAGGATTCGGGCGCCGGCAGAAAGGGCAGCGCGCGCGGCGCGTCGGAGATTGGTTGCCCGGCGCGCCGAGCGAGGCCCCGCCTCCCATCGCGCAAGTCGGTGGACGCGCGAAGCGCGTCCGACCCGGGTCCGGCGCAAATGCCAACTGCTGCGCCGAAGCAAGCATTAGCCAGCGGAGAGGCGCGCGGACGCGCTTTCTGGGCCGGCGATTGCAGCGTACAACCACAACGGGCGCGCGTTGCGCGCCCCGCGAAATTTTGCCTATTGCGTGTGCGAGCCCCGCGAATGTTTTTGCATTCAATTCTTTCGAATTCCACCCAGAAGCCAAAAGGCATAGCGCAGTCCAACTATGAAAGCGCGTCCGCGGCGGGCACGCACAATGCGCCACCTTTAAAATTTAACTTCTGCGCCGCTGCATAGCGTAGCTTCCCTGTATTCGCAGCGGGCGCGCGCAGCGTGCCCAGAGAATTTTTGTGTTGGTTGCACACGGCCCCCGGCGAAAGGGGAGTGAGGGGGGCGTCGGTCTCTAGCAGGCCGCTCCCCCCCTTTCGCCCGAGCGAAAGGCGGGCCAATTTTTGCCAGAAGATGACCAGGACGACCGGCCGGTCGATTTCCGCCGCTGATGTGGTTGAGTTCTCATCCGGCCGGCCGGCCGGATGAGAACTCAACCGCGAAGTTCTCGTTTGGGTTTGTTACCCCGCTCTAATTAGTTTCACTGATTTTACCAACATCTTCACACACCCCAGTTTGCACCCTTTCGCTTTCCGAACAATCCCAATCGTAGTTTACGTAAAGTATTATTTCTGTCAAATGAAAAGGCACAAGAACCTCAAAGCTAGTTTTCCTATCCGAGGGAAGTTGCCCCAGTTTCATACTGTCGGAAGTCCGCCGAGACGCGGAATAACGGAGCACCACCATCTGGGCGGCGCTGGAGTCAATTTGTCAACGGGTGGAGGCAGTAGTCATAAATCTACCAGCACAACTGCCAGAGGAGGACTACAAATCATCGGAACGAACAATAGCTACAGCAACAGTAGATGATGAGTTGCTTGCTTTTTGTCGTGTCACTCCATGGCTGAAGAGTTTTTGATAAAAATTTCGATCCATCGTAGAGAGAGTATATATCTGCACTTGCATATGTGATTGTCAGCCTTTTGCTGCATTTCGAGTTTGTATGGCACGGGACTGAACCTTTTTCGCTTGACGTGGTTGGTCCACGAGTTTTTTTGCACACGTGCTAAGGAGAGCCCGAGGATGCTACAGAGCCTAAGCTTGGCTGGATTCCGTCTTGACGGAACAAAATAAACAATTGTGGAGCTTGAGCTTGCGTATGTTTTTTAAATTTAGCACATACCGCGTCAGCTGGTGCAGGGTGGTCACCGTTCTTTGAACAGAGGAATAGGAAAAGTCATTCGAAATGTTAAAATCTCGACAGCTGAGCAACAAAAAAAAAAGAACGAGTGCTAGAACACACTAGCTGCTTGCTCTCTCATGCAATTTTCTGCTACTTTGCTGCGGTTGATTCAAAACCAACGTGAACGTACGAAGCTTCTCCCTTTTGCAGTTCCCACTTTCGAGAGCGATATCGTACTTATTTTTCCACCAGCTTTGCTTTCGCCTTTTGTCATGACCGGTTCGCTGTTCACTACATGTACATTCACGACGAGAACTGAAAACATTGGTCCGGTCGTAGTTTCATGCTGCTACTTGGTGGTCGCCGACATTTTGATCGTAATCGGTATCAAGACGAAGACTGGGAGAGATAGATGAGATGAAATCTTTGGTAGTCCGAGGTGCGGAGAGACCCTTGCGCAAGATGTTAGCACTTTTAAGCGAGCTGCAACAAATGTTCCGACGTATGAAGACATCTTCAACATTGTCACCAGGTCCAATCATTTCTACGATTTTCGACAGCTGCTTCTTACCCCTCGCCATAGCAAGCTAAACACATCTGCAGTGTAAGAACCCGACCAAAAGAACGATGAAGGTCCTCCGTGTTTTCAACGAGAGCAGTGAGCAGCCCTTTCCCTGGGAACAGGATCAGGTACAAGACGATTTGTCCGGAGGACCAGAGCACTCGTCTGTGAGACAACCACAAATCAAAAACTTAACCTCTGCCGTGCCGCAAGATCGACGAGATCAATACGAATCCGACCCCATGTTTCCAACCGAAGTTTGGAACAAAACAGCCTTACGAAGCCAGCAGCGCTATTTGGAATTGCAAGAGCTGCCCGGATCCGGAACTACAGCCACCGGTCGCATTTTCCGCATCGTTTGCGTCTCGGATACTCACGGCAGAACCGCGAAAATGCCCGGTACTCCACTTCTTCCAGAGGGAGACCTGCTGATCCACGCGGGGGACATTTCGAACAAGGGGAAGCGAGAGGAGGTTTTCGAATTCCTGGATTGGTTTCGAAGTCAGCCACACCGCCACAAAGTCTGGATCGCGGGCAACCACGACTTGACGCTGGACCGGGAAGCGTATCGGAACGCGAGTAAGAGGAAGAGGTTTGGGCTGAAGGAGGAAGAGGCCGTTGCTCTTGGAGGAAATGATGTCGGTGTTGCTGGTGTAGTTGAACCGACGAAACAAGCAACTTCGTCTTCACAAGCTGATGGTCCATCGGTGAGTGCAAGTGGTGGAGGTCTGTTCGAGTCCATTTCCAACTTTTTCAGCCCAAAAGCGGAAGCCAGGAAGGCCGAAGCAGAGGAGGCAGCTCATGACGCGGGTGCAGCTACTTCCTCTGAAGACAAACTTTCTGCCACTCTCCTCGCGACTACCCATGTCCGTCCGGAGGCGAGCAAGCTGGAAGCGGAGATTCGAGGAATTCTTGAGCACGATCCTTCAACGTTTTACCTCCACGACGAGCTTCTGCAGTTGGAAATACCAATAGACACACAAAATCCGCAACAGAAATCACAAAAATCCCTGAATATCTACGGCTCCCCCTACCAGCCGGAGTTCGGCGACTGGGCCTTCAACTTAAAACGGGGCCCTGATTCCCGCACAGAGTGGGACAAGATCCCAACAGAAACCGATATCCTAATCACCCACGGCCCGCCCCTCGGCCGCGGCGATTTCTGCTCCAGCGGGCTGCGTGCGGGCTGTTTGGACCTGCTGGAAACGGTGCAGAACCGGGTGAAACCGACGGGGCATGTGTTTGGGCACATTCACGAGGGGTACGGGGGGAGCTTCGACGGAGAGACGCTGTTTGTCAACGCGGCGACGTGCAATTTGGCGTACGCGCCGAACAACCCGCCTGTGGTTGTTGAGGTGATGATATGAAGAATTTCCGATGATCATGTCGTGGCATTTCAGCAACAGCATGTTGCGCGAAGACAATACATACCCGAGAACTCACACGCATTTCTTTCTTGTCAGACAGGTCAAAACTACAAACACATAACTTCACACTCTTGTGAGCAGCAGCTCAAGCCGTTCGTGGGAATTCAACTTGTTCCCGTGTGCGTGACAAGCTGGCTGCAGTGCGGAATCGATCGCGCCTCGGACTCCGTTAGTCCACCGTGAGTGTGGTTCGATGCTCGGTAGCATGTGGATGAGTACCGACTTCGTGCTTGCATCTCGCGGATTTTAGTTGGATATCCAACCAGAATAATCGCAAGTGGGGTTTTCCTATCGCTCATTCGTGGCATATGAATACCGTTCGTAAACCAGTTTTGTAAGGTCATTTTCTTCGTCGAAAAGTTCTCCGTTGAGTGTTGTCGTGAGTGATCGACTGAGAGGAGAGAATCCAAGCGGCCTCGAAGTATACGCTTAGCCCAGCATAACATTGGCAAAGACCGTCAATTGTGTTCGTTCTTGTTTCCGAATTTATGTTCAGAAATCCTTTATTTGTGCGTTCTCGCGACCCGTATCAATTTGTTGTGAAGGAAGTAACTCAGAAAGGCAAGATGTCCTTCTTCATCGCAAAGCCGACCGCAGCGCGGAAGCGCTCGGGATTGCAGCGCCCGGCGAAGATGCTTTTGCCGGCGGCAGTTTTGCCGACCTTGGATCAGGAGGGTACTACTATTTTTGATCACGCGAGTACCGAGATTATTTGATTTTTGTTATGACACAATTGCCTTAGATCCCTCCATGCTCTATGTCTATGTTGCAGAGGAACGAGAGTACATGAGACGAGTGATCGAGTAACACACGTCGAATTTTGTCACAAACATAATCCAACAAAACACCAGGGGTGTTCCACGTCTCCGCATACCAAAAGAAGGAGAAGCGCGGCAATCTGCGCGGGTCGAACAAGAATGCGTTCAGTGCTTTGGAGGACCATGTGGACGGGACGAGCACGCCACCGGGATCGCCGGTACATCTTCATTGAAATTCTTTTGGGTGAAAATGTTGAAATCTGAATTATTCCCTGAAGTGTCTGAAATTTTGCGTCGAAACAACATGGCCTGGAGCTGGACATGTGAAAACCATACCAAATCAGATGTCCGCGTTGGAGAAGCAGCTTGTCTTAAACAAGTTTAAGCCAGCTGCGGATGGCGATGGGGCTGCACCAGCTGCGGATGGCGATGGGGCTGCACCAGCTGCGGGGGATGGCGATGGGGATGCATTGGTCGAGCAACTGATGGGAGAAAAGGGCTACGCACACTGCATCAATAACCCAAGCGGGCCCGGCTGTAACGTGGGACTTCTCGCGGTGAAACAACACTTCGAGCAGTTGTACCAATCGGATCTTGGAAATCCTAGCAAGGTCGCGGATCTGAACAAATTTATTGATGATGACAAATATCCTGTGCAAAACCATCGCACTAGTATAAATCGCATGACAAATGATTTTCTCAGCATGGGAAATAAAAAAAAAATTCTTGTTGTGCTGTGGGTTTATTTAAAGAAAAGAAAAACTGTAACGCATGACTGCGATTCGGATTTCAATTGCATACTGCTAGTGCGATACTTTTGCAATCCATAGCATGATGTTGACAAGTGCGGTGGATGCTTGGGTAAAGAAAAAAAAAGCGAAGCAAGAGCGTTTTGCGGAAAAATCGAAAGAAGCGCAAGCGGTCGAGGACGCGGCCGCGAAGGGGCAGTCCTGAGACGAGAAAGCGTCAGGCAGCAAATGAGACTGTGCTGAAAAATGGTCGAAGACAAAATGCTTGCTTTGCGTAGGGATCAATATCAAACCTGTCGCTTTGACAAGCAGTACGTAAGTATCCAACCAGGAGTCGTAGTTCGTAAGGTTTGAAAGTTCTTGGTCTCGCGTAGCTAGCTCTCGAAGTCGAGAAGTTGTACCACTCGTTTTATAAGTCCAGAATGTGAATCTATAATATTAAATCAAAAACAATCGCGTAAATTTTGTACTTGTATTTTCAAAATTCTACTCACTCTTAATGTTAATACCTCTTCTAAGGCAGCATGTATAAAATGACAACTCACTACTCTGTGCATCTTACAGCTGTTGATGTGTATTTAAGCGAAATTATATCCCTCCCTGAAACAGTTGAGTTGTAATAAAAAACGATCCCTAAGTAGTCGAGGCCCCCGCGAACCTCCGCTTGTAGCGCGTACCGCGACGTTTGGTCATTGCAGCAGCAGGTTTTGGCTATTTAGTCATCTACGAGATCGATGGAGCAGCGGACCTTGGTCGTTGCTCAAAAGTGTTCAATGAAAGTATGAATGTCAAAATACGAATGTCATCTATCTTCTCTGACTTTAATTATGTTTATGCAGAACTGAAGAAATTTCTGACGAGCGCAAACGGGATGATGAGGAAGAGCATCATTTTCAATGCCTCTGAGCATGCGTCGATGGCTATTGCTTTTGAGGTGCGAGCTTATTTACGTTTGTAATTATTGAAAGAATACCATCACTATTACACGCAGCATACTCGTATCTGAATGTCAAAGTAGATGTTTGACGTCGATCTCATTCTGCATAATTTCGCTTTGTTGCAATAGCAGCCCGCTCTCTCAATGTCGAACATTTGAGCAGAAGAAGATCCGACAGGTAAACAGATGAAAAAATAAGTTACAGATACGAGGAAAACTCGTCGAGCCAGGATGGCCATATACGCGGAGCGCTACCCGAAATTCGGGTATATCTGGCTGCACTTCTATCCCAGTCAAATGTCATGTTCGAGGCACAGGCTCGTCAATCTGTCATGCATGTTCTTTATTCAGTGTGAGCTTAGCATTCTGTTTCTGGTGTTATCTGTTATGTAACTGGATGAAGTTGCGACCACTGCTTGTTTGCAGCGTCAAACGCAACCTCAATGGAAATCGTTTGCATCACCGCAAGAAAAAATGCATTTCCATATAGTCTGTAGCAATGTGTAGAAGTAGTTAAGTGGCCTCAAGAACATTTCCTATCCATACCCCCGTCTCCTGGTTCGCGAGCAAAACTTCCGTCGAGGATGTGGTCAGCTCGATTTGCGCGACCATCTGCTTCATCTTCTGTCTCTGCGCGATCTCCTCCGGCGACGTGCACTTCTTCTGGCCGGCGGCGATTTTCGTTGCGTTACTGCTGTACGCAAGAGTCTCTATGAGCAACCGCACAACCGACCAAGCGGCTTTCGGGGAATTTTATTGCACCAAGGAGCACCTCGGCTGTCCCGGCGGGATCACTAGAAATGCGCTGGACATCTCCTGGGAGCCGGGGGTTAAGACAGGGGCGAATGGGGAGCGGCCATATCGACACGTTTTTGTGGAGAGGAATACGAACAGGCAGGTATACATTGGTTAAATGAAGGAATTGTGTTGCACAACACCAACACGAGAAGTGACTTGCAACCTACAAACATGAGTAAGTCAAAAATTATTCGGTTTCATTCTGGCCATAAGATGTGCGAAATCGATCAGGTTTTCCTCCGCGGCATCAATGTCGGGGGCGGCAGCAAGCAGCCCTATGGTGTGTCCAGTGACCAGCCTTTGGAAAACGTGGAGACGGCAGAAGAAACCGCGCCGGAGGTGACAAAAATAGGCAAACCGGCCGGCAGTGCGACGAGCAGCACCACGGTATTACATCGAAATAACGACAAAAAAGTTCTTGATAGTCCAACTTCTTCTACTTCTGCAACTTCTAAGAACAAATCGAATACGAATGTATCAAAATCAAATACCAGTACTACTACTACATCTCCACCTGCATCTCCTAAGGCTCAAGCTGCATCAGATACGAACCTTCGAAGAAGGAAAAATAAGAAAGGAAAAAACAACAAACAAAATGCTGTCGAACTGACCACAAAGGATATCAACACTTCCAAACAGCCCACAATCGGAACGGCCGGCACCGCAGCTGCCTTGGCTTCCCCCTCCTCCCCTGCTCGCCCACAAGGAGCCCAAAATCCAAACAAAATCTCCTTCGTGAACCGCCCGTTCCCGTTATCCGAAGCGGACGACCACTTCCGCCGACTCCTCGCCCTGGGCTTCACCTTCTTCCGGCTCTGCATCACCTGGGAGGCGGTGGAGCCGAACGAGTCGGGGGTTTATGACGAAGAGTATTTGGAATATTTGGAGAAACTTGTGTCCCGCGCCCGGGATTTCGGCATCTCTGTCTTCATTGACTTCCACCAGGACGTGTGGTCCCGCTACTGCGGCGGCAGCGGCGCGCCGAAGTGGACGCTGGAAGCAGTCGGGCTGGCCCCCGGGAAGTTCAAGGAGTGTCTAGCGGCGGTGCGACACAGCGACTTCGCAAGTAGCAGCTCATCTTCCTCGTCTTACGATAAATTCAGCTCGGGCAGTTGTTCTTCTGCGGACGACTACCCGAAGATGTGGTGGGCGAATAACCACATGCACTTGGCGTGCGCGACGATGTTCTCATTATTTTTCGCCGGGGACGACTTCGCGCCGAATTTTCGGATTAACAAAAAATGCTCCAAATTGTACGCAAACCGCGGGGATTTTGACACTTTACAAGTACATGACGCCGGGTTGGTGGTTGATGGAGGTCCAGGTCAACTTCCTGCCGGGTCGAAGCAAGAAGGCAGCAAAGCGCCGAGCAAGACGAATTGCAGCACGGCAACCGGAAACACGGCGAAGACGCCGGAAAGCGCAAGCTCATCGAATGCCGGAGGGGGAAGGGCGAATAACTTGCTGGCAGCCAAACCCACAGACACCGATGGCAACGACAATTCCCTCGACCTAATCGCTATCGACCTGAACGACGATGATGAGGAAGAAGAAGAACAAATGAGCTCCAAACTGCAACTTGCAGACGCCACGCAGCAGGAATTATCCCAACCGCAAATTCCCCCGACAACCGGTTCTCTCATGAACACTCAGCAGCCGTTTGAGTACGGGATTTCTTCCGAGGACATGCCGTACTACCTCCTGAAGAACGCGAATGATGTGGCCTGTTCCCCCCTCTTCAGCTCGCCGGAATTCGAGAAGCAGAACTTCATCAGCATCCAGCAGTTTCTCCAGGACCACTATCTCGCTTGCGTGGAACTCGTCGCGAAACAGTTGAAGCACTTGGACAACGTGCTGGGGTTCGACACGCTGAATGAGCCGGATTACGGGTTTATCGGGAACAAATCGCTAGAGTCCTGGCGTGGCCTCGGTGGAAGCCAGGACCCGACGGGGTATTTACTGTCCCCGGTAGAGGCGATGGGCCTGGGGTCGGGGTGCTGTTTGGCTGTGGATTATTTTGAAGGGTTGTACAAGTGGCGAAAGACAGAGGAATTCGCGAATCCGTTTAGGAAGAGTTGCTGGAAGGCGGGATACGAGTGTATTTGTTTGTTCGTTTTTTCTTTTCATTTTGCATGCACCTACATGATCAGCTTATACTAGGACCTGAATTTGTGAGAGAGTTTGTTGCTTTGAAACACATCAAGAAACCCAACCAGGTATCTGGAAGCAGCACGGGGTGTACGACATTTGTCCGAGTTCTGGCAAGCCCATTCTGCACAAGCCCGACTATTTCGCCCTCAACCCGCGGACCGGTCAGCCGGTTAAAGTGCACGAGGATTACTTGCTGCCCTTCTGGGAAAAAGTGTCCTCGGTCATCAAGGACCAGCTGGGCCCGGAAGTGTTCACCTTCTGCTCCCCCTACGCGGGCGCAACGGATATGCAGAACCACGCCATGGCGATCGATTTGAACAGCAGTAGTAGTTCTGGTCTTGCCGCTAGCTCCAGTTCGGCCTCCACTCTCCGCAGTTCGAAATGTGTGTACGCGGCGCACTACTACGAGGGCTGGCAATTGCTGTTCCACCGGTACCACTCCTGGTTCACAACGCACTTCCAGAACGTGATGCGCGGCAAGGGAACGAAGTTGTTTTTTGGCACGCCGGAGATGTGCGCGCGCCGGGTAGGAAAAGACATCGCCTACGTCGCGGCGAATGGCCAACATTTAGGGCCAGCAGTGGTCGGGGAGATCGGTATAGGAATGTCCCTGGGGATTCTTGTCGCATGAAACTAAAAAACTGCTTTTTCCAAGGCCTTTGCAAATCTGGTTGATGTGATGTTATGCAGGAAGAAACCTGTACCGTTTTCTCTCGTGTTAATAAATAATATCCAGGTATTTCCATGGAGATCGAGGGAGAGGCAAACCGCTCTCGGTGCTACGACCGCATGATGCGCGGCCTGGAATACTCCGGTGTGGCAGGCTACACGCTGTGGCACTACTGCCCCGAGGCAAGTCAGCAGAAAAACGACGGCTGGAACAGAGAGCATCTTTCTATCTTCTCGCAAGATGAGGTATAGATCTTGATTGCATGATATTTGATGTGCCCCCACGCTTCCGCGGCTAGCAAAAAGCGATACAGTAACCGAAGATCCTGTGTATGTGTTGCAGAGTCAGCACGAATTGAACCGTCAATCTAGGTCCTGGCCAACGAGACCGCGTTTGCCGGCGGCCGCGCGCTCCCCGCCATTATCCGACCCTCGCCGTTCCTGGTTGCCGGGAGGATAAGGTACTTCAAGTTCAACGCGTTGTCGAAACGGAGGCAATTCGAATTGGAATACGAAGTATCAAATGTCAAAGTGTCTGGGTCTGGAAGAATGCAATTTGTCATGCTAAATGTGAAGCATGCAAAAATCTGTGTTGCATGATTACCAAAAGTCGTCCAGTTTTGACCAAGTCGGGAAGCAGTTTCTCATGCAGGATAGGCATGGGAAAGATCGCACAGAATCTGTCATGCTATGTCCTGCATTCCAGACGGACCTCATGGGTGATGGAATTTCTGCATGACAAATCGCGCACTCTTCCAGACCCAGACACTTTTACATTTGATACGAAGAGGTGGACTCGTGCACGACTTCGCAGACCATTCTGTTCGTGCCTCACTACCAGTACAGCAAGGAATCGGTCCGGACCCGCTGCAGTGACGGCCAGTTCATCGAGCGAGACCTGGTGGCGCAGAAGTTCATCTATGTACACGATAGCGGGATCCCCTGCGACAAAAATGGGAAGAAGATCCACAGAATACAAATCTGGCACGAACCGGCGTGAGGCGGGAGGGGGTCGCGGATAGCCGGAAAAGATAAAAAATTCAGCCGCAATCGTCCCAATCGAAGATGATGTATCGTTTCCTATTAAAAGGATCTTTTTTTGAAGTTTAAACTAAATCGCAATTGTAGCAAACGCAACAATTCATTGCATGACGCTTCTCACACGCACGCGGCAATTCGCGAAGAATAGCAGCAGCTACATCAAATTGGATAAATTTTGGTCTAGGAAATATTCTACATGAACTTTCACTCCTCTCTACTAGCTAGTTAGTACTACCACATCTAATGACTCAGCAAGAAAATAAAGTATCGCCGTCGATGAAAATCGAGTTCCTTCGAGACGCTGAAGTGGTCAACAAGCGACCCACCACATCCACATAAAGATCAAGATGGCAAATTATATGATTTAGATTTTTCAATCTTCGTCGTGTGAATAAGAATTGGTCGTAAAATAGAACAAAAAGATTAAGAACACAAAGTAGCGCAAGAACCACCGCCAGTCTATCTTTGACGTAGTCTCCGGTCACGATGGGCGTCTGCCTGGATTTCAGGTTGTTTCATCTGTTCTTCTTCTTTCTTTACACCCATCTGAATTTGTCTTCGGTCTGATGTTTATTTTTCTCCTATCTTTCTCTTTCCCTTGTGCTGAGGTTTTCTTCCTGCTGCTGCGCCAGAGTGACGAAGAGTCTGGCAACATAAGTAGTTCCAACCTTATCTATCTTCAGGAACAACCAACAAAGAAAAATCTCACTCGTATCAAAACGAAACGCAAAAAAAAAAAGAAGAGATCGACCACGATCAAGCAGCGAGAAGATGCTCTCCCTCTCCCGCCGGCGCAATGCGGGCGATTTGCTCGGTACGATTTTTCCGGGGTACAAGGAGAAACTGTGGGCCAAGTACTCGGTGGACATGAAGAAGCAGATGATCGGGCGCCAAAACGACAAGTTCGAGAGTATCGAAAGGAAAAATCCCCCTTCCCAATATCGAAACGAAGTTTCTGATGCTGAATCTGCGCTACACAAATCAGATTTGTCTTGCAGAAAGTGCTTGGCGGCATTTTCTGAACCTGTTTGATCATGCAGAAGGCTAGCAATTGCGCATGGCAAACAGGTTTGCAGTAGTCGAACGCGCATGACAGACTTGCTCACGAACGCGTTAAATGCTTCCTATGACCCTATATGCAAGACAAAGATGATTTGTGGCCACAAATCTGCATCACCACATGATTTGTGGCCACAAGACAAAGAAGATTTGTTGGGGGTGAGGGACCCCCAACGAGGTCTGCGGATATCGGGAGGAAAACAGGCATAAATCTGCATCACAAATTTCTGTTTTGATATGGGGAGGGGGGATTTTTCCTTTTGATAGAGAGCGCGCTGAAGACCCACCAACAGTGGGGCAAGATGCTGACCAGCTACAAGACCTACGAAAAGTCCTACGAGCCAACCTACAAGTCCCGCAAACCCTCGGTGGACTGGCGGCGCCAGGAAATCCGGGGGACGTTGCACGCCGGAAAATTTTACGAGGGCCCGGCCATCGGGACGGGCGGTGCCGCGGTTGCGGCCATCCCTTCGGACTACACGCCCGGGAATACGTTTGACCGCATGTCCGCGAACTTCCCGAACAATCTGTTTTCGGAGGAGGAGTGGAAAATGCGCAAGCAGTACCGCTCCTGGGACATGGTGAAAGTGCTGTACTACATGACTGGCGGACTTTTTCTCTACCGATTGACAACCGAGTGGCCGGTCGTGTGGTGCTGATCAGAGGTCGTGCCGTGGTGTACAGAGCAAATAAGCTGATTTTGATGTATGGGGCTGTTCTGGAGAGCAGTGGTTCAATCGATAGTGGCAATGCCTATAGAAATGGTGAGCGGGCTGCTGTAACGTGGAAGGAGATGACTACACTTTTTTGAAGAAAGCCAAAGCATCATTGTCAAGGGCAATCGCAATTGCCGAAGATACTATGTACTTAGACGTCAAGATGACTCCTACCCGAAGTCGAAACGTTGTTCGTATTCGTTTTCAATTTTGTACTAAACACCGATTAGCGTAGCCGCGTTCTTTTTCCCAATATGAATGCGACGATTTTTGTTTCCACGTCGCAGTTGCGCTTGCGGAGAAGAACCTGGTGCGTGGCTGCAGGTATCCAGGATCAGTGTTCGGCGAAAGCGTTGCAAAAAGTACGAGTCAAAGTAACGGCAGAGGAGACAACTTTTCCCGTGCTGTGTTGCGGAAGCGGAGACACGAAACTGCCTAAAACTTGAAAAGAGCGTGGTGCTCGTAGGAATGTACAGCTGCGTCATTTTTGTGCTTTATTCAACAGTTTTATCACTGAAAGTCAAGTATTATTTCAAAGAAGGATCATGTAAGTGTGCTACTAGAGAAGCGGGAACCTACAAAAATAGCAGAGGAAGATAAACAAAGAGTTTTGAACAATCTTTTGAGCACAACACCCTAAAACTACTTCACCATGCCCGCCATAGCTTCTTGTTCGGCGCGAACACTCATCCACCCTCCGCCCCGCGCGTCGGCCCGCGTCTCCTGCCCGCCGTTATGGGATGACAGTTTGATCGCCTTTGAGATGCTGGACAAGGACAAGGATAATTTTCTGGACTGGCAAGATGCAAGGTACTGGCTGCGGTGCGTCGGGTGGTGCTGCACCGACCAGGAATTGGACGACATTCTACTCGCGTACGTGAAGATGAACAATGAGTGCACGACGAGCGGTATGACTGTGCACCACTACACCCCCCCCTCATTTGTATGGCAAGGACAGCAACACAAGACAAGCGTCGGCAAGAAAGCAGGTTTTGCATGACAAATCTGCACAGGAGGGTAGTGCTATTTGGGCGGCCAGAACTTGCGATGCAAACAGTGCTTCAAGGCATGGCGTGGATTTGGTAAATTGCATCACAAATGAGGGGGGATGGGGGAGTTGTGCACTGTCACAAGCGGCGAGTGGGGCGGCGACGAGAATGAAGCTGTTGTTGAAGGAGACGCGCTTGTTGACCAGAATCGAAAGACGAGTTTTTGTGCAGCCGGCAGTGATGAAACAAACGGCAGCGGGAACGTCAACGACGAGCATCAAACTGAGCGCGCGGCTGCGCAGGTGGACGCAGAGGGTGTTGAGAGCAGTGAGAACGAGGTTCTTGCAACTGGAAGTGAACCTGCGAAGCCAACAACTACTTCGGCCAACAGGGTTTCGATTTCAGTAGCGGAACCAGCGACGACCGCTGCTGCTGAGTCAGAAGATCATGATGGTGCCAATTTTGTTTCGGAGCGAGAAATTGCTGCCGACACGAACCAGAGGCAGGACGAAAATCTTCCTGATGCCGAAGCGGAAGACAAGCAAGAGGATGCGATTCTCGCGAAGGAACAAGATCTACATGGAACAACGGAACAAACCCCCGCTTCGACCGAGCACCCTGCATCATCTGAGGCGGTAGAGGTTGAACAAATGCCTGGAAATCCCAGTTGCAATGTGGTCGACAGCAGAACCACCACGTCGACAAACGATATCGACCTCTACGGGAAGAAACTCTTCGCTTTGCAGGACCTGCAGCTCATGGTGAGCAACTACAGTTCTGATCCGCAACCAAAGTTTGCCACAACCTCACTTGGCGGCTCGAAAATCTTGACTGAAATAAATCAGAAGAACGACACAACAAATAGCAGCGAAGATGCCCCCGACGTCGCGAAAGCCGGCTTGCTGTCCCGCGAGGGTGACTTGCTGAAGCTGCTGTCGAACATCACACAGGGGAAGTTGGATTTAGATTTGGAACCCTTTTACAACGCCATGACGACGCAGGGTGAGCCGCTGGGGCTGGAAGATTTGGAGGAATTAATGACTTTGATCGGGTGCGGGGTGAACAACGTTTCGACACATTTCGCGAATTCTATCGACACCCGATTCTTCGCCAACGCGCTCGCGTCGAAAATCGTCCAACCGCCCTGTGTGCCAACGCACCGCAGCAAGTACAAGGCGGGAACGTCGGGTGGTGTGGGTGCTGGTGGCGGGGGCACTAGTAGAGCTGCTACGGCAGGCGGGACCAGCAAGCAGAAAGCGAAAGCGCGGTGCTGACGGGAGGGTGCTATCGAAGAATGTTGAGCATTGTAGAGCAGTAGAGCAGCGTTTACGGAGAAATTGGCGTGCTTCCGGAAAAATTGGCGTGTATATCAACCATTTCTTCACTGAAGATAACTGCTGCGAGCAGCTGTACTGAAGCGACCCTTGCAGCTAGGCCCGGCAATTCCTTGTCCTATGGTGATCTTCGACTTGAAGCAGTCGCGGAAAAGAATGCGTGAGTTTTCGAATCTGGTGCTCATGCTCTACTTTTTCTTCGCTTCTAATCAGCCTCATTTTCGTTAGTGCAGCTGCAGCCATTCTTTGTGCATTTTCATTTTTTGAGTGCCGGTCTTCGAAGTGAAGAAAAGACTGGCACAAGCATGAAGATCAACGTCGGCTGCATTCTCCTCATGAACAAGTGGGTCCTCGCTAGAAAGCAGCTTCGTTTATTTCGTGAGAAAAAATGATCCAGAAAAGCTTGAAAACGTATGGCACTGGATCCCCGAAATGATGAATGTCTGGCAGATCCATGAGTCGTGCCCCCTTTGTCGCTTTGTGACGAAAATACTGTCACTTGAGATCTACTGCAGTACTGACCGGATCGAAGAAAATATAGATCAGCGAAGATCTGTTTGGAGGTCATAGGAGTGTAAGTGTTGAAATATTTTGTCATAATCTTGAAGATGAAAGTGAAAGTGGGACCTGTTCCGGGTAAAGATCAAGATGAAGAATGTTTCTGTTATTTGTTGCGATCAAAATTGTAAGCTATGTTGGGTCACTGGCTTCCATCAAAAGAATTTGCAGCTTCTCCGCATGTCAAGAACTTCTTCTGTCACTCTCACTCAGTTACAGCCACTCGTCGCGCAATCGTTTTGCTACTCAATTGATGCCGAACACAAATTTATTTTTTTTGGTTGCTTTATTCTTTCGTGATTTTGATCAGTTATTCAACCGTGGAACGTAGAAGAACTAACAAAAAGCACAAGCTGCAAGAACTCACGATCTGCTTATAGCTTTCGAGGAGCAAAAGTTTGCTTTTGTTAACCACCCTTCCGCCGCGTTTCTGCCTACTTTCTTACCTATGTATAATTTAGCCCGTCAGTCGAGACTTCTGAGAATTAATCTTTATAATCCCCACACAGACACATTGTATCGAGACCAACCTGATTACCGTAGAGATGGCATGGCTTTCTCGTCCCAAGGCGCCCACGCTTTTCGCCGGCTGGGTGAAAATATTTTGCCTGCTCGTCACCGAAGCCGAGTGCTCTTCCCCTTCTGCGGGTCCTCCGAAGCCCATCGTTGCAAAGTTGGTCGACTCTGGGTTCACCGAGAAGCAGATAGAAGCACTCGAGCGCATGCAGCGAAACGCAAAGCCTCTACCGGCCGTTTGCTCGGACTTCCATGGAATCATCTCTCTTCACGCCCAGCTGATCGCCGTTGACAAGCGGCAGGAGAAAGCCGATGAGACCCTTCGACTTCCTGAGAACGTCGCAGCAGCCAGAGACGAAGAAGATGCTAGAGAAGAGCAAAAGTTTTATTTATCCTTTAATACGATTGACTTCGAGGTGCAGACGGATGGCCAGAGCAACATGCAGGAGTTTCTTCGCCTCTACTGCCTGTTCACCGGGCTCGGCTACGATTTGTCCGGGTTTCTCCCGTCACACGTGGTGCCGCCACAAATCGAACTAACGGAGGAAGCGAGACAAATTCAGGAGTCCCTTTATCAGGATAAACTTTATCGAAACTTTGCAGAGGAGAACAACCCGGGCATTTTTTCCTGGCGACTCTATATGCATATGCTCTCGCTTTTCCGAGCCGACATCCGGCCCCTGATTACGGCCGGAGTGCTGGGGTATATCGCTGCGCTGGAGCAAGCGCGGGAGTCGGGTGGCTGGCAGCCGCCGCCTGGAGTATCGGACGCAACGCCCTTGGCATTCCAAAGAGCGTGGGCTGTAACATTACAGTACGCGGTCAGGCCGTCCTATAGATATTGGCACACCGATGAGTTCGGGTTTGATCGTCTTCGCTACTCGCTACCACTGTACGGCGCGCCTACGGTACTCAAGAGAGATGGTCTGACGTCCTACGAAAACGGCACAACGCAAGTCGCTTTTTCGCCTAACCCACACGAGACACATTCATTTTTCGGCGGTGGGGTGCTCAACCTCAACGGAGCCACGGAAGCGAGCAAGGAGGCCACCCGCGTCCCTGCGGCACCCGCTTCCAGGCCTCCACGACTTACATATGATTTCATTGAGCAGAAATTTCTGGGACCTGCACAGCTGACGGCAGTGCGAAAGGAGCAAGACGGCGCCGCGACGAGCACGGGTAATGTCAATGCCCGAGCGGATAGCGCCCCGCCAATCGCTGTGCGATTGCCTCGCACGCGAGCAGCTCATCGCCGGCGCCGCGCACGATCCGCGCCGGCGCGCAGAGCAGCAAGAGGTAGCAGGGCCAACGCGGAAAAGAAATTGTTGGGACTTTTGTTTCGAGCCGCTCCGGTACAAGACGAAGAGGAATGGGAAAGAAATGAAAGAGAGGTTCGTAAGCCTACGCGTAATGCCTTCACGATCACGCTTTCCAAGGCGTTCCGCTCGGACGAGAACTTCGAGGCACAACAGCGGACCCCTTTGCCTAGCACCGAAGTGCAAATGAAGGAGACACGCGTGCTTGGAGGCGATCCGCTCGGAAAAGAAACTACAGATGAACTCCCACGGCCTTGCAAACACCGAAGTCCAAATGAGGAAGAGATGCGTGCCTTCACACCAAAAGGCGCTGCGGCCGTGAGCCGATTACTTCTGATCGTGGATTCCGTGCGTAGGTAACTTGAATCGGTATTGTGCTGTACAGATCGTACAACACAGTCGTACAGCACACCTGTCGAATCGCTCACAAACGTACTACCACTGCTAGCATGTCAAAAGACCCGAAAGACCGATGCGACGGGCACCATTCAGCTGCATTGCCATTGCAAATGTTTCGTCATCACTCAGAAGGGAGAAGCTGAAGTGATATTTTGAATCGTAGGGGCGGTGCGTGATTTGTCGGTCAGCTATATATTTTTTGGAACACCTGGTAGAGAGCAAGAGAACAGCATTTGTTTTACGAATTTTATTGGCATGACACACTTACATCTTGTACAATACCAGGACCTTGATTCTGATCTATTGGCGCTTAAAGGATTCACGGGAGGCCATACATAGAACCCAAAAAGTGTACCCCTAGAAAATCTATTCAGTGCCACCCCTTAGCTGACAGCTGCAGCTCTCGCACAGATCAAAGATTTTCGCAAGAGAAGCAAGGCGAGTAAAAAGTGACTTTGAATTGTTGTGCTAGTTTTACATTTGTTTTGAAAATCGGAAAAAAAGAAAGACGACCAGGCTCGAAAAATATGAAATCACGAAGAGGACGAAGAAGCAGACGGCCTACGATGTTCTTTTGAGAGGTAGAACGACGAAGACTGGGGCTCTTTTGATTGAAATCCCCTACCACGGGGCCCTGTTATGGTGTGACTTCAATTTGTATGAAAACGAAAAGACCCCCGCGAAGTTTTCTTCTTTTGATCGGTAGGCGAGTATGTCATCTCGCCGGAGTGCGACGTCGAGCAGAGAGCCGTGAAGAGAGGTGGAAGTAGCTTTCGAGGAGCTACAACGCAGCTCGTTGTCTTTGTGTCCTTTTATCGTTGAGACGGTGACGGTCTCGTGTGTGGCGTGCCTTATTTCGTGTTGTAGTGACAGCGTCGGCAAGCGGAAGCACTTCCTGTGCGCTTGTCGACATTGACGTCGAGGGGGCCGAGTTGTCCCTGTTTGTGACGACTACGCTCAAACAGCATTCGGACAGTGTCTCTGCTCTTGTGCACTTTTACAGAAACATTTATTTCGCCAACAATGTCAATATCCTCATTGCGAGGAATACATAGAAAATTCAAATTAAATTTCAATTTCATACTCTGCCCGCATATAGCACTGGCAGTTTCTTGAAGGTTGTGGCTGTAGCTGGAGTAGGGAACACAGCAAACGGAGTTGAATCGCCACTAGGGAATAAAGTAGATTAAGTAAGTAAAAACTTGCTCAAGTTTCACTAGAGAATAAAGCAAATTCAAAACAGTGCACGACCTTCGCCGAACGCATGTTATCGTCCCGTGCTTGATTGGCACGATGGAGGCTCGACGAACAGATGCCTTCGCGGGGAACGAACCTCCACACGGTGAATAGAAGTCGAACTCGAAGGGAGCCACACTACTAAAAATAAAAAAAAAATCGATCACGCGATGGCAATGGAGGCTTCGGGAGCCGCGGGCCAGCAGATTGTCTCCCGCGCACGCCCAACCCAATGGGCCCTCCGGGACGGCAAGAACTGGCGGTTGCAGAAGCTTGAGGTTTTGTTCGACAACGCAAAATTGTCGGACATCAAGATTCGGCCGAACATCATCGTACTTTATGTAGTTGCGTATGAACTTGAACTTGCTAATAAGCTTTCCTGCTGTGTTTATCACACTTGCCGCTCATGCCATGAAACACTGAACGTATGTCTAAATTTGTGCAATTGATAGTGCTAAAAATCAACCCCTACAACAGATTCCGAAGGAGTCTGAAGAGGACGACGGCAGGGAATTTTACTTTATCCATTGAGAACAACAATGTTGTGCTTCACCTTATTTTCGTCTGTCATTACGGCAAAGGGTCCCCGCCCGCGCACTCTATTAGAAAGCTTCGACAGCTTCAAGTTCTCTCGTCCGCACCTTCCTCTGCGATCAGCAACATCATATCGCGTATTGTACATTTTTTAGCACACATCGCAACATCTACTGATGAATCTGATGTCGACACATATAAGAGCAAAACGTGAACCAACTCCAACCCCTGTCACCTTCCATACACGACGCGCAGAAAGCCTACCTGGCAGCATGGTCTCCGGTCTTCGACAGTATTTTCTTCGGGCAAGGAGTCGGCGCCGCGGGCGTGGGAGCCGTGGAGGACGGCGAGCTGACGCTGGAATGCCTGAAGGACATCTTGTGGCTGTTTCTCAAGTAAATTCGTTCTTTGGTCTTGCTTGTTTTGTAACGATAGCGATGTTTTTCTTTTTGCTGGTGACTTTCCGGCTTCAATACTTTTCTACTTTCTTTGTGCTGGTCGTCAACTTTCTTGCAAAAATTGTACATCAAAAAAACGCCTCGTCTCAGGTTTCTGTACACAGGCGAAATCGTGCTCACAATCGAGACCGTCTGGCCGTTCTACTGCTTTGTTAATACGTACGAAGTGTGAGCAGGAGACAGTCTGCATCAAAGCAGAAGATGAGGCACTATTGCACCTGAATTTGCAACCACACACAGACATTTTTACAAATTGTCTAACTTATGCGAGCGTAGCACACCCTCCTGCATAACGCTACCCACGATGGCTCTGTCAGTCAAAGAAAATCCCATTGCCATACCGTGCTGCGTAATATCAAGCACAACGGCAGACTTTCGTTTCCCCTCATTAGTTGAAATAAACTAATGTGAACTAGAACATGAACATGATCGCCACAAGTATAATATCTTCGCTCGTGCGTCGTTTCCGCCTTGCTCGCCTCCATAGCTGTTATCAAGTCCACGATTTGATCGATTCCGTTGAGGATATTATGGACAAAGCGGTCTCGATCGACACCTGTTGCTCCCTCCTCTGCTCCGCCCAGCAGCTCGGGTCCTACGATCACTACGCGTTGAGGAAATGCCTCAACATGCTCCTCATGGATTTCCCGGAAGTGTCCGAAACCCCGGGCTTCCTCGGTCTGGACTACGACGTGCTTGCCGCTGTGGTGTCCTCCGACGAACTAAATGCCGCCGAGGAATGCGTCTTCGAGGCCTGCATGAACTGGATCGCAGCGTATGCGAATCTATTGTTTTATGAGTTTATATTGATCTCTGATAATGTGGTGTTCTACCTCTATCGTGTTGCTCTTCTATCATTTTATTCGTGGCTTTCGGATTTTCCTATATCTGAAGCCCTTCATGTGTGTCGCCATCGTGCCTTACGTTACGCAGCATGCTGTGACGCGCAGAGGTCGACGGCGCATTGGTTCCTTCACATCACTGCTCATTATGGTCACGCGTCGCATTCGAAAAATTATCTACATCAGTGACGAGCAGCGTCTGGAATTGTACCTCGATGACCTTCTTGCGCACATCCGGTTCCCGCTGATGCACACCAAGTACGTCGCCAAACTGGATTCCCACCCCGTGGCCGCCCGGTCGAAGGCGCTGACCGAGCTGATGCTGCAGGCCTTGAAGTTCGCGGTCGCGCCCAAGGAGATGGCGCAACACGTGAACCCTTCCACCTACAAGGCGCGGAAGGGTGGGCTGTACTGGAAAGCAACGAAAAACAACATGGCACTGGACATATGCATTGCAAAAGTGTCGCACTGGTATAAACTGCATTACAAATTTTGGCAAGAAGGAAAGTGGAATTTGTAATGCTGTTTTGCCTTAAGAAAAGCATTTGCCATGCATATTTGCAATTGTAGTACGAGTACGATACTTTCGCACAGGATAGGACATCAGCAGCCCGAACTTCAAAACCTTTGTGCTCAACTCCAGCTGCGATCTGGTGCAGTCCTGGAAAATGCGGATTGAGCTGTTCGAGGAGGGCAGTTGTGTGGTCGGGGTGTGCGAGGATACGATAGACACCAGCTACTACTGTGGCCGATTCAAGGACGGATGGGGGCTGGCGGACAACGGTAATATTCTCTAGCTTCCGTGGCGTTTTTTCTCAGCACAAATTGATCTTTTCGCAGAACAGTTTTGTTTTTGGGATGGTCTTGGTCTTGATGGGCTTGGTCAAACTAACTGGTCGCTGATGTGGTAAGGGCTTGCACATAAAGTACAGCACGTACTAGATGAGCGAGTATATTACTTCTAGAGAAGACGCTTGGAGGCCTTTGCATATCATCATACTTGTTGCAAGTTTGTCAACCTAATTACTGCAAGTTCGTTTGTTACTCAATTCATACCAACAACCAGGTCACTTCTATTGCGGCCAGTGCAAGTGCGACCCGACGGTGAAGCATTTATGTACCCCAGCCTGTCAAGCCCATATGGAGATCCACCACGGCGCTGTGATTTCTGTTGCGTACCTGAAAGCCACACAGGACCTGGTCTTCCGACAGGGCAACAAAATCTTCCGACAAAGGCTGAAGGGCGTGAACCCGGAAAAGCGGTTGTTTCCCTGTATCTCGCTGAAGGCCGCAAAATGTAGGATATTCAAAGAGGAGGGGGATCACGTGCTGGAGAACGGTTAAGCGGGGAAATCAGGACTTTCTGTTTCGACAATACAGTGCGTTTCGGTTTTACTTAGTCAATACTCTTACTCTACTTATGCTTTAGCGGTGCTGCCGGCTGCAGCGTAGAAATTGACAACCTGCTGCTCCGCACGTTGTGTGCTAGCGCAGGTTTGTGCTACGCCTGCAGCTGTTGATGCAGACAAATTTTTTGGTCCAGACCTTGTTTGAACCTGTATGTAAAGATCTTTTGTTTCCTTGTTGACTTCACGAGAATAAAGTGAAAAAAGTAATGCTGCATTGTGGCGGCGGCCAACACAGCCTACGTTAGGAGCTGCAGGCAGCATCCTCGTCATATTGTGTGTTTCTACATCAGATCAGGATATATTTCAATTTCCAGGTCGTGGACGAAAATAACAGGGTGCGCTAGAGCTCTCCTTGCACAGCTTGCTCCCACAGAGCTTACGACAAGGATCGCCAAGATTTGCTATGCAATTGACCACGAAGTACAACTTTCATCTACATGCTTTGATCGTTTACGGTTGGTTTTCCAAAGTCGACGAGACTCAGTTGCACATGATCCTTGCTGCTCTTTTGTTTTTCTCGATCTAAAAAAAAACCCGCGACCGTTTGGTGTCGCCGGTGTAGCTAAGCAAAGTTCCCTCAATATTTTTTCTCGTGTATACATAATGATGTTTTTGATACAAAGTAGCGCACTTCTAACGATTTGAATATGCCCCCAATGGTACAAGATTTTATTCCGTTGCCTCGTCTTTTGTATTTCTTCCTCTTTGCCCCCTCAATGCGGACGTTTTTTCTGTTGCTTCTGGCAGAACCACAACTCGCCGAGAGCGGGAGCGGCAGAACCTCGGTGCAGCACGTTTCAGTTGAAGATTTGGAACAGAACCCGGAGTTGCAAGCCGAGATAGAAGCATTTTACGAAGAGACAAGAAGAAAAAAGGCAAGACAGAAGGAACAGAAAAATGGGAAGACGAGGACAACAACATCTGCAGAAACATCTCCGAATCCAGATCCACCTGTATCAGATTCAGACATAACTGCAAGAAGGCCCCACGCCAACAAGCTGTATACGACCCATTCCTGTGTCGCCGCGGGCAACTGTCTAGTCGAAAACCTTTGCCACGGAACGGACGGGAGGTTCATTTACGTGAAATCGCCAGCGGCTATCTTCGATCGACCGCAGCAGGTCTACTACGACACGCGTTACTCCGGCGAGAAGCACTTCAAGGAGAGCAACAACACGGACGGCACCGTGAGTTTTGACCTGCGCAGCGCCGCGGGCATGACGGCCACCGGGTACCGACACTTTTTGACGAGCAGGGTTTTCGAGGACATACCCAGCGCCGCGATCTCGTCGCGACTCTACCACCCGATCCTGCACCCGCGCTTGCGCGACATGCGGATCATCGACGGCGTGGAGTTCGAGTGGCCAGAAAGTCGGGGTGGGATGGATTATTTGGCCGTTGAGGATAAAACTCGCCAGCAGGCGGGGGTGGTGGAGGCGGAAGGTAGCGGCGCCGCTACAACAACCCTACCACGAGCTGGGTCTAACGTTGTTTCATCAAGGCCAAGATCTGCAGCCAAGCTGAAAAAATCTCCGAATGGTCTGCCTTATCCGTTTTGGCCGCCGGAACAACTGAACGAGGAGAAATCGGATAATTCTGATTCAGAAGAAGATTCCGAGCATGGAGCAGACAAATCTCAGTCGCGTCAGAAAGATGCTGTGCAGGTGATCATGGGCCGGCTGTGGCCCACCGATGCGGGACACACGATGATGGACAATATGAGTCCGATTTTCCGGGCCTTGAAGCAGTGGGACCTGTTAGATGTGGACGAGGAATCTGTGCCCATTTCCCCCTTTGTCGTTAACGATAGGGCGACTGGAGTAGACAGCATTCAGGGCGATGAAGTTTTTGAAGCTGATGAAGTTCATCTTTCCAACGCAGCACTAGCAGGAGATACAGACTCATCGTCTGTCGTACGAGAAGAAAAGGATGTTGAAGCCGAACACGACTACAGCGTAATCACCTCTCCTCCGGGAGACCACGATGAATCAAAACCTAATCCAGACGCCGCTGCTTATCCGAATCTTACCATCGAAAGCGACAACTACAGCTGTGGGGACAAGCAAGCCGCTCTCGTTGCGCGAGCGTTGCAGATTGCCGATGCGAAATTTATCGAACGGTCGGCGAAGGATAACTGCCCGGTTCTGAATACAACAGAGCAGTTGGGGATGGTGGGGAAATTTGTGAGAACGATGTTGAACAAGGAACCCGCCCCGGCGTCACCTGCAATATCGTCTTCTGAGACCACAACTGATGCAACAGCAGCTGCGGAGGACACAACAACACCAAGGAATACTGCTCCCGCCGGATCAGGACCTGCCTTCCTGCAAATGCACGTACCGAACGAGGACTTCGGAGGGCGGCTTCCCCCGTCCATGCGAAAATTCGAGGGCATGTACTACCAAACGATAGAAACAGAGGTGGACTCGTCAGCATCAGCACCAGCAGCTCGTCCGCTTTCCGAAATTATTGCGTCACCCGCAAAAAACGGTGCAGGAAAAGTAACGGCTCCTGCACGACCAGCGTCATCAACATCGATGAATTATCCACACAAAACCCGCACCCTGCGCATTTTTTCCTCGCCGCATTTCAGCTTCCTCGACGCGCAGGCGATCGCGAAACGGGACGCAGAGCGCGAGCGGGAGAAGAACGCAGCGCTTGCCGGTAAGCCGGTCGCCGACCAGCCGGGACGCGACATGCGGTACGGTGGCTGCCGGGACGAGTGCGAGGCGCGGTTGCTGCAGGCGTTCACGGATGGCGATAGGGAGAGACTATCGAATCTCGACCATGATTTGCCGAAAGGAAAGTGCTTCCGGAAGGTGCTGATCGGGTGGCGGGGGATGCAGTTTTTCAACGTGTTTGATTGGCTTAGTCGGAATTCCGCTCCCTGGAGGTATCCTCTGCAAAAGTAATATCGTGCTTGTAGTACAACTAGAGTAGAAGTCAGTTTTGCAACACTGTATGATCAACTCTGCAAGCTGTCTCGTTCAACATCAGAGAAAAAGTTACACTGCAATGTCATTTTCCACCACTTATCGAACAAAACAAGCACGATGCTTGTGCAATGCATAGGAGGCATGATGTGTCGATTGGGAACAGTGCCGAGCAGCTGTTGGGGTTGCGTAATTACATGCTGGCAAAACACGGCCTGCTGGGAGATAAAAAGTTTATGGGTTTGTTGGAAAGGAGAAAACGAGTGAAAGTAGTTGTAGCTTCTTCTGCGAATTCGGAATCAAAAGGTTCAAATATTAAATCACAAAAAAATCCTACTACCTCCTCCGCGGACAACCAGCACGCTGTTCTCGTCGACCGCTACAAGCCCTCGGTGCTTCTGCTCGTGAAGAAGGTCGGCCGCGGATCGGGCTACAACTGCTGCCACTGGCAGGATCCCGAGCGGCTGCAGAGCCACTTGTTGAAGGCGTTTGACCACAAAATTTCCGTGCAGATTAAGTCCTGGGCGGGGATGCCGATCGTGCAGCAGCTGTGGGTCATGGCGGAAACGGATCTGACGATCAGTTTTGCGGGCGCCGACGTGATGAATTTTCTCTTTTCCCCGCTCTATTCCGGCCTGATCTCACCCTACCGCTTGCGCAATAACAAGTGGGAACGCAGCTACGAAATCGACCGGCTGTGGGTAAATCTGCCGAACCGGTACCTCCAGCAGTTCGGTGTAAACGCCGTCCAAAAAACGGGGTTATCGACCCTACACGAGATGACCTCTTCGCACGGCCCGGATGGGAAGGTCGTGCAGAAGCCGGGGGCCAACCAGGCCCTCCTCCTCGCGCCCTGGAGGCAGGAGAAGCCGCGGGGATTGGTGCGGCAGCGGATCGTCGCAAACTTGACGGTATGCAGATCATTTTTTTTCCTGTACACGTACAAAATGCAGCATCTTCACAAATTTCGCCAACTCAAAGAATGCCGCTTGGCATGCTGAGGTATGACCAAAGTTTTGTCATGCAGAAACCGCATGATAGATTCGCACGTGTGTGGGAAATTTTCCGTGGATAGACGGAGGGCACGGTGAACACGGAGAAAGCAAACTGGCCGAACATGGCCTTTTCGGATCTGCTGATCAAGGAGATTTATCCTCTGCAAAAGTATTGCACTCGTGCTACTTGCGGAACGGCATGGCAGATCCTATCGAATTTTTATTTTTACATACACTTCTTCTGGAGAAAAAAATCTTCAAAAACAAAATGTTTATTATGCAATTTCTACTACCACTAGTGCGACTGCGATTCTTTTGCAATGCATAAGATTGAGCTGTACGTAGCGGAAGCGTTGGAATATATGACCGACCGAGGAGTTTCCTTCTACGAATTTCCGCACGCATTAGGGCGGAAAAGTTGGCAAATCACATCAAATTTTCGCGCGCACATTTTCGGGGGGTAAAAAAGCTTTGTTTTGTGGGCATGTAGGGACTTCGCCGGCTGCTCTTGGCCATGCACATGGTGGCGCCACTCTTCGTCGTCAATGGCCACCGTCAGGCCCTTTCCTTTGTGGAGTGCAAGCTCAGCACTTTGCTCAACTTATTCAGGCCCGCGTCCTTCTGCAACGAACAGCAGCGCCCCCGCCACCCTATTCAATTCTGGATGCGCCGACCGATCGTCTTGTTTTCCCTCTGCAGCCGGATACTGCGAATGCGGGCGCGCCAACAATCAAGTGCTTCCGGGGGGGTGCCGAAGGGGGGGGGTAAGGGGGTCCGCATGGGCTGTCGCTGGGCTCCCATTTTGGGCCATGCCAAATCAGCAGCTTCCAATGGGGATTTGGGGGTCGACAGAGGCTACCGAAAGGGTACCCGGAGGTGGTACCCGGAATGGGTGTCCGAAGGGGGCAAAAATGCACCCCCCTGACCACCCCCCCCCTGCCTGGCGAGCGCCCCCCCTGGGTTTCCTCTTCCTGGCGAGCGTCCTCGTTGTGGTCCGGTCCCGGAGGTGGCACAACCACTTCTCGAAGAGCGGGCCTATTCAACATTGCCGGGCCATCTGAGCGACAACGCACAGCACTAAGGCGCTGCCGCCTGTTTCGTGTCTTGCTATGAAGGCCTTTCGAGAGCAGCCGAGCTATCACGTTTCTCGTGGAACAAAAGATTAAGTGATGCTTTCCTTCTGTTGATTTTCGGGTGGTTGACTCCCGGACAAAAAAGAAAAAACTACCCCCCCCAAAGTGTGCGTTCGAACAGTTGATGTGATTTTCCAATTTTTCCGCCCTAAGCGCAGCCATGGCGTCATGAAGATTTGGAAGAGAGGAAGCTGCGACCGTCGCCGGTGATATTACCAAGGGAATTCTTCCCGCGGTGATAATTCTATTTACTTACATGCGGAAGCGTTGGAATATATGACCGACCGAGGAGTTTCCTTCTACGAATTTCCGCACGCGGCCATGGCGTCATGAAGATTTAATAGAAGAGAGGAAGCTACGACCGTCGCCGGTGATATTACCAAGGGAAGTCTGCCCGCGGTGATAATTCTACTTACGTGACGGAGGGCTTGTTCGGCCTCGGCATTCTGTTGATGTTGTGTAGATTCTGTGTGTGCTGATCATGAAGTTGGGACTGCTTCATTTGTACTTGCTGATCATGCACGCTCTCCTGACGCTTCGGAAGATCGCGGTCGTGTGGTCCAGGACCATTCAACAGCAAAGGAATGAAAGCGCAAGCAAGCGCATACTCTTGCCCTTGCACAAGGACCACAAGCAAAGACCTCCAGAGAGGGGTCCTGCATATGCTGGCACTCAGCTTCTTCTACGTGTTTTCCTCGCCCCTTGTTTTCTGTAGTACTCTCTCCAGATGTTCAGCATTGGAGCGCGCCTTCTATAATTCCCGTGCAATTTTGCATTTGCTTTTGCGCAATAAAGTGACAACTTGCATTACCGCCCTACCGCACGGAGGTGGGCAACCGATCCATTAGAAAGACAAGCCTAAAGCCATGCAGTAACATGTACGGGGCGAAGATTGGATCGACATATTAAACAGAAAGCCAGACTTCCAGCGAACACCTTGTGCTTGTCGTTGTCTGTCTCGAAACAAAATGGCGCCCCGCCTTTGCTTCTTCTGCCTCGCGGCAGCGGTCCACGACCTCCTGGCCGGAGTACTTCTAGACCGCTCTACGACAACTTGTCTGGCCGCCTACACGGGTATGGTAGAACAACGACTCGAAAATCAAGATCGTGACATTGACCAGGCTAGTTCCTCGTCTGCATCCTCCTCCTCTCGAACGGCTTCTCGACACCACCGGCCCGCCGCGACCGGCTGCCTTTTCGACCGCACCTGTGGCGGGACGCGATTCTCCGCACTGAGTGAGCACGACAGTGATGAAGACAACTCAACAAACCAGTGCTCCTCTGACAGTCTGCCGCGAGGACCGGAGCAGCGCAGCGCAGAGGGAGAAGATGCGCGCAGCCAGCAAGAAACAAGCTCGAAAGTAAAAAATTCTTCCGAAAAAGAAAATAAGGATGAGGAGCAGATGAGCCAAAAACTCCATTGCGCGATATGCATGCTAGATCAGGACGAGGAAGATCAAAAGGAGGCGTGGATCACGCTCCCCAGCTGCGGCCACACCTTCCACCTGGCCTGCGTCCGCCGCGTTGCGTTGGTGGGCGAGGAGGGGCAACTCCTGCCCACGGCCATGAATTTCCAACAGGCTGCGAAGATTCGGCGGTGCCCGATGTGCCGAGAGGCTATTTCGCCCGAGGACTGCGCCGACATCGCGGACTGGGTGAACGAGCAACACGAGTTGAAAGCGGAAAGTGAGAAGCAGCTAGCGGAATTGCGAAAGAGTTTGCAAGGAAAAAAAGCCGCGCGGAGGAACGGCGGCAGTTCCAGATTGTCCTCGAAGAAGAGTAGGACCACGGGGCGGAGCAGTGAAAGAACGACGAGCGGTACACCTCGCGAAGATGTTGCTGATCAGAGGCAGTTACAGGTTCAATTCCGTGCTGAAGATGAAAATTCCGAAAATCAACAGACTTCACACGACCACGAATTTATTCCATATCGGCACATTTCGGACGTAGCCGCTTCAGCTTCGCAAAGACATGCTCCGCCTCCACCCACGCAGCAGGACAGCATTAACAATATGCCAACGACGTCGCTGCTGGCCTCACGGTTCGCAGCCCGAGATGGCGAGAATCAACACCATCGTCGCAACTACAATTTTTATCCACTCGGATCTCAGGGTTCGGGTTCCACTTCCTTATCCTTCCCGTTGAACTTGTCCCGTGGGACGACAGGTGGCACCTCCATTGGCGGAGGTGCAACAAGAGCTGGTTCTTCCGGCGCGTCTCTGACCGCGTCCGGTCGAAATTTGATGGAGAAGAGCTCTGGATCGCTGTGCAGCCGGGGGTCGTCCGGGGAGGATTCACAGCTCGAGCAGGAGCTGGCGCAGCTGCAGGACCGAAATGCGGATTTGCGCGCCAAACACTACCGGCGGCCACCCTGGTACTCCCTTGCTGGGATCAAGCGCTGGGTCTTGCACAGGTGCTTCGGCCGGCAGCGGCAGGTGGAGCATGACCTGGCAACAGCTGCAGCAGCACAGCAAAGGACAATGACGCGGGACGAATATTACGGGCAAATGGGCGCTTTCGACGCGAGCTTTCAACGGGCGCAGGACAGGGCCGCGGAGTACGATCGGAATCGGCAGCGGGAGTTGGAAGCGCGCAACAACTGCTGGAGCGATTTTTGGCCCGAGTATGACGACCGGTTTTCCTGTCTGGAGAACGGCATCATCCGTTTTTTTACCGTTCTGATCACCATCTTCAAACATCCGCACTACATTCTCCTCGCGCTCTTCCTCCTTGCGGGATTCAACATGCAAAAAATGGGGCCGGAGTACGTGTGGGAGTCGGAGTGTATTCTCGCGGTAGCGGACGACTTGCACCGGGCGGTGTTGGAGAATTCGTACTACACGCGAACAGGGTATCACTTCAAAACCTCCTCCGGCGGAGGAGCTGACGGTGCTTCGGCAAGCGCAGCTTTGACTCAACCCAGTATCATGCCCAATGACTTCCTGCTCACAGAAACCGACCTAGCGGAACGCTTCGCGCGCATTGGGGAGGAAATCGTAGAGCAAGCGACGTCGAGTGATCATTCTAGTACTAGCGGTGTAGGTACACCTTTCTCTCGTTCATCAACAGCGACTTCTGGTGAAGACAGTGAAGACATCAGTATGATCCCTGCGGAGGTGCTAGAAGACGCTTTTGCGGCTTGGACCCTGTCGAAGCTCACTCCGGACGTGACAGAAAACCGGTTTGGGCACAGTCGCACCTGGTTCATGAGAAAGTATTCGGAGTTAAAAGCCCTTGCGAACAGTTGCGAACAGACGGGAGTCGTAGTCGAGGATGAAGTGAACGTCGCACGGCCCCGCTTTAATAATCCGTTATGTGCCGAGAAGGAGCGATGGATAAAAGAGGTGCAGAACATCCCAATGCTGACGAAGTTGGAGTTTTACCAGCTGTTGCAATCCTTTCTCGCCGAGGAGGCGAAAAGGGAAGAAGAATTACAACGCCAGGGTTGGCGTGTGGTAGAGTCAACGTCCGAAAATGACCGACCGAGCACGGCAGCTGCGTCTTCCAGTGAGAATGGCGGGTGGCGGGTCGTCGAGCCGGCGGCGCTACCGATTGACGATAAAAAACTCCAGGGAACTGATAGCCCTAGACCAGTAAGCGACTCAGCCGCAGCATCGAATGATCTCAAGACGTCGTCTGAGAGCACTGCACTTTCCGACAAAATGCAAGAAGTTAGCCAATTTGGTGCCGTGGCGCGGCGGCTGCGGGGCTTTCTGCACGGCGGTGTGTCGTTTCTGCACGGGCGCCACGAACAGGAGTTGCGCAAATTCGGCAGCAGCAAGTACCTCCTCACCGCGTCCGACCTCTATCGTGCCATTGCCCATCTGCCGAGGGTGAAGCGGGAGATTCTCCGCCGCTGCCCCGTGGTGTTAGAGGATAGGAAGAAAAGCAAAAGCAGTAAAGCGGCTGGGCGACAGGAAGAGGAAGTGCTGCAAGGAGATGACCATGGCAGAGAACAAGCAGAGGTAGTGGATCAAGATGAAGCACCGCAGGAAAATACCTGGAACGAAGGCCCGAGCCCGGAAATCACGCTCGAATCTGCGGAGCACTACGCAGAGATGACCATGCGCCGCGAGGAACGGTCGACACAGAAGAGTCAGCTCGAGAACGTACCTGATCTGTTGCGGAAAGCGCGACTTCAGGGTTGAAGCGATGCGGTGGGAGGAGCATGTGGCCTCAAATTAGGCGGGAAATTTCGAACTTATTTTCTAGTAGGTTGCTTGTAATTAATAGGCGGCAATCGATATCGAGGTTGCTTCGAAAACTAAAAGACGCATCGGTCGTTCATAACGAGTGCTCTCTCAACTCGAACTGATATTTTTGTTGTCTGCTTCAACTAAAAAAAAAAAATGAGAATTATTATAGTCATTGCATGGATCGATTGGCGTGGCCGTTGTCCTGGTCCCGCACAATTAGGCCAGCGTCGCATTTTCTAACTTTTATTGTCTGAGAATACACAAAGAAGTCGTGAAGACAAATTTTCAACTTTTTGATGTCTGCGATACTGAAAGTAAAGCTGAAAATGAGTATGAACTGGAACTCAACTGTAGAAACAAACCTGCTGCAACATGCAAGTACTAAAGTCAGGCGCGGGGCGGGAGCAGACATAGCTGCCAGCCTGGAGCCTTGCTGGACGGGAATTACATCGGCGTGAAACCTTTGCGAATGCTTCGCTACCCGGTCGTCGGCTGGGAAAGGATTTCTAGTAGTACTTTTTCCTTCTGCATCATACGAATGCGTTTGCTATGTGCTGTAAGTGGTAGTACTAGAAGATGTTGCTCATGTCATCTACAACTGAGTGTGAGACGAGCAGAATGAGAGCAGAAGCGCTATGAGTCAGGTGTGCTGTAAAAATATGTGACAATGTGCACCAGCTTCCAGCGTATTAAGATATCTTGACGATGAGCCACGATTTCCCTTCAACGAGAAGCACGAAATCGAAGAAGCGCAAGTGGTCGTTATTTCCGCGGTCGCTCCGACGAAATCAAAATGTTGGACGCCTGGGAAACGAAAAAGCTGACCGAAATCTACGAAGAGCTGTGTTCTCTCCCCCAGAGCCAAGCCTTTTTGCACCCCTTGGTGTGGAGGGGGGCATCAGCATCTTCCCCTGCAGGAGTTGTGCCTACGAAGAGCGATGTTGAAGACAATCAAATTTCGAAGGAAGAGTCTGCCGTTGTCAACAAGCCGAAGGACTTTGTTGACTGCGACCTCGTGCTGATCGGCGAGGACCTGCGGCACAACGATCTGCAGAGTTCCCAGGAATTTTGGGACGACCTGCATCTCATCTCCCACAATGCCCACGTCTACGTATCAAAATGAAAAATCCCCCCTCCCCATATCAAAGCGGAAATTTGTGCTGCCGCTGCGGATTTGTGACCACAAATCAGCTTTGTATTGCAGAGAGGCACTGCGGCTAGATGAGATCCCCAGGCTAGGTAGGGGCGTATGCGTCTAGTAGTTCAGCATGGCAAACGGCCCCCCTTTAGGCCCAACAGCATGACAAATCGCTTCCATAATGGGGCGGAAGCTTCTGCGCTTGTCTTCTTGCAAGACAGACGCGATCTGTGACCTCAACTCCGCAGCGCAAATTTTTGGAAACGCACCTTTTCAATATGGGGAGGGGGGATTTTTCCTCTCAATAGTACGTGGACCTGCACATGAAGTCCGCCGCCACGTCGCCCCAGGATCATCCCGAGTTCCAACAACTCTTGCTTGCCGCCGCGGACTTTGAGGAGGCGGTTTCGCATCTGGAAACCTCCTTCAAACACGCACTGGAGGGGCACAAAACGCTGGCCCTGAACCTCGGAAACATGGACTTATGAAATGCAAAAGCATCGTACGTAGTATAAATTGCATATACAAATTGGCTCAGCATTACAAATTGAATTTGTAATGCGGATTTGCCTTAGGAACTGGATTTGTAATCATGCATAAATGCAACTAGTACCAGTACGACGAGTGCGATACTTTTGCACTGCATAGGACTCCTTTGTAGACGAAACCGCGGAGAAGTTTGCCGAGCTCCTGCATTCCGGGTGGCACGACGGAAACAGTGCGCTGTTGAGCGGTGCAGCTTATGGGCAGGAAAAAGCTTTCGGTTGGCCCTGCTGGCTGTGTTTATCCTGAATTTGAAGCAGCAGATATGGAAGAAAATGGAGTGATGAAAAGTGACGTGGATGTGGATCATCGTTGGCTTACAACTGCATACAACGAACAGCTGATGCATGTGTGTGTGATGATGTGTACGGACGTTGAGATGATTTTCAGTGCGTCTACCAATTCGACCGTCGTGGAGAAAACAACAAAAAGGAAGAACGAGCGGCAAATTATTATTTGTGAGTCGCTTGATAAGTAGCCGAAACCGAAAGCCATTTCTTCCCATGATGTTCTTTCCTCTTCCTCCGGCGGCGTCACTTCCTTTTTCGCGTCTCTCTTGACTGGAGGCACCGCAGGGACGAGTACAGATCTCGGCAGCGGTGGTGGCACCAGTGAAGCTCACTTGCAAGAAATAGCCCCCCCTGCTTCTGCTACACAGACCTCAGCGGATGCGGCAACGTTGAGAAATGCCGCGGACAGAAATACTTCGTCGGTGTTTTCGCCCTCAGCTCGGTCGCCTTCGATTCTGAAACAGAATTTATACCCGTCTACCCCCGAGCTTCCCTCCGGGCGGCAGCCGCGGATTTTCGACAATCCGCGGGAATATCTAAAGCACGCACCGTCGCTGCACTCCCTTATCCCATGGGCACTTTTAGTACTCATGAAACTGAGACTATTCTTTTCATGGCCCGCCTAGTGCTGTTGGCTGCCGCGACTCATCTTGTTGGACTTTGTCGTGTGGGTCCTGATGTGACAGTGCTGACACTGGGAAATAAAGAAGGACTTTTTACAAAGTATGATCTCGAGCAGCAATAGGTACAAGACTTTTTGTCTCATGGGATAATCTTTTCGGACCAGTTTGTACAGCGCGGACTGGAATTGCATTCCCTGAATGATGTGAGGAACTTTCTGATCCAGGTACGAGATACAAATTTACCGTACACTCATTACTAAAAAATACGTGTACAACAACAAATTTCGGCAACCGAGTAGTCGTGATGCGGAACACGGCAGAAAAGGAGTCCTGGCATCCGAGGATGCCTTGTTTCTTGCATTTTTTTTTGTACGTGTGCGGTAAGTTGTTTTCTGTGCATACTAGGAGGTCAGAGACTACTATGAAGACGAAAAAGATTGGACAGAAGTTGACATTTGAGTTTGGTGCGGTGCAAAAAGAACAGTTGCATATTTATAGGAGATATGATATTCACACAACGCTACATTTTTTGTAAACACGACTGCGGGGGATCATTCCTTTCTCTCGCGGTGTTCGTTGTTCTTCAGAAGCCCTTCGTACTGTGTGGAGCTTCGTCAGCATCTGCGTAAATCGTTATCGTTCTCTTGTTCTCGATTTTTCTTCTGAGAATTTTAATCGAGCGGTTGAAGAACGTGCTGGTGTCCCATCAGATCACAGCTGTATGCAAGGCGAACCTTGTGCTTCGGGAGAAGAAGTAAGGGACAGCAAGATGAAACATGAGCTTGAGTGTCGTGCTGCCAGCGGCGGAGGTGCGCTGAGGAGAAAAATATTATCGGCCTCGCACGGAGAGAAAGGAAAAGAAGGTTAACGTATAAAGAGATTTAGAAAGGTCGAAGGTTTATGACTGTCAATTCGAAGCAGAAATTTTAATGTAAGAGTCTCAGTTATTTGTCATTGTCTGCTCGCATCTTGAGTGGAGTACTCTTTCTGGCAAGCACCCATTCGCAAGATATGTCTGTTATTGTTGACATTATGAGGCCCCTAGTGTCCATCTTTGTACCGGGGCCACGGCCGAGCCGCAACACGAAACGTCTACGAAACAAGAAGGGAACAACGCCGGGCGGCAAGAAGAACTACGCAGACGTCTTCGTCGCATATACCTTTTCCCTCCGGCGCTTCAGTCATGTTGACGGGGCTTCGAACAACCTGCTCGCCCTATTTCTCGCGACGGTCGCGCTCTACTTTCTGTTCATCTTTAACATCTCGGTCTGCAGTATAACATCAGGGTGGAACAATTATGACCCCAAGAACTCAACTCCCCGCGAACCAAAAGCCGTCGCGCTAGTACAACTGACGACGGACACGAAGGACACCAGTCGCATTGAGGACACGACCGCTGCCCCCACTTCAGCAGGAGCAGGAGGAGGGTTCTTATTTGCCTACGCATACAAGACTCACGGAGGTCACGAGGGCCGGGTCGCAACTGGTGGAAGACCGTCTCCGGATGAATATGAAAACGGCCTGCGCAGCTTCGCCGAGCCGGACCCGGATAGGGGTCTTCGTCTTCCAGATGACTTGGCGGACGACCGACACGGTGATGAGCAGAGCGCCACAGAGCTCGATGTCGAAGATGAAGCACAAGAAACAACGGAAGAAAACTACCCAATAAAAACCACATTGCGTCGTGAACAGATGATGATGACCCGCGGAGCAGCTGGACCGCCGGCCGCAGCCGCTGATAGAAGGCATAGCGCAAAAACTTCTCGACGATCACGAAAACACGGGAACGGCGAAGAAGATGACCTGAAGATTATGCTGGAAGAAACTCTCCAAAAACAAAAACACCAGCAGCACTCCACGATCGAAAGTGATGGTCGTACGACGGAACAGATGACCGGTGAGGATACTAGTACGATCGGCGACAGTAGTACTCCTTCTGGTAGCAGAAGTAGACGTAGTGGTGCAACAACTGGTACAACTGGTGGCGCCGCAGCTGCAACTACTAATTCAAAATCGGCGCAGCTCCAGATGACCGTTCAAAAATCCTCCAAACCGCGATCGCTGGTTCGTGCCGAGACGAGTCCCTCTGATGTTGCAGCAGTTGATGACGAGCATGCTGCAGAAGAAGAGCAAGACCGGGACAACAGCGCGATGGACCACGAGCACGACCACGAAACACTATCAAGTGACAGCCTGCTGGAGCACGATCACGTCCAGAAAGAGCTAGTACACGGGAGAAGTGACAACTGCAGCACGACGAATCTGGACTGGGAGATCTGGCCGAACAACGGGGCCAAAATTGTCGTAAAAGCCGGGCTATGCATTGCAGCAAAAGCATCGCACGACGTAGTAGAAATAGCATTGCAAATTTTTGCAGGAAGAACGAAAGCTTTAAATGCTCATGCTGAATTAGAAATAGAAACCACCTCTGTCACGCTGTAATGAAATTGGTTTTGGTACGACACGAGTGCGATACTTTTGCAGACGATACGGGCAGCTCAACTACGAGAACCGCGCAAGGAACTGCGCGGGTATGAAAGCGCCGGACTGCGCATACTACGCATGCAATTGGCAAACCTCTGATTCTGGGAAGAAACTGCACACTAACACAGCTGGCAACAAACCAAGCGTATCCGGGGGATATCCTGTGCAAAAATATCGCGCCCGTACTAATAACACCGCCCATGGATGACAAATCTGGCTCCCTAATTTAGTTTGCATGACACATTGCATTTTTCTTCTATGCGATTCAATATATTACCTCGAGTGCGATTCTTTTGCAGTGCATAGGGCTTTTTCTAGTCCGATCTTCAGGTTCCGGTATCCCACCTACAAACTTCCAGCGGGCGCCTATGCGTTGTTAATATGTCTGGCTCTGGAAGACGAAGAGTGCATTTTGTGTTGCATCATGGCTTGCATTCCTAAACTAATATCATTCTGTAATTGCATATGCATAGCCAGCAAAGGCGCCATGACTTTTTTGTCCTGGAGCAACGCAGTGACCCATTGCCATGCGTGCTGCGCATGAGTAGATGGCGTCAAATTATAGACTCGTCATGCTTGGCTGCACTTGAAAGGTTGAAAGCACCGGACCCATCGATTTCGATGCTTATTCGTCCCTCGATGGCGTCACAAGTTTCATCCAGGCCCAGACATGTGTGAATTCGATAGCGCCATGGGTGTGCGGAAAATGAAATTGTCGATGGAGTTCTACAAAATCAAGAACAGCGGTTCGGGCAGCGGTGCTGCGCTATTCCTCTCGAGATATGCCAACGGTTGCGATGCGGATCCCAAGGGGCAGGAAACCACCTACATTTTCAATCTCGACGGGCCGTATTTCGAGCTGCGGAAGTGGAAGAATCTCCATCAGCCAGGACCTGCGGGAGACACTGTTGCGAGCACGGCCTACGAGCACGGAACTCAGACACTGTGCAAATCTCCGTGTGCCGAGGACGACCCCAACGACGTGGGGAAAAATTTTGCGAAGGAAGCGAAAGCGAACAGCATTCTCAAGAAAAGCGCCCTCGCGGGCCCGTCGGAATGGAATGAGGTCACTCTCGAGCTCGACAATACAAGCGGGAAAATCAAGCTCGGCGCTAACGGCAGGTCGTGGTTTCTGAAAGACAAGACAAAGGGCTGGATTAAGCTGTACCAGAACTCCGCGACGAATCAGATTTGTACGGTTGGTTTCCGACCCCACCGGAATCGCATTCGCATTGCAACGTCGACCACCACAACGACAACCTCAACAGCTGCGCAGGCGCAAGGCGGTACCGCTGCTAAGTCGGATGGGTCTTCATCTCCAACGCAGCAGGAGATGAAGGCAGTGCGAGGCTTCGATCTGAAACTAACCGTCGATGACAGTACCGACGTATCACACTGAAAAGTGTTAACGTGAACGGAATTTGCGATGATCCAGGAATGCACGAGAAATGATGCCTAAAGAAATTTGTATTGCATAGCATGCAGTATAGCGAAAATTTGTCATGCATGACTGCAACGCCTCAAAGCCGTTACTTAACGTTAACACTTTCTTGCTTGAGACAGCGTTCAGGTTCTCGCGCGGGACCTGCTCGACCCCGTGAAAGAAGCCGTCGTTGCGTTTCTGGTGGAGAAAAGTCCGGACCTGGGGCTGACCCCTGCCGACATCGACGATGACGACGTGCTGATAGACAGCAAGAGTGCTCTCTATTCCTCGACGCTGTTGCAAGGAATGACGGGGGAGGAGGAGATGACGGGCGAGGACGTCGATTCGTCGAGAAACAAAGAATTATCCAGCCTCCAGCATGATAGCGGAAGTCGGGAACAAAGCAACGCGGCAACGGTCGGCGCGGCGTCCTTCGCCGGTGCGAGGCCTGCTGTTGCATCCTCGATGAAAGAAGCAGACACGAAGAGCGAGGTCAAGATGAGGAAAACTCGCAGCACTTCTAGATCTTCATTGGAAACAAGAACGAGAGCAACTTCTTCCAAAACCGTGGAGCTGCAGGCCTCGGTGGGAGTTTGGGGCGACGTGGAGGCGCTCCAAAAACTCAACGACGCCTGGCCGGCGGGTTCGAATTTGCTCGGCAGTGATGACGTTGCAATTTTGCAGGGTTTGCTGTCGCAGAAAATTGACGAGACTAGCGCGCTCGACGACGTTGTCACCGCAATCGAGGAAATTGGGCCGCACGCAGCAGCCGAGGCCAGTGAGACAAGACAGGTACTTGGAGCCACGCCTGGGAAGAACGACCAGACCACCACAACCACCACGACTGCAGCGCCAACCGAGGAAGAGAAAGAAAACAGCGCTGCCATGCTGGCCGGAACTGTGGCGGTCGTGGGGCTGCTCCTGGCCGGTGGCATCGCAGCCGCCGTCACCTACACCGACAGTGCAAAGCAGCACGGCGCAGAAGAGGATAATGTGGACGAGGAGGTCGTATGCAACGGTGACAATCATCCCACACGAGTCACATTAACCTCGTAGATAGAAGTTTTGGCTCGAATGATAATGCTAATGCCGTGTAAATTTTTGCATTACGTTTTTGTACAACATTGAACCGCTGCAACCAGCAGAACAAGGAAGGATGCGGTGGTTTTTCTATTGACTTGCATGGTGCTTTTGCCATTGCATGAAAAAGACATGAATCTAAACACGTTATCATTAGTCTTGGCCACCAGATGGAGCACAGTTGACTTCTTCTGCGTATGCAACAGTAACACTGTTACAAGAAGCTGTGGGCTGTGACTCGTGTGACTACAGTTTTCGTGAGGACATCGGGCAGAAGGCGAGGCAGATGGCAACGACGCGGAACAGAACGTAAGTTTTCCCGAATGATGTAGAAAAATGTTGCGTGTTGTGTGCACTTAAAAATCTTACAGATATTTACAGATGAAGATGCTCCTTGTTGTTCAAGGTAGATGTTGCCGCAGAATGACAAGATCAAGAAAGGTCATGAACACAAAACTTTGCAAAACGCAACCCAATGCTTATTTATCTTCAAATAGTATAATTTCGGCCCGTGCGCCGCCAGTGTGCAATATGTCGCGACACAAACAAACTACTCTCTCGCTCGTTGTCATGGTTATGGCCTTCATCACATGGACATGTTGGGCATAGGTAGCGATACACCCCATCTGCAGGAACAATGACACATCACTTCTTTTTATCGTAATCACAGGTTCCGATGGACGCAGCTCCCGAAGCAGGCGGGAACGCACCGCTTGGGAGTGCTTTCGGCGGCGGCGGCGGCGGGGAAATGTAAGACTAGGAGTAAGTAGTCGCACATCAAATTATCGTGACTGTCCTCAGACAAAAATGCTACACCTTTCATCTTGTTCAAAGTCGGCGTTGCTGCACTTCAGCGCGATTTACTTGCGATTGACTTCCTCGCAGACGACAATTGTCTTCGTAGCGCTAGCTGCTGAAGAGAGAAAAAAAACATACGCAGCAAAGGAACATCAATAGCTACCGCTTTGCTGTTGGCTGCAGGATCCAGGATCTGTTCGCACTTGGGCGGCCCCGCTACTTGCGGCTCCCTTTTTTACCACACGACAGTGTTCAGATTCATCTGAAGTAGAATTCGCATGGAGTAACATACGATAATTGTGGTTCAGGGACTCAAAAATTAAGATACAGTGTGGTCGTCGGACGTGGAGAAAGGTAAGATCAACTTGATACAACTATAAAAGTGACTTCTACCTACTTTCCCCAATGACATCATGATCATATCTGCTAATTTCGGTTATTAAAGCGTAGCAGGGTCATCTGCTGATGGTTCTCCAACTGAAACGATCCCGATCCTGCCACTGGCCGTGTACAAAGTCACTTTTTGATCCAGTTTGTCGCCACTTGTGGTCCTTCATCTCCAACTCCAAGATAGACCGAGCGAACTCTCCGAAAAACTACCTCGAAAAAACCATGACCGACACGACGGACGACGGTGCCGCCGCTCGGCACCCGAAGCGTTTCGTTAACGAGGATGCGTCGCGGCTCGTGCGCGACGCTATCGACGGGCTGGTGGCGATCAACGCCAAGCACCTGACGCGGTTCCAATACCAGGACGGCACCAAGGTGATTCTGCGCAAGGACTGGACCAAGCAGAAGGTGGCTTTGATTTCCGGCGGCGGAGCGGGGCACGAACCGGCCCACGCTGGGTTCGTCGGTCAGGGCATGCTGACAGCCGCCGTGTCGGGGGAGGTGTTCGCATCACCCACGGTACTTGCGACAACATCAACAAACTGTCGCGGTTATTATGTTTCAACTGGAAGACTTAGACTTTGGCTTTGCGCGAGAGGACGAGAAGTTGTGTTTTCCCAATGTCCCAAGACGAGTCTCTGAAGCGTGACAAAATTTTTTGTGCCTAAAACCGCCACACAGGTCGACGCCATTCTCGCGGCCATCGTGGCGGTGACCGGCCCTAAAGGGTGCCTCTTGATTGTGAAAAACTACACTGGCGACCGGCTGAACTTTGGTCTTGCGGCGGAGCGCGCCAAAAGCGAGTACGGGCTCCGCGTCCGCATGGTCATCGTTGCGGACGATGTGGCGTTGCTGAAACAGGCCAGCGTCCGCCAGGCGCGCGGGCTCGCGGGAACGCTGCTGGTGCACAAGACGGCCGGCGCAGCCGCCGAGGATGACGCGAAACTCGACCAGGTCACCATGGAAGCGCAGAAAATGGCGCTCGCCGTGAAGACGTTCGGCTGCTCCATGTCCACCTGCACGCAGGCGTTCTCGCAGGAGGGCCGGTCGCTCGGGGACAACAAAATGGAGGTGGGGCTCGGCATCCACGGTGAGCCGGGGGCCAGGAAGATGGAAGTGTTGCCGGTGAGTGACATCGTGCAACTAATGCTGGACGAGATCATGGAAGCCATCGACACGCAAGCGCGGGAGACATTGACCATGGCTCCTGCTTCGCAAGGTGGTGCTGCTGCACCAGCAGCTGCGCCGCAATTATCCGTTTCGGCGTCAGTAAATAACGCATCATTGAAGTTGAACATCAATCATCCCCCACTTCATCTTCTCTCGTTCCCGGACGAGAGCTCGGAGGAAACCGTGGAATTTGTGCAGCGAGACCACAGCAAACCGAAAAAGGAAAAGTCGCACGTCGTGGTTTTGATCAACAACCTAGGCTCCGTTCCGGCTCTGGAAATGCAGATTGTCGGGTTCGAAGTGCTGAAGAACCTGGGCCGGAGGTCGATCCACATCGTCGGCCCGGCGCCACTGATGACTAGCCTGGACATGAACGGGTTTTCCCTAACCATGGCCGTGGTAGACGAGTTCACGCTGACAAATCGGCTCTGCGCAACAAAAAACTTCGCCCCCCACTTGAACGCGAGCTGGCCGGGGGTGGCGAGCGGGGGAACGGTCTATTTCCAGGAGCTCGACCTCCCTGCCACGGTGAGGGTCGGCACGGATGCGCCCGACGTAGACGTATTCACCGGTGGCGAGGACCTCATCGGGGGCGAAAACAGCAGTACAGGCACAGCGTTGCCGTCAGGAGACTCCGAAATGGAAAGGCAGCAGACTGCCTTTCAAGCGCAGCAGAAATTACTGTCGCAAGTGTGCCAAATCCTGATCGACAACAAAGACACGCTGAACGAAATGGACAAAAGGGTTGGCGACGGCGACACGGATATCCACCTGAGTAAGAACTCCTTCTACGTACCCGGCCTACAGTAGAGATGTAAAGTCTGACGCTCCAGAAACAAATCCAAATCAAGCAGCTTAGCAGCGTAGCTTTGCGAAGCTGCTTGCGGCGACGGTGCAAAGGTTTTTGATGTGGTGTAGTCGGGTATGCATGACAAATGAAATGAAATGGGAGCTGCGCAGCACTGTCGCGAACGCGATTAGGTACCTTTGCCGCAACATCACATCAAATCTGCTTGTAGCTCGACATCATTCTGAGAAACTACAGCCTAAATACGAATAGCGAACGCGGCCTCGCACCAACTACATTGGGTGCCCCCGCGTGAAGCACTTACACTTCCCGTTCAGCCCAGATTTGCATGAGAAGTTGTATCTGTTGGAAATAAACGGGTACGTTATTACCGCACCGTTGGATAAGATGCACGCAGATGGAGCTAGGCGCGAAAGCGGTACTGGATCAGCTAGTGAGCGGCAGCGCACGGACAAAGCCGCTCAGTTATCACGCCTTGTGTGAGAACTTGTCGAGAATTCTGCGAAAGAACATGGGCGGCTCCAGTGGAATTTTGCTCAGCATCTTCTTCGCCGCCATGAGTGCAGAGTTCCGCAATAGCAAGCTGGAAACGTCAGCGGGGAAAATAACGAACGCTGCATCTTCTTCAACAGCAGCACCGCCACCGTCCGGAGACGTGGGAGCAGATTGTGGCAGCCAAACGGTAAATGACTCTGACCAGCGGAACAAATCGTTCGAGGAAGCCATCCTGAAAGCGTTCCGAAAGGGCGTGCAAACGGTCAGCGAAGTCGGCGGAGCGGTGGAGGGAGACCGGACCATGCTCGACGCCCTCTTGCCCGCCAGTCGCGTTGGGAGCTTTGAGGAACTCTTTCCCGCCGCGAAGAACGGTGCGGAGAGGACTCGAAATTTGCTGTCGGCGCAAGCCGGCCGGTCGCAGTACGTTCCAGCAGAGGATTTGGAGGGAAACTATCCGATGTCAAACCGCCCTCAACTGTACTGTCCTCAATTTGCCATGCGCACAATAGAAATAGATACACTTACACACGACGGCTTAATAGCACAATAAATAAAGCATCTTCACGCAACAGGCTGGTTTGCGTCTTGTGCGTGTGCTGCGACATGGTAAACTGAGGGAACAATGTTGGGGCGGCTGATTTTCTCTAGGATAGGTGCATGGACCCCGGGGCCTTTGCGTGCATGCTGGCTTTTCAAGCCATGCAAGAGAGTACGCTGTAGCTGCAGCTGGTTAGTACAGGCTCATACATCTTCCCATGGTGAATGCAAATCTTTAGCATGCTCTAGAGCTCGTCGCATCTCGCATCCATGCGAAAGAACAAATTACTGCAGAGTCAATTGATTCCATTTGCTAAAACGTCTGCACGACCACTATAGAAAGGCTCCATCTATGGCACCTCCAATTCCTGCACAGCTGACCCTTGTGCTTCTGCTTTTTTTTTTCTTTTCATTGCTCTAGTACGTACTAGTAGTACTCCAAAATAATTTAGCGAGCGACTACGTCTGCGAGGTCATGCTAAACACGACGAAGACGAGCGGCAGGATAGCGCTTCATCATGTTTATACATGTGCTCCGTTTCCGTTATTTTTTGGACTCTGAGGCACGAGTGAGGTACCGACACACTTTTAGAGCGTAGTTTCTGTATTTCCACTAGACGACATTGAACCAATGTCAAAGATGCGGTGGAAAATCTCTTCAACTTCATCCAGAGCCAGGAGTGCGATGACATTCCCCCCGGCGTCGACTCGTACTAGCACAGGCAGTACGAGCTCGGGCACCAAGAGGTGGACCTCGTCGGCGGTGTTTCATCCGCCGGCCCACAGCAGCAACGCGCCTCCCCCTCCAACAAGAACAGCGTCCAATGAGAGCACGCCCCGACTCGGCGTGGGCCTTTTTGGCACGTTGCGGGCGCCGCGGTTTCTGGCGAAGTGGCGAGACCGCTGCGTGGCCATTTGGAAAACGATGCACAAGGTCGACCACTGTCTCCGGTACCGTTTGCATCCGCGGGCAACCGATTTGTTTGCCGCTGTGAACCCCCACGGTCCGATCCGGCAAGCACTGCGGGCAGCGGAGCAAGCGGCCTTGATTGCCGGCTTAGAGGAGGATGTAGAGAAGCAGGGGGAGTTTGAAACTTTGGTCAAGCTGCATCTGGAGAAATTGATAGCATTTGAAGTCGTAGAGCCACGTCTTGATGAAAACGGCGAACAAGCGACGGCGGGGCGCCAACAACAAGAACAGATCCCACTTCAGTCATGTGCTGCCGCTGCGATGGAGCAGGAGCCAAGACAACCCACTACCAGCAGGAGGAGCGAAAATGATCTGCAGGAAGATCTGTCAACACAGTCGCATTTCTCTTACCACGACAGCTTCGAAGCCAACGCTGGGAGCATTTTTCGCACCTGTGAGTATCTGGTGAAGCAGCACAGTGACAACGACTCTCCGTACATTGCGACCTTAGCGGATCTCCTCTGCAAGGTCGCGCGGACCAAGTCGGCCAGGTCGGACTTTGAGACGAAATCCGAGTGGGAACTGCGGATCGCGCAGGAGGCGTATTCCCTCGCACTGAACCTGCTGAAAAGCAGCGGGGACTTCGCGAAAGCGAAAGAAGTGTTCGAAGAAGCAACTGGTCGGAGGAGGAGGGAGATGTTGTCGACGAAGAACGTGAACGGGGCCGCGACTCATCTAAGGGTAAGCACATCAGCCGGTCATCAAGAACACCATACCACATCAACCGTGGACCAGTACTGGCACGCGGCGAAGCACCGCCTTCTCGACTTGAAACCAAACGACGAGTACATCCACTGGCAGTCGTTGTGCCACACGCCAGCGATTTTTCTGGAGACGGAATTGAAACCGCCACGAACCTCGGTTCTGGAGGAGAAACTGTTCTGGACCGACGACGCCCGACTGCACCACTTCCAGCAGGTCATGCGCGCTTTCAAACCCTTTATCGAAGAAGAACTCCGCCACTTCGTCATCGCCTACAATGAGGGCAGCAGTTGGGCCATGGAAGTTATGTTGGAGAACCGAGCGGAGAAGAGAGTGCAGTTGGCAGAGAGCAAAGTCGTATTAAACGGCGCATCTTCGAACTCGGGAGGTTTTACAAGGAGGTCTACTGGTACTACCACTGCTGCGTCTACTACTTCCTCCTTCGAAGCCATTTCGTGTCTGGACCAGAAGCGATTCCGCCCAGCTCCGCTGCAGGCGCTCCCCGCGGTCAAGGAGATGCTCATGCAGATGAAGTCCTTCAATTTCGGAATCCCCTACACGCACGAAGATAGCGAGGCCTGCTCCCTCATCCGTTTGGGTAGGAACACGCGGTGCGAACGCTGGCAAATATGCACTGGAAGTCTGTAAGTCTGGGTCTGGAAGTGGGTGGCTGCAAGACAAAGACTTCTGATGATGTTGACTGACATTATCATGACTCTAGACTGTATGTAGGCATGATGTTGCGGAAAAAATAAACCACATTTGTGTACCAGTCTCATGCAAAACAAAATATCATGTGTGTTGTGGCGCATCTGGAAGCGCTAGCGCTTAAGCGCTAGGACGGAAGCGGAAGCGCTAGCGCTTAAACACTTGTCAACGTGCAACTTGGCTGCGTATTGATGAAGTGTGCATGAAAGCTTTTCAGCCCCAGACATTATAATTGCTCTGCATAGCAGAGTCAGGGAAGCAATCTGTCCATCAGCATGTGTATGGGGTTGTCGCTCGACGGACCGGATTGCAAATCACCAGGCGCATTTGTAGAGTTTCTGACAACTACGCCAAGCACTACAACGGTGTCAACAGCCTCATCTGGTAATGCAGCATCCCCCGGCACGAGTTTGACAGAAGGAGTGGCGTTTAAACAAGAAAGACACAGCTTGAAAAACAACTTGATCTCATTCGCCTCCGGCTGGGACCATAGATTTGGTACTACGGAAATTACACCTGAAGAGGCGGCCACGACAGATGAACATGGGTCCCCTTCTGGTTCTGGGTTCGTAAAAAGCACGGGTGGAGGACAACAAGAGCAGGCCCATCAAGAACATCTAGACGAGTCATCTTCCTTCGACAGCGGTGCGTCCTGGTTTCTGCACGTGAACACCCTGCACCCCGCCTTGGTTGCAAACGAGCACCTCTGCGCGTCCATCGGACGCCGCACGGAGTGGGAGATCGTCGGGTCGCGGCAAGCGCATCAGTACGCGCGGGCGAAGCAAAATCATGAGTATTTGCTAAAAAACCCGGTTGCGACACCCATCATGGATCGATTCAAAAGCAAAGGCGGATTCTCGCGAAAACACTTACCCACGGACTTCAACGTGTACAGGCCCCCGGCCTAGTAATAATACTTACTCAATGTTAGGTATCAAAAAGATGTACCACGTTGATGAATACTCCCTGCGCAATTTGACGCCTGAATGCATATGCAAAGGCTCACGCTCAGGTGGTAGCGTGGCGCTGATCTTGATTCTCTGGTGCGATATTTTTTTCCTGTGTCTGGACAGTTGCGTGCCACGATGCATACCCTACGAACAGTACTGCTTTCCACTATGATCAACACCGATAAAGGAAAACAAGTTTGATATGGATCATCATTGAGTCCGGATCTGAGATTTTTCTGAATAAAAGGCTCAACAAAGATCATCAAAAGTGCATTTTGGGTTCCGGCCACGTGAGGAAGATATTTTTAATTGAGTATTGTCGTCGTCTTTCGCATTGGCATTTCTACGCCATGAAATCACTTTGGTCCACTGCGTTCACGATTGCTAAGCCTGTTTATTTTGATTTTTTTTCCCTTTGTTCACTTTAGGATCAGATAGTGGACCAAGTCCACCCAGGTGAAGGAGATGTAATACGCCTGTGCCATTATTTCAAGTTTCCTAATTTCGAGCTCGTAAAGATTCATCTCGCAAAGTGCGTTTTTTCTTTTTCTCAATATCGTGGCGTTAATTTCGATCATGCCTTGTGCTCTACAAGTGCCTTATTTCTAGGTCCATTTTTACCTACGCACAGTGCCGACTCTTCATGTTGAACCATTATTCGGCCTGACAGAAATAGCCAAAATGAGCGGCCAAACGACCACCCACGGTGCTTTCCAGCGACATCACCCCGTCACAATCGATTTCGTGGAAAGCGACCCTGACTTTCCCGCCGAAGCCGCCCTTTTGAATGTCGGCTTTCCGAGATCTACGCAAGCCGGACAACAAGACAAAGTGGTCGACGGTCGGGGCCCGCAAGATTTGATCATTTCCAAGATCGCGGAGGAAGAGAGTGACGCTGCAATCTCAACCGAAAATTCATCTACGCCCCTCCGTCGGGAGTACGTCGTTTTCTACGCGGTGTCTTGTGAGGCACACGAAGAGCGGACGTTTGGCACAGGAGAGAATGCTGGGCAAAAACCGCAAGCACACAGCAGCTCAGTTTTCACCTTGGACCAAGATTCGGACTCAGCGAAGGTGCAGCATCAGGATCACCAGCCTAATGCAACCACAAATGCCGAAGGTCTTCCTCAGCCTGCTACTGGTACACAAGAAGGAAGAGCAAACCTTCACCCCCCGCTCCGCATATCCTTGCCGAAGTGGTCCAAGGGATTTTTCTTTGGCGCCAGGGACGTGCGATTGCAGTTGGTGCGGCAAGGGCAGCACGGGTCGTCGTGGGATTATACCACAGTGTTGACGGATGATCAAAATGTTGCGCAGATGGGAACACGTACCGATGCAACGACGGCGTTCGTGTCGGAAAAGCTGCGGTGGTACAAGGATAAGACCGAAGATGATCGAGATACCATTGCAGCAGGTGGTCAGGATATCGACAGTGGGAAATCGACCTCGAAGTCCTCTTCAGACGACCGCAACGGCCGCAAGGGAACATCTTCGAGTGCCCAGAAGCCGGGAACAGTAGGTCGTTCCGCAAAAACAACTTCAATTTACGCCGAGGGCCCTTTGCTCGAGAATTACTGGTCGCTCCTCGCGAAAACGACGGTTGCGGGGCGGAATTTCGGCTCGGCCTTGGACATGTCCTTTGCTTTTTGGTCGCAGCGCACCTCCCCCGACGTGCTGCAGCGGCAGCTGGATCTCGTGCAACTGCGACTCAGCCGGGTGAGGATTCCTAATGGGAATGTCAGGTCACGACATCGGAATGTTGAAAAGAGGCCTGGGGCTGGAGCTGCAAGAGGGACGAGGACGTATTTTCGTGGTTCTGTTGTGGAGCTACTTACAGCAGGGCAGGAGATTCGCCTGGAACCGTTGCGCGAACATCAAGCGCAGCTACTTCGGCATGCGGCAGGGGAACATCAAGCTCAGTCGAAAGCGCCGAATGTGCATGTCAAATCTGCCGACGAGGAAGGAGACCACAGAGGAGGCGAGCAGCTATCCGAAGAACCTGCTGGAAGAGGACAAGTACCGACCATAGACGACACGAGATTGCAAGTAGTGCCCGTCCAAGAACCGCGTTTTTTCGAGTACAGCATGACCGCGTCGAATTATAGTCATGACGACGTGCAGGACCAGGACCGTCTTCGTACGACAAGTTTGTTCGAGGAATCAAGAACGTCAGCATCAGGAGGAGACGAAGCTAAGACGGCTGAAAACGGAAATAAGGGTACAACCCCGAACGTCACGATCACGAAACCTTCTTCTATGTTCATGGTGGTTCCCATCATTTTTCTCTCCTTCACCTTGGTCTTCCGGGTGCACGTGGATCATGAAGAAGAAGCAGATGACCGAGCTTCCGCCCCCTCGAGCGTTTCACCATCTACTTTACCAGGGCAGGAACAGAAACAAAACACGGCTCTAGGGTCATGCCCGGAGGACGAAGGTGTTGACGATGTCGAAATGCTTGACGCCACGGAAAGGGAAAATTTTGTCGAGAATAACGTTGTGTCCTACCACTATTCTCAAGACCAGCGCTTCGTTCGGAACACGGCGAGGCTACTGCAGGGTCGTGACGGACACAAAAGCGGTGCCTTGGCAATTTCTGCTGGGTCTAGAGCTCCAAATTCTTCCTCTCTCGCCAGGAAGATCTTTCACGCTCTCGCTCAGGACCACACAAAGAGCGCCGCAGGGGTGGATAAAAAGCGACCAGCGAAGGCCGCCGCCCACACAGAAAAGCAACAGAAACGGGAAGACGCGGGAAAAATCGCGGAAAAAGAGAAAGAAAACGAGAATGATTCCGAGCTACCAAGAAATCCTGACCGCATTCTGGTTTGTCACGATATCTACGCCGAGGAGAAGTCTTGGCTGGAACCGCTTTTCAGAAACGAGAAACTAAATGGCGGTCAAGAACCATTAGCAGAATTCGTCGCAGATCCGGTATCTCTCGCGACCACGGTTGGGCTCGGGTTTTCGGAAGACGAGCACGAGATGAGTAAAAAGCATCAGCATGATGTTGCTGCCACAAAAGTGAAATCGTTGGGTCCATGGTCGTTGAGCCAGCAGCTCCCAACTTTCGTCCACCTGCGTTGGGACCTGATTGAGCAGGCAAACGGTACCTACCACCGCGACGAGGTGTTGCAGTTTCTCTGCACACTGCTGCGGCCGGAGCAGGATCAGAAAAAAATTCTCCTCATCACGGGCCTCTGCTCAGCCTTCTCGCTCGAGCATCCACCATTGGACGCTTCTGACGCTGGAAACAAGAAAAGAGAAAAGAACAAAGTGGGAGATCAAGGTGACAAGGACACTGCTGGCGGAGGGACATCAAAACAGAGAAACTTTTTCGAGAAGCTGTTCTCAGCCGACCAATTGCTCGAAGATGTGGCGGAATTGCTGAAGACCGAGCAAAAATGCGTGACGCCTGACATGGACTGGAATCTTCCACTGCGGGCAGCAATGTCCGAGGTGCATGAGAAACACGAACATGATAACGACGAAACCTTGAACCACGGTGCTCGCGTGTTAGATCGCACACCAGGAGCTCCTGCACATGGAACTACAAATAACAACGTAAATCACGACGACACGAGAACGACAGCAGGGCTAAGGAACGGAGCGAGTACATCTACGAGTAGTACCGGAGCACCAGCTAGTGCGCGAAATACAAGAGACGACCACCACGACGACCCCAACCATTCACGAAAACCAACTTCCACGACGCCGACACAGCACCACGCAATTCCGTGGAAATCGCACATCAACAACGAGAACTGGCTGCGGTATCAGCAGCGAAACCACGAGAACACCATTCTCGCGGAAAAGTTGAAGGTGTGCGTTGTCGGGTTGACCATCGGAGCTGCGGGCGGGGGAAAGTTTTTGTACCGTGAGGCTTGGATGGGGGGAGCTGGAGCGGATACTGGAAGAGGGGGACAAGACGACCAAGACGACTCTGAGGAACAACGATTGCAGCTTTCTACGGACTTGGTCCGCGCAAGAGAAAAGTCGAAGCAAGAACTGGGCAATCTGACCTCGAAATCGGCGACGTGGCGGTCCTTTTTCGAGAAGAATGCGTTTCTGGACAAAGACGGCCGGACGATGCATCTGCTCACAGAGGAAATTGCGGAGGCGGTGAAGAATGTGTGGCTCCTGGATGAAAAAGACGCAGCCAGTACAACAACTCGGGGACCAAAAGCAGGAGCTGACGACATGGAAAAGCGCGACGAGCATGGAGGGCAACAGGCTGGAGGTCATGTTGATCCTGCTGCGGAAACAGCAGCACTGGACGTCGACTCGTCAATAGGACAAAACGACTCGTCCGTTCAGCCCGACGTAGAGCAATTGTGTGCCGATTTGATGGAGTCGCTGAGCCACGAGGACGAAACGTTTTACACAAGTACTGTAACGACAACATCACCCTCCCGGCCTTTTGGAAACAACCATCAACGCGGCCAACAGTACCATAATTCTCAGGCACCACTTGTCCAGCATCGGAAAGATAAGCTTTTCGGGCTCCAGAAACAGCGACAAGAGCTTGCGGACGCGATCCTTTGGCCCCGGTTCTTGCCACACTACTTTGAGGCTATGGGCCTCACGGACGCGAGTCAGCAGCAGGCTGTGTTGCTGACCGGGCCTAGTGGGAGCGGCAAAACTTTTTTGGGCGTCGAGTGGCTAAAAGCCTGGCTGGAACGTTTCGCGGAAGCCGCTGCTGCTGCGGCAACTGCATCGAGAAGGACCAAAACTCGAAAAGAAAAAGCAAGAAAAGAACACTGGCGCGTCCGGGTTGTCCACGCGACCGAACTAATCTCCTCTTTCGTCGGAGAGTCTGAAGAAAATCTGCGCAGGATCTTAAATGATGACACAGCTTCCCGAGGAGCGTCAGCAGCAGGAAAACAAGACGCAGCAGATATCGTCCCCGATGAAGGAGACGCAGCACTACAGCAGAACGACAACGAGCTGCTGGTCTTTGAAAACATTGACCAGTGGCTTGCGCGACCGGACGACGACAACGACGATGCAACCGGCGCAGTTCGCAATCGGCTGCTGACCACCTTTCTCGTCGCCCTTGACGGCATCGACAGCAGAACGGAGAGGAACGCGGGACCTCAGCGCGTCCTTGTGTGTACCACGACCAAACCTGCCGAAAATTTTCCGCCCTCGATCCTCCGCCCCGGCCGGCTCAAGCCGATTGCGGCGTGTGGTAGTTTGTACAGCAGGAAGCACGACTTCGATTGCAAGAAAGAGGAGAAAAAAGCGGAAATCGCGTTCCACTTTTTGAAACAGGACTTGGACCAGGTGTTTTCGGAAATTGAAATGATGAGCAGTGAGAGAAATAATGCCGCCAGCACAAGTACTGGCGCAGCTGAAGCACGACCGGGAGAAGAACACCATCAGGCACAGATCCAGAAGATCGCGACCAAGATTTTAAACGAAAAGGTTGTGAAGATGCGAAGCTACTTGGAAGCGGAAACAGTTGGCGCGGTCGAACGTGCTGTGGGGGAAATCTTCCGCACGGCAGACTCGGTCGCGCAGGCTTTGGGCGGTAGTGCTTAAAGACGCACGAGGTGGCTTTCGACTTCTTACGAGAAGCAGCTTCGCAAAGGCTGTGCAAAACTGCTATTTGTATTTCTCATGTACGCACACGCAGATTAAAAGAAAAGAGCAGATAGCGATCTTCTATCTTTTTGCGCGAGACGGCGCTCAAGAATACGAAAAGAAAACTCGCGACAAAGTAAGATGATCCTCTGCAAAAGCAAGCGACGTATTCGTATTACGCATTTTATGAATGTCTAGATTTAGTGGTCCGGGTTTTTTATCTTTACAGTGCGCAAGAAAAAAAAAGAAAAAGTGTTTCACATAGAGTTCGGGTGCCAGCACTGCAAGCATAAAGACAGCGCGTCTACAACAGTGGATATTTTTGTATATCTGAGTTTTTGTGTTCGCGAGGACGTCGACGTCGAAGTAGTCAAGATCTGCTATTATAGCTTGCAAGAAGTACATGTGCAGCACTCATTGGTGTCGGTGTTATTGTGAAAGAAAAGAAAAAAAGCGAAGTAGAGCCAAAGAGTGGGAGGAATTCGCACACCGGTTATTTCTGGATCCCATTTCATGTGGAGTTTCTGCAATTTTTCCTGATCTTCAGTGCTTCTTGTTTTATCCGGCGTGGTCTTAAGTACGCCAGTCCCGCCCCAATCTCGTGGCTTGAGTAACGATATTTCTAGAACGCACCCTCCTGACCCTGTAGGCAACGAACGCTCGTAGTGACAAGAAGTGGCGCCTAAATTTTCTCTTCCTTGCTGCCGAAGATCCCGTTTTAATTGTAGCTAATAACACTACATATTGGAAATTATCGAATTCAAAATACTAAAGATCATTTATTTTGACACCTTTTATTGCGATGGCTAAAGACGAGGAAATGACGCCAGATTCGGTGCCGCGCGAGGCGGAAAAGAACAAGAATCGTTCTCGAACTACACGCTCGAGCGCGGTTGAGCCTAGTGCTAGTTCCCCGGCATCACTTTCACTCTCCTCCTCATCACCGCCTGTCCTTTATTCGCGTAAACAGCTCGAGACGCTAGTCGCCGAGAACAAGTTTTTCCGTCCTGACTACGTCAACGACCCGATCGGCCGGGGCTGTTCGCGTCTCAGGTTGTTCAATCAGAACTTTCCCGAAGTCATTCTGTTTCGCGACCACCACGCCTGGTGTCCATTCTGTCAGAAGGCCTGGATTTTGCTCGAGGAGCTGCGGATTCCGTATGCCGTGGTGAAAGTGACCATGCACAACTACGGCAAGAAAGAATTCTGGTACACGAAATACGTCTACGCGAAGGGCACTTTTCCCTGTCTGATCGTGCTGAAAAGTAAGCAGCTGCAGGAAAAGGTGTTGCGTGCCAGTTTGGAAGAGGGCGCGGACCGAGAAAGTCTGAAGTCGATGCAGGGTCTGGAAAAAATGCCACGAAAGAGTGCGGACAGCGATGTTGGTACGATCGACACCAGCAGCGGCTTCGCTTTCCAAGCACCTTTGAGGAATAAAAGCGGGGGGGAACAAGCGCAAGAGGAAGAGCAGGGGAAAAGCACCAGAAGACGATCATTGGGCTCCGATAGTGTCGATTCATCTGCGCCGACTACTAAATCCTTCATGGAAACGCTACTTGGTACGGTGTCTTCAGCGACCGGATCTAGTAGTAGTGTGGGCAGAGAGAGTACTAGGCGTAGCCAGCAAGGGGACTACGAGTTGATCAACGACTCCACTCCGGTCATGATCCGCCTGGTCGAGCTGGCGCGGCAGAAAATGCAAGACCAGACGACCCGCACCACAACCACAAGCCCGACACACGACGACGGCGCAAACGACATCCACGACCTATCCGACCCCGCGTGGGACCTGCGGGACAAGCAGACCGCGGCAATTTGCTTCAACTTCATCGAGGGAAAGCTGCTGCACTACTTCTACCGGTGGCTGTCGTGCCAAAACTGCGACTGGAACGACGCCAACGCAAAAGCGATTGAGGCGGAAAACAAACGGCTTTTTTCACAGGTTTGCGAGGAGCTGTCGGGGCTGCTGAAGGTGAATATTAAACTGCGAACCTCACAAACGCAATCAGAATCAAACGGGACGAACACGAAGGTGGGAACGGGCAGAATAAAGCTCAAAACCTTCTCTATTTCGGACTGTGTTTTGCTTCCTTGGTTGGAACGGATCAACTCGCAGTTGTTTTACTACAAGGGATTCGACCTCCGTGCGGAATTCCCGGTCATTGCCGCTTGGTTTGCCAGCATGGAAAAACGGAGCAGCTATCTGATGAGCAAGGGAGATTTCTTCACGCACACGCACGCGATTCCACACCGGATCCGGCCCTGCTTTTTCGACGAGTGGACGGTTGGAAGAACGGAACTGCAAAACTGCTGGCAGGCGGTAGAATGTGGTGGCGGGGCCGCCGCGATTGTTGGCTGTAGAGCTGTGCCCGACGCGTGGGACTCGGAGGTTTGCTTTGAAGGTCCTACCAGTACGACCTTCGACGAAGACAATGGCCGCAGCGAAATTTTGGCGATGCCCTCGACCTCCCAAGAGCAGCAACAACTCCTCAAGTCCGCTTCTTTCGAAGCTGCCTACAGGGTCCTCCGGTTTTGGGACGTTTTGGAAAGCAAAACGGAAAGTGTGAAGATAGTGGAAGACAAAAACGCCTTTGACACAGCGATGCGGTTGGTTGTCATGAGGTTGATCGTATTTGGTGAAAATGATGATGTCGCAAGGAGGAGCTCCAGCGTTCATACGATCTCCACCGTTCCTGTTGAGGAAATTCCGAACCCGGAGCAAGTTCTTTTGGTGATTCAGTACTTCAAGGACCGGATCAGTATACCGCGGGACATGGGGTACTACGCCGGGAAGCGCTTCCGGCAAGTGATGTTTTCACTGATCGAAGAACTTTGTCGACGGCTGAAAAAAGATCCCTTTGACTGTCCGATTCCCATTCCCTATGACAACCGGTACGATGTACGGCCGGATAAGTTTGTTGGAAAACAGCACTATGAAGAAATCCCAAAAGTCTTGCAAGTAGTCTTGTTTCGATGAATTGCATCTTCATGAGCGATGGCACAAATAGAATAGATACGAAGAAATTCCAAATAAAGTATGTTGAAGTTTGCCCAAATTTACTACTGCCGCTGCCCGCTCAGTTTCAAAGCATGACGCGATTTCTTACAGGCACCGACGGCAGAAAAATCAAAAGTTAGAAAACAGTAACTTATCGTTTTGCTAATGTGAATGCTTTCCGTTTCACGTGGTTTCTGAGGAAGTCTGATCACATAGTAGTTTTCGCTTAGAGGTCGTTTCTTTACCTCATTATTGGACGCCATCGACCTTTCAATTGCGTATGTGTGTGTGCAGTAGCAGAGAGCCTGAAATACAATCAACAGCAATCGCGCTCGTGTCGGTAAAACGAGTCGCCCCTCATTCAAACTAAGTTTGTGTTCACGACCACGTGCGTCGTCGTGCATTATTTTGTTTGATCTCCCTACAACACACACTGACTTACTGTAGCACTCACATCCGGCTGCAACATGCGATATCGTTTCCTGGCAAGTGGCACATTTGGTTTGCTGGATGAAGTAAGAGAGCTGTCTGACGTAGTACATGTCATCTGACAGTGACTCTGAGTAAGGTATCGAAACCCAGGCGCATCCTTCTCATCTGTGGCGCACCTTCTGCTTCTTTCTTCTGTAATATGGGGAACTAAACCATGCGTCGGTCAGATGCACAACGGTTCGTAGCTGAGCCGGATGTCACCCTGCTAACTTCCAGCGACGCTAGCTACAAAAACTCAGCGACTGGACGAGCGAGTTTTGCATCTGCTACTCTCAGCAAGAAGAAGTCCGCCGATGATAACAGAGGCGGGGGCAGGGTAGTTGCCGACAATTTTACTGCGGTACAACTAGTAGCAGCTCCAGTGGCCTCGAATTCGATAGATGAAAGCGACGTCCCGCGTGCGCAGTTACTCCGCGCCCTTACAACCGGGGAGTGCGGAAGCCTGTTTCTGGTGCGACGATCGCATTTTCGAGGAGGTGGACGTCGAGGTAGACCACCACGGATGAAAGAAAACGTTCGGAATCGTGATTGGGATCAGGACGATGAGCACCACGAGCTGCAAGTTCTAAAGAAGAAAAAGTACAGCTTTACCGACTTCCACGCAGCTGCACCTTCCTCTTCCTGTCACACCTCGGGGCGGCCATCATCCTCGTGCAACACTCACCGTGATCTCTGCACAGAAATTCAAATCCTGGAACGACTCTCGTCTGCTGCAGCAAATGCCGGGAAACCGAAACAAGTGGCCACATCTTCATCTACTTCTGCGTCCCAGTGTCTTCATCGAGTCGAAACGAGCGGCCACGGCGTCTTGCTGAAGCAACATCCGAATATCGTGAAATACCGTGGTAGTTTTCTACTACCCGAAAGAACTGCAGAGGAACAGCAAGCCGTAGCAGATCCTTTCGGAATTTCTTTAGCGCAACAAAACAAAATCTCTTGGCTTTTCTTCGCGCACGAGCCTGCAGATTTGCAGCAGCTCCTGTACCGCAGGACGAAGCCCTTCCGCGAAGAGTTTGCGCTAGAAGTGTTTGCGCAAGTAGCCAACGCGTTGTGCTTCCTGCACTCGAACAGCTTCGGTTTCCGGATCCAGCACCGAGACGTCAAGTCTGCGAACATCTTGGTCAATTTACCGGAAAACCGAGTCCGGCTGACCGACTTCGGTATTTCGGTGCTGGAAGAACAATTTGGCCGCGGGGGACCATCGCAGGTGCATCGGGCTGATCGGGAGGACGAAGAGCATGAGAAAGGGGAAGCAACGTACCCGGGAGGCGTAGTGATCCGTCGGAACCACCACGATGTGGAAGTACTAGAAGACGAGTCGTCTGGCCCTAGAGCACCTCCACGCTTCGTTGGAGTGGAAAAACTGCAGCGTGCACATGACGAATCTGAAGATCCTGATGTAGACCACAATCACACCAAAGTCGTGTCTGACGACCCCGGCTCTGCAGTCGACGCGGCCATCTCTGCGATTGAGCGCATTGTGTCGCTTTCTGACGAGTTGGAGCTGGATCAAGTCCAAGATGCAGAGCGAGGCTCGTCCGCTGTCTCCGTCGAAGGTTTCAGTTTCTCTCCAACCACTCTGTCCAGGCGAAGGAGCCGGCAAGTCGTCGAATTTGATTACACTGCTGGCGAGAATGAATTTTTACCTTCCGCGACGATCGTCAGAGACGTCGAGGTATCTGGGTGTGCTGATAATTTGGTTCCAGCACGACAAGCGACGGAAACACCCCGCTCCGGCACCTCGAAGCTGCAGCTGGAAGCTACGTTTACCCACATCCCGCCCGAAGTGCTGGAGAAGGGGAACAGTGGGTGGAGTGTGAAGAGCGACGTGTACCAACTCGGACTGACCTTGTACGAAATGTGCGCCTTAAAGTTGCCGTACGATTTTCATTCCACCACACAGGAACAGGCATCTCCATCTGAACAGATGAAAGAGGCTCACTCAACGTCGGCGTCTCCTGGTCAACAGCAACATGCGAGGAGCCAGCAAAAAAATCATGCCAATAATCCTGTCGGCATGAATCTTGGCGCCTTGACGCTGAGGATCGCCTCTGGAGTTTACGAACCCCTTTGCAAAGATTCCTACTCGGACCGAGTGCATTACGTTGTGCGTCGATTGCTGAAGAGGACACCGACAAAACGGCCCAGCGCAACCGAAATTATGCGCTGGATGAAGCGAGAGGAAAGGCCATATGAAGAAGACGCGTTGCACCTTCCAGAATCAGGGACTGAGATGGAAAATGCACTTGGTGAGCCAGCATTTTTACGAGGACCGTTGAGAATACACAAAGAAGAAATGACAGCACTTTTGCAGTGCGAGGAGCTGACAACATGAGGAAGAGATCGCTATACCATTTGGGTCCTGCACGAAGGGAAGTCGTGATGTTGTTCTTGATTATGTGTTGATCTGTCGTTATCGTCTAATGATGGCGTGGTCGCCGGGTGCTTTTGAGCGATTATGTGGCATTCAATGTTTTTCGCACTCGCTTGCTTTTTTTTGTGATCTTTCACGGGAAAAAAAAACAATCAAGTGACTACAACTGCTCATGAGACGATGTCAATCTTTCAGGATCTGCTTCGAAATTGGTGGCTCAGAAGTCGGAGATCCTGCAGACATTTCCTGAAATTAAGATCGAGAAATAAAAGCGCATTTTGGCATGAACATCGGGCGGAACCGCGTCTCCACCCCGCCGTGTGTGAACAAATAAATCAGGTTCGTCCACCCCGCGACGCAGATGTCGCATCTGTTCTACAATCCAGCTTCAGCAGGAGCGGGAGACGCGTTTGTGCTCAGAGAAGACAGTTCCACCGAGTTGGTCTCTGTGGCTGTCTGCTCGTTTGGCAACATGTTTTTCTCGGTTTGCCGACGTGGTTTCGTCCATTCGATGTTTCCGGCCCGAGGAATGAATACGAACATGGCACCACTGAATCAGAAACATGTTCGGCAACGAGACAAAACTCGACATCTGATTGCAGATGCCGTGGTGCCGGCACGAGAAAAGCTGCAGCTACAACAACTCCCGAAGCAGGGCAGAATAGAGGTCGTCCGAGCTGCTCGAGGGAAAGCAGCGCCAGTGCTCTTCTTGAGACGGGGGACAAGGTCACGAAACAGTGCGATTCACACACCAGCACCAGGAGGGTCCAGACCACAGCAGCCTTCGCACTTGCACAGAGTGTCGTCGAGCCGTCGCAGTCCCTACCCCCTAGTACAGCGGAAGACTTATCTTCGCAAAACCTTCTTGACGACAGGAAAACCGACACGCCGAAATACCAGCACAATATTCCGAAGGTCTTTCTGCAGATCTCCCCCTCCTCGGAGGGATACATCTACAAATACCACGTGAAGCGCCGGCTCTCCAAAGACTGGAAGTACGTCCACTGGAACGACCGGAAATGCCTAGAATTTATTGTCAAAACCCCGGTCCCCGGGCTCTTCGAAAACGCGCGCAAGGAGGCGAGTTTGCTGGACTTCCCGTCGATGGAGGAAAAGTACGGCGTTGCCGGCGTGAACGACTACAAAGCCAGTCGGCTGTATCAGCTCGTGCAGTTTTTCTTGCGGGAAAAATTCATTCAGGGAGCGCATGGGGCCGACTTCTGCCGGATGTACTTCTTGTACATACTATCCACACGAAATCATGCACTGTACACTTACACCAAATGCTAGCTAAGTTGAGTGCTGTAGTATCACAAAATTTTTCTAAATCACATTCGGCATGAGGAGGTGAGGTTGCGCCATTAGGTAGGGAGGTCTTGACAAAATTTTGATTGCGTGCTGTGTCTGTGCGGTGAATTTGGATTTTTGCAATTGCACACATACACGGCGGGGTTTACATGGACGTGGACATGATGCTGTACAAAAATATTGATGAACTCATTGCCGCTAGTTCTTCAATATCCTGTGCAAAAGTATCGCACTCGTACTAATTGCAAACATGCACGACAAATCTTCTTCCCAAGGTAAAACAGCATTACAAATTCGACTTCTCTTCTTGCCAAACTTTGTGATGCAATCTATACTAGTACGATACTTTTGCAATGCATATTCAACATCCACGAACTCGGGGAACCAGCACTCACCAGAAGCAGCAGAACGACCTGCCCCGCCGCCGGCGCCCCCGTCCCTCGTAGTTCTGGACGCCTACCGACCGAACAACCGACTGACCGACAACTTGTTTCGTCCAGCAGGAGTGATGAAGAAGAAAATGCTGGCAAATTATGACGAGTCTGGTGCAACGTCCGCTTCGGATCATGTTGAATCAAACGATTTGCTTTCCGCTTCCAAAACTACACGACCAGATGCCGTGATCAGCAAGCAAGAAACGGAATACACCGGTGTCCAGAAGATTTTCTCCAAGGTATACGAGAAAAGCTTGCGGGCAAAAATAAAAGCGCAAGTGGCTCCTGGCGCGGACGTGGTCCTCTCCGATGAAGACTCAGGCGAAAGAATAGAAACTGTAGAGACGTCAGATACAACTTCTACGGCACCAGGTGGTCCAGCAGTTATACACCGTGCAGCAACCTCCACAAGAGGAAGATCAACCGCCGGCGAATCCGATGTAGGTGTAGATCATGAGATGACGACGTATTCCAACCTGGCGCGGTCGCTTTTCGAGATCAAAGTGGAAGACTGCGAAAAGAATCAGCAAACCAGTTTCCTCGCTTTCAAGCCCTTCTTTCCGCCCTTGTTTTGGCTGTATTTCCGGAAGCTATTGGTCGAATTTCTGAACGAGAACCCGGAGGAAGAGGTTTTGTTCTGTCTCCCACAGGCGATTCTGGAAAGGATGAGACGAGACGGGGTTAGTTACCACGAAAACCACTTTTACGGCAGTAATACCAACTATGAGGAGGAGGGGGAGGCGGAAGCGCAAGAGAAACAAGACGAGCCTACTGCTACTGGTACTTCAAGGATATTGGCAGATGATGACCAAGACCCTCTGCTTCCAGATGGGACCTCGTCCGCGCCGCTTGACATGAGTCGAATATCCCACCTGTATGGCGGCCAGGGCAACATAGTGAAACTGCGGATGTCCTTCGGTTTGCAAGGCGACAGAGATGCGGACTTACCGGACCGAGACTTCTTCAAAAAACACCTGCCCTGCACGGCGGAAAAGACGAACGGATTCAACATGACGGGATTGACGGGATTTTGCCGGAACAACGAGGATCTTCACAGTACCAGACCGACTGCTTCTGCAGAAGACGGCGCACTATTACGACAAGACGAGGAACTACAGCAAGAAACGAATACACGCAAGAATCCCCCAGCAGAGAATAACCCCGATTTCAACGTGAAGCGCAATCGTTTTTTGTCTGTTTCAACCAGGACAAGCAGCTCGCTGATGCGACGGAACGCCACGAGACATCAAGGCCGCAGCTCGACATTATCATCTTCGCAGCCTGCCGCTGCAGAGCTGCAAACCTTCACGACCACGTCGATTTTCGAAAGTCCCTTGTGGCGGCGGAATTTTCCCGACGTGACCAACGCGACGCTGATTGACCTGGGCTTCATCGCCGTTGTCCCAAGACACCCCGTGATTCTGGAAGTTTTGCAAGACCTGTACCGCACGCGGAGATCGGTGTTAGAAGATGTATGGGACGACGTGTGCACACACAACCTGTTCTTCATGTCCCTCGTTCTCTAGCTCTATGTGTACGTCTACGACTACGTTCGGACACGCAGGGAGGATCAGCAATAAAGCTGGCACTACAGTGATATCAAGAACTAGCTGGCCTAGGCTTTGTATGAGAAATCCAAACGCACGAATCTTAGTGTCGCCTGCGGTGCTGCAAAAGCTTGGTCTTGGCAACATGCAAGGAGGTTTAGTGTTGAGATATGTTGGTAATGGCTGCGCCACTTGCGTCCCTCCATGAGAAATGAAGGATAGGAACGGGACGTCGAGTTGTGCACTCTCATATGGTCCGTCGAAGAATTACTGGGTATTCTGCACGAGAATGTGGCACAGCGTGCAGAAATTTCAGAGGATGACGGCTTTGGCTGCGTTGCCGCGCAGCAACAGCAATGGCGGATTGATGGAGATCACATCGCATGAGCAGGACAACCGGACGCTACAGACTTCCCTTCCGCGTGTAACTCCAGCAGCACGAGAAGAAAACCGTCATCTGCACCTCCCACAAGCTTGGCACGAAGAGGAGATGCTGGACCAAGATTCGGATATTCCGTGAAAATTAACCAACAACTCCGTTCAATTTGTCATGCAAAACATTGATTAGTGTAACCTCAAGTCTTAGTTTTGTCATGCGAAAACTGGATGGAACAAACGGAAGAAATTTTCAGTGAATATCGGAGTTGGATTTGAAATACACCCGACGGAACAATTATGTCGTCGACGATGTGCCAGTGTATCTGTTGAACCTTCGTTTCAAGAACCTGAACAAAATCGACTACATTTTCAACCCTCAGTGGGCAACCGTGCCCGACCTGGCCGTGATACCGGAGAAGCGAAAGTCGACACTGATCACCAACGCGTTGTCCATTGAGGAAATGAAGGAGCGCCAGGAGCGGGCACGGGAACTGCAGAGACTGGAGGAAGAGGAACAAAACCAAAACGCGGCGAAGCAAAGCCGTTCCTCTAGCGCTGGTGCAGCGGGGGAAAGACTCGTAGAGCCTCTAGATGTGGACGATGAAGAAACTACCCTGGCTGCTTACCAGGCAGGTGAAAGAAAAACCAGCATCGGCAGTGCGATGCGGAAGATGTTGCGAGCCGCTTCACCTCTACTGACCTCTAGTACCAGTGACGCTAATGATCTACCATTGCATCTGCTCCGAGCTACTACGGGCGACAACATCCCAGACCACGTTCCCTCACACCAGCATGACATTCTGTCCTACAGCCAGCATTTAGAGCAGCTGAAGCGCGTCTACGGCCCGGCGTCCGCGGTGAGCATCAAGGTGCTCAAGATGCGCGAGGTGAATACTGTGAACTGCGGTAGTGAGGTGCTGAGTCCGACGATTGGGGCAATTTTCGGTAGGAATTGCAACACGTATTTTGTCGAACAAGAAGATGACGACCTTGATGACCCTCGATCAGAACAAATAAATGGTCGCGATGACGAGGCTCCCGTGCGCCAAGTAGGCGTCAAGAAGACGGAAGTCGCTGTGCTGAAGCATTTCCACCGCACGAAAGTCCTTCCCGAGCATGAGCTGAAACTTCCGGTTACGGATGTTTTTGCCTATCCGTGGACCAATCGGTCCTTGTTTGAGAGGGAAACCACACTGTTGCATGGATAAACTATTTCTACTAGATGTGGTCGTCAGAGGGGAGGCGATAGAAGCACCATATTTTGCACCTGTGTGCAAGGTTTGTCGTTGAAATATACCAGCAAGAGAGTAATTACGCATCCATTTGGAGGTTCTCGTCGTGGTGGAGCCTGCGAGTACTCTAGTGAAAGCAATGGAACAGCAGCCGACAGGGCACAAAAAACCGCAATAATGTGTCCCTGTTGGTGTCAAATTTCTTTGTTTATCCGTATCAATCATAATTTTCACGCTCGCTTCGCAAGTAGTTCCTGGCGTCGGAGAATTGGAAGTGTTGAGCATGTTGCTCGCAGTAGTTCTTGTGTCCTCCCCTCGTCGTTCGGGTCGTTTCTCGGGTCGTCTCAAGTGTAAGTTTAGTTCTACTTCCACTAAGAGGGTGCTCCTCCATTGAATCGTAATCAAGGGAGTAAGGCTGATCTTCATCGTGATCGTGTTGACAAAATTAATATTAAAATACTTAGAAATAAATAGACTCGTCGTGTGGAGCCAATAGTTCGTCGACTGGTGGTGCTCGTGGTCGTCAGTCATCGTCATCGACATAAAAATATCGGGGCTTCGTTTAGGTTTCAATCGATGATCGTCGAAAAAAGAAGGGACAAATTTCTGTATAAAAACGGAATTTTATGCTGTAGTTTTCAAACTTCGAAAAGACGTCGAAAAAGAAAGGTTAAGGCGGATGAACTACTGTAGTACTGCTGCAGTACTTCTACTTCTTTAGTACATCCCCCATTCCGACAGACTACTAAAACTTCATGCATTTTGTAATGCAGCTGATGAACCACCTGGTGCAGGGCCCGGTCATTGCTTACCAAAACTTGTTTGAAGATGAAGTAATAGCACTACACAACGTAGGCTTAGCTGGTTCTTTCTTGACAATTTCTAGTTCTGTTGCAAACAACTATGCGCATCATGCCGGGCGTGCATAATTCCACCTCGTCGTCGTCTCGCGCCGCGAAAGGCTTCGGAAACAGGGCCGCCGCGCGTTCTTGCGGTAATATCAACCGTGCGGGCCGTGTCGCTGTGTTGCTGTTGACCGGAACGACGAACAACCTCGGAACTGCATACGAACAGAAGAAGAAAAGGAAGAACACAAACACCGAGTCGGGGGGTGTGGTGGACAGCGTGAAGAAACAGGCGAGGGAGATCGACACCAAGATCGGCGCTTCTAAAAAGATGAAGGAAGCTTCCGAAAGCATCAAGAGGTTCGACGAACGAAACCTCGGTATTGCCAAACGAATGAAGGAGTGGCAGAAAAAGATGCCTACCTTGCAGTGGCCTACGAAGGAGGGCATGGGTAAGAGGATCCAAGAGGCGAAGACGAAGATCCAAAACTGGGGGAAACAGGTCAGGAACATCGATGTGAGAAAAACGATCGCGAGTTGGAAGGAGCGGGCAAAAGGCATATGATGTGTAAATATGTCTGGGTCAAGACAAACAGCGCGGCTGTTTGTCAACCAGCTTTTCTTGGATCAAAGTCAATCACATGGTCTTGAAAAGCATCACAGGCTTTGCGAATGCTTTTGCTGGTCTTGTCCTTGTGCAATACCCGTTTTTTCGCATCATGACATGCATCCTAGCAAGAAGTAGAGTATCGCAACTTCTTCTTTAATTTAGCGTGGGGGGTCAGGCACCTCATTGCACTCATTTTTTTTGTTCTGCATGGTCCTGACGCAACAAGCATCGCAAATGTGAATCTTTTGCTTTCGAGATGACGCAGACACAACTTTTGCAATGCATAGAGCCTGAACCTCAAGTCGTTGAGCGATGGGATGCGTGCTCTGAAGGACAAGGTCACAAACATGAAGTTTCCCGGTTGGCCCAGCACGACCACGTCCAGCGGTACTACGATCTACTTGCTTCATGGTAATTCTTCATCGGTCTTTCTATCGAATTGTCGATGTTTAGACTGAAATTTTTGTTGGTGAACGAATCACTCGAGAAATAAGATCAGAAGATGAGAGTATTGCAGAAGGATAGACAAGAACTTCTTACGCGAAAGAACAACTCATTGATAACCTCACATACAGCGAGCGGATCATCCACATCCTCCGTGCATCGCCGCACGGGCGGCAACGTCAGAGGCAGCAAGAAGAAGCGCGGCGGCTCCCGCTCGTCGTAGCGCGGCTCGAACCTCCGCTCCAAAAATCTACCTGCTTTTCTTCGAGGATTTATTTCGTAGAACAATGTACTTTTTGTTTTTGTTTTTCAGACAAACATGAAATTGACGACCCGGAAAGTAGTTGCGACTACAACTTCAATATAAGCATCTTCGTGATCATTCGGGAAGGTCTTGATCTCGTTTGAATCGTGACAAAAACGGAATCAACCATAGCCCGTTGTACAATAACATAGCTTGAACAAGACGGTCCCACTGTTCATCAAGGTTCTGCTACAAGGCCGCAGCTTATGTCGCGTAGTGGGAGGGTGAACGAGTGGACAGGGGGGAAAGAAAAACGCCAGAGGGTGGGCAAGGGAAAAAATTTTTGATGCAGGGCGGGGCCAGGCATCTGCGCCGCTTCTTGCTGCCAGAACGTAGGCGGGGCGCCATGGCGCCCGTGGCTCCAGTCTCTGCGCGAGCGCGAGGACCTCACCCGCATGGGCGTGCATTTGCGTGGCGGCAAGTTTTAGGCCCAAGCAACGAACAACGCAAAGCGCGGTAGCGGGCGGGCGCCAGTGGGCGGGCGGAGGAAGCAGGGGAACAGTCCGCGCCATGCGAGGCGTTGGCGCGTGACGCCATGCCCGCGCGTTTGCGGCGTGGCCCGTTCGCGCCGCCTGCCTTTGCGCCCCGGTTGTCCCTGCGCGCCTTGGTGCCCCCCGCGCCCTTCCCCCGCGCGCAGCCTCGCAGAGCGGGGGGCCCTGCCGCGCGCGTGGATGGAGGCAGCACGGGCGCCGGGGCGGGGCACCCCCCAGGCGCAGGGGCCCACCACCCTTCCCCAGCACCCCCGGACAACAGCGGCGCCCCCCGCGTTAGCCCGCATGCAGTAATCTGCTCCGCCCCCGCCTGCTAGCCTCGCGCGCACCCACCGCCCAAGACAGAGGCGGCGGACGGTGGCGCCCTCTGCCGGCCTCCGCGTGAGGTGGCGCCCTCTGCCGGCCTCCTCGTTTGGAGTGAGCGGAAGGAGGGCGCCGGGGGAGGGTGGTGGGCAGCTGCCCGCCTGCAAACCTGGTGCCGGGGCGCGGCTTTCCCTTCGCGAACAGAGGGGGGGCGTCGGGGGAGGGTGGTGGGCAGCTGCTCGCCTGGGGCTTGGCCGCCGGCGGCGTTACCCGTGCCCCCCGCCTTCTTTGCGCCCCCCGCCCGCCCGTGTTTCCATCCCGTTATCCCCGTGTTTCCCGGTTCGCCGTGCTTCCCGCTTTCCCCGTGCTTCCCGCCTTCCCCGTTCTCCCCGCCGTCCCCGTGCCTCCCGCCCTTCTCGTGCTTCCCTCTTTCCCCGTGTTTCCCTCTTTCCCCGTGCTTCCCGTTTTCCCTATGCTTCCCGCTTTCGCCGTTCTTCCCGTCTTCCCCGTTCTTCCCGCCTTCCCCGTGCCCCCCGCGCGCCTTTCTCGTGCTTCCCGCTTTTCCCGTGCTCCCCGCTTTCCTCGTGTTTCCCGCCTTCCCTATGCTCCCCGCCTTCCCTATGCTTCCCGCCTTCCCTATGCTTCCCGCTTTCCCCGTGCTTCCCGCTTTCCCTATGCTTCCCGCCTTCCCTGTGCTTCCCGTCTTCCCTATGCTTCCCGCTTTCCCCGTGCTTCCCGCTTCCCGCGTGCCCCCCGCTTTCCCCGTGTCTCCCGCCTCCGCCGTGCTTCCCGCTTTCCCCTGGCTTGCCGTTTTCCCCGTGCTTCCCGCTTTCCCCGTGCTGCCCGCTTTCCCCGTGTTTCCCGCTTTTTACCGCTTTCCCCGTGCTTCCCGTTTTCCCCGTGCTTCCCGCTTTCTCCGTGAATGCTTCCCGCTTTCTCCGTGAGTGCTTCCCGCTTTCCCCGTGCTTCCCGCTTTCCCCGTGCTTCCCGCTTTCCCCGTGCTTCCCGCTTTCCCCGTGCTTCCCGCTTTCCCCGTGCTTCCCGCTTTCCCCCTGCTTCCCGATTGCGAAAGATTTTGGGGATTGCAAAGCGTTTCGGGGATTGCGAAATATTTTGGGGAGTGCAAAATATTTTGGGGCTTGCAAAATATTTTGGGGGTTGCAAAATATCTTGGGGATGGCAAAACATTTTGGGGATTGCAAAATATTTCCGGGACTGCAAAATATTTCGGGGATTGCAAAATATTTCAGGGATTGCAAAATATTGCGGGGAGTGCAAAATATTTCGGGGATTGCAAAATATTTCGGGGATTGCAAAAAATTTCGGGGATTGCAAAACATTCCGGGGATTGCAAAATATTTCGGGGATTGCCAAATGTTGGCCGTTGGCCGTTTGCGATTTAGCCCTTTGCGATTTGGGCGTTTGCGATTTGGCCGTTTGCGATTTGGCCGTTGGCCGTTTCCGATTTGGCCGCTGGCCGTTTGCGATTTGGCCGTAGGCCGTTTGCGATTTGGCCGTAGGCCGTTTGCGATTTGGCCGTTTGCGATTTGGCCGTTGGCCGTTTGCGATTGGGCCGTGGCCGTTTGCGATTTGGCCGGTTGCGATTTGGCCGTTGGCCGTTTGCGATTGGGCCGTTGGCCGTTGGCCGTTTGCGATTTGGCCGTTTGCCGTTTGCCGTTTGCCGTTTGCCGTTTGCCGTTTGCCGTTTGCGATTTGGCCGTTGGCCGTTTGCGATTTGGCCGTTGGCCGTTTGCGATTTGGCCGTTTGCGATTTGGCCGTTGGCCGTTTGCGATTTGGCCGTTGGCCGTTTGCGATTTGGCCGTTGGCCGTTGGCCGTTTGCGATTTCCCCTCTGACCGTTTGCGATTTGGCCGCTGGCCGTTGTCCGTTTGCGATTTGGCCGTTTGCGGTTTGGCCGGACGGTTGCCGTTGGCCGTTGGGCGGTGAGCGATTTCGCAAATCGCGACAACTTTAGAAAGTTTGAAAAGCGTGAAAAACTTTTCGGCGAAGGCGATTTTCCTCCCTGTTGCAAAATTTTAACTTGCGCAGCTCAGCAATAGGAGTTATAGTTTTCTGCTGACAGTGCAGCACCACCAGAATTAGATACCACGTCAAGCAGTCGGGCACCAGCACTTTCGTACTAGTAACTCTTCTTCAACGCAGTTATTCAGACGTGCCAACGACTTCACAGCAATCCTGTAAACTTGACATTGTCACTCTTCTGTTTTTGATATTCCTGTAAATTAAAGCTCAAGTCCTCGCGGAAGAACTTGAATTCGATTTTAGAATGGAGATTTGTTTAGATTGATTTGGCGGATTCGTTGCTTGTCGGAAGAAGATGATAAAAAATGTATATGTTGAGCATGCGAAGTCAGCAATGGTGTTGATGCGTTTTGCCGTTGTTGTGATTCTAGTGGACCAGGACATTGTTCCTGCAGGACGTCGGTGGTCACATGGCAGTGAAAAATCCTGTCGTGAGCAGCCATTTGATGCTGAATATCTTGGTCGCATTTTGGTGTTCGTAGCGCGTCTAATTCTCCGTCGTATCTGCTATCGTGCTAGTTGCATGTGCATGAGCATGCCCAAGCATATGTATAGTACAACGAGAGCCGTTGTTTCTTTCTGTTGTCCTCTCTGTTTGTGATTGTCCCCGACCGATAAAATTCATCCTATAGCACGCTGCAAGATGAATATGAAGCCTGATCTATAGTTCGTTTTCCGCAAGCACCGTGGCTTTGTGGTTTCACAAAATGATCCCTTTACGAAGAGGAGTCAAAGTTCTTTTTTCGACCATGCTGCACGTAATTTTTGTACTCTTTTATTACCATAGTTCGAAGAACAGGAATGTGGACGCAGAGCAACTGATTTCCACATGGTTTTTTGCTCGATTCTTCAAAGATCACACGTATCATGTTTGCTTTGCATGAAGAAGTTGCCAAGATCTATTTCTTGATGTTGATCATCCTGTATTAAACAAGCGGCTGCGCTCGTTGTGACATCACACGGTGAAACGACTTTCTTCATTCCGGACCGTTCCTATTCAGGAGTTTCAGTGTGTGACGATGAAACTAAAGACAGTAGACCTCAAACAGAAACACAAATTCTCTCTGGACCCCTTTTAAACTACGAAAGTAAGTACGCGGAAGAACCGCGTCTTTACTTTCTGTACGGCCTTAGCCTTATCAAGAAGTAAAGCGTTGGTAAAAAAAATATTGAGCAAAGAAAAAAGCACGAGAAGCATGAAAATAAAAATTGCAGAATCAATAAACCTCCGCAATCAATAATACCCCAGAAGAACATGACGGATGATGTGCGGACATTCACAACCACACTCGTCTCACGTCGCGGATTCGCAGTGGCAGCGGCGGTGAAGCCGGCCTAGATGGAGATGACCCCGAGCTCACGTTGGAATACGGCACAAGTGTAGAGCCATTGAGATGGTAAAAAAGCCCTCCGTGCTCCGTAATTCTTGACGTCTTGTCTCTGCACGTTGACCGCGTCCATTTGATCTGCGCCGCATCAGTACGCTCCTCCGGTATCAAAAGTGCTCAGGTACAACTTCTACCTCCAGGCACGACACCGCCCCATCTGTGCTGCCGATGAACGATCATGATTTATTCTTTCCAGACGCCACACGACCAAGATGAACCACGCCGCCAATTAAAGAAACTCAAGACGCCGGTCCCCACCAGTAGTACAACATGATGCGCAGCACTTAACTACCTCTGTTAAGAAAGTAGCAGTTCGTAAAAATAACAAAAACTCCTTTTAATACGACCCACGCCTCAACCTAATATCCTGTTCATCCTCGCGGCCCACCATGCAAGACCGAAACTACCCGGAGAATGCTCCCGGGGGTGGAGGTTCATCCCCGTCCGCCAGAGCCCACCCGGGCGACAAGGAGAAACAAGACGACGGTCCTCATCAAGACGGTAGCGGAACATCAACTCAGACGACCCTGCTTCGGCACACAGCACACCACGTCCAGGACCCGAGCCTCGCCCAGCGCGGATTTCTCTCGGCGGAGCTGCTAGTGCAGAGTGTGGAGATTCTCGGGGAAGCGAATGTCAACCTCGAGGTGGTTCGCCGACGCAAAAAGGCTTACGTTTTGGCGCGCGAGAAAAAGCGACTCCAGTACAACAGTACTAAAGCAGGCACAACTAACAAGCACCCGGGCAATAAAAGCTCGTCGTCGAGGAAAAAGAGCGAAACCAATGCAGCAGGCGGCAACGAGCAAGCTGGTGCTGACAAACAAAATGATTCGTCGAAAAACAGAGATCCAAAGCCGAAGACCAAAGATCAACGGTCGCAGTCCGACAACGTGTCCGCGGGGGTGCGGGGCGCGCGGTCCGACGTGAACGCCAATACGGCGCAAACTGGCGGCGGCAGTCGGGGGCTGTTCGAAAGCTTTACTTCCTCCGGGGGCACCCACCTGCCGCGACTGCCCACCTGGCAGACACAAATGGACCAGCAGCAGCAATTGCCACCAGATGTTCTTGTTGGTGGTGCAGCTGCCCCTGGCGGCGGAGCAAATGCAGGAGGTGGAGCTAGTAGTAGCTCGTCCAGTATTAACTCGGGGACAAGTTCATCTGGACAGGTGGGCCTACACCAACAGGAGACCACAGCAAGTGGACTACTTGCAGCGGGGATCAACGCGAGTGCCGCTGCCGGGGCGTCGAGCGGTGCCTCTTCTGGCAGTGCCGGAGGACAAGGGTCCTCGTCTTCCTCAGCATCATCCTCTGCGAACAACGGCTTCCCCGGTGCAAATCTTCACCCTGCTCCAGGCAGCCCAGTGATTGAGTCAGGATTCTCGTCAGGTACTAGTGCCAGCTCGAGCGGAATAATTCCACCAATTACTAGTGGTCCAACTCCAAGTGGAGCAGGGGCTTCAACCTCCGCGACCGGCTTACAACAATTACCGGGAAGCACACCAGCAGCTGGCGGCACAGTGGGCAGCTCCACGACGAGCCATGAAGTGTATAATCCCGGCGGAGGACTTGTAGGTGGAACTACACCCGGTAGTGCGACTGCTGGGGGCGGCGGTACGACAAGTGGTGCAACGCATGGCACTGGCACTGCTGGGTGGTCGCCAGGATTCAATCCTCCGTCATCGTCAACATCTGCCGACAATGCTAACACTAACGCAGCCTGGAACATCAATCAGAATCCACCTAGCTTCAACGCTGCCGGACCGGGGACGTTCGACTTGGCGCAGACACCAATGACTACACCGGGCGGGGCGGGGGACCCGTCTGGATTTCAGCCGGCTGCTGAATCTGGGGTAATATATTAGATACGGCCGGCAGTTTTTTCTGCATTGTATTTTCTGTGCTTCGAGTTCGATCATGTACGGTCTTCGCAGTTCTATGTTTCAAGAAACTTGTTGCTATCAACTTCATAGCTATACTTAACTTTGTTGACCTCCAACACCAGGTGAGCGGCGACTCTTCCACCACCAGGGACTTCTTTGACATTTTCGGCGTGCCGCCCGATGACGGACACCTGCCGCCTCCTGGGGCCCCCGCCGCTGGTGCACCACCGGGCACGTCTACAGCGCAGGTGTTTCAAACCTCGCACGTCATGAACGAGAGCGACTTCCAGAATTTCTTGCAGTCCATGTCCAATCTACAGAATACTGCAGGCGGGACAACGACAATGCCAGGCCCGGATGGAGCCCCTTTCTTTCTCGGCCCGCCCGGCGCCGGCGGCATGATCCCCCCTCCGACCACCACCATGCCGGGAGGAGGAGCTCCAGCTCCAGTGGGCGGACCGCCAGCACCTGGGGGTGCTCCAGCGGGCCGCGGGATTTTCGCGGAGCCGGCGGGCCAGGGTAACAACAACAACAACATGACGTCGGACGACCCAGAATTGATGGCGATGCTGGATGAGCAGTTCGCGGACATCGCCAGGGGACCGATGGGTCGAGGACTTGGCATTACGACAGGACCACCGGGTGCTGCCGGCGAGGCTGGTGAACTTAATATCCCGCCCCAGGCACAGGCGTTTTTCGACCTTATCCGTCAAGAAGTGCCAAACCTTGCCCGAGGAATTTTCCACCCGGCGTTCGCGCCTCGAACGGATGTTGTCCCTGCCATGTTGCCGCCCACCGGTGCCGCGAATAACGCCACCGCCGGCCTGGGAAATGTAATCTTCGGTGGAACGCTGCCGCCGGGAGGAGCAGGTGGAGCCGGAGGCGGACCTCCAGGACCACAACTGCCCCCAGGCACTATGCAAGTCGGCCCGACGCAAACCTACCAAATCAGTGGGCAGGGCCAGACGATTCAGGAATCGATCGCGTCGTTGCAGGAGCAACTAGCGGCGCGCGGGCTGCCGTTGCCGCCGGAGTTTATGGCGGGCGCAGCAGCGGTGCCGCTGCCCCCGGGCGCGATGATGATGGGCGGGGGAGCCGCTCCTGGAGGTGGACCTCGTGGTCCGGACGATAATTATGCCGACGACTACAATTACCCGTGGGAGGCAAACATTCCGGAGGGCGGCGGAGTCAACACGCAGGTCAACTTTCAGGTGGTGGTGGCTCAGCAAGTCGTGAATAACGGTGCGGGTGGCACGGGTACTGCCTTTCATCCGGGCAGCAGCGGTCTGCAGTCCGGCACGACGGAATTCAACGAGGTTACAGAGTTTCCAGAAATCGAGATTGATGACAGCGCGATAGGAGGCAGTGGAGCTTCTATTCATCATGATCATCCTGGTGGCACTAATAATCTGCTCGAAGAGCTGCAAGTGGCTGATGGGGGCACGGCAACAAGTGCTGGTGCTTCTAGAAACGCACGACCTGCAGGAGCATCTTCGTCCTCGTCTGCAGGTGTAGTTTTTCCAGCTGTTTCTGCGTCCGCCCCACAAGAAGTGATTGGTTACTCAGCCACAAGCTCTTCCTCTTCCTCGTCCAGTGCGCCGCGAAACGTAATAAATCATCCAGCAGAAACTGCAACTTCCACATTTATTCAAGGACCCTCGGCAGGAGCGAGCAGTAGCAGCAGACCAGCCGTCAATGAGATGAACCAGAACACGACTACTAGCAGCAGAAGAGAAAGAAACAGGAAAAGTGCGGCCAGTTCATCTTCATCTGCTTCGCACAATAAGATCAAGAAGAGCTCGGAGAAGAAAAAAAAGCGAGTGGTGGTTACCGCAACATCCGGGGGCTCGCCCGATGACGGCGGTGGAGATGACGATGACGACGACGATGGCTTATGCCTTGGACGGTCGTTAGCGTACAGAAGGGTGAATTTGCAGTGAATTTGTATTGCATGACTTGCATTTACTTAAAAGAGAAGTGCGCTACGTATGGACGCGAGCCCAAGCATCCCACATAGCGTGAAGGGCTGCTCGTCGCGTGGTGGCGCTTGCAGCACCGAAAGAGGTGGTCTTGCGGAGGCTCACCGGGCTGTGTAGTGCGTATGTAACCAAAGAAGGTGGATCGGGTGGCTCTTACTCTTCTGCGCGTCTGCCTGAGAAGTTCCTCTCTGGAATTGTCGAAAGGGAGGGCGACGCCTGAACACAGGGGCACTACTTAGTTCAACATGTATGCTCTCACGAGTTGTGGTTGGCTCGGCTTGGACTTGGATATCTGGGAGCAGCCTCGGGTGGAAGGGGAGGCACGATTCGGCCGCGGACGCTAGCTTGCTTCGCCTGCTGTGCTCTGCTCACAACTCCCCACGTGTCTTTTTGCCTCTGGAGCGAGGCCTTTTCGACGTGACCCCCAGGTCAGGAATTCTCGTGCTCAAAAAAGTGCACAGGTAGGCCCTGGGGAGTGGGGCCGAGGGGAAAAGACAAGCGCCCTCTGTTGCCCTCAGCCCGTCTATATTCTGCCGAAAAGGCCTGGAGGGTTCACGCGCCTGCCGGATAGAGGCGGCAAAGCTAATTACATGTGCTTCGCAGCACTTTCTTTTTGGCGTCTTTGCCGCGGCTGCTGCAGTGCTCTTATGCGAGCACGGGGAGGCGCAAAAATGGCCCAAAGAACACGAACGCCCAGGCTATGTCTAGCTGCCCGCCGCATAAGCCGCGACTTCTGGCGCAGCGTGCAGAACCTACGTCCCAGAAGACCAAGAGGGACAACGCATCTGCAGTCTACTCTGCTATTTGTCATGCAAAATTCACTAAAGATTCACCACGCCTCATGCTAACGCGTGTTAAAGCTCTAACCGATGGCGGCGGTGGAGATGACGATGACGACGACAGTATCATTTGTAAAAACGTCCCCACCCCAGAGTTGTAATGCAAATCTGCATGCTGAAAATGTTTCTCATGCGGAGACCCATGAGAAGCAGTCTCTAGTCGTGTTGTGGGATTTGTGATGCTAGAATCAGCATGATATGCTAGAACTGTGATGCTGCTGAACAAGCTAAACAGGATTACACTGCGAGGCCAAACTTGTCATGCGCAACAGCAAAAGCTGACAGATTTGTTTAGCAGATTTCCCAGCTTGACTCTGGTGTGGGGACGTTTTTACTCAGGATAGACAGCGATTCCGATGGCTCGAAGAATTCTTTCCCTGGAGACGACGATCTTCATGGGTCGGAAGACGAGGGGTCTGTTTATTCCGACGACAATGAGGACAGAAATAACGATCGTACGAGTAAAAGCAGCCGGTCCAAGGCGTCGAAGTCCAGCTCAAAGGTCAGCTCCAGTGAGGAGCGCAGCGGCAGCTCTGCGAGTGGTCTAAGTGCCCAGAAGAGCAGTGATCCGCTTTTCCAAGAACAAGATGATAATCCGATATTAGAAGAAGAACAGCCGTCGGGGCGGGCCGGTGATCTTCCCAGTGGCGGCTTGTTTGCTGACAAAAATGTTGCTGAGATGTTAACATTTAGCGAGAACAAAGCGGATTGGGTACAAGAGCAAAAAGCGCGAGTGAAGGCAGAGAAAGAAAAGCAGGCGGCGCTCTTAGAGGAACGGCGAGCACGTGCGGCAAGACAAGCGGCAAAGGCGAAGAAGATTCTGCAAAAAGCGGTTTCCACGCCGGACGATTTAGTCACGTTTCTACGGGGGCAGCATTTCACAAGGAATCTGCTTCTGCTGTTGGAGGATGAAAGAGCAGCTGTAGGTAGGAGCAAAAACTACGGGGACGGTGAAGATGAAAGCAATAAAACACCGCAAGAGGAGGAGGACCCAAGCTGTTCTAGCAACGCGGAGCAGGAAATAAGCAAAAAATCCAAGAGCATTTTTTGTCCGCGCGGCGTCCGTCTGACCCCCGTACCACCAGGAGAATTTGTCAACACCAAAGCGGTGGACCATCAAAAATTGTCCTCCTCGACGAGATCACGACTAGACGAGGGAAGTACTGGAATTCCGCCAACGCGCTTGGCCGCAACCGCCGCGGCGCCCTACTGGGATTGTGTTTTCAACCCGGCGAAATACTTGAAGCCCTTGGAGTGTGAACTTCCCAGTGGGATCAAGGCGGATTTAATTACTCCGCTGACGTTATCCTGCGCCGTGCCGAATACGGGAGGCGAAGGGTTCAGCAACTTGTTGAACTGGTATAAAGTAGACGCATTGATGTTTATTTGCACCGCTTATCCTGTATGGTAGTTTGTATACATTGCAGAATACAGTACAGATCCGACGTAAATGTGCGACGTGCTGCCATGTTTGTAGTTTGCCTGGCCAGCTGCACGAGTATTCCATATTCGATGACGGATTGTTTACTTCCCGCTGAATCTTCCTATCCCTATCCGAAATAAACAAGCCGCAGAAGATCATCAACTTTTCCCTTCTCATGATCCCAGGTACATCTATGTGGGGCCTGAAACATTAGCCCTTGCGACGTCGAAGCACGCGGGCGAGCAGACAGGGTTTGGCGCGGCCACCAGCGAACAGGGCGTTGCTCAACTTTCCAGTATCACCCAGTCAATTGTCCGTCCGGGCAAGGAGCTGCAGGAGCGCATCAAAAACCACGAGAAATTGCTGGAAGAGTCCCAGCCCACCACCGAGATCTGTCCGGCGCACTGGGGGAAGCGCTCCATCGCGTTTCGCTGTCTCGAGTGCGAGTACGACAACAACTGCATTATTTGCCCCGACTGCTTTTTCGACTCAAACCACGTGGGTCACCGCACCATGCTGATCCGCACGCAGGGGGGCGCGTGCGACTGCGGCGACGCGGGCAGCTGGGATCCGAAGGGCTTCTGCTCCAAGCACGGCAGGAAAAAGAACGACGACGCTTTTCTGTGTTTGGAAGTAGAAGAAGACGAAAGAGCTGCAGATACCACGGCAGGAACCGGGGCGGGGACAATGAATATTGCCATGGGTGGTAGTACTAGTACTTCTACAACGATGAAGTTGCTCGGGACGCAGACCGCGAAGCACCTGCGCGAGAAAACCTCCGAGAACCTCTTCGGTTTCCCAGACAAGGCGACGAAAGTACGCGCGGAGCAAGTGATTGACTATGTCGTGAAGCTCTACTCTTACATTGTGGAGCTGGGGGAGGAGCTGGAGCTGCTCCGCAAGGTGCTCTGCCAGGTCCGGGACAGCTTCGAGTGGCACTTCTATGAGCGCGCGCACCGGTACTGCCGCAAGGCGGTCCAGAAGATTGTGGGTGACAAGGGGTTGGCAGCGGGGGACGGGACGAATGATTTGCAAAATGGAGGCACAGTGGGTTCGGGGGACAACTCTAGTAGAGCTATGCCGAAGAGTTCATTCGATCTGAACGAGGCCCTGGATCAGATGATGCAGGGCGGGAACTGGGAGTGGGACCCCCAAGTATCCGGTGCAAAAGTAATATCATGCTTGTTATTCGTCCGATTGCAATAAACATTCTCGCATAAGAACGGCGAGGAAGGGGGAATTGGTTTTGCACAGTTCCTACTGTTTGACAAAACAGAAACCGTTTGCGATGCTGGCTGATGCGCTAAAAATGCAAAAATGCTTTTGCAGTGCATACCAAGGTGACCTTGATCCAACTGGATCAGGCAATATGGGTGTGCGGCAGATTGTGCAGCAAGCAGTGGTATGCATTGCAAACGTATCCGAAGTAGCTCAACATTGTTCCAAATTGCATGATGACAACATCAAGCTCAACAAGTCTTGGCACCTCCAGGAGATGGAGGGGCAAATAAAAGTGCAATTTGTAGTACAACAACGAACACTGCGATACAACTTTTGCACAGGATGACGGGCGCAGAACATGGTGAGCGCTGCGGCTCGCATGGGATTAGCAATGGCCCCCGGCGGCGGAGCGGGAGTTCTTCCCGGAACTGCAAACAACACAACCGGGACTCAAACCGCAGCGAACACCACGAATACTACCACCGGAGGTCGCCCGCCAAGAATGCCAGGAACTACTGCAGCTTCCGGAGCAGGTGCAGGCGCGTCCTCTTCAAACGCACATCAAAATAACGCCCCTGCGTCGAGTACAAACAAGCAGGCGAAGGAGGACCGGCACGCGAAGGAGGAGAGAAATGTCATGGAAAAAATGAGCACTTTGAAACACGTCGGCCGGTGCAGCGACCTGAAAATCAAAACCGCCGACGCGATGTTGTCCCGTGCAGAGGAGCTGATTTCGGGGCTGGAGGCAAACATGGAAAGTTACCGGCCGATTTGCTATTTGAGTGGGGCGGTTACATCAGCCACTAGTGAAGGAGATCAATATTTTGACCTCGATAATGAGCAAGTAGGAGGAGTAGCACCAAGGAAAACATCGGGAGCAAATGAGGTAGTTGCGCATGATCTTCAGCAACCGCAAGAACAGGAGTACGTGGAGGACAAGGAGATTTTGATCAACGACTTCGGCGTACTCGCCCTCTGGGAATCCTTTTACTACGAACAGGAGCGGCACATGCTGCAAATCCAGGAGGAAATCTCATCTTGGCTGCTGAAGCGCTGCCGCATCGCGTACGGGTTTCGTTTCATCCTCACGCAGAAGTTGACCGCGGCCTTTAACGTCGGGGAATACAGAAAAAACTCGCTGCGGAAAATTGTGGGCGAGGAGCTCTTAGCTGCGATGAATTTAACGGCTTCGAACAAAGATGTGGAGAACGATGTGAAGGGCAGCGGCGCCGACGGCAATGTCGACATTAATGTTGTTGTTCCGAATTTACAAAACACGTTTCTACTGGACGAGAAGTCGTTTTGTCGTGTGAACAAAAAGATCTCTTCCACCCAGTTCCGAAAGAAGATGACGAGTTACCAGAAGGAACAGGAGCAGAGGCAGATGGATCAGGAGCACAAGGCAAACATGGATGCGCTGAATATCAAAGCAGGCACAGGTGGAGCCCCCAAATCGCCCTCGGTGCCGAAAGAACTGGAGTTGTGGGAAATGATCGACGCTAGAAACAGCTACGCAGGAACTGCTGCTGGTGGAGCTGCGAGAACATCAACTACAGCAAAAATGGGTAAAAAAACCAATGCAGCTTTGATGTCGGCTACTGCCGCAGGAAAGCAGCCGTTAGCACTCGCGCAGAACAACGGCGCTGCTGACAAGGTCTTGTCTCCTCACCACCGGAGACGGCACCACCGCGAATTGCGATACTTGCTGCAAAGGGAGGAAGAGAAAAAGATCAACATCTACGGAACCATCCTGCAGTGCGTGTTTAAGTCGAAAAGCAATGGAAGCATCAGGAGCTCCCAGAAGCAGAACAAGAAGCGCAGCAATACAGTTAAGGACAGTGGTAAAAATTCGTCCTCGCTACTACTAGCCACAGAGGACCCAACAGACTCCGAGGACTCAGACGAGGATCTGCTGCACACTGCAGACCTAGACGACGAGGAGCAAACTGTGAGCGTGAAAATCCCGCGGGTTTTTGCTGAGAGTAAAGCTGCGAGCCGAGGACATCATTCTATCTTCAGCAAGTCCAACATCCAAGCCCTGCAGACCATTGGTGGCCTGGAGAAAGAGTCGCCCTGGCAACACCTCGCGAGGTGGATGTTGGGCCGGGAAGTGGGAATTTTCAAGAAGGGCAGCGCGATCGTGGAGCAGGGCGTTTTTGAGGTGGAGCGCATGTTTCAGACGGCGGACCCCTACGGCTGGCTCTCCGCGACCATTCTGCCTTCGAGATCGAGTTTTCCCTTCTCCGCGAATGCCTTCGCGGTGCCAGGGACAAGCTTCACCAGCTACACTATGATTCAGGCGGTACAGTTGCTTGTCGAGGTTTTGTACTCTGTGTTTCGTTCTGTTGCTGGTTAAATCAGATATGCAGTTTCGCTTGCCATACTGTCAACCGTTGTAGTTGTTCGCTGTGTAATTTAGTAGCCCCATGTGCTCAAGAACATCCTTATCATTCTGAGCAAGAAAAGCATCTGCGTCATGGTTGTAGGCGAGTGCTTGGTACTATGTATATGTTTTTTGATACTTAAAATCTTAGGCTTATCAGGAGCGGATACCGCAAACTTGAGTTGTTGTGATCTTCTTTCATCTTGAATGAACTCCATCCCAGATCTGCCAAGGCAGCCTGGACAAGTGGCAAGACGCGTTCGCGCTGTTGCCGCACGTGAAGGAAATGAAACGAGCGAACTACACGGCCAAGACGAAACTGAAGGAGATCTGTCCGGGCGTCACCACAGAAACGCTGCGGTCCAGCAGCACTTCGCTGTACGACCTCTTCATGCTTTTGGTGCAAACGAACGCCGGGTTCAAGCTCGAGTTCACGAAGGTTTTCGTGAATCTCCTCGACGAGACTATGAACGTGGCACAGTTGCTGGAGGACGGCTACGAGAACACCCAGAAATCCCTTCTGTTTGAGAAAATCCAGAATGCGCAGGGGTTCATCATGAAAAAGGTCGCGAACTTGACGAGCTTGATGGTGAAAAACCACAAAAACGGCTTGGACCGCAACGCGATCGAGATTGCCAACATATCCGAGGAAATAAAACACCCATCTTCCCCAACATCCATTTTGTCATGTAAAACATGCAAGAAAAAGAAATCCAGCGTCTGTCTCTGTCACGCAAAAAATGGAGGATGTTGGGGACGGGTGTAGTTTTTTCAATGTGATGCGATGCCTTGAAACTTCCGTCCGTCGAGGAACAACTGACCGAGTACCGGGCGCAGCGGTTCATGCTGACGTCCATTTTGACCATGAATCGGGAGCATTGGGAGCCGGTGCAGATGAAAGGGGAAGAGATATCAAATGTAAAAGTGTCTGGGTCTGGAAGATTCCGGGATTTGTGATGCATATTTTGTATGATCCATGATTCATGTAATGCATGATCTAGCATCACAGATTTTTAGAGGGCTTCCTGATGCCTATTCCGCATGAGAGATGCCCTCTCCCGTGATAGGATCACCGTGTCTGATCATTAGACCCCCTGTATACTTTTTAGCGCGCAACCGGCCACGCGCGTAGTTCTTCGAGCAAGTTTGTAAGACTAACCCATCAAGGCAATACTGGAACTCCACCTTGCTCGCGGGCTTGGATGGTAAGGCAGGTCAGCCACACATCGCGCCCACTGGCTGTAGCCATGCGTAAGCAATCGATAGCGGTTTTGCAGGTGCAGCCGGGTGGTAGTTAGGAAGTGGGCCGCGTCTCCACCTAGGGGTATCGGCAGAGGCTAAATCTGTTCTAACGCCCAGGTATTGGCAGAGGCTAAATCTGTTCTAACGCCCACCCGCCAGGAGTTAAATGGTACTACTACTACTACTACTACGCGTAACACAAACAGGACCCCTGTTGCTGGTCACGCAATACAGATTTTTTTTGGGATCCACAGACAGCATGACAAGTTGCAACTTTGGAGACCCAGACAATGTTGCAATCCATAAGAGATGTACATGAACCAAGTCCAGCACTTGTCCGTCCAGTTGTTAACTATCGCGGAGGTGGTGCTGCAGATGGAGCCGAAAAACCGCAATTCGCAAACGCCCTACTGCGTCATCCGCGTGTTGACGCAGCTGTTTTTCCTGACCAAAGCCATGACGGAGGCCAGCTGGAAGCACTTCGGCAAAAAGCGCAAAGCCTTCACCGACGCCAAGTCGAGCAGCGCGGGCTACTACAGCAACGTCGATGAAGAAGCCTCTCTGTCCAAGCAGGAGTTCACGGAGATGCTGATGCGGGCGAGGCTGGCGGACTACTTGGAAGCGGACCTGTCCTATGTGTTATACCACAAACAGTTTTCCGAAACGTTTGTCTGCGACGTGCAGAAGCAGGAGGAGCGGAAGTTTCTGTTCCGGATTTTATCCTCCCACTGGCAGGCGAATTTACAGCTGCGGCACTTCGAGTCCCACGTGGCTTATGAGATCCGGATGGCAGAGTGGCAGAACTGGCGCGGGCGGGAGCTGAATTTAACGCGGGCCACGAAAACACTATGTGACTACGCGCGGAATTGCTACGATTTGCGGAAAACACAATACTGGTACAAGGGTCTGGTGGAGTGTTTGGAGAACGAAGTGGTTGCTTACCAGTCCTGTTGCACCGTCGGAAAGGACTATGAGACCTACGGTGAAACATATGTCAGGCATACGCAACGGGACCGGGTGACGAAGACGAAAATGTTCTTTAACACGGCGCCCGACGCGGCGGATTCAGGTACATCATCCAAGAAAAACCGCAACAATTTATCCCGCTGTGAAAAAAATGCATCGCATTCGTTTGCTATTGGAAACAGTCTAGGCATTTAATTTGTTTCTACAAAATTTGAAATTTTTAGCATGCAACCATCAAAAGCACAACATGCAACCTGCGAAAGTTTTGCTGCAGTCATGCATGATTGCTGCAACCCTCATGCACCGTGGCATTTATTGCAGGTAGTACTTGCATTCAACATGTTGAGTAAAGAGAACCTTCTCTCTGGGAAGTTGGGACTCGTCGAGTGCGATTCGCTTTTGCGCAGCATACAACAACCTGGACGGAACATCAAGCACTGCGAAAAACAATACGTCCTCGAGCAACAAGCCCAACCCGCAGTACACGAATTGCGGTTCGTTTCACATTCTGCTGCAAAGAATTTTGATCACGTCCATCAATTTCGACTTGATCGCACTGGTTTCCTCCTTCGACTCGTCCCTTCCTGCGAACGGGGTGAAGAGGGAAAAACATGCGAAAAACAAAAAATACCTGTTCGAGATGGAAGAATTGCTGCTGAACATTTTCCCGGAGCACGTGGTTATTCTGATGCTCCGGAACGCATCGCTGGTGTTAGCGTTTTCCCGGGCGATCTCTAACTCGTTGTGGATTCGGAACGGCATGGTTATCAACCGCAAAAGTGTCTGGGTCTGAAAGGATCGGAACTTGTGATGCGTGTTTCGGATCCTACAGAGATCTGTGATGCATAACGTGCAAAAGGTGCCCACTTCTGGCCATGCTGAGACGGCATTTCTCATGCAGAATACGCATCACCAAGGAGCTACAGAACCTGTGATGCTAGGCCCTGCATTCCAGCAGTGGGGGAGCTCGGCAAAACTGCATGACAAATCTCGGAATCTCCCAGACCCAGACATTTTTGCATTTGATAATGGTGATGCAGGAACAAAACGAGGCGTATCTGGAGGATGGACGGAAGCTATGGCGTTCTCGTCAACTGTTACATTCTCAACTGTTGCATGAATTTGCCATGCAAGAATGGCAAAAGTTAAAGGGATGACCTTGCGCGTCTTGCATGACAGATTCCGCCCAGATTCTCAGTCTGTTTGGCTCTTCGAGAAATTGTCATGCGAAGCAGCTTGAGCGTGTCAATTCTGATTGTGATTTTGCATGACAAATCGTGTAACAGTTGAGAATGTAACATTTGAGAACGCCATAGAAGCAGGAGGACGTTTTGACTTTGCAGTTCTGCGCCATGATGCTCACCCTTCATCGACGGAAGCGGGAGCGGGAATCGTGGTTGAGAAGGGGAAGATTTTTGGACTTTGTGAAAAACGAGCAAAAATCTTCTGGTCGAAAGGAGAAAGCGGTGGTGGAGGTGATGATGGGTCGGGAGGTCGAAGGCGCGCCGGCC